AAAATGACGTTTTATAACTTTTGTCGCTCTGTCCAATGGTCCAAGTACTTACAGTATTAGTTCAATGACAAATACATGCCGTCCTTTAAAAACGATATATCTCAGCTACGAGTAGAGATATCTAAAAGTAGTCAACAGATAAAATGTAGACAAGTTTTCAATGAACAATGTGTCAGTTGACAACTTTTTGTTAACTCTACCGGCAGCTGAGATATACCGTCTTGAATACACGGAGTTTACAGTAGCCGGCCAGTCTCTAAACGCAACCGTAATGCAGTTCCGAGACTCCTTTTCCCTTCGTTCCCCTATCATCAACCACCCACCTCGCCTTGCCTTTCTCTATTTATTTCTTCCATCCGTACCCAGTCATCCCATTATCCAATACGATCCACCCCGCTCTTCACGTCTTTCCTTTTTTTTTGTCGTCATCCAGTTGATTCCCTCTCTCTCCCTCTCCGGTCGGTATCCATTTCAAGAGAAGAATCCGTCTTGAGTAGCCCATCATATTCCGTGTTAATGACGATGCCTGTGTCCATTCTGAATGTGTTCTGGACAATTCCGAATGGATGCAAAGAAGGCGCGCGCCGACCGGCTGACCGATTCTTGACATTCTTTACAAAAAGAGACGATGATAGCCATGTTCATCACTTTATTTTGTCGAGGTCGGCTACGGTGGGTGTGCAAACGCCGTCACGCCAATTTGCAGATTTACCAGGCTACCCTACCCTATTACTTTTTCCATTTTCTAGTGAATCTCCAACAAGCCGCGCTATTCAACGACTACCGTATGCCGTAAATCTCAGTTGTCAACTGCAAAAAATGCTCATCAAGAAATTGTCTACATTTTATCAGTTGACAATTTTTTGCTATCTCTACCGGCAACGGTCTCACTTTCTTCGCTAATTGTCATGACCTGGCATGCCATTTCATGTCAAACTTCTTCGCGAACACCCCCTTCGCCTTGTTGCGTACGTAATTGTCGGTGGTGCCGAAGGGAAGACGAAGAAGAAAAAGAACACAGTTATTATTATTATTATTATATTAGTGCGGTTGTTCGGTTGCAACACAAAAAGAGAAGACGACGGAAGATGTGTTTGTCTTGAAGGTATACGCAGTACTAGGTGAGGGGGAGGTACTTCCTCTCTCTCTCTCTTCCTGTCTGTACAGAATCATATCTTCTCTCTCTCTCTCTCTATTCCGAGAAGATTGTCTCATGGGTATTATACGCCTACATTCCGGGTGACTGACTCTCAATCTGCCACCTTCAGATTATTAGGAGATTACTATTCGTATACATACAGTTTCGCTCCCCGAGACAAACCCATAGCAGCTATGATCAAATTGTGTACACTTTATCAGTTTACCACTTTTTTAAATATCCCTTTTAAATATAGCAGACTTGCAACGGGCCGGGCCGGGCCAAAATTAGAAATTTTCCGGCCCGGGAGGATGCACCTAAAAATTCAAAGCGAACTAGAACTTCGAAACGAACATAATTTTATAGACTTAAAATTGCAAAAAATTGCCAAACTGGACATTATCTTGTTTGAAGATATCGCCCTGAATTGCATGTCATATTATTTTGAATAATAACCGTAAAAAACTTACAAAAATCACTTTTTTATCTTTCTTCCGTACCAAAATTTGCAGTTGTTTCGCAGAAATAGTTAGTTGATCGCCGTTTTCTTCAAGCACTTTGTCTTCGTCCACTTTTACCCACCAAACTTTGAAAACGGAATACGTTATCGTCGTTTTGCTTCAATTTCGAAGATTCATTGTAAAAACCAGCAGAAATAGAAAAAAGACGAAAAAGGCAATGTTATAGCATAAAAACCTGTTAAAAAATAGAAATTGCTGTTTAAAGTCGCAAAATTTTCACAAAAATTACGAAAATTTTCTCAAGAGTGGGCGGAGCGATTGATTGCAACTCTGGCACGCCATTTTAGCAATTTTGCCGCACGCGTTTTCCTCTTCCTTCATATTTTTTTTGCATATTTTTTTGAGGTCTAACTTCCGGGCCGACCGGGCCAGGCCGGGCCGACGATTTGCTGGCCCGGCCCGGGATTTGGCAAGTCTGAAATATAGTACAGACAGCCACAGTTTCTGTACGTTTGGTCTCGAGATCTCAAGACGCATCATTATTTCCGGGGACGGTGTCTCGCATCCTTTTCAATCATAAAAGGTCATTGAACGCGAGAGGTGTCGATTATAGGGTTTAGTAGATGATGAAGAGGACGCTCCTTTTTTTTCCGAGTGTGTGCGCACAGCGACAAAACACAGATCGCACCTTTTATTATGAAGAGAACTGGTTACCATCGCCCTTCTTTTTTTGTGATGGATTTGAGGATGACTTGCCAGTTTCGTGAACTTTTCAATATAGACAGTAAGCGTCTCCAGAAAATTCGTTACGAAAGCAAAACAAAACAAAAAAAAACTCTATTTCAATATTGATACTTTCTCTGTCTGTTTGCTCTGGGTCTTATCAAGCGCCGCACTCACAGAAATTCGTTCTCCATGTAGTTTTTCTCAAAAGATGTCTACGGCTTTATATGCCCGGGGCCACCAATTGCTTGGGAGTTTATATAAGGGAACGGCTTGCTCTCAGAGCCTTGAGTATCTTTTGCCGAGCCTAGATTTATCCACCCACTGGTTTTAGTGATTTCATGGCAGTGCTCGTCCATTGTGATTCTCCAACGTGCCCAGGGTTGCTCATATTGCGTCAAGGCCGTTGGATCCGAAGATCGATAGCTCAACCGTTTCTTTACTCCACGTACTGTTCTAGTTAGGTATCTTGTTGGGACTCGTGTGTTTCCGTCTGCCGTCTTCCGTCTTCCGTAAAAAAATTTTTCTTCCGTCTTCCGGGATTTTTTCTTCTTACCGTAAAAGAGTAATGGGGCTATTCAGGCTGTGAAAAAAATGATTGTTTTCCGTTTTTTTCGTTTTTTTACGTCAAAAAATCCAATTCAGCGATGTAAAAAAACGAAAAAAAACGGAAAACAAACATACGCTGAATAGCCCCATAATAGCTTTTCAGAAGCCATTTACTAGCCCCGAAGAACGCGAATTTCCACGTTTAGTGACCCAGATCCAAAATTTTTGCTTCTTTAGTTATTTTTCTCAAAAAAAAAACCGGAGAAGTAAGTTCTGCATTGACGATTTTTTGTTCCGTCTTCCGTCTTCCGGTAGAAAAATGTTCTTCCGTCTTCCGTTTGAAGAACTCAACGGAAGAACACGGAAGAATTTTTATCTTTTTTAGAAAATTTTTTCATGGAATGTGATCAACTGACGAAATGTATAACAAAGTGAACTCTGCTTATAAAAAAATCATTGTAAATTTAACTTTTCCTACAAAAAAGTTATTCGAGTTGTTCCGTGAAAATGTCCTTCCGTCTTCCCCGTTAGCCCTTTTTTCACGGAACAACTCGGATAACCTTTTTGTATGAAAATCTAAATTCACAATAATTTTTCCATGAGCAGAGTTCACTTTGCCATACATTTCGTCAGTTGATCACATTCCATGAAAACATTTTCTAAAAAAAGATAAAAATTCTTCCGTGTTCTTCCGTTGAGTTTTTCCGCTCAACTCTGCTACATACGTCACCTTACGCATTAGTTTTTTTTTGTCTATCTCTAGTCCTCTTCTGTAGTCTCCTTCCAACTTGTCCAAGTACTGTCCGTCCTGAAATGTCCAACCGAAAGCACACAATCGTGTTCCTACCACACCTTTCCATGTACACACACAATACAATAGAATTCAGCGCGGTGCCACGTCATCTCAAAGTGAAAACGGTTCAGGCGCGAGCGAGCACCGTTTTGAAGTGTCCGTCGAGAGCACATTTGTGTGTGTGTGTGTGAGCATTATGGATTAATTTCGTCGCATTTCGCATGGCGCGCCAGCTCTTCTATAATCATGCGCATGATTGAGACGCTCTCGGCATTTCCGTGTTGTTCTCGAAGAATTGGACTACTGTAGCTAGGTGTACAGGTTTCCCAACATTATCTAATAGTTGTCTAATCGTGTTTGACAAGCTTTTCATTGAACTTTTCCTATTGATTTTTATTCTCTTGCTACACATCTTTCTTCTAAAACTCTAAATTTAACATTACCTGACTAGGGAATGGCCCGCACTTACCTTGGGCTTTTGGAATGGGACCTATATGATTCGAAAGAGAATTTCACGGAGAATCCGAATCTGCTCTCCATTTTTGCTAAAAAGCACTGGCTGACGAGAAAATCTGCCTGTTTCTGCCACATTTTCTAGCAAATTCATCTTCGGCGACCTGTATCTCAAGAGCCACGCGTCCGTTGCAAAAGTGGTCAACTAGTAAATTAACGAAAATTATCTCGTAAATAACTTTGTAGTTGATCGTCTATTTAAAAAAATTTAGTTTTCGAGTTATCGTCGCTTTTTTCTTGTCGCTCTAGGAAAACAGTTCATAACTCGAAAACTAATTTTTTTTTAAATAGACGATCAACTACAAAGTTATTCACGAGATAATTTTCATTAACTTACTAGTTGACCACTTCTGCAACGGACGCGTGGTTCTTGAGATACAGGTCGCCAAAGATGAATTTGCTAGAAAATGTGGCAGAAACAGGCAGATTTTCTCGTCAGCCAGTGCTGTTTAGCAAAAATGAAGAGCAGATTCGGATTCTGCGTGAAATTCTCTTTCGAATCATATAGGTCCCATTCCAAAAGCCCAAGGTAAGTGCGGGCCATTCCCTAGTGAGGGTTGATCATAACATACTAGGCCTTCACTATTTTATTAATATCCTCAGTTCCACTTGCCCCTTCCTAATCCGATTACCACATTTCCCCTACTACAAGATCACTTGGCATCATGCCAATTCTCTTCTGGTTCTTTCTTTTTGAACTCTCTTCCTCGCTCGTCTTTCGATCCCTGATCCAACTATTTTTCAGGTATAAAACATCCGAATCAAACGAATCAACGTGGCGACGTCAATCGATAAACCGACTCTTCCGAGACAGTCGTCGAGAATGTTGGCGACGAGACCCTACGAGCCACCACCAGATTATGTAAGTCTTTGGAGGCCTAAATGATCAATTGCCACTCTGAGACCGTTCATTTAAGACAATATATCTCAGCTGCCTGTAGAGGTATCAAAAAATTGTCAACTACAAAAATATTCGAAACATGTAGGCCTACAAATTTGTAGTTGACAACCTTTTGATATCTCCGCAGACAGCTGAGATATACCGCGTTGAATAGACCGTCCAACTTTGCTCTGTTCAACTCCTTTCCGCAACCTTTCCGCCTCCTGTTTGTTATTTACTTTTTGTTTCCGCGCGCCGCATCGGCAGCTCACCCTTTTGACAGTAGTGTTCACACACTTTTCTCCCCCCCCCCCTTCCCCAAAAAAAACTGGTCCTGGCCGATCGGTCGGGCGCTTCAAATGACTTTTGGCACCCGTCGGGAGTGAATTTGAGCTGCCGATACCACTTGAAAAGTCATCATCATATCCACGTGGCATCATATTTCAACGTGAGTTTCGAGGGGGTTATATATATTGTAGTCGAATTCGGCTAATTGAAAAGTGACATTTCCACCCACCACTTTCTCCTTTTCCCCTCGAATTCATTGCCAACTGGTGAGACTTTATCTAATTATCGATTTATACATGCTACTCGGTTCTAGATTCACTTTTGATTCATTTGGGTCTCACCACGAGAATCTAGAGGTCTCAAAATGGAAATCCTGGAGACCCAACGTGTTGGTGTCAAAAGTCATAAAGATGTCAGTTCATTTTGTTTACTCTTTTTTCCGCCCAACTGTTTGTCGCCCCCCGTCTACTATCCAGATCCTAATGTACATCATCCTCCTGATCATGATCTTCTTCCCCCATTTTCCCTCATTTTTTTTCCCGCCCAATTCTTTCGCTTTTCATCCGGCGTTTGACCGACTTTTCTCTGCGCCGCCCCGTCCGCTGCCAATCCGCCACTTTTTTTGTTATGCCACCACCGCTTTTTCACTCACTTATCATACAATAGTCTAATTAGCGAGGCCACGCCCACTTCTTTTGTTTTTTTTTCGACCTCTGCAACAATACGCGAATTTCTCGACGATTCGAACGAAACGGATGATGATGATATATATTGTGGCGGGCTTGACTATTGATGGCGATTTATCTCAGCTGCCAGTGGAGACATCAAAACGTTGTCAACTAGTAAATTGTGCATTAAGAAATTGTGAACACGTTATCAGTTGACCACTTTTTCACATCTCCACAAAGAACTGAGATATGTCGTCTCGAACACTAGAGTTTCTAGCAGCATTCTCTTCCCCAAACATCGCCTAACAACCCCTTCCTCTATTGATTTTCATCCGTCTTCCTCTTCCCATCGCTATAAATCTCATTTCCTTTCCGTTGATTTATGATAACAGATTGGAGAAGCATGCAGAAAGTGGACACAACTTTTCCTTCGGTGATCTTCCGTGGGGATGACATTGCAGGAATGTTTCCTGGTCAGAAAAACTGATATATCTTTGGACCCCTGTATCTCGAGAACTAATGATTGTATCAAAGTGTTAGAAACTAGAAAATTGTTGGAAATTTTGTGCTAAACAACTTTGCAATTGAAAACTTCTTCTCAAACTACCGCGTTTTTGAGATGTGAAGCCTATCATGAAAAAGGTACAGTGTACGTTTTGCTCTTCCGTATCGGCTACCAAACATTGTTCATTATCATCCATTCGTTTCTTCCTCGTATCACCGCTTCCGAATGTCATGTTTCCCACGCGTCGCTCTGCGGATTCCCAGCCGATTCGTCCGAAACGATCCAACATTGTCCGATCCGATCAGACAACAAAAAAAAAAAGAAGACGGTATTCATTGTGATGGTGGTTTTCGCATAAATTATAATGTGACATGCTTCCTCCTCCTCCTTTGCATTCTTTCCGATAGTTTTATTGAATAATATCCGAAATGCCGTCGTGTGCGTCTGCATCAATCGACGCCGAATTACAATAGTTCCGATCTTGATGCTCCGGTGAGCCTAATCCATTCGCCAAGTGTTGATCAAACAATGTTCGTGGCTTTTCGGCGAGCGCCAAACGCGAAAGGAGCATCTTTGCTTTTGGCTTTTGGCTCCGGCTGGCTCTTCAATAATAATCTGTTTATTCTCTCACTTTTCCTCCTGACCATTCATTTCGCTCATTCTCGCATACATACCGATTGTTTCTTTTTCTATTCCCCATCCACTTTTTCCGATGCATCTGAAAGGACAATCTTTGAGGATCTTCGAGCGAAGACTCTTGAGATATGCATCTTTTGCCCGACAACAAACTACCCGTTTGACCTGCGGTTTTATGTGCATTTCGAGTGAGATTCCAATCTTGGAAAAGAACAATCGAGGAATGTTGAAAATGGGTGTTACAAACCTACAGTATGTCCTGTCAGTTTCAAATTTGTTTTGTGAAATCTTCAAGTCCAGTACTGCATTTTATTAGTTGACAACTTTTTTGTACACGCACTCTCTGGCTTACTGTAGCTCTTGGAAGTTGGGGGTGGTTGCCAGACGTGTTATGATTTTCAGTGCAAACAAACTTCCAAGAGGTACAGTATCCCAGGGAGTGATTGTACAAAAACGTTGTCAACTGCAAATTTGTAGTGCATAACGTGTAGTATATTTTTGTAATTGACCACTTTCTCACACGTCCACTGCTAACAGTACCAACTCGACAATATTCGCTCAAAGTTGATCTCCACTAAAACTGTGTCGAGTCATCATCGAGAACAAGTGTAATTAGGAGTAGAACAACTTCTAGGAATTTGCTAAAACATCAAGTTCTACCCTGAAAAAAGCGTGTCCAGGTTCCTGTTCCTCGTCAAAAAATTTCTAGAAAGAATTTCCTTTTTTACAACCTCATCACGACCCCCGAACTTCTTCATTCTTGACATTTCTTCTCAAAAAGGACCGTGATCTTCTGGTGGTCACATTCAGTGTTACATTCAGTTATCAGTAAGTCACCAAACCATTCTCACTCTTTGTTTTCTTTTTTTTATCCTTTTATCATAAAAACAATAGAGAAAAGGGACGGAAATGATTGATTGGCATTGATAAACTGTCACTTTTGTGAATGAACTAAAACAGAGTAGCTTTGTTTTCGCTATTTACCACTTCTTCTCATTTCTGATGCATCATAATGGATTTTCCGTTCATCTTTGATAACTTCCGGACACTTTGCAACTGAATTTAGTGACTGAGTTGGTTGCGAAACGTCCTTGTATGTCGTGAAACTTGTTATATCACAATACTGTATATTCAAACTAGTATATCTCAGCTGCCGGTGGAGATATCAAAAAGTTGGCAACTACAAAAATCTACTAAACATTAGCGACTACATTTTTGCAGTTGACCTCTTTTTGATATCTCTACAGACAACTGAGATACACCTCCATTACAGTTTATACGCAAAACAAACTCGTTCGAGCTGTTTTTGCAGCTATGATTAGTAGCAAAACGCTTGGTTGCAAAACGTCTCACAGTGAAATATTGAAACCAGAACCCTCCAAACACATGTTCTCCTAAACAAACATGACCCAGCCACGTCATCAACCCATGGGGACCGACCAGAAAAAGCAATGATACGTCCCATTGGCTCTTGACATTTCCCCTCCCTTCTTCTTCTTCTTCTTCTTCTTCTTCTTCGTCTTCTCCCACTTTTTCTCGTCGAATCTGCGTTCTGTTTTGTGGTGTAATTCGAGAAGGGATTCACTGTTTGTTCACCCCACCAATAATATGCACCTTTTCGCCTCCCCGACCGGTGAACCCTATTCATGCTTTTCACACAACCACTATTATGCATGCTTTCATTTCATTACACATTGTTATTGTCGTTTCCTTTTAGAGCTGTTTGTTCGCTTTTCGCATTTGACCCCTAGCTTCCTGGCACAGTTGCAAGCGTGTCTCACAACTGTAAAGCGTCTTATTGTTGCAATTTGTATCTTACTAGTTGATCAATAGTTGCAAAGTGTCCAACGGTTGCAAAACGTCACACAAAATTCTCATTTCATTTTCTCTACGCATAATCATAATCCCACGCTTTATATTGCGCCAATGTGTGCAACTAAACGAAACCACCCGAAACTAGAATGGATTTTTTTTTTGGTCAAAATTTCAAAACCCTCGCTCTCAATTTGCGTACCGTTTTGTGTGCAGTCAACTGTGACATTTACCAGCCGCCACAAAATTTGCATAATCTCCGTTTCGCATGCGCTTTTCGGTTTTTGTGTGTGTATTGGTTTTGGGGTAAAAAAAAGTAATGGGAAGGGATGGAGGTCGACACTGAAACCGTTTCTTTTTCAAGGTTTTGAGTAGCGGAAAAGCCGAAGAGGTTATCATTTCCTTTTTTCGTCTGCTGTAGTTGCGAAACTGGTTGCGAAATGTCTAGGTTTCGGTCAGTGTTGAGCGGAATTCCGTCTGCCGTCTTCCGCCTTCCGTCTTCCGTGGTTTTTTTTGTTCCGTCTTCCGTCTGCCGTCTTCCGTAAAAAAATTTTCTTCCGTCTTCCGTCTTCCGGGATTTTTTCTTCTTACCGTAAAAGAGTAATAGCTTTTCAAAAGCCATTTACTAGTCCCGAAGAACGCGAATTTCCACGGGCAGTGACCCAGATCCAAAAGTTTTGTTGCTTTAGTTATTTTTTTCAAAAAAAAAACCGGAAAAAAAGACTCTGAATTGACGATTTTTTGTTCCGTATTCCGTCTGCCGTCTTCCGGGAAAAAAGTGTTCTTCCGTCTTCCGTCTTCCGTCTTCCGTGAGAAAAATGTTCTTCCGTCTTCCGTTTTCCGTGTTCCGTAAGAAAAATTTTCTTCCGTCTGCCGTCTGCCGTCTTCCGGATTTAAAAATTCCATTTCCGCTCAACTCTGATTTCGGTCATTTCGTCGTTGGTCCCCTCCTGTTAGAGCCGCGAACTTTGCCTACACTTCTCCATCCTCGAACCTCGTCAAGTTTCATCAACTTTTTCACCTCGTTTTCACACTTTCTTCTGCCATCATCTTTAGAAAAAACCGCGCCTGCCAATTAGTGTGTGTGTCTCTTCCGAGTATTGCGCAACAAGTGTGTGTGGGGATAACTACGCCCTAGCTAGCGATTAGTGAAAGTGCGAAAAATGGCGCCGCTTTTGCGGATGGAGAAGGAGAAGCGGCAAAAGTGTTCGCATTTGACACCACCTCGGTGGCTGTAACATGATATAAGTTTATGATCATATCGGCAGAGGATGATCGATGGAGGGGAAGACCCTGTTTGCACACCTGTTCTTCTTCACCCCCTCTCTCTCTTTCTCTCTATTCCACCATTCTATTTCTGGCCGCTTTACAGCCTATGCTAGAGCAGCGATGGCCGACGAATACAGTCAGGAATAGCAGCTCGCCGCACGTCGTCGTCGTCACCTCATCGCCCACCTACAGAAGTCACTCGATTGACGCCGCCGTCAACAGGTATGTGTACGTAGGCGAGCCTTTAGAAAAGGCACTAATTGAAAAAAAAAAAGAAACGTACACGGTCATGAGTCACAACGTTGACATTCAAAAGGTTTCGTATAGTGTCGGCACTCACTTTTAGCCTTAATTCAGGCAAAGTAACTCTACACACCCGCGGTTGGTAGTGACCTAAAAGTAGAAACTGAATTGCCTTCAATTTTTGCAATGTTTCACTGAAGAGTGCCACCAATTTGGCTCGAAGTGAACCGAAAAACTTTTGAACTATTTCATGTAAATTGACATCAATGTTGCATTTTGCAGAAGTACATCCGCCTACTTCCAACACGCTCACCGCCCGACCTATCATCGCAAGCCACACCAACAGCACGAGTATCCGATTTGTGGAGTGTCTCCGGCCAGACAACACTCGTACGATCACTTTCAAAAGTCAGTTGTTCGAATGGCAAAAACTGACTCTTGTTAATACGTTCTAGAGCCTTAGGTTCAGCAAAACATCATTTGAGTCTAAGGCTGTGAGCATACTTACAACGAGCCCGAGATTTTGCTTTATATGCTTTTAGACTTTTGAAAAAACCAAGACTAGGCCCCTGTCTGGGCTTTATTTTGATGTGAGCTAGTAAAAAAAAAGTCGAGCTTAGCCAGGTTCTCCTGAACCGTTACAAATGTGTACTCAGCTCAAGTCTTGAGATCCTTGAAGCAGACTTGTGACTAATAATCGGCTTGGTCCGGGTTTCATATTATAGGGGCACCGGAGAGAAAGGGCGCGCTGTTCGCAATCTGGCCGAATTTCTAGGCCGCGAAGTAATTTTCCACTGAAAACGTGGCCTAACTTTTCAAACTCGGCCCCGATGTCGCTCAATTTGCGCACTGCAAAAAGAGTTTGTCAACAGAGCGCCATTTCTGTGCGGTATAATAGTTTTGAAGGTTTAGAACTGGAAAAAGTCAAGTACAACTATTATTTTTATTTCGAAATAGAAAAAGTCACTAACAGCCACTGTTTTTCAGCCTATCAGCAGCCGAAATCGAAGAGATGCTGCGAACACGTCAATTCCCGGAGGTAAGCCTCATTTGTCACCCCGAAACCAGTCATTCATTCGCATTCCACAGTTTCTCCTCATTGTTTTCCTTTTTCCTCCAACTGGGTCAATCTCATCGTATACAGTTAGCAAGTTTCCAACTTTTCTCACCACCTCACAACACACTTTTTATGCGTTTCTCGCGCATTCAATTCACAAAGTCTCGATATTATCAATCAACGCGTTTATGATCTCTTGTGTTTCTTTTGCAAAAGCAAAAGCCTCGCTGGCTATGGTTAGAAACTTGTTTTCGCACTTTTTTTGTTGTACAAGGCCGAGGAATAGAGGACACTGGGTTTTTGTGTGTGAAAAGTGAAGTGACGGCGGATAAGTGTCGTCTTGGTGTTTGATGATTTTTTATTGAGAAGCTGGGCAATATCAGTTGAAAACGTTCAACTTTGAGTGTGTCTAGCCGAGCCCAGAGACACTTTTTTTGATAGATCTTGACACCTAGTACTGTAATTTACTAGTTGACAACTTTTTTGTGCAACCTTTCTCTGGGGTACTGTAGCTCCTTGAAGTTTGAACTGAAATACAAAGCCTTAAAGGTAGTCTTAACTTTCAAGAGCTACAGTACTTTTAGGAGTTGGTGTACTAAAAAGTTGTAAACTGCAAAAATATACTACACATTATGGACTAGAATTTTGTAGTTGACAAGTTTCATGTACCATCTCTCTAGAGAATACTGTAGCTCTTGAAAGTTAGAGCTACTGAAAGTCTCATCTATTTCAACGCAAACTTCCAAGCTCTACAGTACCCCAGGAAGTGGTTGTACGAAAAAGTTGTCAACTAGTAAAATGTAGTACTGGCTGCCAAGATTCACCAAAAAAAAGTTTCTAGACCAGTAGGACACCTCTTGACTCAGCTTGACACACGTAACGTTTATCTGTTCAGTTCCCATTGCCAAACTACGAAAAATTAGTGACCCGAACAAAAATTCAACGAAAAATTCGCGGTCATATGTTTCCATCTGTTCACATCTGTTCCATGTCACATGAAAAAATGAGAAAAGTTTCTATTTATACACACTTTTGCGGATTCGTTTATAAATGTGTGAAACAGTGATCTCTTTTCGTTTGAAAATCTTGTATATAGCCTTCTAAAAACGTTGAAAATCTCTCTACCAAGTCAAGAATTCTCTCAAAAAATGCTTGTCCGTTCCACCGACTATCCTCCTAATCCCCACCGCCTAGCCGCTTCGAAAACTGCCATCATCATCCGCACAGAGACGGGGTGGGGGGGCGGCTTCGAAATGATGAATTCATAATTTTTTTTGGCTATCGGGAGGGTCGACGACACAATAGAACACACTTGAATCCCTCCCCCTCCCCCTTGCTTTCCACTTGAAGACTGAAGAAAACAGAAGCGCCCTCTCCGGCCGTCTGTCCGTCGTTTTATTATTTGCCCATCATACCATACCATCATCACATTTACATCTCTTTTCATTCATTCATTCATTTCCTCCTCCCATTTCTCATCTTTTTCTTGTTATTATACAAATCTTTTGCAGATTGCCGGCATTTACGGAAGTGATGAGCAGCCGGCGCTGAGAAGATTCACTCGCTACAATCAGTCGATTAGCTCGAAGGTTCCGCCGCCGCCGCCGGCGCCTCCGCATCCGCCGCCACAGCAAACTGTCGTCATGGACAAGGATGCTGGACGCGGATCGATTTTTTCGAAAAGGTCAGTAGTGTAGGGACATGTCTTTTTATCTTTGGCGTCAACCAATTCATCCTCATTTGCAGCTCGAAGAAGCCGCTATTCTTCATGGGCAACTGGACGTTCCGCGAGCGCAACAAGTCCGCCCGCCCGTCGATCAGCGAGGCGATGCGCGAGGAACGTCCGCACAGCATGAACCTGTCGGACGTGCGGAGCCGCAGCAAGAGCGGCGAAGTGCTGGGCCCGCGGAGTACGGTCTTCGTGTCCGAATTTCCGCGGAACGTCGAGACACGGGTGCCGGTGAAGATCGAGCGCAGTTCGATGGTCCGCAGAAAACCGTCGAATTTTGGTGGTGCGCCCGAATCGATCAATAATAATAGCAGTGCGTCGAGTCCGTCGTCTTCCACCTCCTCGGCCGTCGGCGATTTCAAGAGTGAGTATTGTATTGTCGAACAAGTTCCCCCCCTCCTAATCTAATTGTGTTATTGTATTGTATGATTGCAGCCACGATTACCGTCGACGATGATCAAGTTGCCGTGATGCGACCCAAGAAGGATTCCGAAGCGACCAGCAGCAATAACAACAACAACCGGTACAGCTTTCAGTCTTGGTACGTCCACGGCTACCAGACGACTATACAATTCCGCCCGTTTCAGTGTACAACTCCGCAAATCGTGTCCGGACCTCGACAGTTCAGTGATGAGCAACATGGAACAGCACCGAGTCTCGAAGAAACGGACCCGACGGGCGAAAGAGAAGATGACGCAGGCGGCGTGGAAGCGGAAGTCCGTCAAGGAATGGTCGCTCGACGACGTGCTCCTCTGGCTGCAGTCCGCACAAATGGACGAGGTGGCGTCGCTGCTGATCGGCTACGATTTACGCGGCGACGATCTTCTGCAGTGGAACGATCACACGCTGGCGCAATTGGGAGTGTCCAGCGAGGAAACACGGAGCACCTTACTAGCGGAACTCACGAAAATCATCGAGAACGGACCCGAAACGGTGGTGGAGGATGTTCGCAGCAATCATAGAACACTTTTTGATATAGTTAAACAGACTAGTTATGATCAGGTCAGTTTTGAGTGTAAACTTCAAACAGCCGCAGTAGGCCTAGGAAAGGTTTTACAATAAAGTTGTCAATTTCAAAGTTGTAGTACTCAGTGTGTAGAATAATTTGTTAATTGACACTTTTTCTGCATGAGCACTCCGAAGACTACTGTAGCTTACGGAAGTTTGGGCTCTCAAATGGCCTTTCAATTGTACTCAAACTTCAAGCACCTACAATAGGCTTAGAAAACGTTGTACAAAAAAGTGTTCAACTACAAAAATACAGTACTTGGTGTCAAGATTCCACTTTTTCAGGTACTGGCAGTCGAGACCCCCCTAACGACTCGAGATATCACAGTGACGCACGGACGACTCGGATGTCTGCAGATCACAAAAGTCAACGGAGCAAACTTGCCGCTGAAGGAGCATGACTGGTAATTTATTATATTTTTTGAGAAGTAAAATAACAAAAGCGTCAATTTAGCCTACTCGAAATCAACGAAAGAGCCGGAGAGCAGTTCAAGAGTGCTCTGATGCTCACCAAATTGATATCCGATTCGAACGGCGCCGCCATTCGATTCGTCGTCTTGCGACGGAAAAGCGATACGATTTTGGCCGAGTCACAGGTGAGACGGTTCGCAACCGTGGTTGCAATTCGGCAGAACACTTTGCAACTGGTTTAGACTTTTGTTTTCCCTTATTCCTTATTGATTTCATGGCAATATGTCAGTTGGTTGCGAATTGTCCTAGTTCCAAAGTGTCCCAGTGGTCAAATAGTTGCAAAACGTCCCCCTAATCTCTATTTCTTCCAGAAAGAATCGTCGAGCAGCGGAATATCATCAAGTCCTCAAACTCCAACCGAATAATTGTTTCGCAAACCCTTTTATTGTACTTTTTTATCGTTAGTGACTATGCTTTACTTAATTTTTTGCACCCCCCCCCCCCCGCCTAAAATCAATCGATAATGCGCCCCGCTTCTAACTCGGAAACTGGTGACCATTTGCACTTTTTTAATGTCAAAATGACCGATGATAATAAAAAAAAAGTGTTTTGCTGTCCACGAAGTACGTCTGCACATGACCCGTTTGAGGAGAGAGAGAGAGAGAGCACAGAGAAAACGACAGTGTTTAGTGATAAGATAATAGTTGTGGGTCATGGTTTCGGCTCGTAAAGTGAGTGTACAATAGTAATTGACTACTATCTACTTACTCTCTTTTTGAGCACATTTTGCTAAATTGATAATAGCGGTAGGGCTTTTTGAGCCAATTATTGTGTTGTTATTGTATGACAACTTTGAACAAACAAATATTATCAAACCAGTTTTCTCCCCCTTTCTTCAATTCCAGAATGATGTTAGCCGAAATGATGCACGGCGACCAACTGTCGCTTCTAAAGCACGAAGAAGGGATGCAACCGATGGTTCCCGAAGGGTAGCCTACCGTAATCCCTCTCACCGCCCTTTAAACGTTTTCAGTTCTAACCTGTACTGGTCCTCACTAAATGTGACGGGTCCGGAGACGAAATCCACCAGTTTCCTGGAGCGTTGGAGGAATAAAAGGCCGCGAAAAGTGAAGGAGATTCTTCACAACGTGTCCGGAATGGCCGAATCCGGACGGCTTCTGGCTATTATGGGCTCGAGCGGAGCCGGAAAGACCACGTTGCTCAATGTGCTCACCTCGAGGAACCTCATGAATCTGGACGTTCAGGGCTCGATTTTGATTGACGGAAAACGGGCGAACAAGTGGAAAATTCGAGAGGTAAACTCTAGTTGCTTCGACTTTAGTGGCCCGACTTTATCCTCTCTTCCAGATGTCCGCGTTCGTGCAGCAACACGACATGTTCGTGGGCACTATGACCGCCCGCGAACACCTTCAGTTCATGGCCCGTCTTCGGATGGGCGATCACTATACGAAGCACGAACGGCGCGTCCGAGTGGAGCACGTGCTCACTCAGATGGGACTGCAAAAGTGTGCGGACACGGTCATCGGAATACCGAACGAGCTGAAGGGACTGTCGTGCGGCGAGAAGAAGCGACTCTCGTTCGCTTCCGAAATTCTCACTTGTCCGAAAATTTTGTTTTGTGACGAGCCGACGTCCGGGTTGGACGCGTTCATGGCCGGTCAGTTTGTGCCGTTGTCTCCATTTGCTCTTAGCCCCGCCCATGTTTCAGGCCACGTAGTCCAGGCTCTCCGCCGTTTGGCCGACAACGGAATGACCGTGATCATCACGATTCATCAGCCGAGCAGTCAGGTCTATTCACTTTTTCACAAGTGAGTTTTATAGTGCTTCGCTCCCGCCCCCGCCCCCACAATAGTCGCATTTCATTTCCAGTGTGTGCCTGATGGCGTGTGGTCGTGTAATCTATTTGGGACCGGGCGATCAGGCGGTCCCTCTGTTCCAAAAGTGCGGCTATCCGTGTCCGGCCTACTACAACCCGGCGGATCATTTGATCCGAACGTTGGCAGTGATTGACAGCGATCGGGCGACCTCTATGAAGACCATTTCGGTTCGTGCTTATCGATTGATCACGGCGACCAAAAGTGTAGAAAGGGGGGCGTGGCCTAATCTGAGACGCGTTTTCTGAAAATTGTCGCAATTCCAGCACACTTTTCCGATATTTTTTAGGTGATATCGACTAAAAAAGAGACATTAAACAGAGAAAACGATGAAATTTTCGTGAAAACGCCGCGTTTGAGACGTTTTTGGCATATTTCGCAATTTCGGAATTTTCATACCGGCCGATGTGGATAGTTTTGAGACGAAATGAGTGTCGGAAGTGATTAAGCACGTTAATACAAGTATTTTAAGCGTTCAAACGGAAAAAATTAACGGCGAATGACTGAAATTCGCGCATTTTCAGCACAAAACTTGAAAATCGATTCAATTAATTCATTTCTGAATGAAACCTGCTCGTTTTAAGCTCAAAAAGTGCGCGCGATGATTAGTTTAACAAAGTTATGCAATTACATCGTCGAAATCGCACAAAATTTGGGTAATTTTTGACGAAAAACATGAAAAAAATGGGGTTAAATTTCGAATTTCGCGCCAAACTGCACTGAGTTTATCATTGGAGCGCACTTGCAGCGCACGCGCGGGAGTTGAAAAATAATAAATTTTCGGGTTTTTTTTGGTCGCCGTGAAATATCACGTACACTTTTGGGATACTTGAATTATAGAAAATCCGTCAAGGATTCCTGTCGACAGACCTCGGACAGTCCGTTTTGGCGATCGGAAACGCGAGTAAACTGCGCGCCAACTCGTACGCGACGAGTGATACGTGTTCCGAAAAAACCAAGACATTTTTCAATCAAGAGTGAGTATATACCTACATATATATATATGTATAACTACAGTAATCCGCAATCCTTTTCAGCTACAACGCCTCGTTCTTCACCCAATTCTGTGCGCTTTTCTGGCGTTCCTGGCTCACCGTAATCCGCGATCCGAATCTTTTGTCCGTTCGATTGATGCAAATTATTGTGAGTTTGGAAGACATGAACCTCATTTTTCGGATAAAACTTTTTAGATAACCGCCCTCATAACCGGATTGGTGTTCTTCCAAACGCCCATCTCGCCGGCCACAATAATTTCCGTCAATGGAATCATGTTCAACCACATTCGCAACATGAACTTCATGCTACAGTTTCCCAATGTTCCGGTAATCATAGACTACAGTACTCGGCAACTACAGTAGCCCAAAAAAATAGGTGATCACCGCCGAGCTACCCATAGTGCTTCGCGAGAACGCGAATGGCGTCTACCGGACGAGCGCCTACTTTTTGGCCAAAAATATTGCAGAGGTAAAGGGATAAAGAGTGCATAAAAAAGAGATTGCTTTATCCATAAATCTATCCATAAATCTATCGATAAACGTGCGTTTTCAGCTGCCCCAGTACATAATCCTTCCGATTCTCTACAACACGATCGTCTACTGGCTCTCGGGTCTTTTTCCGAACTTTTGGAATTTCTGTTTCGCATCGCTAGTCACTATTTTGATAACTAATGTGGCGATTTCCATTTGTAACACTTACAATATCATTTCAAATTTTAAAAACGCTAAAATACTTCCAGCCTACGCCGTAGCGACAATATTCGCGAATACGGACGTCGCGATGACGGTCCTGCCGATCTTTGTGGTTCCGATCATGGCATTCGGCGGCTTCTTCATCACTTTCGACGCGATTCCCCAATATTTCACGTGGCTTGCGTCGCTTTCCTATTTCAAGCAAGTTTTGGGAAACCCACTTTTTCAACACTGTATATCTCGGCGGCCGGTAGAGATATCAAAAAGTTGTCAACTGATAAAATGTAGACAATTTCTCAATGAACATTTTTGTAGTTGACAACTTTTTGACATCTCCACACACGGCTGAGATACATGCGTTTGAATGCACGCTATTCTCAGTTTTGTAGGTACGGCTACGAGGCGCTGGCCATCAATGAATGGGAGTCGATCAAAGTGATTCCAGAGTGTTTTAATAGATCCGTGACGGCTTTCGCACTGAATGGATGTCCGAAAAATGGATATGAAGTGCTCGAATCGGTAGGTTTTTCATCTACAAATAAAGTTGGTACAAACAAAATCGATTTTTCTTGCAGATCGACTTCTCGGCTTCGCACAAAATCCTCGACGTTTCCGTCCTTTTTCTAATGTTCATCGGTATCCGCATAATTGCATATTTCGCTCTTCTCATCCGTTCTTATAACAATACCTAAACAGAAAAGAGGTTCATCGATTGAAAATGTCACAATGAGGGAAATGAAATTAAATGAAATGCGCCTATAATATGAATTAGTGGAAGAATGTGTGAGGGGGATGGAATTCTTGATAAATACATAATAATGATGGACACAAGATACCCATAGAGTCGGGTGAGATTAAAACAAAGAAAAATACAGACAAAGGAGGGAGCATTAATGATTATTGTTCTTATTATGGATTATGCGTTCGGAGCGAAAAGTGTCGAAGCGATTTCTCCGTCGATCACTCCCGAATTGTTCTCGTTCAGTTCGGCAAGGAAGTTGTTGAGGAACGGAAGCGACAGCTCTTTTATGTTAACTATTTCCGGGATTGACGACGACGCTGAAAGTAGTTCAATATTGAGTATATTCGACATTCTAGCCAAACAATTGAAGGCCGGACCTTGTCTTTAGGCCCACTTGCAATACTCCGATCGGTCCCAAACTTTCATTAAAGTAATTGGGACAAAGTTTCAGCCCGATCGGATTATTTACTCGCCAGGTTGGCCGGAAAGCCCGGAAAAACAACCAAAAAAAAAACGAACCTTCCTGCTTGGGCACATTCAGATTCTCCTCGTTCTGTTTGCCCTCCTCCTCGTTCGCCGCGCCGCTCTTCTGCGTTCCCGCCGTCTTTCCGTTCAGCTGATTGACCATCATCATGTGCTGCGACAGGAGATTCTGTGCCATCACGTCGGCCATAAAGTTGCCGCCCGGCAGGTTCGTCAGATTGCGGCCCATGTTGGAGAGGGTGCCGGCGGGCAATCCGAACTCGATCTCTTTCTGTCGCTCGCCGATCCGCGAGACCAGCTTCATCGCCCACGTCAGCTTCAGTTTGACGTGTCCGCCGTGCTCCTCGAGCAGTCCGGGCGCCCGTTCGAGAATGTACTGGCGGGCCAAGTGCAGGGCCTGCGAGGCGGTGAAGTGACCGCCGTTCGGGTCCGCGTTCTTCAGCGACACCATGTAGTCGACGAGATCCGCGTCGAGCTCGTCGCCGATCAGCTTCGGACGGCCGCGGCCACGCCCACGCAGAAAGCCCGGAGAGCCTGTCGAGTGCGCCGCACTTTGCGCGTTCAATTTCAGCATATCCACCATCGCTGAAACCGGTTTTTGTTACTTTTTAATTCTTCTTCTGCTTTCACTTACATTGCGTGAACAAGTTGGGTGCCTGAGGTGTAGTCGACGTGGCAGGCACAGTGGTTTGAGCTGTCGGCACTGGCGCTGTCGCTTGTGGCGTGGCGTCTTCAATGTGTTCGTCACGGTCCCCTTCGGACGAAGGACCGGGAGAGGCGGTCGAGGTGTTCGTGGAGGTCGGAGGAGGTGGGAGCAGAGCTGCAATATCAATTCTTCTGGATTTTAGAACGAGTAGTTGTCAAAACTAACCATTCTCGCTGGCTTTTCTCTGATAAAACGTGGCGACGGGCGGGAACCCGGTCTTCCTCAGCTTCCTAGTCTCCGACAATCTTTCCTGTTTCGCGAGAATCTTGCCGCCGCCGCTCGCACACGAATACCCCTGTCCCAGTTTCGGACTCTCTTGTGTTCCATTCGCATTCGCATTCCCGTTCGTTTCGCGCTCTTTGACCACTTGCGACGGCAGTTTGTTCATTTTCGACAGCTCCAGCAGGGTTTTGAGTTGTTGCGCCGACGCGTTGGGGAACAGTTGCGACAGCATTTCGGCGGGCTCATTCTGAACGTGTTTTGGCTAAATCGTGAATAATTTTGTCAATTGGATTACCAATTGTTTCGCTCCATCGACTGTCCGCTGGATTTTCGAGCAATTGTGGCAAGTGCACGGAGGCGCGTGGAGGTGACGCATGATTGCGGCCAACTGAAAGATTTTAAGTGTTTATATGGATGGCTTAAAATTCTAAATTTGACTGACATGGATCTAAAATGTTGTTAGTTAGAGACCTAAGAGCTTTAGGAAATAAACTTTTCTGGTCTAATATTCCAGTGGCCTAGAATACCAAACTTGGCCTAATTAGCAAAACGCGCCAAAAGGTGACAGCTGAGAGGATTTCGAAACTTTCAAGCATAAGTAATAATCAGAAAAACAAAAAAGTTAGAGGTTTAAGACGTTAGACTGTATTGGCCTAGATTTCCCAAACATAACAGCCTAGGATAACGGCCTAACATTCAACAATCACCTAAACTGTGGGGTCTCTATTCAATTGCGTTATTTACTCAATTATTATTATTGCCCTCCTTCTCTTCCCCCCCCCCCAATTTCGACTTTATTTTCTCTGTGAGAGCAGACAGGTTGTGGCTGGTCAGAAAAGTGAAATGCAAACTTTGCGGGCGAGCGCGCGCCTCCCAAAAAGAAGTTTGACAGTGATGAAATGAATTCGAATAAATATTCAGCTCGAAAGACTACTATACAGTTCTATTTTTGATCGTAGAGCAAACAACAAACACAATTTCACACGAGGTACCTGATGTTGAATATAGACGAAATTCGTTTCGAGACCCGAAACTCGTCGAGCCAGACATTCGTCTTCATCGTCTTTCTGATTCACGTCGTCTTCCATTAGGTCCTGCAACGAAAATGTGATGATTTTGGGTCTCGAAGAGAAAATTTAAAGGCGCAGCACGGTAAAATGCAATTAGGGTCTCGAATCGAACAACCGTAACCTACAAAACTCAAATTTAAAGACGCAGCACAAAGTGTCGTTTTCAACACAAAAAGCGAGGTTTAGGTGAAAAATTTAGAGTGTTTGCTCGATGAAAAAGTCGAAAAATTATAAATATTTGATGATGAAGGCAGAAAAAGCGAAATTTTTTATATTTCGTCATCTAAAAGAATTGGGGAGCGAAATTTCTTCTAAATAAAAGCGGGTTCTCTTCGTGCGGACTGTTTGTGTATTTGAGCAAAAGCGCGCACTTTTCCGATTAAAAAACACGAAAAAAAGCGGCCAAAATGAAATGTGCTCGTCGTGCTCCGTCCATTTCGGCTCGCCAAATAAATCGCCGCTTTTTTCTCGCCCGTTCCACAAAATTCTCCTTTTTTCATGCGATTACCGCGTTTTTTGACAGCTATCACACAAAAATGAATTTTTCTAGAAATTCTGCTGACACACTGCTTACTTGTGCGCTTTGCGCGCAAAATAATATATATATATTTTTTGAAAGAAACGAAAAGAAAGAAATGTTGGTCGCTGGGAAATGGGCGGAAAACAGAAATATGTTTGTTTATTGGGAAAAAAAACTGGGAGAGAGCAAAGTTTGCGCATTTTTGAAAACAAAGAGCGTTGAGCAAGTGGGAAATTTGAAAATGTCCTTACATTTTGATTCCAAAAATGCCAGATTCAAATTTCAATGCAATTTAGAGCGCAAAAACGGAAAAAAAAACCCGTTTTCCAGTGCTCGCCAGCTGTGGAAAACAATTTTTTGCGAAAAAAACAGCAAAAATTTAGCATTGAATCGAGATAGAGAAAAAGTGTAATAAACGCGGCAGAAGACTCGTAAAAATGATCATCTCATTGCAATTGTGAGAGAAAGAGGAAAGACGAAATTTCAAATGTTTTTCTTGATTTTTTGTTGGTTTACATACGCCACGAAAAACATTTTTCGAACCGGTTTTACGGGCTTTTTTGAACGATATTTATTGTCACACTGTGAAGTTTGCAGACAAACAGAAATTTGTCCACGCTCAAAATTAATCAATCAATTTTCCACTCACGTTCAGATCATCCGCATTCATCGGAGAAGCCGAACTCCGGTCCGTTGAGCCGTGACTGCTCACGGAGCCATTCAGCACGAATTCTGCAAAAAAAAATTAGAGTTGTTTTTTAGTGCTTGCTTGCATTTTTCGGTTGCGAGGGGTTTGAAATTTCGGGAAAATTCCGATCGGAAAATGGAAACACTTGATTGTGAAAATTGCGCTAGGAGTAATAATGCAAGTTTCACGGTTTCCGACAGACTTTTGGGACTCGTGCTCGATTTTTTAATTTCCAGAGAAGCCGTTAGGCTCATTCGATATATATAATGCTTTTCAATGTACAAGGGCGAGCACTCGCTATTTTTGAGTCAAATATCGATAAACGAAGACATTTGATTCAAATTTGAAAGAGAGAACATTAAAATTTTCGTGAAAACACAGCCGTTCGACGCCGCAAACTCGGATTTTTGATACGGCCCGAAATGGACAGTTTTCAGACAAAATGAGTGTCAGAAGTGATAAAGCACGTAAACACGAGCATCTTTAGCGCAAAACTCGGAAATCGATTAACTCTCAATGAAATTTAGTCGTTTTGAGCCCAAAATGTGCGCAATAACGTGCAGACTTTTGGTAATATTTGACGAAAAACCTTAAAATAGGGTGAAAATTTGAACGTCGTGCCAAAATTGGGAAAAACTGTGTCTGCACGCTAGGCCACGCCCTAATTTTCAATTTGTTCACCTTCATTCTCATTCTTGATCGTTTCCCTCAAATTCGTCGGTTGTAGCATCATTTTGTGCTGAAAAATATAAAAATAAATGTAAAATGTTTGATAAGCGAGACGGGGAAAAGAGAAAAAGTCAAATTTTGTGTCCCGCCATTTTTTAAATTTCGATAAGATCGGCAAAGAGGAAGAGACGCCGACAATGAATTGGAAAACATTTTAATTATTTTTTTCATTTTTGTGTACGACGAGCGAGAGACAAAACCTGCTGATTTTGCATTTTTCAATGCTATTTACGCAAAAATGTATTATTTGTGTGACGGCCGGTGTGGAGACGGAGGCGGAGGTGTTTTTGTTTTATTCAATTGAAAAAATTGGAGAGACGGGCAAATATATATGAGGAAATTGTTATTGGCTTACTTTTTACGGGCCGCGCCGTCGGAAAAGGCCATAGACCCGGCCCGGCCTTCTTTTGGTAACTTTTTCTGTTCGAGCGCTCGAAATGCTTGTATTTACGTTATTGGTTAAGAATTCTGCGCAAAGTGACAAGTACAAAAATCAGGTACAAAGCAAACTTTTTTCAACCGGCCTTCGCCACAATTCAAATAATTGTCACCATTTTTATGTGTGTGTGTGTGTGTGTATGTCAAATGTCCGAAAAGGAGACAAAACAAAGAAAATGGTGTGATTGGCGCCAGGGCGACCCAAATTATTCCGAAACGAAGCGACAGCTGCATGGCGTCGATTGGAAAAACGCGAAGAGAAACAGAACAAAGAGACATTTTGTCAAAATTGAAAATGAGAAGGGTCGGATGGATGGACGAGCGGGTGTGCCCCTCCTGGATCTTTTCGCTGAAGAATGTATGTGTCCGAAAAAATAAAAAGCAAAAAATTGTTTTTGATTGTTACGAATCCTTGTGATTTTACGGCACGCCACTGTCTCCCAATGTCTCCCAAAGGTCTGAAATCTCTGGTTTTCTGTTCCGAATAATGAGGAAAATGCGGTGAATTGTTGCACTTTGCCAGTGAATTTCAGTTCTGAACGCAATTTTTGCAATTTTTTAGTCTCTGTGCTCAAAAGGATCGGATCATGCAGTTTTATCGATTTTTACTGTTATGAGGTAGAAAATGACGAAAATGGAATGCGAAGGCTTTTTGAGTTGCCTAGCCGTGGTTTAAAAAATACTCGAAAAAAGGCGAAAGAAAGCGCAACAAAAAAGAAAAATTGGGTGAAAAAGGTGTGTGAGAGAGAGAGAGCTCGTTTAAAATTTCCAAAGGGTCCGGCCACAAAATGCGAATGTGGTAGAGAGTCGAAAAACGAAAAATTCATAACTAAAATGTGTGGAAGCCACGCCCCCCACTTTCTGTGCGCGTGTTTATATTATATTTTTGACGAAATTTCATTCAATTTTAATGCGCTTTCTCAATTCAACAGAAAGAAAGAGAGAATTGCATTAATTCATTTTCAATTCAAACCATTTTATGTTTCGAATTTAGAATTTAGAATTGGAGGCGATAACTAATGAATAAAGCGATGTCCAAGGGGGTATTTGAAATTTTATGGGTTTTGGGGGTACTAGCACTTTAATGTGCTCTCTCTTTCTCTCTCTCTCTCTCTCTCTCTCTCTCTTTCGCTTTCCCTATGTTAATGTGTGGTGCACTTTTGAATGAAAAGAAAGAGGAAAAGAAAAGAAACGATGCACAGTTGCTGGGGACATTTCGCAACTAGAGAGACCCGATGAAATTGAACTTTTTTGACAATAAGACGTTTAGCAACTGAAGGACACTTTGCAACCAAAGAGTTATGAGACGCTTTGCAACTACTGGACAACTAGAGAACGCATTGGGACACAAATACAAGAGGACGTTTGGCAACTGAAGGACACTTTGTAGCTATTACACATTTCGGACACATTGCAACTAAAGGACCGCGAGACATTTAGTAACCAATGGACGTTTTGAAACCATCAGGATACTTTGCAACTACACCTTTAGTCTATAACCTTGAAACATTTAGGAAAACTGCAAACGCAATTTGCTGCTAACTGCATGTGGTTGCGAAACGTCTCTGGACGTTTTGCAACCGGAATTCTCGGTTGCAAAGTGTCCGAAAACCGAAAAAACCGACAAATTCGTGTAGAAAACCGTCAGAAAATGCGATTATTTCGCTACCAATCTCGCCAAGGCCACCCAGCCCATTTTGAAGAATGAAACGATTTCTTCCAAATATTTTCCATTTCTTTTCCGTTTTCGAAAACAATTTCCACAAAGTTTTAGCATCGTGAAAACCGGTTTTCGACTTCAATTTCATTCGGAAATTCGATTATTCTCTTAGGTACTGCAAAAAAAAAGGCGAAATTTTGTTTGTGCTGGGTGCGCTCACAAGAGAAAAATATGATATTATTTATACACACATTTCGCTTTTTTTTCAACAAAAATAGCAAGGAAATAGTGTGAGACGAGAGAAACGAGAACGAGAGAGAGAGAGAGAGCACACAAATGCGTTTTTATTATAAATGTATAATATTGTATATATATATATATTTATACATTCTCTATTTATTTAATATTATGTTTACACATTCTTGCAAAGCTCTTGGCTTCATTGTGCACAGCTATATGATTGAAGTTAAAACTAGCACAGCATTTTTTTTTACTATTAAAGGACCAGGGAACTTTCCGAGTCTCAGAGATACCTAAAAACGGAACAGTGCGCAGTAAAATTGTGGCCGTGGCCTAGAAAACAATATCCGCGTGCTCTTCTCGTAGTCTTTTAAGCTTTTTTTGGGAAAATTCAACAAAAAAACGTCGCGAAAACCCTGAGCTACCGTACTCTTTCGAAACTTTAAAGGCGCACGACGTGCCGGCCGACGGATGAGCCAAAAATGAACACATTTTGTTGAGCTGACACAGAAACGAAAAGAAGAATATGGGTCTCGACACGAAAATCAAAAAACAACAAGCAGAAACGATTTGTTGACGATGGAGAAGAAGAAAAAGGGAATTCTTCGAGAAGTCAAGTCTTTCTTCTAAATATAAACGCCCCCGCGCGCGCGCACGCATAATTGTAAAATAAAAATGGTTTACACAAAACCTTTCTCATTCTCCTTCTCTGCGTCTCTCCATTTTGCCAACTCACTCGCCCCAATCGTTTTTTGCGTTTTCTCGTTCATTATGCTGCCCCCGCGCGGGCGCAGACGTTTTTGAGTGAAAAAAATGGGCGGAAAAGAAGAAAGGGAGGAAATGGGGAAAATTAAGCGACAAAAAAAGGAAAGGAAGCCGGTTTGAATACAAAATGAGACAATTTAGTGCGAAATTATGGCCCGAAAAGTGATTTTACGGCCCGGCCGGCGTCGAGACAAGCCTCCAGCGCGTCTTAAAACGCTTTTATGCGTTCTGAACAGATTTCCGGCAAATTCGAGCGATCCCACCCTGCCGGCAAGAGATCCGTACTTTCCGGACGTCTTCGTGCCGATTTTGTTTAAAAGTTTCAGTTTTCGAATCGAAATCGACATGAGCAAGTGTGAAACAAACGCCCAGAAAAAGGTTACGGTACGCTGTCAAAAACTTTAAAGGCGCATAACGCGTCGGCCGGAAAACTTTAAAAGAAAAAGCAGCGGCGGCGCGCGCACGAATTGTGCTCAAAAGCGGCCAATTTGTGAGCCGAGCGCTCTGATTTTTAAGGAATCGAACAAATAAATAAATGAATGGGGGGCGAGGAGAAAGTGACAGAAAAAGGCGAGAAGGAGCGCGAGAGCAAATCGTTCGTTTATTTGATTGAATTCAATCTTTCCAAATTTGCTCAAAATGCCCACACCTTTTTTTTCGGCGGCGCAAAATTAGTTCCGGAATACTGGGGTCGGAGAAAAAAAAAGGTGTAATCTCATTTCGAAATCGCTTCATTTTTTCGGTTTTTCGAAACGCTAAAAAATGGCGATAAACATCTGCGAACTTTTGCGCGCGCGCGCGCCCGGCCGAAACGAATTTCGCTTTTCGAATATTATAAAACACATCATTCTTCTCACACACACACACAATTTGCAGACAAAAACAATGGAAATCGAATTTATGTAAAACGAATGGAGAAGACGCACAAGAAGACGGAAAGCGGAAGACGGAATTCCGGGAGGGTCGGAGAATTACGCTGAAAACCAAAGAAAGCGACATGTGTGTGTGTGTGTGTGTGCCATAGAAAATTAAAAATGTTATGCATAAATTTCGCCGCCGACTTTTCCCTCTCTCTCTCTCTCTCTCTCTCTCTCTTCCCACAAATATGCAAATGAGCGTCAATCTGTTGTGCTCCGAGGCGAAAGAGCCATAAATCCCCGAGGGTCTCGACACGAATTACAGTAATCGCGCTCATGTCAGTCGAAGGCTGTGAGAAAAAAGCGGGACGAAAAAAAAAAACTCGCCGCTTTTTTTGAGTTGTACATACACGCAGAAATGGACGGAAAGGGGAGGTGTGATAGGAATGTATGTATGAATAAATAAATGAATATTAAAATAAATATACAAAATGTTTGTCGTGTACAATTAGTGCTAGTGTGTTGACGTCTAGAATTAGAGAAAAATTTGAAAAGTCAATGTCTGTGGGCTCTCGCCGATTTTCGCAACTCTCACGTTTCGCAACCGAGCATTTCGCAACCGCTACGTTTTGAAAAAAATCTTCACGAAAATAGTAATAGACGCTCTTGATTTTAGAAGAAAAAGCGTCAGAATACATCCTCTGCCGTAAGAGTTGCGAAGCGTAACGGTTGCGAAACGTAGCGGTTGCGAGTCGTTCGGTTGCGAAAATCTCTGGCATTTCGTTTTTAATCTAACGACGGTCTAATAAGATTGATATGACACCTAATTAGATTAATAAATTGTCTAGCTAGATTAATAAATCTTCTAGCTAGATTAATCAGTGCTCAAATCAAGTTTCGCGCCAACCGTCTGCTGGCTCAAATCTCGAATGCGCCAAGAAAAAACAGTCGAATCTAATTAGGTCGCGTTTAAATCAATAACTTTCTAATTAGATTAATATCGAATTGCCAGAGAATGGTGAGTCTTTTTACCTCAGGCGTGCGTGAATTCCCATTGTTTTCCCGGTAATTTCTGTTGCTCGAGCGCTCAAAAAGCGTGCTTGTATTCACGAAACCAATTTTGTCTGAAAACGTTCGAAAAAATGCGCAAGTGCGCTTTCCTCCTTTCTCAAATCGAATTCTTGTCAAAAATCGGGTTTGTCGTGTCGAAAATAATAGGCAAATTTGATCCGTTTTAATTAAAATTTCGCAATAACCACGACTAGAGAGGGAAAGGGAAACGAAAGGAAGAATTAAACATTCAAATGAAGAACCGGTTGGCCAGGGCAAAAAATTTATCGATAAATTTATCGATAAACGGATTTTCCTCAAGTATACACTTAATATAAACAAAAATGCGAGCCGGAGAGAGAGAGAGAGCGCGCGAGTGAAAGAGATTAATGAATGGGGGAAGTTTATATACAAATAAAACGGTTGGATGCTAATGAGGCCGGGCCCGAAACAATCAAATCAACAATATATATGTATATATACTTATATTTATGTTATTAAGCAAATTCGTGGCGACAGATGGTCGAGTGAGCGCCTGCCGAAGCGTTTTATGGCCAATTCGCGGAGGAGGACGAGGCAGGCTTTAATGAATTTTGCACAAACACACGTGAAATCAAGAGTGACGTGTATTTTTGATGATTTTGACATGTGCGGACAAGGCAAAAGACAAAATTTCCATTCGGGAATCGAACCCGCAGTGGCATTTTCCGAGAACCGTCAAAGTGTTCCAAAGATTTCATGGCACTGTGGCTCAGCGAGTGAAGGGAATCGAACCCGCCGACTTTATCACGTGGAAAACATTTATTCTTCAATCATGACGAACCCGTAGTGAAAGCATGTGTGAATATAGTGTTATATTGTATGCAAACGCGCCACGGTCTCCAGAGCTGACAATATGGGCGTGGCCTCGGCGGCCAAATGGCGTTTTCATGAATTGAGCACGTTTTCTCTGATTTTTTTGGTCAACAGCGATGAAAAACGATTTTTCGACATGAAAACACAACAATTCTCGAGAATTAATGACGTTTTGGCGCATTTTTCGCATTTTTCGCGGACTTTGCTTTTTCACCTTCGCCGCCTAAAAATCGCATTTCTCATTTCGCGCTTTCTTGACCGTTTTCCGACAGAATTGGTTTTGAGAATGATAAATCACGTAAATACAAGCATTTTGAGCGCTCGAACCGCGAAAATTACCGAAAAGCAACTGAAATTCACGCAGTTTTAGCGAAAAACCTTCAAACGGACAAATGTGATTTGCGACTTGACCAAATTTAACGCTCTTGCGCTTAAAAAATTTGTAATAGCCTATTAAATCGGTCTATCGAGAGAAAAATGAGAAATTATCGGTTTTTCGTGGCGAATCTGGCAAAAAAACGCAAATTTTGCTGTTAAAATTTGAATTTCGCGCCAATGTATCGCTCTATTGGGCGGGGCGCACTTGCGCCGATTGTCAGCTCTGCAGACCGTGAAACAGCCAAAAAAAAGGTAATGTTGAGTTGAAAAACGGCGAGAAAAGACTAGAAAATGGTTCTATAACCCAGCAAGACGACCATCACAATGCCACTAGAAAGCGAATTGAGTAGGTGCGCGAGAGAAACAAAAGTGAGAGTCAATAATTGGAGATCAACTTGTGCGGGTGCAGAATTTTCGACGGTTTCATGCTCGCGAAGAGTCGCGATCGTTCCACCGATCGCCGCCGTTGTTTCGTGCTGTTCGGCGCCGTTCCGTTCCCGTTCCTCACTTCTCCGCTACTGTCTTTCGAGGTCCGACTTTCCGCCGACTGGGCACGATCTGCAAAAGTTCGTCGAGTCGGCAAAGTTTCCCCCCTTCGGCGGAAAAAAAAAATTTTCGCGCGCTTTTTTGAAAGCGGCTCTCAGTGTCGATTTACGGGATACGCTTTTTCAACTGAAAATGATGTTTTGCCGAGTTTTTGCGATTATGCACAGTTTTCCTTCAAAACGTTTGCCTCACGTTTGTTCATATGATCGATAGCTACAAAATGATCGTAGAGTGCACGTGTAAAAGTGACAATTCGAAGATTAATTTCGTTTTTTTTTGAATTCGGCTTGAAAAAACAAACTTTTTCGGAAATTTTGAGAAAACAGTTGACAGAATCAAAAAACAGTTGCCTCACGATTGTACAGCAGACAAAGGCGGTCATTTTGAGCACAAAGACGGCCCATAAAATGCAAAAATGACTAAGAAATTTCAGTTTTTGAGGATCCGGACTGAAAACTAATTTAAGGTCACAGCTGTCATTAACAATTCGGAAATTCTCTGTTTTACTTCATTTTTCTCTCATTTTCAGAAAAAAAATCCAGAAATTTCAGAGACCTGCTTTTGTTTTCAACGACACTCCGTTTTAACGCGGCGCTCAATTTAGCTGAAGCTGTTGGGGAGACAGTGGCCGACGCCGATGGATGAATGATTACCTCTCAAAGTGCCGGAACTACTGTCGTGTGAGCTGCTATTCTTGTCCAAACTAGTCGTTCTTTGCAAACTTCTCGCCGTATCATAATCAGTGTCACTACACTCGGCCTGAGCAATCGGAGCACGACCCTCTTCACCGCACTGCAAAAGTAATCGATAAATGCGAATGATTAGTAGGTGTGTGTGTGTGTGTGTGTGAGAATTAGATGAATTATATGTAGAATCTAGCAAAAAAAATGTTAGTCAAGTTACGAGTACACTTACGCCAACCTGATATGTTTAGACGTTTAGGATTCCTAAAAAATAATGCCTCATCTTTAAAAGACTGTATCTCAAGAACCAATCGTTATTTCAAAAAGTGATCAACTGTAAAAATGTAGGCAATGTTTTGCTCAACAACTTTGCAATTGATCATGTTTCTCGACAACGTACCTATTTTGAGTTACAAGACAATTTCTGAACAAGGTCAGCAAAAAACCTCTTTAGACTTTAAAGGACTGTATCTCAAGAACCAATGATTTGTTAGAAAAGCGATAAACTACAAAAATGTTGGAAATGTCATGCCTAACAACTTTCTAGTTTAACATTTGTCCCCATAATGCACCACTCTCGAGTTACAAGACAGATTGCAAACAGTGCGCTAGAAAAGGGCTACGAGTTCTAGTAGAAACGTACCGTACGAATTTTGTCGTGTTGTAGTCTTCTCAGACTCGCTTTTTTCTGATCGATCATCTCGTACAACCGGTTACGGTAATCGTCGATGGTCAGCTGAATGTGGTCCGGAAGTGGCGGGTAGACTTCGTACGGGAGCACGGGCTCCTCCGACGGATTGTGGAATTGGACGACGTACGGATGCACGAGACATTGCTCGACGTTCAGTCGCTTTTGCGGAGCGAAGATGAGCAGTCTGAAGAGAAGCGAAAGTTCGGCCACCACGGCCACCACTACTCACCTCTGGATCATGTCGATCGCGGCCGTCTGGTTCTGGCTGATGATCAGATCCAACGGCTTGCGCGGTCTTTGGGGCATCTTCTCGAGGACGCTCTGCGCGTAGTGACTATTGATGCTCTGAATGTCCGAACGGGACGGCTTCGCGATCGTGTTCATGATCCGCTCGATCTGGTTGATCGTCGACGAGCCGGGGAACAGCGCGCGGCCTGCAGAACACGGGCGGGTTTTGTATGTACATTTCGAGCGCCCAACTCACCGATGAGCATCTCTGCGAGAATGCATCCCAAACTCCACATATCGACACCCTTCGTGTACCTCTTCGCCGCCAACAAAATCTCGGGACTACGATACCAGCGCGTCGCCACGTACTCGGTCAAATCGGGCATCTTCTGACCCTCCGGATAGTCTTCTAGCTGCAACAAATTCGCCCGATTTCTGGGTTTTTTATGTGGGCTCCGTACCGATGATAAGCTGCGCGCGAGTCCGAAATCGGCCAATTTCACGCGACAATCCGCGTCCAACAACACGTTCGACGGCTTCAGATCCCTGCAAAAAAGGACAAAATTGGGCGGCGGAAAATGCGGCACTTCCGTCGGCAAAAAAAAAACCGGAAGTAGTTCCGGTTCTTTTTCTTTTCGCACTTGCACGTAATGACGTGGTTTAGGATAGTCTAGTCTGGATGGGGCTGAGATTCAAGAATTGACAAAGTTACAGTGACTGCACTTTGGGTGACTCTACTTACAAGCGCTACAGTATGTTTCGAAGTGGTTGTACAGAAAAGTTGTCAACAACAAAATTGTAGTCCTTAACTTGCTTTTTATTTTTGTAGTTGACAAATTTTTAGTACATTGACTCCTAAGCCTACTGTAGCTCTTAGAAGTTATGACTACTTGATGCAAGTTTTGAAAGTAACTTCCTTACTTCCATGAGCTACAGTACTCTCAAGAGTGATCATACAGAAACATTGTCAACTACAAAAGTATAGTACACACCTTGAACTATAATTTTGTAGTTGACAACTTGTTCATACAGTCACTTCGAAGCCTACTATAGCGTTTTGAAGTTAGTACACTCATAACACTTGCTGAGAGCTAGTCACAACTTCAACGTCCTACCGTACACTTAGAAAAAAGTGGTCAACTAGTAAAATATAGTTTGAGACATGAACATTTTTTAAAAAAACTTTTTAGCTTTACCTGTGCAGCACATTTCCAGAGTGCAAAAATCGAATGGCTCGGAACAGTTGACACATAATATACTGTTTATGGACATCTTTCAGTATCGATCCCTTCTTGATCACATTATGCAAATCGGCTTCCATAAACTCGAACGCCAAGTAGATGTCTCTGAAAAACCCGCGCCGGATTTTTCGGGTGGAGCGCACTTGCATACCTGTTATTGTCGGCCCGAAAAATGTTGTACAACTTGATGACGTTCGGATGCTTTCCAAACTCTTGCAAGAACATCACTTCGCGGAACGTGCGCTGCGAATCCGTCGGATTTCGGAACGCGTCGAAAATCTTTTTCAGCGCCACAATTTCTCGCGAACGCTTGTCGAACGCCTTCCAAACGATTCCGTAGGCGCCTTTGCCGAGACGTTTCTGAAAGGATTTGCAATAGTTTTCAAGCGGTTAAAGGACCAGGGAACCCAAAAATTTTTTGATTTTTTTGTGCAATTTTTTTTGTGTCTGTTTGAATTGTCTCTTATTGCCACTCATACACTGGTGAAATGCTGCCTCTCAAAAATGCCAATGAACGAAACGGCGTGCAGTTGAAGTTGTGGCCGTGGCCTAGCGCCAATGGCCTAGAAATATGCGCTTCTCGGCCATTTTATTTTTTCCGCTTTTTTACCGATTTTTTCGCGATAAAATCGAAAAACTCGCGACTTCGTGTATCGACTGAATGAAAACAATTTTTTAGCAGTGAAAAAATAAGTAAGTGCCGAACAAATGTCAATCAACTGAAAAATGGGAGAAACCGTGACATTTTTGGAAAAAAAACCGGTAAAAAAGCGGAAAAAATAAAATGGCCGAGAAGCTCATATTTCTAGGCCATTGGCGCTAGGCCACGGCCACAACTTCAACTGCACGCCGTTTCGTTCATCGGCATTTTTGAGAGGCACCATTTCACCAGTGTATGAATGGCAATAAGGGACAATTCAAACAGACACAAAAAATTTTTTGGGTTCCCTGGTCCTTTAAGCACCGAAAAAGTACAAACCTGAAGGTCGAACTTTTCGTGAATATGCGCGTCCACATCGTCGGTCATCTCCTCCGGCTACCCGTGTGGCCAGCTACAAACGCACACGAAAAAGTGAGCAAAGGAAATCGATTGGGAAAGAGAGAGAGAGAGAAAGAGAAAAAGAGTGGGAGGGGGCAACTTCCATGGTAACCAAGCAGATCGGAGACCCAGAGACGGCAGCCAAGCGGAAAGTGCGTGCAAGCACGTTTTTCTGAACTTTACGGGCTCGCGGCGGAGCGTGTATATGTGATCTTTGGGTGTACTTGAATAATATTAGATAGTTTGACACTTTTTGCCGTAAAAAATGTACAATAGCAGCCGGAACAGTGGAAACACTAAGTTGAAAAGAATAGATTGACTTTGAACGAGTATTATATGAGTATTATACATGGTTTATATAAATTTCAATAGTTTTTTCGAAATCGCCATCTCTGGTACATGATTTTCATAGTTGAACGTTTTTTTCTACGACAATTTCTAAAGGTACTGTACTGGACTTTAAAGTTACGAGTAGCCCAGTAGGCGTTTTAAGTGTGCCAACTTACAGAGCGCTACAGTAGTCCAGGGAGTGGTTGTACGAAAAAGGTGTCAACTGCAAAAATGTAGTACTAGACGTGTTCTATAATTTTGTAGTTGACAACTATTTTGTACTATCACTCCCAAGCCTACTATAGCCGGCCAAAGTTGGTCAACCCCAAGCACTGTTGGTAACAAAAAACACATCTTCAATATCTAATACCGCCAAAAAAAAAAGTTGTGACTCATTCTAAGCTCCCACACAAAAAGGATTTCTTGTGAAAAGCATAATAATCTGCTTGACGTCAATCTTGAGGTACGTAAATGCGGATGACAACTTGTCCCCCCGGTTTCCTCTCAAAAAAAGACGGCTAAATTTAGTCTTGAGACTAGAGGTCGTTTCAGTTGGGTGTTATGGAACCTCGGAGCTCATATACACAACTGGAACTCGACGGATCCTTTACAAACTTTTCAGGCATGATCTTGGTATCCTATATGGTCAAACTTTGAGGTTCCGTCCGGATTTATTGATACTGGCCACACCTGTCTGCCCTTTAGACACTTTCAGACTCTCTCTCTCTCTCTCTCATGTTTCGGCGCGCATACGGCTCAATGAGCACACATTTCAGGAGAGCATTTGGACGACTGGTCCCAACCTGATCATAGGCCAAAAAGCAAAAAAGGGAGGAAGGGGGGGAAAAGGGAAGGCAAATCAAAAGATATAGGAAAGAATCTTTGGGGGGCGTGATAATCTCAATGTTTTTGCGCGCCCGTGGATTAGATTTGAGCGAGAGAGAGAGAGAGAGAACGAAAGCTGATATTATAGCGAAAATAAATATAATCGAGAAAACGACATTGAGTGGAGAAGGAAGTGCGGCGAATTGGGAGTCAGTCGATTGGAAACTCGCCGAAAAGTTCAGAGAACATGTGACGTCACAGAGCTATATTGATTGGATTAGGCATTCGAATAACTATTAGTAATCGACGAAGAAGCCGCGTTATAAGCCGTTACAAATCGGAAAAAAATTTGGAAACTTTTGTAACCAATTTTTACAAATACAACCTCAAACTGCTCTAAATGACCGCCTTATTCTATGATACCAACCAGAGTTGAGCGGAATTCCGTCTTCCGTCTTCCGTCTTCCGTCTTCCGTGGATTTTTTTGTTCCGTCTTCCGGGAAAAAAGTTTTCTTCCGTCTTCCGTCTGCCGTCTTCTGGGAAAAAGTTTTTTTCCGTCTTCCGTCTGCCGTCTTTCGGGATTTTTTCTTCTTACCGTAAAAGAGTAATAGCTTTTCAGAAGCCATTTACTAGCCCCGAAGAACGCGAATTTCCACGGGCAGTGACCCAGATCCAAAATTTTTGTTGCTTTAGTTATTTAAAAAAAAACTGGAAAAAAAGGTTCTGCATTGACGATTTTTTTCTTCCGTCTTCCGTTTTCCGTGTTCCGTAAAAAAAAATTTTCTTCCGTCTGCCGTCTGCCGTCTGCCGTCTTCCGGATTCCAAAATTCCATTTCCGCTCAACTCTGATACCAACCCAAACTACTTGCCTACGGAGTGCAGCAGAGTTGAGCGGAAATGGAATTTTGGAATCCGGAAGACGTAAGACGGAAGAAAATTTTTTTACGGAAGACGGAAGACGGAAGAAAACCTTTTTCCCGGAAGACGGAAGACGGAACAAAAAAACACGGAAGACGGAAGACGGAATAAAAATTTTCTTACGGAGGACGGAAGACGGAAGAAAACCTTTTTCCCGGAAGACGGAAGACGGAAGAAAACCTTTTTCCCGGAAGATGGAAGACGAAAGACGGAACAAAAAAAACCACGGAAGACGGAATTCCGCTCAACACTGGAGTGCAGCCAAAGTATGGTTACAGGCGGTTCAAACACGAACGTAACTTCACGAACAGTGATCGGATCAAGATGGAACTCTCACGCCAGCATCCTCAAATGTTCAAGTGGGGGGTAGTGAACACAAATTCCCGACAACTGCCCTTTTTGTTTTTAGGGATACGGGTGCGGTGTGTCGCTAACAACAAAAAACCGCGTTTTTGAGTATGCCCGACATCCTGAGAACAAAATTCGCTTTGATAGTTAGTTACATAGCAACGCTTAGAGACAATTAAGATAAAAGTTGTGGCCATACTTTGGCGGCACTGTGTAGTAGCGTTGAAACCGGAGAAATTTGGGAGATATGCAGAACGTAATAGTAATAATAAAAAAAGGAACGAAATGTATGGATGATGGCAGTGGTGAATAGCAGGTAATTAGGAAAAAAACGAGGGGACTGGTTGTCTAGTAGTTTTCAGCCATTCGCATTCTCCCACAAGTGCAAACATTGTGGGGGAGGAACGAAACGACGGCGTCGGAATGAATATGCAGGTGCCAGTACCCGGGGGCCCCAACAAAAAAGGTGGGGGGTGGTAAACGATGTGACGGAGAAGAGGGCGAGTGAGAGAGTGTCTGGACTCACCTGGCCTCACGGAGCACACACACGCATGCACACGCATGCACACGCATGCACACTTCTGGAGCGGAAGAGTCAATATTAATGTGAATGGAGGATGAAGAGGTGAGGAGAGAGAAGCTCCGCCGGAAAAAGAAAATGGATGGATGGATGGAATATTTATGTGTGCATTTGCAAACACATACACACCTTTGCACACGGATCCCCCCGGAATTTTTGATGGCCTTTGTGAGAAATGAAGGAGTCGGAAACGGACGTCCGTTTCTTCTTTATTCTCTCTATACCTTGGAAAGAATATCGCTTTTTTTTAAGGCTTATAGCTGATATTCTCGGTGGGTCTCGCAAAAAAGAACGGAAGGAATGTTAGGACGTTTTGCAACCATGACTACTTGGGATCTTGCAATAAATTGATCGTGGGACACTTTGCAACTGTTTTAACCTTTTAACTGCTACGAATACATACGCTACGTTTGTAGTCTTCTGTCTGGTTGCAAAGTGTCCAGTTGCGAAACGTTTTGTCATGAACATAAGACATTTTGCAACCAGACTCTCCGGGTGACGTGACGGTTGCAAAACGTCCACTAACAAATTCTCGCGCCACGTCGATTCGCACGGCCATCGCGTGTCGATGTTGGACAGAAAAGAAGCCTAGCGAAAAGAGGATTAGGAGGAGAACGAGAGCCCTCCGGAAGAAGAAGAAGAAGAAGAAGAAGAAGACGGAGCGGCCAGGTGGGGGGTGTTCCGGTGCTCGCACACCGCCAGGCACCATGACGACCGACTTAATTGCACCCGCCCGCGACTAGGGGTGTATAGCCGAGGGGGGGGGAACATTCGAAAGACGGACATGATGTAGACATTCTGTTTTTGAGAAGTGTGGGGAAAGTGAACAAACCCGGCGTTCACTTTCATTTATTTGCCTTGTACTGAAACAAAAAGGCATGCAAAAGTATCACAAAAGAAGGACCCAGAGAGATTAGTTACTGCTCAAAAATGAGCAAATGTTCGTCATTGCCCAGACGCATCGTCTGTCTCATCTCCGCAATCACCATTCCCGTCATCGCCCTCGCCGATGCCATCACATCGTAATCGTCCTCTTCCAGACCGCCCGGTTCATGCTCTTTCACATCCGTACTTGCTTCGTGTTTCCTCGGAATGTGCGGCACCCTTTGAACACGTTCTCTTGCCTGAAAATGAAAAATCAATGTACCGCGCTAAACAAAACCCTCCGTACCTTTGCCAATGAGTCCTTAATCAGAAACCCCTTGCGTTTCGACACAATCGAGGTGGCGATGCTTCCGGGCGGATGGGTCCGTCTCGAGTACATCCCCCGATCCACTTCCTCCGCTTCCCGCACCGCTTCTTGAATCGACGTCACCAGCTTCTTTTGGCTCCGAGTCTTGACTCCGTACGGCTCTGGAAGTCGTTCCGGAACGGGCCTTAAAGGTCGGCACGTTCTCTGACTCTTGCTCTTTTCTCGTTTCTCCTCCTCCTGCTCAATTCGCTCGAGCTCCGCCATCACTTTCACATTGAATTCATCGCTGACTTCTCGTAACTTCCTCCCCAAATTCCGTACGATTTTCCGCTCATTAACGTCCGAAAATTCATTGGCAAGTTTTGAGATTTCTCTCGAAATCGTATAGAACAGTCGGCAGAGGCGATTGGCAAAAGAGAGCGACGCGCGCGTGTCCACGGAGTTTTGGCTGGAAAAAATCGATAAATTAAGGGGGGAGTTTTTCTCACCTCTGAAACTTTTTCCCGTACGCTTTCAGTACTTGAACAAGTCGTCGACATGCTGCGCCGATTCTGAAATAAAAAGAAATTTCGTGGCGTTTTCTGCCGATTTTTGTTGTGCATCGCGGTGTTTGCACACGGTGCCAACTACAATAACCCGTCACTCACTGCACTGCGATCGTGTCGACGCCCGCCTCTCGCACCGCCGTATTCGTCAGCTTCTCCACTTTCAGACCCGCTTCGAACAGGGCCGACGCGTCTCGATTCGAAGAAGTGCTCTCGATGCAGAGCACACAATTCCGCGGGTCTACTGCAAAAATGTTGTTGTCATGCAATCCCGCTCTTTCGCGGGGAAAAACTGCGCGACAGTTCGCAATTTGAACACTTTCGTACCGTTTTCCTCAAACGTTGTCACTACAAACTCGATTGTGGCCGTTAGTTCGCCGACCGCCGTTTGGAGCGAACTGATGCCGTGGCAGGAGGTGGACGGAGCGGCGCTCTGAAAATAGAGGGGTGTAAATACGCTCTACCGCACTTTTGGAAAGAAATTCGAAAATTGCACATTTCTACTCCATTGTCGCTTAATTTCCGTCAGTGTTCGCGCTTTTTGTTAGGCTTTCGCTGAAGATTACAAATTACCTGATGTCTCTCCAACTGCTCGGCCACTTTCTGCTCCCAGAGCTCTAAAAAAGCGGGCTCGCGGAGCAAGTACTTGATTGCCAGTTGTGAGGCGCGTTCCAACGCGACTTCTTCTTCCATCTGCTGCAAAAATTGGCGAAAAACATTAAATAAGCAAAATTAGACAAGGATTCGATATTATGGATTCTACCTTGCTAACAATTGGAAGAGTGAGAAAAAAAAAACAGTTCTTATAGCAAAAATCACAATTTCAAATATTCACAAGTCAAATTTATTCCTCATTTTTCTCTTCCGTCTCCTCTTCTTCTTCCTCTTCGTTTTTGATGGCTCTCGGCAGAAAATCCAATTCTGGCCACGTTTCACAGAAGATTCGACGGCACTGAAAAGCGAAACATTTAAAAAAAACCGGTGGTTTTTAAGCTCCGCCCATTTCTTGATAGATTTTTACACTATTTCGTTCAACGAATTAAGCAAAATGAACAGAGAGCATTCAAAAAAGTTGATAACACTGGGAAACTAGCACAAAAACCGGCGTGCCTCATCGATAACATGCGCGTAGTGAATGGACGGTTCGACGGGCGGCGCAATGATCACATTGGCGGGCAGATGCTCGGCGGAGGTGTCGAATTTCAGCGAATTGGCGGTGAAGCTCATCTTCCAGTACGGGTGCACTTCTGCAAACAAACACCTCGGTTCGTTCAGAGCATTCCGAGCTCACCGTTCTGCTCGAAAATGCGCTCGACGACAGTGCCGACGCTCGTCTCCCCTTCCTGCGTTCCGGTCGCGTGCACCAGAACTGAAGACATGAAAAATTGACTACTTTTAGCTCAGACACCAAGAAAAGCAAGCAACTCTTCCAATTCGCAACCTGCCGTTTCGCAACTTTTACGTCCGCCACGCAGCCTTGTTTTCATGTTTCTCTTCCAAACTCAAGCACATTTTTTTTATCAGCTTGTACATAAACGACTGTGAATCCGGTTGCGGAGTTGGTTGCGAAACGGCAGTCTGCGTATCGTTGGGCTGTCTGTAGTGAGAGCCGTTAATCGAACAGTGCTTTCTTTTTTATCGCAAATGGTACAAATGGTACAAACAACGTACAATGTCCTCTCGGGGCCGTGCACGCCTCGAATCCGACTTCGACTATTCGAGAAATGGCGGCTTCCGGTCGAAGAGAAGCGAGGTTGATCAGTGTGAGCTAAAATATTCGGGGGGTTTGCCAGAATCTCATCATTTGAAAAACACAATCGAAAAGGTAAAAATGAAAATGTTTGACTCAAAAGCCGTAAAATAGCCTCTCCAACCTGTTCTTTCTGGCTCTCCTTGACGGATTTCTCGGTGGCCCACACATTTCTCTCAATCTTCACACATTCCTTAACGGGAACTCCGTCGGGCACGAACCGATTCGACATGATGACGTGGCGACAGTTGACGCGTTCCCCGTTCGCCACCACCGCCACCACCCGCGATCCCTCGGTGATCAGTGCCTGCACGGGCCGTCCCAGACAATAGAGACTTCCGAAAACGGCGGCGAGTCGGCAGAAGCACTGCGCGAGTTCTCCGCATCCGTACAGAGGGAAAAGGAAGGGCGAGGGACCAAAGTGGCCGACAGAGTCCATGAATTGGCACGCGGCGAGCATTCCCGCGTGCGCACTCGGCCGCGCCTCCAGAATTCCGATCGTGTCGATTATGAATGATTGAAGCGTCCCGTTCATGCCCATTTTCGCGAGAAACTCTCCGAACGGGCGGTCCGCGTGCTCGCCGAGCAGTTCGCGTCCTTCCGGCTCCGGCTTTCCGCGCCATTGTGTGCAGAATGTGATGAACTTCATGAGGGCTCGTTTCTCCAGAATGCTGCAATGAAAAAACAAAGGGTAAGCAAATTCGCTCTGTCGCATATGACGCAAAATCGCTTACGAGAGCACAGAACTCTGAAATATCTCTCCTTTACTGCACGGCACCGAGTTCAGAGTGATTTTCTCGGCGTTTTCGTCGCAATTCCCGACTGTCGGACACAATTGACGGTTGATCAGTTTGAATTCGGCGTAGTGCGATACTTGCGAATCGCACAGCGTTTGCACCTGCAAAAATTGGGGTTTTTACAAGAAAATCTGCGAGTTTCAGTATTTCCGCACCATGGATCCCTTGGAGAGCAGCACTTTGGGCACGAGATCGATCGAGAACCGTCTCATCTCTTTCTGTTCCTCCAGTTGTTCCCTTATTTCATCGCGAATCCACTCCATTTGAATGTCCTCCACAACTTGTCGATTTCCCAACTCCAAAAGGGTCTCGCCTGCGCGCAAGTGCTCTTTTTCGACCGTTTCTCGTTGTGCTTCCGTCATTTTCGAGCCTTCCGTCGTCGCTTTCGCCTCGTGGATCATCGTCATCGTGAAAGAGGACCACTCGCCGCCGTAATGCTCGTTGCGGTCCAAATGGAGCACCGAGAGCCCAGCGCGCGAGCACGCCGACGCCAGAATCGCCTCCGGAAGGCCCGTGCCGAGTACGATCACGTCCACCGACTCCGGAAGTTTCTCGTCCATTCTGCAACTGGAAATTCGTCTTTTTTGAGCTGGAAACTCGCAGAATACGAGAAAAAACTCATTTACGGGTTGATCTTTTCAGTTATCGACCAGAAATGTTCACTTTCATTACGTCAATAGCAAACACTTTCAAATTTGCGCCGGATTTGCACTTACGCATCTTGAATTGTTAAAAATACGAAAAAGGAGGTGTTCAACCTTTGAAACTACCAAAAGCCGATCAAAAACCTCAACATTTTCATTGATTTTTCGATAATCGGGTGCAAATGTGTGATGATAATATAGTCAACAAAAAAAGGACAAATTTTAGAGATTAATTACAAACGGCCAAATTTTGTTGAAAGACACGTATTGAGGTATACGGTGGGCATCTAGACGACTAGTGATAATGGCCTAAAATATATGGACGGAAATATAAAACCAGTGTTTTTGAGTCCGAGAAACCGAGAAAAATAGTTATTTTTGCACTCTATCGCTCAATTTCTGGTGATTTTGCGCATAGAAATGTGGAAAAGTCGGCTTTTTAGCAGATTTCGCGGAAACTTTCCACATCTTTTCCTTGATTTGCACACAAAAAATTGGGAAACTTGAGCGATAGAATGCAAAAATATATAAAAAAGTTATCGATGATAGTGGCGATGCGGTCGGAGACGTTCGTAGAAGAGCATGTAGCTCTGGCAGGCGGCGACGGTCGAGTACGGCACACGGGACACCTGCAAACGGGCAATTCAGAGGGGGGTAGGAGTAATGAGCCTCGGTTCGGCCGACGGGAAATACGCTGCCGAAAACGATAATTATATACGCTCGGGGGGGCCAAGGAAATTGGAATGGAAGCGATAGGAACAACAGCTCTCTGAGCATATATTACAGGTAAAGTCAGCAAGCGAAACCAAGCAAATCACCTGTGCATCGCTAGTGTAGAACCATGAATGATGGTTGGGTGCGGCCGCCCGTCTGTAGGTGACAAAGTGTCCCGAGTAGGGTCCTCCGCGGTGCTCACTCACCGCCCGCAGCTGATACGCGTACTTTTGCGTCTCCCGACGGTCCGCCACAAACGATCCGCCGCTGAAAAACGCATCGTTTGCTTCGCATTCGATTGCGGACGCCTACTCAATGAGGGAGTAGCTGTGTCCGACGTCTCCGTACCCGTTCGAAGTGCTCCCTCCGCTCGTCGCATGGATCGGAGACTGTCGGCTTCTCGTCTCTTCCGCACCGCCCAACACTCGCGACGTTCCGTCCGGCAATTGCCACCGATTCGACTGTTCGTACGCGTTCTGAAGGTGAAACCGAGAGTTTCGCTAAGAAAACAATGCATTTTCGCGGCGCGCACTTGCCCACCAACCTGATTAACGCGTGGGTTCTTCCTGAAACAAACGTCCTGCAGAGAGAGACAGTCGCCAAAGTTGACGTGCTCGGAGAGTTTCATGGATCCGTGCGGGAGCATGCCGACCCGTTCGATGCGGATCATCAGGGTCTGCGGCAGTTTCACGATTCCGTGCTTCTTCAGGAAGCCCGTCTGTTTGCGGTCCGCCGCTTTGCACTTGTCGCACGTCGCGTCGCGGATGATTTCCGAGCAAAAGTAGCGGCGGAGCAGCGCCTCCGTGTTCGTCTGGGTGCCCATTTGCGAGTTGGGGATGGCCAGAGTCAGCACGGTGAACGATTCGTACTTTATTGTCTGAAAATTGACAAATTTCGGGCGCAAAACTATAAAAATCACGATTTACTCGATATACTTACTCTATATCCGCACGCAGAGTTGCAGCACCGGAACTCCGTGGCGGTGAGGCCCATGCACGGCGGAATGAGGCCCGCGTCGATTTTCGCCATCGTAGCGCATCTGAAAATTATTGGGCAAATTGATCGAATTGAATAGTCGGCAAGTGCGCTTCATCGTAGTTTTGACGGGAGATTCAAATATTTTAGGGTGTTGGGGATTTAAGGTTTTGAATTGTGTGATGCTTGATTGATAAATGAGTATTACATTTGAAAGATATATGCAGAAGTGCACAGAATTCTACTTTTTTGTTGCATTTTGTTCGAATGAGGTGTTCTAGAGAACCCAACCTAATCGCGCCGTAAGAAACGAATTGCAATTGTGTTCTCATCGACAGAACATGGCCATGAACAACGAGAAAAACAACCGAGAATCGAATGTTTCGGGTTTCGCAGCGATGCGACAAATTTGAATTGAGTGCGCGCGTCGCGGTGTTGTTTATCTCGTTTTTCTGTGTATTGTGCGAAAATCGTTTGCTTTTCTCAATCAAAAATTCACCTCTGAAAGCTCATCAACTTTCTGACAATGCTCGGCGACGAGGAGGCGCTCGAAGTGGGTGGAGCCTCTTCGGAACTGCTCTCCAGCGAATTCTCAATCGATTGATGCTTGAGCGTGTGTCGCGATGTCTTCAACTCGTCCTCCCACGTGGTCACAAACACGTTGAACAACTCGAAAAGGTCGTGCTCGACTCCGATTGTGATGTTCCAGCCGTGCGCGGACAGCGCACGAACGATCGGAATGGCGGTGAGCACGCCGCCGTGCGATCCGTTCATTTCCGTCAGCAATTTTGCGAGTTGCTCCACAAATCCGCCCGAAATTCCCATTTCGCTAGTTTTGAGACTTTTTAGCCAGCCGACAAACGACGGGCAGCTTGCGAGGCCTTGTAGAAGAGAGTTCATGTAGCACGTATTGCCCTGATTCACCAGTCCTGGCACCAATTTGCTCCCGGAGTCTGAAAATTTCGAAAAAGTTAGAGTTACCCGAAGTGTTTCCGATGTTTACCATTTTCAATTGATTTACTCGTCAAAAACACGTAGGTGACAGCAGCGGCAAGTGTTCCACCGAACAAGGTGCTCGCGAGAATTGCCTGTAATCAATTTTAAGCGTGAAAAGTGTAACGTTCTGTACCTGCGGCGAATATTCCCTCAAATCCATTAGTAAAGGGATGGGAAGCGTGAGAAGCGCAACGAATACGCTTAGGAAAAAAGCGTTGACATCGATTTGAGACAGAATTTTTTCTGAAAAATTTAAATTTGAAGCAAGTTTCGTGCAAAATGCTCGAGAATGAGTAGAAAATCGGTAAAATTATGCAATTTTCGTTCAGTTTAATGCTGGCTGTGTATTTCTGACGTGATGGTGTTCGCAGACATGGCAGAGGAAGCACGCGGCCGCTAGGCCGTGTACTCCCGGTGGAGAAGTAGAATTGCTTTCGAAATTCAAAAAATTGCTTTCAGAAAACAAGATGAATAATCTGGTTGCATACGATGCCGACAGTGATGACGAGTCACCGCGACGACGATCCAGTGATGGTTTGTATGGTTTTCAGGAAATTTCTTATAAACCAACAATTTCAGCTGTAAATTTCGCGAAAAATGCCGAAGAGAAACGTAAAAGACGCACATCCGACGCGTACGACGATGATGAGGACGTCGACGTGTCACCGCGCAGTGAGACGAGCGACGGAATGACCGAATTCGTGGAACCGCCGCCGCCGAAACGCGAACGCGACGATTCCGCATCGCCGGCCGCGTTCCGCACCCCACAAATGGCGATGCCGCACACGAGCTCACAGGCCTCGCTGGTCTCTTATTCCGGCGACGGCGACGACGACGATCAGGAGATGAACGGAAAACTGAATCTTTTGCCGGAAAGCACGCCCGCCTCGGAGCTCCACGAACCGGCGCCGCCGATCCGGCAAAGCGAAGACTCGGAGAGCGACGAAGAGCAAAAATTGATCGATCTGGCGATCCGTGAGGGGAACGCGGCGATGAGCAGACGCAACGAGCAGGAGGGAGCCGCGTCGCCGGCCGATTCGGAGACGCCCGGACGCGAAATGGATTCGATGCAAATTCTGGAGGAGGACACGACGGAAGAGCTGCGGATCCCACCGCCGCCCGACGTGGAGGTCAATCCGGCGATCGTGGCGCGATTCGAGCACGCTTTTCGGCAAAAAGCCGGCGGAACCGATCTGAATCAGCAAATCCAGGGCAACCAGCAGTACAACAACCCGATGAGCTACACCACTTTCATCGAGGCGTTCGATATCGATGAGAAAGGCGAGTCTTCCCTATTTTTCTCGAAAACATTCAAAAATTTCCAACTTTCAGGTACAAATTTCGCGAGAAACATCTTCGATCCGCACTGTTTTCCGGAAAACTGCTTCTACGACGCGATTGCCGAAGAGCAACGCAAATTGGAGCCCGTGAAGAAGAGCAGCAAGTGAAGCACCTCGATTTTTGATAAATAAATTATTTTTACCTGTCATTCCCTGTCGTTTTTGCAAAGTTTCGCGTCCTTTCCATATTGTTGCCCTAAAAACCCGATTCCCCTCCATTTTTCCCCCTCAGATGTCCTCGTACCATCCGGGACACGGAAACCGAGACCCGCGGCGGTCGAATGCTCCGGCGCGACGTGGATTCAAGCGTCCGGACGACGCCGCCGACGTTCCGCGCACCGGACCGCTCGTTTTCGAGGAGCGAAGCAGCGAGACGAGTGCGCCGCCCGTCGAGGAGCACCTTCAAGTGCACAACAATCCATACGCGTCGCTAAACATTCAACAGCAGAGGATACGGCTGCCCATCTTCAAAGTAATCGATGATTTTCCGCTTCAGATTCTTTTTCTGAAAAAATCTTATGGTGTTCGGCTGTTTTTCCACTCAACGTGCTGTAAAACGCGCTTTCTAATACCAAATTGTTTGTTTTCCAGCCTAAAACAGAGTCAGACCAAAAATCGTTTTTAAAAACTCGAAATTTTGCAACACCCAAAAATCTTTTTTTATTCCAGAATCGTGGTCACATTCTGTACATGTGTGAACGCTATCGAACAGTGATAATAGTCGGCGAGACGGGATGCGGAAAGAGCACTCAAGTGCCGCAGTTCCTGCTGGAAGCGGGATGGGCGGCCGACGGACGGCAGATTGCGATCACGCAGCCGAGGAGGGTGGCCGTCGTTACGGTAGGCCGGGAAATTCTAGGCCACGGAAACACAAATCAGAAAAACTTTACAGTTGGCGACCCGAGTTGCCGAGGAGAAGGATTGTATTCTGGGGCACGATGTCGGGTATACGGTGCGATTCGACGACGTGTCCGACAAGGACACAAAAGTGAAATTCATGACGGACGGCCTGCTGCTCCGCGAGATCCTCGTCGATCCGTTGCTCTCCCGCTACAGCATCATCATGATCGACGAGGCGCACGAACGGTCGTGCAACACGGACATCCTGCTCGGACTGCTCCGAAAGATCATGCAGGTCCGCAACGATCTGCGGATCATCGTCTCGTCGGCCACACTCGACGCGCAGCTGTTCAAGGACTTTTTCGAAATGAACGAGAGCGAAAATGCGGAGAAGGACACGGCGGCGATCATTTCGGTGGAGGGAAGAACCCATCCGGTGGCAGTGCACCACACCAAAACGTTTGTGAACGACTTCTGACCCAGTTGTGGTATTATTATGGAACTGTGGCCGCGGCCACAAGTCCAAAAGACCACGCCTTGCCCTAGAAACAAGCCCCTCATTTTCAGTTCGGTGCCAGACTATTGCCAAGCGGCCGTGGACACTGTCCTCAACATCCACAAACACGAGATGGCCGGCGACATTCTCGTCTTCCTGACCGGACAGGACGAAGTGGAGGACGTGTGCGAGAAGCTTCGCGACGCCTCGCAGTCCCTGCGCAACGTCGACCGTCTCTGGGTGGTCCCGTGCTACGGAGCCCTTCCGGCACGCGAGCAGATGAAGGCGTTCGACTCGACGCCCTATGGAACACGAAAAGTGGTCGTGGCGACGAACATCGCCGAGGCATCCATCACGATCCCCGGCATTTGTTACGTGATCGACACGGGATTTGTGAAATTGCGGGCGGTCAATTCGAGGCACGGAGTCGAGAGTCTGATGCGAGTCACCATTTCGCAGTCGTCCGCCGAGCAAAGAGCCGGAAGAGCCGGACGGATCCGTCCCGGAAAAGCCTACCGACTGTATCCGGAGTCGGAGCTGGCGAAGATGGCCGACGGAACGGTCCCGGAGATCCAGAGATGTCATTTGGCCGCCACGATCCTCCAGCTGAAGGCGTTGGGCATTCAGAATGTGCACAAATTTCACTATTTATCGGTAGTGCCTTTTATAAAGTTTTCCGAGAAACTGCGAATATTTTAGCCGCCACCGTCCTGGTCGATGATCAATGGATTGGAATTGCTCTACGCACTCGGCGCCGTTGATGAAACGTAAGAAATGGGGAATTTTTAGACTGAAATTTTGCCAGAATGAAAATTTACGCCATGCAGATCGGCGCTAACGAGCCCGCTGGGCGTGCAAATGGCCGAATTCCCGCTGCCGCCGATGCACAGCAAATGCCTTTTGAAGTCGGGCGAGCTCGAGTGCAGCGAGGAAATGGTGACGATTGTGGCGATGATGCAGATCCAGGACGTGTTCGTGACGCCGTTCCGCTCGCGGCACCAGGCGGACGTGATGCGCAAAAAGTTCTCCGTCGAGGAGGGCGACCACATGACGATGCTCAACGTGTTCACCAAGTTCGTCGAGGCGGGCCGCAGCAAGAAGTGGTGCTTCGAGCACTTTGTCAACTATCGCGGACTCATGCGGGCGGACAATGTGCGCAGTCAACTGGTTAGACTGCTCAAACGATTCGAGATTCCAAAGATCTCCTGCAAGGGTCTTCTTAGTAAGTTTTTAGACGGATCCCGGAACCAATGAAATTCGCTTTTTTTCAGACGCATCGGAAAACATCCGTCGATGCCTGGTGACGGGATTCTTCTCGCAAGCGGCCAAATACCACTATACTGGCAAATATATGACTGTAAAAGAGGAATTCGCATTCAACATGTACAAGGGCTCCTCGATTATGTTCAAAAAGGACTATCCGCCATGGTCTGAGACTTTTTTGAAAAACTAGAATACTATTCGATTTGCAGGGTGATATTCACGGAAGTGATGCAGGATTCGATCCGCGACGTCACCGTAATCGAACCCGAATGGCTCTACGAACTGGCGCCGCACTATTACGAGTTCGGCACCGAAGGCGAGCTCGCCGAGAAGCGTCTCAAGCAGAGTTGATCCGCAATTCACGATCTCGCTATTTTTGTCCGCCATCGTTTGCTGCAATAAAGCGTTTTTCGGGAAATTGCTGTGCAGCGAAAATGCAGCTTGATTCAAAGTTTTACAGAAAAACACGGGCAAAAAGAAAACGACATTTCTGAAATAGAATTTGAAAAGCCGGAACACGGAATTTCGCTCGAGTTAGACAAGTTTATTGAGGTGAAATTTTGCCTTTTTGAACATAGAAAAAATATATTATGTTAGAAAAATATTATATTAACAATTGGCCGGTTTTTGCGGTCGATCACTCCGTCCCGACGTCCTCCTGAGACTTGTCGACGATCACGTTCTCCTCGACCGCGTCCTCCTTCTCTTTCTCGGCCGCCCGAATGTTCATGCAGAACGGAACGCGACAGACGGCGCGCTGGCACTGCTGCGAGTGGTAGGAGCAGAGAGCGATGAGTCGGCGACAGAGCTGACACTGTCCCGTCCTACGGGCCTCGCACTTGATCGCATGGGCGACCACCTTCTTCATTCTACGGCAATGCACCTGGGGACATTTGGGCAAGCGGCAGTTGCACGAGTGCACCAGGTGCTCCAGCTTCTCGTGGACGATCTCCATCGATTCGACTTCTTCTGGCGCCGATGACGACATTTTGTGGTAATGCTGAAAGGAAAGTGGGTTGATTATGTGTCGGCAAGAGAAGAAAAAAGGGAAGATTTTTTATCTTTTAGTGCAACGACACAACGATAGGTAAATTACGCGTTTCTCTGCAATCTCACCGCGAACTGATTTTTAGTTGTTTTTCACTGGAAATGTGGCCGAACTTTTTCATTTTTCCTCAAACTCGGCCCCGTTGCATTTTACACTAAACAAAAAAGTTTCTCAACGAAGCGCGATTGCAGTGAAATGCTTTTCATTTCGATACAATAGAACGCATTTACGGTATTTGAGCAGTTTTAAAGTTGTGCAAATAACGGGTAAGGACTCCTTGGTACAAGCAAAAGTAAAAAAGAACAAGAAAAACGACGGAGATGAATGGTCTCTTGCAAGAAAAATGCCTGGTGCCCGTCGTGGCAGGGACCGGTAAGAGGCGGGACCGTCCGTCTCTTTCTCTCACCCCTTCCAACTTCTTCCCGCTATTTCCCTATTTCGTCTGTGCTCTCTGCTTCGCACGGGAACACGCACATCCTGTGACGGGAATTCAAATTGATAAACTGAAAAAAAAAGAATAGAAAAGCACTTAAGTGATCGGAAATGCTGAAAATCTGTTATTCTGCTATTTTTCCGATTGTTTTAGTTAAAAATTTGTCTCATTTTCATCTGAAAAGCCTCGGAAAATACGGTTTTCTCGCAAAAATCTAAATTCTTTCAAATCCGTCCTCAGACAAAGGTTTGCGATGTATCGGTCGGCGGTTCAAATGCGATGCAATGGCGATGCCGAGCCTACGGGCCAGAGTTGAGCGGAAATGGAATTTTGAAATCCGGAAGACGGCAAACGGCAGACGGAAGAAAATTTTTTTACGGAACACGGAAAACGGAAGACGGAACAAAATTTTTCTCACGGAAGACGGAACAAAAAAATCGTCAATGCAGAACCTTTTTTTCCGGTTTTTTTAAAATTAACTAAAGCAAAAAAAATTTTGGACCATCGTTATTCGCACTGAATTTTGAGGCATTTCGCTCACAAAGATCAGAAAAGGATTAGAAATACTCCGATTGGGAATGAAAGTAATGGGGTTATTCAGGCTGTGAAAAAAATCATTTTTTTTCCGTTTTTTTCGTTTTTTTACGTCAAAAAAGGGTATTTAATGAGCAGGGCTCTCTCAGGCATTACCAGATAAGATTATCCTTTTCAGGACAATCTTTAGAGCCTTTTTCAGGGCTCTCTCAAGACCGTACGAGACGGTGCAGATGTGATGTTTCGACGACCTTCGTGGGCGTGGCTTTCCGCCAGGGCAGATCCGACCTTGTGGGCTTGGCCAACTATTTGGGATCACCGTCAGGGCGGGCGTAAAATTTTATTATTATTTTTTTTTAAATTTTTCATCGCCGATGCATCGCATTTGAACCGCCGATACATCGGAAACCGTTGTCTGAGGATCCGAATTTTAACAAGTGCGCAAAGCTTCGAGTGCTGACCCGTTTCTCGTGCGCCTGACGCGTTTCGCAATTTTTTCCGATTTTACACATTTGCATCAGAAAATCCTCGTTTCCGCTCGTTTTTCGTCAATTTTAGCTCAAAAATGCGCAATTTTTGCAGAAATGGACTCGGCGGACCCGCAACTGGCAAGATTTCTGGCGCAACTGCAAGCGGAGACGCAGCGTCAAAAGTTCACCGAGCAAGTGCACACTCTGACCGGCCGGTGCTGGGACGTGTGCTTCTCCGACTACCGTCCGCCAAGCAAAATGGACGGAAAGACTCAGACGTGCATTCAGGTAACGCTAAAACTATGAAATTCGCTACATTCCTGGCGAAAATGAGGAAGAAACGATTTTTCGCAAAAATTGCACTTTCAGAACTGTGTCAACCGCATGATCGACGCCAGCAACTTCATGGTCGAGCATCTGTCGAAGATGAACGGCGGACAAGTCTAGAATGCTCAAAAAGCTCAAATTCCCCCTGTTTTTCCATCTTTCTCTATTGTTTCTTGTTAGGTCCGTTCTCTCCCTTTCTCTTACATAAATGTTCCCATTTTCCATGTCCTTCGGCGATGAAAAAGTTTCGAAAGCTTGGAATATCTGTAAAAAAAACACAAAACCAAGGAGAAATTACGGTTCTTCCAGAAAAATGAGTAAATTGAAGGGAAGCCGCCTCGAGGCGGAAGTCGATCGGGTTAGAGCTGATGGTAAGACAGATTTTAGGCCCAAAAGCCTTTTTTTTTAAACTTCAGCCAACTGGAAGCGTCTATCGGAGCTGCTTCCATCTGTAAAATCGAAAAATTCGGGACTCGAGGATTGTTACGAAATGTTTCAGGCGGAAATCGTACTGGAAACGTATCTAGACCAATTGGGAGGTGAAATTCATCAGAAATGCCCTAAAATCAACCGATTTTCGCTCAGAAATCGTCCGTCCGAATAAGGAACACGTGGAGAAGCTGGGCTCGGCCCAACAGTTGCTCGACACGGCGCTCCGCGAGAAGGGCGCCGTTCAGACCGTCAAAATTGAGGCCAATATATTGTTAGCGAAAGTTTTGTACGCTTGTCTCGAATTTCGAAAGGTTTTTCCTTTTTTCTGAGAAAAATGCAATTTTTCTTAAAAATCTTCGATTTAGGCGTTGAATTGCATCGCCAACTCGGAAATGGAGAACGGAAAGACGCCGTTCCGAACGTTGAGGACCCTGAGATTGGTGGCCGAGGGATATGCGGTCAAAGGTCCGATTTTTTTCAATCTGGAAAACTGAAACAATCCTTTTTTGAATTTTTTGAGCAAATCCGGTCAATTTTGCTCCACATTAGACGAATTTAATCAATTTTAGCCTAAAATTGAACAAGAAACGCTAAAATTTGCAATTTCTAGGCGAAACTACGACTTGAACTGCTAAATAGTCGAAACAGCACAGATTTGTGTATTCTTCACTGTTTTGAATCTGTGTTTCGATCGAAATTAGCTCGAATATTCACGTTTTCCTCCGAGATTTCTCGCAGAAACGCTCGTAATTCGCAGGACTGTGCATCGAATCGATGGAAGACGGTGCCCGACCGCACGCAAACAGTGCCACCTCGACGACCTCCACCTCTTCGTCTTCGAAAGATCAACGCGCGTTGTACGTGTTCGAAAAGTCCGCCGAACTCGCCATTTTCTACATAAACGAGCTGGAGAAGTCGATGAATTCGAGTACGGCAAAGGCGGCGGCGACTGGGAGTCTGGTGCCGCCCACGCAGAACAGCACGTCCACGGCAGGCGTGAAGCAGCAGGAGAAAATAGGTGAGGAATTGTAAAGAAAGGTCTAGGGTCAAAATGGGTAAAAATTGTAGGCGAACTGTTGGAGCGCATAATGGAACGAGTGGCGATAATCCGCGCGAAAGACACGGCGGCGAAGAAGCAGTCGTCAGGAACCGAGGGAATCGAGTGGTACCGCAAGATCATCACGTGTCTGGGCGACAAGTACACGGGCGAACGCCTTAAACAGAAACTGTCCCGGCAGTTCGCAGAACTGCTGATCCGGGCGACGGTTCCGATCGAGGAGAAGTCGATGAGCGAGGCGATGCTGACGAAGGCGATGAACATGAAACTCTACCACGGCTCGAACAAGTCCTTCTTCACGCCAAAGTCCAAAATCGAGGAGATCATCCTTCTTTTGCTCATCAACGAAGTGCTCTCCACCCGGGAGGTGGTCCTTTCGCGGTCGGAGGACCTGACCAGCTCGCGCTCAATGTCTCTGCAGAACGCAAAGTCATCGTATAATTTGCTGACTTTGGTAGGTAAAAGAACAAAGGGGAAACAGGGCTACACAATGATTATGGTGTAAAATTGAAACTCTGATTGAATATTGGTTAAAAGTTGGCTCAAAGCTTCCTTGGTTTCCATCGAAACCAATATAATTGATTCGCACACTTTTCTTTATTTTTTCGTTCTCACGCACTTTAGACTATTTTCAGCAATAGTACAAAAGAGATTAGTTGAAGTGGAACATGGAAATGCGATTATGCGAATGATTTTGGGGGGAAAAAGTGACCATTGTCAGACATGTTTTTAAATAAGCTCCGATTATAGTCATCTTCTTCATCTTCTTCTCGGTTTCTCGTTTGCACATACACATAATTGCCCTTTTTCTTCTTCTATTCGGCCGCTCCTCAATTATTCATATTTACGGGCGGCGAACCTAAAATTGTGGCTTTTTTTTTGAGATCTCATTGATAGGAATGAGAAACGAGGAGGAGATGCTAGACGAGGTTGTGGTGAGTCCTGGAATCATGCTGAGAATTCTCTTTTATTTTGAAACATTGGAGAATAAGGCGAATAGTAGATTAGCCAGAATCACGGTGATTTTTTCTGGGGACGCAGTGGAGAGAGGAAGAAAAATCGGCCCTCGTCCCATGAACTGTCGGCTGCTTATTTCGCCGGACGACGGCACGCTCCCCAAGTCTTAACTTCTGATGCGTGCTGTTCAAAGAAGAAATTTTTTGAAATTTTTGGAAATTTTTGGAATTTTTGGGAATTTTGGGATTTTGGGAATTTTTGGGAATTTTTGGGAAATTTTTGGGAATGAGTTTATTATGATTGAAACTCGCAAGCAGCAACGAAAAATTGCAGAAATGCCTAGGGGTCACTGCGAAAAACGGAAAAGAAATTATCTAAATTTTTGTAAAACTTGAGAGAACTTGATTCTAGGCAATTTTGCAAAGTTTTCTTCGAGTCGGAAAGTAGCTACACTTCTCGGCGTCGTATCTTACACAAACGCCGAAAAAGACACGGGTTTTGCTATAATTTCAGTCGACATTTACAATTGCTCGGAAGAATGCCGCATTTTCAGTCATGACAACTTTGCTGCGGTCCCTACATGACAGAGCCATAACTGAGAGACGTCGTGCAGAAATCTCTATCATTTTTCAATCCAAAACTTTGGAAAGTGATGAATATAGCTGTCGCTTCCTCTTCCTTTCAATTTTCGTTTCCCTATCACGTGTGAGCGATCTGTGCTTTTAGCTCTAATTGAAGAAACAAGAAAAACGAGCAAAAAAAAAGGCAGAGGCTTCGAAACTTTTCTCGCTTCTTTTGTTTGTTTTCGCCTTTCTTCTGTCTGACACTGACAAAAGGCTACCGGCAGAACACAAAAACGTGTTTTACCCCAATTTTTGCACGCACAAAGTGCCTCTAGGCCTCCAAAGTCGGAACATTTTGCAAAAACAACAATAATTGTCTGGGGGGGGGGGGATCAAAATGTTTTTATTCTTCATTCTGCAAAACGTTCAATATTTGCAGGTGCTGTCGACGATCAGTCAGTACCAACTGCTGGCGCAGATCTACGAGCGCGCCATGAAATTCGCCAACAACGACTCATTTCTATGGTAAGCTCGACGATAGCTTGTCTCTTCCTTCCTTTTGCTTTTTTTGTAGTACATGCTTTCAAAAGTTTGCTAATTTGCAGGCAACAATTCGCGCTGTCGGCCATCTGCTGCGGTCGTTTCTCGCGAGCCGTCCGAGTCTTCGAACAGTCCATCCTCGCCTCCACAATCGCCTCCGATTCGGTCTCTTCTTCTTCCTCTTCTGCTCCCGCCGTATCCGCAATCACTGCCACGTCATCTTCTTCGTCGTGCTCCTCGACCGCCTCCACTCCGGACCATCAGAAAAAGACGGCAAATCATCAGCGGACACTGTCCCCGGAATCCTCCTCGTTTCCCTCCCTTCAGCTCACCAACAATCCGTCGTCTGCTCTTTCGGTTATTAGCGAATACATGATGATCTCGCAAGTGCTCATTGAGCGATTTGGGAATTATGCGCCAGGTAATCGTGCCGTTCGAATCCCAACTTTGCACGATTGCGGCGATACGAAGTTTGACAGTTTTCTGACTTGAGAACCTTTGAGGAAATGGACAATGAGCACATTTTTGATAAGATTGGATTTGAGCAGATTTTCTTATTTAAAATCAAAGTTTTCCGTTCAATTGTTGCGCCTAGAGTTTCTCAATTTGATCATAAGGACGAAGCGGGGGAAAAGCGATTTGCGCAGACGCAGACGCAGACGCGAAACTGTCTCGCGTCTGCGTCTCTCTCTCTCTCTTGTGGCACACGCAAATCGCTGCTCTCTTGCCCCCGGTATTTTTTCCGGTTGAACTATTATAGGCGCACCGGACAGAAAGGGCGCGCTGTTCGCAATCTGGCCGAATTTCTAGGCCGCGAAGTAATTTTCCACTGAAAACGTGGCCTAACTTTTCAAACTCGGCCCCGAGGTCGCTCAATTTGCACTGCAAAAAGAGTTTCTCAACAGAGCGCCATTTCTGTTCGGTGCCCCTATAATAAAAACTCGCCCACCCGTGTTGAATCTCCAAAAACGTCCTCAAATTCAATGTCCCATTCCAGCTGTCGAATACGCGGCGAAAGCGGTCGAATTGTGCACAAAAGACGGAAATTTGTCATTTCTCAAAGCACGATGCCAACTCATTCATGCAATTGCCTACGGGTAAGCGATTTTCTATAATGAATTTGATAGATTTTAAGGAAAGCTCCGAATTCTCCTGAATGTGGCTACGAAAATCACTTCCGAATGAACACGTTTTTGACCGTTTCCCCGAAATTCGGGAAGTTTTTGTAGGGCTACGTATGAGAGTTTAGTGGAAGAGTCCAGTGGAAGCCCAAATTTCTAGTGTTTCTAACGTGTTCTCTCTGCAGGTTTCGAGCCTCGGAAGAGCCGTGCTGGGAGACGAAAAAGTCGCAACTGGCGAAGACGGTGCAGCTGATGGAAGAGTGTGTCTCAGCGGATCCGCACGACTACCTGTCCCTCTACTACGCCGCCTACTTCCACGCGATCGCGCGCGACCTCGAATCGGCGAAGGACCGGTGCTCGCGGAGCCTTGCACTGAACGGGGACCAACCGGCGGCCGTGATGCTGCTCGCACTCGTATTCACCGCCTACGGAGACCTGAAAGGAGCCATGGAGCTGGTGATAAACGCACTCGGCGAATTCGAGCACAACTACGGACTGATGGTGCTCCGGCTGCACATTGAGACAAAGTTCGGACGGATCGAGGAGTCGCTCGACACGTGCACGCATCTTCTCGACTTTTGGAAGAGGAATCAGGCGGCGGCGATGGGACAGCAGCAGTTGATGTACTCTGTGGGCGTCGAGGAGGACCGCTCGCAGAAGACGTTGAACGGAATCGACGGATCCGTTCTGTTGGGCGGCGTCAGGGATGGCAGCCAGAAAACGGGTAAGAGGAGTGAAAATTGATCGTTTTTTTAAGCGAAAAATCGTTTTATCCATTTGAAATTAGCTAGTTCAAGCCGGTCCCGCATCTCTCAGAACTCTACCTTACCCCGCCCGAAGTATTTTCAGGAACTCCGTCGCTCGGCCGCGAACTCTCCACTCCGATGGCCTCCACCCCGCTCATTCCATCGTTTCCCTCCTCATCGGTCCCCGTGATCAGCTCCCTTCCTACCAACACCTCCACCATCGACCTCTCTCGTAATTCAACTTTCTATGTATCTTTTCAATTTCCCCTCAAGTTACAGTGGCCGAATCGATAGTGGGTGCGGCCGCATCGGAAGCGGGCGCCGCGCCGCCCTCCACGGCCTCGGACTCGCTCAACGGAGGTATCGCGGACGCGTGGTCAAAGTTCCGAACGCAGGCGGACGTGTGGATGTGTCTCGCCGAGTTGTACATTTCTGAGGGCCGGCACGACGATCTGACAAAGGTCATCGAGCAGGCCATCTCGCTGTTCCCGAGCTCTCCGCAAGCCCTCTACCTCAAAGGACGGCTCCTGGTGTCGAGATCCGAGAAGCTGACGGAGACGGCGATTGCGCAGCGGGTGCGCGGAGAGGCCAAGTCGGCGTACCTTGCCGCGTTGGCACTCGCGCCCGGACACTTTCCCTCAATGTCCGCGCTCGCAAAGTTGTACGGCGACGAGGGAAATCAGAAGATGTCCGAGCACATGTTGAGGTCAGAATGCATCCGAAATTCGCGGCAAAAAAGCATATCACCGCAAATTTTTGCAAAAACTCAAATTTCCCGCCTACAGAGCGATAAACTTCCCTAAACGTGAAAATTTTCAGAGAAATGGTGCGTGTGGACCCGCTGAACTGCGACTGGTGGCAGCAGTTGGGCTGTTCGTTGATGCGCCGCGGCGACTCGGAACGAGCGACCGAATGTTTGACGGCGGCCGCCCAACTCGACAGGTCCACTCCGTTGCTGCCCTTCTCCGTCATTCCGATGGTGTTCCCCGCCAACTTCCGATAACTTTGTTTCCATATTGTTGCCTGTAGAACCTCGGAAATCACTACGATTTCGGATGTTTCGATCTCAGACCTTTCTTTCCTTTCCAGTTTTCTTTGCCGATGATCGCTAACTTTATTCATTAGATTTTTGTGTTTTTCAGCGAATTTTCTCATCTAGACTCTGAAAAATTCAAAGTCTAGAATAGCAATTCGTAGGTTTTTCGGTAGATTATTTGGGTGCTTGTATATAGATTGTAGATTGGCTAACTTATTTATATGGTTTATTTGTTAAAGAAAAAATTTAACCTTGTATGCCTGCCTCCTTTTTCTTCAAATGTTTAATTTTACAGCAATATTATCTTTTTCGATGCTATTCGATCTTTCAAATCAAAATCGATATTCTCGTCAACAGAAATGGATCAAGAAGCGTGTATCGGCGCATTCGAAGAGGACGTAACCGACGAAGACGTGGATCCGACGGCGCCGGCGATGTCGGCCGCCAGCTACCTCCGACAGATGCGCGCCGAACGGAAAACGGTGGCGGAAGTGGTTGCGATCCGTCCGCCGCCGCCGCCACGTGACGACGATTGCACGTCTCCGGAGGCAAAGAAGAAGAAGCAGTGGCTGGAGAGTGTCGGATTTCGAACGGAGCACAAGCCGAGCAGAGAAGTGCGCTTTTAGACCGCAAAAACCGGCTTTTTCTGAATGAAAATGTGCGGCACGGGGTTCCGAAGACTATCAAATTTCCCGCCGTTTTCGCAATTGGCTGCGTAGCGACTCAGTCGCCTTTTTTCAATTAAAATGTAAAACTTGGCATGGCGCCAACCGCGTCGCAGCGCACGCGGCGCTTGTGATTTCTGTGGAGCGCGTCTGCTAGCGTAGTCTTTGGAGCGCCGTGTGCGAAATTGGCGAAAAAACATCAAATTCTCTCAAATTTTGCAGAAGAACTTTAACTATACAGAAGTGAATTGAACTTTGCAGACGCCCTCCTCGCTGATCCCTGCGGAAGAGTGGCAACGGGCGAAATGCCGTGAGTTTGGCGAGTTCCGCGCCAAAATCGCCGCCAGACTGGAGACGGAGCGACCGTTGAAGATCAAGGCGCTGAGCAGTCCGGACGAGGAGCAGTGGCACGAGATTTTGCTCGAAAAGTGCCTGCCCGAATTCGAGAACGTCGTCGAACAATATGCGAATCACACGGGAACGCCGCCCGCCATACCCATGGTTTTTGCGATTCCCAAGAAACATGTTAGTGCCAAATTTTGAAGCTTCAGCGCTCACTGCACGTAATCTACTAGTCTTTTATGAAATTTTCACGAAAAATTGCTTGTAAACCGTCCAACATTGACAAATAATTCTGTAAGCTGCTCAGCTGAAAATTTGAATGTTTGCAGCTGAGCCAACTAATCGAGCACCTCGTCGAGTGGGCCGACGAAGAAGGCCTTACCCGGCCGATCCGCGAGTGGATCTACGCCCTCCTTCTGGTAATCGATCTGCCACTCGTGCAGGACGTCGTCTCCGCACTCAGAAATCTGGCAAAAGAGTGCAAGTGAGTGGAGCATTCATTTTCGGAAAACAATAGACTTTATTGCAGAAATCACCGCTCCCAACTGTCCGAGGATCGTCGTTCCGAAGCCTTCGAATTCTCGCTCTTCATCGCCATCATCGGCATTTTTTTCGGTCAAAAAGACGTGTCAGACCTTGGTTGAAATGATCTTCATCTTGTTATCGTACATTCACAGAAACACTCCAAGAATAAATTGGGAGAAAATCAAATTTATTGCTGTAATATTGAAAGTCACACTTTTACATCCAAATTTTCATGCTATGATCGTCTCTATACTGTTTTGTTTGTTGCCTTCTCCTGTTCCGATTCCATTCCATTGATTGACTGACATTTAGGCTTCGTTCACTTTGACACATCTGAAAAAGCCCAAGGATTGAAGCGTCTCTCCGATCGGATCATTGCAGGCCTGCACCCAAACGCACCCAAAAAGACGATCGAGCGAGTAGAAACAAATGAAGAGGAGGCCGCATCCGCACACGTCGGCCGCCGAGGTGAGCATCGGAATCGCGTGAATGTCGGGATTGAAGCCGAGCTGCCAGACGGCGAAGACGAGCAACTGGGCGAGGTAGAGGATGAGACACTGCTGCACGAGCACGACGAGCGAGTAGACGACGAAGAACGCCGGCGCGAACTCGACCGGCTCGTCAATCACATAGGAGGCGAGCGAGGAGAGGCCGACGAAGAGCAGCTGAAACGGAATGGCCGTCCAGAGAAGCAGCCACGCCGTCTTCGCTTCGGCGTCCTTCGACAGAAAGTAGTTGAGCGGCCATATCCGTTCGGACCAGTCTAGGTCCGACTTTTGGTTCACCTGCAAACACGGAACGCTTTGAAGATGCAGAATGTTCGTCCCGCACGGTCTCCAGAGCTGACAATATGGGCGTGGCCTCGGATAAATGGCGTTTTCATGAATTGAAAGGTTTTCTTTGGTTTTTGTGGTCAAAGGCGATGAAAAATGATTGTTCGACACTGATTCTCGGAATTAAAGACGTTTTGGCGCATTTTTCGCGGACTTTGCTTTTTCGCCTTCGCCGCCGATCGCCGCACTTCTCATTTTGAGCTTTCTTGACCGTTTTCAGACAGAATTGATTTCGAGAATGATAAATCACGTAAATACAAGCATTTTGAGCACTCGAATCGCGAAAATTACCGAAAATCAACTGAAATTCGCGTAGTTTTAACCAAAAACCTTTAAACGGATTAATGTAATTTGTGACTTGACCAAATTGAACGCTCTTGCGCTTAAGAAATTCGTAATAGCCTATACAATCGGTCTATCGAGAGACAAATGAGAAATTATCGATTTTTCGTGGCTAATCTGGCAAAAAACACAAATTTTGATGTTAAAATTTGAATTTCGCGCCAATGTATCGCTCTATTGGGCGGGGCGCACTTGCGCCCATTGTCAGCTCTGGAGATATATGAAATATCAAAATATTATAGGGGCACCGGAGAGAAAGGGCGCGCTGTTCGCAATCTGGCCGAATTTCTAGGCCGCAAAGTAATTTTCCACTGAAAACGTGGCCTAACTTTTCAAACTCGGCCCCGAGGTCGCTCAATTTGTGCACTGCAAAAAGAGCTTCTCAACAGAGCGCCATTTCTGTGCGGTGCCCCTATAATATCAAACGATATATCAAAAAAACGTTTTCAGAATTTCACAAGACTCACTTCTAGATACGAAGAGATTCGTGAGGCGAGAACGGCTCCCCGATTGCCAGTGAGGCCCGAAATCAGGGTCTGGTAGGCGGGGTAGTTCGGGTAGCGGAGTGCTCCGATGCTCTGCACCGCGCCGGCTCCGCAACTGATCGTCGCCGCCACAATCAGAGTTATGCACTGCTGACGGGCCGTCGGCACTGCCGCATCGTCGTTCCCTGCAATTTAATGGGCGGACTGCCGGGCGCTGCTCACACAACACTAACACGCGAGAAATATCCAAACGGGCACGCTCGAGATGGCGAGCACAATGACACAGAGCGGAATGATATTGTGGAATTCCGAGTAGGGACGCAGGAGGTAGCAGATGAGCAGCATGGATCCGATCGTCAGAAGGTCACTGATGCTCGCGCCCAGCGGGGCCACGACGTTGTCCGGGTTGCATTTGCGTCTCCACGCACAGTAGACCACTGTGAAGAGCACTGCAAAAAGCGAATGCGCATTGTAGACAGTATATCTCTGCTGCCAGTGGATATATCAAAAAGGTGCCAACTAATAAATTGTTTATTGAAAAATTTTGTACATTTCATCAGTTGACCACTTTTTGATATCTCCACCCGTAGCTGAGTTCTGCGCCTTTAAATTTGACGGTATAGGAAATGGAGGCCGTAACTCAAAAACGACGTTTACATGTAACTTTTTGCGCTCAATTCATCGGTATAGCCGGCTTAAACACTTTTATGTTGGCGACAGACTTACACAGTGTACAGAGTGCACAATTGACGGCCATCGAGATGATCGAGGAGCTGGTGAGGAATAGAAAACTGCTCAAATCGCTTGGATCGGAAGGCGGCGTCGCGGAAGCGGTGGCAGTGGTGGTGAGATTGGGTGAAAGTGTCGAATTGGAGACGATCGAGACTTGCGGATCATTCTCGGGCACATAGACGAGCGCGATGAGATTGGCAATGATGCACACGAAAATGGAGAGTGCCTGCGCGACGGCCGCATTCCGCCACACTCTCGCCGCGAGTCCCGGCTCGTCGAACGCGCCGACATGCGCCAGAGTGGACATTCGTGCCGAGAAAGTCATGTCGAGATTGCCACGTAGGCCTTGGAGCGGCGGCATGAGCACCAGAAACTCGGGCACTTCTCGCAGCAACTGAAGACGTTTGTTGGCGTAGGTGAGCAGAAGGCCGGCGGCGATGGAGCCGCAGCCGCCGAGAAAGAACGGCACGACGCTCTGGCCAAAGATCTGGCACATCGTGTCGGGCACGTACTCCGCCGACGGGTCGTTCTCCGTCGTCACCACCGCCTCCATCGAGGCGAGGATTTGCGGCGTGTGCAGCTCCAGATAGCTCTTTTGTTCCGTCAGCTCTTTCTCTTCAAAGAATCAATTATTGATACGTGCACTAGCAGTCAGCAAAAGCTTCTGTAGCTATAAAATCGAGCTATCTTGGGCTCAGAATTGTATGATAACAGTTGGTGAAGTTTTTTCTCAGCTGCCGGTGGGAGATATCAAAAAGTTGTCGACTATCTATCAGAATGCTCATCAAGAAATTGTGCGCACGGTTTCCAGAGCTGACATGTCTGGCAATTCGATATTAATCTAATTAGAAAGTTACTGATTTAAACGCGACCTAATTAGATTCGACTGTTTTTTCTTGGCGCAATCGAGATTTGAGCCAGCAGACGGTTGGCGTGAAACTTGATTTGAGAGCACTTATTAATCTAGCTAGAAGATTTATTAATCTAGCTAGAAGATTTATTAATCTAGCTAGAAGATTTATTAATCTAGCTAGAAGATTTATTAATGTAGCTAGAAGATTTATTAATCTAGCTAGAAGATTTATTAATCTAGCTAGACAATTTATTAATCTAGCTAGACAATTTATTAATCTAAATAGGTGTCATATTAGGTGCCTAATTAGGTTCCTAATAGGCCGCCGTTAGATTAATAACGAAATGCCAGAGGAATGGGCGCAAGTGCGCCCCGCCCAATAGAGCGATACATTGGCGCGAAATTCAAATTTTAACAGCAAACGTGTTTTTTGCCAGATTAGAAACGAAAAATCGATAATTTCTTATTTTTCTCTCGATAGATTGATTATAAATGCTATTACGAATTTTTTAAGCGCAAGAACATCAAATTTGGTCAAGTCGCAAATCACATTTATCCGTTTGTAGGTTTTTCGCTAAAACTGCGTGAATTTCAGTTGCTTTTTGTTAGTTTTCGCGGTTCGAGCACTCAAAATGCTTGTATTTACGTGATTTATCATTCTCAAAACCAATTCTGTCGGAAAACGGTCAAGAAAGCGCAAAATAAGAAGTTCGGCGATCGGCGGCGAAGGCGAAAAAGCAAAGTCCGCGAAAAATGCGCCAAAACGTCATTAATTCTCGAGAATTAGTGTGTTTTCATGTCGAACAATCATTTTTCATCGCCTTTGACCACAAAAATCCGAGAAAACCTGCTCAATTCATGAAAACGCCATTTGGCCGCCGAGGCCACGCCCATATTGTCAGCTCTGGAGACCGTGAATTGTGCACATTTTCTCAGTTGTCAACTTTTCGATATCGTCCACAGATAGCTGAGATACACAAGTTTGAGTGCTCTCTCACCATTCTTCGAGTCGCTCGCCTCCTCGAGTTGCGTCGTTTGCTCGGAAACTTCTGCGGAACTCCGCTCCGGACTGTCACTTTCTGACATTTATGAGAAAAATGGAAAAGAGAATGGTCAAATCGCAACTGCCACGTCACACGTTTCTCACATTTCGCCAAACGTGGCAATGTTTTCACTTTCAAGTCAATAATATTAGCATACATTGGGGAACCTGTTTTGTGAACACCTTTTTCAAAATCCATATTCATCATAAATTATTTGAAAGAAACAGTCATGAAGGTGTGTGTGTGTGTGTGTGTGAGTGTGTTTCAGTCCATATAAATTAAGCATAATATCACAAAAGTTGTTAGAGAGTGAGAGAGAAAGGGAGAGAGTGAGAGAGAGAGAGACAAAAAGTTTGGAGAGCACGAGAGAAAGTTCGAGTGGGAAAAAAAAATGCACACATTTATGAGCGTTTTGGGGATCGGATGATAATTTAAGGGAAACATATCATTATTGTCTTACAATCAGTATAGCGCCTATATTCTTCGTTTGTCCAGTGGAGCGCACCACTCTTGCTTTAATGAAATAAGTTAAATTACGGGGTAGGGCGCAACTATGTGGGGTATACAAAAATCAACGGGTCGACACCAAAGAAGTGAGTGGGCGGGTGGGGAGGGCAAAGTGAACTGGTTTTTGAGGGATGGAGAATGGGTGTGTGTGTGTGTGTGTGTCGGGTTACTTTTTCGGCTGAAAAAACAAAATTATTGAAATCTGGTCGGTTCGCGCAACAAGTTCATACCTTCGCACCGGTGTCGCTCTTCTTGACGGCAGTGCTCGTTTTTCGAGCATTCGGTGTAGAGGACTGAAAATCAAGTTTTAGTAGGCCACGCCCGTTTTTTTCACTTATGTGAATGCGTTCTGTTTCAATTGTGATCTCAAGCCCGGTAGAAAACATTGAAAGTTGTTCGAGAGATGTCAACAGAGCGCATTCACATTCAAATGTCCCGATAGTAGTATGTATGTCAAACCTTGCCAACATCGCTCGTCTTCTTGGCCAACGCTTTTCCGGCGGTCGCGCCCGCCGACGCCTTCTTCGCCACCGGTTTGACGGCTCCGGCGGCCGCGGCGGCAGTCACACTCGCCATCGTGGCTCCCGGCGCGTTCGACGTTTGCGAGGGCTGTCGGACGGGCGCGGTCTTGCGTACGACGGCGGCGTCCGAGAACGCGACCTCTTTTCGCATCGGTCCCGGCGGTTGCGAGGGCGCGAGGTTCGTGAGGGGGCTGGCTTGCAGAAAGTTGGACGGCACGAGACCGTGCTGTCCGTTCAGCTCGCCCATGTAGAAGCCGTCGTCGTCCATCTCGCCGTACACGATGATGCGGTCGCCTTGACGGAATGTTAGTTCCACCTGCAAATGGAAGGTAATGTGAATATCAATCGATCAAAAGCGCTCACCTGCTCCGCATCGACGTTCGGACTCAATTGCCGGGGATTGTAGTCGAACTTGGCGACCAACTGCTTCATCGTGCCAACCCCGTTCGGGTACATTTGTGCGTCGGCCGTCTGCTGCTGCTGCTGCTGCTGCATTCCCCCGATTCCCGCGCCGCCCATCCCTCCGATCCCACTGGAACTCGGAATTCCGAGCGGTTGTTGCTGTTGTTGTTGCTGCATCGACATCTGACTCATCTGATGGTTCATCTGCGACATGGGACCGGGCTGGGGTCCCGGTCCCATCTGGTTCGCCTCGTATCGTGCCTGCGTCGGCGGGTAATCGTAGGTGGTGCGGTCGTCTCGGAACGGCGCCGGCTCGTCCATCCTCGGCCGTTCGCGGTACTTTTCGCGGTACGGATCATACGGTTCCCGTGGCGGATAACGGTCTTCGGGTCTTCTTCGGTCCTCAGACGGGTATCGTCGGTCCCGTTCCCTCGGATCTCGATCGTAGCGGTCCCTAGGATCTCTGATATCCCTGGGCTCTCTAGGCTCTCTGGGGTCCCTAAGATCCCGTGGATCTCTATACTTGTCCCTATAGTCGTCCTCATAATCGTCTCGATCTCTCGGGTCCACAATCGGCTGCCGTCTCCGGTACTGCACTCCGTCGTATTCCTTGTCCGCCGGCAGCCTGCGGTACTCATAGTCCGGCCGCGAACTCACCGCTCCACCGCCACGACGGTACCGGCCTTCCGGCAAACGGTCCCGCTCGTCGCGACGATCCAGCGACACGTAGTTCGGATGTGGTCTGCAAGAATCATGGGTTTTTGGATTCGAAAAAGGCGTGTCTCATTGAGAATTCAAAAATTTTGCTTGCGGAATGCGGAATACGGAATTTTTTCGGATTGCTAACCTGTGCGGCACACTCCGATCGCCGGCATAATCGTAACTTCTCGACTTGAGACTGCCCCAGCGCTGTCTGCGAAGAGCCGGCTCGGGGGCGGTCGGCGGCGGCGGCGCCGGCATCGTAGTCGGTCTCCGTTGACTAACGTCCTCTTTCGCAATCTCGATGACCATGTTCGACGGCACGAGACCGGCGCGATTGCCGATGACGCCGTGAAAGAAGCCGTCGGGATCCTGCCCGCCGTACACTTTGATCAGCTGATGCTTCCGGAACTGCAGCTCCTCGAACTCGGCGTTCGGATTCGGCGACATCGCCGCCGTGTAGTCGAACAGCGCCACGAAGTGTCGGCAGTCGTCGGAATCCAAAGTAGGAGGGCGGAGATCGGGTTCGCTTCTAGTCCCAAACCCACTTTCAGATTTTACGCGTGCTAACCGCGGTGCCACCAGACGTTGTTGCTGTTGTTGTTGTTGTTGTTGACGCAGAATGGTGCTCACCGAGCCGTGGTGCATCCGCTCGTCGGCCGAGCCGGCCCGCGCGAGCCCACGCGAGTAGGCCTCGATGCGGGCTCGCGCGTCCCGGGACTCGGGCGCGTTGGCCCAGTCGGCCGCCTGACGGTGGCGCATGAGATAACTGCAAAAACGTACACGATGATTAGATTTTGCATTTTTTTTTCCAGCTGGGGCCTAAATTCGATACAGTAATCGTATGGGAAACTTGTAAGAAACTGTCTACAATTTTGAAGAAAGCGTCCAGGAATAGAGTGACGCGATGTGGCAACAATTTAGGATAATAGGCCACTTTACTCGCTTGCCCACCATCAATAATTGATTCCCATCTCTCGCTCACCTATTTTCCATCTCAAGCACCGAGGGCCGCGGCTCGTCCGCACCAGACGGCTCGGTGTGCAAAAAGTTCGGGTGGAACGTGTAATACTGCGACATTTGCGACGGTTGTTTCCACGTCTGCAACCGCCGTTTAGCGTACGAACAGAGGGACTTGTGAAGAGGATTGGACACGGTGGACAAAGAATACATGTAGTTGGTGAGGTTCTCAGGGGTACAACTCGAGAATTGCAGGTTTTGAAAGGAAATGATCAACTAGAAAGTTGTAAAGCTTGAAAAACTGTACAACTTTGCAGTTGGCTACTTTTTGAAATAACCATCGCAACTCGAGATATACGTGTCCAAAGATGCTGGACAAAACTCTCAGAACCTGACCAAATCCCTTGTGAGGAGTAGGCGTGGACACATAGAAACAGAAAATAGTCGGACACTAAAAAACCAATGATTCCCCCGACTTACCGTGTGTCCTCCGGAAGACGGTCGTTGTGTCGGTGCGCCGAGCAGGATCGATGCGGCGGCGGCGGCGGCGGCGGCACTTTGTGGTTGGGCTCCGAGCGACGCGGACCTGCAACACCCACACACCATATGTATGCATTTTTCGCAGTGTTGTGAGGCGGGACACACACACAAAACGAAAAAAAGAAACGAGAAGATTGCGGGCAGATTGTCAGCTGGAAAACGAAGGACGGAGAAGACGGCGACGACTCCAGACACACGCAGACATATCAGATTGCCTCCTCTTCTTCTTTTCGTTTTCTGTTCTGCCCGCGCCGCGCGCGCGCGCGCATTTATCTTCTTTTCCGGGCCGCACGCGGCTCCGGGCAGGGCTCACTGAACTGAGAGCTCTCTGTCTCTCTCTCTCTCTCTCGCACCCGCGCGAACATCTTTTATTTATGAGAAACGAAACTGCCGGCGCGAGAATTGGACGATATATTGCGAGGAGAAAAGGTGGCGCATGCACTTTCACGACCATTTTTGGGGTCTTAGAGTGCATTTTGCTAGGTCCGCGGGGGAAGGGAGGACTAATTAATTTTGGGCACTCTGGAATGTCCAAGTTACTTTTTAGGACACCGAATAAGTCCTTCGGAATTGGAATAATTACTCGGAAAAATGTCCCCAGGACCTAGAAATTGACCCCAGAACCTGGAAATTGACCTTAGGACCTAGAAAATCAGCTCAGGACCTAAAAAACCACCTCAGGACCTAAAAAAAACCACATCAGGACCTAAAAAACCACATCAGGACTTAGAAATTGACCCAAGGACCTAGAAAATGACCCCAGGACATAGAAATTGAACCCAGGACCCTGAAATTGACCCCAGGACCTAGAAATTGACCCCAGGACCTAGGAATTGACCCCAGGACCTAGAAATTGACCCCAGGACCTAGAAAATGAGCTCAAGACCTAAAAAACCACCTCAAGACCTAAAACCACCTCAAGACCTAAAAAACCACCTCAAGACCTAAGGAACCACCTCAAGACCTAAAAAACCACCTCAAGACCGAAAAAACCACATCAGGACCTAAAAAACTACCTCAGGACCTAAAAAACCACATCAGGACCTAGAAATTGACCCCCAGGACCTAGAAAATGATCTCAGGACCTCGAAAATGTCTATAGAACTTGGGAAATGCTTTGAAAATTTGGAAAAATGCTCTTAGGACTTGAGAGTAAGGTTAATGCACCAAGTCTAGAGGACCATTTTGCATCAGTCCACGCCTAGATTACCTGTCAAACGTGGCATATCCGCCTGGCGCACTGCTCTGCTGCTGCTGTTGTACACTCGGATACGACGGTTGCTGATAGGTCATGAGTCCGGTGGCGCCGACCATCCGTGCGGGCGCGGTGAACGGAGCGACAGCGGACGACGGAGGTGGTGCCACGTGGCCGTTGGTCAGTGTTCCCGCAGAGCCCAACGGCACGTACATGGCTGCAAAAGAAAAAGGTTGACGGCGGATTTCACGTAAAAATAACGGAGATCTTTTGACGGACGAATGAATGGCCGGGTGTCCTCTTGAGCGTGCGTGACACTTGCACAAATCTTTTCTCCGCTTCTTTTTCGCGGATTCAGATGAAGCGAGGCGTGGGAAATCTAATGAGTTGTTTGTTATTCACACTTTTCGCATGGCTCGTATGACACCAATCTGAAACCCCGCGCGAGACCCGAGAACCGGCTATACTCACAATTAGCGACGAGCGGGTTGTGCTGCGGCGGCGGCGGATACGACGGGTACGAGGAGGTCATGTCGACGAGCGTCAGCGGATCGATCGTCGGTGGTCCGGCGGGCAGCGATTGGGTGGCGACGCCCGACGCTTGGGTTCGCGGCACTCGCGCCACGTTCGAGTCCGACGAGACGGCGCCTTCTTTGGTCTTTGTGCGCACAGTGATGAAGATCGGCGGGTCGTCAGAGAGATCCGAGAGGCGGAGGACTACGTGGTCCGCTGCAGCACACAATTTTATTGATCAAGTTACAGGTTTACAGTTTCCGGGATCAATTACTACTGTAGCTCAAACATATGATAGACAATATCTTTGTGTGTCTAGAATTACACCAAACAGCAGTGAATTTCTTCTTCTTCTAGCATCCTATGACAGATTTCGAAACATGTGTGTATGAAGAAAGCGCCCAAGCATTTATGTATTTCGTAATGCTAAGGGTGCTCAAACGTTTTCAAAGCGCTACAGTAGCCGAGAAGAATGAAGCGAAAATGTTCAAGACCGAACAAAGTCCGTTGTATTTAAACGTGGTATCCAGGGCCGGCGGCGCGAGCCGGTTACTAGGCCATAAATCTACAAAAGTTTGAACGGGGCCTTCATATTTTCGGAATTTTCGGAATTGCCGTTTACGGTTGCTAGGATAGACATCCACGCCCGTTTTGGTTCGATGCTTCGGTGCTGAGGACAGACAAAAAGACACCAGGGTCCGGGTTTTAGCACTATTCAGCTAGTCAATTCGCTGTTCTAACCGGCTTTACCGTGGATCCCTGGAGACCCAAAAAGTGTTGCTTGCACGAACCTGTGGCCTGCGGCACCTGTGCAATGTTCTTTCCGTCGGCGTAGATGAGGTACGAGTGTACGGCGGCGCGCGACGGCGGTTTCGGCTGATTGGCGACCGGTTGCCAGGAGACGAGCAGAGTGCCCGGCTGCGGTCCGATCTCGACTTGCACGTGCGACGGCGGATCCGGCAGACCGACTGCAAACAAACACCTTTTTACGTTCAAATTACGCTTTTACGACTTTGTTTTGTGTTTGAAAGTTTCGAAAGTCACACAAATGAACGTTTTTATAATAGTTGGGGAACGTTGGGGGGCGTGTTGCGAAACCGAATGGGCGCCCGAAAAAGTGTGAGAAGAGGTGGGTGGACAAGTGAAAGAATGGAAGGAGGAGGAGGAGGAGAAGAAGAAGAAGAAGAAGAAGAAGAAGAAGGGCAGTGTCCGGGGACACTGAAATATTCATTTCGCTTGCGCGGCTCGAGCGCGAGAGCTCGCGCGCGCAAAAAAAAAAAAAGAGAAAAGATAGGGCGGCCGATGCACACAAAAGGGAAAGGTCAACGCCGGCGCGGGGACTGCTAATTTTTCGACTTTTTCGACGCTGCTCAAAAGTTTCGGGCTCTGAACACTAAAAACATTGTTTGGAAACCAAGCTCTCCGGATTTTCAGTGAGCAATCGAACGCGACAAGCGAGCAAAGTTTGATGTGAAAATGAAACATTTGAATGTAAGAGTAAGGAGCGCGGAAAGCCATATAAAGTGTATGTTTTCACATAAAAAAGAGGCGCATTGTTCAAAAATGCAAATTTTTGAATGCGCCGAGTCTAGAGAGCAGATTGTGGCCAAACTTGAAAGATGCTATGGAGATGAGTACTTGCAACGGGAACAAATGCGTGGTTTTGGCGGACTAGGACTAGTTTCAGTCATTTTGGACGAACAAGAAGTCGTGGAATATCATTGAGCAAGGAGATTAGAGGCTAGGAAGCCGTACACAAATGTCTGGCAAAGTGCTAAATTGCGGTGCATCACATCCGCGTTGACACGAAAATTGGCGGCTGTGAAAAATGACTCACTCTTCGGCAACGTCTTAAAATCGGTGCATCGTTCGACGGGCCGCTGCTCGAGCACCGCCTTCGGATGTTTGGTCCTGACCGATACCCGATAGATTGTCGACGGTTGGAGACCTTGTAGTTGGACCTGAAAGTTATTCATGTAGGAACCAGAGAGAGTCGGAGGACCGAAATGGAGCGAGTTGGCGAGCTTCTGGAGCTCTCTTTTGAGCCAGCTCATTAGCAAAATGAGCCGGTCTTTCGTGCCGTGCATGACAAGAGGAAGAAGAAGAAGAAGAAGAAGAAAGAACGAGATGAATGTGAGATAGTCTTTTCGGGGCGAATAAATGGAAAATAGAAGGATTATCTCGCTTTTCCAATGGCCTATAGCAGATTTCGAAATGTGTATACCAAAAATGTGTATATTAAGATAGTCCCCAAGCATTTTTGTATTTCATAATGTGTCTGATACGCCCACACAAAAGATCATGATCAAAAAGGCAAAAGCTTAGCGCTTGAGCCGAAAGGGAACAGATTAACGAGCGGAAATGGAGAGCGGAAGGAAGAGGAAATGCGGATTTTTGAAGAGGATTTGAGGAAGGGGCGAATGTGCACTTGAGCTCGGTTTGGAGGCAGTGAATCATGATTTGAATCGAGAAATCCGACCAAAACACAAAATATTATTGAGTAGGGGATCAGAACCAAGTACCGTTTATTCAAGACAATATAACTCCGTTGGCAGTAGAGATATTGAAAAGTGGTCAACCGGTAAAATGTAGAAAATGTCTTAGTGAACATTTAATTACTTGACAGCTTTTTGACATCTCTGCCGATAGCCGAGATAAATTGCTTTGAATGCAAAAAAACTCACTTGAAAGACAGTGGGCGGACAAACGCCGACTTTGACGGCGTTCAGCGAGACGACGTGCTCGGCGTTGCTGTTCGATGGATACCATCGGATGCATGCGGACACCGGCGTGACGGCCCACACACGCACCTGCTGTGGGGCTACTTGAGCTTCTGAAAAGTGTCATTTTTAGTAAAAATTGAGGCTGATCTTTCTCTGCAATGTTTTTAAGAAATGGCGGCTACAATTAAAACATTTTGTGCTGTTATGAATAGGGGGAGTGGCCTGCCGAATTTTATCCCCCAGTTTCGCGCGCGCGCGGTGAAGTACCATTCCCAAAAAATGTTATTTTATGTAATCGACCGTGCTGAATGAAATAAACAACTCAGTTTCTCGTGAAAACGCATAGTTTTTCCCAAAAACGGCAAAAACGAAAATGGAACTCAGTCTGAGAGCTTGTGTGGCTAATTTGTATTGATTCCGACAGTTTAAGAGATGAGGAATCCGTTTTTTAAGTCAGAATCAGATTTTGTCTTCTCTGTTTTTTTACAGGCCCTCAAACTGACAGAAAAAGTTGTGAAAAAATTTCAGCGATGACTGCGAAAGTGAGCACTCGATTTTCCGTGAAAAATCGATGGGTTTTCCGCATTTTTCAGTTCAAAATCGATTTTTTTTTCTCAAAACAACTCAATTTTCTTTTCAATGTTTGCTGTTTTTTGAAACGAATCAATTTGTAACAGAACAACGGTGCTTCGAGTTCTTTGTTCTGCTAATTGATCTATTGATTGAGTTTTTCTGGTTCCGTTGACCGATTTTCTGGAAAAAACGAAATTTCAGCACAATAAACAACTTCTAAAACGTATTTCTATCTCAAATTACCTGTTAAACACAAAAAATCGACAAAAGACGGGGAAAATCGAGCTGAAACTTTATAATCCTGTTGTTTTTTCGCCAAAAACAGCAGAGAAACGCGTGCGGCAAACTTGCAAGCGAGGCCACGCCCCCTCCTCGGCCGGGGAGAAAACAGTGCAACTTTGGAGCGGTGCAGCTCGGAATGTACCGAAAATTTGCGGAAAAAAAATTGAGAGCGTACTACTGTAGAGTGGGGGAACACATTCCAGCAAAAATTTTGTGGAAATTCGGCGTTTTTACGCAGTTTTGCGGTTGCAATAAGCAAACACTCACCATTTCCTATTGCTATCGTACAACACGCGTCGGGCGAGTGACCGTGTTCGGTGACCGCTCGGACCGACAGATTCACCGAGGACTCGAGTGGAATGTCTTCGACCAGTGCCCGACACTGAAAAAAAAATGTAAAGTTCACGTTGAAAAAACTCAGAGAAACTTTGGTTCGCTTTCGCTTCCAACAGCTACAGTCCAGTCAGAAGTGGTTGTACACAAAAGTTGTCAACTACAAAAATGAAGTAGACACTTTGTACTATATTTTTGTAATTGACAATTTTTTTGTACCACCCCTCCCTGGCCTACTGTAGCGCCTCGAAATTAGATCAACTATTGTACTATTCAAAAAATGCTCACCTTATAGGTGCCTGGAACAATTGCCCGAACGGCTCCGTCGACACACACGTGGTACTGGGATACGGCGACGAACGACTCTTCCGGCGGGCTCCAGGATACCAATGCACTTCGCGACAACTTCTTCTCCACTATCAACTCTCGCGGGCACGGCACTGCAAAATGATAGCGTTATATTAGAACTTTATGCCGCGTCCAAAGTCTCGGAAAACCCGCAAATCTCGCGGATTTTGCACTCCAAAGTCGGCAGAAATTTGCGGGAAATCCGGGGTGCGCGCAGCTGAACGAGTGTTACCGTACACCATAAAACTACGGTATTTTTTTGAAAAAAATTTAAATTTCTCGAGAATATTTGAAAAATTTTTCAAATTTCTTGCGTGAATTTTTCAACGACGGTATTTTTTTGAAAAAAATTTAAATTTCTCGAGAATATTTGAAAAATTTTTCAAATTTCTTGCGTGAATTTTTCAACGGTATTTTTTTGAAAAAAATTTAAATTTCTCGAGAATATTTGTAAATTTTTCAAATTTTTTTGCGTAAATTTTTTTAACGGTTTTTTGAAAAAAATTTAAATTTCTCGAGAATATTTGCAGTTTTTTTCATATTTATTGGATAAATTTTCAACGGTATTTTTTTGAAAAATTTAAATTTCTCGAGAATATTTGTAAATTTTTCAAATTTTTTTGCGTAAATTTTTAACGGTATTTTTTTCAAAAAAATATAAATTTCTCGAGAATATTTGCAATTTTTTTCAAATTTTTTTGGATAAATTTTTCAACGGTATTTTTTTGAAAAATTAAATTTCTCGAGAATATTTGCAATTTTTTTCACATTTCTTGCGTAAATTTTTCAACGGTATTTTTTTGAAAAAAATATAAATTTCTCGAGAATATTTGAAATTTTTTTCACATTTCTTGGATACATTTTTCAACGGTATTTTTTTCAAAAAAAATTTAAATTTCTCGAGAATATTTGCAATTTTTTTCACATTTCTTGGGTAAATTTTTTTAAATGGTATTTTTTTCAAAAAAATTTAAATTTCTCGAAAATATTTGTAAATTTTTCAAATTTCTTGCATAAATTTTTCAACGGTATTTTTTTCAAATAAATTTAAATTTCTCAAAAAAATATTTGTAAATTTTTCAAAAAAATACCGCAGTTTTACGGTGTACGGTAACACTCGTTCAGCTGCGCGCACCCCGGATTTCCCGCAAATTTCTGCCGACTTTGGACTGCAAAGTCGGCGAGATTTGCGGGGTTTCCCGAGAAATCGGTGTGCAAAACCGAGTTTGTACCGGTTTTTATTGATTTTCTAACCGATTTGTTTCGGTTCAGCACATGGCTTCGAAGGTTAACCCCCTTTTCCCCCCAGAAAAGCTCTCCCCTTTCACTTTTTTCCCCCCTTCTTCTTCTCCTCGCTTTTTTTTGGTGGTGGTGGTGGTGGTGGTGGTGGTAACGCGGCAAAAGAGAAGAACTCTGTGGGGAATTCATAAAGTGACGAGATATTATTCCTTTCCCATTTTTAGGCACAAAAAAGATGAGCGGACGGCGCAAGAGAAAACGTTTTTTTTTTCGTTTTTTTTTGGGAGTATGGGATTCCGACTTCCGGTTTCCGATTCGCGAGAAAACATTCCGACCCCCCCGTGTCCCTCCAGTTTTTCCATTTTCACGCATCGGAGCGGCACACGGGCTCGCCGAGCTCATCGAATTTGCGTCCGCTCCCTCTCTCTCTCTCTCTGGGGGTCATCTGTCAGTTCAGATTAGGTCCCCCTCTCTCTCTCTCTCTCTTTCTCTTTCTTCCACACAAATGGAATTAGTAGAGCACTCTTTCTCTCTCTCTCTCTCTCTCTCTTTCTTTCTTGCCCCCAGACGTTGATGATGATGATGATGATGATGGGGGACCGCTCTTCCTCTTTTTGTGGTAGTGGTCGCCGTGGCCAAAAATGGAAAGATAGAGAGAGAGAGAGAGAGAGAGAAGAAGAAGAAGAAGAAGAAGAAGAGGAAGAAGAAGAAATCGGGAAAGGGGCATATGTGGAGAGGAATGAATTATTGAGAAGGAGATGGATGACAGCTCCGAGAAGCGGCGGCGCAAATCTTGGTGCCTACGGGCAAAATATGAATGAATGAATGAATGAATGAAGCCGGCGTATAATCGTACTTGGATATGGGGATTTTTAGAAGGTCTCCGGTCAAGTTTCGGTTCATTTTCAACTCAAAAATGGCAAAGAAGAGAGGAAGAGTCGTTTTTTTTCCCCCAGATTGTTTTAAACGAATCCTTAGACGATCCTTAAGCAGACGGTCCTTGTTAGATGGACCCTAAGACGTGGTCAGACCGGCAGACCTTTAGACGGTCCCTCAGACGGCTTTTTTTGGCTCTATCCAATAGAATATCATCAAAAACTCACCCCTCGGCGTCTCGTTGCTCTTAATCTCCTGCACCGTGACTTTTGTGACGTCCGCCGGCGGATATGGACAAACCTACAATATCCTCGCAATGCTTCGAACCACCCCAAAAACCAAAAAGACTCACCGAGTCGGGAAGTGTCGAGTGATCGGGCGACGAAAAATCATGTGCTATTGTCGACAAATGCGGCGGTATTCGGAGCGGAAACGACGGTGACGGCGCGCGTGCGTTCGCCAACAAAACCGTATCGGGCACCCTGCAAATTGAGGCACTTTTTGCGGCGGCGCCGAATCAAAAGGACGACACGCTTCAGCGACTCCTGATGGACGCACTATGGTGCATCGGACCACTTTTTTTTTTCCTCGTTTCCCACAAAAAAGACTCACCTCTCGACGTAGTTCGACGGGACGAGTCCCTGTCGTCCGTCGAGAGTCTCGCCGCGGTAGAATCCGTCCGAATCCATCTCGCCCTTCACGAGAATCACGTCGCCCGGCTGTAGACTCAACTCCAACTGCGGGTTCTCGTTCGGCGAGTCGCGCAGCGGTAGGTACTGAAAAAGAGCGCGAAAGACGCGCGAGTTGGGCTTTTGTCGCAGCTGCAGCAGCAAAGTGTCACTCGACGGCGCCGCCGTCGGTCCCAGATGGTTCGTGAACGAGGTGGAGGGCGCCGACGAGGCGCCCATCACAATGTGCGGGTTTTGTTGTTGCGACGGGCCCGGCACCATCGACAGTCCGAGTGGTTGGAGGTAGTAAGGCGGCGGTGGCGGCGGCGGCGGACCGGGCCCCGACAGGCCCAGCATTCGAGGTGGTGTGCGTTGTTAGGCCAGCCGAGCTGCTAGGTCCGCCGAGGCCACGTGGTGGATCTCGTCGACGACGACGACGGCGGCGGCGACGGCAATGATGGTGACGCGGGCGGGCGGGACCGAGCGGACTGCTGCGAGGCCACGATGATGGATGCCGCGTGACGTCAGATGGCGCCTGGAACATCTCAACGCTATCATTTTTGCGTAAAAAGTAAGTGCATCATAAAAAAATCATGTCGGACAAACTTGGCTAATGGCTTGCGCGGTTGAGTGGACAACAACTAAACAACAACAACAAAAAAACGGAAAAAGCAAAGGAATGGATGGAAGTAGAAGTAGAAGAAGAAGAAGAAGAAGAAGAAGAAGAAGAAGAAGTAGAAGTAGAAGTAGAAGCACTCTTCTCATAGAGTGAAGGCTCCGCTGCGGAGAGCGGCTGCTACTAGTCTATGGGCATGAGTCTTCTGGAGTAGGAGGGAAAGAGAGAGAGAGAGAGAGAGGGAGTGGGGCGAGAAGAAGAAGAAGAAGAAGAAGAAGAAGCGGCCTGCGCGACGTTTTATGCATGCCGCACTCTCTCTCTCTCTCTCTCTCTCTCTGGCTAGAGCTGAAGAAGAAGAAGAAGAAGAAGAAGAAGAAGAAGGCTGTGTTTTTGGGGGCGCACACGCCCCGGGGACGAAGATGGAGCAGCAGAGAGAGAGAGAGAGAGAGAGGGAGCAAGCGGAGCAGTCTGAATGTCTGAATGAGCCGGGTGGGCTCTTCTGCTAAGAGCAAGAGATGAGCAAGCAGGCGTCTTTTTATGGTGCATCGCAACTGATATTGTCGCTTTCGAAAAGTTGTGTCATTCATTGACAGTTTTGTTTGCACCCAAAATGTATCGTTTGCATCCTTTCAAATTGCTCTAACGGCTCCTAGACACTTTAAAAGCCAGACTATTTCGAAAAATAAAGTGGGAAAACGACGCAATTTTTGTAGTATGTTATCGACTCAACAAAACGAGCCGCCGACGAATTAATCGCGCGATAATTTGAGGGTACGACTAGTCACGGTGCGTGCTGGGTCGTTTGTGACAGTAATTGGTACCCTAAAGTTTTGGGATCCAACAAATCGTGGGGATGGAAGTGAGGGGGGTCTAGTGGTCTACCTTTAATCGGATACGTGTGGGAAGAACGAGGAAAAATCACAATCTCAAGTTGGCGGTGGTGCTCAAGAGCAACCGCCGGAGCACCTTGTGTGTGTGAAGTGAGTGGCGGAGCGGCCGCCGGCGCGAGAAGGCGTCTCCAATGTCGTCGTCGTCGTCGCGAGCGCGCGCGCGCGCGCGCACGCTTTGTGCCATGCCACGTATCAAATTTCGCGGTTTTTCGAGTATACACTCACGTGTGCCGCATGCATAGTAGTATGAAAAAGTTATTATGGTACCCAACTTTGACGGACAATAACTCGGCACGTTCAACGTCGGAAGTGCTTTGCCACGGCGACAAAAAAGTCTAGAAAGGGGGCGTGGCCTAATCTGAGACGCGTTTTCTGAAAATTGTCGCAATTCCAGCACACTTTTCCGATATTTTTGTGTGTGTGTGTGTTGATATCGACGAAATAAGAGACATTAAAAGAGAGAAAACGATGAAATTTTCGTGAAAACGCCGCGTTTGAGACGTTTTTGGCATATTTCGCAATTTCGGGAATTTTCATACCGGCCGATCCGGATTGTTTTGAGACGAAGTGAGTGTCGGAAGTGATTAAAGGACCAGGGAACACAAAATTTTTTTGATATTTTTGTGAAATGTTTTTGTGACTGTTTGAATTGTCTCTTATTGCCACTCATACACTGGTGAAATGCTGCCTCTCAAAAATGCCAATGAACGAAATGGCGTGCAGTTGAAGTTGTGGCCGTGGCCTAGCGCCAATGGCCTAGAAATATGCGCTTCTCGGCCATTTTATTTTTTCCGCTTTTTTACCGGTTTTTTTCGCGATAAAATCGAAAAACTCGCGACTTCGTGTATCGACTGAATGAAAACAATTTTTTAGCAGCGAAAAAATAAGTAAGTGCCGAACAAATGTCAATCAACTGAAAAATGGGAGAAACCGTGAAATTTTAGGAAAAAAACCGGTAAAAAAGCGGAAAAAATAAAATGGCCGAGAAGCGCATATTTCTAGGCCATTGGCGCTAGGCCACGGCCACAACTTCAACTGCATGCCGTTTCGTTCGTTGGCATTTTTGAGAGGCAGCATTTCACCAGTGTATGAGTGGCAATAAGAGACAATTCAAACGGACACAAAAAAATTTCACAAAAAAATCAAAAAATTTTTGGGTTCCCTGGTCCTTTAATCACGTTAATACAAGTATTTTAAGCGTTCAAACGGCAAAAAGTATCGGCGAATGACTGAAATTCGCGCATTTTCAGCACAAAACTTGAAAATCGCATCAATTGATTCATTTCTGCTATGAAATCTGCTCGTTTTAAGCTCGAAAAAGTGCGCGCGATGATAAGTTCAGCAAAGTTATGCAATTACATCGTCGAAATCGTACAAAATTTGGGTAATTTTTGGCGAAAAACATGAAAAAAATGGGGTTAAATTTCGAATTTCGCGCCAAAATGGTGATACGCTAGGCCACGCTCCTTTCTACGTTTTTTTTTTGCGCGCCGTGCTTTGCTCGAAAATACGGCCGTTTTTTGGGCCGTCAACAATTAGTGTGGTGAATCTCCGGGGGGTGACTGTAGTCGGGGGACTCGGGGAGCCCTTGGATACGACATGTACTTGCACATTTTCAGAATTGGATAGTAGTCTTTTCTGGAAAGTACGAGAGTTGAGCGGAAATGGAATTTTGAAATCCGGAAGACGGAAGACGGAAGAAATTTTTTTTTTGCGGAACACAGAAGACGGAAGACGGAAGAGGGAAGAAAAAAATCGTCAATTCAGAACCTTTTTTTCTCCGGTTTTTTTGAAAATAACTAAAAAAACAAAAAAATTTTGGATCTGGGTCACTGCCCGTAGAAATTCGCGTTCTTCGGGGCTAGTAAATGGCTTCTGAAAAGCTATTACTCTTTTACGGTAAGAAGAAAAAATTCCGGAAGACGGAAGACGGAAGAGGGAAGACGGAATTCCGCTCAACACTGGAAAGTACTCGCAAAAGTGGGAAAATCGAAGAGGAAACGAACAAAAGTTGCGCCTCTCTCTCTCTCTCTCTCTCTCTTATTTTCCGCCCATGGGGGATAGATGGGATGGCACAAAAAATGAGAGGAAAGAAAAAAGAGGGGGAGAAGGAGAAGGAGTCCGGACTCGGAAATTATTTGACGCCTTCTTCGCCTCCTTCGCCTTCTCATCCTCGGCTAAAGTCGACGACTTCTGACGACGTGTCGGCGGCCGTGCTAATTGGATAAGGCCTACGGGGGGAGCACACGCACACGAAAGAGAGAAAGAGAGAGAGAGAGAGAGAGAGAGAGAGAGAAGATATGGATATTAGAGGATCGAAATTTAAAGTTTGGGTCACTTTTTCTACGATGCCACTTCCAAGGCTCGCAGCATGGTCCTTTGACGTCGGAAATGGATAATAATTGGAAAAAATGGCTGTTTTTGCTGTCGGTTCGCTTTTAAATGCGAAAAAAAAGTGAAAGTGTGAGGGAAACGGGAGAAGAAGAGCGAGAAATCAATACTTTTCAACTTCTTCTTCTTCTTCTTCTTCTTCTCCACTAATCCTTGAGTTTTCTCTCTCTCTCTCTCTCTCAAAACACACTTTTTTATGCATTTAAAAACTTGAGGAGCACAAAAAAAACGAGTATTTTGGCTCGGCGGCTGGTAAAACAAAGTTTTGGCGCGCGCGCGCGTAGGCGTAGTAGTATAAAAGTTTTACGAGTACATACTAGTAGTACATAAAAGGGGAAGGGGGGTCCACGAGCAGGGTGGCAAAGATTTTTGGAGGAGAGCAAAAGAGAGAGAAGAAGCGGAAGAGAGAGAGAGAGAGAGAGAGAGAGGGAGAAGAATTCAAGGACCCCCCACTCTTCCCTTTTCGATGCGTGAAGTGTGTGTGTCAGAGATGTTGGGAATAAAAATTTTACTCTACGGAACACGGAACACGGAAGACGGAAAATTTTTTTTACGGAACACGGAACACGGAAAACGGAAAAAACTTATTTCTACGGAACACGGAACACGGAAGACGGAAAATTTTTTTTACGGAACACGGAACACGGAAAACGGAAAAAACTTATTTCTCCGGAACACGGAACACGGAAGACGGAAAAATTTTTTTTTACGGAACACGGAACACGGAAAACGGAAAAAAACTTATTTCTACGGAACACGGAACACGGAACACGGACATTTTTTTTTACGGAACACGGAACACGGAAAAAATATTGAAAAAAACGCGGAACACGGAACACGGAACACGGAATTCCCAACATCTCTGGTGTGTGTGTGTGTGTGTGGCGCCACGTGGCTTTGCGAGCTCCGATCGGCGGGACCAGGGGAAAAATGGACGAAAAATGGAAAATGTCAGGAGGAAATTGAATATGCGGTTGGGAAACTGTCTTTTTTTCAGACGGAAATCGAGTGGAAACGAGAAATGGAAGAAGCCGGCAAAGTTTGAAGCAGAACTGAAGAAAAATGACAAGTTTTGGTGCAAAACTGTCAACTAAAAAGTTGTAGAGCTTGAAATTTGCAACAACTTTTCAGTTGACAACTTTTTCAGATAGTCATTGGTTCTCAAGATACAGGCGTTTTTCGTACTTTGACTCCAAATTTTCACACCTCCAGCATTATGCGTCATCTGGCACACATACACACACATTTCTAATCCAATTCTTCCCAAAAGACAACTTTAGTCCCTAGGTCCATTAGAGGTGTGATGTCGTGTGAGCCCGCCCCCAAAACCATTCAATCATCGACAGTCACCACCACACACGTCGTCAACATTTCCAGGTATTTTTGTGGCGTCCTTTTTTGTTGTTTTTTACCCTATTATTCATCTATTTTTTGATTTATGTAAAAGCTTTGAATTGCAGAAATGGTATATGTTATGTTGAACGAAAAACGGCTTTGGAAAGAGTTTGACAGTCAGTGCAACGAGATGATCATCACTAAAATTGGCAGGTACTTCATTCGCTCACCTTTTAAGGCCATATATCTCAGCTGTGGTTGGAGATATAAAAAACTTGTCAACAAAACAATTGTTTATCAAGAAATTTTGTACATTTTTTCAGTTGACCACTTATTGATACCTCGACCCACAGCCAAGATATATGAGTTTGAATAAAAGACATTGGGGAGGGGGGTGAAGTTCTATTACCATTTAGTCAAAACTGTATATCTCAGCTGCCAGTGGATATTTCAAAAAGTTGTCAACTAAACAATTGTTCATCAAGACATTTTGTACATTTTTTCAGTTGACCACTTTTTGATACCTTCACAAATAGCCGAGTTACATAGCTTTGAATAAATTGCACAGTTTTGACAGTTTTGAGCCAACCATTCAGAGTGGCAGCTAGTCTATTTCCAGAAATCTCTTCCCAATTCTCGAGTACACCTTTTTCGGACTTCAAAACGAGGTCAACTATCAGGTGGGCATTACAATGCAACCGACAGGCCGTCACAAATTGAAGTTCACCGCCGGGCACTGGGATCCGTTGGATGTGATCGAGGAGATGTTCCAGCCGAACGAGGTGTTCATGGCGAAACCCGTGACAGGTTGGTGTTACGGTCCCGCTTGGATGCGGTCCCTTAAAAACCAACAAAAAAATGGCAAACTTTCAGGCCGAGAACTCATGAATCGTGGCCTTAAACTGGACAAGCTGAAATTGACGAACACAAAAGAGGCGCTCGTGAAAAGTGACCAAATGGTTAGTCGGCTATTGTTTAACCACTTTTCCTTGTTCTCTTTTTTTTTTTGTTTTTCGTCCATTAGCACAACACATTATCACCTCTAATTACGGCGGATCCAGCGAGCCGAGCATAATATCCCGGAGGCCGTGACTTGTAGTGCGAATAGCTCCGTCCAGAGGGACCAGATGACTCTGGAACATGTTTTTTTGGATTTTTCACACTTGGAACTGTACTTTTGTAGTTGGTCACTTTTCTGTACAACCACTCCCGGAACTACTGTAGCTTTTGGAAGTTTGCAATGGAATACGCATCACCTTATATAGCTCTAACTTCGAAAAGCTACAGTATCCTTAGGAGTAGTTGTACACAAAAATTGTCAATTACAAAATTATAGTACAAAATGTGCTCTTTATTTTTGCAATAGACAACTTTCGTGTACAACCACTCTTAAAGATACTGTAGCTGTTCAAAGATAGAGGCGCCAAAGAGCGGAGAGAATTTCACTGCTAACTTCCAAGAGCTACAGTACTCCAGGGAGTGGTTGTATAAAAAAGTTGTCAACTGGTAAAATGAAGTTCCTAATGTGAAGATTTACCAAAAAATTTTTTAGAGCTAAAAGATGTTCTGGGACTGAGCTATACACGTTCAAAGTAAGGACGTTGCATTTCTTCATTGATTCATTGTTCATCACAGAACAGTCCTGCTAATGCACCATATTTCCGAGTGTCCCAGATCTAAGACATCGCTATTTTATTTTTCTAAAGTCAACAATATCTGGTAGCACCCTGGTACGAATGTAAATCTCTTTCTTCTCCCCTACTTTCCCAAAAGCCAACCGCATACCTAACCACCTGTTGTTTGCCCATTGTTTCTGGGAATTAACCGGCCGGCACCGTGCTGGTCCTGACGAATCATGACTTTTTTTTTACAGATCCGTGTCCAATCTATGAGACAATACGTGCCTGTGCTCAGTGTTTATGAGCTCATCGGAGACGCCAGGCGTATCGGCACTTTTCAGTTTCAGGAGACCCGATTTATTGCCGTCACCGCCTATCAGGTACGCGTTTTTTTTTTTTTTTGGGTACATTGGGACCCCAGCCTTCCAATAAAAAATGTAAAATTGGCGCAATTCACATGCGCTAAACAAGGCGCCTAACGCGTAATTCCGGAGCGTCGTTGTAGAGTTTCTCATTCATTTCAATTTTCCTTTTTTTTGCATTATCGCCATCTTTTCAGAACCAATCAGTGTCAAAACTGATGATAATGATTAGAAATGAATAAAAAATGAAATGTTAACTGCTTCGTCATCAATTTCGAAACGTTTTATGTGAAAATTACCGAATTTTTTTCGTTTTGGAATCGAAAATTTGCCTCAATTCTCTCAATTCTGTATGATTTTCGACGGTTGAGCGCTTAAAAGATGCGCAATAAACTCCTTGTTGAGTGTCCGAACTCGTCTCGGCAAATAATCGTTAAAACTCGGTTTTTTTGAGTAGTTTTCGACAAAATCCCTAAATTTTGTCAATTCTGAACGAATCTGCTCCGTTTCGCGCTTAAATCGATGCTTTTAACTCAGAAAATCGCGCTACGGTTTGCAAAGCGCAAAATTTGAGTGTTTATTTGGAGAAAAACGAAAGAATTCTGGTTTTCGATTGAAAAAAGAAACTCTCTTAAGTCGACGGTGGATGCAAGCGCGCCCCATTGACAACTCGCTTGCGCATTGGAATGCTGGGGTTGCGTGACCCGACGGGGACCGTCACGGCTTCAAAGCCAACAATAGAATGAATTTGCAGAGTGATAAAGTGAAAAACCTGAAAGTTCAACGCAACAAGTTCGCCCAGGGCTTCCGCGAAGGGACCAGGTCCTCGTCGGCCAAGCGTCCGACCTCGACGACTTCATCCACGTCGCCCGACTCCACGATGGACTCGTCTTCCGACAATTCGGACGTCTCCGCGTCCGGACGGCACCTAAAACCCTCACAATTCCCGAGCACCGATCGATTTTTGACGCCCGCCAACTTTGGCGCTCCATTTCTGGGTCCAGAGGCGGCCGGTCCGTTCCCAACGCCGACGCAATTGATTCCGTTCCAATTCGATCCCAACTGGGCCAGCTATTACCATCAAAACCATCATCAAGTCGCGCAACAATCGACAAGTTCTGGCCTCTCCGCGATACAGTACGACTACAGTAATCCGTTTGCCAACTATCATTGGCCCGGATAGAGTGACAAGCCGATGCACAATATTGTCGAATTGATTTATTGTATGATTTATTGTTGTTATGAAGTTATGAAGTGATGTAAAGTCAATATTAGTCCAGGCAAATCGGGTTCTCGTTAGTTCCAATCATCGCGCTCTTCTGCTCCTTCTTCGTCTTTCCGCTCGTCGTCACAATCTTCGTCGGAGACGTCAGACAGACGACGTCATCGTCGTCCGAGTCGCTGTCAATCCAGACGGTGTGCTCCGTCGGCGGGTAGTAGTCGCACCTGATCGGAGCCCGACGGGCGGGCTGGTGCCTCTTTTCCAGCTCGTCCAGGTATTTCAGAAACTCGGCGTCGTGCTTTTCTGGAAAATTAATCAGGTAAATCGCATGTTTTATTGATTCAAAACGATGTATCTCATTAGCCGCTAAAGTTATCGAAAAGTGATCAACTGAGAAAATGTACAAAATTTCTTGCTCAGCAAGTTATCAGTTGACACTTTTTTGATATCTCAACCGGCAGCGGAGCTACATCGCTTTGAAGACACCGTACTGGGGCAAGGGTAACTTTTTTCGAGTTTGGTCGTCGAAAATTTGGTGTAAGAGATGCAAAAGTTGAAAAAAAAGCGTAATTTACTTTAAAATTTACCTTGAGCCGAAATGAAGTCCTTGTCCAGATCGAGATTGACGTCGCTGGGCTCCATTTCCAAACGCGTCCTCTTTGCTGGCCGCACTGGTTCGGCGTCAGCCACGATTTTGCGTTTTTTCGTCGTCGTCGACTCCACAAACGCTTTTAGAGCCGAAACTCGCATCACAAGTACCGGCCGTTCGTATCCGTACACGGATGCCGACGGTACTTGCACAGCGTGTTCATAGTAGACGAATGGCGAGGGAATAGCGCTCATTGTTGGATTGTGTGTGTGTATGTAAGCAGACAAACTCGTTTATATAATTTTCTAAACTACTTAGGCGAATATGTGTGAACTCCTCGTCGAGCCGTAAAGGTCAAGGCGTGCATCCTGAATCCACCTTCATCTCCGCATTGTATCCCCTTTTTTATGGCGTGTACATCATGGTCGACTATCCAGAAAAAACACTTTACGCGTTGACAGATGAACCAGGTCTCTAGAGCTGACAATGGACGCAAGTGCGCCCCCAAATAGAGCGACACATTGGCGCGAAATTCAAATTTAACAGCAAAATTTGTGTTTTTTGTCAGATTAGCCACGAAAAATCGATAATTTCTCATTTGTCTCTCGATAGACCGATTGTATAGGCTATTACGAATTTTTTAAGCGCAAGAGCGTTAAATTTGGTCAATTTTGAAGGTTTTTCGCTAAAACTGCGTGAATTTCAGTTGCTTTTCGGTAATTTTCGCGGTTCGAGCGCTCAAAATGCTTGTATTTACGTGATTTATCATTCTCAAAACCAATTCTGTCGGAAAACGGTCAAGAAAGCGCAAAATGAGAAGTGCGGCTTTTAGGCGGCGATCGGCGGCGAAGGCGAAAAAGCGAAATCCGCGAAAAATGCGCCAAAACGTCATTAATTCTGAGAATTAGTGTGTTTTCATGTCGAACAATCATTTTTCATCGCCTTTGACCACAAAAATCAGAGAAAACCTGCTTAATTCACGGTCTCCCACGGCGCGAATGATTTCAATGGGGCGCACTTGCAACAGGCGGGCTGTGTCGATTTACGCGGCTGCCGATTAATTAATCTTCAACGGGAGTTTGCGTTCTTTTCATGTTTTCTGTACAATACACCTATTTTTTTTGTACGCCTGGAACCTGGATACGAATAAATAGAGCACAAGCTACGTTTTGGTAACAGAAATCTCACATATCGTTGAGAATTAGCCGAGTTATTTCGATTTGAAGGTTTTGGCCTGGATTTTGATGTTTTTCGAATAGTTTTCGACAACTGCTCAAGAAAACTAACCGCCGGAACCTGAATTTTGTGAAGAAAAATTCAGCGAACATTTTTATCGTTCGTTGGGCTCATGAAATGCAAAATGAGCTGAAATATAAGGGTTTGAAGTTTTGACGAAATACGAAAAAGACGCTAAAAACATGAAAAACTCTAAATTCTGTAAAGAACGGTTTCCAATCAGTAAAATATTGTTTTCTAGACGTTTTTCAAGTCAAAAAGATGGAAATAATGGTCGTAAACTCGAATTGAACTGCATTTTTAGACCTGCGCAAATTTTCAAAAGTTACAACGACACTCCGCAATTTACGAACGCACTGTGTTTAGCATTAGCGCTCTGGGAGACCGTGAATTTGGTCGCCGAGGCCACGCCCATTTTGTCAGCTCTGGAGACTGTGCGGTGTCTTACAAACCGATTTTAACATGGCTAAAAGTCTCGGAAGCTTTATTGATTGATATTTTAACAAAACACGTTATCCACGAAGGTTCTCGTCGGGCAGCCAGACGCATTCTCCCTTGTCGAGACGCTCAAAGTGCTCGCGCGTCTCGCGCTTGATCTCCTCGCAAAACACCATTGGGCAATGCGTGTGCTCGAGACACGCGTCCACGTGGATTCTGCACAACGCCTTGAGGTGATGGCACGCGACGCAGCGCAACGCATCAAAGTGACAACATCTCGAGTGCTCCAACATGGTCTTGATCCTTTGCGCCGAAGGTCTCGCACAGATTTGACACGACGCGTCGGACGAGTCACAAACGAGCACGTGGTGCAGAATCGACAGCACCCGCGTGTTTTGCTCCTCGGTTTTTGTGATCGGCAGAAAGTCGGCGGAGGCCATCGTCCTAGAAGCGCTGAAAAAGCTGAAAAAACTGAAACTAAAGTGCCGAGAGGCAAATGAAATGTCGAAAAAACGGGTTGTTGAAATGAAGCAGATAGCCGGGCCGGGGCGGTTTCCATGGCAATGCAATTTCTGCGTCTCTCGCACAATAAGCACTTTTATGGGTATCTTCACAGAAGTTTTGTGTGGTTTATTAGAATACATTTTTTGGTTGGTGGGGGGGGTGTGGAAAATTGGGAGACAATAATAGAAGTTGAATGAGAAAAGCAAAAATGTACAGGAGGAGAAGAAACGTACAGTAATCCTGCGATTACTGTAGTTTTGGGGGGAAAAGAGACCTGGCGGCGGCGGGAATTAAATGAAAAAGACGAAAGCGGAAAGGAAACAAATGTTTTTCGAACAAGTTCAGGTGAACGTCGACATGCGACGCTTCGAAATGGGCTTCTTCGCTTGCTCCTGCTGCTGCGCCGCCTCCGACGTGGATTTGTCCGAGATTCCGAGCCATTTGAGCAGCCGGGTCGTGCCCGATATCGAGTGCTTCTTGTCGACTTTACAGTAGTCGCTCGACGTGGACCGCTGCGGTCCTGGCTCCTGAAAATATGAACATTGAATCATTTGTCACAATTCAACGTCCTAAACATTAGTGAATTCTTGGATAATAAAAAGTTATTCGTGTTGTTGCGTGAAAAAGGGGGCTAACGGGGAAGACGGAAGTAATAACTTTTTTGTATGAAAAGCTAAATTTACAATTATTTTTCTATGAGCAGAGTTCACTTTGCTATACATTTCGTCAGTTGATCACATTCCATGAAAAAATTTTCTAAAAAAGATAAAAATTCTTCCGTGTTCTTCCGTTGAGTAGTTCTTCCGCTCAACTCTGCTGCTTACCGTATGTTATGCCGCGTCCAATGTCTCGGAAAAACCGTAAAAACCGCAGATTTTTCTGTCCAAAGTCGGCCGAAATTTGCGTGAAAAACGGGGGTGCGCACAGCTGAACGAGTGTTACCGTACACCGTAAAATTACGGTATTTTTTGAAAATTTACAAATATTCTCGAGAAACAAATATTCTCGAAAATTAATGTAACCGTACCCCTAAAACTACGGTATTTTTTGAAAATTTGCGCAAGAAATTTGAATATTTTCAAATATCTTCAAGAAATTAACAAATTTTCAAAAAATACCGTAGTTTTAGGGGTACGGTTACATTAATTGAGCTGTGCGCACCCCCGTTTTTCACGCAAATTTCGGCCGACTTTGGACAGAAAAATCTGCGGTTTTTACGGTTTTTCCGAGACATTGGACGCGGCATTAGCTAGCGATTTATTTGACTGACTAGTGAAAAAGAAGTGAACTCACACTCGGCTCCAACTCGAATCGATCGGTGCTTCCGTTCGACGAACTGTTCCGATGGGTCATACGTACTTGCAAATGGGGTACTGTACCCGAATGCACCGAATGACGATGCTTTGTGGTTACCTGAAAATACAGCACATCATCGAAAGTGTAAGGACTCGCTAGACTACTAGAGCTACAGGGAAAAATGGAAAATGAAAAATGGAAAAAGAACAAGAACAAAAGCTCACAATAAGCACTTCGTCACCACTTTTACTCAGGCTCATGCTACGAACTTTCATCGCCGGATTCGCACTGATCTCCATGAATTGGGCCGCCGCTTCTTCGCTGAAAATTGCGAAATTTTGCTAGTTTTAGCCAAAAATTTTGCATCACTCGTCTCGAGCAGGCATCATTTCATCGGTATTTTCGAAAAATCGATAGAAACCTGCATCAATTCATTTTTAGCGCCCGAACATCACAAATCGTTCAAAACCGCCCGTTTTTACGGTAAAAACTGTGCGTGTCTTGTTGCTCGTGTATTTTTGCGTAATTATTTTCGTTTTAGAGTGAATGCGCACAATTCTCTGAAAAAATTGCAGTGGAGCGCACTTGCACCTCCCCGGCCTGAAATTCATCGGAAACCGAAACAAAAAAGCGGCGCGGCGTCTCCGAACCCTTTTGGGAATACGAGTTTAACCATAAATATTGAATTTTCGCAACTTTTTTCTCTCTTTTTTTCTCTTATCCCCCCTTGTGACTTTTTCTTCGTTTCGCTTCGAGTAAAACAAAAGAAGAAGAAGCGGATCAGAGATTAACTTTTTGGAGACACATAATACACAACATGTTGACACATTCACGCACTATTTTTCATTTTTTTTTTTTGCTTTATAGTGGAAAAAAAAATGATTGTGAGCTATTTTTGGCCAGGAGACGGATGTTGGGCGGTCATTTCTGGCTCTGTGGAGAAAAAACTGACAAAATCGGGGGAAAATGGATATTGTACCGCTAAATCCACCGGAATGCTATCGACAATCGCAGTTTTACAACAATTCGCCGACATTTTTGTGAAATGAAGCATTTTTCCGGTTGCTGGTCTGGAATTGTGTAGAAAATGGATAAATTTGTGCGATAAAGCACAAACTACTCAAAATCAAAACGGATATTGAATTTTATGCAAAAATGCTCGTTACCGTACCCTTTTCCTGTTATTATCAGTGTCCCGAATCGCTGCTTGCCCATTTTTTTTTTTGCCGAATACACAAAAGTATCAGGTGTCATCAATCTTCTTCTTTTCCCTATTTTTTCGGCTCTTTCCGTCCTCTTTCCTTGTTTTTGGCGTCTAGTCGATTTCCAGAAGACTGACGGGCGGTCAAATGCATTTCTGGTCCCCGTCGGATGGGCACTTTATCGGGCGGGCGGGCGGGCGGCACCGAAAAAGACCCTTCTTGTTTACCACGCAAATTTGGAAGTGGCGCCACGCACAACAAATGTTCAGAAAACGAATGAATCCATTTCACTTGTTCTCGGCGATTTCTCACAAACCATTGGGGACCACGGCGAAAACTCAAAGAGACGGAAAAGGGCAGCGGATCTACGGTTTACCGCCAGCACGTCATTCCTCTGGGAGCCAACGGGTGACGGTGGTCCGCGTGGCGCAGTGGTACTCGTTTAAATTTTTGGGAAAAGGTGCGAGTGGGTTCGAGGCCATGTACGTGTGGCAAAATATTTTGCTTTGCAGCAATGTCGATAATGCATGAAAAACCTGAAAAACAACAGGTTTATCGGGATTTTCGATAATTTCCGCCCCAAGCCAAGTACCCATTTCCCCGCAGAACCACAAATCACTGTCCAACTTCCTTCACCCAAAAATAGCCCAAAGCCTTCATTTCGCTACTAGAGCCACAAAAAAGTGATGCACACTGATAGTTAAGGCTCTAAAAATGTTGCGTTGTTTCGAAAAACTTTCCCCTTTTCCATCAAATTGAGCCCTTCCGACACTTCTTGCCACTCTTTCCTCTTTCTCTTCTTTTTTTGTGCACTTGACACTTTCAAGTCCATCGGTCAATGCTTCTCATATTTGTAAACTTTTTCCGTGTCGCGCCCGACAATATTTAGTTCGTTATGCCGAGAACTAAGCATAAATTTACGCTTGCGGGTTGGTCTATGAAGTGCGAAGGAAGCTTGAAAAAGGGAAAACGTCTAAAAAAAAAGAAAATCCGCCGGGCCGATTCCCGACGGACTTTCTCGCTTCTTGTGATGTTTTAACACACGCCGGCGAATATGTTCTGCGCTGTTTCTCTTTCATTTTTTTGACGAATCGACAAACGCGCGCCTCGATTGGCGCAATTGGTTTGTGTTCGAGAGTCCCGCGGGAGCATTTTGGGCACGCAAAAACGTTTCCGAGTATTCGAGGTTCGTTAGTGATTGGAATAACAGATTTTCGCGTTTGCACGGCGACCAACTGCTCGTTTTAAGCTCGAAAAAGTGCGCGCGATGATTAGTTTAACAAAGTAATGCAATTACATCGTCGAAATCGTACATAATTTGGGTAATTTTTGACGAAAAACATGAAAAAAATGGGGTTAAATTTCGAATTTCGCGCCAAAATGGTGACAAAACCGTGCACGCTAGGCCCCGCCCCCTTCTACGTTTTTGCGTCGCCGTGGTTTGCAGGTTTTTAGCGCTTTTTACCGATAATTCCGATTTTTTGCCTGTCTGAAATTGCAAAGTCGCCGAAAACTGACCACGCGTTACGATGCATCTGATTTCGTTGCATTTCGATGCTGCGCAGCCGTTCCCTGTGCCGTTTCTCCTTTTCTTTTCGCTCCGCTTTCTGCAAAAAAAAAAACACATTGTCTTTGTGCGACCAAAAAACTTCAAAGACCCTTCTAAATGGCAAGTCATGAGCCCATTCCCCTCTTAAATGCCCACTTTTTCCGGCTCAAAAGATGAGGGGAGCCGCGGCGGAACGAAAAACGGATAATTGCGGCTCATAAATAACGTCTTTGCCGTGCTCACGCGGCTTCCCGTTTTAAACTTCCCATTATTGCCTTTTTCTTTTTTCTCTCTTCTCGTTCCCCCCACCCATTCCATTCCATTCCATTTTTGCATAAAAAAAAGTGGAAGTGAACTGGATTAGTCTTTCTTTTCAGGCGAAAAAAGCAAAGAAAAAAATGCGGGGACCGGAAGATCTTGGCGTCCATTTGTTTGGGACGACGACAGATTTTGTGAGCTGGAAACTGAAGATGCGTCACTTTCTCGACTTCTTATTTTGGCAGTTGACACCACAAAGTTCGAAGAGCGGAGAACGGATGACGTGGCGGTTAACTTTCGGAAAAAAATCGAAACTCTATCAAAGCGACAGTCCGTCTTTGCCTGTTAAAAATTCAGGCGCCTGCGGTCAGCCTAATGGGGCTATTCAGCGTATGTTTGTTTTCCGTTTTTTTTACATCGCTGAATTAAATTTTTTGACGTAAAAAAAAACGAAAAAAACGGAAAACAATAATTTTTTTCACAGCCTGAATAACCCCATACAACGATTTTTCCGTGAAATTCCGAAAAGCACCGAAAAAATGTTTTCCGGACGTTGATTGCGAATCATTCTCATTGCAAAACGAATGTAACGCAGTCTTGCTCAAATTTTTTTAGGCCACAAAACGAAATTTCTTAAATTTGAGTCTGCACCTTATTTCTGGTAAATGTGTGCGTTTTCTCAGTTTCCGGATTGCAATGTGTCCCCACGAATTGTTTATTGGAAAACTCTGATTGTGTTCAGTGTCGAAATTTTTTTTTCACTAAGGCGCACTGATTGCGTTGTGTAAACACAGCACATGAACTTTTTCCCTTATTGAATGGTGAAACCTTGCAGAGTCCGTGTAGAACCGATTTTTCCAAAAAAAAAAAAAAATTACTAATGAGGTTATTCAGCGCATGTTTCTAACGCTTTGTAAGGTTTTTAAATCGCCAAATCGATTTTTCGACGTAAGAAAGGTAACAAACGAAAAAACATCCGCTGAATATTACAGGAGCACCGGACAGAAAGGGCGCGCTGTTCGCAATCTGGCCGAATTTCTAGGCCGCGAAGTAATTTTCCACTGAAAATGTGGCCTAACTTTTAAAACTCGGCCCTGAGGTCGCTCAATTTGCACTGCAAAAAGAGTTTCTCAACAGAGCGCCATTTCTGTGCGGTGCCCCTATAATACCTCTAAAAACGCTTTATGTGCACGCACTGTCCCAAACTATAAAACTCGCAATATCTTAAGAACTTTAATCCCATGTGACTTTTGCAAACCAGACTTTTAAACAAAAGCGATGTCACCTGTCAAAAAGTATCCTGGCTCAAACTGAAAAAGGATCCCCCCAAAGTTCAGGTCTAGACGTGACGCACCTGACAAGCGGAACATAGAACTATTGTGCCGTGTGCATGCAAACGGCCGATCCGTTTCTCCGCAAAATGCATCAACAACATGTGGCGCTTCGCATAAGAATTGTTCGCCTACTTTAAACACCTATATCATCATGAAATGTCGAATGTCTCGCACACCTGGTCGTCCAGGAATGTCGGCTCAAGTGCAAGCAAAAGTGAGAGAAACGAGAAAAGTGCAAGAGAAATTGGCCGCTTTTATGTTTCCTCATTTCTTCGGGAAGCGTCAAAAGTTAAAAATAGAAAAGATGGAAATGATTCTCGTGTTTTTAATTTCGTCTTGGGGAGCCATAAAAAATGAGGATGGCACTCGGGAAGTCTATTTCAAATTGCCGGCAAGAGACTTTTTGGAAATTCTAATTTGTCGGAAAATTTTCTTATTAAGAAAATTCGTGATTATACGCTTTATATGCTAGTCTTTGATTCATCTCAAGAACTTTGTAAAACGCCGCTTTCTAGTTCGCGATCTGAGCTTCTACAAATTGTTTTTACAAAGTTGAAATACAATCAAACGTACTAAATTCCAGTCCTACATTTTTTTAATACTCATGCCTACGCCAGGTCTATTCCGAAGACTTCAAGCCAATTTCCACATGTTATCCCGCCCCGTTCACTCGATTTTCAGAGCCTGCACATTGTTTACCCGCCCGTAATCCGCACGTTCGCAGTCCGTTTGCACTTTTTTGGCGCAAACTTCAAAAAATGCTTACCTGTTTGGTTCTGAGCGCCTGTGCTCCGAGCATCGTCGACAGAGTACAAAAGTGCCGTGGCTTATGAGATGGGTGGGGGAGGGAAGAAAAAGAAAGATGAGGAATAAAAGAAAGAACAATGAGGCACAAGGCAAGGGAAAAGGGGCGGAGTTTGGGGGGGGGAGAAAGCTCCAGGGGCTTGCAGCTCAACGGGGCGGGGCTTGGCAAAAAGTGACGTTTTGTGAGGAGTCGTCGTTGTTTTATTAACAGAGGAATGTTAAAAGACGTTAATGTTCATAGAATATGAATAGAGTTGAGCACACAATAAACAATTAAAGCACCAAGTTAGAGGTTGTAATAAAAATCATTATTCGCCAATCTCGTTACACCACTTGACAGGCATCCAGACGGGCTTCGACTCGAGCTGATAGATCAGCCCCGTCAGTTCGTTCATCGTCGTCTCCAAATCGGTATTCCGGACGATCGCGTCGCAAACTCCGCGATACTTTTGCTCCATTTGTGCCGAACTCTCAATGATTTGACGGATTTCGGCGTCGGAGAATCCGCGGCCGCCGCCGCCCGGCGCCATCGTATTCTGCGAGACGTTCGACGAGGAGGCCGCCGAGTGGGAACGCGTCGTTTGGGCACGGTACAGCTCACGCGTGTGCTGAATAGTTGGTAGGATTTAAAATGTGTCTATTCATTTCTAACTAGGACTTGGAAATGAAGTTCAGTGAGTTTATGCGCTTGCTGCTCAACTCTCACTATACATTTTCCAAATCAGTACAAATCAATCAAAATGGCAAACCTTGAACTCGCCAAACTCGGGCGGCTGCACAAAAACGACGATGGGCGCAAACTCCTCCGTGCGAATGTTTTCGACGGCCAACGGATGCGGCGTCAGCAGCACCGTTCCCCGTTCGCTCGCCTGCCGCACCGATTTGAGCGCGGTTCCGTAGAGATTCTCGCGGAATTCGCCGTACTCGAGCATCTCTTTCCGCTCGATCATCCGCTCCATTTCGGCGCGCGTCGTGAAATAGTAATTCACACCGTCCACTTCGTTGGGCCTGAAAAAAATTGTTATGCTCTGCCGTTTTCTTCTATTTTTGTCGTCTCTGGGAATTCAAAAGACGAATGGGAATTCGAGAGAAAATGACGAATCGTCGCCTAATTTGTCAGTTTTTCGTTTTCAGCGATTTTTGGCGGATTGTCTCCAGAGATGAATGGGACTTTTCGCTATTTTCAATTGAAAGCATTTAGAAAATTGTACTCAACTTGTTGTGCTTAAAGTATTTCCTAAGCGAGAAAGGAAGCAAGAACCAATTAGCAGTGAGCTTAGTCGCCCTCCGGAATGGGAATTTGATTACCTCGGCGGGCGGCTCGTGTGCGGAATCGCATTCGTGAATCGATCGGCGAACACTTTGAAGAACTGCCGTCGGATCTCATTGCGGCCGACGCCCGGAGCGCCCAGAAGCACGACGACTCGCCGCCGCTTTTTCTTGTTCCGCCATCGGAAGACGCTCTCGTAGAAGCGCTCTTTGTGGTTCTGAAACGATACATCTTACAGTTTTCAAAGACGCGATTCTTAAAACACGAACGGGTAAACAGCGAAATTCTGCATATTTTATCGTGTTTTTTTGTTATTCCGTCAAGAGAAATGAGCACGTGAGCGACGAAAAGTACAACGAAGAGTAAAAAGCTATAATATTCATACAGGACCTTTCTGTTCATGTTTTCCAAGAAAACGGGCGTTCGCATCAACAGAAGATGATTATAAACAACGAGCAGCGTGGACGTTGTCGCGGAGCGAATCGGAGAAAAACTAGAGAAGAATTAAGCAAAATGACGATATCAACTCATGTTCTATTTCACTTTTTGTGTACATTTATCGCATAGTACTCAGTATTCGGTTTGTCAATCACTCACTGCGCTGGAGTTTTCGAGTTTTATATGAAAAACTGTCAAAAATGGAGAGTTTTATGCGAAAAAAAACTCGATTCTCTGAGAAGAAACTATCGCGATTTCGTCGAAATAAGCTCTACTCGCATTTTTCAATGAAGAAACGGCAAAAAAAGAGGGCGCAAACGACGCAAACAACGACGAAAACAACCGTGAATAGCATGTCTCTAGTTAACCGGTTGCGCGCGCAGATCAAAAAATGGATGGGTCTCGCAGCGATGCGACAAATTTGAATGGAGTGCGCGCGTTTGGGAAAGCAGGCAGGACGGGACGAAAAAAAAAAGTCGGTAGTTTTGAGCTATTATAGGGGCACCGCACAAAAATGGCGCTCCGTTGAGAAACTCTTTTTGTAGTGCAAATTGAGCGACCTCGGGCCGAGTTTGAAAAGTTAGGCCACGTTTTCAGTGGAAAATTACTTTGCGGCCTAGAAATTCGGCCAGATTGCGAACAGCGCGCCCTTTCTGTCCGGTGCCCCAATAATATCGTCGCGCGCAACTCGAAGCATGCCTTTTGAAAAACAATAATAGAAAAGTCTTGTATGAGTAATTTTTGTGACAAACCTCCAAAAACGAAATGTGATCTTGCGGCTCGGCGCCTTCCTCGTTTTCCGATTTCGATTGCAGCCATTCCGAAGGGACTAGACCTATCTTTTCTGAAAATCATCTTTTTTTTTGCAATTATCTCTACGCAATTCTAACTGGAATCGTCCTTGGGCTGCTGCTCCTCGCCGTCGCGCTCTTTCCGTCTCGCGAGCGCTCCGAATCCGATCTTGCGCGTCTGCCACCAGTACGGATCGTTCTCCTTGATCACCTCGAGAATGTCGCCGGCGCGGAACGAGATGGCCGCTTCCGGGCACGGGTGACGACTGTCTTGCCACGGATCGTAGTCGAACTAAGGAACAGCGTAATTCGGTCAATTTTGAAGATTTTTCACATGTTAAAAAGCGAATCGATAGCTTTTTTTCTGCTCTACAACTTTGTAATAGTTCAGTTTTCCTGATCACGTGAAAAAATGGCCAATTACAAAGTTGTAAAGCAAGAAAATCATTCAATTGGATAAAACTCACGAGTGCCCTAACATATCTGTGCGAGGCCTTCCTCTCCTTGTACTTCAAACTCATTTCGGCCGGTATCAGTTTGAATGTGATCTGTACACAAAAACAATTGGCTCTTTTTCAATCCAAGCTTTCAACTAACAATGCCATTTTCGCACTTGTCGAGCAGTTTGACAATCTCGCGCGGTTCCTTATCGGCCACCGGCACTCCGTTCACTTCCAGCACCCTGTCGCCGTCCTGAATACACCCGCTCCGGTCGGCCACTCCGTTCGCCAGTATCCGCGCCACGTACACTTTGCCACGTTCGCATTTTATTGTGGCTCCGAGCGGCTCGCCACGTCGCACTATTCGGACCTGAAGAGGGATCGGATTGGCCGAAGTTTAGGTGAGAAATTATCGACTTTCCGCATTTTTAACGTGTGCAAATTTTCGTAACTTTTTATCAATGGCAAAGGCACATACCGTTCTCTTATCAAGCACATTCAATTTTTTTTAAAGGCAAACACGTCTTTGTACTCGTGTACTTGTCAAAATTCAAATATTTAACCTCTCCCGCCTAAAACTCACAATTTTGACGGCCACGCCGTCGTCCTCGTCCACTTCGAACGGCACTTCGGGCAATTTGGGTCCGAAGCGGCCGGCCGATATCTCCTGGGCGGCCCAAAGTGTGCCCTGAATGTGCGGTCGGCTCAAAAGAGCACACAATTGTTGTGCGGCCGCGGATTTTGCTCCGATATCGTCCAAAACGCTCTGCGAGAGCTCTTGGAACGAAATTTCCGCCTTTTTCGCGTTTTTCTCATTTTCAGCCGCCACCGCTCGAAGCACCGCCACGGCGTTTTCTTGTCGGACAGTCAGAGCACGACCGGAATCTGTGACTTTTTTTTTCAAGTTGTTTCGCAAGGAAATTGTTTTAAAAAAAAAACTTACTGGAAGTGCCGGCGGCGCCAGTCTCCTCTTCCGCGTAATCTAGAATTGTGGAAAAAATCGCCGAAAGATTGCCATTTTCCATCTGAAAATGGGGAAAATAGGAGAAAGTGTTTGTGTGTAAAATAAGAGTTCCCAAGGGGGACCCCGTTAATTTCTCACTGCTAAACCGAGAGTGTTTGGCGGCGGAGTGTCGTTGAGAGAGCGACGAAAATATTTGAATTTTTGGCGCTTCTTTTTGTTTTGTTTCGATAATGTTAGATTGTTCACTGCTAACCCCATTTTTCTTGATTTTTATGGCCTTTTTCAGTCGGGTATCGATTTTTTACGGAAAAATTACAGTTTTTTCAGTCAATTTATTTTGTTCCTTTTCTCCGACTGAATGAGCCCATGAAAACAATGTTCAATGAAAATATTGCGTAATTTTTCAATCGGAAAATTAAAACTTATCCGAGAGAAGTACACGACACCTTTCGTGGCGGGACCATTAGGCGCGAAAGATTGAAAATTCAAATATGCTAGCTTAAAAATCATCATTTCCGTCGTATTTTCTTGCAGAAAATGCGCTTACTGACCATTTCACTGCTGCTCGTGGCGGCAAACGCTCAAAAATTCGACGATTGTGACCAAAAACCGAAAGGTAAGCCTTCTTCTAGAGGAAAAAATGCGAAAGTCGATAATTTCAGCTCTGACGACGGGTCACCGAGTGGGCGGCAAACTCTACTCGAACCAACTCGACTACTATCACCAAAAAGCGCTGCCCTACAGCCCGATCTATGCGTTTACGGACGTTTTTCTTAAAATTAACCTCACCGACGCCGATTCGTACCACTTTTATCAGGGCTCCAACTGCTCGGCCGTCAAACAACTTTACGACAACGACAATCGGTACTTCGGGCTGTGGAAAAAGGCCGCTTTGTTAAGGTTTTAGTGAAAAAGTAGAACAATTGAGAGAAAGGCGTTTAGATCGCATCATTTGGACCCGTTCAACGACACAATCGTGGGCGTGCACACCGCGGAGCCCTACGAAATATCGGTGCTCGTTTGGAGTGAGTTTTTAAAGGAAAAGTTTGGCTGTTTTCCAGAAAAACACAAATTTCAGAGGTAAACTACGTGCGCGTGGGCGTCTACGCGGCCGCAATTCTGCTCTTTTTGCTCGCCAGCAAACTCGTCCGAAATGTCGTCTTTTACTACACGAGCGGATGCTCCTTCGGCCTCCTCGCCTCCCTTCTCCTCGTCGCGTTTATCGTCTGGCGTGTCGCGCCAAAGGTTGGTTGCAAACGCGCTCCACTGCACAAGCGGTGGCCGTGGCCGCGAAAGTCCGCGAAATCTGAGTTTAGGCGAGAATTTTGCGGGATTTCTAGCCTGGATTTTAGCTCAAAAATGTCAATTTTACGTAAAAAACCGAACGTTTGCAGAAAACGATTGGGTTGCCAATACTGATCGGCGGCTGGTCCGTCTCGATCTACATGCTGCACTTTGCGTGGTCCAACCTTCAGAGCATCCTGTTCGAGTACCAAAAGTACGTGATCGGCTACTTCTCGGCGGTCCTGCTCGTCTCTATGGCCGTTTGCTACAAGCGCGGCCCGCCCACAGACGCCCGTTCCCATGATATCGCCCAGTGGAGCCTCCAGCTCATCGCCCTCGCCCTCATTTATTTCTCGGTCCAACTGCTCGAAGTCTCCCTGGGAACTATTGCCGTGCTCGTGCTCCAAGAGCTCACGCGCGGCTTCCTCTTCGCCGGAATCCGATGGTATTTCGTCGGTTTGGCCGCATTCTGGCGCAAGTGTTTCCCGAAAAAACGGCGATTGCTGAACGAGGCCGAGTACGAAAAAGAGGGAGAAAATACGACGAGAGAGCAATTGGCACTGCTCAGAGAGTACTGTAGGAAGGAGGGAAACCACCCGTGGAAACTGGCCGGAAATGTGCGAAGTGCCAGACGGTGAGCGTCGTTTCTATGCGAAAACCGGCCCTTTTTGACAGTTCTCTCATTTTTTTAAGCATTTTGAGTAATCGGACAGTCAAAAATCAGTCGTTTTTGGCCCGAAATCAGCAAAGAATTGTAATTTTAAAGCGGCAGATTGGCACGATTCGTCGAGGGAGAAGAGGATCACATAACCGAGGACGAGGCCTACGCGCACGAGATCAGCGGCGACATTTTGGAGAGGGACGAAGAGTACGAGAACGATTTCTACGTAAAAGAGCAGCGCACACCCAATGGCTCGCTTTTTGAGCACGAAGAGGACGACGGAGAGGAGGATCAGTGGGACGAGATCGTGGTGCGAAGGAGCGGCGCTTCTGAGAGGGTCCAGTCGATCCGTGTGCCACGGAAGGTCTCGGAACGACTGCTCTCGCCCTATCGGCAACTGAATCGGACCGTCGGCGCCTCGATGGGATACGAACGCGGCGGTTGGCAGCCGCGCTCGAGCTACTCGGAACATCGGCCACGCAGAGACGAAGCGCCACGCACCGGCGGCCGACTCACCGAGTTCTTGAGGGGGTAAGTGCGCTCCGTTGGGATATTACTGCGATTGGGGCGAAATTTGTACTGTACTAGAACTCGGTTTTTCCCGAAAGCCACGACCCTTTTTGCAGGAAAAACGTGCTGCAAGCGGAACCGCAGCGCTACGCGAGCTCCTCGTCGGGCTCTTCGTCGCGGAGCAACGGAATGACGCCGAGCGAGTACATGCGGCAGGCGCGGCGGATGGACGGACTCTCGAGGACGCCCACCAGAAGGTTCGCGCCCAAAATCATCGAACATTCAAACATTTTGGCGTTTTGTCATCTAAAGTGGTGATATTGATGTTAAAAATGACATAGATTGCCCGTTTTGTACCTGAAAACTGTAAAAACGTTCAGAGTGCCGGTGAGACAGCCGACGACCGACGAGGAGGAGTACGACGAATAATTCATTGCCCTTCCCATTTTTTGCCCATTTTTCAGTGATTTTTTCCCGATTTTTCAGTGTGTATCTCGAATTGTTTACTGGTATTTTATAGGTATTTATTATATTTTTTACGCCCACGCAGTCTGGCCCGATTCTCACCCCCCGCGTATTTCAATTTATATCCAACGGTTTTCACTCGTCGTCTTTTGTGAATAAGAAACGATTCATTGTCCAGGAAAATGCCGTTTTTTTTGTGATTTCCATTGGTCTTTTACCCTATCTGTATATCTTTTGAGAAAATGGTGTAAATGCGCTCCGTGTTCGCGAAATTTAAATAGCAATGGAGTGAATTTGCATTATTTTCTTTGTTTTCCAGATTTAGACAATTTTGACCGCAAATACGCTCGATTGGCGCGAAATTTGAACACTTTCCCTCCAAAAGCTGAACATTTTCGGCGACAATCAATTTCTCAATGTTTTTTCGCATTCGAGCGCATTTGCATTCCTTTTTTCGAAAAATACAGAAGTTTCTCAAATTTCAACAAAATACTGATTTTCTCCTTGTCAGATGAGTACGGATCGTCAATTCTCGACGCCGGTCCAGAATCAGGTGACGCTGAGCCGTCTGGCGCTGATCCAACAGGCGGCCACTCGAAGCGGAGCCCTCCCGCCGGCCGGCCAGCACCGAAACAGCAAACTCTCGCCGTTCGACGTCTCCCAGATGTCGGGCGTCTCGATTTCGATGGTCGAACGCGCGAAGATCAACGGCTCCGAGTTTGTGGAGGAGTTGGAATGGCTGCGGAAAGAGGCCGCCGCCCGTTGCTTCCTCGACGCCGAACTTTGGGTCAACGAGATCCTCGCGTTCCTGCCCGACAAGTGGTGCACGCCCGCCGGAATGGTCAGTTTGCGACGCACAAAATGCGTTTGAAGTCGGATAAAACACGACATTTCCAGTATTTTTTAGCTTTTCGAACAGCCGAAAATGGTCGAAAACTAGCTGAATCGCACTTGCATCTCAACACAATTCATTTGCAGAACCTGTACAACACGACGTCGAAGCCGACGCAAATGTACGACGACTCGTCGTTCAACGTCACCTCGCCGACGACTTCGGGCGCGTTTTCGCCGGGCTCAGAGGCGGTGCCGATTGCGAAACGGGAGCATCTCTCCCGTTTCGCCCATACGCTCATCAAGAATCGCGAGTTCCGTCGGGCGGCGTTTTTTCTTGAAAAGACGGCGAAAAGCAGCAGGGCCGATCATTTTCTGCACTTTCGCTGCCTTTACCTGGCCGCCTATCAGGACCATTTGGAGAACGATTCGGAGGGCGTCGAGCGGAAAACGAGTTTCGGCGAGGAGAAATCGAAATTTGCCGAGTTGCTGCAGCGGATGGAGGACGAGGATTTGCGCGAGAACGAGGACGTCTGGTTCGAGTACCTCATGGGCCTTTTGGAGGTCGAAATCGGGCTGAAAGAGCACGCCGGGCGCACTTTTAAAAACGTTTTGCGACGTGATCCGAGGCTGTGGCCCGCCTGGGAAGGTCTTTCCCGTCTGATCTCGGACATTGAGGACGCCGATCGATTTGTGACTGCGAGCGAGATGAAGTCGTTGTGGATGGGCGACTGGTTCATGGTCTTGGTCCTTCAGAGATTCCATCAAGACTCGATGGCGATCCAGAAGGCGGAGCAGTTGGTGACACGTGGCATGACGGGCGTGCCGATGATCATCACGAAGATCGCGGCCTCGTCGAACGCGCGTCACGACCACGATCAGGCGATCGCCAACTTTGAGGACGTCCGAGCGATGGACCCGTTCCGGCTGACGGATCTACACCTGCTCTCCGACTCGCTCTACATTCGAAATGATCTCAAAAAGCTGTCGGAACTCGCCCTGGAAATCTACAAAGTGCACAAATTTCGATGGGAAACGTGCTGCATCGTGGCCAACTATCACGCGATACGCAGAGATTCGGAGCATGCGATCAAGTTTTTCCAACGGGCTCTGCGGCTGAATCCGGGAATTGCGGGCCTCTGGGTGCTCATCGGACACGAGTTTATGGAGTTGAAGAACAACGCGGCCGCCTGTGTTTCCTACCGAAGAGCCATTGGTTAGTACTCTGATTTACGGTGACGTTAACTTTTAACACTATCGGTTTCCTGTGAGAGTTTTTTTTTCACTTTCGCCTCGTTTTCAGAACTCGACCCGGCCGATCATCGTGGCTGGTACGGACTCGGTCAAATGTACGACATCATGAAGATGCCCGCCTACTCGCTCTTCTACTACCAGGAGGCACAAAAGGCGAAACCGCACGACTCGCGGTTGCTCGTCGCGCTCGGCGAGGTCTACTCGAAGATCAACCGGATCGAGGACGCGGAGCAGTGCTTCACGGGCGCCTACCTCTTCGGCGACGTCGAGGGAAACGCGCTGTGGAATCTGGCGAAGCTGCACGAGAAGCACGGCGACGAGGCGAAGGCCGCGCAGGTCTTCGAGGTCTTTCTCGTCGTCTACGAACTCGTCACGTCGGCCGAGGAGAAGATCATCTACGCGATCGCCAACCTCGCCAACTTTTACTTCAAATCGCAAAACTACGAGAAGGCCGCCGAGTTTGCCACCAAATGTCTCGCCTATGAATCGGTACGACTTTGAGAATCTAGCTCCAGAAAAACGTCCAATTTTTGTACAATATTTGCCTTTTTTCAGCTGTGTCAAGAGGGAAATCGACTGTTCCGCGAGATTGCCAAGATTCACTCGCGAGAGTTGGCGGTCGGAGCGGTGCCGGAAGACGGGACCGCATCGGCCGACGCCGGGGACGAGCACGACGAATTGGAAATCGACGAGGGGTACTTTTCGGTTTTTTTTTTCGTCAATTTACTGTTGAAGAACGAGAATATTCACTTTTTCCATTAAAAGACTGAGAATCTAGTTAAAAGTGTGCAGCAAAAGTGCAGAAAAGGGTCTTAACATTTATATATGTATTTTCTGCAGAGGCGAAGAGGAAATGTCGGAAGGCGAGGACGAGCTCTCATTTTGATCGATTTCTACGATTGCATACAGTATACTACGTTTTTCCATGTTTTTCAACTGTTTCTTTTATATATAATGCACAGCTTTTTCCGATTTTTTTGTCAAAGTAGTCATAACAACACTTTGAGTCGAATTTTCTCGAAGATTAGGAGGTTCCAGTGGGTTCCATCGTGTTTTCTGACATCTACAGACACAGTGGAAGCATTCTGTAGGTTTTTCAAGGATTTTGAATCAATTTCAGGCCATCGGAACGCATAACGTCCTGAAAAACTGAATTTACCTGCTAGAATGCCCCTTTTTTGCATACAACTTTTATGCTCTTTTGCCTAACGCTGCTTACAGTGATCCTTATGTAATTTTCGTCAATCCTTGACCCATTCCAATCATCAAATGCCCTCCAATTCAATATGCATCAAAACGCTTTTCAAAACCACTGACACGAGTCCATCGAATCCATCCTCAATAGAGCCGACCTTTTCAAAACCGGCACAACAAAAACGCCACAAAATTTGCATCTCATTTCCGTTGCGTCGTGCGTGGAACTCGCTAGTCAGAACAAGTGAAGAAAAAATGGGGCCGGGAACTCTGCAAAAACAAAAAGAAGAGATTCGAGGCTCGAGTTAGGAGGCGCCGCCCGTTTCTCTTCTTCAGTGTCAGTGTGTCAGCGTCGAATGCAACTAACTTTGGCGGTCCTCTTCTCAACAAGTACACGTTCGTCTGAAAAAAATGCAATTTTTCCCGCCCAAGTTTGCCCCGTCACGGATGGCTGGAGATGTCATCCGACTCGAGTTTTGAGCGAGTTGGTTGCCAATTTGTACACTTTACAAGCAATGTGCTTCAAAAACAATGGTCAAAGAATCCAGGTTTTTGAGATTCTTGTTTTCGGATTTGCCACGTCAGCACGACACTTTGCACATTCCCTCAAAGTCTCCTTCTCTCTCTTTCTCTCTTTTCCTTGTTTATTCAATTCTGCTTCTTCTTCGTCTTCTTCTTCTTCTTCTTCTTCAGAATCCTCTCTCTCTCTCTCTCTTTTTTTTTCCTATTTTTCCCCCATTTTTCTCACCACACGCGTCTTTTCTAATGTCCAAGTGTCCCATTCGTTCCGCATTTTTCGGCGCAGAAAAGCAACGTTTTGCAGATGTTCGCGAAATGTTGACCGCCATCTACAACATTTCGCTTCTTCTGTTTTTCAGTAAGTCAGTACGCGTTGGCGTGAAAAATTATCCTCTTGTTTACGCGCGCGCGCGCGCCCCGAGACGAGACGAGACGAGACGAGACGGAAATGGAGCCGAGGAGCTGATTTATGTTATGTCCACAAAAAAAGGCTCATTATTAAGCGGCAAGGGATCTATGAAAAGCTTTATAGGGACGCACGGTCTCCAGAGCTGACAATGGGCGCAAGTGCGCCCCGCCCAATAGAGCGATACATTGGCGCGAAATTCAAATTTTAACAGCAAAATTTGTGTTTTTTGCCAGATTAGCCACGAAAAACCGATAATTTCTTATTTGTCTCTCGACACACCGATTTTATAGGCTATTACGAATTTTTTAAGCGCAAGAGCGTCAAATTTGGTCAAGTCGCAAATGTTTGAAAGTTTTTCGCTAAAACTGCGTGAATTTCAGTTGCTTTTCGGTAATTTTCGCGGTTCGAGCGCTCAAAACGCTTGTATTTACGTGATTTATCATTCTCAAAACCAATTCTGTCGGAAAACGGTCAAGAAAGCGCAAAATGAGAAGTGCGGTTTTAAGGCGGCGATCGGCGGCGAAGGCGAAAAAGCAAAGTCCGCGAAAAATGCGTCAAAGCGTCATTAATTCTGATAATTAGTGTGTTTTCATGTCGAACAATCATTTTTCATCACCTTTGACGGCAAAAATCAGAGAAAACCTGCTCAATTCATGAAAACGCCATTTGGCCGCCGAGGCCACGCCCATATTGTCAGCTCTGGAGACCGTGGAACCATGATTTGCCACGTCACCTCTTCTGACCTTCTAATTCGCGCGCCCACTAATGGACACTCAGCCCTACGCAGATTCTGGGGACCAACTTCCCCCTTTTCCACTAAAAAAACCACTTTCTCTTGCAGGCGCTTTCAATCTAATCATCTTTCGCTCCATTTTCCACCAAAAATCTGCGCCGAACTCCTCGGTCCCCAGAGAAAAAGGGTTGCAAGAGAGACGAAGAGAAAAGTGAATCATTTTGATTTGTTGATGTACATTTCGTGTGTCGGAGCATCACTGAAATTGGCTTGAGCACACCAAAAACACATAAAAACGCCGGCCGACCCCGAGAGAGGATGCGGAATTCCGTCTAAAAGGGACCTATAGATACACTCAACGATTTCAGTTTCAGACGGCGCCCAGAGCAACCAATTATCGTCGCGTGCCGATCAAAATGTGATGCGACTGTATCGAGACCTGCTCAACGAGTACAACAACGAAGTTAGGCCGACGGTACACCCGCGCGAGCCCATCAACGTCACTTTTGTCTTTTCGCTCACTCAGATTATTGATGTGGTAGGTCGGACGTGGTGCTTGCTCAACGCAAACTTGGCCTAGAAAACTCCATCTTAGGCCACGTTTTGACAAAATGAGAAGCACACGGTCTCCAGAGCTGACAATATGGGCGTGGCCTCGGCGGCCAAATGGCGTTTTCATGAACTGAGCAGGTTTTCTCTGATTTTTGTGGTCAAAGGCGATGAAAAACGATTTTTCGACATGAAAATACACGAATTCTCAGAATTAATGACGTTTTGGCGCATTTTTCGCGGATTTCGCTTTTTCGCCTTCGCCGCCGATCGCCGCACTTCTCATTTTGCGCTTTCTTGACCGTTTTCAGACAGAATTGGTTGTGAGAATGATAAATCACGTAAATACAAGCATTTTGAGCGCTCGAACCGCGAAGACTACCGAAAAGCAACTGAAATTTACGCAGTTTTAGCCAAAAACCTTCAAACGGATAAATGTGATTTGCGTTTGACGCTCTAGCGCTTAAAAAATTCGTAATAGCCTATACAATCGGTCTATCGAGAGACAAATGAGAAATTATCGGTTTTTCGTGGCTAATCTGGCAAAAAAACACAAATTTTGCTGTTACAATTTGAATTTCGCGCCAATTTCGCGCCCATCGTCAGCTCTGGAGACCGTAGCAGCACGCCATGTGCCTCGAAGAGAACGTTTCCAGGACGAGCGCAACCAGATCCTGACGACGAACAGCTGGGTCCGTCTTCATTGGGTCGACTACAAACTGGTGTGGGATCCGCGATTATATCAGAACGTCACTCGAATACACATCCCTAGCGACAAAATTTGGAAGCCCGATATCATTTTGTACAACAAGTGAGCGCACCGATCACCAATCTCACACTCTGCGATAATTTCAGTGCGGACGCGCAGTACACAAAATCGGTAATGTCGACGGACGTGATCGTGGACTATCTGGGCAACATTCACTGGCCCCTCTCGGCGATATTTACTTCGTCCTGTCCGCTCGACGTCAAACACTATCCGTTCGATCGGCAAACGTGTATTCTCAAGTACGCGAGTTGGGCGTACGACGGAACAAAAATCGATTTATTGCTAAAGTCTGAGCAGGGTCGGTTTGTTTTTCTGCACAATGTTTTCTTCTATTGGAATGTTCAGGTGACATTACCAACTACATCACCAACACCGAATGGAGTCTGATCGGGATTCGAGCTGAGAAACATCAAGTGATCTACAGCTGCTGTCCGGAACCCTATCCGTTTATCGATGTGCATGTGACGATCGAGCGAAGGGCCATGTTTTATGTACGTATAACAAAATTGATTTTCAAATTTATAACTATAACTTCCAGGTTTTCAATCTGATCCTTCCGTGCGTTCTCATCAGTCTCATAGCCTTGCTGGGCTTTTATATGCCCACGGATTCGGGCGAAAAAGTGACCCTGGGGATCACTTCCCTGCTCTCAACTACCGTATTCCTGATGCTGGTCGCCGAGGGAATGCCACCGACTTCCGAGGCGCTTCCCTTAATCGGAATATACTATGGCGTCACAATTATGCTCGTCGCACTTGCCACAGCGATGACTGTGTTCACGGTACTGTCTACTTTTATCAGGGCAAAGCAAAAGGCCGGCCAAGGCTTTTCGGAGTCTTTTTGACGAAAATTGCGGCCTTTGCGGCCTCTGATCCGCATATCTCGGCACCAGATTGTCCGATCGGTCTGAAACTTGGTCCCAGTATACCTCAATCCAAGTGTAAGAAGTCTGCAAAGTTTGGACCCGATCGGATCATTGAAAGTGTGTCAAAAGTGCACGCGTCAAAAAGCCTTCAAAAAGTTCACCTGTGCACGGTCTCCAGAGCTGACAATGAGCGCAAGTGCGCCCCGTCCAATGGAGCGATACATTAGCGCGAAATTCAAATTTTAACAGCAATGTGTGTGTTTTTTGCCAGATTAGCCACGAAAAATCGATAATTTCTCATTTGTCTCTCGATAGATTGATTATATATGCTATTACGAATTTTTTAAGCGCAAGAGCGTTAAATTTGGTCAAGTCACAAATCACATTTATCCGTTTGAAGGTTTTTGGCTAAAACTGCGTGAATTTCAGTTGCTTTTCGGTAGTTCTCGCTGTTCGAGCGCACGAAAAGCTTGTATTTACGTGATTTATCATTCTCAAAACCAATTCTGTCTGAAAACGCTCAAGAAAGCGCAAAATGAGAAGTGCGGTTTTTCGGCGGCGATCGGCGGCGAAGGTGGAAAAGCAAAGTCCGCGAAAAATGCGCCAAAACGTCATTAATTCTGAGAATTAGTGTGTTTTCATGTCGAACAATCATTTTTCATCGCCTTTGACCATAAAAATCTGAGAAAACCTGCTCAATTCATGAAAACGCCATTTGGCCGCCGAGGCCACGCCCATGTTGTCAGCTCTGGAGACCGTGCTCCATCTCAATCCCACGTGAAAACACACTGAGTGCAGTGGAGCGCGATTGCCAGACTTCTGCGGCTGCAAACATTTCCCCATTTTTTTGCATCGAACTTGAGCCCAACACTTCTATATTTGCAGGTGAACATTCATCACAACGGAGTGCACGGCTACCCGGTCCCGCCGTTTCTTCAAATCTTTGCATTCCGCTATCTATCCAAAATTCTGTTCGTCCGCATAGAACCATATCACTCGATCGCCCATCATGTTAGGCACATGTACCAGGTACCGGCGACCTGTATCCATAAAATAATCGATAAGTTTCAGAAAGAGCACCCGAACGAATGCAAACTATCGGCCGGAATTCACTATCAACGACTCAACGATTTCGACGTGGCGCAGCAAGAGAAAAACAAGAAGGAATACGATTTGAGGAGACAAAATTCGAGTTGGTGTGACACAAAAAAACAATGTTTATTTGTAATTGTTCAGATTTATCCGTAATTTCCGCAAACGTACACTGCAATCCGGAAGACCGACTTCTCACTCAAAATCGAGAGGAAAAAGACAAAAATCTGCGATCGTCGTTGTCGATTCGAAGCGGATCGCCGAATAAGAAAAAGGTAATATTTGGAGCTTTTTCCAGTTTTGTACGCATCTAATTATGTTACTATCAAGGGACATATTCGAGTGTCGAACAAGATTCAAAGTTCTCGAATTATGGAAACCGATGTTTCCCATCTGGTTTGTAACCATTTTTTCTGTTGCTTTGGCTGCTTTCTATCTGCTTTCCGCTTCAATCCTTTTCGCCTCTAAATTTCTAATTTTTCAGGTCTCATTCTCGTCGCTCAATTCTCACGAGACGCCAATCGATTCGCCGATCTACGGCCGAAAAATCGGTCGGACTCAAGTGGCCAACGGCGGCACCACCACCACCAACTATGTGGATCTTTCCGGCTCGCCCGTCTCGGAAGCAAATCAACCGTGCGTCGACGAATTCGAGAAAGAGTTTTTGCGGGTCATGTCTATGGTGCACGGAATTATTGAGCGGAATGAGATGCGCGTCGCCGAGAGGGATAAACGCGATGCGATCGCGTTGGAGTGGCAGCAGGTCTGTGTTTTGTTTTGCCTCTTCTCGATACATTTATCGATAAATCGATCGATAAGATTTTTTCAATCACAATGGTAGTCTGGAAATATTTTCAGGTAGCAATGGTGCTCGACCGATTTCTACTCGTCGTCTTCCTAATCGGCACATCCATGTCCACATTTGTCATTTTGAATCAACGCAATTTGTTCGAGTCTACGGGATAATCGATGGATTTTCTAGCCTCTCATGTGAATCAATAAATCTTCAATGTTCCGATGTTTATTGGACGATTTTTAAATTTCAAAAAAATTAGTCAAAAGATTAGGCGAAAAGTCTCCTCGCGACTCGGGTTCTTCTCAACTTCATCTCCTTTTCGTTGATTTCCTCTTTTCCTTTTCTCTTCCGTCCGACCATGTTTGCCTGGCTCTCCTTTTCTTCAGACGATCCGTGTCTCGACGGCTTCGGCGTTTCTTCCTCCATTTCGCTGCTTTTCTTCTCTTCTTCCATTTTGCTCGTCTCCCGGATCGTCTGCACTGGCTCAGAGCTGCTGGACAGTGTGCTCATCTATAAAATCATTAAAATCAATTAAAACAAATGAGAAGGAAAAACAAAAATAACAGTCATTTTCATGCGGAACCTTAATGCAAATATAAAATGTGTAATGAAAGAAGAAAGAGTAAATGAGCCAAAAGATGTGCGCAGCGCGTAGGTGAAGATGCTGCGTTTTCGAAATGAATATCGATCAGAATGCGTGTATTTACAAGAATCACAATGTCAGGAAATCGCAACAATAAAAAAGTCGTGCAACAGTGGGAACGGATTAATATCACAGATTATCAGTCGTCTCCTCATTTTTCTCCTCTTCTTTCACATTCTCCGCTTTTTCGTCGCTGCTGCTGCTCGTGCTCAACGTCGTCGGTAATTCACTTCGTTTCTTGCGACGTTCACATCTGAAAAATGGGTTTAGAAAAACCGAACAAAATACGCGCAAATTACCTGGGACAGTTCATGCTTTTGCGCTCGAAACACTTCTTGTGATATACGGCAAGACACGTGGCGCAGGCGCGAGTGTTCTCCGAAAACGGGAACAGCACTTTGCCCTTCTGCTCGGCCGCCGTCGAATCGTCGCAGAGTTCGCAGAAGAATCCGTTGCCGGCGCACGTCTCGCACTCCTCCTCAATGTGTTTGCGGAAGACGGTGTGGATCTGCTCGAGCTCCGGCAGCAGAGTGCCTTCGCACAACTCGCGGAGCTCTTTCAGCGAGTACATGACGGACGAGTCGACGAAATGCGAGTGGGTTTGTAGGTACTGGAGGATGCGGAGACGCCGGGCGGTGCGGCAGCTCACGAAGTAGCACTTCATTAGCAGAAAGTTGCGGCGCAGCTCGTTTACCCGCCGTAGTTCCTGAAAATTGTGAAAATCAGTGGCGCAAAGTGCGGTAGAGCGCGTGCTCGCCCCAAAACTTTTACATTTGCTCGTTCGAGTTAAAACCGACAAAACTTGGCAATTTCGAGTTTCCTATCGCTTTTTCCGGGTCCTACCTTATGAAATTTGATGAGCGAGAGCGTCGATTCGTTAATGTCGATGAGTGGCCGATGGTCGACGATCGACAACAGTTGTTTGACGGCTCGACACACCGGACGCGGCGTCGCATCCAGGTTGTGGATGATTCTGAACAGACAAGTACTAAAAAACGGGCAGCTTTACATGAATTTTCAAGAAAAAACGCGCTTCGAAGAAGACAATACCTGGCGGGCACACTCCACACGTCGTTCCAATGGCAACTGGGACAGAAGAGTTCTCCGCTGTAGTCGCAGAGCCGCGCCTCTTGCTCGGCGGTTCCATCGAAGAAGATGGGCGCCGCGCACTCGGCGCACTGGTATCCCTGCTCGGCGAGGCTCCGCTCGTCGCACAACGTCGTGTTCAGTTCGAATTGGGAACGGGCGGCCAGCACGCCCGCACACACTCTCTTCACCTCCTCTGCGCATTTGTCATGGGCCCGCATTCCGCACACTGCAAAACGTGTGAGCGTTTTTAGGCCAGAAAACGTATAGAATCGGCGGCGGCTAACCTCTACAGCGTCGCCACCACTGCACAAGTCGCCAGATGGTGTGCATACACACTTCGCAACACGGATTGTGGCCGCCGCGCACCGGTTGCATCTCGAACTCGTGTCCTTCGGAGCGCACGAGCGAGTCTTCGGGGCACGAAGTTCCTGCTTCGTCCTGCAAACGGAGAAAAGTTTTTTTTTTTTTAAATACAATTAGACACAAAGACAGTGTTGGTTTAAAAAAAAAAAGTTGTGTACCTGAAGAGCCTGCCGTTCAAGCCCGAGCTGAACGATTTTATCGAAATACATCTGTTTGCGGAGCGCTTTTTGTTCGCGATTCAGGAAGGTGGGCAGGTTTCCGAGCACATCTCTCTCTTCGTTCGGGTTTATTATGTTTACTGAAAATAACGTATGTCCATACCAAGCCCTCGATTAACTTTACATTATTATCAATCTAGGAATGGAGTATCTTCATTGACAGTTTCAATTCAATCCATCGTTGAAATCTTGCGTTTCTAGATGAGATGATCCTATGAAACTGCAACTTTCACTGAATATACTTCATTCCTAGATTGATAATCCGCTGATGTCTCACTCGGTTTCGAGGCTCCCTGCGCCTCCGTCTCCCCGTCTTCCTCCTCCTCCTCGAGCAGCTCTTTCAGTTGTGCGCGACAGTATTCGAGTGCCGTCTGCACGCATTCCACGTGTCCTCTGTCCGGATGGCTCCGTTTCCACGTGTCCATCTGCTCCTGAACCTCCTTGTCCACCTCGTTCTCGTCGATTTTCGCCACGAGCCAAGAGCCCTTTCGCGACGACGTCATCGAATGCGTCTCTTCCGAAGAGCACCACGAGGAGGACAACATCCGATTAAAGGGCTCTGAAATTGGAAGCATTATTAAATTGTGTGTTCCCTTCAAATTTCAGCAGTGAATAATCGCAATGAAAAAGTATGTAAACTGATGAATGTACACAATGCATTTTCGTTGCTGCTTTCTTTTTCTGCTGTGCTCATCAACAAGTCATTTTATTACACGTTTCAAGAACACAAAATTTCGGGCTGATTTCAGACAATTCCAGAGAGAGAGAAAAAGAGAGACAGAGTGAGAAAAAAAGAGATAGAGACAGACAGTGATTGGAAGGGAACAATTCGGAAAAGAAGAGATACCATTGCCAAATTACGCACATTTTTCGTTCGGTCAGGTCAAACGTTGATAAGGGTTTGGCCTTGAATCGAGCGAAAATCACATGAAAAGCAGTGGGGAATCTTTCCGTTTCCGAAAAAATTGTGTGTGTGTGTGTGTTTGTGGTGGAAAACATGTTTGTTAAAGCTAGTGAACTCAGGTGGATTGGTTTCGAGAAAAAAAGGGACGGGGCTAGAAAAGTATCGATTTTCACGCCTACCCACAAAAACAGGGAAAAACAGAGACAAAACGCTGGAAAAAAGGTTTCCGCGAAAATTAATACAATTAGAAAAAGTTAAACATGACAGCAAATGGAGCACAAAAATTGGGGGGAAAACTTGGCATTACAATAGAGAAAAAAGAAAACGATATTTTATGTGTGTGTGTGTGTGTGTGTGATTTTAACCGCTTTTTGTGTGGTGGGGAATAAACCGACTGGGTGGGTGGGGGGGCCAAACAACTGGGGGGGTGGCGTCAGGCGAACAAATATTAAAAAGAAATATATAAAAACAATAAAAGAAATGGATATGATGATGATGACGGACGAATGGCCTAGGGATCCGTCTTCACTATACTTCGGCCACAGTGCGCTTCGAGCTGAGTGACGAGGTTGCGCACGTGCGACGGTAGCACAAGGAGACCTGCAATTTTCGAGATATTATCGTTTTCAGAGAAAGCGATAGTTTATTAAAAACAATTTTACTGATACTAACTCACCGACAATCTTCTGATCTTGCTCGGTTCTCACTCGGATCACCTGCATTCGCGACGACTTTCGGTCCGTGCCGGCAAGCACTTCTTCGACGATCGGCCATACTGAGAGCACCTGCAAAACGAGCAGTTTTAGTGTTTTTGGGGCAATTCGAAATAAGCAACAAGCAACTGAAATTCAGTCAATTTGTATGAGAATGCAAATTTAGGCTGAAAATCTGCGTTTTTAAAGCATTTTACACTCGAAATGAGCACTCCGCTCTAAACAAAGTTCACCAAAAAACTGACCGATCCGGAGAGCACAAAGTAGGTGCGTGTTCGTCGTCCGACCTCACAGTACGTTCCGCTCGACTCTGTCCTGCACTTGTGATAAACGTAATTGTGCTGGCACATGGTCGCCGCGCAGTCGTACTGAGTCGTCCAAATCTCCTTCGCCTCCTCGACCGTCACCTTCGTGAACCGTTTGCTCAAATCGGCCATCGTCATCAGTTTCGGCGACCTTCCCGTCGAGGGGCGCGTGATTGCGTAGAGCCGCGCGCCGTTGTCCATTCGGATCTTGCCGATCCCGTAGACGAGCGCCGCCACTTTACGCGTGTTCGCCGTGTTCGCGCCGCCCGGATGGCACAGGTAGAAACCGTCCTGTAAATGTAAAGTTTCAGCAATTGTTCAAACAACTTTAGAAAAATAACGTAAAAGTTCAGGGAAAAAAGCTCACATCATCACTATTGTGCTCCTTGTACAACTCCAACGCTTCTTCCCACGAAACGCCTCTTTCCACTCCGATCTTGTGCATCTCCACCCGAAAACTGCCATTGTCGACGCGTCCGAGGAAGATGCGAGTCTCCAGTTTTCGCACTTGATCGTCTCCGGTGCCCAGATCCATAATACCCGAATCGTAGGTTCCGTCGTGCTTCGACTGTGCTATCAGTTCGGCGACAATTTCGGAGAAATACAGGAAGAGGGCATTTTGAGCGTGCACCGGCAGTCCGAGGATCCGATTGAGGAATTTTGGAATCGTCGCCGCCTCCTTCTCGATCGTATATTGTCCGTTTTTGTTTTTCGCGAGCAGTCCGACACCTTCCATGTAGAGGCGCATGTCTGCAGAGAAAAAGTTGCGAAATTGCAAGTTCCATGCTCAAATATGGCCGCATTTCAGGTGGCGGCCGTGGCCGAGAAAAAAAAGAGCACGTGCTTACGCAGATGAATATTAGCCCCGCTATACGTGTGCATTTTGTTGCGTAAATTTTATGCTTTCATCATTTTTCAACTAATCAATTTAGTCTAAATTTTCGATTAAAAATGCGAAAAGTAAGTGTTTCATTCGTAAATTTAGGTATCAAAAGTTGGAGCCTACCGTAGGCCAGTGAATGGAAAATTATAGGAAACTCCTTACCCTCGAAAAAGTTGCCAGCCTTGTAGTCCTTGGGCGGTTCGATGAGCGGCGGGCTCGTCGTGCCGATAACCGTCTTGAGGAGCGTGTCCAGAGCGACTCGTCCGTACTTGTTGTCCATATTGAACTGCGACAAATCTCTCGTCTCCGTCGCTCGGCGATCTCCGTGCGTCAGAGCGCCCAGGGATTCGAGACGTTTCGCGACGACCGACGCGAATCGCTTTTCTCCCGCGAGTTCCGAGATCAGGAAAACGTACTCGGGTCCAGAGACCTGATTCGATCGATGGGTACGTCCAAACTGCTGGATCGCCTTGTCGGCCGACCACGGCAATTCGAGAGTAATGTGCACGCGGCGGCGCTTGTTGATCGCTCGCCGATCCGATTGCAAAGAGATTCCCGACGAGGCGGCTTCGGAGATGATCGCGATGAGCTTCTCGCCCCTCATAAACTTCTCCTTCTCCTCCATATTGATCAGCTCCAACGAGACTTCGGCGTTCGCATTTCTCCGCTGGTACATGACGTCGCCCGTCTCCGTCGTGACCATGTGTCCGCGTCTTCCGGTCATCTCGGCCACGTACTCCGGTCCGCCCATCTCGTCGATAAGTTGATCGAGCGTGTTCGCCGGCAGATTCGGCGCCAGCCTCTCGACCGCCGCCAACAGTTCCGTTTTGATGAGCATCGGATTCACGTCCTCCTTCTCGCCGCCGGCTCCACCACAAATCCGCGAAGACGTGATAAAGTCGGTAGCGGATCCGCGCGACTGCAGCTCCTCGTTACGCCGTTTCTTCTCCCTCTCCGCCTTCCGAATCGCACGTCGCCGCTTCTTCTCCCGTCGCTCCTCGCGCTTCCGAACCTTCTCGCGCATCCGCTCCGCCTCCTCCTCGTCGCGCTTCCGCTTCTTGCTCTTTCGCTCACCGCGCTCTTTCTTCACCGGCTTGTCCTCGACAATCTGCTGATTGTGCGCCCAGGGATCGTCGCTTGTAAAGTCGCACATGAACGGATTGAACTCCTCCTCCTGCGACGACTCCTTCTCTTTCTTCTCCTCTTCTTCCGCCTCCTCCTCCTCCGCCTTCATCTCTTCATCGCTATCATCGCTCGACGATTCGGCCTCAGCGAGCAACGCCTTCACCCACTCATCTTGCTCTCCGTCCTCCAGGGTTCTCGCGCCTTCCGCCTCCTCTCTCGCACTGTCCCACGATTTAGCGCCTTCGGACCGTCGATCTCCGACCCCCACTTCGTCCTCCTCTTCGGAAATCTCATCCTCATCTCCCGAACTTTCGCTCGTCGTCGAGTTCGCCTCCTCGTTCGCGATGCCCATTCGGGTCGTCGAGACTCCGTCTCCGACTCGTCCGCCCATTCCCGTCGTCACTCCTTGCCACGTGTCGAAGCCAACGTCGCCGAGGAAGCTCAACGTCTCGCGGGTCTTTCTGCGCTTTGCCGGACGTTCGAAATCGTCAAAATCTTTGAAAATGTCGCGATCGCCCATCGAAGACGAGGTGTCGGTGGGAAAATGTTTGTCGATGAGTCCGTACAGGACCGTCTTCGCCGTCGAAACGAACTCGTTCAACTCGCCGCCCATCTCCTCCAACGTCTCCAGCGTGGCCGACTCGCCCGTTGATTGGAGTCCGATGACGACGCACTTTTTCGCTTTGATCGCCTCGCGCGAGAGTTGCACACACGTGTCGACTTTCGCCGCGATGCACAGATACTTGAAGAAGCGCTGATGGCACGCCCAGAACTGGCCCCATATCGTTTTGCACGTCGCGCGTTCCTCCTCGTCCATCGTCTCGATGACCGTTTGAAATTGGCGACGTGCCTCCATCCACAGCTTCACCGAGTCGTCGTACATCTTCACAAAATCGCTCGACAACTGGACCTCTTGCACCGAAAACGAGACGCCGCGGAACGAGAGCTGTCGGGCCAGGTAGAGTCCGCGCTGCTTCATGTCCATCGCCACAATTTCCATCGCGCCGACGCCTCGACGCTCGACCGCAGTTATGAAATCGTGAAATTCGGGGAAGGCCTGTCGCTCGCCCCACAGTCCCAGCCGCGTCATGTAGGCCATGTTTCGTGGTTCGGTGGCGCCAGTGGCCGAAGCGTAGACGACGCGCGCATTGGGCAACGCCTTCTGCAACTCGAGCACCATTCGTCCCGTCTTTGTCGGCTTCGCTCCGGCAGTCGGGACCAGGTTCTTGGCGCGATGGCACTCGTCGAGAATGATGACTCCGTCGTAGTCCTGTCCGAACCACTGTATCAGCTGACTGATGCGACTCCGATACTTGCGAGACTTGGCGCCGCGACACTCTCCAATCAGCGAAGTGTACGTGGCGAAAATGACGCCCTTCTTGATGCTCCCATTCTCTTTTCCCGAAATTTTCGCATATTTCATCTTGTTCAGTGCGTAGACGGGGATGTTCGGAGCGCCGCAATCACGCAGATCCCTCTCGGCATCGTACTTCAAATCCGACGAGACCGACAGCCAAATGGCGCGTTTTCGGCCCTGCATGTAGTTCTCAAAGATGATGCACGCCACCGTTCGTCCTTTTCCGACTCCGGCGCCGTCTCCGATCAGATATCCGTATCGCTCGCCGGAAGGCATTCGTCGTTCATGCATCTGGCACGCGTAAATGACCGCCTCGAGTTGGAGTGCCGAGATGTGGCCCATGTCGATGAGGTACTCGGGAATCTGCATTTGGTACTTGACGTCCGGCGGCGACACACTGCTCAGAGACGCGGATTCGACGACGCTGTCGGGATGGGCCATTCCGGAACGCAGTTTGGCGGGCGTGTACTCGGCGTAGGTCTCCGCGTAGCCAAGGTTTTCTTCCTGCAAACAAACGAATGGTTTTTCGTCATTTCTATCTAGGAACTCGAAAAATACGAATTTTGATGAAACCCAGGCCGGAAAACTTGTGATTCCACAAAAATTCATGTTTTGCAGCGAATAAAACGTACATCATCCTCCAAATCGTTGCGCCTCTGCTGAATCGCCTCCTCTCGTCCCATCTGATAGGCCATCCGCATCTCGTCCTTTGCCTTTTGCGACTTTGTCTGCGGCTGTGGCACCGTTGGAATTCGCGGCGACACCAGTCCCGATCCTCCGTTTCTGCTGACGGCTCCGTTCGGAATCATGAGCCGACCGGGGGCTCCTGGCAGCTGCTGTGGCTGTTGTTCGTATCCACCGGCCATTCGCGAGAGTCCACCGTTTGTCGACGATCTAAAAATTCGACTTTTGCTCGTCGTGAGAATTTCTGTCGTCGAAAAAGGCTGACTTATGAGCGGGCCGGCACGAAATCGGTCCGTTGACAAGTCTGGAAAAAGTCACAGTACCTGCTCAACAAGACGCGCGCCGGTGCTCCCAACGCGTTGTTCGTCGCGTATCCTTGCTGTTGTTGCTGGTGCATGTGCCGAGCCTGGAGCAGTGCATGCGGCGTCTTCGCGTTCGGATTCTGATTCTCCTCCATATAATGAAAAGAAGGCGTCGAGGCGGAGACGTGGAGCGGTCCGTTCACAGTTCGAATTTGTCCTCCGCCTCCCCGAATTATCCTTCCGATCGGAGTTCCCCGGGCGACCGTGCGTGTTGCGCCGTTTAGCGGTGCGTGATGGACCATCGTGGATCCGCCGGTTCCACGGCCGACCAGGTTCACCCGGTAGTTGCTGTATCCGCCGCCAGTGGCGGCTCCGCCCCGAATCGCGTGTCGCATCACCATTCCGCCTCGTCCGACCGCGTGTCCTCCGTTCACCGGTCGTCGAATCAGAGTGCTTCCGTCGGCGGCTGCAAAAATCACTTTTTGGGTTGAATTGGGCTCTTGGTACCTTCTTAGTTGGTTTGAAGCGGAAAATAACAAAACTTCGGCTTCAAATCAACTGAAACGTTGAAATTCCCCAGCCCCTCCCGTACTGCTCACCTCGATAAACTTGCTGTCCTCTTCCCGCACTCATCAACCGCGTCGGCGCTCCGTTCGCAGTCTGCACCACCTTCCTGACGACCATTTGCTGTCCGTTCGGTCCCATCTGGTTCCGGATGACCATCACTCGCTCGCCGTTCTTGTTCACAATCGTGCCGGGCGCCGCCATACGTTGCGTGACAGTGGGCGGTGGCGGGCGCGTGTTGAGTCCGGGAACGTGCTGTCCGCGTAACAACTGCGCCGCCGCCAGCGGGCTCAGCATTCGGTAGATGCGTTCGCCGTTGTCGCCGACGAACGCCTTCAGGTACTGCGTCTGGAGGCCGTCCTTCGTCTGCACCGTCCGTTTCACAATCGTTCCAGTCGTGACTGGCAACGACTTTTTTGGCGGCGGCACAATGTCACCGGGCGCCGGCGTGCCGGGCATCGAGACGTTTGTGGAGGAGGCCGGCGAGGAGGTGTGCGATCTTTGCGTGACAATTCTGGGAGAAACCGTCGTCGAAGTGGACGGGGAGTCCAGGCGGCTGCTGAAAAACAGGTTTTGCTTCAAATCATACAGAACGTTTAGCCAAATGGGGAAGCGTTGAAAAATCATTTTTGCTTAGCTTTAGCAAATAAGCAGTAAGAACACATCGATTTGATTCAAAAACGACGCGTCTTCTGTGAAATTAGATTCAAAAACTCAGTTTTCGCCCCCAAAAAACTTGAAAACTTGATGAAACGTTCACTCACTCGGATGATCTGGCCGTGTGCACGTACATTGGCTGCGGACTCTCCGAAGTGGTTATTTCGACCTCCTCCTTCACCACCAAATCGTCGCCAAACGATTCTGCTGGAGCAGGAGACGGCGTCTCTTCCTCCTTTATTTCCTCCTTCGGCTCCACAACTTCTTCTATTTTCGGCAAAACCGTAACCGTTGGCGAGGGCTGAGCAGTTTGCGCGGGCGGTAGAGGCGGCGGAGGCTGTTTCCTCGGAATGATCTGCACTTTCGGATAGTATTGTTGCTGTTGAAAGTGCGGAGACGAGGTGCCGCTTCCGCCGGCCGTCGTCATGATCTGGCACTCGCCGTCGATCTCGTCCATTCCGAAGAACGAAGTGGGCGCGCCGCCGTCCTCCGTCGACACGAACGGCGTCGTCATCGGCGTGTAGTAGGCGGACGAGCAGTGAGAATCGTTCGAGCACTCGTCAAAGTACTGCGGAGCCGCCGCCGCCATCGACGTACTGTTGCTGCTGCTAATGCTGCACGGACCCGGACCTCCGACGCCGCCAGACTCGTCGTGCACGCTGAAATTGACGGCATTGTGTTAAAGATGCGGATTTTTGAACAATGTCGGGTCAATTAAGGTACTAAAAAGGTTTTTTATCGGGTACACGAAAGAAAGCCGTATTCTTCATCTGAAATCGGCCAAATCTCAAGAATTACCTGCCAGACGTGCTCGGCACCGGCGACGGTGTGCACACAAACTCCTCGAGGCCGGCTTCTGTGAGCGCCGCCGAGAGAATATCCTCCATCCTGCTGGCTTCTTCGTCGCTTCGTTAGCCGACAACGACTAATTTCGATAAAGGAGAGCGGGAAGGAAGAACGCCTTTTCGGCTCTTTTTTTGCGGCGGGTCGTCAATCGTCGAACCGATCAGACAGACTGATCGTGTGACGATTGCGATTAATTCTGAAAGAAGCACAATGTTTGGGAACGGATTTGGAGTGGTGAACGAGTGAGAACGGAAGAAATTCGAGAATAAAACGGATAGACGGATAAAAGAGACGGTAATTTCAATAGGAAATGGGAAAAAATAGTATTACTATCAGAGAACTGTTTTTCGATAAAATGTGACTGTTTGCAACGTGATTTACATGGTCCGAAAGGTTTTTTGCTCAAAAAACAGTTTCTAGCCGCTGAATTTGCGCCGAAACCTTTAAAACCATGTAGGTCAAATTCCAAACGGTCAAATCCTTCAGTCTAGAACCTACTCATTCCAGAAGTCCCCTAGAAACCTTTCAGACGCCTTCCAGCTCAATTTCCTCTGAGGAAATGCAAGAATTGGTATTTTTACAAGAATTTGAGTGAATCATGTAGATCACAATGCCAAGGGTCAAATATTCCGGTCAACCATTCTAGAACATTCCAGAATCGCCGTAAAACCCCAAAAAACCCTTCTAGCTCAAAATTCATCTAGAAAAGTGAGGTAAATGGCGCTATTGTTCTGGCGGCGACCTCCAAATGAATAAACCGAAAAGATGACAATCAAGAAAGAGGGCCCTAGGGCGCCATGGCGGCATGAGACAGAATGAGGAGAAAAAGAGTCGGAAACGTACGTGTAAGTGTGAGGGGCAGCGACGGAAAGTGAAGAAGAAGAGAGAAAGAGAACGAGATGGTTAGCATTTTTGACACAAGCGGGGATTTGATACTAGAAAAGAAAAGTGGTAATCGAAATCAATCAATCAATGTCTTTTCGCTTTTTTCCAACTTCGGACGTCAATATTCCTCATTTTTTGCATTTCTCTGTGCGACTGGGATATTATAAATTCTGAAGGTCGCCTAAAGGTCGCTTGGGGAAACTGACGTTATTGAGAAAAATCAGGGAAAAACGCACTAAAGGGCATACATAGGAACCATTATGAGAGGAAAAAATGAATAAAACAGCTGGAAGATCCAAGTTCGATCCAAATGACTTTAACGAGAGAGAATTTGTGAGTGTTATCATTTTTCCATCACTATTATTATCAATTATGTGGCATGACATGACACAGACATTGATACTAGTCGTTGTGAAAGTGTTTGATGAAGATAACTAATTAGCGGGTCCATAATGTTGTAACCGAAAAATACAGCGAAAAACGTGCAAACAATGCGATGTTTGGTCAGAAGACCAAAAAACGTCGGATTCCATGTTTACTCCAGACGGTTTCTCGAGATGACCTTCACTTCTTCTCCTTCTTCCTCTCAAAACGAAGAACCGTTCTTTCTTCGGACCCAGAGAAAGAGAGAGAAAGAGAGAGAGAGTGAGAGAGAGATGGAACTATGAGAAGGCCTTCAAAAACCGGTTTTTCTCATTGTGATCGCAAAGATTATTCGTTTCCAACGGAACACCAGTTTTTTCAAAAATTTTTCAATGGTTTTTCTACAAGGTCATTTGGCTAGAACTGTTTTGAAAACTTTCCGAAAATACCATCTCAAACTAAAACAAAGCCTCAAAAATTTGAAACAATAGCCTGACCATCGCAGAATGTGTTAAATTGAGCCAAATTGATTACAGTCTTGTTTTTCGCTTTTTTTGTTCAACATTTTAAAATCAGGTAACCAAACGGCATAGGAAGGGAATGGTCACGTCTCGTGGTACCGAAGGAAGTGTTCCATGGAATGGGGACTATTCAATGGTACCCGGTGCAGCACCTCTGCCCGGCGGCGCCCGCGTCCCAACTCTTTGGATACCTGTTTTAAATTTTGAAACTATTTTCTTCGTCGTTTCTCACACTCAATTTTCTATGAATTTTTAGTACTTACTGCAAAAATAGACCATTTTAGTCCAGGCCTGGGCGGGCGATCCGCTTCCCGCTGTCTGAGAAATTGCATAGCGATAAAACGCACGGCGAGGAAAATACCATTTGCGCGGTAGGTCTTCTAGCGCGCAAATGCTATTTCCCTCGGCCCCCAGATTTTTTGTCCGCTTCAATTGGTACTCCGCCCCGGCCTATTCTAGCCAATTTTCATTGTTAGTACTAAAAATGCCTAGAAAGGTGCAAAAAAACATAGTGGAAATGAGTCTGAAACTTTAAAACATAAATCTTGGGCATTTCGCTCAATCCTCAAACCATGCATGCTCTATCCGTTTCAATTAAATTATGCAAATTTCGAAACGACCACCGTGACAGAAAATGCGATTGGTTACAACAAAACGATGGAAATCGAGACGCTGTGGCCACGGGGAGAAATAACGTTCCAAAGTGAGAGTGCGCGGGCTTCTCCCTCAGGAAGAAAAACGGAAAAAAAGAATGGGAAGAAGGGTGTAGAAAAAAGGAAAATGGATCGAATGAGTCTGTTTCTCTCTTTTTTTTTCCAACGCATTCCCCCTTTCATCTCAGAGTGGACACTTGAATGCGAATAAATGAGCTGAAAGCTAATCGCTAATGAAATTCATTGGAGCCAGACTTTTGGTACTTTCCAAGTTATTCCTAAATTCAGATTCATATCAGAGAAATTGCTTCGTGTTAGGTTTCAAAAACGAATTTCCCAACAATTCTAACAAAAACGGGAGCTTTTTTCTATGTGTCTTTGAAACCGAGGGCCTAAATTTCAATCCTACGAATTTTCATGGATCTAAAATTCCAGCTGATCCAGGGATTCCCGGATTCTGAATGACGTTAAACGTGCCGAATTTGAGTCACAAACTCGAAAATGAGCTTACAAATCTCCTTTCTCGTCACTTTCAGGCCAATTTTGCAGGAAAGCCCGAACAGACGGAACAAAACACACGTTGTAGCGAGAGAAAGAAAGAAAGATGGGCAGCACGGATTGAGAACATTGAACGGACGGATGGATGGACGGAAAATGAGAGAGGAAGAAAGAGAGAGAGATGGGAGGAGAGGAGGACAGAGACGGTCAGAAATGTCCGTTGGGTGCATCACCACCATCATCATCATCAAAGAGAGAGAGAGAGAGAGAGAGAGAGAGAGAGAGAGAGAGAGAGAGAGAGAGAGAGAGAGAGAAAGGAACAAAGGCATCGGTGGCGTTTGAAATTGGAATGAAATGCGAGTAGGAACTTTGAACCTGACGGAAATTGAGAAAAAGTGCACTTTGGCGAGACTTGATCACAAGACGCAGCTGGTCTCGTGATATTTTCAAGGTGGACTATTAAATTTGAAAAAAGTCGTGTTGGACTCACTAAACTTTTGGAACGTTTTTTCAACTTTTAAAAGTACACATTTCACACCAATTTCAGCTCGAAAAACTAAAATTTTAGGCCACGTTCAAACAATGCCGCGAAGCGGAGACAGAGAGCGAGAGGGAAAGAAACGACGGGTAGCCAATAGATCAAACACGAAACATTTTCTCGATAAGAAAAGGCTCAGAAAATCGAACCGAGGGTTCGAGAGAAAAAAGGTCCTGTTTATTTCGAAAACCGATCCAATTTCCAGTTTTCAGTTTCCACTGCCCGCTTGTTTATTTGTTTTGTATATACATATTTTGCGCATAATAATAATAAACATTGATGGGGAAGGGGCGGATGGAAAGACCGGAATTCGGCTGGTGATTACGACCATGAGTCATGTTAAATCGGATCGATCAATATTGAGAATGCTCGAAGCAAACTACAGTAATCTTTGGCAGAAACTCTTCAAATCGGGGCCTGTTGTTGTTGGTCTCCTTTAAAGTTATTCCTAAAAACGATTTCCCTAGCATCAAAATACACCAAAAAGTTTGAAGTCCTGTTGGTTTGAAGTCCGTTCACGGACGTTACGGGCTTATTCAGAGTATGAGTTTTTCATATCAAAAAAGGGAAAAACAATGTTTTCCACCCAAATCCGTATATCAGCTTGTTTACGGCTGCGTTAACCACAAGGGGTGTGAGAATTCGAATAATAATAATAACTATTCTTATAATAATTCCCCCAGGTGGTAATCACAACGAACTTTCTAGAATTGGGAAACGCCCGAACGCTTCGGTGGTAAACAACTTTTTTTTCGGGGCAAATCCGGATTAGGCAGATGAGATTTCCGGGCTCGGATTATAGGCTCCGCACGACACCTGCCTGCGTTTCTAATGAGAGCCCTGCTAAAAATGAGCACTTTTCCAGAAAGTTCTGTTTCGGGGCCGATCGGAGGAAGGGTAAACAAGTTTACAACGCATAAAATTCGCTTATTCAACGTCAGCGTAGAGAGAAAAATACCATGTTTTGCACGGGAAATTCGCTTGTTCGTGGCGAACGCACGCACAATGACATGTTTTCTCAGGGAGAAACCAAATAAATCTGTCAAGTTTCCACTTGATTTACGCACTTTTTCGTCTCCTAATTGTCAGTTAGGAAATGGAGAGAGAGAGAGAGAAGAACAGAGTATTCTCTAAATTTGTATTTTTAGGGCAAACATTGGGGAGGTACAGAAGTTTACAAAACAAAATCGTTGATCTAGGCTCTAGAGTCAAAATTGAATCAAAACAGCTCTAAAAACACTCAAAATTTGATCTAATTTCCACAATTTCAGCGCAAAAACACTTTTTCCAAAGTTCTCCGAGAAATCATTGAATTTTCTCGCAGAAGAACCAGTCATTTGTCGGGACAGGTGCACCGAATGCGCGACAACTTGGCCCAATCCGTCCGAACAAGGCCAGATATGAATAGGCAGAACAGGGAGACAGAAAGAAGAGGAAGAAGGACCGAATGGGGAATGGACATCTGTCCGATTGTCGGAACCACCATCTGTCCGAGTCGAATCGAAGAAAAGAGAGGAAATAAAAGAAGAATGGGAAAATTTTATATATGAAGACACAATCATTGTGATTGGCCACGGTTTAGGTCTCTGATTCGATGGGAAACAGAAAATAAACGCTTTTTATGCTCTCATTGAAATCACGTGTTCTTCAACTAAAATTCACCAATTAATTCGGCTTTTAAGCATATAAAAGCTAATTTTAGATCATATGCATAATTCATGAGAACGCCCTCTAAAAGCATACATTTTCAACGATTTTTGGCGGTTTTCAAAAAATTTCGCCATTTCTTTCGCAATCGAATTTCAAACTACAACAAAAAGTCATCAAAGCGAGACACAAACGCAAAAAAATAGAAAGAGGGGGAAATGTGGGGGCAGGGGGACTTGTGTTGGACGGCAAGTGGCGACGCGAGGGTCTGCCGTCTCTCCGTCTGCGTTTCCACGTGTCATACTCTCACGTGGTGAGGCATATGAGACGCAGACACGCAGAGAAACACGGCTTTAATGAATTCTCGAGCCGTTTTTTGCGGCTTTTCCACCTTTTTTCGCAATTTTTTATAGCAGAAACCTCCGAGACTATTCAACGGATTAAAAATGCTCGAAAATGGGCAAAATAAAGAAAGAAAACTGTTTATAAATAATGCCTTATTCCTACTACGAAAATCATCAATCAATACAAATTGTTGGTGTGGGGGAGGGAGAGAAACTGCGGTAAAATGTAAACAAAAGAACCGACCGAGACGGGTAAAGAGCGCGCGAAAAAGAGCAAACATTTCAGAACTGCTGTGCTCAATTTTGTCCGTTCTCCACCTGCCACAAGACGGGAAAAAAAAAGAATATTTTACATTACAAAACAAAGAATTATACATTATCGTTTAAGAGTTCTTGACGAATTCGACTCCCTTCTTGATGTTCTTGTTGAGTTCAGCGACCGAGGCGTCGATGAGCTTCTGCTCGAAGGCGGTTACCTTTCCGACGCCGAGGATCTTCTCAACTCCATTTGGTCCGAGCTCCACTGGCGTCGAGAAGTACTCGACTCCCTTGACGGCGTCCGAGGCGATGTACGCGCACTGCACGTTCTTCTGTCCCTTGATTCCGCGGACGAGCGCGTTGGCGAATCGGGCTCCAGCCAGGGCCATTGAAAGAGTGGCCGATCCGGCTCCAGCCTTCGCGTTGACGACTTCAGTTCCAGCGTCCTGGATTCTTGGCGTCAACTTGGCGATCTCCTCCTCGGAGAACTTGGTGGCTGGCTGCGTCTGCGAAAGAAGCGGGATGATGGTGATTCCGGCATGTCCTCCGACGACTGGAACGACCGTCTTTGAGGCGTCGTGACCCTGCAAATCAAATAAATTCAATTTTTGCTGAATAATAAATACTAGAGAAGCCAACCTGCAAAGTTTGAAATTTTTTAGCTGGCTTTTCTAGTGTTCGTTTTTGGGTTAATATGAAAGAACGTCAAGGTACATTTCTGCACTGGCTATTTATTTTTTAATTGTCTCTTTCTCTAATCGGTTCTTTGAAGCCTTTTCGTACTCTAGCCTCCTCCCGTCATCCTTATCTATTTGTCTTTTCGCACGTGTAAAACACGCAGAGAACGTTCATCATCCCCTAACCTTGAGCTCAGCGACAAAAGCCTGCGATCTGACGACATCGAGGGTGGTGACTCCGAAAACGCGTTTCGGGTCGTAGACTCCGGCCTTCTTGAGCACCTCCGACGCGATTGGCACTGTCGAGTTGACCGGGTTGGTGATGATGGCGATCAGGGCCTTCGGGGAGGCCTTGGCGATGACGGCGGCCAAATCGCGGACGATTCCAGCGTTGGTGTTGAACAAATCGTCGCGGGTCATTCCTGGCTTGCGTGGAACTCCCGCCGGGATCACGATCACGTCGGCATTCTCAACGGCGGCGAACAGCTCCTTCGGCCCAGTGTGCGCGGTGACCTTAACACGAATTTCAAGCTAAAAACTTTTTTTTTTGCAAAACCTTAGCGTTGGAGTCGATGTGCGAGAGATCAGCGGCCACTCCGGGGGTGTTGACGACGTCATAGAGGGCAAGATGGGCGATGAGGGGGTCCTGCTTGAGGAGAAGGCCGAGCGGCTGTCCGATTCCTCCGGCGGCTCCGAGAAGAGCGACCTGAATGATGCAAATCACAAAATTTGAAAATTGTCACCGAAAAAATCTTTATTCGAGCAGAAATCCGGCCGAAACGTACCTTTGGAGCCTGGCTCGAGTGGCGGACGGACACGGCGCGAAGTCCCGAGTTGGCGGCGGCTTGGACGAGCGACTTTGCTGGAAGGGCCATTTTCTGGAAGCGCTTTCGATAAAATTTTATGAGAAATCAATTGAAAAGGGTCAAAAAGACGATGGACAATAAAATCGCGATGAAAAATGACGGAGAACGACATGCAAAATCGACGAGAAACGGTGGTGTTTGCCGCCTGCGCCGCGTGAACGAACTTTGCAGTTTAAAGGCGCACGCTGCGCTCAGGCGGCTTCAACCCAAATCGTGACGAGACCCGCCGCGGCGGCAATTTAAATTTCGGTTTTTGCGATTTTCAGTGTTTCCGGACCAAATTTCAAGAGAAAATTGCATAAATCAATGCTTTAAGCCTTAAAATTGTATCTTCATAATTTTTTAAAAAGAAAATGTTCTATAGATTAAAGAAAGTTAATAACTTTCACATTTTTTGCTAAAAAACAAATTTTCTCCTCGAGGAGATCGAATTAAATAAGCGCTGAGAGAAGAAACTGCAAAAACGCAACATTTATAGCCTTAAAATGGAAAAACGATTGCGATGTCTCGCGCATATTTCTAGAAAAAAAACGGCAAAAAAGGGCTGGCAAACGACACAAACAACGATGAAAACAACCGAAAATCGCATGTCTCTAGTTAACCGGTTGCGCGCGTAGATCAAAAAATGGATGGGTCTCGCAGCGATGCGACAAATTTGAAATTTTGCAGTTTCTTCTTTCTAGGGAAATCGGTATCTTCCTGGATTTTTCACAAAAATTCAAACATTTGCCAGCTTTTCCACATTAATAGCTTCCGGCCTGGAAGCCTGAAAATCACAATAATTTATTCATTTTCTTTGGAATGAAGCTCTCGAAAAGTGAGTGAGTGATTGACTAGCCGAATACTGAATACTATGCAATAAATGTACACAAAAAGTGAAATAGAACACGAGTTGATATCGTCGTTTTGCTCATTTTTTCTCCGATTCGCTCCACGACGACGTCTGGTTTTTTGCCTCCATCTCCATGTTCGCTCGTTCGTTCGAAAACTGGAATCCGGCCATTTCGAGCAGTGTCTTGTCGGGATTGTCGTCCCAATTGCCCGGCAACGGCACTTTCTTGTGCTTCTCCGCCTGCTGCTTCTGCCAGTTTTTCAGTTTTTGCTGGTCGGTCAGCGTTCCGGCGCCCGCGCATCCCCACACCTGCAAATTTTCGGCAATTCTTTTTAATGACGAACAATCTTTTACCTCAATATCCAAAACCTCATCAAAGTCCTTGCCAATCCTGAGCTCCTGTTTGAAATTGAGTCCCGTCGCCGCCGAGCGTAACTTCAAATTACAATAAATCGAGTTGGCCTCATCGATCCGTCGAATCGCGGGCGAAATTTCGAAAAAAGAGGTAAACGGTCCGCCGAATCGGTTTGCCGAGTGCCGCCATTCCTGATCGGTCGCCAGTACGACACTCCGGCCGTCTTTGAGCCGCAGGACCGTCACCGTCGGTCCGCGATAATCGAAAACGAGGGTCTCGAAGCGATTTGTGGATATTCCGTGCTGGAGCGACGTGTAGAGGGGCGTCCACTGGGATCCGCCCTCGTTTTGCCCGTCTTTCGACGGAAAATAGAAATTGGGCAGCGAGGATTGGAGGAACCACATCTGAAGCGGCGTCAGAATATCGGACGAGTAGTCCGGAGGCGTCTAAATGCATTTTTCTTAGGGTCAGAAATCCACAAAAACCCACAAATTTGTGTCCGGAAACTGCTGAAATTACGCGATTCTGGACGGCCTGAGTGAATTTTTCGCATTTCGAACGCCTCCACTCGATCATCGATTCGCACGCCTCGTCGCCCGTCTTTCCGCCAGTCTGCAAGTACGCTCTAGCAAAATTTCGATTATTTTTACACCTCGGGAGCTTGAGAGTTACAAAAAATACCATAGTATCGACAAGTGTCCGAATAAATTCCTCGTCGCCTCGAATCGCGGCGGCTCCAGCACAATCCGAGCAAACTTTGATGAAATGATGAACCGGTTGAAGGACTGGAAAAGGTTTCTTTGAAAAAAAGTGTTCGAGCAGAAAACCAACTTTTAACATAAATATCTGTAGAAGTTCCGTACAACGGTGTGAATTTCAGCTGAAATTGTCGTCGGCTCACTACTTTTTCGTCTTTTGCGGCGAGATAATTGAAAAGACTCTCGGCGAGGTCCTCTTGGAAAAGGTCGACCAGTTTCTCGTAGGAAATCGCATTTTCCTGGTCGCAAATGGCCGAAAAATAGGCGTCGAGCATCGGATTCGATTTTGGCGGCGTCGGCTCTTGCCGAACGACTTCTGCACGCCCTTTTTCCCGCTTACTGTGCTCGTTTCCCATCTGAAAATTCAAATTTGCGGTTCTCGGGCGTTTTTGCGATTTTTAAAATGGGGTTAACGTAACTTTGAGAAACACATTCGACCGAAAAGTCAACGCACAAATTTTTTACGACTTTCCTCTCCGGTTTTAATCGATTTTTGATTGGAAAATGACGAGTTTTCGATAGTGCTAAAACGAAGGGATTTTTTGATCGGGCTACGGTCAACATTTCAAAGTCCGCAAGTACACGCTCACGCAAAATTACATACTTTTCGACATTTTTGCTTTTTGCATCAGAAATTCAGAACTGCTCTGTTTCTACCTACTTTTCCGCAATCTCTTCGTTTTTGAAAAGATATTGTGCAAAAATGTATCAATTTTTCAGCAACAATGATCTTCCCTGGAGCTGGTGGACCGGAACTCGACAAAATGGCGTCGGAGAAGGTGAAAAAGGACGTCGGCACCTTCATCACTTTTGGACTTTTGGTTGAAGCCGGTAAGCGATTTTCAAAATGTTTTAAAAAAAAATAAATGCGAAAAAAATGAAGAATGTTGAAAAGCCATTAATTTTAAGCAAATTTCGTCAAAAATCGGTCCTAACCGAAAAGGCAAAGAAAAAATGAAAAATTCCAAAATAACTTCAACAAGTATCCGCATTTCGCTGCTAAATAATATGTTTATGCTATAAACAGGTTTATTTTGTTTTCGTCAAGAGTTCAACCAAAAAAACGATAATTTTTGCAGCCGCCATCGCCGCCCACTACTTTGGAATCGAAGGAATCCTACTGTGAAGCCTCTCGGAATCTGGAATTCGTAGAAAAATGATCTAGCCGCTCTTTTTGTGTTGTTCCTGTTGCTATCCACCCAATGAATTGTGAGTGTGTTCTCTCAAAAATGCCGTCCCCACTAAGTCACAGCGTGGACTTTTATCGTTGGAACACGCTTGCAGCGCACGCGCGCGAGTTCAAAAATAATATTTTTTTGGCGAAAATTCAAATGAAAATTCAAATTTGAGTTTTTTGCAACAACTCTGTCACGAAAAATTGCGTTTCGACATGTTTTAAAGGATAAAAACGAGAAAAATATTTGAATTGCGAAACCAAAAAATCCAAATAGTGCGCCAAATGAGTGCAAGATGCGCCAGCAGTCTCCCTTTGGTCTCATGTCCACACTGCGACTCACTATCAGTGGTCCCTCCTTTCTTTATCCATTTCCCTCCCTCCCAGTCATCTGTGTGTGTGTGTGTGTGTGTGCGGGAACCTGTTAAGGTGCGCGCGCGCGCGGGGCGCCGAAATGAAAATGACCTTGGGAGGCCATGAAAATCGCCTTGCCATCATCATACAACACAGCTGCCTCGCGCAAAAAAAAGAACTTTCGCCTCTCTCCCTTATTTTTTGTGCGAAAAGTTGTGTTCGTGTGTGTGAGACGCAGAAATGCGGCAATTCGAGTGGGTTCGCCCCTGGCGCCGTCGCGCATTTTTTGAAGTTTTTCCCTTCAATTTTGCCTCCAACGGTACCGGTTCTTATTCCTTCTTACGGAGGTGCCTTCCGCGCGGAAACTGACCGCGCGGAAGGCCATTCGATTAAGTCCCAGTCGACAGTTTCGCTTCGAACTTTATCGAGTTTTGTTTCGATTGGGCACAGATAATCCAGTGTGCTTTATCGAGATATGCATCGATAAATCACACTGGCAAAGTCTAGTGCTAAAAATTCCCGTTGAAAATTAAGCAAGAGAATTTCAAAAATTAGACACCCCTCACCTCATGATTCATTCTTATCTGTCTGATTAGAGAACGAGTAGAATTGCAACAGTTGCCTAAAACATTTAGGCATTCTACCTAAATACCTAATCAGTGTCCAAGTGTGCCTGCTTAATTCGTTTAGTTTTTTCACTGAAACAGAAATTAGGCAAACTGATACTAAAACGTTATATTTAAGCTTGTGAGGCCCCTGTAAATTGTATCACAACGATTTTTTTGTTTCCGAAAGTACAATCCGTCATGTGGGGGATTTCACAAAATTTCTTTCAAGGCCAAAACCAAAATTGTTTTCTATTTCATTTCCCCCATTCGCTCCCCTCCCCCCCTTCCATTTCTATTCTTTTCTTTGTCCATTCGGATCCCGGATCCAGGTCGGTCGAACTTTCCAAATAGAAATAGCCGATTTCACTGTCACTTTCACTCTATCCGTTCTTCGAATCTCTCTCCCGAAAAGTGACCGTCTCTCTAGCAATGAAAAGCGAGGCGGAAAAGGGAAAAGAGACGGTGCAGAAGCGAGAGACGCGGAGTCGGCACGAGAAGAAGCGACGCGAGGAGATGAACGGCGTGCTGGCCGAGATGATGTCCTTGCTGCCAGAAGTCGTGCAGCGCGACGCATTCAAGTTGCGACGCGTCGACCAGAAACCCAAAAAGCCCGACAAGTGCTTCATTATTGGCAACGCCGTCGAGTTTATCAAGCGACAAGAGACGATGAAAAGTTTGTCTTTTTTTTTTGTTTTTAGTTGTATGTACTACCTAGCCAACCATAGTTCTCTTCTTAAAGTCTAGTAAGCCTTTTTTTTAAATCTTTTACTAACCATACAGTCCAATAGAATCTTCAAGTTTAGGGCGTATACTGTCTAAGCCAGAGTCAGTTATGAACCTGTTTTATGCGGAAATGACGAGTACGTCAAAGTAGAGTGAATGGATGAATGAAGAAAGTGATTTCATTTGTGATTTGATTCGTGTAGTAATAATGCAAATGGACTGTAAGTAGCAAGCCCTTTGACTGTTCATAGCCATATTAAGCCTACTTTGACAATTTCAATGATTCATACAGTCGCATCTTCTGATATGATAGCCGCAGTTTAGACGTGTCTAGTCAAGGTTCGTAAATAGTCCATAGAGATACATTTTTTTGATATATTTTCAACGTTCAACTAGCTTTTCCAAACGTCTTCAGCAGAGTTGAGCGGAAGAACTCAATGGAAGAACACGGAAGAATTTTTATGTTTTTTAGAAAATTTTTTCATGAAATGTTATCAACTGACGGAATGTATAGCAAGGTGAACTGTGCTCATAGAAAAATAATTGTATTTTTAGCTTTTCATACAAAAAAGTTATTCGAGTTGTTCCGTGAAAAAAGGGCTAACGGGGAAGACGGAAGGAATAACTTTTTTGTATGAAAAGCTAAATTTACAATTATTTTTCTATGAGCACAGTTCACTTTTCTATACATTTCGTCAGTTGATCACATTTCATGAAAAAATTTTCTAAAAAATATAAAAATTCTTACGTGTTCTTCCGTTGAGTTTGAGTTCTTCCGCTCAACTCTGGTCTTCAGTGGATTTCTTCCCACCTAGACGCTCTAGAAAATCTAAAAATTTTAGGAAAAATCCGGGAATCGTTTTAATTTTCGTTTCCAGAACCCAATCTCCTAACCGACACCCTAACTCAAGAAGTGCTGGGACTGACGAACTGCTTCCTGATCAGCCTGCACAACTTTGTGATCGCCGGCATCGAGGGCGAGCATCGGTCGGTGTTCGACCTGGAAAAGGTGAGACCCAACCCAAATAGTCAGCTGACTATTGAGAGTGATGACGTGCGAGGAAAAAAAAAGAAAGAAGGAAAAAAAAAAGAAAAACAGTCTCAAGGTTAGCTGAGAGAACTGGAATGACTGGATTGTCTCAAGGTTATTAGGACCGCCTCGTTTCACTTTTCGATATTGCAGATCCGTATGGTCGGCAAGGACATTCGTTGTTTTCTCGATTTCGAGTCCGGCACCAAGATCTCGTTTCTGAGCCTCACACAGCCCATTCTAGGCCTTCGGTCCTTTATGGCCAAATCGATGACGTGTCGGGTGAAGCATGGTTTAGAGGTGAGCCTTTTATCGATAAGTTTATGGATAGATTTTCGATAAAAAATTCTGTTTCCAGTCACCGATCGACTTTTCGACAGACTGTCAACACTTTTGCTTGCAGAACCCGACAGAAATGACGCTAATCTGCATCCCGGACGCGCCAATAGTTCCGGCATTATCCGTGCCGGCTCCAAGTCCGCCGCCGTCCAAAATGGAAGTGGAACGGCCGATTCTGGCGGCGATGCTCCGACGAAAAGACCCTCCGCCGGCAGAAATCTCCAGAAAACGACGAGAGGAGTTGGAGGAGAGGGCTCTGCGAATCGAAATGGAGAAACGGAAGAAACGCGATCGCCACGTCATCACCAGCCAGGCGCATACGGTAATTTAAAGGCGCAGCGCCGAATTTTGGCATTTTTCAGGAATAAAACGCGCATCGTTTTTCTGCATTTTTGTAAGCCATAAAGTCGCGAATCACGCAAAAATCGCACAAAAGTGTAGAAAAAGTGTGTCGACAATTCGAACGCGCTTTATCGTTGACAAGAATGGCGGAAAAAATGGAAGCAACAAAAAAAAATGCGAAATTGCAGGCGCCGATAACGTCCGCGTCGATGATGCACTCGTCGTCGGCGTCCACGTCCTCGTGCTCGTTTCTCTCTCCGTCTTCCGGCGGCGCCGCCTCGTTGGTGCATCCGCCGAAATCGTCGTCGGCCAAAAGAGCGTCGACGTCGGCGTCGAAAGGGCCCGGATCACGGAAACGGCTGCGCGCGATGAATGTGATCGTGGAGAGTTTTCCGTTGGACGAAAGCGATGGGAAAACGACGGAAAAGTCGCTGAAAATCGATAAAGGCGCAAGTTTTTGGTGAGTTTTACTAGTGAAAGCCATTTTTGTAATCATGGAGCAAATTCTTTAATTTTTGACCCACTTGCAATGTTTCTATTGGCCCCAAACTTTGTATATTGAGCCCAAGTTTCAGACTGATCCGATAATCCGGTCCCGAGATATGACGAGATGTAATTTTCCCAAAAAGCTTGTGTTTTCGGCCTCAATTTCACATATCTCTGATGGAAAAATCGTATCGATCTGAAACTTGATCCAAGTTCAATAAGCCTGCAAAGTTTGGGCCCGATCCGATTATTGCAAGTGGAACAAAGGTCTTGAAGCCTTCGGAAAACGTTTTGATCAGGCTCGGATGTAGAAACGGAGTGTCGTAGCGCGCTTGATTTAACGAACTTTTGATAAAAAAAGCGTCCTAATCACGCTACGCCAGGTCACAAAAGAATCGATTTACCAGAGTGAAAAAGCGCGAAACTTTCTCAATTCAGTTCAACGGCGACGACAACCACGACCACGTCGACGCTGACCAGCCTGCTGCCCTCCAACACCGCCTCGTTCCTCAATCCGATCGTCTCGAGCTCGACGATCGGTCTGAGTCCGTACGATGTGTTGGCGCCCGGATACAGAGATGTGGGTTACGAGTCCCGGCTTCCGTAACTCTCTCATTTCTTCAGATTTGGCTGCGACTGCAAAGTGAGCGTCTTCTTTTGGAAGAGCGAATAGTCGCCAAGGAGGGAGAGCTCAAGAATTTGATGTTGACCGCCCGCACGGTGCCACCGTACTTTCCGCCGCCCACGCTTCTCGCCATCCCTCAATACACCATTCCTCAGTCGACTATCGACATGATTACCGCTCAGCAGCCGTGAATTTTATCTAATATGTGGTTAATCGGAGGATGTTCTGAAAATATTTATCCCCTATCCCGGTGTCATTGAAATCGGGTCATTCTATTGTGTTCTTCTTTGGTTGTTTTCTGTTTTTGCTATAAAATAATTTGAAAACTGCACTAGCTACGTTTTGGTAACAGAAATTTCACATATCGTTGAGAATTAGCCGAGTTATTTCAATTTGAAGGTTTTGCCCTGGATTTTGATGTTTTTCGAATAGTTTTCGAAAACTGCTCAAGAAAACTAACCGCCGAAACCTGAATTTTGTGAAGAAAGATTCAGCGAACATTTTTATCATTTGTCGGACTCATGAAATGCAAAATGAGCTGAAATATAGAGGTTTGAAGTTTTGACGAAATGCGAAAAAGACGCTAAAAACATGAAAAACTCTAAATTCTGTAAAGAACGGTTTCCAATCAGTAAAATATTGTTTTCTAGACGTTTTTCAAGTCAAAAAGAAAGAAATAGCGGTCGTAAACTCGAATTGAACTGCATTTTTAGACCTGCGCAAATTTTCAAAAGTTACAACGACACTCCGCAATTTACGAGCGCACTGTGTTTAGCATTAGCGCCCCCTGGAAGACCGTGCGACACGAAAAACCGAACAAGAAACACTTTATCTTACAAAACCTTACAAAAATTCAAACATCCTGAGTGCATAACATTTTCAAATAATTTACACCTTGGTCTTGGCATTCCATCCTTGCTGCTGTTGACATCCGAACCCGTTGCACCCGTTGGACGCTTGGCCAACTCGAGTCGGCGCATAATTGTTATTGTTGTTGTTGTTGTTGAAGTTTTGCGCTGAAAAACAAGAGTTACTGGATGGCGCCGTCGTATCGCCGAATGTTTACAAGTACTTCTACGTCCGTACGCTCTCATCGTGTTTCCGTTGTTCACGGCGCTCATCTGATTTTGAGCCGTCGTCTGAAAGTTGCCCATTTGTTGCTGTGTCTGTTGTTGTTGCTGCTGCATTCCGAGGCCTGAAATTAAACATTAATGGGTGGGGGGTGTCACATTTCATTGGAAACAAAGTGTGTTTGCTCACCATTCTGGGTGCCTGCCCCAAAAATGTTATTGTTGAAGCCGGTGCCGAAGGCGTTTTGACCAAACATTCCGTTGTTCGCTGAACATTTTCAAATTTGTCTATAGTTTAGTGGTGTGGCCTAGCTTTTTCTAGGCCACCTAGGGTGGCCCAACTCACCGAAATTGAACATGCCGTTTCCGTACGGATTGTACGTGTTGAACGCCGCCTGCTGTCCCACGCCGCCACCGTACAAACTCTCCATTCCGGTGCCGAATGCTCCGTAGCCGGTCCCCATGCCCATCATCGAACCGCCGAGCGAGTTCATGCTCATCATCGGGTTGTAGCCGGCGTAACCTGCAAAAAATGAACGTCGTCGTCTATTAAAGGCGATGTATCTCAGTTGTTTGTGAAGACATCGAAAAGTCGTCAACTACAAAAATGTTCAGAATTTCTTTGCGAACATTTTATCTGTTGACAACTTTTTGGTATCTTCACTGACACATGAGATATATCGTGTTGAATGACCGACAATTTGGGTTTACAACCGATTAGGACAAAATTCGGGCAGCTAGAGATCTTCAGAAGCTCAAACAGCCTATTTTCGCAAAAAAGTCATACCTGAGAACATGGAGCTATAATCATACGGATAGCCCATGAATTGGCACAATGCCAACTCGAAAACTGCGAAAAAAGTGGCCAACGAGCAGCAATAAATCGTTCCCATTTTCGAGAACCCAGAATACTGACGACGATGCGTTGTGCTCTTTTGGGCAAAAAGGGGCGGTGGGGGACTGTTTTGTGTGCTCAAGTGTTTGTTCATTCTCGGTCGCACACACACACACACACAGATTCTGAAGAGCTCACGACCAGAAGACGAGTTGAATGAATGGAAGCGCCTGGAATAGACTGCTCAACCGGGAACGTACCGGTTTCGACAAGATGTGTACCGTCCAGTGCGCCCGCCAATTGGCCTCTAACTTGGTCTAGATCGAAACCTCAAAAGTTTGGTGTCAATTGGTTGAGTTCGAGGGGTAGAAAAGTGAAGATTTTGCCAGTCACTGTCTCCCCTTCGGCCGAAAAACAATTATCGCGCGCTTTTTTTGCGTGCGGCTCTCAGTGTCGATTTACGGGACACGGTTTTTCAACTAGCACGGTCTCCAGAGCTGATAATGGGCGCAAGTGCGCCCCGCCCAATAGAGCGATACATTGGCGCGAAATTTGTGTTTTTTGCCAGTTTAGCCACACGAAAAATCGATAAATTCTCATTTGTCTCTCGATAGACCGATTGTATAGGCTATTACGAATTTTTTAAGCGCAAGAGCGTTAAATTTGGTCAAGTCGCAAATCACATTTATCCGTTTGAATGTTTTTGGCTAAAACTGCGTGAATTTCAGTTGCTTTTCGGTAATTTTGGCGGTTCGAGCGCTCAAAATGCTTGTATTTACGTGATTTATCATTCTCAAAACCAATTCTGTCTGAAAACGGTCAAGAAAGCGCAAAATGAGAAGTGCGCTTTTGAGGCGGCGAAGGCGAAAAAGCGAAATCAGCGAAAAATGCGCCAAAACGTCATTAATTCTCGAGAATTAGTGTGTTTTCATGTCGAACAATCATTTTTCATCGCCTTTGACCACAAAAATCAGAGAAAACCTGCTCAATTCATGAAAACGCCAGCTCTGGAGACCGTGTTAACTGAAAATTATGTTTTCCCGAGTTTTTGCGATTATGCACAGTTTTCCTTCAAAACTTTTGCCTCACGTTTGTTCATATGACCGATAGCTACAAAATGATCGCAGAGTGCTCGTGTAAAAGTGAAAATTCGAAGAGAGAATTTCGTTTTTTTTCAAATTTGGCTTGAAAAAACAAACTTTCGGAAATTTTGAGAAAACTGTTGCCTCACGATTGTTCAGCAGACAAAGGCGGTCATTTTGAGCACAGAGACGGCCCATAAAATGCAAAAATCGCTGAGAAATTTCAGTTTTTGAGGATCCGGACTGAAATTCACAGAAAAATGAAAAAATGCGCGCTTTCTTGTGGGCAAAACGCTAATTTAAGGTCACAACTGTCATCAACTATTCTGACAATCCTTGTTTTACCGAATTTTCCTCATTTTGGGATGAAATTTCGGGTTTTCGCAAAAAACGCTGCTTTTGTTTTCAACGACACTCCGTTTTAACGCGGCGCTCAATTTAGCATTAGCCGGTAGTGGCTGGCGCGCTTTTTTCAGTAACGGACCCCTAACCCAATGCTTCGTATAGCCCGTCAACTTGTCGGGACCGCGAACGCACAACCCGTGGTCTCCTCGGCAGAAGAGGCCCGTCATCGACTCGTCACGTTTTGATGAGAAAACGAAGAAGAAGGGGGGAGCCGCGCTCGAAATATTGTGCATAAATTTACTTGGCCCCACACACATTCTTGCATCTCTCGAGTATCATCATGGTTGTGGAGGCAGTGCCAACTTTTTCCACAGTAATCCCCCACCCATAATAATCCGTCTTTGCCCCAAAAGAATGGGACCGCAGGGTGTTTGAGACTTTGAGACGAAACACATGTAAAACACGGATTAACTTTCTCTCTCTCCTACTTCTTCTTCTTCTTCTTCGCTTTTCATTTTCATTTCGTCGATGGGTTCAATTCGAAAAATGGGCAGCGCGGACGGAAATTGAATCGAGCCGGCCACTTACTTTCGCCGATTTCTTCTTCTTCTTCTTCTTCTTCTTCTCTCGTTTTCCATCCAGTTTTTTCCCGGAAAAGAGCACCGCCCCCGTCATGTCGAAACTCACCTATAATTGCTCTTTTCCTCGTCTTCTCCTGCTCGCCGTCGCTTTTTTTTTTGTTTTTTTTTTGACCGAAAACCCCCCTCAACTTTTTGTCGTTTTGCAACTGTCGGTCGTTTTGCAACCACCGGAACCTTTGAAACCAACTATTGGACGCTTTGCAACCGACCCGAGGACATTTCGCAACCGGAAATTTGAAAATATCCACTGAACCTCTCGCTCGCCGCTTTTTGAACAGAAGAAGAGTCCTCTGTCTTTTGACTCCCCGGGTGCTTGGGTTTTTGGACGTTTTGCAACCGAAGGTACATTTGAAAACAATAAAAAGACACTTTGCAACCAACCCGAGGACATTTCGCAACCAGAAATTTTTAGAGCTGAACACTAGACATTTTAGAACATTTTGAAACCCTCTCTGGTTTCAAAGTGTCTCTTCAACCCCGGTTGCGAAACGTCCATCACCAAGGAACTTTTGCTCATTGGCGAGCTCTGATCTTCTGCTTCGCGGGCGCTAATGAGGCGTGTGAGCACAATGAGCAAAATGATGTGTTTGTGTATTTTTTGGGTTAATGTTCTGGAAGGGACTCCCTCCAAAAAAGCGCCACTTATCCGGCGCGTGTATCTCGAGAACCAGTGGCGATATCAAAATGTTGTCAACTGAAAAAATGTTGCAAATTTTGTGCTCAACAACTTTGCTGTTGAACATTTTGCTCCAAAACGTTTCAATTTCGAGTTATACACGCATTTCTAGCTGGCATTTTTCCGCCCACTTCTCTCAATTTGCGCTAATTTGCGCTAATGATTATTTCGGAAAGTTGCTCAATTTCAGAACTCTACAACACTTGGAAATGACTTGAAATGTCTCTGATCATCAATTTTCCGCTCCTCCTTCTCCTCATCCCGCTCGTTCGCTCGAATACTGTCGGAGAGCTCGACTTCACCGATCACACTCTGGTAGGCGGACTAGCTTTTTCCTAGGCCACGTTTTCTATTTTCAGGGCAGCCCGATAATCAATCGTTCCTCATACTTCAAACAAGATTTCCGGTTGGGCTACAAACTCAAACTGTTTTGTGAAGCATCCGGAAATCCGAGACCACGAATCGTTTGGTATCACCGTGGCATCGAGGTGAACCCGGATCACAATAGAACGGTGAGTATCTCGCGAACCAGGCGCTATTTTCAAAAGTTGTCAACTGAAAAAATGCTGCAAATTTTGCGCTCTACAACTTTGTAGTTCAGAATTTTGCATGAAAACTCGTCAATCTTGAGTTATACGTTTATTTCTAGTGTTGCCCCTTTTGTCCTACCTTTCACAAATTGCTCCAACTTTGAAGGCCTGTATCTCGTGAACCAATAACTATTTCAAAAAGTTGTTAACAGATCAAATGTCGCAAATTTTGTGCTCTACAACTTTGCCGTTGACAATTTCACACCAAAACGCGTAGTTTTGCAGATACGCTACTCGATCCACGGCACGACGACATCTTCGCATCTGGACGTGGATCCGACGTCGATCGGCGACAAGGGCGAGTACGAGTGTGTGGCGACGAATTCGAAGGGGAGCCAAGTGAAGAAATTTCTCACCGAATATCAGTATTGATTATAAATTACCACTTTGCATTTCCTGTTTTCTATATCGCAAAAAAAAGGGGGGAAAGCGGAAGGAGTGTGTTGTGAATGAATTTCGAATGAGAGCTCATCCCTTCTTTGCTCACTCACACTCGAAATCGAAAACTTGATGAAAGAGGGCCTCGGAAGAGTCATAAAACTGCTGGGACCTTTTCGGCTCGTCCAAAATTCATTTCTTATTCTCGCTCTCTCTTTTGTCGTCTGCACTTTTCTCTTCGTTTCCATTGTTTTCCGTTTCTGGCTTTGTCTTTGTGTTCCAGACGAAACCAAGTCAACGAAAAGAGAGACAAAAGAGATTCGATCAGGATGAGATTCGAACTCACGCGGGGAAACCCCAATGGATTAGCAGTCCATCGCCTTAACCACTCGGCCACCTGATCGCGCCCGTTTTGCCGGCAAACTATTGCCATTCTCTACTATTTGTTCGGTGTTTTCACTTTATCGCAGCGCTTGACATTTTTCTCGTTCTTGCTCATTCCCCATGTCTTTCTCATTTTTCAATATCCTCTGGTCACGCTATGGCTAGGGCTCAAAACTGAAGCCTTAAAGTTCTTTTTAATTGAACATTTAGGCCTTCAGACACAGAAATGTATAAGTAGACCTTTAGACAGAGTGCATGGCCTTTAAATTTTCAGACTTACGCCCCCCTACATACATTAAATTTTGGCCTTCAGATTAAGACCTTAAAGGTGACATACAACATATTTTTAAAATAAACTTCGAAGTGGGGCATTCACATTCCCAAAGTCCCGAATTACGAAAAAAATTCCCCGATTTTTAAGATTTTTTTCAAAAAAGTTAATGGAACCGAGAGAAGTACACGGCGAAATGGAAGAGCCGGCCTAGATTTTTCAAGTCCCCGGATGAAATTCCCATTTCTTCCGATTTTTTCCGTTTTCGTGCAATTTTCTTAAATTTTCAATCGTTTTTCCACTGAACACATTTATTTGCAATATTTAAAAAAAATTTACGATTTTTTATGTGCCGTGACGCCAAAAAAATCGATAATCATTAACTTTTTTGAAAAAAATCTAAAAAATCTGGGAATTTTTTTCGTAATTCGGGACTTTGGGAAAGCGAATGCCCCACTTCGAAGTTTATTTAAAAAATATGTTGTATGTCACGTTGGACACCACCTTTAAGCCTTAGTCCTACAAAATTAGGCCCTAAGATTTAGATCTTCAAATGTCGGCCTTTAGACAAAAAGACCACACAGCCCAGACATGCTTATTATGCGTAACTAGTCCGGAACATGCATTCCACTCCATACATAACTTGTCATGTATTTCTTCAACTCGTGCCCCCCTCGGACCCAATTGACATGTGGTGGTCCTTCTCCAATTTCCCGCCCCGAAACCAATTTGGCGGCGCCGTGTATGATGTGAGAAGCCACATTTTGCTCAGATTTCCTCGTTTTCCTACTACTACTACGGCTTCCTCAAACATCATCATTTGTGTGTGTGTGTGGTGGTAACCAGCCACAAAAAAAAACGAAAAATAATCTCGGGGGGAAAAGAGACGATGATCAATAATTTATTGTATTCATCAAGGTCCGCCGTCGAGCGAGCAGAGATTTCTTCCAAATTTATATTGTTCCCCGTTCATATATTATAGCTTTGAACGTTTGTGAAAAGGTGGAAAAATGACAATAAAATCCGGCCGCCCGTTGTTGAAAAGAATTCGCGGAAAGCTAGCTGCACGTAGTCGTCGTTTTAAAGTCAACCAACTTTTTCTCGAACACTTTTCCAACTGGGAGCACTTTCCTTATAGCTTTGCGAGTATTTTAGTTGCAAAGTGTCTTGGTTGCAAAACGTCTCTCAGTTGCAAAACGTCTACTTCGAGACATAACGTTCCTTCTATAGTTTCAAGCAGTGTTGAGCGGAATTCCGCCTTCCGTCTTCCGTCTTCCGTCTTCCGTCTTCCGAGAACGCGAATTTCCACGGGCAGTGACCCAGATCCAAAATTTTTGTTGCTTTAGTTATTTTTTTCACGGGAGAAAAAAAAGTTGTGCATTGACGATTTTTTTGTTCCGTCTTTCGTCTTCCGTTTTCCGTGTTCCGTAAAAAAAATGTTCTTCCGTCTTCCGGATTTCAAAATTCCATTTCCGCTCAACTCTGGTTTCAAGGGAAAAATGTTAAAGTTAGTTGTCAAAAGTCAATAAGTTACAAACATCTTTCGAAACGGTTGCGAAACGTCCACTAGACGCTCGAAGCCATTCTTTTTCGCATGTGACCATGCCACGTGGCTCAAAAGTTCAACAATGGCTTCTTCATCGCCAGAGGCAACACTCATTTCTATTTTCCGCATTCCCGACGACAATCATTATTACATAATCGCTTCCTGGACCGAAAAAAGACGAGGAAAGAGTCAGTTGCATACCTTTTTCCCTCTTTTTCCCTCAATTTTTTGGCCTCGTCCTAGAATTACCTGCAAATTTTCAGGAAAAGCAGCATATGGTTGTGTATGTGGGTGTCCGAGCGTTTCCTTTTCCACTGCGGACTCCTCCTCGTCGTGTGTTCCGTGCATTTGGTGGCAACTCGAGCGATTAGCGAGAAGACCAACCTGGATTTGCTCTTCGACATCCTCAATATCACCGATTCGGATCAGGACGTGGCCAATTCCACTCAACAACCCGTACGACATGACTTACTAGAACAACCAGCATTTTTTTTTTTTTGCAATTTGTAGAAGCGCATCGACCCGTCAATGTACATAAGTCTGCGTGAAAATGATTGGAGAGACGCGCACGAGGGTCGGATGATCATCTGGAGCCACGAGTCACAACATCATCCGGACTACGCGAAGACGTACACGGACCGCAGCAAACCGTACACTTATCGGTAAGCGAACGCGTTTTCTGCTGGAAAAAGACAACGAGGAGGGTGAATGCAGAGGCTTCAGACAATCGAAATCGTCGCAACTCATGTCGTTCTGCATCCTCGGGTCAGTCATCGGGTTCATTCTCTACACATATTTCTCGCACGTGCTCATGATGCGCAAACTGAATCGGGAGCGCGAGGCTTCGAGGCTCAGAGAACTCGTGCACAGGTTCGTTTGTTGCAAAAAGTCAATCCGAATTCGAAATGCGTTTTCTAGTTAGCAGGAACCTTTCAATCCTTGGTTGTGACACTTGGAAAATTCTCAAAAAAATTCTGAATAGCACGCTGAAATTTTTTTAGAATAGGGCCGAATTTTTTGGGATTTTCTAGAACGTTTCACAGTGCTTTTGAAGTGCTCTTTTTCGACTTTCCCCACGTGAACATAATTGAATTTTCTTCTGCCTATCCTAAACTTGTTGAAAAAGTGAAAAATCCGAAAAAAATTCGGCCTAATTCTGCACAAAATTCTCAAAAATCAGAAAAATTCTGAATAGCACGCTCAATACTTTTTTGAATTTTCTAGAACGTTCCAAAGTGCTTTTGAAGTGCTCTTATTTATTGCTTATCCTAAACTTGCTGAAAAGGTGAAAAATCCGAAAAAAAATTCGGCCAAATTCTGAAAAAAATTCTCAAAAATCAGAAAAATTCTGAGCAGCACGCTCAATTTTTTTTAGAATAAAGCCGAATTTTTTTTTGGATTTTCTAGAACGTTCCGCGGTGCTTTTGAAGTGCTCTTTTTTGACTTTCCCCACGTGACCATAATTGCATTTTCTTCTGCCTATCCTAAACTTGCTGAAAAAGTGAAAAATCCAAAAAAAATTCGCCCTAAATCTGAAAAAAAATTCTCAAAAATCAGAAAAATTCTGAGCAGCACGCTCAATTTTTTTAGAATAAAGCCGAATTTTTTTTTGGATTTTCTTGAACGTTCCACGGTGCTTTTGAAGTGCTCTTATTTATTGTTTATCCTAAACTTGCTGAAAAAGTGAAAAATCCGAAAAAAAAATCGGCCTAATTCTGAAAAAATTTGAGCGTGCTATACAGAATTTTTTTACACGGCGACCAAAAAAAACGTAGAAAGGGGCGTGGCCTAGCGTGCACGGTTTCGTCACCATTTTGGCGCGAAATTCGAAATTTAACCCCATTTTTTTCATGTTTTTCGTCAAAAATTACCCAAATTTTGTACGATTTCGACGATGTAATTGCATAACTTTGTTAAACTAATCATCGCGCGCACTTTTTCGAGCTTAAAACGAGCAGGTTTCATTCAGAAATGAATCAATTGAATCGATTTTCAAGTTTTGTGCTGAAAATGCGCGAATTTCAGTCATTCGCCGATACTTTTTGCCGTTTGAACGCTTAAAATACTTGTATTAACGTGCTTTATCACTTCCGACACTCACTTCGTCTCAAAACAATCCGGATCGGCCGGTATGAAAATTCCGAAATTGCGAAATATGCCAAAAACGTCTCAAACGCGGCGTTTTCACGAAAATTTCGATTTTTTCTCTGTTCAATGTCTTTTTTCGTCGATATCAAACATAAAAATATCGGAAAAGTGCTAGATTTGCGGCAATTTTCAGAAAACGCGCCTACACTTTTGGTCGCCGTGATCTCAAGAAAAAATAATGTAAAAAATCGTTTCAGATCCGCACTAATCATGGCCGGCTCCGCACAACAGAACGAATTCGACTTTTCGGAGCGGCGTCGCTCTCTGATCAACATGTTCAAGGCGTTCAAATTGTGACATTCGGAATAAATAAGTGTCCTCGTCGTATCGATTTTTAGGACACACGCTCAATAATAAAACGCGTCCAATTTCCTTTCGCATTCCCACTTTAATTTCCCTCGCCCGCCAACTTTTCCATCCATCTCTTTTTCGATGAAGTTGTGAGAGTTGGCAAAAGAAGAAGAAGAGAAAGATACGAGTTTTCACGCCTCGCCGCACTAATCCATTGTTCACCTTTTCCGAATTGTTTTAGAGCCTTGCGACGACCGAAATAACCTGAGTGCTTTGCATGCTTTCCGCACTCGACCTATACCCTATATTCAAACTAGTACATCTCGTCAGCGGGTGGAGATTTCAAAAAGTCGTCAACTAACAAATTGTTCGCTAAGAAATGCTCTACATTTTACCTGTTGACCACTTTTCGATCGCTTCGATCACAGCCGAGATATATCGTTTCGAATTAATGGCTATTACGTTATGTAGCATAGAGTTTGTCGGGGCAAGAAAAGTTTTGCATTTATGAGTATTATGATGCTAGTCGACAAGTGTTATTGCAGACTTTTCATTGCTTTCAAGCTCAAATCTCAACATGAGCCTTCAAAATTTGTTCGCCAACCTTCACTCCAATTTCATTCGTGCGTCAGGCAGAAAACGTCAAAACAAATTGACCTCCTCCTATTTCGGCGAAACGAGGCTCAAAAACCAATTCGGCTAATTGAACTCGACCCATCTATCCGGAAAAAACGAGCCGCCCGCGGCCACCTACTCGAATTTTTTTTTTGGCTTTTCCTCCCTCTCTCTCTCTCTCTCTCTCTCTCTTTGAATACCTCCATTCCGGGTCCTCAACGTTCCCGTCGTTCGCTCGTTTTTCGGTTGTTTTTGGTTCGTCCATCTCTCGTGGCAAATAATAATAATAATAATAATAATAATGACACAATGAGCGCCGTTTGTGCCCCTCTTTTCTTCGTGAGAATGAAAGAGAAAGAGAGGAGGAAGAGGAAGAAGAAGAAGAAGAAGAAGAAGAAGTGTGTCTGTTTTGTTGGATAATAGTCATCGAGCGCGCGTGGAGGGGGACTCTTTACTTCCCACTTTGTATTAGTCTAAAAGTCTGGAGTCGTTGAATCGTTGAGCAATTCTGAAAATATTTTCATTCAGACGCGGTGGTTTCCGGCTATTATCGTCATTTTTAGACTTGAATTCTCAGAAATGTACAAAACTCGAGTCACACTGAATCTGTGCACTTTGTCGTAAGATTCGGTGTATCGACGACACTTTGCCACACGATTTGAAGTGACGTAAAGTGTGATGTTCCCAAGTGTGGAAACACTGAAACATCTATCCTCTCAACCCGTCAACAATTTTTTCGCTTTTTTTTTTCGCTCCTCCTCCACGCCCCCATTCCCATTGGGATTTATTCGTTGTCTTCTCTTCCCTGACCCTCTCACAGCAAATGCATAATATATATTTTGCCGTCATTTTCAGAATGGTACTGCTCAAAACAATCACTTTACTCGTATTCTACACCGCCTCGATTCGGGCGAAAATTCTGGAGAAGTATGGGAAGCAAGTGCAGTAAGCATGGCTTTTTTTCGTCATTTCATCCGGTTGAATTGAAAACCGATCGTCGCTTAAAGGTGGTTTCAGATTATCGATTTTTTTGGCGTCACGGCACAGAAAAAAGCACAAATTCTTTAAAAAATATTGCAAATAAGTGTGTTCAGTGTAAAAACCGATTGAAAATTTAAGAGGCAATGTCTGAGAACCTCGAAATTCGCTAATTACACCAGGTCACTAAAAATTCAGAATGCTTCAATTTGTCTCATATTATACCCAATGGGTACTTACATAACAGTGATACATCAGACAAGTTTTGGTCCGGCTCCTTGGTCCCTAGTCCGATCACGGTCACAAAATAGGTCAAACCTGTAACTAATTTCAAAAAAATGCTAGCGTCTCAGACTCAACGCCATTCGATTTCTCGCATCTTTTTTTAAGCATTTTTTTCATGTTGGCACCAAAAATTTATCACCTTTCCTTCATGGAGAAATTTCGGATTTTTTTCGTGAAAAAAAGTTGAGTTGTTGTGCAGTTTTTCCTCCGTGGTGAAAAATTTTTTTGCACTTCATAGCCACGATTTTATTTCAAATTCATAATCTACGGACAATTTTACGTCGATATACCATACTGTCGCACATTTGCCAATTGACATCAAAGGATTTTTTTTCAAAAGTTTGATCCGGTCTCAAAAAAAAGTTTCTGTTCTGCTTTTGGAAAACTTACAGAAACAAGGGAATTTTTGTTTATAGACGTTTTTCATGCTAAAAACTGTAATTCTGTTATGTATTCGTCAGGTACAGCTTTGTAAACGTAGCGTTTAAGAGGCAATGTCTGAGAACCTCGAAATTCGCTAATTACACCAGGTCACTAAAAATTCAGAATGCTTCAATTTGTCTCATATTATACCCAATGGGTACTTACATAACAGTGATACATCAGACAAGTTTTGGTCCGGCTCCTTGGTCCCTAGTCCGATCACGGTCACAAAATAGGTCAAACCTGTAACTAATTTCAAAAAAATGCTAGCGTCTCAGACTCAACGCCATTCGATTTCTCGCATCTTTTTAAGCATTTTTCATGTTGGCACCAAAAATTTATCACCTTTCCTTCATGGAGAAATTTCGGATTTTTCGTGAAAAAGTTGAGTTGTTGTGCAGTTTTCCTCCGTGGTGAAAATTTTTTGCACTTCATAGCCACGATTTTATTTCAAATTCATAATCTACGGACAATTTTACGTCGATATACCATACTGTCGCACATTTGCCAATTGACATCAAAGGAGTTTTTTTCAAAAGTTTGATCCGGTCTCAAAAAAAAGTTTCTGTTCTGCTTTTGGAAAACTTACAGAAACAAGGGAATTTTTGTTTATAGACGTTTTTCATGCTAAAAACTGTAATTCTGTTATGTATTCGTCAGGTACAGCTTTGTAAACGTAGCGTTTAAAACATGTTGAAATTTTTTGTCAGCCGGATAGATTTTTCGAGATGTGTTCGCTTTTACCCAATATTTTATGCTTTCTCTCGTTTTTATTTTTCAATGTTCATCTTACTTTTTGTGAAGATTTTATTTGGTCGTTCTCCGATTGATTCAAGAACGGTAAACAAGAAGTACATATCATAGGGGCACCGCACAGAAATGGCGCTCTGTTGAGAAACTCTTTTTGCAGTGCAAATTGAGCGACCTCGGGGCCGAGTTTGAAAGTTAGGCCACATTTTCAGTGGAAAACTACTTCCTTCCACGAGTCATCCTTCATTTCTTGAGCGCGTCGCGATCGTGCTGCTTTTGATTGCCTTTTCGCTGCTTCACGGGAGAAGAAACCGGCAATCTGACGGAAGTTTTTCCTTTGATCCACTGAAAACCAGACTTGCCAGATTTCGGGCCGGCCATGCGGGCCGGGCCGGGCCGGGCCGGGCCGGGTCGGTGAAGTGCCGGCCCGGCCCGGCCCGGTCGGCCCGGTTCAAAAAGGCGGGAATTCAAATTTTTCGCGGAAATTTTTTTCGTTATTACAAAAAAATTTCGAACTAAAGTTTTAGTGTTTCTTCTTTGTTTTTTTGCTATTATGAATTTTTTATGAGAAATACATTTGTTTTTCAATGTTCGATGCTTGCAAAAAACCCCTAATTCTACAAAAAATGGCTTCATGCGATCAATAATTCAAATTTTTGAATTCCCGCTTTTCGAACCGGGCCGACCGGGCCGGGCCGGGCCGGGCCGGAGTTTTGGAAATTTCGGCCCGGCCCGGCCCGGCCCGGCCCGTGGCAACTATGCTGAAAACCGCTTAGAACCGTCCGGATTTCTAGCTTCTGCCATTCTCTTTTCAACAATTCTCGGATCCGCATGTTGACATTTCTTACTTGAAGTACCCATCCGTCCTCCAATTCCGTCTTCTCGTTCGTCTCCTTCAGTTTTTTCACAGCATTCGAAATTATTGGGCAACTTTTTGACCACTTCTTCCAAACCACGAATAAATTATTTCAATGAAAACGATCGCGACGCGCTCAAGAAATGAAGGATGACTCGTGGAAGGAAGTAATTTTCTACTGAAAATGTGGCCTAACTTTTCAAACTCGGTCCCGAGGTCGCTCAATTTGAACTGCAAAAAGAGTTTCTCAATAGAGCGCCATTTCTGTGCGGTGCCCCTATCATATGTACTTCTTGTTTACCGTTCTTGAATTAATCGGAGAACGACCAAATAAATGCTTCACAAAAAGTAAGATGAACATTGAAAAATAAAAACGAGAGAAAGCATAAAATATTGGGTAAAAGCGAACACATCTCGAAAAATCTATCCGGCTGACAAAAAATTTCAACATGTTTTAAACGCTACGTTTACAAAGCTGTACCTGACGAATACATAACAGAATTACAGTTTTTTTAGCATGAAAAAAACGTCTATAAACAAAAAAATTCCCTTGTTTCTGTAAGTTTTCCAAAAAGCAGAACAGAAACTTTTTTTTGAGACCGGATCAAACTTTTGAAAAAAACTCCTTTGATGTCAATCGGCAAATGTGCGACAGTATGGTATATCGACGTAAAATTGTCCGTAGATTATGAATTTGAAATAAAATCGTGGCTATGAAGTGCAAAAAATTTTCACCACGGAGGAAAACTGCACAACAACTCAACTTTTTCACGAAAAATCCGAAATTTCTCCATGAAGGAAAGGTGATAAATTTTTGGTGCCAACATGAAAAATGCTTAAAAAGATGCGAGAAATCGAATGGCGTTGAGTCTGAGACGCTAGCATTTTTTTGAAATTAGTTACAGGTTTGACCTATTTTGTGACCGTGATCGGACTAGGGACCAAGGAGCCGGACCAAAACTTGTCTGATGTATCACTGTTATGTAAGTACCCATTGGGTATAATATGAGACAAATTGAAGCATTCTGAATTTTTAGTGACCTGCAGTTTTTGAACTTCTCAGACATTGCCTCTTAAGAAATTTGCACGAAAACGGAAAAAATTCCATCCGGGGACTAGAAAAATCTCGGCCAGGTTTTCCATTTCGCCGTGTACTTCTCTCGGTACCATTAACTTTTTTGAAAAAAATCTTAATGCCGTGCCCAAAGTCTCGGAAAACCCGCAAATCTCGCGGACTTTGCAGTCCAAAATCGGCATAAATTTGCGGGAAATCCGGGGTGCGCACAGCTGAACGAGTGTTACCGTACACCATAAAACTACGGTATTTTTTGAAAATTTACCCAATAAATTCGAAAAATTTCAAATTTTTTCGAGAAATTTAAATTTTTTCAAAAAATACCGTTGAAAATTTACCCAAGAAATTCGAAAAATTTCAAATTTTTTCGAGAAATTTAAATGTTTTCAAAAAATACCGTTGAAAATTTACCCAAGAAATTCGAAAAATTTCAAATATTGTCGAGAAATTTAAATTTTTTCAAAAAATACCGTAGTTTTATGGTGTACGGTAACACTCGTTCAGCTGTGCGCACCCCAGATTTCCCGCAAATTTCTGCCGATTTTGGAGTGCAAAATCCGCGAGTTTTGCGGGCTTTCCGAGACTTTTGGGCGGCATAAAAATCGGGGAATTTTTTTTTCGTAATTCGGGACTTTGGGAACGTGAATGCCCCACTTCGAAATGTATTTTAAAAATATGTTGTATGTCACGTTGGACACCACCTTTAAGCGCGTTTTTCAGTTTTCGGACGTCGTGTGGTCGCCGAAACTTTACGCAAACTTTCAGATTATCCCCTCCGACGACGTCGAGCTATCAGGAGTGGTTCGACGCGAATCGGGTGCACAGCACACGCAACAACACAATAGTCGAGGACTTTCGAACGCAATTACGACGGTCTTTAGGTTTGGTTTTTTCGGAAAAAAAATTAAACAAGTGAAATTGGGTGATTTCAGAGAACACGACAGTGGCGTTCAACGCCACATTCATGCAGCAACTCGTCGACGAGCGACAGCGATATTTGCAAAAATTGAACGAAGGTGAGCGCTGATGTGTACGCGCTGCCGACCCGATTTCGGGCACGTGCAGTCATGTCCGAGTGGTTAAGGAGATTGACTAGAAATCAATTGGGCTCTGCCCGCGTAGGTTCGAATCCTGCTGACTGCGTCGACACTTTTTCGGCATTTCTCTCCTAAATCGATTTTTGTTTTCCGGTCAATTTATAAATGATCAACGACGTCTCGTCGAGGAGCTTTTGGATCCGGCGTACTATGAGAAAACGGTGCATCCGAAAAAGGATTATACGCGACCGACGCGCGTGAATCTGAGCATGAGCCTGTATCAGATTCTGGATGTGGTAAGTGAAGTGACTCGGATGAATTTCTATCATTTCTATGATATTTATGTTTGCAGGACGAGCACATGCAAAGCATCGAAGTGAACGTTTGGATGGTGCAGAACTGGTACGACGAGTTTCTCGATTGGAACCCGCGCGAGTACGGCATGATCAACCGGACCATAGTGCCCTATAATCAGATTTGGATCCCTGACACTTATCTCTATAATAGGTACACTTTTTTGACAACCATTTCCATTTTGCTCAAAATTGCAGCGAAGAATTGGAGCAAAAAAAGACGGAATCGCTGATGAATGCTCAACTGGAGACCGGCTACTGGGACAAGGGAGCCGGTCAGAAGGGCGCCAAAGTGCAATTAATGTACCCGGCGATTTACAAACTCTCGTGTCGGATGGACGTCCGCTGGTTCCCCTACGACCGTCAAAACTGCACATTCATCATCTCCAGTTGGACGCATGACAAGGTAAAACGAGCAAAACGTGTCGACGCAGTCAGCAGGATTCGAACCTACGCGGGCAGAGCCCAATTGATTTCGAGTCAATCTCCTTAACCACTCGGACATGACTGCACGCCGAGACAGCGGACAGCAGGACGTATACTCTCTCGCTCTTTTCGCTCTCTCGCGCGTTCCCCGACGCGTCCACGTCTCCTTTCCTTTTCTACTTGTCTTTTTACGGCCCGGATGAAAACCGCCCGAGCTTGTCTCATTTTTTTGCAGACTTGCCAAATCCCGGGCCAGCAAATCGTCGGCCCGGCCCGGCCTGGTCGGCCCGGAAGTTAGACCTCAAAAAAAATATGCAAAAAAAATATGAAGGAAGAGGAAAACGCGTGCGGCAAAATTGCTAAAATGGCGTGCCAGAGTTGCAATCAATCGCTCCGCCCACTCTTGAGAAAATTTTCGTAATTTTTGTGAAAATTTTGCGACTTTAAACAGCAATTTCTATTTTTTAATTTTTAGGTGCATCCTCCCGGGCCGGGCCGGAAAATTTCCAATTTTGGCCCGGCCCGGCCCGTTGCAAGTCTGTTTTTTTGCAGCAAACAATCGACTACTGGCCGCTGAGCTCGACCGTGAATCTCGGAAATATGGCCAGAAACGACGAGTGGGAAGTGATCAGCTTCGAGTTTGTGCGCGTCGAGGAGTCGTTCAAGTGCTGCGCGGCGCCGTGGGTGATGCTCTACGCGCACCTCGTGATCCGCCGAAAGCCGCTGTACTACATGATCAACCTCGTCATCCCGACCTCCATCATCACCATCGTCGCCGTCACCGGATTCTTCACTCCGACCTCCTCCTCCAGCGAACGCGACGAGAAACTCTATTTGGGCATTAACACACTGCTCACCATGTCTGTGATGATGCTGATGGTCTGCAATCAGATGCCCTCCACGAGCACCTATGTGCCTTTGATGAGTGAGTGTTGTACATTTATAGGTGGTGTCCAACGTGACATACAACATATTTTTAAAATAAACTTCGAAGTGTGGCAAATTTCTTGAATTTTCAATTGTTTTTTTCACTGAACACACTTATTTGCAATATTTAAACAAATTTGTGTTTTTTTTTCTGTGCCGTGACGCCAAAAAAATCGATAATCTGAAACTTTCAAAATTCAGAAAAAATCAGCCACTTTTAAAGCCGAAAATAGAAAGCTTTGGATTTTTCGCATTACTTTGAAAAATATAAGTTATATATAACTTATATATAACTTTCTGTAACTCGCAAACTTTAATTAAGACTCAGGAAATGATTGAGCGATGTCTTTCTATTTATTTTTCAGCGCGCAAACCGAAGATTGAGCGAAAAACCCGGAAAAACCACAAAAAAAGTTTCAGATTATCGATTTTTTTGGCGTCACGGCACAAAAAAAATCATTTTTTTTTTTTAAATATTGCAAATAAGGGTTTTAAGTGTGTTCAGTGTAAAAACAATTGAAAATTTAAGAAATTAGCACGAAAACGGAAAAAATCGGAAGAAAGGGGAATTCCATCCGGGGACTAGAAAAATCTAGGCCAGATCTTCCATTTCGCCGTGTACTTCTCTCAGTATCATTAACTTTTTTGGAAAAAGTCTTAAAAACCGGGAATTTTTTATTTAAAAGTTTATTTTAAAAATATGTTGTATGTCACGTTGGACACCACCTTTATGAAGCTTTGGAAAGTGTGAAGGTATTTACGTTGAACATTTGTCAGGCTGGTACTACATCGGAATCATCATGGTCATTGTCGTCGGCACGTTCCTCGCCACCATCGTTTTGGCCATTCACGGACAGAAACACTACAACAAGCCGATATCGGATCGAATTCGAGGACTCATCTACAACCCGCTCGTCGAGTTTTTCATTTTGAGGTTTCAAACGCTCCAAAATCTTAAACTCAAAAAAGGTGTCACGATTTGCAGTCCGCCCACTTCACTTCTCGACCTCTGGACCGAGTTCGGTGTCATCTCCGAGAAGCGTCACTCGACGAACCTGGACCCGCTTCTCCTGCAGCACATGGATCCTGTCTCGGTGCGTTTCTTTTTCTCGGCTGTAGTAATACATACCCCATACTCCTCTCTATCCATCCGTTTTGCTCCTCCGTTCCGCCGTCTCCTTGTTAGTCGGCTTTTGTCTGTTTTCAGCACTCGACGCCCGACGCTCAACACTTTTTCGGTTCGATCTCGTCACAAATGAACGATCTGCAGTCGACGTACAGCTACACGGCACGTCTTGCGACGATCACTCGACAATACACGCAACACGTACTGTTTTGGTTATTTCGTCACCTTGTGTTTCTTACCCACCTCCCACCCACCTCAGTTTTCTCCTAACATTCGTGTCTAGTTTATAGTTTAGTTTGCAAGTCAAACTGTGAAAATCGAAACCGAAAACGAGTTTAGGCGAAGATGAAAGCGTTGCGCAAGAACCAATACCGAATGAGCATGGACACGAGTCAGGCGCGGAGTGTCAAAAAGCAAAAGATGCAGCGGAGGTGCTCGCTGGAGTGGGAGTTCCTGGCGAACGTGCTCGACCGCATCCTGCTCACCGTCTTCTGCGGATTCACGTTCGCCGTCTTCCTCGTCCTCGTCGGCTTCGACTCGTTCTTCACCGTTCACACGAAGGCAACCACTCGCGTCGATCCGATTTGATCTCTGATTTTCTATCAAAACTTTCGTGTTCATCGTTCGCTTCAATGAATCATCAAAGTACTTGTCAGATTGGAGGCCTCCTCAAAGTATTTCAATGGCTAATGCTAAATTGAGCGCCGCGTTAAAACGGAGTGTCGTTGTAAACGTTTTTTTTTTTGCGAAAACCCGAAATTTCATCCCAAAATGAGAAAAATTCGGTAAAACAGGGATTGTCAGAATAGTTTATGACAGCTGTGTGCTGAAATTAGCGTTTTGCCCACAAGAAAGAGCGCATTTTTTTGATTTTTCTGTGAATTTCAGTCCGGATCGTCAAAAACTGACATTTCTCAGCGATGTTTGCATTTTATGGGCCGTCTCTGTGCTCAAAATGACCGCCTTTGCCTGCTGAACAATCGTGAGGCAACTGTTTTCTCAAAATTTCCGAAAGTTTGTTTTTTCAAGCCAAATTTAAAAAAAAACGAAATTACTCTTCGAATTTTCACTTTTACACGAGCACTCTGTGATCATTTTGTAGCTATCGATCATATAAACAAACGTGAGGCAAAAGTTTTGAAGGAAAACTGTGCATAATCGCAAAAACTCGAGAAAACAGTGTTTTCAGGTGAAAAACCGAGAGCCGCACGCAAAAAAGCGCGCGAAAATTTTTTTTTCGCAATTTAGGTGGGAAAACTGTTCTTTAGACCCTTCAAATTCAGTTCCATTCTATAAGAAAACCAAAGCGTTGCGACGTCACACAGTTGCTCTCGATTGCACACTCGACTGATGATTTATCACGTTACAAGTGATAAGCGCCCTCCAAATTGTCACATTCGGTCTGATGTTTGCACCTAAATCGTAATCGACCGAAAAACGAAAAACGAAAAAGCGTTTTTCAAAAAAAAACCTCCTCGAAAAACCTCCAAAAAATGGCGTTCCTCCACACGAATCGCTTCCATTGGCTCTGCTTCGTCCTCTGGCAATTTGCGCTCTTCTTTTGCTGTCAACAAATTTTTTCGGTAGGCTCGATTTAGCCGAAATTTGAAAGTTTTTGTATAATTCAGATCTTCTACAACTTTACACCCTCGCTAGACTGTGCGGACCCCGATTTTCAGTTCTCCAAGCCAAAGTGTAAACTTTCAAAGTGAGTGAGAACTTTTTGAGCCCATACTTTGTACCTTTGCAGATAAGACTACACACTGAAACTTTTTAGCATAGTTGCCACGGGCCGGGCCGGGCCGAAATTTCCAAAACTCCGGCCCGGCCCGGCCCGTCGGCCCGGTTCAAAAAGCGGGAATTCAAAATTTGAATTATTGATCGCATGAAGCCATTTTTTGTAGAATTAGGGGTTTTTTGCAAGCATCAAACATTGAAAAACAAATGTATTTCTCATAAAAATTCATAATAGCAAAAAAACAAAGAAGAAACACTAAAACTTTAGTTCGAAAATTTTTTTTGTAATAACGAAAAAAAAATTTCCGCGAAAATTTGAATTCCCGCCTTTTGAACCGGGCCGACCGGGCCGGGCCGGGCCGGCACTTCACCGACCCGGCCCGGCCCAGCCCGCGTGGCCGGCCCGAAATCTGGCAAGTCTGCTTTTTAGTGCCATCTAGTGGTGTTAGGCTCAAATACTAGGTTATCAGCTAAATATAGAATTTTTATGCGTACAAATGTTCAGTACACTTTCCTGGAGCCCACCTTTCAACCCCATTTACAGAGTAGAAATATGCTCTGAGCTTACGGCCAACTGCTCCGAGATCCACGTCGAGTCGGCGCCGTTTCACTCGATGGTCGCCGACTTTCGAATGTTCTGCGGCGCGAAAGCGTACGACGCCGCGTGGGTGGCCACTATTCAGTTTGTCGGCGTGCTCGTCGGAGCCATCACTTACGGCCATCTCGGAGATCATTTCGGCCGCCGACCCGTCTCGTTTTTCGGCATTTCTGTCGGCATCGTCTTTGGAGTCGCGTCAGGTGAGCGAATTGGACGTTAGCCTAGAAGGGGGGCCTAAACAAAAAAGTGCAAAGCAACCAAAAAAACTCAACGGAAGAACACGGAAGAATTTTTATCTTTTTTAGAAAATTTTTTCATGAAATGTGATCAACTGACGAAATGCATAGAAAAATGAACGCTGCTCATAGAAAAATAATTGTAAATTTAGCTTTTCATACAAAAAAGTTATTCGAGCTGTTCCGTGAAAACGGGCTAACTCGGAAGACGGAAGGAATAATTTTTTTGTATGAAAAGCTAAATTTACAATTATTTTTCTATGAGCAGAGTTCAGTTTGCTTCACATTTCGTCAGTTGATCACATTCCATGAAAAAATTTTCTAAAAAACATAAAAATTCTTCCGTGTTCACCATGCCGAAAGAATACTTTTGACGCGCTGCGATAAATTGAACACACCGAACAAATAGTAGAGAATGTCAATAGTTTGCCGGCAAACCGGTGCGCGATCAGGTGGCCGAGTGGTTAAGGCGATGGACTGCTAATCCATTGGGGTTTCCCCGCGTGAGTTCGAATCTCATCCTGATCGAATCTCTTTTCCACTGTCAGGATTCGCGCCCTCCTGGCAGTTGTTCGCCGCGTTTCGCTTCATCGTCGGCACTTCCATCGCCTCGATTCTCATCGTTTTCTACGCCTACATTCTCGAATTCATCGAACCGGAGCAACGAGTCTTTTTGCGATCATTTTTCAATTGGGTGAGCGAGTGATAAACTCGTAAAAAACTTGAAAAACACTAGTTAAGGGCTACGCTCGTCTCGTCTTCACCTTCGTCTGCTGGTTGTGCGGATATTGGCGGTCCGCCGCAATTGCCACGTCACTACTCTCTTTGCCAATCCTCCCGGTCCTCCTAATTCTTCCCGAGTCCCCCAAATGGTTCAACACGAAGAAACGGTTCCGAGAGGCGAAAGCTGCCGAGAAAAGAGTCGCGTGGCTCTCTGGAATTGAAGAAATTGAAGCGGATAGTAATACAAAACTGGAAATTGAGATGGAAGTCAAGGACACGAAGATTTACACAATGCGCGACCTCTTCACATCGTGGCCCATCGCCTATAGGACCATGGTCGTCGGATCGCTCTGGTTTTCCACTAGGTCCCGTTCATGCCGCGTCCAAAGTCTCGGAAAACCCGCAAATCTCGCGGACTTTGCACTCCAAAGTCGGCAGACATTTGCGGGAAATCCGGGGTGCGCACAGCTGAACGAGTGTTACCGTACACCATAAAACTACGGTATTTTTTTGAAAATTTACCCAAGAAATTTGAAATATTGCAAATATTCTTGAGAAATTTGAATTTCTTCAAAAAAATACCGTTGAAAAATTTGAAAAAAATTACAAATATTCTCGAGAAATTTAAATTTTTTTGAAAAAAAATACCGTTGAAAAATTTACCCAAGAAATTTGAAAAAAATTACAAATATTCTCGAGAAATTTAATTTTTCAAAAAAATACCGTTGAAAAATTTACCCAAGAAAAATTTAAAAATTGCAAATATTCTTGAGAAATTTAATTTTTCAAAAAAAATACCGTTGAAAAATTTACCCAAGAAATTTGAAAAAAATTGCAAATATTCTCGAGAAATTTGAATTTCTTCAAAAAAATACCGTTGAAAAATTTATTCAAGAAATTTGAAAAAAATTGCAAATATTCTTGAGAAATTTAATTTTTTCAAAAAAAATACCGTTGAAAAATGTACCCAAGAAATTTGAAAAAAATTGCAAATATTCTTGAGAAATTTAAAATTTTTTTCAAAAAAATACCGTTGAAAATTTATCCAAGAAATTTGAAAAAAATTGTAAATATTCTCGATAAATTTAAATTTTTTTCAAAAAAATACCGTTGAAAATTTATCCAAGACATTTGAAAAAAATTGCAAATATTCTCAAGAAATTTAAATTTTTTTCAAAAAAATTACCGTTGAAAAATTTACCCAAGAAATTTGAAAAAAATTGCAAATATTCTTGAGAAATTTAATAAAAATTACCGTTGAAAAATTTACCCAAGAAATTTGAAATATTGCAAATATTCTCGAGAAATTTAAAAATTTTTTTCAAAAAAATACCGTAGAGTTTCATGGTGTACGGTAACACTCGTTCAGCTGTGCGCACCCCGGATTTCCCGCAAATTTCTGCCGACTTTGGACGGCAAAATCCGCGAGATTTGCGGGTTTTCCGAGACTTTGGACGCGGCATTATTAGACTTTTGATTTCTCAACTTTTCAACTCTACATTCACAGTTTATCCGCATTTGGCTCCGACTTGAACTCGGGCAATCTTGCCGGCAACTTTTATCTGAGTCAATTCGTCTCAGGCGCCGTCACTGCTTTCGCAAAGATTGTAAGTGCACGTTGACCTCAATTTTCATACAATTCCCCCCTCAATTTTCAGTTTGTCTTCCTCCTCGACACGTATGTTCCCTCGTTCGACCGTCGACGTCTCCACCAAGTGCCTCAAATCGCCATGATCGTATGCTACGCCGCTATTATGGTCCTCATGATACTGCCCGAATCAGACTGTTCCCGACAAGGATCCAGGGATTTGGCTAGTCAGTTTTTCCATGAAAAACCACCTCCAAAACCCATATTAATTTCAGTTGTAATTGTCAACATCATCGGCGTCTCTTTCATCGAAATCACCTGGGACGCGTGCTATCTCGTCGCCGTCGAGTGCTTCCCCACGAGAATCAGGACCATTGGTAAGTAGAAGAGTTGAGCGCGGAAGAACACGGAAGCATTTTTTATCTTTTTTAGAAAATTTTTTCATGAAATGTGATCAACTGACGAAATGTACAGAAAAGTGAACTGTGCTCATCGAAAAATAATTGTAAATTTAGCTTTTCATACAAAACAGTTATTCGAGTTGTTGCGTGAAAAAAGGGGGCTAACGGAACAACTCGAATAACTTTTTTGAGTGAAAAGTTAAAGGACCAGGGAACCCAAAAATTTTTGGATTTTTTTGTGAAATTTTTTAGTGTCTGTTTGAATTGTCTCTTATTGCCTCATACACTGGTGAAATGCTGCCTCTCAAAAATGCCAATGAACGAAACGGCGTGCAGTTGAAGTTGTGGCCGTGGCCTAGCGCCAATGGCCTAGAAATATGCGCTTCTCGGCCATTTAATTTTTTACGCTTTTTTACCGGTTTTTTCGCGATAAAATCGAAAAACTCGCGACTTCGTATCGACTGAATGAAAACAATTTTTTAGCAGTGAAAAAATAAATAAGTGCCGAACAAATGTCAATCAACTGAAAAATGGGAGAAACCGTGAAATTTTTGGAAAAAAACCGGTAAAAAAGCGGAAAAAATAAAATGGCCGAGAAGCGCATATTTCTAGGCCATTGGCGCTAGGCCACGGCCACAACTTCAACTGCACGCCGTTTCGTTCGTTGGCATTTTTGAGAGGCAGCATTTCACCAGTGTATGAGTGGCAATAAGAGACAATTCAAACAGACACAAAAAAATTTCACAAAAAAATCCAAAAATTTTTGGATTCCCTGGTCCTTTAAATTTACAATTATTTTTCTATGAGCACAGTTCACTTTGCTATACATCAGAGTTGCCACGGGCCGGGCCGGGCCAAAATTTTCAAAACTCCGGCCCGGCCCGGCCCGGTTCAAAAAGCGGGAATCCAAATTTTGAACTATTGATTAAATAAAATGTTTGTTTTTCGTAGAACTAACGATTTTTGCAAGTATCGAGCATAAAAAAGAAATGTAGTTCTCAAAATTAGTTTTTAATAAAAACGTTTTATTGGCATCAAAGCAAAAGTAACAATTAAAAAAGAAGAAAATAATAACGATTTTTATTGAGCACTAGTAGAATTTTCCGTAGTGTCGTAGTTTTTTTTTGAAATTTTAATCCCCGCAAAAAAAAACGAAAAAATAGATTTCCCACAAAAATTTGAATTCGCGCCTTTTGAGCCGGGCCGGGCCAGCAAATTTTCGGCCCGGCCCGGCTAATTTGGCAAGTCTGGTAAGTAGTGCACCTGTACATCTTCTCTTTCCCAAAAAATCCGTGCAGGCATCGGCACGTGTTCGCTGCTGGCCCGAACTGGCGCCCTGTTGGCTCCCCAAATGGCCTACCTCTCGGACATTTACAAGCCGGCTCCGTACGCAGTCGTCTGCTCGATCGGCATCATTTCACTGCTCATCTCGTGCGTTTTCCTGCCCGACACGAAAGGAGTCGATCTGGGAGCGATGGAACCGACGGACGAGCTCGACTGGAATCGCAAGAAGAGCGTCACCGAGAATATCGTCATTCAACGGAGGATGACGGCAGTTACGGGGATTGCGGAGAGTGCATAGATTACTGTAGATGTTGTGTATTTCATGTATATTCGTGTATAAACAAACTTCTATTTTTTTATTCCTATACGTGAACGGCTAGGGACCAAACGGTAGGGATGCGAAGCAGGACTGGCCGGGCTAGTTGCAAGCGCGCTCCACTGCAAAAAAGCCTTGGCCGGCCAATGGTACGGTAAGCAATTCGGTTCACTGAGCGGTGTTTGCACACAAAGCATTTTAAATATAGAAAAAAACGTGTTTTCGAAAGGGTTTTCTTTTTTTTCTAAGTTTTTTCACTTCATGATCAAATATTTTCACAGAAAAATGCTCAATTCGATGAATTCGATTCATAACGTTGTTCCCATACATTTTTTTTCTTTCGTTTCGATCTCATGCATCTCGTTCTCATTAATTCTGTCGTTCTCTTTTATTTTTCTCTTCACTTCTGCTAATTTTCGAAATTTGTCAGCTTTTACTTTCTTTTCACCTTTTTTCTACTTTCAAGCATGTCTTCTTCTCATTTTACAATAATTTCTTCGATTTTTTCTTCATTTAAAATGCTTTGTGTGCAAACACCGCTCAGTGAACCGAATTGCTTACCGTACCATTGGCCGGCCAAGGCTTTTTTGCAGTGGAGCGCGCTTGCAACTAGCCCGGCCAATGTTTTGCCGAGCCCTGATGCGAAGAAAGGAGAAATGATGGAATACAACGATTTGTAGGTTATTTTGTATGATCCAGAGGTTTGATTAGTGATCTTAAAGTTACTTTCAGTGATTTTCGATCCCAAGGTAGTTTTCAGTGGTCCTTCGGCTATTTACAGTCATCCTTTGGTTATTTTTATTACTCTTTTAGCTATTTCCAGTTGTCCTGAGCTCATTCCCATCCCATAATCTTTATTACAATACGTATACCATAATCCACCACCATAAAGTGGGTCCCCCTCTCCCACACTATTTTCTCCTTTCCCACATTCACGTCTGTACTGTTTTAGGGCCCCCTCCCCCCCCTCTAGATTTCCGGGGTGTAGAGGGGCGTGGCCTCGTGTTACTGCGCACAAAAACAGTCATTCACAAACAAATCGTTTTTGTGCTCCCTGCCCTCCTACTATTAAACGATTCCATTCAATTCCAGCTCAACCATGTCCATGCCGTTGAAAATGAAGAAGATGTGGAGAGAGGAGATCTCTGTGACCATGATCAGCCAACTCATCACTTCCAACGACGACATGTTGATGAGGATCGCGGCGAAGCGACTGACGACGGAGAAGTACTCGGACAAGATGCTCATGAAACACAACATCCTCATGCTCGTCGTGGATCACTTTCCCAACGAACTGACCGCCAAAGTGATGAATCATTACATGGAACCGATCTGGGAGGAGACGCATCAGAACGGATACGTTGGCGACGACGAAGGAGAAGAGGAGCAGAAGGAGAATGTGGTCCCAGTCGTCCAAGTGAAGGAGCCGAAGAAGCGGAAGGACCGGCAGAGAAAGAGACACGCACCGTACTAGCGAATTGTGCCTATAATTCTTTGTACACCCAATCATTTGTTAAATAACTTGTGAATTCCATGACCTTCTCATCTTTGCCCGACAATAAAACTGTAATAACACATCTTTCCCTCTTCCTTTGCATCTTCGGATCCCGTCCAAACTGGCGCCTTGCCGTTCACACACACATATCCACAAATTTATGACATTTTCCGACTGCACAAACTCGAAAAGTGCACGGAACCCCAGCCCCTTCCAATAAAAAATTCCCTTGGCGGCGCAATTCACGTGCGCTAAAAAAGGCGCCTAACGCGTAATTCCGGAGCGTCGTTGTAGAGTTTCTCATTCATTTCAATTTTCCCTTTTTTTTTGCATTATCGCCATATTTTCAGAACCAATCAGTGTCAAAACTTATGATAATGATTAGAAATGAATAAAAAATGAAATGTTAACTGCTTCGTCATCAATTTCGAAACGTTTTATGTGAAAATTACAGAATTTTTTTCGTTTGGAATCGAAAATTTGCCTCAATTATCGCAATTCTGTATACTTTTCGACGGTTGAGCGCTTAAAAGATGCGCAATAAACTCCTTGTTGAGTGTCCGCACCCGATTCGGCAAATAATCGTTAAAACTCCGTTTTTTTCAGTAGTTTTCGACAAAATCCCTAAATTTTGTCAATTCTGAACTAATCTGCTCCGTTTCGCGCTTAAATCGATGCTTTTAACTCAGAAAATCGCGCTACGGTTCGCAAAGAACAAAATTTGAGTGTTTATTAAGTGAAAAAAACGAAAGAATTCTGGTTTTCAATTGAAAAAAGAAACTGCGAGTCGACGTGGTGGATGCAAGCGCGCCCCATTGACAACTCGCTTGTGCATTGGAATGCTTGTGTGAAAAGCTAAATTTACGATTATTTTTCTATGAGCACAGTTCACTTTGCTATACATTTCGTCAGTTGATCACATTTCATGAAAAAATTTTCTAAAAAAGATAAAAATTCTTCCGCTCAACACTAGTAAATGCTCGTTTATTCACGTACACACACACTGCACAATGAGATCTTCCAATAGACATCACATTCATTTCTCGTCCATCTTCTCATTATTCTCGATACAATCGGACCGCGTGCATGAGTCCGACGGAGGGATTCAGGTTGCTGAGCACGTTTTTGAGCCGATCGAACGATCCGTTGTCCGTCTCGTCGAGATCGACATTCTCGGATTTGTTACGGCTGAAATGCAATTAGAAAGTGAACCGATAATAGTTGATGTGAATGTTCTATGGTGTTGAGAACAAAGGATGATCACAAAGAACAGAGACATCCGCCGACGCACTACAAAACTCTTGTTATTGTTGAATTGAGAAAACTGGGCTGGCCTAGGGAGGAAGTTCGGCCATCTCTGGACATGGCCTAAGATTTCTAACAAGAAAAAGTTAGGCCACCAACTAGTCTTCTAAATGATAACAAAGTCCTAGCTTCTCCGACCACAAAAACTAGGCCCAACACTAACTTTTCAAATTGGGACAAGTTAAGACACTATTCGACATGGCCTAGCTTCTCCAAACATGAAAAACTAGGCCACCCAACTAGATCTGGCCTAACTTTTCCACCACTAACCTATCGGATCCCGATCGATGATTCGGTTTGTTGGCGCGATAGAGAGTGAACGCGTGGCCACCAGCCACGAGAATAAGTGCGAGAATAAGCAGGAAGCAGTGTCGGACAGGCGACATTCGGAAGCGACCCGACGACGACAAAAACACTCGACTGCCTCTTTTCTCTTTTACACCATCCTCGCAGCGGCCAAGGGGGGGGGGCGGAGTCTGTTTTTGAGTGTGTGTTTGTGTTTGTGTGATCAGTCGACGACATCATCACTTCTTCAGCAGCGATTCATGTGAATTCGTGCAATATTGTGATCAAATTTGAGCGAGAGAGAGAGAGAAAAGAAAAAGAAGCAAAGTTCATCTTGTGAAATCGGATTGGTCAGAAGATCATCATCATTGGGGTTTTCGTAGTGCAAAACTACACATTTTTGAGTGTGTATGTGTGTGAACGGCAAGGCGCCAGTTTGGACGGGATCCGAAGATGCGAAGGAAGGAAGAAAGATGTGTTATTACAGTTTTATTGTCGGGCAAAGATGAGAAGGTCATGGAATTCACAAGTTATTTAACAAATGATTGGGTGTACAAAGAATTATAGGCACAATTCGCTAGTACGGTGCGTGTCTCTTTCTCTGTCGGTCCTTCCGCTTCTTCGGCTCCTTCACTTGGACGACTGGGACCACATTCTCCTCCTGCTCCTCTTCTCCTTCGTCGTCGCCAACGTATCCGTTCTGATGCGTCTCCTCCCAGATCGGTTCCATGTAATGATTCATCACTTTGGCGGTCAGTTCGTTGGGAAAGTGATCGACGACGAGCATGAGGATGTTGTGTTTCATGAGCATCTTGTCCGAGTACTTCTCCGTCGTCAGTCGCTTCGCCGCGATCCTCATCAACATGTCGTCGTTGGAAGTGATGAGTTGGCTGATCATGATCACAGAGATCTCCTCTCTCCACATCTTCTTCATTTTCAACGGCATGGACATGGTTGAGCTGAAATTGAATGGAATCGTTTAATAAATAGTAGGAGGGCAGGGAGCACAAAAACGATTTGTTTGTGAATGACTGTTTTTGTGCGCAGTAACACGAGGCCACGCCCCTCTACACCCCGGAAATCTAGAGGGGGGGGGGCCCTAAAACAGTACAGACGTGAATGTGGGAAAGGAGAAAATAGTGTGGGAGAGGGGGACCCACTTTATGGTGGTGGATACGTATTGTAATAAAGATTATGGGATGGGAATGAGTTCAGGACAACTGGAAATAGCAAAAAGAATAATAAAAATAACTTAAGGATAACTGTAAATAGCCGAAGGACCACTGAAAACTACCTTGGGATCGAAAATCACTAAAAGTAACTTTAAGATCACTAATCAAACCTCTGGATCATACAAACGCTCCGGAATTACGCGTTACGCGCCTTGTTTAACGCGCGTGAATTGCGTGCCAAGGGAATTTTTTATTGGGAAGGCTGGGGTTCCGTGAGCTACGTCCATTTTTTTTTTCGCCCGATGAACACATTTACGGCCAGCGCGGTCACTGATAACCGGCCGTTCAACTGATAAGGGTCTTTCTCTCTCTCTCTCTCTCTCTCTTCCTCTCATTCCCCGTCCCCCACGAAATGTCCATTTTCCTCCTTCTTTCCCTTCCGATTCCCGTGTTCCCCGTTCCTGTCGTCTGCTATTACATTCTGAACCGGCCGCCCGTTTCGGAGGTCCCCATCGATTTGTGCACGCATTTTATTCTCATAAACTCTGCCCACGTCTCGGAAAATGGCGAGCTGGAAGCGGATATTGACGATTTCGAAGAATTCGGCCGGCTCAGAGATCGTAGGGACGATTTGAAGTTGCTCGTTTCGATCACGTCCCCGAATCCGTCGTTTTCGTGTTTGGTAAGTCGTTTAGCGCTCTTTTTTTTCAAAAATTCGATGGAGCGCACTTGCAGACCTCGTCCGAATCGTTAATGAACAACTTTGCTCTCGACTTGTTGCATGAATTCCGCGAAAATCGTCTAGACGGCGTGGATATCGATTGGGAGTTTCCGGTGTGGAGCAGAGACGCCGAGCCCAGCGATCGGGCCCAATTTGGTGAATTTTTAAAGGTACAGTATGCCTACACTAATCCTCAGGAACTTTTTTCGAGCAGATTCTCAACTATCATTTGTCCGCCGATGGATTTTTGGTGTCTGTCGCCGTCTCGGGACCTCCGACAATATCGAAAAAGGCGTACGACGTGGAGCCGCTGAAAAAGTGAGTGGTCCCGGCTGATCAACCGCCGGGGACCAACTTTTTTTGAAGGTACGCCGATATGGTACAAGTGATGAACTACGATTTTCATGTCTACAACAAATACTCGAATCCGTTCGTCGGTTTCAATGCGCCGATCCATCCGATGATGGCCGAGATTTCAGTGCTCGGAAAGATGAACTCGGTAGGGAGAATACCGGGAAAACTGAGAGATTTAGAGAAAAACTGATGGCGCCAATCGTCTCGAAATGAAAAATGACCCCAGGGACCGGTTTTTTTGAGTCCTAGCGTATAATTTCATCAGCCAACCTCTGGGGACCGTTGCGCGGTGGAGCGCACTTGCATCAATCATTTTTGTGTTCAGGAAGCTTCGATGAAGACGTGGCTCGAGATGGGACTGCCGAAAAACATTACATATTTCGGTGTTCCCACCTACGCGCGGGCTTTCCAACTTCTCAGCCGGCACCTCCACAAACCGTACTCGCCGGCCGTCAGGGACCGTCCGGAACTCTGCAATTTGGACGATGTGAGTCTGTTCGGGTCTCGGCACGACTTTTCAACAATGATATTGTAGATTTGTCATCTCATAAACGACTCAAACTACAAAAAAGTGTGGAATCGGCGCGCTCTTGCGCCTTATTTGTACGGTACGCATCTTCAAAGCGATATATCTCAGCTGTGGGTGGAGCTATCAAAATGCAGTCAACTGATAAAATGTACAAAATTTCTCGATAAATATTTTTCTAGTTGACACCATTTCACTATCTCCGCCCACAACTGAGATATATCGGTTTGAGTACACACAGTGCCTAAAAGCAAGATTACAGGCTCCGATGGCTTGTGGATTTCGTACGAAAACCGAAAAAGTGTGCGAGCAAAGGTGGAATTTGCAAAAAGTTTGCAAGTTGCTGGAATCATGGTCTTCTCGGTGGGAAGCGACGACGGAAACGGAGAATGCGGCGACGGCACTTGGCCTTTGCTTCGGGAGATTTCAAAATTGGCTAATAGCTGAAGATTCGATTATTTTTTGACTGTATTTGTTCATCTGTTATCAGTTTTATCATTATTATTGATATTATAGGATTATCAATGTCACACACACAGAAAGTAACAAACGATTAGACCCATTTGGGTTTGTGTGCGGAACTCGGCTGCCGAAGCGCACTTGCCCGGGGCGTCGGCGGCTGCGGGATTACGGTAGGGCGCTGCGGAGTGGTGCGCAACGGCTTCGGCTTCTCGAGCACACTCATTTTGGGCAGCGCCGAGCGGGCGACCGGACTTGAACTCGTGTTGATCAGGGACGGACGGGCGGATGTGGACACCGACGGCTTCATCGTGATCTGAACGAGTCTATCGATAGATTGTCAATGAATATTGTCAATCGTATTAAAATTCTTGAATATCGAAAAAATATCCAAAAAAAAAGCGGTCCCACCCACCTCTCTCTTCTTCTCGGCGGTCATTGACGGTTTGCGAACAAGCGGCGCGCTCATTCTTCGGCCAGCAGGACTTCCAGTGGTCCCACTGGTCGGGACCGTCTTCGGAGGGACCACCGCAACTCGATGAACCCTTGTTGGCGGTCCCTTTGGTTGACTAGCAGTCGGGCTCGAAACGGGCGATGTCTTTACGGGCGGCGGAGTGATTTTCCGTTCCGTCGGGCTTCGAATCGCTGGTTTTCGGAGTTCCGCCAACTTTGAGGGACCGCCCGTGGTCACACTAACTATCCGGACGGTCCCAGAGTCTATGGGACCAAGTGGTGAGGACGGTTTTAGAGCTGTCGGTCGGGTTACTGTACTCGGAGCCCTCAATAGTTTCGATGATGCGGTTTTTGAAGAAGTCTTCAATTCCGTCCTAATATTATCCTTCTTTTCCTCGCCAACTATTGTCGCCTTCTCAATTTTCACTTCTTCTTCTTCCTCCACCTTTTTCACTTCCTTCTCCTTCTCCTTCTCCCTTTCCTTCTCTTTCTGAACATGAGTGGCTCTCTGCAAAAAAACAAAAAAGTTCTTTGATAAAAATAAAGCGCTCGGACAAACTTTTTTGGTCAAACTCGAAATGTACGACTCGAGATCGTTGCACTGCTCATAATTTGACGAAGTCTTCGTGGCCGTCACACTTTTCTCCTCGTTTTCTTTGCTGCTATCCGTGGGACTTTCGAGCGGCGGTGGAGGGGTAAAACTGTAAAAAAAAAGGTTTCTCGAGAGCGTGTCAAACTGTTTTTGCAGAGTTTTGAAGGTGGAAAATCGATACTTGAAGGACCAGGGAAGACCAAAAATTTTTTGATTTTTTTTTGTGAAATTTTTTTGTGTCTGTTTGAATTGTCTCTTATTGCCACTCATACACTGGTGAAATGCTGCCTCTCAAAAATGCCAACGAACGAAACGGCATGCAGTTGAAGTTGTGGCCGTGGCCTAGCGCCAATGGCCTAGAAATATGCGCTTCTCGGCCATTTTATTTTTTCCGCTTTTTTACCGGTTTTTTCGCGATAAAATCGAAAAACTCGCGACTTCGTGTATCGACTGAATGAAAACAATTTTTTAGCAGTGAAAAAATAAGTAAGTGCCGAACAAATGTCAATCAACTGAAAAATGGGAGAAACCGTGAAATTTTTGGAATCCTTTAACGAAAAAAGCGTTCGAAAAACATTTTTCAACAATATCCGTACCTCTCCGGAGTCATCACATCTCGAATCTTGCGAATTCTGACATTTCCGAGCTTCTGGCGGACGTCCATAATGTCGCTGGCCCGTCTTCGAGTTCTGAAAATTATAGAACATTGTATTCCTGACAAAACTTAAAGGACCCTTAACTTTAAAACCTTATATCTCAAAAACAAATCGATATTTCAAAAAGTGGTCAACTGAAAAATTGTCCCAAATTTCAAGACCTACAACTTTGCAATTGACACTTTTCCCTCACAGCGTCTAGTTTTCAAGTTAAACGCTCACATCTCTGCCGCGTCCAAATTCCCCGTGAGCGTCTCGAAAAAGTCGCCGTTTTCCGTCCGTTTTCCCTCCGTTTTTTCCGCTCGATTCTCCATCGCTTTCACTCGTTTTTCCTCCTTCCGAGCGCGTCGATTCTCGCGCGAAACGTGCTCTTTGTGTGCCAAATGAAGGCGATTCAGGAGAAAAGTGAAGATTTTGAAGCATTCGTCCAACTGGAACGTGTTCCGATTCTCGCAAAAATAGTCGGCCAGCTCGGCCTGGAGTCGCTGCACTTGTTCGTATTTCTGATCGAATTCGGCCAGCTCGAATGAGCAATCGATCTTGATGAGCTCCAGAAATTGAGCAAACAGCCCGTCGTCCGATCGCCGCTCCAACTGCCGTTCCAGTTTCTGACGGCTCTCTTTCAGTGCACGCAGACTCGTCTTGATCTCGTCGAAACTGATTTGTGCGGCCTCTTTCAGTGAAGAAAGTTCCGTTTCGAGCTGGGCCACGAGTCCGGGTTCACACTGAACTTATTGATTGATTGATGTGGTCGCCAAAAGTGCGGTGGAGCGCACTTGCACACTCACCGTGACGAGAAGATGCGAGAGCGACGCCTCCTGCTTGTTGCCCTTCAAATCGATGAGTTTCCAGATGGAGTTGAGCGTGAATCCGAACGCGTTTCCCTGCGCATTGTTGCTATTCAAATAGTTGCCCATGTTGACGAGAATGAGCAGAAGACGTGGCAGTGTGGGCGAGTGCAGAATCTCTGAATTATCGATTTTCGGCGCATTTTTCAGGCAAACAGACGCTGTGAGCGCGTTTGCTCTCACCTTCACTGGCGCTCATCAACACGTGCACATTCGGCGCGAGCTCTTGCATCAATCGCGAGAAATCCGACAGGAAGATAAGTGTTTCTATTCTGAAATTTCGCTTGATTCTCGCAGATTTTCAGCAACTATTCTCTCACCGCAATCGATAGAATGGAATGGCGACGATTCGTTGGAAGAAGTGCGAGGGCGGCGAGAGCATCGCCACGTCACCCGAATACCGTTTCAGCGCCTCTTCCTGCAAAAACAAAAAAAAAACGAAATTTTAGGCCGAACAAACGGCGTACCTCATCGGGTTGCGGAAGCATTGCGAACAGATTCTGGAGGGCGTCGATTTCGGCGACCGGTTTGTTGAGCGTGACATTTTCCAGAAACGCGTCGACATTTTTGAACTGTTTCAGCATGATCGCCACGTTTTGACTGCGTTTGTCGGAGAGCAACTCCACTTGCGCGTCTTTTCGCGAGGATTTCTGGAAAAACGTTTTATTAGCTGGGACACGGTCTCCCACGGCGCGAATGATTTCAATGGGGCGCACTTGCAACAGGCGGGCCGTGTCGATTTACGCGGCGGCGGCCGATTAAATAATTTTCAACGGGAGTTCGCGTTCTTTCCATGTTTTCTATACAATACACCTATTTTTTTGTGCGCCTGGAACCTGGATCCGAATAATTAGAGCACTAGCTACGTTTTGGTAACAGAAATCTTGCATATCGTTGAGAATCAGCCGAGTTATTTAGATTTGAAGGTTTTGGCCTGGATTTTGATGTTTTTCGAATAGTTTTCGAAAACTGCTCAAGAAAACTAACCGCCGGAACCTGAATTTTGTGAAGAAAGATTCAGCGAACATTTTTATCGCTCGTTGGGCTCATAAAATGCAAAATGAGCTGAAATATAAGGGTTTGAAGTTTTGACGAAATGCGAAAAAGACGCTAAAAACATGAAAAACTCTAAATTCTGTAAAGAACGGTTTCCAACCAGTAAAATATTGTTTTTTAGACGTTTTTCAAGTCAAAAAGAAAGAAATAGCGGTCGTAAACTCGAATTGAACTGCATTTTTAGACCTGCGCAAATTTTCAAAAGTTACAACGACACTCCGCAATTTACGAGCGCACTGTGTTTAGCATTAGCGCCCTGGGAGACCGTGTGGGATATAACTAAAATAAGGCTAAGGAGAACCGGACGATGAGATAGAGCTCAAGCGTTGGATATCAGTAAAATCGATGTTACATGGTACATCAAAGTTCTCTTACAAGTCCGTTGACTTTGAAGGCCTGTATCTCTAGAACCAAACATTTTTTTTAAAAGTGATCAACTAATAAAATGTACACAATGTTTCACTGAGCATTTTCTCAGTTGACCACGTTTTGATAGCTCTGTCGAGAGCTGAGATACATGCCTCCAAAGTCAGGGAACTTGTACGAGAGCATTGATGCGCCATGGTGTTGCAAAGTCTATTACAGCGATTTTTACTGTTATGAGCAGTTCTCTACTCTACAAATCCTTTTTCAGACAAAAAATGAACAGAAAGCATTGCTCACCTTCTTCGCGTGTTCCATAGTTCCCCGCGAGCTCTGCGACTCGATCCCAAAAAAGTTATCGAGCAGATCAAAGTCGATCTGAACCTGCGACGCCTTGGCCAGTTTGCCCCAGACACTGTCGTCCTGCACAGTGTTCGCGTTGATCTTCGACCACTGCACCGTCCGTGTCTTTGTCTTCTTCTCCTTTTTCGGCACCATCGACCGCGGACACTCTTTCTCCTTTGCCGAATTCGTCGTCGCAGCCGCAAGAGTTCGTGGTTTCGGAGCCTTGAGCAGTCCTGCCGGTGGAGGTGGTGGTGGCGGTACGCCGAACAGAAGATTGGGTGGAGGTGGAGGCGGTGGGATCGGCGCTGTGACGGCAAAAAGTGGTGGTGGTGGCGGAGGAGGCGGTGGCGGAGGAGGAGGAGTTGCTGCACTTTTGACTAGGTTGTCGTTGGGGTCGATGAGATGAAGCTTGCGGAGTTGGATTTCTGCATCGGTCTGGAAAAAGTGGGGCAATGAACAAGTTTAGGCTATTTGTCCAACCCTGAGCAACATTTTAATAACTCTGTGCGGCGCCCCGCCCAATAGAGCGATACATTGGCGCGAAATTTGTATTTTTTGCCAGATTAGCCACGAAAAATCGATAATTTCTTATTTGTCTCTCGATAGACCGATTGTATAGGCTATTACGAAATTTTTAAGCGCAAGAACGTCAAATTTGGTCAAGTCGCAAATCCCATTTGGCCGTTTGAAGGTTTTCGGCTAAAACTGCGCGAATTTCCGTTGCTTTTCGGTAATTTTCGCGATTCGAGCGCTCAAAACGCTTGTATTTACGTGATTTATCATTCTCAAAACCAATTCTGTCGGAAAACGGTCAAGAAAGCGCAAAATGAGAAGTGCGGTTTTTAGGCGGCGATCGGCGGCGAAGGCGAAAAAGCAAAGTCCGCGAAAAATGCGCCAAAACGTCATTAATTCTGAGAATTATTATAGGGGCACTGCACAGAAATGGCGCTCTATTCAGAAACTCTTTTTGCAGTGCAAATTGAGCGACCTCGGGGCCGAGTTTGAAAAGTTAGGCCACGTTTTTAGTGGAAAAACACTTCGCGGCCTAGAAGTTCGGCCAGATTGCGAACAGAGCGCCATTTCTGTGAGATGCCCCTATAATAGTGTGTTTTCAATCATTTTTCATCACCACTAAAATCAGCGAAAACGTGCTCAATTCATGAAAACGCCATTTGGCCGCCGAGGCCACGCCCATATTGTCAGCTCTGGAGACCGTGGAGCTCTGGGATTACTCATCAATAATTGTATGTTTGAAACGCTAAAAAGGCCTCTAGAAAAGGCTTCATGCCGCGTCCAATGTCTTGGAAAAACCGTAAAAACCGCAGGTTTTTCTGTCCAAAGTCGGCCGAAATTTGCGTGAAAAACGGGGGTGCGCACAGCTCAACGAATGTAACCGTACCCCTAAAACTACGGTATTTTTTGAAAATTTGTTAATTTCTTGAGGATATTTGAAAATATGCAAATTTCTTGCGCAAATTTTCAAAACATACCGTAGTTTTAGGGGTACGGTTGCATTCATTGAGCTGTGCGCACCCCTGTTTTTCACGCGAATTTCGGCCGACTTTGGACAGTAAAACCTGCGGTTTTTACGGGTTTTCCGGGACATTAGACGCGGCATTAACTACTAGTCAAAGTTGCTCACCTGCGAGCTGATGAGTCGTATTTGGTCGATGATCTGCGAGAGGAAGAATGCTCTCGCCTCGTTCTCGCTGCCCTTCTTGTCGAGCAACAGCTCGTCGAGCGTTCGTCGGATTGTGTCGCTCGTCATTTTCGCATACTGCAACGAGAAACATATGTAGAAGCGTATTGAGAAGAAGCAACAAAAAACATTTCAGGTGTCACAAGAGAACAATCAGTATTGTACAAACATTGAAGAAAACTCAATCTCAAGTCCTTATAACTAACTTCTTTTGCCCCCAATGACACGTGGAAACTAGTCGAAAGCTGTCAAAGTCATCGCCTACTGCACGGACGATAAAAACGCGTGAAATATATAATATGAAACTGGAAACTATTCAGCAAACAAATCTTTAGAGGGGGATGGAAACTGAACACAGAGATACGCGTGTGGGTACTCTTGAGAGGTACAACAAGAGTGATACAAACGGGGAGGAGAAGAAGAAGAGTCATTTGCATATTCACACACATATCATTGCGGGAGGCAGCAAAAGAGAGAGAGAGAGATAGTAGCCAAGCAGTCGAGGGGGGCGGATAATATTTAGCAAACAATTCTCCGGTGAGCAGCCGATAACTGTTCGCCTAGGGATAAGAGATGATTTGATTCAATAAAAGATTTCCGGTTCATAACGACAATGCGATGATGCGCCGCCGCGCGGCTCACTTTCTTTTCCACTTTTCTTTGTCGACACAAGAAACGTGTGACGTAGCCACGGTCTCCAGAGCAGAGATGTTGGGAATAAAAATTTTACTCTACGGAACACGGAACACGGAAAACGGAAAAAACTTATTTCTACGGAACACGGAACACGGAACACGGAAAATTTTTTTTTACGGTACACGGAACACGGAAAATTTTTTTTTACGGAACACGGAACACGGAAAATTTTTTTACGGAACACGGAAAAAAGCGTTTTCAAGAGAATTCCAGTGATTTTTTTAAAAATAATGTTTTGTTTAATTCGATTATCTGACTGACAAGGCAGCTGTTTGACTCATGTGAAAGTTTTACTGAAAATTTCATAAAAATAACAAAACCAACAACACAACAGTAAACAACTACAGTAGAAAACGACTGAAAATGGAATCCACTTGTGATCGAATTTTTCCGCGGAAAATATAGTTTATACGGAACACGGAACACGGAAAACGGAAAAAACTTATTTCTACGGAACACGGAACACGGAAAAAATATTGAAAAAAACGCGGAACACGGAACACGGATGTCCCAACATCTCTGCTCCAGAGCTGACAATATGGGCGTGGCCTAGGCGGCCAAATGGCGTTTTCTCTTATTTTTGTGGTCAACGACGATGAAAAATGATTGTTCGGCATGAAAACACACTAATTCTCAGAATTAATGACGTTTTGGCGCATTTTTCGCGGATTTTGATTTTTCGCCTTCGCCGCCTAAAAACCGCACTTCTCATTTTGCGCTTTCTTGACCGTTTTCCGACAGAATTGGTTTTGATAATGATAAATCACGTAAATACAAGCATTTTGAGCGCTCGAACCGCGAAAATTACCGAAAAGCAACAGAAATTCACGCAGTTTTAGCGAAAAACCTTCAAACGGATAAATGTGATTTGCGACTTGACCAAATTTAACGCTCTTGCGCTTAAAAAATTCCTAATAGCCTATACAATCGGTCTATCGAGAGACAAATGAGAAATTATCGGTTTTTCGTGGCTAATCTGGCAAAAAACACAAATTTTGCTGTTAAAATTTGAATTTCGCGCCAATGTATCGCTCTATTGGGCGGAGCGCACTTGCGCCCATTGCCAGCTCTGGAGACCGTGCGTAGCTATACAATTGAGCCGATTTACGTATGGCCTAAGCGGTTGAGGGAGTCTGGAAAGGCCTAGATGGGCTAAAGAAAGACCTCAAAAGCCCAGGCAGCCAAATTGACCCAAAAAGCCCAAGAGGAAAGCCTAGAAAGACCGCCAAAAGCGTGGATTGCAGCGTGAAATAAAAGTTGGCTCTCAAGAGTACGCGGGGCTATAGTCAAAACCGCTTCAGCTGCCCGTCGTATTTTAACGTAGTAGTCCACCGCTCTGATCGAAAAACAAAAAGTGACCCAAAGGGCGCTGGGGCGCAGCTGCAGACCACCTGTCAGTTCGAGTACCAACTACCACGTTTTTTGTTACGCACAACGAAATGGTACGCTGTTTACGAAAAGCTATAAAATGGCGATTGTGTGTATTGACGGATGAATGCATGTTTGTATTTATATTTCCAATATAACCTTTTTTTTCCGTCTCGTCTGGTTTGGTTGATGTACCGTACTAGAAGAGGAATACAACGAAATTGATGAGGCGATTCATCACCGCTGATGCTTAGTTTCAGTTGCAATGCAGAGGCAACGCATGTTGACATATATGTATGTCAGGCACAAATCTTCAAATGTACATGTGTGGGCGATGAATCACGTCATGTATATGTGAACTATCTATTTGGGGAATTTGTTCGTAACACACGACTTTTAGTTGTGTTTTACCAGTGTGCCTTACCGAAAGGGTTTCGGTAAATTTACCGGTAAATTTACCGGTAAAAATTTCGGTAAATTGTCGGTAAATTTTCGGTAAAACTTTTTTTTACCGAAAGAGTTTCGGTAAATTTTCGAAACAATTTACCGAAAATTTACCGAAAATTTACCGATAAATTTACCGGTAAATTTACCGAAACTATTTCGGTAAAAGTTTCGGTAAATTTTATTGGTAAATGGGTACTTTTTCGAAACAATTTTCAATTTTGAGAACGGAACATTGAGGCGACTGTTCAGCGTGTTCCTGATGTTTGGGATGTTGTTCAGAATGTTCTAAATTGGTCACATCAGTCACTTCCCTTGTCAATAAAAGAACGCCGGTGCCGCGCCTTTTCGGTATCGACGGCACCGCTCGGCGCCTCAATTTTTCTGTTTTCTTTTAACGAACAGTTTATTTTCGAATGAGGAACTTTGGGGACACATTAAATGCGAAACTCGTTGCATAGCATTATAAAAAAAATTTAAAATTTAAAAAAATTTAAAAAAACAAAACAAAAAAAATTTAAAAATTAAAAACAAAAAAAATTATTTTTAAAAAAAATTATTTAAAAATTATTTAAAAAAATTGAAAACAAAAAAACATGTTTTAACATTTTTTTCTCCGCTCTCAAAATTGTTCTTTCGGTAATTGTCGAAAGGAACGATTTACCGGTAAATTTACCGGTAAATTTACCGGTAAATTTACCGAAACTCTTTCGGTAAAAATGTTTTTACCGAAAATTTACCGAAACTCTTTCGGTAAAAACAGTTTTTTAAGGCACACTGTGTTTTACACAACAAAAGTTGGGATAATCAGTCATTTTGAGGCCTATGAACCAGAGTTGAGCGGAAGAACACGGAAGAATTTTTATCTTTTTTAGAACATTTTTTCATGGAATGTAATCAACTGACGAAATGTCAAGCAAAGTGAACACTGCTCATTGAAAAATAATTGTAAATTTAGCTTTTCATACAAAAAAGTTATTCGAGTTGTTCCGTTGGCCCTTTTTTCACGGAAAAACTTGAATAACTTTTTTGTATGAAAAGCTAAATTTACAATTATTTTTCTATGAGCAGAGTTCACTTTGCTTGACATTTCGTCAGTTGATCACATTTCATGAAAAAATTTTCTAAAAAAGATAAAAATTCTTCCGTGTTCTTGCACCGAGTTCTTCCGCGCTCAACTCTGCTATGAACCGGAGAAGCATGCAATTTTCCATAGAACTTTTAAAAAAATGAACGACCATCACGCAAGCGGCTACCATTTCCGGGTGACCAAAGAAAGAGAAAAAGCAATAAGTGAGCGCGCAAGGAATGATTGGGGGACGACCGGTACGTACCCCGTAAAAGGATGACAATGCAAGCACGAGCGGCACTATTCAAAAACAATAAAAGTGTTGAAGAAGATGAAAAAGAGAGAGAGGAAGAGAGAGAGAGGCAGGGAGAGAAAGTGCAAACATTTGTGAATCAGTCGACGAAGACGAACCAACGGAACATTTGCGCATTTTCAGTTATGAAGCTGTCTAGGGGCCTAATCATCTCACTCTTAGCACGGTTTTTTTTCTTGAATTCTAGAAGCGTCTCTAATCATTTGTGACACAGTTTCTTAGTGACTTTAGTAACATTAAAGCCATTTTCAAAAAAAGATTATAGGCTGATTGTGTAGTTACACAGGTTTTTTGGGTCTAAACAGACTTGCCAAATCCCGGGCCAGCAAATCGTCGGCCCGGCCCGGCCCGGTCGGCCCGGAAGTTAGATCTCAAAAAAAAATATGCAAAAAAAATATGAAGGAAGAGGAAAACGCGTGCGGCAAAATTGCTAAAATGGCGTGCCAGAGTTGCAATCAATCGCTCCGCCCACTCTTGAGAAAATTTTCGTAATTTTTGTGAAAATTTTGCGACTTTAAACAGCAATTTCTATTTTTTAACAGGTTTTTATGCTATAACATTGCCTTTTTAAGTCTATGAAATTTTAAGTCTATAAAATTATGTTCGTTTCGAAGTTCTAGTTCGCTTTGAATTTTTAGGTGCATCCTCCCGGGCCGACCGGGCCGGAAAATTTCCAATTTTGGCCCGGCCCGGCCCGGCCCGTTGCAAGTCTGGGTCTAAACAATTCACTGAACACACTTTTACTGTGTCAAGGCTCCAAAAACGTGTATAAGGTGTCATTGTGAATAAAATTTACCTAGTGACACTTTTTAACGCGTCTTATGGCTTTACGGGCCGACTTTTTCACTAAACTTCAGATTGACTCGTTTCTTAACCTCGCCGAGTGAGTCCCAGGCTCGAAATCGCGAAAATCGCTGCGAGACCCTAGAACTTCAAAAGAAACCTATGTAAAAACAAGAAAAGTTAAGGTAAACGGGTGGGCGGCACGTGTATAATAAGTGTGAGGTGTCATTCTAACCTCCGTATTTCTCTTAATCTCTCGGCGGCGGCGACAGTTATCTTATGCAAATGATTCATTTCAATCCGCGCACGGAAGGAGACGACGGGGCGGCGCTCATAAAATGACACCTTTCACTTTTTGGTCCTACACTGCCCTATCGTGTACATGAAACAAGTTGTGGAAAGGTTCATTTTGGAGGAGGGGGAGAGGGAGGGGTAGACTTATAAAAAAATACTAGCACGGAGGGGGCGAATTTATAAAAAGAAAAAAAGGGGAAAAGCTAAATAGATGGGGTGGGAAGCTGTTATTGTGTTGAAAAAGAATGCGCGCGCGCGCGCGGGACACTTCGAGATCACAATCTGATGCGGCGGCCCGGATTCTGTTGTGCACGCTCGGCACCGATCCGAATCGCACTTTCACCTTTTCCCGCTCGCTAAACTTTTCCAGCATTTCAACGCTTTCTGGCTGGCTTTAGGGAAAAAACAAGCGCAAATTGAGCACGCAACAGTTTTACACATGTTCAAATTTGCACAATTCTCCCAGAAATCGTTGAAACGCTGAAAGTTGGTGACGAGTTCAATAATATGCAAAAATAGTATCTAAATAGAAAATACGAGACTAGGACGATGAAGAGAAAATAGGCGCGAAATAGGAATACAATTATATATCAATTTTCGCTCTGCAAACGCGCTCCACCGCACACTTTTCAGGATAGATCGCGTTTGTACACACACAAGCACACATAGAAGAATAGACAATAGATCGGAAAAATTGAAAAATAAAACATTCAGGCGGGTTCGATTAGATGATTGCGGTGGCGGTGGCGGTGACGGTGACGGGCGAGGAAGTCAGTGATCGCGGCTGACGGGCGGTCATCACGCGTTCGCAAATCGAGAAGAGCATCTGAAAATGTGGAATGGACAATCGTTCCTTCGAAATTTTCGAGCAATGTGCTCTTTGTGCTAGATTTCAATGCAAACTGGGCAAAACTGTTGTTCAGACGTTACCTCCTCGACTGCGTGCTTGTCCAGTTTGAGTACGCACATCTCGCGCACCGTCGTCTTTTTGGCGGCCATGGTCTCGAGGACCGACGTCTGCCGCGGCTGTCCCGACTCTTCGGACGGCACGTTCATCACGAGCTCGTACTGCACCTGACCCGTCTTCATGTTTCGCTGAATCTGGTGGTTCGACAGTAGGCTCGCACAGTTGCGCGCGTCAATGAGCAGGATGGCGGCGTCGCACGAGTCCATGTACGATTGCGGCAGGTTCGTGTCCTGAAAATTCAGACTTTTTCAGTTAAGACAAGGGTTCTCCTACGTCATATTCCGGATCGATAATGTCCAACACGTATTCGACGTCCGGCGATGGGCTGATCACCTGCAAATTTGAAAATTTCACTGAAATAAATATAGTTGTTCTGTTCGTAACGCCAGCATAGCTGTGACGGGACAAAACACTATGATTGTCAGGCGGGATCCGGGCCCTGAACTTCTTCTTACCAGGGATACAAAGTGGGGAAGGCGATTGTCGCCCACCGGATACGGCATCACTCCGATGCCCGCCAGTTTGTAGCGTTCGGCGATCGGGATCACGCGAATCGACGACGTCGTGCCGTCGAGGAACAGTTGACGGATTCCGCGCACCTGCAAAATGCAAATAAAAGTTGTAAAGCTTAAAACTCTAGTTTCAAAACATGTTCAGAATGTTGTCAAAAACAGCTCAAGTCTCAGATTTCTGGATTGTCCTTAAGGCATTAAGACATTTCCGACTTTATCGCGACTGAAAAGTGTTTTGGCGTTTCTCAAACATCCCGCACCTATGAGCTTTTCGCGCTCTTCAAATCTTCTATAATCTGTGTGCCGATGCTCCGTACCATGCAAAAAACCTCACATTTCATGAAACAGGTGTCAAAAACCACTTTTCCCACAACATTCCAATACAAAACCCTTCATTTTTTTTTTCGTATTTCGTATTTTTTTTACTCACAAAAGTAGTCTTTCCGGCGTGTGCGTGTCCGAACACGACCATCGTAATTTCGCTTCCCGACGCGACGCGCTCGAACTTCCGTCCGATGCCCGTATAGTATCCGAGTGCAAAGTTGGTGGCGCTCAGAAACGAGTGCATCGTCGTCGTCGTCGTCGTCGTCGGATCGTCGTGCTGATTTTCGAGTCGGACGAACGAGACGGTCACCGGCTCGGCCGCATTTTCTACGTGGCTCAGCAGCTGCACCTTGTCCGTCACTTTCGCGCCGCCCTTTTTCGACGACAAAAACAGACGGCGCCACAGAGATTTCATGTTTTTCTTGGGCGCGCTTTCGATGAACACCACCTCATCCTCTTCCGGAATCTGTGAATTCGGATTCAGAAATGAAGACGTCGTATTCGTCGCTGCCCCACATCCACTGTAAGATCTCCGCGTTTTCGAGCGCAACGCGTTCAGACTTCTGCGCAAAAACGAGTTCCGTTTCAGTTTTCCGTCCGTCGATTCGTCGCCCACTCCGTCCTTGCGCTCGCCGATTTCTCCGTTGCTCTCCTCGAATTTCGCCTGTGTCGCCGACGTGAATCGTTCGGATCGACGGCCGAATCCGTTGCGGCGGAACTCGTGAAGATCGGTGATTTTGCTCGAATCCAAGTCGGACGCGTACTGATCCGGACTCGTCATCTCGTCGCTCATCGAGTAGTTCAGATACTCGGGAGGGATCTGAACGACATCAATGAATTGGCCCTAACTTTGCCAAAAATTGTTCAACCCACTTGCAATAATCCGATCAGACCCAAACTTTTCAGGCTTCAAATTTCTCGGGCCCAAGTTTCAGACCTATCTGATACTTCAAGCCAAGACTGAATGTTCTACAAAGTTTAGGCCCGACTCGAGTATTGCAAGAGGCCCCAAAAAAAAAGAAAATAAAGTCTTCAAGTACCTTTAATGAGCTCTTGGAGGGTCTTGCGTTGGCAGGAAGTGGTCGTCTTCTGTGCGGAGTCATTGGGCTCAAAATAAGAGCAAAATTAGTGGAATAAAGTTAGGCGCAAAGTGTTCAAAAACACCTTTATGCTCATTTTGACACCGAATTTTAACGTTACCGTCGAGAAATGAACACCTTTAGACACCTTAAAATCAAAAAAATGCACTGTTTTTTTTTTCGAAATCATATTTATTGACCGAATAGTTATTATCGTTATAAATTATTCCGGTGTGAAGATCTCCTTCTTGATTCTTTTCGTTCTGTATCTGTACTCTCCGGGGCCGGGTTGCGGGACCGTCCGTTTGAATCGGTTGTCAATTGCTTTCATCCTCGCCGCCTTCGCCGCTTCCGCCTTCGCCGCTTTCGTCGCTTTCGACGCCTTCTCCTTCTTCTCCTGCTCCCTCACGTCCGCGTTGATCTTCTCGACCATCGCCGCGGCGGCCGCCTTCGCCTTCTTCTCCGCCGCCTTCGTCTTCGCCGCTTCTGCTCGTGCCGCCGCCGCCGCTTCTTTGGCTTCCGCTTGAGCTTCCGCGTTCACCTGCGCCTGCTTCCGCTGCAAAATCCGTTCCGTAGCGTGTCGAATTCGTTCTCGTCTCCGCAAATCCGCCACCGCGTTCTTGCACTCCATGTCGATGCGCGCGTAGAATTTGACCTCGCGGAAGACGCGTTCGGTGCTCTGCTTCCGTCTGTCGTAGTGGTGGCCCGGAATGCGTTTCGTCTCTTCGAGCACTCGGAACACGATCCGGTGCTGCGCCTCGAGCATCTGCTGGAGCCGCTGGTCCGGCACCAAATCGCTTCTGGCGAGCGGCTCGGCGAACGATAATCTGTACTCGCGCATCACTTCCGCCGCCTCGTCGATCGTGTAGCGTTTGTGCGACATAGGTCTGAAATTTCTGAATTTTCATCCGTAGCCAAGAAAATTCATTCAAAAATGAGGAAAACAAAGTGAACGACAGCCATTCTTTGATCATTTTGTAGCAATCGGTCATATGAAAAAAGGTGAGGTACAAGTTTTAAGAGAAACAAGCATTTAACCAGACGGTGTATAGTATAAAATTTAAAAATAAAAAGTACAGAAAACAGAAAGTGTGGCTGGTGTGTTCGCGCGCGCGTCGCGTCTCTTTCGCTCTCTGCACAAGAGACGCAGACTTTTGAAGAATTTATCGATTTCTGCCGTCTACCTCGAACAAATGGTCGGACCGGCGATCGAGAAAAAAAGACGACGTTTCGAGCGTTGCGACATCGTCCGCACCACTTTTGTCGGCTCTTTCTGCAATTTTTAAAAAGTTTAATTTAAAAAAATTAAAATGAAGTTACGTTTTCCTCGTAAATGAACAAATCGTCGTAGCTCGTCTCAATGTTTTCCGGGTTTTTCAGCTTTCGAACCATCTGCAAGAAAAATTGGGTCTCGACTGAAGAAAAAGATATCAGAAAATCGAAATCCTTTATCAGGCCAAATACGGCCTAATAGGTCCGAATGGGTGAAGTCCTATACAGGGCTCATTTTTTGGGTGCTCTGATTTTGGTCCCAGCATTAATTATGCTCAAAAAGATTCGAGGAATCGAATAAAATCGAGTCTGTGTCGATTAGATTTGTTTGAAATTGTTTAGGCTTCGGGTTTGAACACGTTGAAACCAGATGTCCTGCAGTACCCTAAAAATAGCAGAAATAGAGAATGTCAACGAGATAATTAAAACAAAAATGGCAAAACCCGTCTTAAAAACACCGTTTTTCTGGAAAAAGAACACCTCCTTTTTTTCTCACATTTTCAAGTGTGATGCTCGGAATCATTGCCTCGAGCGGTCCGACGTCGTGCTTACAGATGACGCACTGCCGCGTGTTGCGGGTGTGTCTCTCGATGCACGGCTCGCAGTACGAGTGACCGCACGTCACCATCACCGGCTGCAAACGAAAATGTTCGACTTTCAGTTGAAAATGTACGAAAACTGACACGATCGAAGAACTGCTCGCACAGTGGGCAGTGCAATTCGGAGCTGAGGTCGCGCCGCAGTGGAATATCGTTGATGCACTGCAAAAATGTGAACTCTTTCCAAAATCGTGGCTTTTTGCAATTTTGAGAGTTGGCATATCAAGTTTTCCGACGTGTACAAACTACTTTCAAAGAGGAAAAATCTTTTTCTTCTGGAACAACTGAAAATCGTTGTTTTAGAGCTTTTCCGGCACTTTCGACGGTCACAGTACCGCAGTGGAGGTGGTTGCGTTGGATTCGAGACGTGGCGACGAGTGGGCGATCGATAAATCTGATTGGGATGCCCGAATTTGCATCGAAGCGCCGTCGGCCGTCGACGAAGTGTCCGCGCATAAATCCGTCATTCGGCTGCAATTTTTCTGGAAGACATTTCGCTGAAAATAAATGGGAAGCAGTAGAATCGGTGCATTTCTTCGAACGGAAACAAAAAAATAGAGAAAAAAAATGTTTTGGTCGACATTTTTATACAAAGAAAGCAGCGAGTTGAATGAAACGAGAGAAAATAAGCGAATTTTGAAAAATGATGCAAACGCGCTCCATTGCGAACGGAAGAAATGAGAATTTGATTGCCGCGAAAATTGAATTTTCGAAAAATCTAATTTCGGCGCCAGCAATAGAGGACGCTTGCATTGTTCTTTAAAAAATTGGTAAAAAATACGGAGAAATCTTAAAATTTCATCAATTCCACCACTTTTTTTATCTCTTCCAGCAGTTTTTCCGATCTCTTGACGTCGATTCCCTTGTCCTCGAGTTGTTCATTCAGGAAATCGGTCTCTGAAAGTAAATGTACATTAAAAACTACAAATATAAACAAAAAACCTTGTTGCAGCTGTTTGCAAAGATTTGCCGTCGCAGCATTGGCTTCCTTCAGGTCTTCCAGAACGTCTGAAACATTGTTAATTCAATTGTTTTCTGAAAATCTTGAAAAATACCGTGATTTGTGTCGAAAGTCTTCTGAAGCAGCTGCTGCAGCTCGTGTTTGTCGGCGTTCGATGCCAATTTCGGCACTTTTTGGGACTCCACTTTCGCCGTCATTTTGTCGATTTCCGCGCACACATCCACGCTCTCGCTTGTCATTTTTCGCTGAAAGTTGAGAATATGACGAGGGTTTCATGAACTTTTCGAACGAAAAACAGATTCTGATACGAAAAACAACAAATTTTTAGCAATTTCAAACGATGAAACGAATATTACAGCATTTACACGAAAAATGAGGATAAAACGAGAAAAATTAATTTATGACAGCAAAGTACGGTTATTCTTTGTGAATTTGTTAATGCTAAAGTTTAAAAATGCTAAAAGCTGCAATTTTCAAGCAAAAATCCACGAAATCTGTCTCAAAAAGTGTTTTGAATCGGAGTGCTTCGCGCGGCTGCTGACTTGGCACGCGGCCAAGAATGCAAACGCGCTCCACCGCACTCATTACGAAATGTCCCTTCTGATCCGATATTGGCCATTCACACCCCCCCCCCTTTCCCCGTATTTCTGCCTTTTTTTGTGTCTTGCGTAGGCGTAGAATAATTTTCTTAGATTATGTTATCGATTTATCCATAATTCTTACCGAAAAGATTGCTATTATCCCTCCAAAAATTGTCGTTTTTTCGCCAAATGTTTTTGTCTTCAACGCTGCAGAGAAATTAGCTTGTTTTACCTGTAACACACGTTTTAATCGAATTTTACCGATTTTTCTCTGGAAATTGTAGATTTTATCGATTTTCTTCGTTTGTTAGGTAAATTCCGTGTTCTGCAAATTTTCGCGAGCGAAATTATTGAAAAAGCGTCATTTACGGAGGAAAACTCTTTTGTTTCGCAATTTTTGTCAAAAACATCGAAAAGTCGATAAAAATTCACCTTTTTTCGCATTTTGCCTCTGGATTTTCATCCCAAAGCTGTCGAAATTGCAGATGAGCGACGAAAGTTCGAGCCCTCTGACCACACTCAAAATTCTCATAATCGGGGAGAGTGGAGTAGGAAAATCGAGGTATTATTGGCCCCCAAATTTCCTTAAAAATAGGTTTTTGTTCAGTCTAATGCTCCGATTCGTCGACGACGTTTTCGACCCCGAGCAAGCGGCGACCATCGGTAAAAATACGGTTTTCACATTTCTAAGAATAGTTTAGCGGTTTCCAGGCGTCGATTTCCGTGTCACATCGATGACGATCGACGGGAACCGCGTCAAACTGGCCATCTGGGATACGGCGGGCCAGGAGCGCTTCCGCACACTCACGCCGAGCTATTATCGCGGAGCGCAGGGCGTGATTTGCGTGTACGACGTGACGAGTCGCTCTAGTTTTGAGAAGTTGAACCATTGGATGCAGGAGGTGGACACCTACTCGACCAACGACAATATCATTAAAATGATGGTCGCCAATAAGATCGATATGGTACTTGACTCGTTTCGTTTTGAAGGAGGCATCCGGAAATGTACTAACTCGGCAAATGCCTCCTTTCTAACAGTTTTTGGATTAAAGTCTTGCAATTTTCCAGCCGAACCGTGTAGTTTCCCGCGAAGAAGGTCTGAAATTCGCAAAGCGCCACCGCACTCTGTTCATTGAGGCGAGTGCGAAGACTAAGGAGGGTGTGCAGTGCACTTTTGAGGAGCTCATTGAGAAAATCATCCAAACACCCGACTTGTGGGACAATGATCGGCCGACTTTCCGACTGGGACAAGCCGCCGAGGCCAACGGCGGACCTTGTGGATGCTAAATTCGAAATCGCCGTGGTTTTTCTTATTTTTTAGGGGAAAATGGGTTTTTTGGAGTTCTACGCATTTTTCCAACAAATTCCAAGTTTTTCTCTGAAAAATCCGGAAAACTATGCGATTTCTGTCATTTTATCCGTTTCACCATGTAAAAATTTTTATTGCACATACATAATACTGAATTTTGTCCCTTTCAGTGCCTTCTCCCCCCGTAATCAATCATTTGCCCCATTTCTTCAGGAGTTTGTCAAAAATAGATGCTTTTATACGTTTTTCTCGATTTTTCGTGTTTTCTATGTCGTTCTCAACGATGCTGATATCTTTCGTTCGAAACCATTGCTTGACCCGTTTTTTCACGCCCGAATGCTTCAGATGAGCGATCAAGGGACCCTCGAGGACATTGAACGCCAATTCTTGGACGCCGCCCAACGCGACGGCGGACTCGAGAGCATTCAGGTGCAGAACGAGAACGGAGCCGTCGCGCCGGAGAATGGAAATGGGAATGCGGAGAAGGAGGGAGGAGGGAAGGACGACGAGGATCGCAAGAAACGGAAGAGGAGCCGCTCCAGGGACCGCGATCGCAAGAGATCCAGATCGTACGTTTTTATAACAGAAAACATTGAAAAATGCCTCTTTTGTAATCTCTGAATATTTGGAATTTCAAACTATTTTCAGGCGTGACCGTCGTGACCGCGAGAAGGAGCGTTCGCGTTCCCCGCGCGACCGCCGCCGCGACCGCTCTCGTGATCGCCGCGAGGACCGTCGCGGCGGAGGCGACGAGCGGCGCGAAGAGCGTCGTCGCGAAGAGCCGCAAAAGCCGCGCGAGCCGAAGAAGTACCGTTTCTGGGACGTGCCGCCGACGGGCTTCGAACACACGACGCCGATGGAGTACAAGACGATGCAGGCGTCGGGACAGGTGCCGCGCGGCAGCATGCAGTCGGCGGTGCCGGTCGTCGGACCGTCCGTCACGTGCCAGTCCCGTCGTTTGTACGTCGGAAACATTCCGTTCGGCTGTAACGAAGAGGCGATGCTCGACTTCTTCAACCAGCAAATGCACCTGTGCGGACTGGCGCAGGCGCCCGGCAATCCGATTCTCCTGTGCCAAATCAATTTGGACAAGAACTTTGCGTTCATCGAGTTCCGCTCGATAGACGAAACGACGGCCGGCATGGCGTTCGACGGCATCAACTTTATGGGGCAGCAGCTGAAAGTGCGCCGCCCGAGGGACTACCAACCGTCGCAGAACACGTTCGACATGAACTCGCGCATGCCCGTCTCCTCGATAGTCGTCGACTCGCCCAACAAGATCTTCATCGGAGGCCTCCCCAACTATTTGACCGAGGAACAGGTGCGAAACGGCAGAGAAAATTGGAGAAATTCAGAGCATTTTACCAGTGGGCCACGAAAAATGCAGATTTTAGCGATGTTTCACTGGAAATTGCAGCTTTACAGGGGTGTTGTAGCGTTTTTCAGAAGAATGCTAGCGAAAATAGTTTGAAACGAACGATTTTCATTGATTTTATAGCGGGTAGCTTGAATTCCAGGGAAAGTACAGATTTTGTCGATTTTTCAACGAAAACTCGCTGTTTTGCAGTGGCTTTTGTCCGATACAGTAGAAAAATGGCAAAACGATTTACTCTTCATTTTCCACATATACTAATCAGAATCGAGTGTTTCAGCGCTCCCGGTGCGTTCGCTCGAAGCGTATGGTTGCTGTTGTTCGATCAATAATTACCATCTCTCCCCGTCCACCCATTTTCCAGATTTTTAGACGATTTTTAGGTGTTTTAGGGCTGTCTCTCCTCCTTTTTTAGATCACACCAACCAAAGCGAACAGAGCACAGGTTCTTGACGAATTTCAGAGCCAAATGCGGGTTGAAAAGTGAAAAACGTGTTGGATTTTGCAGGTGAAAGAGCTGCTGTGCTCGTTCGGACCGCTCAAGGCGTTCTCGTTGAATGTCGACTCGCAGGGCAACAGCAAGGGATACGCATTCGCCGAATACTTGGACCCCACTCTTACTGATCAGGTAAATTTCCATTTCTCTGTGAATTTCTCAGTATTTTTCGGAAAATGAAACGCCTCACGAAATTTGAGCCCCAAAAAGTACCGTATCACAATTTCTGGAATTTACAGGCCATCGCCGGACTGAACGGAATGCAACTGGGCGACAAGCAGCTGGTGGTCCAGCTCGCGTGCGCCAACCAACAGCGCCACAACACCCACCTGCCGAACTCGGCATCGGCGATCGCCGGAATCGATCTGTCGCAGGGCGCGGGCCGAGCCACAGAGATTCTGTGTCTGATGAACATGGTGACGGAGGAGGAGCTGCGCAACGACGAGGACTACGAGGAGATTCTGGAGGACGTGCGCGAGGAGTGCTCCAAGTACGGCATCGTGCGCAGTCTCGAGATACCGCGCCCCTACGAGGGACACGCGGTGCCCGGTGTCGGAAAGGTAAAAAGAGTTTCCTTACGAGAAAAATTCCCCAATTTTGCAGGTGTTCGTCGAGTTCGCCACCACTTCGGATTGTCAGAGAGCTCAGGCGGCGCTGACCGGCCGCAAGTTTGCGAATCGGACCGTCGTCACCTCGTACTACGACGTCGACAAGTACCACAACCGTCAATTCTAATGATTTCTAAGAGATTCTCCTACTCCCACTCCGTTATTGGTTGTTTTTCCGAAACATTTACCCCCCTTTCTTCGTCCCAATTATCCTATAATTTTTTTATTTATTCCTTGCGTTTGTTTTAATTCTGCAATTCCTCTTAATCTCGCTTCTTTACCCACCACCACCACCCACGCTTATGGATATATATTTTTTTTCTCTCTCAAAATTCAATTCAGATAAACTAAGGACGAAGGCAAAATTTACGACAAACACACTGGAATCATTAGAAAAACCGCAATATTATAGGAAACATAGTTATTTTGCATGAAGTTGTGGCGCCGAAATGCGCACTTTTGTGGGCAAGTTGCGCGACGCCGAGTCGTCCGACAGCAACGATTTGATGAGCGCCGCTTGACGGTCCGTTTTTTGACGCTGAAAATTTGAGGCGTTCATTTCTCAATTACTTCGGGGCTCGGCACATTTATGCCTTTTTGAGGCCTGGACTATTGACCCACTTTCAATGATCCAATCGGATCCAAACTTTGCAGTCTTGGATTGAAGTATTTTGAGTCCAAGTTTCAGACCAATCCGATTATCCGGTCCCCAGGTATTTTCGGCCTTAAACCTGTATATCTCGGGACCAGATAATCCGATCAGTTTGTAACTTGGCCCCAGTATACTTCAATCCAAGTCCACGAAGCCTGCAAAGTTTGGGTCCGATCGGCACATTGATTATTGCATGCGGATCAAAAGTCCAGGCCGCAAAAAGCCTGGGCCAATCCTTTGCCCAGCCCAGTTTTCTACCAAAACATTCTTACCGTAAACAGTTCGATGGCCGATTTCGTCGCTTTTCCGCGTTTTCCGATTCCCGGAGTGATTTTGACGCGATATTTGTAGGTGGCGAGCGCCTGGAATAGGGAAATTTAACGTTTTTCGATATATACTTTTTTGAAGCAGATTTTGCAAAAAAGTGAGTCTGAAAATTACAAATTACCGAAAGGAGACGCCGGAGACTCTTGTTCTGCACTCCCCTTTGAAAAAAGTATTTATTCTCCGTACCCCTCTGCAATCAAAACGTCGCTTAGTACGATCTCTCGATTTGAAGATTACAGGTGCGTGCGTCACTTTTCCCACAAACTCAAAACTGTCCGTACCGAGTACGGTGCGACGACGGGCACTGCGAAGAGCAGGGTGTCCGAGTCGAGTGGCTGTGCGGTAAGACTGCCGAGAAGGCCGGCCTCTTCGGCTGCCGCTTCCCTGTCCTCCTCCTCCTCGTTTCCCTCGTGCTCCTCTTGCTCGTTCCGCTCCTCCGTCTTCGGCTTCCGCGGCTCTTTCTTTACAAATTCCGCCGGCTCCGGCTTCTTCTCCTCCTTCTTTTGCACTTCCGGCTTCGGTTTCGCACCCTCCGGTTTCAGCAGCTCCTTGTGCAGTTCCAGATCGTCTTCTGTCTGATCCCGGTACTTTTGCTTCACCAGCTTCTCCTTCCGCATTCTCCGTTTCTGAGTCCGTGCACTCGATCCGACGAGCGGTTCTTCCGCCTGCGCCTTCTCCTCCAAATACTTTTTCGTCGTTTCCTTCGCATTCACCGGCTTCTTCTCCTGCACCGGACCGTTTTTGGGACCGATTTCGATGAGCGTCAGCTCTTCGTCCTCAATTGACGCCCGCCCGATCGCCACCTGAACACAACGAACATTGTCCGCATAAGTAACAAAAGAGTACCTGAACATCGGGGAACTCTTCGTCGCCGTCCTTCTGCTCCTTCTGCTCCTTCTCCTCCACAATTTCCTTTCCCTTTTCCGCTTCCGCATGCCTCTCGGCACTCTCCTCGTCCAAGCGGAACAAGATTCCCAATCCCATGACGAGTTGGCTGGGCGGCATGAAGTTCTTCTTTCCGCGGATCATGAACGAGCCGGACGGCAGGTACTCTCCGCTCGGCGCCGTCCGCGAGACCTGATCGTGCCGGACCCACCACGCCGCCGCAGTCACCCCGGCCTCCCACGCATTCGAGTAGCACACCGCCATCTGCGACGCCTCTGTCAGCGTCTTCGGCGGGATCTCTGTCGCGCCGCCTAGGCTTTTGTTGCGGATGATCACAGAGGAGGCGCCGCGCACGTCCGCGTGCACGTAAATGTCGCCGTTTCGCAGGTATCTGAAAGAATTTAAGTACGCTCTATTATGCACAGCTAACAGTTAAGCCAACTGATTGGACACCAATACATTTTTCGCTCATTTCTTCTAGAAAACCGCCGAGAAATGCCTACTTTTTAACGAGCAGCTCATTCTGCTGCGCATCGCGTCCGGCGACGACAATGTATCCTTCGGACGAGACGAACCAGCGAAACTTCTCGAACCACATCGCCTTGCGGCTCTTCTTCACCTCCACAACGACCCGCACTTGCTCCAGAGTGCTCTTCGCCTTCTCCTGCGCATTCTTGATCGCCTTCTCCGACGAGGCGACCGTCTTTTTCACCTTCTCCGCCGCCGATTTTTTGTCGACGAAATGACGTTGCGCGTTCTTCGACGCATTCATCGAAATGTCGATGGGAACGCGGAGAGCGGGCGCGTCCCGATCGTACGGATCCGCCAAAAGCATTGTAAATTCGTTATTCTCGAATTTGAACGCACAAATCGCGCTGGCGACCGGGTCCCCGTTCGCCGCCGCCGTTTTTCGCATCTCTTCGATGGTGGCCCACGAGAACTGATTGGCCAGTGCGGAACGGATCAACAATAGCGCCTTTTCGATCAATTCCTGATTCAAAATGATTCGGTTGGCCATGTGTTCCCGTTCTTCCTGTGTCAGCACCAGCGCTTCGATTCGCTCTTTCTGGTCCCTCTCCACATTTTCCAACTTTTTCAGCGCCTGTCTTTCCATATTCATCGCCTTTTGCTCCTGTTTTTGCGTTTCGATTCGCGAGTAAAACTCGTCGACCGCCTCGCAGAATGACGACGTTTGCATGGTGAGTTTGGCGGTGAACGGCATCGCGATCGGGTTGAAGTCCTGGAAAAATCATGTGAAATGTCTTTATTGTCGGCAAAAAAATAGCCTGATTGAATTGGGTCAAAAATTGAGGAAAAGAAGTAGCTCAACGCTTTGAAAAATTCAATTTTCGATCAGAACCTTGTTACGAGTGTGAAAAACTATGTTCCTTGATAGTTAGATGACACAAAGTGGTAAGCTAACCTTTTTTTTGGAAAAAATCTATTCCATTTTCAAATCCAGAACAAAGATCCGAGAAAATGTATAGTTCTGGAACACGAGACGAACCTGATAAATCTGAATGGGCGCGGCGCCGGGTGCCTGGCTGTGCACCTCCGAGTACGAGATGAATCCCTGCGGTTTCAGCTCGACGCTCTCCCAAATGCCCTCGGCGGCCCTCTGTACTTGCTCGAACTTCTGCCACACTTCCTCCAGATATTCCTGTCCTTTTCCGTCGTTTCCGCTCCGAATTCTGGCCTCCGCCCGCAGTCCGCACCCCGTCAAAATCTCCTTCGTTATCGGATTTCCGCACTTTGTCAGTCCGCCGAATAGCCGTCCCAGCTGCTCCTCCTTTCCATCCGGAATTGCCGCAATCGCCTTTTCGAGGTCTTCTCTCGAGAATTCTCGCGATTTCTCGGCAGTTTCCGGAAAAGTGTACTTCTCGCGGACCGCCCATCGCACCGAAGTGTCTTTGTCGGTGCGCACGCGCAAAATGTTGAGGATGGTGAGTTCGTGGTCGGTTAGGACCACGTTTCCGCGATCGTACAGCTCCACGATCAGACGGTTCTCGCGGTCTTCCGTGCCGAATGTCAACTCGACGAGACGGTCGAAGCCCACCACGCGGATATCGGTCAATCTGAATGGAAATTGACATTTTTAGATGCAGAATCCTTTAAACAATAAAAAAACTGTGCGCCTTTAAAACAGTATCCGGGTGGATTTTCGAGGGTTTTTGCGTTTGAAAAGAAATTTTCGACTTTTTAATGAAAATACGCGGAATTTGCTCGAATACTAGAAAAATGACCGATTTCTAGTGTATTTTCGGTCTAATTTCGCTCGAACCTCTTCTGATTGATATGCTTCCGCAATTTCATCGAAAATGAGGAAGGCGTCTGCGACTTGGGCCAATCGTGGAACGTCTGATGGAGACGAACGCCCGACTCGAACAATATCACCGCTTTTTCGTCGGGTCTGCAAACAAGACATGTATTTTTCAGGCCACGCCTCTTTTTCTTCATTTCTGTGCGGCAGCTTTGCAAAAAACGAGGCGTGGCCAGCATTTTTTGGATTATTACGCTACCTGGAGAGCTTGATCAAATAGGTCTTGTTGTCGATATCGTAGACGTTGTTCACACGCATTCCTGCAAACAATTTGTGGAGTGTGCAAGTGCGCTCCACCGAAATTCTGCTCATTTTGGGGGCTGCGATTTTGAGACGGCTCTCCGAGAAAAAAAAAGTGCACTTTTGCGGCAAAGTTTGTAGAAATTCACAGATTTCACTCAATTTCCTATCATTCTCGTTTACCTCTGAGCTTTTTGAGCTCGGCGGTCGCCGCGATCACATCCACAAGAGTGAAGCGATTTTTCATCTTCCTGAATCAATTTTTCAGCAAAACACCCACAAACGATGAGGAAAAATAGATAGACAGGTCAATTACCTTGAAAATTGTGTAAAAATCGACAAAATTCCAGAACTACAACGTTTCTCAACAAAAAATGACAAAATGACATGTGAGCGGAAACGGATCACCGTAGAAATGTGAAAAAAAAACACGAAAAGATGACAAAAACGAGGGGTTTTCAGGGAAATCATGTTGAAAATGTGGCAAAGACGCTCTACCGCAACAGATCTCGTAAAAACCGCGAAAAACGGGCAAAGGTGCGATAGAGTGCAAAAGCCACGTGTTTGGGCTGATTTTATGAGATTCTGTGTGCAAAAAGTGTCCAAAATTAGTAAAACACAACACGGGGAACGAGCATTCAAACGACAGTTCTATCGGAAATGTATCGATAATTCAAAATACAATTTAATAAAAAGTCGATACATTTTTGGGGAAACAAATATAACTCGATGTTTCCGACAAGGCATTGAGTTTGTATACAAAAAACAAAGAGAAGAGTTAATAAAACAAAACTATCAAATTATCAAAATGACTGCAAAAAAAACGACATTTTCACGCCTGCGGGAACGTTTTGAGGAACGGGAAGTGCTCGATGATCGGTTTCTGGAGGTCCATTTTGTAGAATGCGATAATCTCGTTCTGCTCCTGTTCGCTAAGCTCCGCCCCTTCTCCGACAATCTTCTTCAGCTGTTTCAGATGGTAATAAAGCGTTCGTTTCGAGCAAATCGGCCGCGAGTTCATCAGCGTCAGCACTCGTTTCAGATGCCATTTTCCCGCCTTTTTCAGCTCCACACTCTTTTGTCGCGTTTTCGAGTGCAAATTTTGGCGCAATCGCGTCGAGACGACCTTCTGATTGAAAACGTTTCGGGTTCTGCCGGGTTGGTCGAGAATATGGCTGACACTGCAAAAATGATCATTTTCAGTGTTTTTTTTTTTGCAGGGCTGGGCAAAAGGCCGGCCCAGGCTTTTTGAGGCCTAGATTTTTGACTCATTTGCAATAATCCGATCGGACCGAAACTTTGCAGGCTTCGTGGACTTGGATGCAAGGATATTGGGTCCAAGTTTCAGACCGATCGGATCATCACGACCAAAATGTTATGTAGTTCACTCACACATTGAGCGTTCTCTGCGCACGGAAGATATTAATGCTCGTGCGATTCGCGTGCTTTCGTCTTCTGCGAATTTCGTAGTGACGTTTCTTTATCATTTCAATTTCTCTAAAACCGACACTTTAGTATTTTTTAAAAGTCTAGTATAAAAGGACAAGGGAACTCTCAGATTTTTTGAAAATTTTTTCTGTCTGTCTGATTTCCGCGTCTTATTGCCGCATACACTGTCCGAGTCCCAATTCTCAGAGATGCCTAAAAACGGAACGGTGCGTGGCCTAGAAAACTCAAGTGTGAAAACTCTTCTCACAACTTTAACTGCGCGCTGTTCCGTTTATGGGTTTTTCTAAGAGTCTAAGAGTTGGCAACTTTAAAAATTTTGATATTTTTAAAAGAAATTGTCATTTCTCAAATCAAAACGAACCTGATTTCGCGAACCTCGTCGCCAGTGATCGCGTACTGTTCACTCGGCTCGAACAATTCGACGTTCGGATTGAAGACCTCCGAATTGAAGAACACTTTCGCCTCGGAATTCAATTTCGCGAGAAATTGCTGAATGTAGGCGCGCACGTTGACAGAGGGATCGAAGCGGATCTCGCGAATCCGTTCGAACGTGATTTTCTGCGCGCGCGTCAGGTTGAGCTCGAGAATCTTCTCCATCAGCTCCTCGTTCATCACCATGTCCGACACGTACAGAAATCTGATGCACTCGAAACGTCTGAAATCGGAAATTTGTGGAAAAAAACGGGTAAAAATGTAGTTCTCTCGTGTCAACAGTAAAAACGGACTGAATGTGTTCGTAGAGGTACTCGTCGAATCGTTTCACTCTCGAGAGCCGGATCGCCGGCTTCTGGCTGCCGGTGCCGCCGTATTTGTAGACGGCGACGGCGCGAGTGTCCTTGAATCCACGTATTTTCACGTCGACCTCCACGCGATCGTAGTGTTGTCCCGGCAACATTTCGTGCATGATCACCGCGTTGAAATTCCGGTTCACCGCCCGCAACGCCATCAAATTCTTCACGGCGTAATATTTATCCGCTTTTCCGTATCGATCACGAATTTTTCGGACACTTTTCGATTGGAGGTAAAAGTGGTATTCGGGCGGCGGATTGGAGACGTTCGAGCCGACGAATTTGAGGATATTCGCAAGCGCCACCGACGGCATCGCTCCCAGATTCTGGAAATTTGAAATGTGCTCTTTTTCAGACGATTTTTCCGTACCGCCTTCTCATTTTTCGGCTCCGTTCCGGCCGGAATCGCCATCTCGCACTCCATTCGCATATCCTCCAAAGTGGCGAAAGCCAATTGCTGAAATTCTTTAATTTTTCTCATTTTCCCCGGAAGAAACCAACCTGAGCCAGCTCTTGCTCCGAATAATCCGGCATTCTGAACGAAAATAAGAAGTTCTAGAAAATTTCACAAGAAAGTTTAGCGTGAAAATGCGACGCTTTTACAGTAAACAAGAAGAGAAATATGATGAGATTTATAAAATTCTATGTACAGAGATCGAGTTATTACATGAATTCGGCCATTTTGGGCCTAAACACCGGTCGGCGGATTGCGGAGTTTCGAAAATTCGTCCAAATCGCTGTAGAGCTTCTCTTTTTTGATTTCCAGCAGCAAATCCTGCCGGTCGTCGTCCGATTCGACGCCGATTTCGTGAAGATCCTCGTCGGACATGTCGACGAGCACTCGGCCTGCAAAAAAACCGTTTTGAGTGGAAATTGGCGGACAATGTTAAAATCTCGAATTTTTAGGGCTCATAGCAATACTCCCAATATTTTTTTAGGGATAGCAGCTCTCCGTTAGCTTTTCTGCTTTAAAAGTGTGTAAGTTTGAAGAAAAATACCTGTAATATTGTGCCGCAAGAAGAAATGCGCGTATTTGAGCGCGAATCGTGGTCGCTTCCGGCGCATCCATTGATCGACGTCGTTGGCGGACCAAAAGTAAATCGGGCGGTGCGAAACCACGTGGTACACCTCCTGCACGTTCGACGACGACATTTTCTCGCTTAAAGCGATTAAAACGAGCACAATATTGTGCAAAACTACGCATTTCTCATGCTAAAAACGCGCGATGGCCGAGCGTGATTTCTAGGCCACGGCCACGACGACGTGATGCTTTTGCGGGTTTTCTGAGCCGATAAAAAAGTTTAAATGGGAAAAGCGAGGCGATGAAAAGCTTGTAATTGAAATTAAATATGATTTTAGACAGAAAACCAGGTAAAACATGTCTTAATTCGACGTGCAACTCAAAAAAAAACGGAATTCAAATTACGGGGAAGAACAGAACGTTCGCGAAAGACACAACAACAAAAGACGGCGAACGAGGATTTTCGCGCGCTTTTTTCGGCGCGAAAATTTGAAATTAAAAACTATAAATGTTATTCTCAAGCGAATTTCTAGTTTTTACGAGAAGCAGTTGGCTTACGGGTGTTTGTGTGAAAACTTTTTTAGGTAACTGTATCGGGTGGTCCCGCCAGAGAGATGTTCATTTCTTTTCATAGACACAACTGAGGAATGCGATTAAAATTGATCGATAAATTTTTTGTACTTGAGTCGAAAGTTCTGAATAGCAGAGGATTGAATGAAAAAATCGAAATTTCGCTTCAAATCCGAAGTTATTGCGATTTGATCGAATGTCACACTGAAAATCGGCTGCATATTTTCTCGAAGGTTTTTTTTCCAAATTCACCGTAACTTGCACTGTTTCATGCACATCTCGTGCTCCGACCAATAGAACACTTTGCATCGGTTTTCGCATTGAAGACGTTGAATCTGAACTTTATATATTTTTGAAAAAATGTCTCAAAATCATCGTCTAACCAGTGGAACGCTAAATTCTCCGTGAACCGTCGAAACGGCGAAAATCGATCTTCCGCGGTATTCGATAATTTGAAGCAAGTCGGCCGTGTGGGAGTAGATTCCTGCGTTAATTTTTTTGTTGTTGAAAAAAGTTAACTATCCGCTAGTGTACCTAAAGTTTTGTTGACCACATTCGACTCGAAAACGAACGCGTTGCACTCGCCCTCCAAACACCACCGATTGTCGTCTCGAGTGATCGCTTCGGTGTGTAAATACTGAACTTTAATAATTGCTTTTTTAAATGGTCTTCTCCGCATACCTGATTATCGATTAAATATTGAAGAACCGTCGCACTTTTCTCGGCGCTCACCACGAACAGAGCCATTCTTTCGGTGATTTTCAAATTTCTGTACACGTTTTGATCAGGCTCCGACGCATCGTAATAGTGCGCCTTTGGAATGCGAACCGACAGCTTTTTGCGGAAAAGCGGCACCATTTCACTCTGAAAATGCGTGTGTAAAGTCCTGTTTTAATTGTCGCCTTTTGTCTTCACTGTTCGAGTCCGATTTCGCACAAACAGAAATTCTTTTGCACAATTTTCAGACGCTACAATGAGCGGACCTCACATTTACTCAAAAACATTTCTGATCGCTATAGACGGCTTTGCAAGTGCGCTTAAGCGCAGTCTCCCACGGCGCGAATGATTTCGGTGGGGCGCACTTGCAACAGGCGGGCTGTGTCGATTTACGCGGCGGCCGATTAATTAATTTTCAACGGGAGTTCGCGTTCTTTCCATGTTTTCTGTACAATACACCAATTTTTGTACGCCTGGAACCTGGATTCGAATAATTAGAGCACTAGCTACGTTTTGGTAACAGAAATCTCACATATCGTTGAGAATTAGCCGAGTTATTTCGATTTGAAGGTTTTGGCCTGGATTTTGATGTTTTTCGAATAGTTTTCGAAAACTGCTCAAGAAAACTAACCGCCGAAACCTGAATTTTGTAAAGAAAGATTCAGCGAACATTTTTAACGTTCGTTGGGCTCATAAAATGCAAAATGAGCTGAAATATAAAGGTTTGAAGTTTTGACGAAATGCGAAAAAGACGCTAAAAACATGAAAAACTCTAAATTCTGTAAAGAACGGTTTCCAATCAGTAAAATAATGTTTTCTAGACGTTTTTCATGTCAAAAAAGAAAGAAATAAAGGTCGTAAACTCGAATTGAACTGCATTTTTAGACCTGCAAATTTTCAAAAGTTACAACGACACTCCGCAATTCACGAGCGCACTGTGTTTAGCATTAGCGCCCCCAGGGAGACCGTGCGCTTTGTTGGGTGTGTTTTCGCCGTTGTTACAGAAAACTCGAGCGAATTGGGGTCTTTTTGAGGTGGGGCGATCTTTCAGTGTTAAAAAGCTTGCCTGTGTGATATAACTCATGTGTATCGGATAGCCAGTCATGAACAAGTAAACATCATCGGTCACGTTGAAATGCTTGTCATCGGGCAGTAAAATGCACGTACAGTTTTGCTCAATTTATCGATTAAGAGGTTGAACAAATAATTTTCTAGCTTCTCACATCGAAATCCTCCAGAGGCATGCAAGTAGAATCGTCGACGTTGCACGGGTTGAAGTCGGAATATTGAGCGAAGATTAATCGAAGACATGGGAAGAGGAGAAAAAGTAAAATTTTCATCATTTAATGAATCGTAAAGCTATATAATAATAACCGAAAAAATGTCGGTTGAGGTATTCGATTTCATAATTTCATGAAAATAAACAAAAATCATCAGAGGCCCAGCGTAAGTTCGTATTCGCCGAGTTGTTGAGCGAAACCAGTGTTTGGACGAATGCCTGAAATAAAGTTTTAAAGAAATTCATATTTATTTGTGAAAAAGTTACATCTAGTTTTCCGGCACACTTCCATCGCGTCTCTGAGTTTCAATCGTTCCGTTTTCATGAGATACGCGACCACAAAAGTGGCGGAACGCGAAATTCCGGCGTTGCAATGAACAAACACCTAAAAATCGATATTTTAGGCCAAAGACCCGGCAGAATTCAAGATATTCTTTAATTTTCAGTAAAGACAAATTTTTTTCTGAACATTGCGCATTTTTCATGTTTCTACTCGAGAGAAATCAGCAAATTTTCTAATTTAGTGGCCTAAAGCTTCACTTTTTGCGACAACCTCTCGTAAAACTCACATTTCCTTCCGCGTTCCGTACTTTATCGATAAATTCGAAAACCTGGTCGAAATACGGGACAATTCGCGTTTCGGGCAAGTCGAGAATATCGATTTTCAGGTATTCGAACTTTGCCGGGTAGTGGTTCGGAATTCCGGTGCCGACGTTCACAACATGCGTGATTTTGTGGTGCTCGAGGATCGGCAGGTCGGCCGCGACGTCTTGACTCCCGAAAAAGACACGTGGAAGGGCGCGGCCGACGACGAGGTCCGGCTCGAGGTCGACTATGAATCCGCGCCGTTGCAGGTATTCCACCTGAGCACAAAAAATCATTCTTGGTAAAAGCAAGTAATAAAAGTTTTATTTCGAATTGATTATCTTAAGAAAACAGGCTGAGCTTGCCGCGCATAACTCGAGAATTAAAAGTTTTGTGATAAACATGTCTGTTGCAAAGTTGTAGAGCTCTAAATTTCCAAACATAAGCTAGTTGACGACACTTTGAAATAATCGTTGGTTCACGAGATATAGGCCTCGAAAGATAGATAAAGTAAAAGTTGGTTTTCACTTTGTAAGACAGTTTAAATTATTTGCTTAGAATATAAAAATACAATCTATTCGTTGCATGACTAATACTAGTACTCGTGTGGGATTATCTGGTCACAAGGTAATTCGAAGAGTATTTGTGTGTGCGGTTGCTATGGAGCTATCGTGATATAAATGTGTGTAAACGGAAACAATTCCAGTTAGCATGGGGCTCAGTTGTATAGTGTTTTTATCTATTTTTTCTGTATATTAGTCACAGATCGGTTATTTAGAAAATGTCAAAATGTACCCCTCTCTCCAACTTTGAGAGAACCAATAATTATTTCAAGTTATGGTCAACTAAGAAAATGTTGGAAAGTTTGTGCTCTACAAGTTTGTAATTGAGAATTTTACTCTAAAACGTGTCGGTGTTGAGTTGTGCTCTTTTTTCTAAACAGTCTAGGTAGCCGACTACTGAAATGAGTGAGACTTTTGTTTTTTCTGATAATTTTTGTGAATTTAAGTCGGAAATCGTTTCAAAAGAAACAAACCTTCTTTCTTCTTCGATTGAACACCACCGAATCTTCGGAATCCTTGGAATCCTCTTCAAGATGCTCTCTGAAAATAAAAGTGTTCACTTTTCCCGATTAATTTTCCAGTCAATTTTAAAAATCGATAATCTCACCTGAAAACCTGTTCATAAACCCCCTTTTCCGTTCGTTTCTCGACTCGGACCTCTCCGGAAGGCAACGTCGTTCTAAATTTTCAATTACCACTACATTTTCCGCAAATATTAATAGATTTTACGTAATCTCCGTGGCTTTTAGCTTCTGCCTAATCCTCTGGAGCTCGTCGAGGTTCGGCATCGCGGATTAGAGCTTTTCGAACCCCGTGAGCGGCGGAAATGCCGCGAGGGGTACGCAAACGCGCTCCACCGCACGGCGGCCAATTCGAAGCGAATTCGTTTTTCAGAAGGCGCGGCAAAACTATTTCGCCCCCTTCTTCGCGTTGTCCTATGATTTCCATCGATTTTTCGTTGATTTTTAGATAGAATGGCGCGGCCGAATAAACCGAGCGCCACAGAAAAGCCGGTGATTGGCGAGAATATGAGGATTACCGTCGCGCAGAACCAGGTAGGCGAAAATTTGAATTTTCGGTGGGGTTTTAGGATTTTACAAACAGTTTTCAATAGTTTTCCGGGTCTGGAGCGAGTAATACACGCAAAAACACTGTAACAACGCTCGAAAACCATTTGTCCACTCAATAATTTGCCAAAAAACGTGAATCGCCCTAGAGCTGTAAAATCACTCAAAAACCACTTTTACACTGCTAAACACTAGATTTTGAGAATTTAGCACATTCATATTTTCGCGTTCAGGGCGGCCGAAGGTACATGGAAGACCGGTGTGTGGTGCACACGGAGCGCGGCGACAAAGGCGAACTTCTCTGGACGTTCGTCGGCGTTTTCGACGGCCACGGCGGCGAGCACGCGAGCGAATACGTCCGGCGCCACCTGCTCATGAACATTATTGTGAGTTCTGACCCAATTTTTTGGTTTTCCACAAAACCTGTGTTTAGAGGAACTCAAAATTCGATTCGGACGACGACGACGATATTTTGGAGTCGATTCGCACCGGATTTCTGTACACGCACGAGCAAATGCGGCACGTTTATGGTAAAAGAGGTTCAGGACCATTTTGAGACAATTGTTCGGTTTCAGAAGAGTGGCCGTACACGGCGAGCGGATATCCGTCCACGGCCGGCACCACAGTCAGCTGCGTGTTCATTAGGAACGGAAAGTTGTACACCGGACACGTGGGCGACTCGGCCATTTATCTAGGCATTGACAGAAGTTGGTTTTCGGTTCAAAATACTCATTTTAAGAGTTCCAGTGAAAATTTCAGTCTTTGTACGCATTCTACAAAGAAATTGAGTCAGTTTCAAACCCTAACTTGGTTGCACATCAGGTTATGGTTCAAAATTGACCGCTTTGTATTGTAGGATGCGACAAAAGTTCAAAAATAGGTTTTACAAGTATTTTAGGCAAAGCTAGGCATGGTTTTATAAATTTTACGCTTTGAGGTCACACCTCGCTCTCGACGCTTGCCGAAGGCTCCATTGAAGCCCAAAATGGTTCATTTTCAGGCGGTACGCTGCGAGTTCGCCCGCTAACAGTGGATCACAAGCCCGAGTCGTCGCACGAGCAGATGCGGATCACGAAGGCGGGCGGCGAGACGGCGATAAAAAGTGGAGTAACTCGCGTGGTCTGGAAACGGGAAACCCGTGACAGTAGGGTGGTGTCCTACCGCAAACCCGTCGGCACCGAGACGATTCCATTTCTGTCGGTGGCGCGGTCCCTCGGCGATCTGTGGAGCTACAACCCCGAAACGAACATGTTCATCGTGTCGCCGGAGCCGGATCTCGACGTGCACACACTCACCGTCAACGACTTTTGCATTCTGTTGGCCTCCGACGGAATGACGAACGTGCTCACCGGCGAGCAGGCACTCACGATCGCGTTCGACGAGGAGGCGCAGGTGAGCAAACGATTTTGGCGCATTTTGAACCGAAAACGAGCGAGTCTCGTTCGAAACTGTTCTTTGTCCAAGAAATTCAGAAATTGCTCCAAATTTGCGGTTTTTCCACGTTGCCCCATTTTTCTTCACAAAACGCGAGTAAATCACACAATTGCAGGTGGAAGCGAACAACGAATTGAACCGAAACCACGCGAGATGTGTCCTGCGAGCGACGCTCCAAAAGTGGCGATCCTTGCGGGCGGACAACGTGACCGTGGCGACGGTTCTGTTCGATTTGAGTCCGTTCGAGTTCGAGGATAACGAGATGCTCATGAAACTGGGCCGATACGTGAACTGTTCGCAGGCACTCACCGATCGGCAAGACGCGATGCTCCGGGTGTCCAAGTTTGAGAATCATTTGCTCGCGACGCAACGGTGTCCGGTCATTTATAACGGATCCAAAGATGCCAACTTTGCGCGCGTCAGCTATCGGGGACCAGGATTCAGGACTCACGAGGAGGAGCTTCTCGAGGAACGCCGGCATCTGATGAACCGATTCGCGGAGGAGAATGTCGAGAACTCGGGTGCCATCTCGATCGCCGGACCCACTTCTGATGCCGTCGTTACGAAGGGTACAGTTTTCGAGATAAACTTGATTTCGTCGGGCCAAAAAGGCATAGGTGCGGGATGTTTGAGAAACGCCAAATTATTTTTCCGAACAAAGGTGTAAAAATTGCTTGGCAAGTGGATTTCGGTCCCGAAAAGCAAATTTAAACCAAATTGCATAGAAAACGCGAAAACTCCACTATTTGATCTAAATTTTTGCAGATGATCCGGAAAAAGATGAAACAATAGACTACGACGATGATGAAGAGGAAGAAGAGGAAGAGGAAGAAGAAGATGCATCGCAGGAAATTTCGTTGAGTTTCCAGCTGAGCAAAGTGCAGAAGACGGTGACGTCGGCGGTGCCGAGCCCGCAAAGACCGCCCCGCCCACACGCTCCGATGCCAGTTTTTGTGGCCGAGGATTTGGAGGAGTACAAGGATTCGCGGACGGAATCAACGTCGTCTTCTTCGAATTCGGAACCCTCGGGAACGCCGTCGAAAACGACGCAGCCGTCGGTGCGTCGCCTGAAAGCGGAAGCCGTTCGACGCCTACGCACTCCCAGAATACAACAACAAGAATCGCCGTCGCCGGATCGAAGGATCACCAGATCGTTGACGACGGCGACGACGACGCCTTCGCCGCAGAAGACGTCGTCGTCAGAGCAGACGACGAAGCGAACGCCTGTGATCGCAGTGAATCTGAATGTGTCGCCCGACGCCGTCCTCCACCTCACGCCGCGACGATCGAGTCGGTTGAACGGAGGCGCCGGAATGTGCACTCCGAATCAGACGGCGTCGCCGCACGAAGCGGAGCAGCCACATGGATCCAACAAGTTGACCATGAGGTTGGAAAGCACTCAAATGTCGGCTTTTTGCGTTTTCCATGAGAAATTGCGCAAATTTTTACGATTTCCGTTGTTGCTGTTGATTTCAAAGATGTGTGCAAGCACAGCGCGGAAAGAGTGCAAAATTTTTGAAAAAAAAAACATGAAAAATTGGGTTAACATTTGAATAATAATTTTTTTTTTGCAGTCGAAAACGCTTGCGCACCGAAGACGTCTCTTCTTCGGGCCTCCAAACTTCGACGCACCGCACCGCACTCGTCGGCCGCCCGTCCATTCTGAGTCTGGCCACCGGGATCACGCCGATAGTCTCGTCGCTATCCCTTCAAGACCCATCCACTTCTTCTGCTTCCACTTCTTCTCTCTCGGCTCTCCTCGTAACTCCGTCCCGCTCGGCGCCGAGCACTCCGCAAAAACGCGACCGATTTCTGCTTAAAAAGCCGTCGAAATGGTCGCTTTCGCAGTTGGACGGCCGTAAGAAAACGGGAAAAACGGCCGAGGACGACGGAATAATTCGAGTGTCGGAAGTGGCCGACGACGACGAGGAGGCGGAGGAGGTGATGCGCGAGCCGCCTTCGAAGATTCGACGATTCTACGGATACATGCGAAAATTCATTTGGGGAAAGTGATTTCCGCTTGAAGACGGGGGAAAATGAGCAATTTTCCGCACAAATGACGCAAATGCCCTCTATAGTCCGTAAAACTGTCTACACTCGGGTCGACTTTCGAATTTTGACCGTTTTTCCGCTGGTATCCGGTTTCCGTCGATTTTTGGCAAAAATCTCTTTTCGCTCTTTTCCCCGCGAAAATTGGCTCAATTTCAATTTCGCGCCAACTTTTTTCTGAGTGCAACAGAGCGCATTGCATTATTTTTCGAAACATTTGCCATTATCCCTGCTCAAACTGTTCCAATTTCACACTTCAACACACTATTATCTCAATTCTCTTTGTTTTCCGTTCTCCTTTCCCGCCGATGGCCTAGATTTTTCCTAGGCCATCTCGGCCATATTTGTGCGATTCTCCTCACTTTAAACTCGCCCCACTCGGTCTCTTTTTCCTCCCCGCGCTCCAATTTTTGTACCGATTTCTTTCATTCTTTTAATCAAAACTCGCCGCAAATATTTATTTTCAAAGTTAAAATGATCACTGCCGAAAAGAGAGAAGAGCATGAAATATTGAAATATTTTTCATCACACACACACTAATTGTTTATTGTGAATAAATAAATTTGTTGATGATGATGATAATGCATGTTTTGCCGATTTTGTGAATGTTATTCGACATTTTTCCGATATCTTTGCGATTGTTTATCGATTTTTTAGGACAATTCTTGACGCCGCCGCCGGCGCCTTTTTTTCCTTTCTGCTTATCGACTTTTTAGGACAATTTTTTAATTTCATTTCTAGGATGGCAAAGCATCATCCGGATTTGATTTTCTGCCGCAAACAACCCGGTGTGGCGATCGGAAGGCTTTGCGAGAAGTGTGAGTGAAGATTTATTTTAAAAATGTTCTTTAAAAACCAATTTTAGGCGACGGACGATGCGTGATTTGCGATTCGCACGTGAGACCGTGCACGCTGGTGCGCATTTGTGACGAGTGCAACTACGGATCCTACCAGGTAACGAGGAATTCAAAAGTTGCATTTTTCACGGAACAATACGCAATTTTCTCTGGTAATTCGATCCCTATCTGATCAGCGTCGGATATAAAAAGAGAGTGTCGTAACGCCCTTGGTTTAATAAACTTTTTTAATCAACAAAGCGCGTTACCTGACTTCTTTTCTACATCCGAGTCGGATCAGGAAAGGTCTCGACACGAGTTTGAACAATATAATAGTTCTTCAGTACCCACCGGCCCGCCGCGAAAACAAACAATTTTCCGCGTGCTTTCGTCTTTCGGCCAATCGATATTTAATCTACTTTGGTTTCCGAGTGAAAATTCGCGAATTTTCGTTGTTTTCCGCCATTTCCTGCCGATTTTCTAGGAGTTCAACCAGTGCTGGGCAATTGGCGGACATTTGAACCACTTTCAGTGATCCGATTGGGTCCAAACTTTACAGGCTTCTCGGATCTAGATTGAAGTATACTCGGGTCAAGTTTCAGCCTGATAGGACTATTTACTGTCGAGATGCAGAGCTTGAGGGCCGATAACCCCGAACTTTAGGATAATCTCGGCCAATGATCCACATATCTCGGGACCGGATGACCCGATTGGGCTGAAACTTGGTTCCAATATGCTTTGATACATGTACAAGAAGCCTGCAAAGTTTGAGTTCAATCGGATCATTGCAAGTGGTTGAAAAGTCCAGGACAAGGGCGGGCCAATTGACCAGCCCTGATTTCAATCATTTTTTGCACTTGACCAGTGGAAATGATCAATTTTGAGCGAAAATTTTAAGCTTTACTCAAAATCTCGAGCGTTTTCGTTGATATTTTCCGAACATTCACTTTGCAGGGTCGTTGCGTGATCTGCGGAGGCGCCGGGGTGAGCGACGCCTACTACTGCAAAGAGTGCACAATTCTGGAGAAGGACCGCGACGGCTGTCCGAAGATTGTGAATCTGGGCAGCGCGAAGACGGATCTCTTCTACGAACGGAAAAAATTCGGTCCCAAAAAGACATAGCCACCGGATTTCGCAGGACTATCATCGGGCACTCTTCTCCTTTTCGTGTCCAGGATCTCTCTCCTTTGTTCCCCCTATTTTTAACCTATTTTGTTGAATTTGCACCCTCACGTGCGCCGATCCTGCGAAATCCAATAAATCTTGTTGCCCTCATATATTTCTTATCAAATTTCGATCCAAAATATGTTTGTGTTGTGTTTGGTGAGCCGTGACTATCCGAGCAATTATTTTCGAGAACATTTTCCATTTGTATTTTGCGAAATTCGATTTAGGGGCCTAGAAATGCCGCATTTCAATGAAGAAGAGGCGGCGGTCGAGCAGTTTCTGGCCGCCTTCAATTTTAGTGATAAAGGTGAGAGAGAGAGAGCAAGTGCGCTCCACCGAAATTCGACGGGAAATTTGAATTTTGAGCGGTTCTCCGTGAAAACAGGATTTTCTGTGGTTTTTGATCAAAACAGGTCTGAAATTGTGTAAATCTAAGCATTTTTAAGCTTCCCGGGAAACATGTCTCAATTTTGCGAATTTAGGCCAAAAACGAGCAAGTTTCGTTCAAAAATGCTCAAGAGAGCTCTTCTACACGAAAAGTTTGAATTTTCATCGAAAAGACCTTGAACCAAGGGTGATGCCCGTTTTTGTTTTCATAAAACACGCATTTTTCAGTTGACGTGGAAACAGTACGAAAAGGTCTCTTCTCGCAAAGACAACTCAGCGACGTGAATGCCTCCCGTGACTATGTGGATCAGTTTATCAAAAAATGTATTCGATTTTCATGATTTTCCAATTCGTCATTTAATATAGGCGAGCGCCGCGATCCGACGGGCGTGAAGCCGCTGAAGAAGCGCGTGGACGCGGTGATGAACGAATCGGAGCAAATGACGCTGATGATGGACTTTCTCGTGCGGTGCCGACAGGCTCACCTCTTCCACAACCCGGGCGGAAGCGCGACGCCCTCCATCGGCTCCTCCTCCAACACCACCACTCCGTCCGTACAGTCGTCGCCGTTCCAGAGACGATCCGCCAGTCGAACCAGGGTTCTCAGCACACTCAGTAAGCGCTTCTTGCCGTTTGAAAGCCTGTATCATCACACTTTACCGCTTTTGCCTTCCTTACAATTAGTACTCTCGTACCGGCGACGTTTCACAGTTCGTACGACGTTCCAACCATGTCATCCTTACGGGCTTATTCAGTGTAATTTTTGTGGCAGCTTTTATTCCTCCAGTTCTCATAGCTCGTATTAGAACGACACCAACAGACGTTCGATCAAAACTCTTGTAGAGACATCAAAAAGTGGATGTATAGTCTTGATTGAACGGCTTTAAAGTACCGCTATATAACAGATTCTAAGATTCGATGTTAGTGTAAAAGTGTGCTGTTTCAGCGGGCGAGCCGAGTCTGACGAACGAGAGCACCCGCTCGCGCGCCAACTCCTCGTTCACCTCCTACGACAATCGAATGATCGGAGTGGAGCGGCAGCGGCCGAAGAGTCCGTACCGGATGGCCACCAATTCGGTGATTCCCAGCACACGAGTCACTCCCCTAACGGCCAGCAATCACTTGTTCGCGTGAGTTCAGACTGTTGTCAAATTGAGGAGAAAATGAGGAAAGTATTTATTTTCGAGCTTCCCGGAATCTTCGATTTGCGAATTGAAACGCTTAAAAACACAAATGCTGAACAAAGCGGTAAAACGTTTCTAAACTTTTTAGAAGTCAACACGATATTACTCTGGAAGACGAGTGGGTTTCACCGTGTGAATTCTAATCAATATTTTTCCCCCTACTAGAACTTATTTACTCACTTAATACCACCCCACAGTAGCTGTTTCAATTCCACTCTCCCTCCTTTCAGTACGAACCAAACGTTCACGACGCCGACAAACCATCCAACCGGCTACCTTCGGAATCGAGACGACTCTCCGTCGGCGTACCTCCAACATCGGGCGACGCCCACGCACACAATGTTCACGCCGCAGCCGCCGACGGACGCGTCGATTCGCAGCCAGCAGAGCAGTGTCAAGACGACGACGCCGCTTCACGCCCGGATCGGAAGTGCCATCAGTACGTTGGGTCAGAATTGCAACACGCCGGGCCGGGCCCCAAATTTTTTTTATGAATTATTCAATAGATTGCAACAGTGGTCACCCACTTTTAGCAACTTTGTGAACAACGTCTTTGGGCTGGCCCGGAATCTTGCCAGTCAACTTTGAAAGAAGTGATAATGAAAATGAATGCACAAGTGGATTCCAAGAAGTCCGCTGCCTCAGCTTGACAATTGAAGTACAGAACTTCTCGGAATCCGCTTGAAGAGATCATTGATTTCACTTTTGCACTCCTTTCGTTCAATTATCTGAAAATGGCACCCTGAATAGGCACACCTTTCCCCATCTTCAAACATTTGCAGCTCATCCGGAATCGCACGTGTGCGAGTGCCTTCTCTCCGCACTTCTTGGCATGGAAACGCGTCTGTTCAGGCCGATTCATCGAAAAATGAGCATCACGTCGACGGCTTCGCTTTCCACGGTAATAGCGGTGATTGTGAAGTATTAGTTTTGGAGCAGTCAACGAAAGCTCGAGTCTGAGGCCTGAAATTGTAGGCTTCTTGCAGAAGCAAAGCATTTAGGCTTCTTCATATGAGAAAAATTGAGGTCCCACTAGACCTAGGGACCCTAAATTCCAGTGTTGGTATAGATAATCTACCTTGATAGTTTTAACACAAGAAAAGCTTTCCATATTTGTTCTGTTTGCAGTCGCACGCGGCGGTGGCCCAAAGAGTGCTCTGCGTGGCCAATCTCTACCTGCTCCTGTCCTATCGAGAGCCCAACCAACCCGCGGAGGGCTCCGTCTCCTCGGCCCTCCTCGCCTCGATCCGTTTCGTTCTCGGCGACTACACTGTTGATATTGACGGTCTGCGGCGGCAGAAAAACCTGAAAATGCATCAAATCCTGCCGCTCATCGACAAATGGCACGTCCACCTGGAGCTGCTCGCCAAGGCGCATCGCCTGAGGTTAGTGGGCAAGTGCGCTCCACCGAAATTTCGTATAAATTTTGCAGAAACATAGACCAACTGGAGCTGCTGGAGGCCCTTTACATGCTCCACTGCTCGTACAGTTTCGACGACGATCGCCGACGCGTGCTCGACAAAATACTCGAGTACACGATGGGCGTGTTCTGCAACCAGATGATGGATTGGATGACGAACGGAGAGACGCCGCCCGAGAAATGGATGATACGAAAGGACGCGACACAGGGAATCGCACTCAGAAAAGTGCCCGTCTTCATGAGCGACGTCGACGCGAGAATTGTAAGGAAAACATGAGCATGGACATTTGACCCCCCGTTCAAATTTTAACAACAAATTTCTACAGCTTTTGTTCAAATGTTCAATTTCCGTCCACATTTCAGCTTCTCGAAATCGGAAAATCTCTGCCACGCATCGAATCGGCGTCCGACGAAGATTTGGCGGCAGTCGACAAAGCAACTACCGTCGTCCGCAGCGCGCTGAACTGCCAAGTGATCTTCCGTCGCGAACTGACTCCCCTTCTCCGGATCCTTCGGGACGTCGTGTGCGGAATAGTGATGAGACAAGTGCTGACGACCGGGCGCCTCAAAGAACACGTCCGCAAAGCCACCTCGTTCTTTTTGCTCGACGATCCACGATTCACGATCACTCTTTTCAATATCATCAAGTATTTGATATTCAATTTTTGCCATTCAACCGCACTATTCTCGCCTTCCAGAGACGCCTCGTACGGAATGCCGGTCGGAAAGGTCTCGTTGAGCCGGCAGCAAGTGAGCGGAGCACTCGCGAGCGCTCTCGAAGCGACCACGGCCAGTGGGCAGAGCGAGAACGAGCAGAAGAGGGACAAGCTCAAGTTCAAGCTCGATGTGCTCACCTCGGTGAGTGATTTAGGCTGAAAAATGCGAATTTTTTTTAGTCCGGGTGATCTTTTTTGTTGAAAACTTCCGCCAAAAGTGCGGTAGAGCGCACTTGCCCAACCAACGCACTTTATTTTCAGCTGGACGGAACGCCGACAGTCTCGCCGAAAATGGACTTTGTGCGGCCGCTGCGTCCGAAGTACGAGCCGACGATGGAGATTATGAAGCCGATTTTTGCGGCGTGTGATAACGAGTGAGTATCCTAGGCCACGGTCACAGTTTTCCTGTAATTTGTCACAACCGGGCCGGATTTTTCCAACTATAGATCACATTTCGCTTTCAGATACGAGTCGATCTTCCACGTGATCTGGGCGATCGACCTGGCGCTGCTCTCCTCGCACGAGGCCTCCGCTCACCTGCCGGCAATGAAGCGCTTCGTGCAGAAGGTGTACTGCCTTCGCGAGAACACGTGGTGCCTGATCAACATGCTCTCGCACACCTTCCTCCTTCTCAACGCCTCCCTCTCCCGCGTGCGCAGTCTGATTTCCATGCAGGCCGCCCATCACCTCTCCCGATTCGTGGCCGCCATCGACGAGAAGTGCGACGACGTGGACGACGTGATCGCCGAACACCGCAAATTCGTACTCCGTCTCTGCGTCGTCGTCTTTGTCCGAAACAACGATCGCATCGAAACGGAGCTCTCGAACCTGTTGCTGTTGGCGTTCGACGTGCAAAAAGTGGTCGAGGAGGTGTGGAGGGTGTGGAATGAGGTGATCGAGACGACGAAGGACGACGAGAACGTGCGGAAGGCGCGCGTCGCAGAAATGTGCCAGAAGAGGATTGTCGAAGTGCGATTGCTCTACGACAAGGCCAATGTGAGTAGAATGTTTATTTTTATTTTATTTTTTTTTAGACTGAAAAAAATCAAATTTTTTGCAATACTTACCGTGACTTTGACTCTGCTTTCCAATTTTTGAAAGCACGCTTCGATTCAGCATAGCCGTATCACTCTGTTTTTTTTTCAGAAATCCGTCCAAGAGTACTTCCCCAGAAAATTTGCTTTGTTTTGAAGTATGTTTAGTGAAATTTTCGCGAAACATGGATGTCTAGGTCAAAAACAGAAAGTTTCACTCAACATACTTTAATCTGGGCTCCAAATGAACGCCTTTTCTTTCAGAAAACGCAGAAAAACCTGACGGAACTGTTAGATCACCAGATCGCGTTCGGCAACGAAGCGCTTCTCGAATAATCAAGCATAATCATTTCTTTTGTTCTCGGTAAAATGTGGCCTTTTTCTCTTTTTTCTTCACCCTTTGTACTGCGTGTAATTTATGGACGAATGATGAATGATTCATTGATAATTTAGCGAAAAAGTCTCTCAAACCAATTCCTCGGTTTCGTAAAGCGTGCCACTTCGCACTTTTGACGGTTTCTTGATTAACGACTCCATTTGAACGCTTGCCGATTTTCGCGACGGTCCCGTTGAGGTCTTGTTGAACGAAACCTGCAAATTTTGCATTTCTTTGCAATTTGCGAAATGAAAACATCGAGCAGTGCACGAGAAAAGCAGAAAAACCAACGATCCGCATGCGAACAAACCTCCAAATTGTTCAATTTGGTCGGAATTTGCGAAACGCTCAAATTTACGTCGTTAGTAAAGTTAGAAGGCAAGCGACGGCGGATGCATTTGACGAACGTGCGCCGCAAAACGTCATCGTTCAGCTGCCAATAACCTTTGTCTGTGTGAGAAATGAGCACGTTAGATCTACCGTGTCCACTGACGCGTCGATGACCATCCGGAGGATCCAGCCGATCAGCGCCGCCGCAGTGTTCCACATGTACGCCAGCACGGCTTCAAGACACATTGGCTCGTTCTAAAAAACAAAACAAAAAAAATTCGTTGTCGTCGGTTTTTAGTGTTTTTTTTTTCGGAAAAGAAGATCCAACAAGGCGACAGAATAGGTTTTGATAACAAAAAAATAATTTTCAGCTTTAATTTTCAAGAATTCGGTGCTCAGAGCAATGTGTGCGGCAGCGTTGCGAAAACTGCGCGCGCTACTTGCAAGAATTGAACGCTGAAGGGGCGGAGCCCCATTTGAACTTCGCGGGCTTTTCTCAGGGGGCACTCAGCGGTGAAGTGATGATAGAAGGCGTTGACTTTGAAAAGAAAGAACTCACCGAACTGTGTTGCTCGCAGAAATGGCCAATCGAGAAAGAGCCGAGATAGGCGGTGCCGGTGAGCGCACAAGTGCCGGCGAAGAGCAGCAAATGGATGCCGAGACGGAACATGGATCCCCAATGACGGTGGTACGCGGAGGACTTGCGTCTGGAGAGCAGCAGCTGGATGATGAACACGTAGCTGACGACGGAAATGATGTAGAAGACTAAGGGCGGCACGATGGTCACGATGAGGCTGCGAGTGCCCGGATGCGAGTTTATGTGGATGCACAGGTCGACCAGCCATTCGCCGATAAACTGAAATGCAATCATATTTGGTGCTAAACAAGTTTGCAGTTGTAAAATTTTATCGCAAAACGCCTAGTTTTGAGTTACGCAATTACAAAAAAGTGTAGAAAGGGGCGTGGCCTAATCTGAGACGCGTTTTCTTAAAATTGCCGCAATTCCAGCACTTTTCCGATATTTTTGTATTAAATATCGACGAAAGAAGACATTAAACAGAGAAAACATTGAAATTTTCGTGAAAACGCCGCGTTTGAGACGTTTTTCGCATATTTCGCAATACGCTCTCGGCGGCCAATCGCCGCCGCAATTTCGGAATTTTCATACCGACCGATGTGGATAGTTTTGAGACGAAGTGAGTGTCGGAAGTGATTAAGCACGTTAATACAAGTATTTTAAGCGTTCAAACGGCAAAAAGTACCGGCGAATGACTGAAATTCGCGCATTTTCAGCACAAAACTTGAAAATCGATTCAATTGATTCATTTCTGCTAGGAAACCTGCTTGTTTTAAGCTCAAACAGTGCGCGCGATGATTAGTTTAACAAAGTTATGCAATTACATCGTCGAAATCCTACAAAATTTGGGTAATTTTTGACGTAAAACATGCAAAAATGGGGTTAAATTTCGAATTTCGCGCCAAAATGGTGACAAAACCGTGCACGCTAGGCCACGCCCCTTTCTACGTTGTTGGTCGCCGTGCGCGCGCGCAAAAGAATGCGTCTACTGTTGAAAAAAAAAAGTTTCGACATTGGAATCGAAGCTGGCAGCGTGCCAAGGCCCGGCCTCCCAAACGCATATGCTGCGCGCCATTGTTGCAACATTGCCGCACGCTTTATTGTTCTTCGTTTTTGTCTTTCTTTTTCGGCTAAAAATCAGCAGAAATTTGGTTTTTTCCCATTTTTTACCCCTATTTATTCATTTCAATCGGCGTTTGCTATAAAAAATCAACTTTGAAAACAGATTTATCGATTTTTAGCTTGAATTTTCGAACATTTCTTGATTTTGTGTTTTTCTCCTTTCGATTTCGGTGAATTTGAGAATTTTCAGGATTTCCACCTACGGAAAAGTCGAACAAGCAACAAAAGGGCATGGATTTCTTCTTTTCGGGTTAGTTTTTGACGTAACAATAATTTTCTCTCCGATCAACGTTTACAGACTTCACTCCTTCGCCGTCTTCTCCACTCCGCCGTCAGCACACAACGGTATACAAAAACTTGTCATATTAGTTTGAAGAGGAACGAAAATATTTTCTCTCCGACCGTTTTTCCAAAGTCCGTGGACGCTTCAATCCGGAAAAAAGGAGAAGAAAATTGAATATCACTGATAATAACATTCTTACACTTGTCATGTCATTTAATTTATTGGAGAACGTTATAAATACATCTAAAATAATTGTTATTAGTGCCAATCATCCAACGGGAGATGCTTCTTCAACTTTCCGTCGTGTGCTGACGGCGGAGTGGAGAAGACGGCGAAGGAGTGAAGTCTGTAAACGTTGATCGGAGAGAAAATTATTGTTACGTCAAAAACTAACCCGAAAAGAAGAAATCCATGCCCTTTTGTTGCTTGTTCGACTTTTCCGTAGGTGGAAATCCTGAAAATTCTCAAATTCACCGAAATCGAAAGGAGAAAAACACAAAATCAAGAAATGTTCGAAAATTCAAGCTAAAAATCGATAAATCTGTTTTCAAAGTTGATTTTTTATAGCAAACGCCGATTGAAATGAATAAATAGGGGTAAAAAATGGGAAAAAACCAAATTTCTGCTGATTTTTAGCCGAAAAAGAAAGACAAAAACGAAGAACAATAAAGCGTGCGGCAATGTTGCAACAATGGCGCGCAGCATATGCGTTTGGGAGGCCGGGCCTTGGCACGCTGCCAGCTTCGATTCCAATGTCGAAACTTTTTTTTTTCAACAGTAGCAAGAAAATTTTACGCTGAAGGCTTTTGAAGAGTGGAAAAAGGAAAGCCCATCTAGCCGCAACTATTGAAGAACTGCCGACTGACCTCGTCCGAATCAAAATCGTCCAAAAACAGATGGATAACCGAGTTGCTATGGTAGTCCAGCTCTCCCTGATGCACCAGCAAAACGCACAAGAGGAAGGAGAAAAACAAGACGAGCCAGCCGACGACAATATATTTTGCGACCTTCCAAGAGGTTAGATTCACCTAAATTTCCCTCATTTTCGGCAAAAACCACAAAGCCAACCTTATACTGAAGCGGCGCCCGGACGGCGTAATTCGTGAGGACGGCGATGCCAGTGTAGGACAGACTCACACACCAATAGTTGAGAATGAACACAACTTGGAGCACGTATTTGGATGGATCCGTTTCGGTGGGCAGACAAATGTGCGAATCGCATCGTTCCATCTTCTGTTTCGTGTAGAAGTAGGCGCCGACGATGATGGTGAAAATGTCGGCGCACGTTCGGTTGATCGTCAGCGCATAGCGTTTCAGCGGCAATTTTCCCTTCCGAATGCCTACCGTGACCACGATCAGGTAGATAAGGTTGGCTGCAAAACACAAAATTTATAAAAATGTCCAAGATTTCATGGATCTTACCTGAAAGCGCTCCGAAGGCGCTGAACGGAAGCACAAAGTAGAGAGTGGCGAACATTTGCTCGACGGCCTCGTAGTTTTGTGACTCCTCCTCGGGAGTACACTGATAATTGGATGGCATAATGGTAGTTGTAGAAGTCACGTTCTGACTTTGACCCAACATCTTTGAAGATGACGACGATGATGCCATTTGATGGTGTGCTAAATTGTGTGCAACGTGAATTATTCATTATTAATTGTGCCCTATTCATAAAGGGTACTGACAATGTCACACATGTTCGGGTGGAGTTCAAAAGAACGCTCCCCGACATTTCGCAACTCGACGTTATGAAACCGCGTCGTCCGGATATCCACGTGAACTTTGATTGTGGTCCGGGATTATTTTTTTGTTTTTTTTTTCATTTTTTTAGGCTGGATGTCGAGCTCACAGTGCACGGCGGCCCCCGGCTTTCCCGAGTCATTTTGAAATACTGACTAGGGAATGATCAACAGGTAAGTTGAACTTATGGGCCGTGACTGGCAAAGTTCGATAGCTTATACCAAGAGGATCAAATGTTCTGTTGATCGTTTTTGCTGCCGGCACCTGGATTTCGAGAAAATGGCGCCAGAAAATTACCATTGAAATCCTGTATTTTAGGCAATTTTCCCCCGGTACGCGGCAATTTTTAAAAATTGCCGCGTAAAAATACAGGATTTCAATGGTAATTTTCTGGCGCCATTTTCTCGAAATCCAGGTGCCGGCAGCAAAAACGATCAACAGAACATTTGATCCTCTTGGTATAAGCTATCGAACTATGCCAGTCACGGCCCATAAGGCCAACTTAGTGAGTTGATTTCTGAAGAGACGGCCCGCAATTTGTCACGGCGGCCTACCAGGAGGCCGCGGCCCTGTTTTTGACAGCCTTGAGTAAAAGTGAAGAAAAATACATTGCGCCATTTGAAATTTGCTCAAGAAACTGGCAACTTTGCGAAGTTCGAAAAGTGTAAAAGCGGGAAAAAGTGTAAGAGTGGCTAAAGTGGGCGGTGCCGACGGCGCTGATTAAGAGGACACTTTTTCGAGGACGAAAACTCTTCGTTTTTTTTATAAAGTGAAGTAAAGTGACGGCGGATTTTCGAATGTGCGCAACACTTATTTTAGAGAAGGCCGCTTCCTGAAAAAAGGTCAGCGCACAAAACTTAAACATTGAAAGTTTAAACCCAAGCGAACCCACTAAAACTTTTACCCATTTCCTCCTCCAATTTCTCATTCCGGAAATGGGTCCGGCCTATTCCATCGTCCACTTGCCTCTCGTTTCGTTTTCACCCGAAGAGCCTGTCAATCAGACTTTAAAGTTTGGCCACGAAGCCTATTTTATTTAAAGATTCGCGCCACACACACATACACACAAAAAATCTCATTAGACCTTCACGGTGGAAACGAGAACGAAGAAGACAAACAAAGAAAGAAACATTTGATTAAGCGCGGAACTTTGTCATGTGTAGAACACGGTCGTCAAAGGGGGGCTCAGAAACAGTGGGCGAATGAGGAGAAAGTACTGGTGAATTTCAATTACCAGGGAGATAGTTTTAAAAAATGGTGGAGATTTAAAAAAATGGTGGAGAGTTTAAAAAAAATGGTGGAGAGTTAAAAATGGTGGAGATTTTTAAAAAAATGGTGGAGAGTTAAAAAAATGGTGGAGAGTTAAAAAAATGGTGGAGATTTTTAAAAAAATGGTGGAGATTTTTAAAAAAATGGTGGAGAGTTAAAAAAATGGTGGAGTTTTTTAAAAAAATGGTGGAGATTTTTAAAAAAATGGTGGAGAGTTAAAAATGGTGGACATTTTAAAAAAAATAACGAAAAAAAATAGAAATGAAAAATAAAAACGAAAAAAATAGAAATGAAAAAAAATAAAAAAACGAAAAAAATAGAAATGAAAAAAATAAAAACGAAAAATAGAAAATGAAAAAAAAATAAAAACGAAAAAATTGAAAATGAAAAAAAAATATAAAAACGAAAAAAAATAAAAAATGAAAAAAAAATAAAACGAAAAAAATAAAAAAACGAAAAAAATAGAAAAATGAAAAAAAAATAAAAAAACGAAAAAAAAATAAAAAAACGAAAAATAGAAAAATGAAAAAAAAATAAAAAAACGAAAAAAAAATAGAAATGAAAAAAAAATAAAAACGAAAAAAATAGAAATGAAAAAAAAATAAAAAAACGAAAAAAAAATAGAAATGAAAAAAATAAAAAAACGAAAAATAGAAATGAAAAAAAAATAAAACGAAAAAAATAAAAAAACGAAAAAAATAGAAATGAAAAAAATAGAAATGAAAAAAATATAAAAACGAAAAAAATAGAAATGAAAAAAATATAAAAACGAAAAAAAATAGAAATGAAAAAAATATAAAAACGAAAAAAATAGAAATGAAAAAAAAATAAAAACGAAAAAAAAATAGAAATGAAAAAAAAATATAAAAACGAAAAAAAAATAGAAATGAAAAAAAAATAGAAAAAAATAAAAAAACGAAAAAAAAATAGAAATGAAAAAAAAATATAAAAAAACAGAAAAAAAAATAGAAATGAAAAAAAAATATAAAAACGAAAAAAAAATAGAAATGAAAAAAATATAAAAACGAAAAAAAAATAGAAATGAAAAAAAAATATAAAAACGAAAAAAAAATATAAAAACGAAAAAAAAATAGAAATGAAAAAAAAATAAAAAAACGAAAAAAAAATAGAAATGAAAAAAAAATATAAAAACGAAAAAAAAATAGAAATGAAAAAAAAATATAAAAAAACGAAAAAAAAATAGAAATGAAAAAAAAATATAAAAAAACGAAAAAAAAATAGAAAATCGAAAAAAAAATATAAAAACGAAAAAAAAATAAAAAAACGAAAAAAAAATAGAAATGAAAAAAAAATAAAAAAAACGAAAAAAAAATAGAAATGAAAAAAATAGAAAATGAAAAAAATAAAAAAACGAAAAAAAAATAGAAATGAAAAAAATATAAAAAAACGAAAAAAATAGAAAATGAAAAAAAAATAAAAAAACGAAAAAAAATAGAAATGAAAAAAATATAAAAAAACGAAAAAAAATGAAAAAAAAATAGAAAATGAAAAAAATATAAAAAAACGAAAAAAAAATAGAAATGAAAAAAAAATATAAAAACGAAAAAAAATAGAAATGAAAAAAATATAAAAACGAAAAAAAATAGAAATGAAAAAAAAATAAAAAAACGAAAAAAAATAGAAATGAAAAAAATATAAAAACGAAAAAAAAATAGAAATGAAAAAAAATAAAAACGAAAAAAAAATATAAAAACGAAAAAAAAATAGAAATGAAAAAAAAATAAAAAAACGAAAAAAAAATAGAAATGAAAAAAAAATAAAAAAACGAAAAAAAATAGAAATGAAAAAAAAATAAAAACGAAAAAAAAATAAAAATGAAAAAAATATAAAAACGAAAAAAAAATATAAAAACAAAAAAAAAAAAAAAAAAAAAAAAAAAAAAAAAAAAAAAAAAAAAAAAAAAAAAAAAAAAAAAAAAAAAAAAAAAAAAAAAAAAAAAAAAAAAAAAAAAAAAAAAAAAAAAAAAAAAAAAAAAAAAAAAAAAAAAAAAAAAAAAAAAAAAAAAAAAAAAAAAAAAAAAAAAAAAAAAAAAAAAAAAAAAAAAAAAAAAAAAAAAAAAAAAAAAAAAAAAAAAAAAAAAAAATGAAAAAAAAATAAAAACGAAAAAAAATAGAAATGAAAAAAAATAAAAAAAAAAAAAAAATAGAAATGAAAAAAAAATAAAAAAACGAAAAAAATAGAAATGAAAAAAATATAAAAAAACGAAAAAAAAATAGAAATGAAAAAAATATAAAAACGAAAAAAATAGAAATGAAAAAAAAATAAAAAAACGAAAAATAAAATGAAAAAAATAAAAACGAAAAAAATAGAAATGAAAAAAATATAAAAAAACGAAAAAAAAATATAGAAATGAAAAATATAAAAAAACGAAAAAAAAATAGAAATGAAAAAAAAATATAAAAACGAAAAAAAAATAGAAATGAAAAAAATATAAAAACGAAAAAAAAATAGAAATGAAAAAAATATAAAAACGAAAAAAATAGAAATGAAAAAAATATAAAAACGAAAAAAAAATAGAAATGAAAAAAAAATAAAAAAACGAAAAAAAATAGAAATTAAAAATAAAAAAACGAAAAAAATAGAAATTAAAAATAAAAACGAAAAAAATAGAAATGAAAAAAGAATATAAAAACGAAAAAAACAATAGAAATGAAAAAAATATAAAAACGAAAAAAAATAGAAATGAAGAAAATATAAAAAAACGAAAAAAAATAAAAAAACGAAAAAAATAAAAAAACGAAAAAAATAAAAAAACGAAAAAAATAGAAATTCAAAAAAATAAAAACGAAAAAAATAGAAATTCAAAAAAATAGAAATGAAAAAAATAATAACGAAAAAAATAGAAATGAAAAAAAAATATAAAAACGAAAAAAATAAATGAAAAAAATAAAAAAACGAAAAAAATAGAAATGAAAAAAATATAAAAAAACGAAAAAAATATAAAAACGAAAAAAATATAAAAAAACGAAAAAAATAGAAATTAAAAAAATAAAAAAACGAAAAAAATAGAAATGAAAAAAATATAAAAAAACGAAAAAAATAAAAACGAAAAAAATGGAAATGAAAAAAATATAAAAAAACGAAAAAAATATAAAAAAACGAAAAAAAATATAAAAACGAAAAAAATATAAAAAAACGAAAAAAAATATAAAAAAACGAAAAAAAAATATAAAAACGAAAAAAATAGAAATTAAAAAAATAGGTAGAAATGGAAAAAAACGAGACGGTAACTGATACACAATGACTATTTCTGCCTTTATATACCCCTGTGGGCGTGGCAACTTAGTGTAGTTAGTGGGCGTGGCCACTGCACCAGGCTTTTCCTTCTTCCTGTTGTGGGCGTGGTATACGGATTTGCGGCAAGGTTCAAAGAAGCTGACTTAATTACAGACGGAGATTAGTGATAAGGACTCCGATGGGAAAGAACGATTGGGATTTCGAAAAGTCATGGCGCCGTGCCAAGAGGATTCAGAAAAAGAGTGATAAGGAATCGAAAGATTTCCGATTTCGGATGCAAACACTCAACACAGAGTCGACGGTCCGATCGGTCTGTAATCTGGACCCAACATAAGTATGGTAACACATTAATAACCTTATCTACCTTTTCGTCAGTCTTGTAAACATTTAAAAAAATTGGAGCATTTGCACAAAAGTTCAAGAGATTCAAGGGATAATTGGATGGGTTATTCAGAAGTACTTCAGTAGCCGACGATCACTTTCTCGCCGCTCCTATTTCTGGTTCTATTCTGGCTCTAGATAGCAAAAAGGAACGTTTGGACCCACTAGATCGTTCTTATCTTCCAGAAAATCCTTCCACGTTTTCCCCCGAAGTTTCTAGTCCGGAAATACTATTCACTGCTAAACTCCCGTACTTGCTCAGTGCCACGTTCAGCTCCTGCTCGGCGAACTCCACCTTAATTTTTGTGGATCAAAAGAAGCGACAGAAGTTCATTATCATCGTCATAATTTCGGACTATTATATAACTTCAAGTTGCGATAGAGAAAAAAAAAAGGGCGGGGCGAAATAACATTATCAAAGAAACCGTAACCAAACAAAAAACGGATGAGTTTGACAAAAGAACCAAACAAAAAAGGAACGGGCTTTCCGGAAGAGAAAGAGGGGATCTAAGCGTGGAAAGACACCGGAAAACGGGCGAAAAATAGTAGATAAATAGTGGAGAAAAAAGATAGATTCAGAGAATTTCCAATAATTTCTTGAGTTGCACAATCAGTTGCCAGTCCGCTTTGGTCAGGTCGTCGCGGAAATACGTCTTGCACACGTCGATCGATTCGCGAGTGATCTGGAAATGGGAAAAGTTAGGAAAAATCTGAACATGGTCCGCTTCGAAATAATTCAATTTTTTCCAGTTGACGAAAAACAATGTGATTTCAAAAACATGGAGTGTCCTATTCAGAGATTCGAGAAATTTCTCACAATGTTCTACACTTAGGAGCTTAAGGACGTGCCAAACTAAAAAGTAATGGAAACATCTCGTTTTCCGCCAAGTTATCCAGCTCAAAATCTCAAAAACCTTTTACTTTTAAATAAAAGAGCATTACCTTGCTGACGAGCGGGTCCTCGTGCGTGAAATGCCGCCCGTAGAGTCTCGGCGCCTCTCCGGTCGTATTTTCGATCTTGATGCACACTTCTTCGCCCTGCTTCGCCAGCGGGACCTCCTCGTTGTTTCTCTGCACCGACGAGATCGTTCCCAACAGAATTCCCTGCAAAAAGGCACACATTTCGAGCATTTTCCGCCGATTTCTTCTCAAACAATTAGTAATATCCCGGATTTTCCCGAAAATTACCTCCTTGCTCGGCACACAAATCGGAGTGCCCCTCTTGACGAGTCCCGCTTCGATGGAGACGCCGAACACGATCGGATTGCGGGTATTGTAGACGTGATTGGGAAGGACGCGCAGTTTGCACGGGAAAATCGCCAGATGCTCGTTCTCGCGACGCGCCTTCTCCTTCAGTTCCTCTCTGGAAAAGCACATTTCTCAATCCGAATTTCCATTTACTCTAATTTACACTCAGACCCCCTCTAATCTTGGCTATTTGGCTGTACCTGTACTTGAGGAACGCATCCTGCAAGTGATAGATGATGTCCGCCTGGAACACTTTGATTCCCTCGTGATCCGCGAATATCTGTGCTTCGCGCTCGATTTTGACGTCGAACGCGAGAATGCACGCGTACTCGGCCTTGTGCTCCTTCATCGCCGACGCCTTCTGCACGTCCTTCTTGTGCACCGGCCCGATGTTCACATTCGAGTAGGGAATCTTCTGCGATTTGAGGAATTCGAGGAGTGCCTCGAGGGATCCGAGGGTGGAGGCCTGCACGTAGACGCCTTCCGGCTTCTTTTTGATGGCGTGAAGTGCGTTGGCGAGTTGCGAATCGGCCTCTTGCCGCAGGTAGTCCACCTCGTCCTCTCGGTCCGTGATGTAGAGCGGAAGGCCGGCCAGCACCTTCTCCAGGTTCTTCGCGAGCACTTTCACTCCGCGCGCGCCCCGCACCTCTTTGTAGTGGATGTAGTCGTTCTTGACGCGCAACTCCTTAAGCGGCTTCGGCATCAGCAGCTCGCGCACTTGAGTCACGATCGCGCCGTCCGAACCGGTCAGCACGATCACGTCGCCCGCACGCATCGTTCCGTTCACCAGAATCACGTCGATCGTCGTGCCGAGACCTGTGTAAAATTTCAGCGTTTTTTTTTTGCTTTCTCTTAAACCACTAACCTGGCAGTGATTTGACCTCCATGACGGTTGCGTCGAGCTCTTCGGAGAAGGCGAGTTTCTGTGCGTACTTGCTCTGCGTCTGATTCACAATGAAGCTCATGAGGTTGCCGATGCCGTCGCCCTGCATCGCCGAAGTCGGCACCATGTAGACGTAGTCGTCGTCGGCCAGTGGCCTGTTCGAGAGTGCCACGTTCAGCTCCTGCTCGGCGAACTCCACCTTGATTTTGTCGAATCGCTCCTTGAACTCGGCCTGCACGCGCGCCGGCTGCGTCTTCAGGTGCTCGTAGACGTCTTTGCGCGGATTCGATTCGTATCCATACAAACGGTCGATTTTGTTGAGGGCGATCACGAACGGAGTCTTTCCCTTCACCAACAGTTTCAGCGATTCGATCGTCTGCGGCTCGAGGCCGTGCATAATGTCGACGACGAGAATGGCAAAGTCGCAGAGAGAGGATCCGCGCGTGCGGAGGTTCGAGAACGACTCGTGGCCGGGCGTGTCGATGATCAGGAAGCCGGGGACCTTCATCGCGTCCGGCTTGAAGTCCCGCACCTGGCGACACCGCTCCTTGATCGCCTCCGCCGGCACTTCCGTCGCTCCGATCTGCTGCGTGATTCCTCCCGCTTCGCCCTGCTGCACGTTCGTGCGACGGATCTGGAAAATTGCTGGTTTTTTTTTGAAAACTGCATAATTTGAGCGTAATTCTAAAAAAATGTTTCAGTAATTTTACTTTTCTAGAAAAATGTGCGATTTTCGATATCCGAAACGTACCGTATCCAACATTTTGGTCTTTCCAGTGTCGACGTGTCCGAGCACACAAATCACAGGACTTCTGAGATCGTCGACGGATCGTTTCGCCTGCGCCGCCTCTTTTCTCTTCGCGATCCGCACCTTCACCCGCTCGATGATCTGCTCTTTTGTCTCTTTGGCGCCCCGCTGCTCCTCCTCCTCCTCCTCCGAACTCTCCTCCTCTTCCGATTCTTCCGATTCGGACTCCTCTTCCTCCTCTTCCGACTCGGATTCTTCCGATTCCTCCGATTCTTCTATCGCTTCTTGCACCTTCTGCTCTTTCTTTTTCTTCTTCTCCTTTTCCTTCTCCTCATCCGAATCGGCCATCGTCCAATCGTCCAGCGGCTCCGGAGTCGCCGATTTCTCAGTTTCCTTTTCCTTTTCTATCTGTTTTTCAACAACAGGACTTTCGGACTTCGGCGTCGTCACCTCTTCCGGAGTCTCTTCGCCCTTTGGCGGCAACTGCCCCAATTTCTCGAGACGCTTTCGCTTTTTCTCCTCCTGTTTCAGTCGGTCCTTCTCGGTCATATACACAAAAGTGCCTTTTTTCTCGCCACCCGCCTCTTCTTCAGTAGATTCTCGAGTTGGGGCGGCGATTCCGAGTCGGGCGAGTGCCTCCTGTTGTTTTTTGCGTTGTGCGGCCGTCAGATAGGTTCCCTCCTTCTTCTGACGTTCGATCTCGAGCCGTTTGGCCTCTCGGGCCGCTTCTTTTTGGGCTTCCCGCTGTTCCCGTTCGATGCGTTCCCGTTCCTCGCGCTCCTTCTCCTCCTGCGCCGTCCTTTCTCGCTGCTCCTTCTCGAGGCGTTCCAGCTCCTCGCGCTCCTCCCTCTGTTTCTTGAGCATCTCCTTAATGCTGCTCACAGTGCCCTTCTTCGCGCCCTTCTTCTCCTCTTTCTCCTTCTTTTCTTTCTCCTTCTTCTTGTCCTTCTTCTTCTGCTTTTTCTTGTCCTTTTTGTCTTTGTCCTTCTCATCACCACCCTCTTCGTCGTCGTCGTCGTCGGATTCTGGAGCTTCTGGAGCTTCTGGAACCTCTGCCTCGTCCTCCTCCGTCTTCTTCTCCTTCTTTTTCTTCTTTTTATTCTTCTTATCGTCGTCGACGGCGGCGGGAGCTTCTGGAGCCACTTCTACGGGTTCTGGAGCGGCGACCGGGCCGTCTTGGCTCTTAAACTTGGCGAGCATCGCGTCGAGGTCCTCCTCATCGTCCTCTTCCTCCTTCTTCCCCTTCTTTCCGCCCTTTTTCTTCTCTTTCTTCTCCTTTTTCTCGGCCTTCACCTCCTCTGGCTTTGATTTGGCTGGCGCCGGCGCTGAAGCCGGCTCATCGTCGTCCGAGGGCTTCGGCTCATTGTCAGAGTCCTCATCCAACTGAAAATTTAAAAATTTACACCAAAAATCAACGAAAAACTAAAAACACGTACAAAAGCGGCGAAACCCTTCTTGGCGGGCGCTTTGGCCTTTGCCTTGGGCTTCGCAGACTTCTCCTCATCCCATTTGCTCTCGGAAACGTTCAGCTCGGCCAATTTCTTCTCGGCGGCCTCATCGTCCCTGAAAAAAGTCAAACATTGGGTCAAATTTCGCAACACACTCACCAATCATCGTTTTTATTCTTTTTTCCTCCCTTTTTAGGCGGCATTTTTGCGCTTTTTTCGTCGAATTGTTCAGTTTAACCTGAAATTTGCAAAAATCACACTTAAATTCATCCGAAAACCACTGGAAACGAGGGGGAAGTGGCTGGAAATTGGCAAATTTTTAGGGGGCGCTTTGGAAGTGCGCAAACACCACCACATCACAAATGACGCGCAATTGCACACTTTTCGCTCGAGCAGCGGAAAGAGAGTTCTAATTGAGCAAAAAACGAAGGGGAAGAGCGTGAAGTGTAAAATAATGATAGTTCTTGAAAACGAGTGCGAAAAATTTGTGAAATTTCGTGTAAAAGTTGATAAAACCCCATTTTTTGTGTAAAAACTTGAAAAATCTCTGGGAACTCGCTTGCAATCTAATTGTAAATGAAGCAAATTCTATTTCAAACGAGTTCGTATTAGATTGCAAAGTTTTCTAATTATATTGCGAAATCTTCTAATTAGACTGCGATCGCTGCGATTAGATTGCAATTTTTCTACTTAGATTTCAATTTTTTCTAATTAGATTGCAATCTAATAAGATTTTACTGTACTTTCAGTATCTCGATGAATATTGTCCAAAACACATTGATTTTCCGCACAAACAATCTCCTTATCAGCCTGTTTAGAGCCACTCTTGATCGGATTAAAAAATTAAATTTTTCCAAATTTCCTGACACACTTGTCAGTTTCCCATTTTCCAACTGAAAAATGGCAAAACGAACTCTTCTAATTGCGTTTTTATTTCTGACCCTGCAAGGTATGCAACCTGAACATTTTGGGCGAAAAAGTTAAATTCAGGGTCGTCCGCGGCGGTGTGTGTCACGAAAACGCTCCAATTTTGTCAGTACGGTTTCAATCAGAACCTGAATGTGACCAGTTCGTCGGCCGATTGGACCAATCCCGGCACCCTCAGCTTCATTATTCGTTCTTACTATATTCAGGTAGATTTTGGTCTCGCAACGAACTTTTTCTGTGTTTTTTTCAAAATAGGCGTAATTGAAAGATTTCGAAACTTTCTAAACATTTTTTTAATCGAACATTTTGCGCTTAAATTCGTCTTGAGCTCAAGTTATGAGCTGAGAAACAAGAAAGAAGTGAGAAACTCGTTTTTTAAAGGAACTACAAAGTTGTAGAGCACAAAATTTACAACAATTCAGAAATTTGGCGTTTAGGCCCTAGCTGTGATGTAGTTTTCTAGTACAAACAGAAAGTTTGACAAAATTGTGGTCTTCTTACCGCGATTTTCAGGGAATCGACGGTCTGTTGGCGGTGTGCAACGCGCGTCAGCAGTTTGCTCGATGCCTCGGCGCCCAGTACGACGTCTGCATCTCTCCGCTCAATTTCATCGCTTCCGGAGAGAGTCCTCAGGACGCGCAGGCCTACGTTCAGTTGTTCAGGACGATGGAGTTCGATTGCGACGGCGGCTTCATTCAGTCGTCGCGCCATTGGGGGTGCATCGCCGCCATTCTGCAGACTAGAGATGGGCAGTTGACGGCGTGCCGGCAAACTTACGACAATACGGTCAAGAGTGTGAGTGTCCATCTCATGATCCGTTTTTGGCCAATCGAAATATTCAGACGCCTGCGCAGCTGTGCCAAGCGTCGGCCGATTACGAGACGTGCGTTCGCAGCCAATACTCGGACACTTGTGGCCCGGAAGTCTCGTGGTGGAGTTGCGAACGGACCAGACGGGGTCTGTCGGTCGACGAGGATTGTCCGAACGACATTTGCAGTCTGGTCACCGCTTCTGCCTCTGAAAAGTCTGAAAAGAGTCCGAGACTCGCGGCCGAGCGCATTTTCAATCGTGAGCCGGATGTGGCTCATGTGCTCAGATCGCTGGCGGACAAGGCTAAAGGAAATTGAAATTGACTTTTCGGAATAAAGTGTTATTTTTTGCAAACAACTAAACAAAAACTACATAAAGCCTATTTAACACTAGACTCCGCCCATCCTCCTCTCCAAAATGGCGCTCCTCTCGTGATCGGGCACCTCCTGGTACCCGCTGATCTGCACACTTATGTCCCCGAATCCGGAGGTCAGAGTTCGGACGGTGCGCGACAAGTTCTCCGTCTCCGAAAGTGGCAATTGTGCGACAATCCGGACCGTCTGCTCGTTTATCCGCTCCGAATTGTGAATTTGCGCCCGACGTCGGGCGAGTTCGTTGAGGATCGGCTGCGTCGGCTCGTCGCTGCGCACGTCGATTTGTACGGACATCACCGGCTCCGTCAGCACCACGCATCCTTGCGAGAGAGCGTCCGACACGCATTTTTGCGCGCACGCCGACACTGAAAATTGCTTCTTTTTTAAAATAGTTTTGCGGAGAACAGCTTTTTCGCGTATATCGCCGTTTCCTAAGCTTGTTCCAGTGCAGATTTTGAGCAAGTTTGAGCGCCGAACAAAAATACAGACTTTGAAGACGTTTTTGCTCAAAAACTATAAAATTGTTCTTAAAATAGCTTGTTCAGTGTAAAAATGATAGTCTCCGAACATGGTCTCACAATTTTTTTTATATGTTTTCCAAGAAGGACACCACAGTGTCCGTCAAAAAAATATTTTCTTTGCTAATTTCATCGAAAGCTGTTCAAAGTGAGTAATTTTTTTCTCCAAAACTTTCCAGACACACCATTCGTATTGATTTTTCTCGAAAAAACTCACACAGTGCCGGATTGATCTTTCCGCCGCTGACGATCACCTCAGTGACTGTAATTCTGACCGCGTGCACCGGAAAAGAGACCAACGGTCCGTTCTGAAGTGCATTCGAGCATCCCTCGCTGATGGCCTTTTGCCAATCGGGCCGAACAGGCCGTGCCGTCTGCGCCAACTCCATTTCCACTTTTTTGAACGGTGCGGCGCTTGTCGGGTCGGTTGGCGAGAGGCGCATCGTGAGTTGCACCGACTCGGCACGCTTCTTCTCGCTCATTCCGTCCTCCACCCGCGCCGTTCGCGTCATCTCCTCGGTCAGCATTTCACGGTAGGCCACCTGGGGATCTTCTATTATGCATTTGTGTAGGATGTGATCCGACTTGGGTCATTTTAAGGTGAATGCGCTCTGTTGCAATCGTGATTTCGACTTCACCGGATCACAAAAAGAGGGCCTACTCAACAGAGCGCATTCACTTTGAAATGTGCCGATAGTATTATCAGTCTTGGTTGAGAGTAATGCCGCGTCCAATGTCTCGGAAAAACCGTAAAAACCACAGGTTTTTCTGTTTAAAGTCGGCCGAAATTTGCGTAAAAAACGGGGGTGCGCACAGCTCAATGAATGTAACCGTACCCTTAAAACTACGGTATTTTTTGAAAATTTGCGCAAGAAATTTGAATATTTTCAAATATCCTCAAAAAATTAACAAATTTTCAAAAAATACCGTAGTTTTAGGGGTACAGTTACATTCATTGAGCTGTGCGCATCCCCGTTTTTCACGCAAATTTCAGCCGACTTTAGACAGAAAAACCAGCCGTTTTTCCGAGACTTTGGACGCGGCATAAGGAAAGGAACGCTTGCCGAGGTGTGCAAAACCATGGCTGAGACCCGGAAGACGACGAATTTTGCGAAAATTATCCTAGAAATCGGTACTCCTAACCAAGACTGAGAATCGTGCAAAGCTAGGACCCACATCGGACATCTTCTAACCTGCAACTTGCCAATGAACACATCCAACCCGTATCCTCTCTTGAGTCGGTCCTTGATCGACTCCAAGTGCAATTCTCCCTGTGTCTCGACAATAGTCTGTCCGGTGTCCCGATCGAAGCGGATCTTCATCGAAGGATCCTCGCGCGTCAGCTCGTTCAGCGCCCGATCAAACTTCTGCTGCTGCCGGTTCGACGGCGGTTCGATACAGCAGAAGAAGACGGCTTCCGGAGAATCAATGCCCGAGAAGACGACTGTCGTTCCGTCCTGCGAACTTTTCGCTCGCAACAAATCACTCTCCTCGCTCTCCGATAACTCTTTCACAACTCCGAACGCTCGTTCGCCCGCATCCCTGTTCCCGAGTATCGTATCGCCGGTCACAGTGTTCTCGAGTCCCGACACGACGGCAATGCTGCCCGCTTCCACGTGATCCACCGGTTTCAGTTCGTCCGCGTACGGTGTGAATATCTTGATGGGACCTTCTGACGAGCACCGCGACGAGTTGTAGACTGTCGAGTTATTCTGCAGGCGGCCCGTGTAGACTCGCGTGTAGCTCAGTTGGCCACGTCGTTTGTCATGGCTGATCTGAAAGTGAAATCATCTCTTAGCAATATATCACCGCTGTCTGTAGAGATATCAGAAAGTTGTCAACTGAAAAAATGTTCAAAATGTTATAATGAACAAGTTATCCGTTGACCGTGCTTTGATATCTTCACAAATAGCTATGAAAACGGGCTCTGATCAGTACCTTAAACACCAAAGCGCTCAAATCATCTCCGAAAACGCGTTGAAACTCTCGATTCCTCATTTCCGGCGACGGAAAGAAATTGACGACCGAATCGAGAAGGGGCCGCACACAATTCAGACTTCGAATCGCCGATCCGCAAGAGACTGTCGCCACTTTCGACGCAATCGTCAGCTGTTTTAATGTCTCCCCGATCTCCGAATCGCTCATTTTTTCGTGTTTTCCGTCGTGCTCATCGAGGAATTTGCGCATGAACTCGTCGTCTAAATCCGCAATCGAATAGCAAAGATCGGAACGGGCGGCGTCGAGAATCTCGTGTTCGTGAGTGTTTGGTCGGATTTCGAGCCAGTTTTCCGTGTCCGAAATGTTCAGAAATCTGCGTGCCATCGCATCGATAATTCCCGTTCCGTTCGCGTACGGAACCGTCACTTTCACCGCCTTCACGCCCAGTTTTTGCTCGATCGAATCTAGCGAATTCTCAAAGTTCGCCTCTTTTTTGTCCATTTTATTGACGAAAAAGTGCGCGGGAAGGCCGAATTTGGAACTTTGTGCCCAGACGGTCAGTGTTTGCGGCTGCACTCCTGCGGAAGCGTCGATTATGCAGACGATGCCGTCGAGGACACGCACGCAACGCTCCACTTCGACACGGAAATCCACGTGGCCCGGCGTGTCGATCAGGTTGATTCGGTGGCCGAGCCAGTCCAGATTGACGGCCGCCGATTGCACTGTGATGCCTGGAAATTGTATATATATATATATATATAGATATATACAATGAAAGTGCGCTCCAGCGAAATCAAAGCGGAAATCATTTAAATTTTTTCGGGTAAAAGCCCAGAAAATAACCTCTTTCCCGTTCGATATCCAAAAAATCGGTGACCGTCGTCCCTTTATCCACATTTCCGGCCACACTGATCGCCCCGGCCAAGTAGAGCAATCGCTCGGTTACTGTAGTTTTGCCGGCGTCCACGTGTGCCACAATTCCGATATTTCTGATTTTCGAGCTGAAGCGACGACGGGCCACGGCGCTTCCGGCGGGCACGAAAAGTCGTAGAATCATCTAGAAATGTTCGAAGAAAATAATTTAACAAAATCTCAAGAACTCGATCGGTAGTGAACCTTCGCTTTCTCCCGCATTTGCTTCCACAAAAATCGATTCATTTACAGTTTTCAATGAGAACGGGTGAAAATTCAGGGGGAATTCACACAAATGGAAGGGGAAATATATTAGAATAGGACGGGAAAAACGGTATGAAACGGAAGAAATGGGTTGAATCGACGGTGGTCCAGAGGAATCAGAAGATTTAGGCGATTTGGTGGCCAGACTTGGCGAGTTCCTCCCTGCAAAATTGACAAAATTACGGTGTTAGGTAAAAGAGTTGAAAAATTCGAATTTTCGGAACAAAAAAGACTTTGAGCGAAAAATTGCTAAAAGGCCGTACTTGAGCTGCTTGGAGAACTCGCTCTCGTGAGTCTCGTCGTCCCAGTTGTCCTCCCACACGTTGACCTCCTCGTCCTCTCCCTCGCCGCGCTCCGGCCACTCCTGCACCGGAAACTCTTCGAATTCCTCCTCTTCGACCTCCTTCTTCTCCACATTCTTCACCGGATCCTTCTTTCCGGCGGCGGCGGCGGTGCTCGACGACGACATTTTTTGCTTGGCTGAAAATTAAGTGAATAAATGTGCAAACAGCGAGAAATTCCAAGGGAAAAGTATTAAAAAGGCATGAAGAACCTTCTAGAACGCAAAAGAAGCACAAAAACATTATTTTTTAGATGAAAGGCGGGGAGAACGAATAATGAGAAAAGTAACAAAAATAGAGCTAGAACAATAAGAAAAACAAGAAAGAACCTAGAGAATCTACAAAAATCTACAAAAAGTGGAGTTATTCCTGCTGCTCCTTCTCCTTCTTCGCCTCCTCCAACTTCTCTGTGGTTCGCAACGGCAACGCTTTCGCCTTCGCCTCCAGATCGGCCACCTCGCCCTCGCTCAGCGCCATCGTGCCCCTCATTCCCTGTTTCGGCTCGATCCATCGCGGATAGATCTTTCCGTGCAGGCGCCATTCTCCGTCGACCACCGCGATGTGATTCTCGAACACCACGTACTCCACCACGTCTTTCGGCTCGTTCTCCGATCCTGAAAATGGGAATTTTTCAAAAAATAAAGCAGACTATTGCGAACGCGAAATTTGCAGCCATTTTCATCATTTTTCCGGTACCAACCTAGCAAAAGTGCTCCAAATCTATCGTACAGTGCCAATTTCTGTCTGGTATTCATTCGGACCGTAATCTGAGCGATGTCATTGCCCGACTTGGGCGGATTATCGAAGCAACGGACGGCGACGACGCGACTCGGCTCCAAGACCTCCAACAATTCGAATCGGACCGATCCGTTCTCGACGTCCGGCCACATTTTGGCGAACGCGTACTCTGTGATGTACTTGTGCATTTCCCGCCGGTCCCTCGATTCCAGGGCCTTGTGCGCTTGCACGTAAATGTCCTCCGCTTTCGCAGTAAACGTTTTGATGTCGAACTTTTCGAATCCCTGCTTCTTTCGAATCCGACTCGTGCCCATTCGCCAATTGTAGAATTTGTGCTGCATTCGTTGTTTAACCTCGTCGAATTTGTTGTTCACGTCCGTAAAAGAGGCCGGATTCTCGGGTGGAACATATGGATCGGCGATTCCATCTGAAATTTGCAAGTTTTAAAGTAAAAGACAAAAATTCCACTTACAAATCGACTGAAAAGTGATCTGAGCCTCATTCCAGACCCTCGGTTGTGCGTCTTTGTACGGATTCACGCCACGCTTCAACAATTCTGTGCGCATCTCCGACGGAGACATTTGTGACTCTCGTTCCCGCGCAGAATCGTGAGGGAGCTCGATTAAAAGTGTTTTTCGGCCGCGCATCTGAAAAAAGGACAAAAGTACAGTGAAAAACTAGAATTTTTCGTACCCTCCTGAACATTTTCTCGTTCACATGTGTATTTCGGTTGGCTTTCGCCTTGTTCGAGCGCGTGACACCCGTGAATCGCTTCATGTCGTTCGCCTCCATGTGATGATGGACGCTGGCAGACTGGACTGCTTGAGCTGCTTGGGCCGGAGCCAGGAACTGACGCGCGAGCTGCTGACACGCCCGGCCGAGCATTCTTTCTACAAGTTCGTGTTTCTTGCGGGTTTATACATGGACATCTTCAAGCACGCTTGACTTTATACATACCAACACAAAAAGACAACAAAATTTCGACAAAATTCGACTGAAAACTGTGTTTTTTTGAAGTTGAAACGTTGGAAAATTATCATCAAAAATGAGGTGCGACGGGGCGCGTTTGCATCATGCCCGTCAAGTTAAATGCTTGCGGACTTGCGCGTGTTGCGGAGTCGGCCCCTTCTTCGTGGAAATTAGTCAATTTCTTCATTTTAGAGTAAATACTTGTGAAAATGACGGATTACATGGCTCAAATGCTTAATGAGCTCATGGGATCGCAGCGAGACGCGCTCCCCGGCGAGGTTTGTTCGTAAAATCTAGGAAAATCGTAAAAATGCGAAATTTTCAGAGAAGAGAAGTTCGCTACGATGATCCGAACGTTTGCACCGATTTCTTGGTGGCTTTTTGTACACACGACATATTTCGAAACACGAAGAACGATTTGGGATTCTGTAAATACGTAAGCTTTCGCAAACTTTCGCTAAACTCCAAAATTTCCAAATTTCAGACAACACACGACGAGAGCATGAAAAATTCGTATCAAAACTCGGACAAGAAGGGCCGAATGGGCTTTGAGAATCGATTTTTCGAGCGAATTCGTCGAATCCACGAAGATGTGCGGCGCAAAATTCAGAAACACGAGGATCGGCTTCAGGTCACTCAGGGAGACTCAAAAGTAGCCGAGGAGACGTTCGAGAAGAAGTTGGCCGGAATCGAGGACCGCAAGACGGTTTTGACGAAGAAAATCGAGGATCTGATGGTGGAGGCCGAGTTGGAGGGCGAAAAAGGAAATGTGCAGGCGGCGCAGACAGCCGTGGACCGGGCCGATAAAGCGAAAATGGAGAGAGAGGAGCTGAACGAGGAAGAGGAGAAACTCAAGGTAGGAAAATGTGAAATTAATCGCTTTTGACCAAAAAAATCAAGAAAAAAGTGTTTTGTTCAGAGCGAGAAGGAGCGCGCGATGAACATGGAGGAGAACGTGACGGCAGGAAACCGTCAGATGCAAGTGTGCCAGATCTGCGGTTGCTTCATGCTCCAAAACGATGCTCCGCAACGCGTCGACGACCATTTGACGGGAAAACTGCACATTGCCTACCAGCTCATCGCGGACACCATCAAATCGATGGAACTGGAGCAAGAGGAGAAGAAGAAACAGCGATTCGAGGAGGCGAAAGAGCGAAATGCGAAGAGATTCGAGCCGAAGAGACGGAGCCGGAGCAGGAGCAGGTCGAGGGACCGCCGGGAGCACAAAGAGCACCATAGGGACCGGGAACGGGACCGGAAGGAGCACCGGGAGCACAAGGATCATCGGCATCGTGATGATCGGAAGGATCGGAAGGATAGGGATAGGGACAGGGATAGACATCGATCCGAGAAAGAGAGAAGGGTACGAACGCTCTTTTTGCCATAATTAGACACGTTTTCAATTTAAATGTTTTTTTTTTCATTTTATTTCAGCGTCACTAGCCGCATTGCACCCATCCAGTCACGAATCCCACGCCTGAAGATGCTCATTGTCTTTCCCAAGTACGTTTTTCAACCCAACGACGCTTGAAAGGTGAGTGGCCGCGGTCTTCCAGATTTTTAGGCGTTTACAGCAACATTTTATCATGCCCTGAGTCTCCGCCGGCAAATTTGAGTAATTGTTCAGTTAGTTTGCCCAGAATTTTCTAAGACAAATTTCCATCTCCTCAAAACTTTGATTCTCTTTTTGCAGAATCGTCCGCAATACGCCATCATCAACGTCTGATATTCATTTTTAACTGTTTTAAATAATAATTGCCTTCTTCCCGTTCTTTTCCACCCAGAATGAACTTTTTTTTGACCCATTCTCGCCGTCTTCTCATTGTCTGTCGCAAACGCGCTCTACCGAACACCTCTTTCGCTTTTCGGCGCGTTTTTCAATTTGACTGCCATTTTGTCCATTTTTCGCGTCAGAAATGTCTGCTTTCTCGCAGTCAGGCATCAAATTTCATCGAGGAACTCGAACACTGGAAATCAATAAGCAATTGATAAATAATTCGATAGAATTTCCCGACGGTTTCAAGTTTGGACTGAAAGAGAAACACAGGTTGGTTTTTATCAAATTAGGCATTCTCAAAGCCTCTGAAGATGAAAAATAGGGAGTTTTAGCAGTTTTTGTGCTAAAAATTGAAGATAATCAATATTTTGAGCCTCAAAATGTTTCTTTTTGGATAGAAACAGCTTTTCAGCGAATAAAGCAGTCAAATTGCAAATTTTGTTTTCGCAGGTACTTCAAGCAATTCATAGAAGACGTGACGAGATTCAACGAGAAAGTTTCGGAAAGTACAGAGCCGATATACTCAAAAGCGACGACCCGAATCGCGAAATGGCTTCTGGAAGACACGGAGAGCGGCGCGACGGCGACGTCGGTTTTCAGTCCGCACGAGTCGGCGGGCACCATTCGCACCGCCCTTGTTCAGTGCAATTTCACCGATATCGGACGGCACATACGCGATTTGAAGCTGAAAATTCTGGAATTGGAGGAGAAACGGAAGGGAGTGACCGTGATTCTTGTCACTGAGAACGACGCGATACACTCGATCATCGATCGGATCGCTAGCGCTGTAAAATCTCGATGTTTTTCCCAGTGTAAATGCGATTTTCCAGAAGTCCGGCCTCTCGATAGTGCTGATACGTCAGTTCGAGTCGTTGCGTCCCCAATTCCTCGACTCGCTGATCTCGCTGATCTTCTCGACCCAATCCACTCGCCACGTCGTCGCCCGTCTTCGATTCGTCGTCTGCGTCTCCACTTCTCCGTCCTTTTTCACTCAAACCTGCGCCACGAACACTCTGACCCTTCTCCAGCTGCAACAATTCAAGTTTACGAGACTCGACGACGTCTTTGAAAAAATCGTCGCAACGGGCATCCACGCGGGCTTCCGTCCGCCGATTCCAAAGTCCAAAAGCATTGAAGACGACGATCCGAACCGCCTGTATTCGTTCGACTGCGCGCCGGCCGTCTTCTCCGGACCCTTCCTCAAATACCTCAAAGACCGCTTCTTCGGATGCGATTTCTCGGTTTCGGCGCTCGAAAAAGCCATCCAATTCGCGCTTCTTCAAAAATATTTGGAAGATGCGACGTGGCGAGAAGACGTCCATGAGGCCGAACTTCAAAAGTACGACGTCGTGTTCGAGGCGTTCAAACGCGAATTCTGGGAGGGCGACGCCATTTCGCTGCACATTCAGCTACAATCGGAGCCGAACTTCTGGAAGGAATTCAAGGAGAGCACGATTTTTCAGCAGCGAAAACAGTTTTTGTTCGACACAAACTCGCGCACGAATCTCGTCGAATTCGCGCAGAAACTTTGCGACGATTTTGCGGAAATCGACGAGAATTGGTGCACGACATTGGAGGACTTGATGCGGAAATTGGGAGAGACGAGGCTTCTCGCACCGCCGACGCCCACGCAATCGAAGCCGACCGTCGGGCGGATGAGCATGGCCGAATGGCAGAAGCAGAGTAAAGCGGCGATCGAGGCGAAACAGAACGATCCGATACGCGCGGCCAAAAGTGCCGTTTATGCGCATGTTATGGTACGGATAGGCCTTTCTCTAAATTTTGAAACTTTCGGTATTCTTTCCGTTCGAAATGGATCGCATTCGCATTATTTTGCGCGAAAATCTCAGAGCTGGACAAATTTCGGTCCAGGCTTTTTAAGGCCTGGACTTTTGGCCAAAAGTGCAGGCCTCGACAGACCTTCAAAAAGCCTTTTCACAAAAATCCACGCCGAAATTGCAGAGAATGTTCGAGTCGACGCTGAAACCGTACCCATCCACGTGGCGCAACGTCGTCGGCGCCCCATTCTGGACGAATGGCGAAGTGAAGGTGTCGCTGGACTCGTCGGACGAATTCGACATTGAAAAGTGTCTACTCGAGGGCCCCGCCGACCCGAATCACCCGATTTCAGTCGCCTGGCGAGCACTTCTCAGCCATCGCAGCTTCAAAATAGTGCCAATGACAGAGTGGGCTGCGGAGTTTTTGAAACATGTAAATGCGCTCCAAATTTCCATTGAAAATGAAAATGATTTTCAGGTGAAAATGAGCATGAGCAAAAAAGAGGCGAAAAATGCGTTTTTCGCGGCCGCCGGACAATTGGAGCACATTGGGCTGATTCGTGGCTCCGCCGACCGTCAATCTGCTAATGTTAATGTTTTGTACCATCCACTCTCGGTCATTCCCCATATTTGATATCTTTTTATACAGTAACATTCGAATTCGCACTCGTTCTTCCATTTTCGGCGATTCTAGCGATAGAGGTGTGCACTAGCTCGGATTGGTAAGACGGGTTTATTGGGGTAACTGTCCTCCTGGCAGTCTGCATTTGAAATCGGAAATCCTTCAATTCCTTATTCCTCTTTTTCTGAATTCTCTTGGCACGGTGCCATGACGTTTCGAAATCCCAATCGTTCTTTCTTATCGGAGACCTTTGTCGGCGTCCTTATCACTAATCTCCGTCTGTAATTAAGTCGGCTTCTTTGAAACTTGCAGCAAATCCGCTCGAAGCTCACACTTTTTTACTGAGCACTTATTAATCTAGTTAGACAATTTATTAATCTAATTAGGTGTCATATCAATCAGACTTGCCAAATCCCGGGCCGGCCCGGCAGGCCGGAAGTTAGACCTCAAAAAAAATATGCAAAAAAAATATGAAGGAAGAGGAAAACGCGTGCGGCAAAATTGCTAAAATGGCGTACCAGAGTTGCAATCAATCGCTCCGCCCACTCTTGAGAAAATTTTCGTAATTTTTGTGAAAATTTTGCGACTTTAAACAGCAATTTCTATTTTTTAACAGGTTTTTATGCTATAACATTGCCTTTTTCGTCTTTTTTTCTATTTCTGCTGGTTTTTACAATGAATCTTCGAAATTGAAGCAAAACTAGTTCGCTTTGAATTTTTAGGTGCATCCTCCCGGGCCGACCGGGCCGGAAAATTTCCAATTTTGGCCCGGCCCGGCCCGTTGCAAGTCTGATATCAATCTTATAAGGCCGCCGTTAGATTAATAACGAAATGTCAGAGGATTAGTGATAAAAATGCCGACAAAGACTGTGATGGGAAAGTATGTCATGGCGCACCGTGCCAAGAGAATTCGAAAAAGAGAGTTGAAGGATTTTCGACAGAAAAAAGCAGTGGTTTACCATGGTAAATCAACAGTTTTTGTTAAAATTCCCAACAGGGAATTAATTTCCTTCAGGATCGTCTTAACTTTTAAAAATTGTTTTTTTTTTTCAGTTTTCAGACAATTTTTGTGGTATAATTGAATTCTTTGCAAATTTCAGGACGTTCAAAACGCAGTTCCGTCTCTTTTTCATTTGACCAATCGAAACACGAAACACATTGAAACATTTATTTTTCGAGAAAAAATGGGACCTAAGACAATAGTTTAGCATATTTAAAATTAATTAATTGCAAAAAGGATCACAATGAAACTGAAAAAAGTTGATGAGTTTGGTGGAAGAAGGAACTGAAGAAAAAATCGATAATCGCGGACACTGGAGGATACAAAGTAAGAAAAGGGGAAAAAGAGGTGTTTTTTTGGAGTGGCTAAAGCTCGTTGGAAGAACTTCACAGATGGATTTGGATTTGGTTGGGAATGGGGGGAATTATCTGCAAAAATACACATTTTCAGGGCGTATACTCGACCTGAGCGGGTTCTCGGACAAAAACTGGACATTTTGTAAGGCGTTTTCGCTGTGAAGCGAAAAAACGCGCCGGGAAAAACGAGTAAAGTGAAGACAAAGGGATTATTGAATTTTTGTAAAAAGAGAGGGGGATTGGGGGGGCAGAAAAAGTTGTTGCAGACTGACTCACCAAAAAAGAAATTCTCTCGCGAGACTGAAAATATCACAAGAAGCAAAAGTGGGTGTGGGAAGAAGAAGAAGAAGAAGAGAAGAAGGAGGCGGAAGATGTTAGTAGGGATGGAATCGCTGTGATGTCGTCGCGCCTCCGGATCCGGCGCCGCCCGTTGACGACGTCGTCTTGCCGCCGCCGCCGCCCGCCGACGTGTTCCCGCTTTGCGGCGGCGTCGGACCGCCTTTCATGAACGGCGCGCCGATAAGCATACTAAAAAAATGGAAAATGGTTGGTTCGGTCGGCCGAAAGAGTGATCGTGTGTGGACAGAAGGGAAGAGAAATGAAAAACCAGCAAAAACATGCATTCTTTCTGAGCAAACGGTTCATTTTGCGCTCCGGCGCACAACTTGCGGTCGCTCTTTCATTTTTCGACGATTCTAGGCCACGGAAGTTTGTGAAATTTGATTTTTATCGACTTTTTTGAGGAATAGCTCGACAAAACGTGTTTTCCGGTCAATTTTCGAGTTAACTACGCAAGAAGCGCGGGAAAATCACGTTCTTGTACCAATTTGCGAGGTGATCGAGATTTTAGACGAATATTATCGAAGAAGCTGTTGATTTAACCTCATTTTCCGATCTTTTACTTCGCGCGCTTTCGTGGCCTAGAATTCCGTCGAACGACCGCGCGCCTGTGCGCGTTTGCCTCAAAAATTTCCGAATATTAGGCCACACTTTTCTCTAACTAGACATTTACAATATCGATTTTACACCGAGAAACGTGGAAAGCTCACCTCTGCGCATACTGATTGAGCAATTGCTGCTGCTGCTGGTGCTGTTGCACGGCCGCCACATCATAAGTCTGCCATTGGGCGGCGGCGGCGGCCGCCGCGCCCGCATCCATCGGCTTTCCGTCGGCGCCCATTTGCTGCCCCGCCGCGTTGTAAATCAGCCCATTTTGTCCCAGGTAGAGCTCTGCAAATATATTGCCATTTACTAAGAGGGGGCGTCGCCATTCTTTTGCCATTTGAAATGGAAATGAGCGACGTGCGAGTCACGGTCTCCCACGGCGCGAATGATTTCAATGGGGCGCACTTGCAACAGGCGGGCTGTGTCGATTTACGCGGCGGTCGATTAATTAATTTTTAACGGGAGTTCGCGTTCTTTCCATGTTTTCTGTACAATACACCTATTTTTTTGTACGCCTGGAACCTGGATTCGAATAATTAGAGCACTAGCTACGTTTTGGTAACAGAAATCTTGCATATCGTTGAGAATTAGCCGCGTTATTTAGATTTGAAGGTTTGGTCTGGATTTTGATGTTTTTCGAATAGTTTTCGAAAGCTGCTCAAGAAAACTAACCGCCGGAACCTGAATTTTGTGAAGAAAAATTCAGCGAACATTTTTATCGTTCGTTGGGCTCATGAAATGCAAAATGAGCTGAAATATAAAGGTTTGAAGTTTTGACGAAATGCGAAAATGGCGCTAAAAACATGAAAAACTCTAAATTCTGTAAAGAACGGTTTCAAATCAGTAAAATAATGTTTTCTAGACGTTTTTCAAGTCAAAAAGAAAGAAATAAAGGTCGTAAACTCGAATTGAACTGCATTTTTAGACCTGCAAATTTTCAAAAAGTTACAACGACACTCCGCAATTTGCGAGCGCCCTGGGAGACCGTGGCGCGAGTGCGCTAATTTCAATCGATCGATTTCCGATAAAGCGCACTTGCAAACCCACTTTTTGAACACTTTACACATAAAGAACACGTACTTTTCTTTGAAAGGGACAAAAGTTTGGAAAGGACACTCCGAGGGCGGGACACTGAACTTAAAAATGTGTGTGTGTGTGTGTGTGTGTGCTTGCGATTTTCGGTGTCCGAGAGGGATAAAAAAAGCTAGGTTTGATTGGATGGGGCAACTAAAATCACTCTTTTTGGGGGAGGTAAACGGAAAGATTTTTTTTTGAGAGGAGGGGGGTAAAAAGTGAGGTGGGGTAGAGGAGGGGCCTAGGAAATTCTTAGGCCAGCCAGGGGAGGACAAAAGGAGCGGGATGTCTAGGTTGGATTACGGTAGGCTAGAGATAGATAGAGAAAGAGAGAGAGAGAGAGAATAAATGAGAAACGAATGTGGACAAACCTTGAGCGCCTTGCGAGTTTTGTTGTTGCGTCGTTCCGGGCTGAATCAGAAGCTGCTGGTTGAAGAGTGCGGCACGGGCGGCCAGCTGAAAACGACTATCCAAAAGAAAAAGACGGGGAGGCGTTGGGGCGGGGGGGCGTGCTTTGTACAGAGTGTGAAACCAGCGAGAGAAGGAGAAAAACAGATGGATGAGGGGACAGGTTGAGGGCAAAACACGTCATGCCGAGACGGGGAGCAACATTTTTTTGTTCCTATGAAGATACTGTATGAAAGTGCCCTCCCCCCCCCGTACTGTGCAGAAATTGTGTTCACAAGACGACGAACCTCTTGCTGAACGGCGGCCAACTGCTGTTGTTGCAATAGATTCGTGACGAGATGCTGCTGTTGAATTTGCACACCCTGAACACTGCCTTTTTGAGAGACCTTTTCCCGATAGACCCCTTGCACGGCGACCAAAAGTGTAGAAAGGGGCGTGGCCTAATCTGAGACGCGTTTTCTGAAAATTGCCGCAATTCCAGCACACTTTTCCGATATTTGTGTGTTTGATATCGACGAAAGAAGACATTAAACAGAGAAAACATTAAAATTTTCGTGAAAACGCCGCGTTTGAGACGTTTTTGACATATTTCGCAATTTCGGAATTTTCATACCGGCCGATCTGAATAGTTTTGAGACGAAATGAGTGTCGGAAGTGATTAAGCACGTTAATACAAGTATTTTAAGCGTTCAAACGGCAAAAAGTATCGGCGAATGACTGAAATTCGCGCATTTTCAGCACAAAACTTGAAAATCGATTCAATTGATTCATTTCTGAGTGAAACCTGCTCGTTTTAAGCTCAAAAAGTGCGCGCGATGATTAGTTTAACAAAGTTATGCAATCACATCGTCGAAATCGTACAAAATTTGGGTCATTTTGACGAAAAACATGAAAAATGGGGTTAAATTTCGAATTTCGCGCCAAAATGGTGATAAACCGTGCACGCTAGGCCACGCCCCTTTCTACGTTTTTGGTCGCCGTGCCTTGCAAAAAGGTACCTGTCCGTTGCCCAAAAGTGCGGCTGCCGCCAATTGCTGTTGTGCCTGAGCCTGTTGTTGTTGCGCGGCAATTGTGGCGGCCGAGGAGGCGATCGCCAGCGGGTTGAACGTCGGTTTCGGGCGGTACGTTATTGTCGCGCCTTTTGGAGGAGCCTGGAATCATTTTTTATTCGACGAGACAGGAAAAGTATGACAAGACTTTCAAAAGCATAAAATGAATCGGTTTATATCCTCCTCAAACCAATTTATCTCAAGTCACTGTAGAGATGGCAAAAATTTGTCAACTAATAAAATATTCATTAAGACATTGTCACGGCGACCAAAAACGTTGAAAGGGGCGTGGCCTAGCGTGCACGGTTTTGTCACCATTTCGGCGCGAAATTCGAAATTTAGCCCCATTTTTCATGTTTTTCGTCTCAAAAATTACCCAAATTTTGTACGATTTCGACAATGTAATTGCATAACTTTGTTAAACTAATCATCGCGCGCACTTTTTGAGCCGAAAACGAGCAGATTTCATAGCAGAAATGAATCAATTGAATCGATTTTCAAGTTTTGTGCTGAAAATGCGCGAATTTCAGTCATTCGCCGATACTTTTTGCCGTTTGAACGCTTAAAATACTTGTATTAACGTGCTTAATCACTTCCGACACTCACTTCGTCTCAAAACTATCCAGATCGGCCGGTATGAAAATTCCGAAATTGCGGCGGCGATTTCCGCGGAGAGCGTACTGCGAAATATGCCAAAAACGTCTCAAACGCGGCGTTTTCACGAAAATTTCAATGTTTTCTTTGTTTAATGCCGTCTTTTGTCGATATCAAACACAAAAATATCGGAAAAGTGCTGGAATTGCGGCAATTTTTCAGCACAAAACTCATTTTCAGCACAAAACTTGAAAATCGATTCAATTGATTCATTTCTGCTATGAAACCTGCTCGTTTTAAGCTCTAAAAGTGCGCGCGATAATTAGTTTAACAAAGTTATGCAATTACATCGTCGAAATCGTACAAAATTTGAGTAATTTTTGGCGAAAAACATGAAAAATGGGGTTAAATTTTGAATTTGGCGCCAAATGCCCCTTTCTACACTTTTGGTCGCCGTGCGATCCCTCACAATTCCGCCCGGTATCGATTGATCGCATCATGACTTCTATTATCACATTGATACACATTCGATTGACATTCATTATCATTTGTGCACATACTCTCTCTCTCCATCTCTCTTCGTCACGACTATATTAATCGGCCATGCAGAGAAGTGTCAACAGAAATGTTACCTCGAGCAGAATCTGACACACTTGTGCCATGCACAGGTTGATTGCGTCGGCGGTGCCCGATAGTGTGACGGCGCGTTCTGTCGAGTGCGGCAGCATTTCCGAGGCCACTTGGATCGAGGCGCCCGTCGCCTGAAAAAAGCGTTTATCGATTTTTGAGCGAACAGAAGACGGAGGGCGGGTGGGTACCTCTCTGATGTCCTTGATCTTGCTGCCGCCCTTTCCGATGAGACTTCCGCACTGCGTCGCCGGCACGATCACCCGCATCGTGATGGGCGGTTTGGGAACCGAGTTGGGCAGCAGGAGCATGTCCTCCTCGAACTTGTTGCACACCATGTTGAACGCCTTGCCGATGACGCCGAGCGTGCCGGTGATTGTGACGATGCGTTCGGGGCACGAGCCGTCCGAAATGTTGATTTTCGCGCCCGACTCCTCGCGGATCTTCTTGATCTGATCGCCCTTTTTGCCGATTATGCTGCCGACCTCCTTGCCCTGCATCAAAAGTCGTATCGTCAGCACGAGGTTCGTCGCGTTCGGCGAGTTCTCGCGCGGAGAACTCGACGAGCTCGGGTCGCCGAGGTGCTCGCCGAGCCCGATCGTTGACGACGCCGATGAGCTGCAAAAAATTGTGTACATTTTATCAGTTAAAGGACCAGGGAACCCAAAATTTTTTTGTTTTTTTTGTGAAATGTTTTTGTGACTGTTTGAATTGTCTCTAATTGCCTCATACACTGGTGAAATGCTGCCTCTCAAAAATGCCAAGGAACGAAACGGCGTGCAGTTGAAGTTGTGGCCGTGGCCTAGCGCCAATGGCCTAGAAATATGCGCTTCTCGGCCATTTTATTTTTTCCGCTTTTTTACCGGTTTTTTTCCAAAAATTCACGGTTTCTTCCATTTTTCAGTTGATTGACATTTGTTCGGCACTTACTTATTTTTTCACTGCTAAAAAATTGTTTTCATTCAGTCGATATGAAGTGCCAAAATAGGAGAAACTGTGAATTTTTGGAAAAAAACCGGTAAAAAAGCGGAAAAAATAAAATGGCCGAGAAGCGCATTTATTTTTATATATTTTTCGGCCATTGGCGCTAGGCCACGGCCACAACTTCAACTGCACGCCGTTTCGTCCATTGGCATTTTTGAGATGCAGCATTTCACGAGTGTATGAGTGGCAATAAGAGACAATTCAAGCAGTCACAAAAAAATTTCACAAAAAAATCAAAAAATTTTTGGGTTCCCTGGTCCTTTAACGTCTTTTTGATATCTTCACTCGCCGCTAAGATACATTGCCCCCCTCAATTCAAAGCATTTTATCTCGGCTGTGGTTGAAGATATCAAAAAGTGTTCAACTAACAAAATATGCACACTGGTTTAATGAACATTTTATTAGTTGACAACTTTTTGCGATCTCTACCCACAATTGCGATAAATCGCTTTCACTCACCCGTTCGCATTTCTATTCGACGTGGCCGCCTGGACTGCGTACGATCCGAGATAATCTGCAAGAAAGTTCAACTATCAAGTGTCAAAGTGTGTGTGTAATAATAAGGCTACCTGCTGACGTCGGCTGCTGCTGCGGATAGGAGAGGTAGGTGGCGGCCGACGCTCCGGGAAACATCGCCGGATCCATTGTCTGCAAATGCAGATTCTTGACAAGTTTTAACGAGGAACGACGCAAAAAGCGATGTTGTAACAGGTCTATAAAAACTAAAAACTGGGTATGATGTGGGATGGACGGCTGTTGAACAGGGGGGGGGGGCATAAAAGAGGGAGAGCTCGACGGAGAGATTTGTAATAATTGAGTAGTTGAGCGGCGGCAGAAAACGAGTAGATGATATTGTATGTCATTGGCTCTTATCAGCTCAGATAAGAAACATGGGCGGTGCGGGGCGGTGCCGAGACACTCTCAAACTTTCGACTCGAAAGGACCATCTGCGCGCGAGCACTTTGCAACAATAGAAACTTGGAGCAAGTACATGAATAATTGGGAGGAGGGGAGCTTCTTCTTCTTTCTATTCACCTTCCTTTCATGTATGAATAGGAATAGTCACTAACTACACACACATAGTCATACAATCGAGCGAAGCAAAGGACTATCATAAAATCATAGAAAGTGAGAGCAAATAGAGGGGAGAAGGAGAAGAAGAAGAAGAAGAAGCTGAAATTCGATATGGGAAAAGCGAAAGGAAGAAGGGAAAAAGAGAAAGGTGTGTGTGGGGCACACCTCTACTCATGTTTCTAGGCGGGGACTTGGAAATTTCAGATTTTGTTAGAGGTTGGAAGTATTGTCGCATCACTTGTGAGCCGTTTTCGTTCACATTGAACAGTTTTGAAACAAACGATCGTAAAGACAGCCGTGTGGGCGCAAGTTTTATGGTTTTGGAAATGCGCAAATTGTTGGGCACAAAATTTGCGGCAACTTTTCAGTTGACGACATTTTGAAATAGACAATAGTTTTAGAGATACAGGTCTCGAAAAGGCATTGTCGAGATATGAGCGTATAACTCAAAAACGAAGCGGTTTGGAGTAAAACTGTCAATTACAAACTTGCTGAGCACAAAATTTGCAACATATTTGTCGTTAACAACTTTTACAAATAGTCATTGGTTGCCGAGATATAAGTCTTCAAATATCGGGGTCCCTTAACAAAAATGAAAATGCCGATGGTGTGCAAACTTGCGCAAGCTGCCGAACATCTGGTACCATAGGACAGTTCAAACATAGAAGGCACACAGCTGAGAGAGAGAGAGAGAGAGAGAAGAAGAAGAAGAGCATGTGAAGGTCCGCCAATCTCGATTCATATAGAATTACACGGCGGCAGAAATCCAATACTTTTTGTGTGGAAATGGTGGTGGTGGAGCAGCGGCCTTCGACGACCGTGTCCTACTAAAATCGGTGCTAATGGCTTGTGATTGATGCGGACAAAACGAGAGACGACATGGAGAATTGCACAATTGCCTAAAAAGTTAAGGGAAGGATTCTTTGCGAAGCTTTCGCTCGCAGCCGATAATGCAATTAGGAGGCCCAAGACTATGTGTGGCGGCGAGTGGAGAATTCCATTAGGAAACAAAAAAAGAGAATACGCTCAAGACACATGTACATACAGCTCTCTCTCGCGCGCGTGATGTCTTGTTATCAATGTCTAATCAAGTGCATGACGAGAGAGTGAACGGTTGCGAGAGAGAGAGAGAGAGAGAGAGAGAGAGAGAGCATACCGCGGTACGGACGGTACACAAGAAGAAGAAGAAGAAGCGACGACCCGAAATGTTAACAGAGAGCAACCGCCCGATCGGCCGCCGCTTTCGAGACCGTTAAAGGGGGGGGGGCTGGACGAGACACGATTAAAATAAATAGAGAGAGCTGGATGTACAATAGTTGTAGCAGCTGCATGGGTGGTCGTGGGGGTCGCGGAAGAATTTTTATCTTTTTTTGAAAATTTTTTTATGAAATGTGATCAACTGACGAAATGTCAAGCAAAGTGAACTGTGCTCATAGAAAAATAATTGTAAATTTAGCTTTTCATACAAAAAAGTTAGCTCTTTTTTCACGCAACAACTCGAATAACTTTTTTGTATGAAAAGCTAAATTTACAATTATTTTTCTGTGAGCACAGTTCACTTTGCTGCACATTTCGTCAGTTGATCACATTCCATAAAAAAATTTTCAAAAAAAGATAAAAATTCTTGCGTGGAAGCCTTCAGCAATTCGCGTGTCGAAAACGAGCCAATCGGACAATATCGGAACGATTTCCGAGACTGGCGAAGAGCGAGCGAAGAGAGCACCACAAAATGAATGAATGTGAAGAGGTCCGAAGAGGTGGCTCTCGAGAATATCATCGTGATGCTCGCCCGCGCGGGGGACCATTCAAGTGTGTTGGCGGTTCGACGAGCCTTGATTCCACGATTTCCACTCGCAAACGGTTAAAAATCGTTGATGATGCCGCGCGTTCAATGTCTCGGAAAAACCGGAAAAAACTACAGGTTTTTCTGTAAAAACTCGGCCGAAATTTGCGTTAAAAACGCGGGTGAGCGCGGAAGAACACGGAAGAATTTTTATCTTTTTTAGAAAATTTTTTCATGAAATGTGATCAACTGACGAAATGTATAGCAAAGTGAACGCTGCTCATAGAAAAATAATTGTAAATTTAGCTTTTCATACAAAAAAGTTATTCGAGTTGTTGCGTGAAAAAGGGGGCTAACGGGGAAGACGGAAGGAATAACTTTTTTGTGTGAAAAGCTAAATTTACAATTATTTTTCTATGAGCACAGTTCATTTTGCTCTACATTTCGTCAGTTGATCACATTCTATGAAAAAATTTTCTAAAAAAGATACAAATTCTACGGTATTTTTTGAAAATTTGCGCAAGAAATTTGAATATTTTCAAATATCCTTAAGAAATTAGCAAGAAATTTTCAAAAAATACCGTAGTTTTAGGGGCACGGTTACATATTCGTTCAGCCGTTTTTCACGCAAATTTCGGCCGACTTTCGACAGAAAACCGTGCGGTTTTTCCGGTTTGGGGGTTGAAGCTAAATTATTTTTTAATTTTCGTAAAATTCGTACCGCTAGTGGTGCGCATTCTGGTGGCACAAAAGTGCTCGACTTTTTTGCGCAATCAAGCCACCTGCGTCAATGAAAAATGCCCCCCCCCCCCGAGAACAGGTGTGTGCATGGGAGCGGAACCGTACTGAATTGAGCGTTTCACAAGAGAACGATGATACCGTTAGGCACGGGGCCAAAAAAAGGTAAGGTAAGGTAGGAATGGGGGGAGGGGGGGGAGAAGTAAATAAAGGGACGGAGTTGGAGGTGAGGCGAGCGAAAGCAGGACAGAAAAAGAGAGAGAGAGAGAGAGAGAGAGAGAGTGTCTCTATTTGTCCAAAAAGTGGAAAGACCTTGTGCCTTTAGCTACTCCTTCTCTCTCTCTCTCTCTCTCTCTCTCTCTCTCTCTTTCTCTCTCGATTCTGTGAGCAAACAGTCCCAATCGGAAGAGGCGAAGCGTAGAAAAGAGGCGAAGAGCAGCGGGCGGCGGGTATAGACTTCATTTTTTTAAAGGTTTTCATGCTTCTAGCTTAATTTGGGAGCTTGCAAATATTCGCCTAAAGAGGCTAAAAAGTAAGCTCACTAGATGCGGGAAAAAACGCAGAAACGCAATGTCTAGTCATGCCACGTTGCGAGATGCATGTGCGCTCCACTGATAACACGAACAAGTGAGTGATGCTTCGCGCGAGTATTCGGCCAATCGAAACTACAAAAATTGGGGGCGAAGAGCGAGAAGCGGGCGGAGACACAGACACCGCCCGAGGCTCTTGGAAATTCATATGCGCGCGCCCGCCCGCCCGCCCGCCCGCCGTTTTCAGATTCAAAATATTGAGAATGAGTGTTTGGGCCCCTCGACAATGCTTTTACAGGTTTATCCAGAGTCTGGTTGCCGCGGGCCACGGCCCGAAACTGACCGGCCAAGTTGTGGGGCCCGATCGGAACCCTTCGCTCCAGAGTTGAGCGGAAGAACTCAACGGAACAATTTTTATCTTTTTTAGAAAATTTTTTCATGGAATGTGATCAACTGACGAAATGTCAAGCAAAGTGAACTGTGCTCATAGAAAAATAATTGTAAATTTAGCTTTTCATACAAAAAAGTTATTCCTTCCGTCTTCCCCGTTAGCCCCCTTTTTTCACGGAACAACTCGAATAACTTTTTTGTATGAAAAGCTAAATTTACAATTATTTTTCTATGAGCACAGTTCATTTTGCTCTACATTTCGTCAGTTGATCACATTTCATGAAAAAATTTTCTAAAAAAGATAAAAATTCTTCCGTGTTCTTGCGTTGAGCTCTTCCGCGCTCAACTCTGGTACATACATACATATATGGTCGAGTTTTAGTGGAATAGTGAGTAAAGCCCCCAGTAATGCATGGGCTCTTCTTCCGAATGATGAGCAACGGACGGCCGGGGACGACGAAAATGAAGGAGAAGAAGAAGAAGAAGAAGAAGAAGAGGACCCTCTTTGGCGTACCGTGGGAAACGCGATGGAAGAAAGAAAGGAAAGGGGGGAGGGACGGAAGAAGGAATATTATTGAATTGAATAACCCAACTTTTCACATTTGAATACTTGATTTTCGGCGCCTAAACCTTTGCTTACCAATATTCGAGGCGTCTCCACTGCGAACATTTCGATGGGATGGTGATGAACAAGTTGTAGAGCGGTCCAGGATTCTGAAATATGTGCAATTGAGCAAGTTTGCGTATAACTTGAGAATGAATGATTTTGGAGTAAAAGTGTCAATTACAAAGTTGTTTGGAACCAAATTTGCAACAAGTTTTCAGTTGACAATTTTTTAAGATTATCATTGGTTTTTGAGATATAGGCGTTCAAAGATAGGAGACCTTAAACCAGGTCCTAACAGTCTCTAAAAGGCATTGTCTGAGAAATGAACGTATAACTCAAACGCGACACGTTTTGGAGTAAAAGTGTCAATTACAAAGTTGTTTGGCACAAAATTTGCAACACTTTTTCTCTTGACAGCTTTTTATAATAATCATTGGTTCTTGAGATATAGGCGTTCAAAGATAATCAGTTTCTAACCTATTGGTTCAAAAAGAAGGAAAAAGTTTCTAAGACCGGTAGCAAAAGACTAACATTCTCGGATGAAAATAACTGTAAAACCAAAGGTCCTCGGGGTGGTTGAAAAGAAAAATCGGATCACGACCTCCTCGGCTTTTCTTCAGAATCGTGCGTTCCCTAGACAAACACGGGCCTTATTCAGAGTAATAAATTTGTCTGCAAACACAGAAGAGAGAGAGGAAGAAGAAGAGGAAGAAGAAGAAGAAAAAGACAGATGTTTGGGAGAGTCTCTCAACTTCATTAAGCTCTCAGGGAGGGGGTCCGCACTTCAAAAAGCATTCCACATGTTAATAAAATCTAGTAAAAAGAGGAAGAGGGACCAGACGCGACTGGGCGGATGAAATGTGAAATGAGTGATGAAGTGAGAGAAAGAGTGCTCTCGCAAAGAATCCGTTTGCGTTTTGACGGATTGATGACGGGTGTGCGGTTGGGCCGACGGGGCACAACGATTCCCGCAGAGAGTTTGAGGACATTCCGTTCCACTTGGCACCCTGCGTTGAGCGGAAATGGAATTTTGAAAAAACGCCGGAAGACGGAAGACGGAAGACGGAAGACAATTTTTTTTTACGGAAAACGGAAGACGGAAGACGGAAGACAATTTTTTTGACGGAAAACGGAACACGGAAGACGGAAGACGGAAGACGGAAGGCAATTTTTTTTTACGGAAAACGGAAGACGGAAGACGGAAGACAATTTTTTTTACAGAACACGGAAAACGGAAGACGGAAGACAATTTTTTTACGGAAAACGGAAGACGGAAGACGGAAAACAATTTTTTTTACGGAACACGGAAAACGGAAGACGGAAGACAATTTTTTTACGGAAAACGGAAGACGGAAGACGGAACAAAAAAATTGTCAATTCAGAACCTTTTTCTCCGGTTTTTTTTTGTGAAAAAAATAATTAAAGCAACAAAAATTTTGGATCTGGGTCACTGTGCGTGGAAATTCGCGCTCTTCGGGGCCTGTAAATGGCTTCTGAAAAGCTATTACTCTTTTACGGTAAGAAGAAAAAATTCCGGAAGACGGAAGAAAATTTTTTTTAGGAAAACGGAAGACGGAAGAAAAAATCCACGGAAGACGGAATTCCGCTCAACTCTGCTCGGCACCTGCGTTGAGCGGAAATGGAATTTTGAAATACGGAAGAAAAATTTTTTACGGAAAACGGAAAACGGAAGACGGAAGACAATTTTTCTCCCGGAAGACGGAAGACGGAAGACGGAACAGAAAAATCCACGGAAGACGGAAGACGGAAGACGGAATTCCGCTCAACACTGCTTGGCACCTGCGCGTTTCTGCCGCATTTTGACTCGTTTCGCCTTTGAGCAGACGCGGATGGCGAACAGAGAGGTGTCGAGTGAATCCGAACCGAATTGGAGGCGAAAAAGAACACGAACAAGGGCGGTCCGTTGCTCGTTTGCAAACGGGGTACCACCCCGGTGCTTAAGGGTCGCAAACGAGCCGACTCATCAATCATCGATGGATGGGAAAAGCGAGAGAGAGAGAGAGAGAGAGAAGGAGCCGCCGCCCGGGGCTCATCGTTATCATGAATGGCACCACCGAAAAGAGCGAACACATGTACTTTTTTTGCTCGAGCTCAGAAACAGAGCCAAATGCGTGAGAGCGTCAGAGCGCTTTTGTCTGTAAAGCTACAATATCAGTTTCCGGAAGAGGAAGTCAGCCTGTCGATTGTAAAGCTAAGCTACAATATCAGTTTCAGCGGGCGAACTTTACAGGAACGGAACACGATGTTGCGTCTGAAAACAAGGAGAGAAGAAGAAGAAGAAGATAGGTTGGGAGAGAAAGAGGAAGAATTCTTCTTCGGAAAAGGGAGGACACGCTTCTGCGGATGCCCATCTTTTGTCACCGATTTATGAATATATGAAAAGGGAGGGCGGAGGGAGTGTGAAGTGCGGCAGAGACCCAGAACGCTCCTTTTGTGTGTGTGTATGTCGGGGCGGTGTGAAACCTTTTCCAGCACGTCGTTTTGCTCGCTTCTTCTCTCAAGGAGCTTCTTGAGAAGTAATGATGACAAGATTCGGCGCCGAGCTTGCCCAGATTTACACAAAAGACAACGGAAAGGGTGTTGAGGCGGAAGCGTTAATGCTTTTTTATTACCCGGCACACATTCACACCCACACCCACAAACCCCGTTTCGAACAGCCGAGACGGCGGCGCGCACACAATTTCCGTAATTGGCTCGACTTTTGTTTTGATGAATCGAATCGTGGAGGAGCGGGAAAGACAGATGACGGAACGATTTTGGCAAAAGGACACACACAATTGGGAGGGGGGACAAGCTTTTGCATTCAAATTTATCGACTAATTCGCCGGATCGCCCGTACAATTTCTGCGGCCGTAATAGGTCATGTACATTCCGAAATAGCGATGATGATCGCCAATCATCCAGTCGAGATGGGAATCCGAGCAGAGCGGGCTCTCCTGCGCGTCGCACTCTTTGAAATCCGCCGTCGACATGTCGTTGTTGTACCACACCTCGTTGCGATGATGACGAAACGCGGCCATTCCGTTCAGCGGCACGTGCGGCACAACGTCTTTTTTGTGGATCACACGGTACGAGTAGGGCACCATTGTGTCGTGAATGTCCGCGAACGCTTTGTCGCCGGTACGCGGCTCGCCGAACGTGATCATTTTTAGGTTGGACGCGGTGGCGAGTCGGTTGAAGACGAGGTAGTTGGCGGCGAGAGCGGCCATGGAGCCTCCCAGCGAGTGACCGCCGACCTGAAATGAGGGCCAGTCATCGAGTGTCGCTTGTGTCTAGTCACTCACCCAGATCTCGTAGCCCGGGTACTTGAGGCTGAGCGTGTTGAAATCGTCCTTCATTCCGCTGCTCCAGATGAGGTTGAACGCGCGGGCAAAGTAAAAACCGACGTTGCCGCCTCCGTACCACGCGGTCTGCACATACATTTTTCTGGTTTTGCGCGCACGGTCTCCAGAGCTGACAATATGGGCGTGGCCTCGGCGGCCAAATGGCGTTTTCATGAAATGAGCACGTTTTCTCTGATTTTTGTGGTCAAAAGCGATGAAAAATGACCGTTTTCAGACAGAATTGGTTTTGAGAATGATAAATCACGTAAATACGAGCATTTTGAGCGCTCGAACCGCGAAAACTACCGAAAAGCAATTGAAATTCACGCAGTTTTAGCCAAAAACCTTCAAACGGATAAATGTGATTTGCGACTTGACAGAATTTGACGCTCTTTCGTCGAAAAAATTCGTAATAGCATATATAATCGGTCTATCGAAAGACAAATGAGAAATTATCGGTTTTCGGTGGCTAATCTGGCAAAAAACACAAATTTTGCTGTTAAAATTTGAATTTCGCGCCAATGTATCGCTCTATTGGGCGGGGCGCACTTGCGCCCATTGTCAGCTCTGGAGACCGTGGCGCACTCACTTTATTTCTGTACAAAATCTCGTCCGCCTCCACGAGCAACTGCAACTTTCCCTTTGTTCCTCTGAAATATGTGGTCGTACACGCATTTTTCTGTTTGCCGAATTGGCCTAGGCACCACGGCGCGGCTTTCGCAACATACGCAGCTAAATGGTATGCATTTTTGCGCGTCGGTGTTGCTCTGCGTACAGTGCATTTTATGTTACGCGCAAAGTTCATTTTTTTAGTTGTTGATGAATTTTCTCTAAATATTCATCTCTTTAAAGCGTTTTTCTCTGCTTTCTACCTCAATTAGACTTTTTTACAGTTTGCAGATGAAGTAATACGCGAAAAGAAGTCGATGCGATGACAAGAAACGCGTAAGTAAGTGAAAGTAAGGTTTTATTCAGAAAATATACGATTTCTCGAAAAACGTCTCTAGATCTTATAATCTTTTGATTTAAAAAGTTCGCATACATGACTGTGAATGTCTTCGAATCAAAAAAAAGTAGAGTGACAGCTCGCTTTCGCGTAAAAATTTGTCTTTTGCCGGAAAACAGTGACATTTCGTTGAAAAAAAAATTTCCTCAAAAATCGTCTCTAGATTTTCTAATTTTTTTGTTTAAATAGCTCACTTACATGACTGTAAATGTTTTCGAACCAAAAAAAAGTAGAGTGACAGTTCGTAGAAGCAAAAAAAAAATTTTTTCAACGCAATTTCACTGTTTTCCGGCAAACTATCGGTTTTTCCGCGAAAGCGAGCTGTCACTCTACTTCTTTTTGGTTCGAAAACATTCTCAGAAATGTAAGTAAAGTTTCTTAACCAAAAGATTAGAAAATCTAGTCACGTTTTTCGAGAAAGTATCGGCGAATGACTGAAATTCGCGCATTTTCAGCACAAAACTTAAAATCGATTCAATTAATTTATTTCTGCTATGAAACCTGCTCATTTTTAGCTCAAAAAGTGCGCGATGATTAGCTCAACAAAGTTATGCAATTACATCGTCGAAATCGTACAAAATTTGGGCCATTTTGACGAAAAACATGAAAATGAAGTTAAATTTCGAATTTCGCGCCAAAATGATGACAAAACCGTGCATGCTAGGCCACGCCCCTTTCTACGTTTTTGGTCGCCGTGGCTAGGTACCAAGAGTCGTGTTGATAATAATAATATAGTTGGCAACATTCGTGCCTACGTACTGCTCACCTAAACGCCAACACAATAGCCTTATCGTCGTGCGAGGCGAACGAGAGACCCGAGCACGTGTCGATGCCCTCTGTCTCGTCGCACACCACGTTTATGTGCTTTCGTAGCTGAAATGTTTCAGTGAATCAGTCAGTGCGGAGAACCAACCAAAAAAGCGTACCTCATAGTTGGCGAACACTTGATCGAGACACGCCGACGCGTCTTCGGCTTCTGTCGCCGCGAATATGTGCGGAAAGTATTTGCGAGCAAAAGCGTCCGAGTATTGAGCTGAAAATGCGATGTCACGTCACGGTCTCCAGAGCGGACAATGGGCGCAAGTGCGCTCCGCCCAATAGAGCGATACATTGGCGCGAAATTCAAATTTTAACAGAAAAATTTGTGTTTTTTGCCAGATTAGCCACGAAAAACCGATAATTTCTTATTTGTCTCTCGATAGACCGATTGTATAGGCCATTACGAATTTTTTAAGCGCAAGAGCGTTAAGTCGCAAATCACATTTATCCGTTTCAAGGTTTTTGGCTAAAACTGCGTGAATTTCAGTTGCTTTTTCGGTAATTTTCGCGGTTCGAGCGCTCAAAATGCTTGTATTTACCTGATTTATCATTCTCAAAACCAATTCTGTCTGAAAACGGTCAAGAAAGCGCAAAATGAGAAATGCGGTTTTTAGGCGGCGATCGGCGGCGAAGGCGAAAAAGAAAAGTCCGCGAAAAATGCGCCAAAACGTCGTTAATTCTCGAGAATTAGTGTGTTTTCATGTCGAACAATCATTTTTCATCGCCTTTGAGCACAAAAATCAGAGAAAACGTGCTCAATTCATGAAAACGTCATTTGGCCGCCGAGGCCACGCTCATATTGTCAGCTCTGGAGACCGTGTTCATGCGTGTCGAACCGAAACCTACCGTCTACGTGAGCACTAGTTAGAAAGAGTAGAAGAGCACAGAAACGGCGCATGTTTCGGTTGCAGTCGTCAAACTTTTGACACTCTAAAGTTTTTTTTTTTCTAAACTATATAAAGTGTCGCGCTTATCAGCCCTTATCACCACCGCAAACACACTGAAAAACGCTGACTTTCGGTCTCCTCCCACTTTTCGCGATTTTTCCATGAAATCGAAAAAGAAATAAGACACGGAACTAGTAGACCCGTGATTTATAGTCTAGACTGTATATCGGTGACGCTCCATCGCCAATTAGAGCCACGTACTTTGACGTCGGAAATTGCGCCTAAAACGTGATCGCTCAAAGTTGTTGTCAACAAAAAGTTTGTAGCAAATTTTGTGCTGAACAACTTTGTCATTGACAGTATTGCACCAAAGTGCCCGCATTTTTGAGCTATGAGCTGATTTCTGAACAGTGTTTATTTCAACAGAATGCGTTTTTCAATGATCCTTGTTGAAGAGCGAGTTCTCGTCCAATTGAAGCATGTTGACAGCGTTGTTCCAAAGCAGGTCACGACGATCCGATTCTCCGAACGATTTGTACTCCTCGACGACTTTTCCGACCTTGAAACGTGGATTACGGTAGAGCGCGATGTCCCACTCACCTCAAGTTCGCCTAGAGGGAACGGATAATCCGTGCCGAGCACAATGTGCTCCTTTCCGACAGTTGAAATCAAGAGATCCAGAGCTTTCGGATCATGCACCAACGAGTCGGTCCACAGCAGACCGTCCAACTGTTCGGGTCCAACTTTGCACTCGGTCGCACACAAATCAGGTCGCACGTTGTACCCGTGGGCGACCCGTCCGCGGATGATCGGGTACGATCCGCCGCCGTGTGCGAAACAGAAGCGGAGCCGAGGGAACAGCACAAGAATGTTGCCCATCAGGACGGAACAGATGGCTTGCGCGGTCTCCGAGGGCATTCCGACGAGCCACGGCATCCAGTATTTCGAGAGACGGTCGTCCCACGAGTGCATGTCCCACGGGTGCACAAAGAGCACGACGGAGAGCTCCTCGCACACCTGAAATTCATGTATTGGACCGCCCGGTCACCTTTGCAAAACAGTGCAAGTGCGTGAGAATCTGAGTGCACCGAAAAAAAAATGAAAAATTCAACGGTGGGGGCGATGAAAAAGTAAAGCGTTTATGCGGCTCTCATCGCCGTCAAAAAGGTCGTCGTCGTCGTCGTCGTCGTCGTCATCCGGCCACGAATATTCGATGCGATCGTCCTCTCCGCTCCCGCTTCTTTCATCGTTTTTACTTTTTCTCGCCGCACGTTCTCACCTTGTATAGCGGCCAAAAATCGGCATGATCCAGCGATTTTTCGCCAACGTGGGAGCCAATCTCGAAGGCGCGCATTCCGAGCGCCACACATCGACGTACTTCCTGCAAACGGCGCGGTGTTGGGTGGATATTGTCATGGTACCGTCCATTTTTACTTCAGAGACTATTCCGATACTACTAGCGGCCTGAACGTTTTCCGTTTCCAAATTTTTTGTCGACTCCCATGACATCATCTTTTTTCGCATAACCGCCAAATTGAAAGAGTACACACATGAAATGGAATCTGCTGGCCCGTTCAATTCAATAAATTCAGGATGAGATGAAGGCGAAGCCGGAAAAGGAAATGGAGCCGCCTCCCCCCCCCCCGAGGAGCACAAAACTATTATTATCGGTCTCCACCGAATTACACGGCAATTCATGCTGTTTTGGCTCTCTTTTTCTTCTTCTTCTTCTTCTTCTTCTTTTCCCGAAATTTCCATGGAAACCGTCGAGACTAACTAGCAAACAATTGTGGGAACTCTTTTTTTTTTTTTTTGGACGACAGAGAGGGCGGTGGGATACGAATTATTCATTCGAATTTGTGAGTCACTTTGTGTTGTTTTACACACACACACAAAAGAAGGTAAAAAGAGCTCTATACCTTGAAAACAGTAGAATTCGGCAACGCAAAAATGCTTTTCGACGAGCCGGATTCGAACCCGCGTGATCAGTTTACAATTCCAAAAGGCAACCACTGCGCCGCACGCGCCATCTGAATTTGCCGACTCCTAGGCTAATGACGTTCTCGGTGCCGCACCATCTTTCCCTCTTTTCCTGAATGTTTGATATTTTTTCCCATTTTCGGTTTTCCGCACTTCTAGGCCACGGAAAGCTCGCAAAACTTGAATTTTTGTCCGAAATCCACGTATTATGTGTCCGTTCTCTCAAATTGCCGTCGTTCTTCCAATTTTCCCTTCTAGCTTCCAGGCTCACTTTTCGTGAAATTTTTCAAACTTTGCAGCAGAGGGGCGTGTCACTCCTAGGGCCTCGCCCCTTCTCTCCTCATCACTTTCTCTATTTCTCGAACTTTTGCAGACAGATCCATCCGTTTTCTTGAGAAACGCGAAGAGGCGAGAGACATCAACTCAACTGCCGCTTCTTCTTCTTCTTCCTCCTCGCTCCCCACCAAAAAAGAGAGCGAAGAGAGAGAGAGAGAGAGAGAGAGAAAGAGAGCACTTGGTAAAGAAGAAGAAGAAGAAGAAGAAGCTACTGAGCCGGCCGGGCCGTCCGGACGAGCACAAAGAGACAGAGAAGGAGTCAAACGGCTGTAGCGGCCGCTGTTTCGTAAGAAGAGAAGGAGAAGAAGAAGAAGAAGAAGAAGAAGAAGAAGAAAAGGGGCGGGGCTTGTGTTTCGCCTACTACTTGGCCGCCTTCTTCGTTTTCTCAGCGCTTCGGAAAAAGAGGGGCGGAGGGAAGGACAGAAGAAGAAGAAGAAGAAGAAGAAGACGACGACGACGATCCCCTCGGTCTCGGTAGAAGAAGAAGAAGAAGAGGAAGGAAGGAAGGAAGAGAGAGAGAAAGAGAGTGAGAAGCGGACTGGATGCATCAATGCACTATCTGCAATTCCTTCTCCTCACAGTTCTACTTCTCATGTGTCACGCCAGGTGAGCACTTTTTCGTTTTTTGTGGAATCGCATTGCTTCAAAAGTTTGTCCATCTTTGAACGCCTGTATCCCCCCACAACTATTGTCCATTTCTGAAACGTGTCAACTCGCAAATTGCAGAAAATTTTGTGCTCTACAACTTTGTAGTTGACAGTTTTTCTGCAAATTGCCTAGATTTCAAAATATACGCGCATTTCCGAAGAACAGCCTTGTTCGCGTCAAAAAGTTGTTGCAAATTTTGTACCAAACACACTTTGTAGCGGACATTTTCGCCTAAAAGTCTGTAATACCTTCAGAAAATCGGTCTACCGTCGCAATTCTCCGAGTCTGCGACGGCTCACCCGTAACTACGACTGGGAAGTGGACGAGCACGGCGCGCTCCGACCGATCATCAACCCGGCAAAGGTGGAGAGGGCGACGAAGAGCTGCGCGAACGATTCGTTCATTCTCGGCACCATTATGAGCAACTACAATCGGCACAAGATCCCCGGCGGTCAGGTCGAAGTGGAGGTGGAGGTGTGGGTGCAGGAGATCACGACAATCTCGGACATTACTTCCGATTTTCAGGTGGGGGGCTCTTTTGAGATTTTGCGGTGCTCAAATAGCTTTGTATTCGCCGCTTGCAGCTCGACATTTACATCTACGAGACGTGGCACGATCCGGCGTTGAACTACGCGTTTCTGAATCCGTGCAAGTACAATCTCTCGCTGAATTCGGTGCTTTTGGAGAAGTTGTGGACGCCCAACTCGTGTTTTATCAACTCGAAAACGGCGGACATTCACAAGAGCCCGTTTCCGAACATTTTTTTGATGATCTACGCGAACGGAACAGGTGAGACGAGGGCGGGGTGTCTATGTACGAACACAAACACAATAGTCGTTCCGAGTCGGCGTCGTTGTGTGTGTGTGAGCTGTGCGCAAAAAAACAAGCGAAAAAGACGGGGGGAGAAGAAGTGAAAACATTCGGGCGCGCGCCTAATAACTTTTTTTCCGTTTCTGATATTTTCTTCGCAAATTGACGGTCTCGATGAGCTCTACAATTGCAATTTTCCCGTTCTAGACCCGCTGAATCTGCTATAAACCAGAGTTGAGCGGAAGAACACGGAAGAATTTTTATCTTTTTTAGAAAATTTTTTCATGAAATGTGACCAACTGACGAAATGTATAGCAAAGTGAACTGTGCTCATAGAAAAATAATTGTAAATTTAACTTTTCATACAAAAAAGTTATTCGAGTTGTTCCGTGAGAAAAGGGCTAACGGGGAAGACGGAAGGAATAACTTTTTTGTATGAAAAGCTAAATTTACAAATATTTTTCTATGAGCACAGTTCACTTTGCTATACATTTCGTCAGTTGATCACATTCCATGAAAAAATTTTCTAAAAAAGATAAAAATTCTTCCGTGTTCTTGCGTTGAGCTCTTCCGCGCTCAATTCTGCTATAAACCCTCAGGGACCGTTGCTAGTAGTGCACTTTTTGATGCGTAATCTCTCTTCAATCTTCACCCCCTACTCTTTGAAATTGTCCATGTCCATGTCCATGTATCTAGTTAAGAAATTGTGTGTGAGTGTGTGTGTGTGAGAAGGAAGAAAGAGAGAGAGAGAGAGAGCCTTTCCTTCTTCCTTCCTTCCTTCCTTCTTTGCTTTACACACCACTCTCTAGGGACCTTTCCATGGGGGCATCTAGGCCCACTTTCACTTTTTTCGCTCTTTCTGAGCTCCCGTGAGCTTCCGAGCGCCGTCGGCGAACGGGGCAATATATCAATGGAAACGGGCGGGGCCGAGGAAGAAGAAGAAGAAGAAGAAGAAGGGGATTAGATTGGCGAGGTTTCGAAATGGCGGAAAAACGCGGAATTGGAGCCGCAAAAGAGTTTTTCGGGCCGGTGGGGGGATTCTAGTAAAGTAAAGTACCCTTGAAGCGTAACCTATAGGTACCCAAAAATATCTATTGTCCAAGTAGACGATTTCCTCACATTTCTGTCCAGTAAAGTACCTTTCATAGTGGTTCGATGCGCACCAAACTTCTTGGGCGTCATCTTGCCCCTAGTTTGGTCCCAGAAACCCGGTCGACACGGACCATACATCAAGTTTCGCCTACTACCGTCGTTTCTAGTTGTAACTTTCGCCAATCAAATCATCGCGGCGCCGCCGAGTTCCTGTTTGTGCCCGGCGCGTCCGCACGCGTGACCCGAATTGGCATGCAAATTGGCGTAACTTTGTCGTGCCACTAAACGACGGATCCGGGGCACCGGGAAGACGAAGAAGAAGAAGAAGAAGAAGAAGGGGTCAGAGCCGCCGGACGAAATTTAATCGTCGGGAGCTGGTGTCTTCTTCTTCTTCTTCTTCTTCTTCTTCTCCATCTGCGTCTGCTCGCCGCTCATTGATCTTTTCGTCGTTCGGCTCTCCGCGCGCGCGGGTTAGTTTGTACATGCGGTGGTCTCTTTTCGACTTGTCCATAACAAAGCGTCGAAAAAAGAGCCGGGAAGAGAGTAATTAGCGACGCGACCACCAGTGACGCGACTTTGAACGCGTGTATCTCGAGAACTCTGGATTCGATCAAAAAGTGGTCAACGTGAAAATGGTTGCAAATTTTGTGCTCTACAACTTTACAGTTGACAATCACACTCGAAAACGTATCGTTTTCAAGTTATGCCCCTCTGAACCAGAGTTGAGCGGAAGAACTCAACGGAAGAACACGGAAGAATTTTTATCTTTTTTAGAAAATTTTTTCATCGAATGTGATCAACTGACGAAATGTATAGCAAAGTGAACTCTGCTCATAGAAAAATAATTGTAAATTTAGCTTTTCATACAAAACAGTTATTCCTTCCGTCTTCCCCGTTAGCCCTTTTTTCACGGAACAACTCGAATAAATTTTTTGTATGAAAAGCTAAATTTACAATTATTTTTCTATGAGCAGAGTTCACTTTGCTATACATTTCGTCAGTTGATCACATTTCATGAAAAAAATTTCTAAAAAAGATAAAAATTCTTCCGTGTTCTTCCGTTGAGTTCGAACCCTAGGGACACTTTTTTTTTCTCAGAATCCGAGTCTCTCTGCCTCGCTATCCATTCGAAAATTGCCATTTTCTAATCGGAGCCTTCCGTCGTCTCGCGCGATTCATCCGAATAATTCATTCGCTTATCGTGATTGGGTACGAGTCGGAGACGCCGTCAATGAATGATTGCGTGACGAAAAAATAGGGCGATGCGACTAATTTAAGGGATGGGCCAGGGAATACGAAAAAGTTGGGGGGACCAGCTATTGTCCAAGTTTTCAGTATGGACCAACTACCGTCTCAAGCTACAAGGCCCGTGTATTATGGATTTGACAAAGTTTCCGTTCGACAACGTCACTTGTTCACTCACTTTTGAAAGTTTCAAGTACGTTCGTTTCCTCAACCGGATTCTTTTTGTTCAATAAACACGGCGGCACCGTTTAGCTACAATACGGACGAGGTGAAAATGGATTGGTCGGAGAACGGAGTGCAGAAAATGCGCGACAAGATGGAGTTGGCCGACTACGAACTCGTCGACATACACAAGATTCGGAAGACGGAGGTTTGTTGCGATACTCACCCCCCGCCCGCAATTGTACTCTTTCATTTGCCAGGAATACCCCGCCGGTTACTGGCACGAGCTGACGATGAGCTTCGAGTTTAAACGACGCGCCGGTTGGTACATTCTTCAAGCCTATCTGCCCACGTATTTGACCATTTGTATATGTGAGTGTGTAAAATGATGCCAATTTTTGAGCTCGTTAGCGGGCGAGCGGCTCAGAATAGACGTGAATGTTTTGCCAAATGACGAGGGGTGGTGTTGATGTTGCAGCGTGGATCTCGTTTGCGCTTGGATCGAAAGCGATTCCGGCGAGGACGATGCTGGGAGTGAACAGTTTGTTGGCGATGACTTTTCAGTTTGGCAACATTATCCGAAATCTGCCCAGAGTGTCGTATGTCAAGGTGAGCTCCTGGTGCTAGTTAAAGGATCACACAGTGTCCAGAGCTGACAATGAGCGCAAGTGCGGCGCCCCGCCCAATAGAGCGATACATTGGCGCGAAATTTGTGTTTTTTGCCAGATTAGCCACGAAAAACCGATAATTTCTCATTTGTCTCTCGATAGACCGATTGTATAGGCTATTACGAATTTTTTAAGCGCAAGAGCGTTAAATTTGGTCAAGTCGCAAATCACATTTATTCGTTTGAAGGTTTTTCGCTAAAACTGCATGAATTTCAGTTGCTTTTCGGTAATTTTCGCGGTTCGAGCGCTCAAAATGCTTGTATTTACGTGATTTATCATTCTCAAAACCAATTATGTCTGAAAACGGCCAAGAAAGCGCAAAATGAGAAGTGCGGTTTTTAGGCGGCGAAGGCGAAGAAGCAAAATCCGCGAAAAATGCGCCAAAACATCATTAATTCTGTGAGAATTAGTGTGTTTTCATGTCGAACAATCATTTTTCATCGCCTTTGACCGCAAAAAATCAGAGAAAACCTGCTCAATTCATGAAAACGCCATTTGGCCGCCGAGGCCACGCCCATATTGTCAGCTCTGGAGACCGTGTTTTGATTTTTTTGTGTCTGTTTGAATTGTCTCTCATTGCCACTCATACACTGGTGAAATGCTGACTCTCAAAAATGCCAATGAACGAAACGGCGTGCAATTGAAGTTGTGGCCGTGGCCTAGGAAACTCCGGTGGGAAAACTCTTCCCTTGCTCTTGCATTATGTATGGATGCTGATTTGTGTGAATTTTTTGCAAAATATGAAGATTGTGCCGAACCCAAAAAAAAGATCACAAGGCCTAGAACTTTTCTGGGCCACGGCCACAACTCCGTTCAAAGGTATTTCTGAAAGTTGGGGGCTCGGACAGTGAATGTGGCAATAAGAAGCAATTCAGTCAGACACATAAACTGTGGCCCTTCTCAGGCCATCGACGTGTGGATGCTCTCGTGCATGACGTTCGTCTTCTGCTCCCTCCTCGAGCTCGCCTGGGTCGGCTACCTGTCGCGCGAAGAGGAGATAGTCTCGCGAAGTCCGCCGTGCGCCCAAGTCGCGCCCAAACCGTGCCATCCGCCCGTCCAGCAGTCCGCCAGCAGCGTCCAGCACCGCCGGCAGCAGAAACAGCCGAAGAACGAGGAGGAGAGTGCTCTGTTGAGCCTCCGTGACAATGATTATGGCTACATCCCGCCCGGGTTCGGGTTGAACGGAAACTTGTCGAACGCGATGAAGAGCTTCACTTCTTCGTGTTCGTGCGAGCCGCCGAATGTGGTGAACATGATGTTGGACGAGGCGGAGACCATCCCACCCTCGACCACTTCGTCGCTTTCCCGGTAGGATTGAATACATATTCAGGGGGGAACAAAGTAGAACTCGATTTTTGCAGAAAACAACGTCGCGAGATGCTCGCCCACAAAATCGACTCGGTCTCGGTGTTCATGTTCCCGTTTCTGTTCGTGCTCTTCAACATTGCCTACTGGCAACACTACCTTCGGGTCGATTAATCACCTCAATACGTATACGTGCCAGAGTTGAGCGGAAGAACTACTCAACGCAAGAACACGGAAGAATTTTTATCTTTTTTAGAAAATTTTTTCATGAAATGTGATCAACTGACGAAATGTAGAGCAAAGTGAACGCTGCTCATAGAAAAATAATTGTAAATTTAACGTGACATACAAAAAAGTTATTCGAGTTGTTCCGTGAAAAAGGGGGCTAACGGGGAAGACGGAAGGAATAACTTTTTTGTATGAAAAGCTAAATTTTCAATTATTTTTCTATGCGCAGAGTTCACTTTGCTATACAATTCATGAAAAAATTTTCTAAAAAAGATAAAAATTCTTCCGCACTCAACTCTGATACGTTCCTCTTTCGGTCCCCGATAGACAGCAATAACTTTTTTCCCACCGAAAATTCGTACGGGTGCCGCCTCCCTTTACTATTATTATTTTGTAACTTATTTGTTCTTTTCGACCAATTCTCTTGCTCATTTTGCTCATTTTTACACTTCTAGTCAACGAACGAAAAATTAACAAAAATGTCAATATAAATGAACTTACTTCAACCGCCCGTCGCACATCGTTCATTGGCAGAGTGCCAAGCGGAATCAGGCGATCCGCATGCTTTTGGCATTCTGCCAACAAATCGTCGTTCACAAAACGAGCCACAATCTCCGTGTCTTGCGGTTTGGCCTGTAAAAAATTCCAAAAAAGAAATAGTCTCAGCATTTCGTTTATGCATCATTCACAAGTCGGTCCCGTCTTGAAAAAACATCATTGACTTGCGCGCGCGACGGCCGGCAGTGTTGCCGGTTGCGCCACGCGGCAACAGTCGAATGCGCGAGGAGAGGGCATATAGGAGAGCGCGGGCAATCGGGTTGGCCGCGGTGGCGGCCACGATTTGGAAAAGGAATAAAGCAAACATTTCAGCCAATTCCCGACCAATTTTTGTTTGGAATTTGCCACCAAAACTTACCCAGTAGCTGAACATTACCGGAACCGTACTCAAACACTGAACATTCACGTTCGCCCGGTCCATATCGGCGATTCGGGTCTCCGTATCGAAACAGTTCGGCTCGACGACTCGGAACACTTTTCCGTCTTTCATCATTTGCGTCGTTCCGTCCTCCTTGTGATCCAGACGTACGAATCCACCGTATCCGAACTTCTGAAACCAAATTTTTGCCGACGTTTTTTTGAAATTTTCGCAATTTTTCACCTCTTGAAAATCGGGAATGTTCTTCGGGAGCACATGAGCATGAACATCGATTTTACGCGTACGCGACGCTGAAATTAATGGTTAGAATTGTCAAATTTAGTGTAAAACCGACTTGGCGTGAATTCGCAAATGGTCATTGTCTCGATGGCTGAAGAATCGCCGAATGACTCGTCTTCTACCCGATCGCCTATCTCTTAATCAATACTTTTATCGCTTGCCCCCTCTTTTCTCGTATATATTCTGTTTTCCGATCCGATTTGATGCGTATTCTATCGCAATACTAGTACGTTTCTTACAAAACGAGAAATGCGCAAAATCAAGCGAGAATTAACGGGAAACAGCCAGAAATAATTTTTTTTCGTTTTTTTACATCGCTGAATTGGATTTTTTGACGTAAAAAAACGAAAAAAACGGAAAACAATCATTTTTTCACAGCCTGAATAACCCCATAACAAATAATGAAAGAAATACACGATTACCCTTTTAGAAGCCCTATAAAATTTATTCATCGAGCAGAAAAGGGTTAGAAATACTCCGATTGGGAATGAAAATAAATGAAAAGAAGAAGAGTTTAGTTTTTGCAGATCAAATAAATTAATTTCAAAATGAAAAAAATTATCACGAAATATGAAAAGAAATTATCACGGCAGACTCCTTAAAACTTGAGATCTTACGGAATTTACGAATTTTACGTCTTCTTGAAAGCGTAAATTTGTGTTTTTCCGGATTCGCAAAAATCAAATTTCCCGCCCCGCCCTAACGAAACATGACCGTCTCGTACGGCCTTGAGAGAGCCCTGAAAAAGGCTCGGAGGGTTGTCGTGAAGAGGATAATCTTATCTGGTATGGTCTGAGAGAGCCCTGACAAGTGGTGCGACTCCATCAAAGGTGGAAAAGTATGACATTCGAGATTTGAAAAAAAAAGTGGACGGATGAGCCATTATGCAATTGGGACCTGGAGCCTGCTCCTCTGTCCACTATCATGCACTATCATGCATCATGCATTGTTTTCCACTATCATGCACTATCATGCATCCACTATCATGCACTATCATGCATCCACTATCATGCTATCCTGCACTATCATGCATTGTTTTCCACTATCATGCACTATCATGCATCCACTATCATGCACTATCATGCATCCACTATCATGCACTATCATGCATCCACTATCATGCTATCATGCACTATCATGCATCATGCATTGTTTTCCACTATCATGCACTATCATGCATCCACTATCATGCACTATCATGCATTCACTATCATGCTATCATGCACTATCATGCATCATGCATTGTTTTCCACTATCATGCACTATCATGCACTATCATGCATCATACATTTGTGTTTTGGTTATGTTCGGACTATTTCGTTTTTGCGACCGGGGTTCGAATACGGATCGAAGTGTGATCCCCGGATTTCAGACCATGCGATTCAGTGTGTTGGATTTTCTTTGGCGTTTCGTCCAGAAAATAATTGAGACGCTCATTAAAAAGCGTTTCATGTTTGCCGACACCGATGACCATCATCGTTGGACGACACGTGCCTGAAAATGAGTGAGAGCAGAAGAGAAAGCTCGAAAAAAAAACGGGAGGGCAAGGGAACTGCATGTTTTAATGAGACCGTTTGTGAACGTCTGATGGAAGCAGTAATTTCGTTAAATATAATTCTTTCCATTTTTAAATTAATTTATTTGATCTGCAAAAACTAAATTCTTTTTCTTTTCATTTATTTTATTTTCATTCCCAATCGTAGTATTTCTAACCCTTTTCTGCACTTTTTGAGCGAAACGCCTCAAAATTCAGTGTGAAGAATAACGGGGGCTAAACAGTGCGCGCAACGACACTCCGCCCGTAGGCTCGACATCGCCATTGCGTCGCCGATGCAAATTATTAATTTCTTGCATTTCCATCGATTTTCGCTCATCTCTGCTGGTTTTCTGTGTTGGATTTCTTGTAATTGTTTGATTTTCAGACAAATGGAGGACGAACTCGCCACGTACAAACTTCAATTGCAGCAGGTCGAGGCCGCACTGCTCGGCGACCCGAACAATCCGGAATTGCACAAATTGAAAGAAGATTTGGGCGAAATTATTGCTCTGCAGGTAGATTTTCGTTGAGATTCGCCAATTATTCACAAAAATCGATATTTCAGGAGGAGCTGACCGAGAAAGAAAAGGCGGAATCGGCGGAAAAGTCGGTCGTTACGCCGCAAGTGATTCACAAGTGGACAGTGAGTGAAAATCAATATTTTTCTGATATTGTTCAACAAAAAACCAATTGTTCAGGTTGGAGAACGTGTAATCGCCCCGCATCCGGACGGTAAAAAGGTTTTTGCCAGAATCGACTCGTTGACGCCTGCCGGTGTTGCCATTACCTTCACTTGTGCGTTTTTTTTTCGTCAAAATGACATTTGCTCCTAAAATTGAGGAAGAGTTGAACTTCTCTCGAAAAAAACGTGGAAACATCGCATTATTGTGTAAAATACCCTAAAAATGTGCTGCTAGGCATGTTTTCAATTTTCCGCAAACAGCTTCTAGAAACACTCAAAATTGAGCGAAAATGCATTGTTGTTCATAGCAAAACCTTAAATTTCAGCAACGGGAACAAAAACGATCGTGGATCCGTCAGATCTGCAACTTCCGCCGGAGAATCAGCGTAAAAACTACGCGTTCGACAACCAGAAATCGGCGGCGGGTCCGTCGAATCAGCACGGAAAAAAGGAGTGGCAGGCGGAGAAGGAGCGACGACGACAGAAGGCACTCAAGAAGCAGATGAAGCAGAAGGAGCTGGATGCGATCAAGGACGGCGAAAAGAAGAGCTGGCAGAAGTTCAACACGAAGGCGAGCGCGAAGGGACTGAAGGGAATGAAGAAGGTCTCGGCGACAGGATCGAGTCAGGACGGATCGGCGGCCGGCGACAAGCGTGGCACCGTCGTCAGCTCGCGGACAAGCCAGTTCTCGTTCAAAGCCACGCGCGGAGCCATGGACTCGCTCTTCTGATTTTTCTTTTTGTTTCAAATCAATATCTCTGGTCTCACCGTGCTCACGGCACATCATCACATGTTCTTCTTCCTGACACTCGTTTCAAATTTTTATAATAATAAAACAGACACAGACTCGCAAACGGATTCTTCGTCAATTACTGCCATTCTCCGCGACGTCAATTATCCACACACACACACTTTCTGGAAGCGCCTTCGTCTTCACGAAAAACGATGGGAACGAAATTGGCGGCGGCGGCTAACGGCTTGGCCATTCTCCAATTACTGTTCCCCGTCTCACAGGAAGATGATTCCTAACGAGGAGATCACTAATTCCCAGAAGTAGGCAGTTTTTGCTGGACAAGATCTTGTTATCAATCATGACCCCCCTCCCCTCCCCTTCAAGTCATTCGTTTACCTTCTCGATCCGGAGAGAAAAAGAGAAGAAAGATAGCGAAAGTATTTGGGTGATTCGGCGCGCGCGCTCGGAAAAGCGAAACTGCTAACCGGCCTTCGTGATAAAGCCGAGGGGGCGGAGCCTGGGAAAGGGGAAAAGGACACCCCGGGAGGGCTTCATTTCTTTAAAGTGTTAAAAGTCCCGGCCATTTTATGTTTAAGAATTTATAGGCGATAACTGAGCTTTCCCCTGAGGTACTATGGCCCATAGCTTTGTCCGCAAAGTACCAATGTCTGTGAGAGTGCTGATTTTTTCATTTCCTCGGGTGCTGTGCATATCACTCCCAACTTGTACGGAATTGTTGATTTTGAAAGAAAGTTGGGCAAAGACCCAGTGATTTTAAAAAAGCAATGAAATTTTTGTGAGTGACCCTTTTTTTAAATGTCCAAGTTGGACGAAAAATGTGCCAACCATCTATAAAAGCGCCACTCGCACAAAAAAATTAAATTTAAAATTTATCAACATTGCTTATGGCCTTCAAGTTTTGAATACCACTTTTGTTCATTTGAAAGTCAAACAGTGGTCCTTTGCGGTCAACATTCCCTTTTCTCTTTCCTTCTTCAAATTTTTGCGGTGGCGCCCTGCTAAAGACGCGAAGATGGATAGGCCGGATAGTGGATACCGTGTACCGCTTTCGCTCCCTTCTTCTTCTCCTTCTTCTTCTCTATGGATGCCCTAAATTAGTTAGCCTTCTTTCCTTTTCACTGTCACATTGTTTTATGGGCGGCGGCGGCGGCGGCGGCGATCTGTTAAAATCCTCGGGCATTTCTTATGGACTTTTTAATGAGGAATTTTCGATTTTCGATCAATTCAATGATACTCGCGCAAATTGTTTCCGTCTTTTCGAAGCGCTTATAGTCTACGAGGACCCAAATTATGCGCAAAATGCTCCCCAGAGCGGCACGCGGGCACAGGTGAAATGCGGTTTTGCAATTATACAATTGCGCTAATTCTAGACAAATTATCGGCAAATCTCAGCAAAAATCGCCAAATATTTGTTCGAAATTTGTCTAGAATTGGCGCAATTGTAGAATTGCTAAACCGCATTTCACCTGTGCATTGCGCCCCGCGCGCCGCTCTGGGGAGCAGCTCCCAAGGCGTTCACATTTGATTTTGCGCATAATTTGGGTCCTCGTTGACTATAAGCGCTTCGAAAAGACGGAAACAATTTGCGAGTATCATTGAATTGGTCGAAAATCGAAAATTCCTCATTAAAAAGTCCATAAGAAATGTCCGAGGATTTTAACAGATCGCCGCCGCCGCCGCCTAAAAAATTCACAAAATGGATGGGTTTTGGTTCGATTCCCACTCGTGTGGAAACGTTTTTTTTTACACAATTACGCAACACTTGCCCCTCCTCAAAAGGGTTAGAATCTGGATGTGGATCATGTCTGACCCGCTCGTTGTCCATTAACCTCCCCGCATTTCATGTCTTCGTGTTGCCTTCACCTCACTTTCTCCTCTTTACTTTCCGCAAAACCAATTAGTTAAAAAGAAATCGACACCCGCAGAAGAAGTCACCAGCCGCTAACCACATTGTTTTCGAGACGCTTTCAAACTGTTTTGCGGTGAAAGAGTAAACACTAAATAAACGCTTTCTTTCCAGAAATGGGTAGAGTTGGCCTTTTCATCCTTCTGTTCGCCACTCTTTTGCAGTTTGCACACTGTGCTGGTGAGTTTTTGTGGCGTAGAAATCGAGAATCTAGAATAAAGAATCGTATTATAGACCCGAAACCACAATGCAAATTCACGGCCACCAATGGATTCTACGCCCACGTGCCGTCGGATTTGTCGATCGGAGAAGTCGTGTTCAATGGATCCGTGAGCCCGCCGGACGCCGAAATGACTATCGCCAATGTTCGGTCCGACGCGTTCAAAGATGTGAGTTTAGAAGGTTTTTGCACGAAAATGGGGGTCTGGAACGGAAAAAGTCCATTTTTGACGACGTACATCTCGAGAACCGAACAGTTTTTCGAATAGTGATGGGGCTATTCAGCGTATGTTTGTTTTCCGTTTTTTTACATCGCTGAATTGGATTTTTTGACGTAAAAAAACGAAAAAAAACGGAAAACAATCATTTTTTCACAGCCTGAATAACCCCCTGATTAACTGGAAAGTTGTTGCAAATTCCGTGCTCTACCACATTGTTTTTGACAGTTTTTTTAATCAAATTGCCTCGTTCTCAAAATATACGCACTGCTTTTTTTCGAAAACATTTAAACGGCAAAGTTGTTGAAAATTTCACGCTCAACAACTTTGTAGTTGACAATTTTGCTCCAAAATTCTCAGTTTTCGAAATATACATCGCTCAATGCTAGCTCTTTGCCAAAATCAACAAAGAACCTGAAAATGCTCAAAAAAATGTGCTCAAGTGGCAGAACAAGAAGAAAATCGGCGAGAAACTACAGAAAATGCAGCAAACAACGAGAAAAATAGACCGAAAATCATTCGAGTTTCGAATTTCGCGCGACGGTAGGTCAAAACTAGCGATGGGTCTCGCAACGAACGGACAACTTTTGACCTACGCGCGCGAACCCCCAAAAATTTGGCATTTATGACCATGTTTCTCTGATGCGAGCACAATATTGCACTGTCTGCGAGGAAAGCAGTATGTTTTCTCGCGTTTTCTCGCGTTTTCCTATAATGCCGCGTCCAAAGTCTCGGAAAAACCGGAAAAACCGCAGGTTTTTCTGTCCAAAGTCGGCCGAAATTTGCGTGAAAAACGGGGGTGCGCACAGCTGAACGAATATGTAACCGTTCCCCCCAAAACTACGGTATTTTTTGAAAATTTGCGCAAGAAATTTGAATATTTTCAAATATTCTCAAGAAATTAACAAGAAATTTGCCGACTTTGGACAGAAAAACCTGCGGTTTTTCCGGTTTTTCCGAGACTGGACGCGGCAAAAACGATCACTTCTACTTTTTCAGACCGACTGGTCGGACCGCGTGGTGATCGACAGATCCGAGGTGTCTGCGGGCGCGTACCTGGTCCGTCTCGCCGCCTCTCTCTCGCTGCCCGTCTATCCATCGACGCTCCAATCGGCGAACCTCTTCGTGACGGTCGTCTGCAACGGGTACGCGTATCCGCTGTTCACAGTGCACATCGACCCGACGAACCGGTTCGCTCCACAATTCTACCACGAACCGTACGTCGTCGCCGTCCAGAAGGACCTTCCGGCGGGCAGTGTCATCGAAACGCCGGTCGCTGCGATCGACTGGGATCCGGCGGAGAAGTACAACATTAGGGTTTGGCTCGAGGATGCGCACAAGGGATTGGAGCTGGTGGAGGAGCGGAGGAGCTCGAGCGGGCTCATATCGGGCAGTGACGGATGGACCGAGGACCAGTTGCCGGGACTCGTCAGGCTTAGAGTTACCGGTCCCTATCAATTGCCCATGAGTTTGAGGCTTATTGTTTCGGTAAGTATCACTCGAGATTGTCAAATTTTATTAAAATATTGCAGGACAATGCAAAACCACCGCGAAAATCGACGACTTTCATTAATTTGGTGGAAAAATTGGCGGCAGGATCGGTGATCAGAACTGTAGGTACGGTACCTCCAACCACGAGCATGCCAACAACCACAAGGACCACCAGCACGGTCCCAACAAGTTCCACGACAACAACAACAACTACACCACCACCAACCACCACCACCACAACTATTCCGAGCACTTCCACCAGTAGCACCACACCGGAGAATCTTCCGGAAATCGTTTTGGATTCGGATGTGACCAGAACTGATTCTCCTTCAGACTTTACCTCTTCGACTTTCATCCCAACCACTGGCACTGAGACCAAGTTGACCGTCGACCAGGACCTAGTTGAAAAGCTGAAAAAGACGTTGGAGATGATTCCGCAGAAGAAGGGCAAAGAAGAAGAAGAAGAAGAAGAACTGGACGCCATCGCTTTTGCGGCGAAGAATCGGGAGATGAACGCGATAGAACCGGACGAATCCGGCGAGATTGAAAAGTTATCCGACGCGCACCCGTCCGAGGATCAGGAGCCGACGCCGACGCGATTCGCGCAATGCTCCCTGCGGACTTCGATTGTGGAGAACTCGCCGCGAGGCACCAACGTCGCCAGATTAGAGATTCTCAATAAGACGAACACGACAACAGTGCGTCTGATAGACCCGGACGGTACCTTTGCGATCGACAACGAAACCGATGAGATTGTGGTGAACGATGCGAGACTCGTCGACCGGGAACTCTTCAGCACACTGGAACTGGTAGCTGAGATTGAGGTTTGTCCATCTCGACAATTATTGCTGCTTTCGAAGAGTTGTCAACTGCTAAGTTGTTGCAAATTTTGTGCTCCACAACTTTGTAGTTGACAGTTTTGTGACAAACGTCTCTATTCTCGAGTTATGTACGCTCTAACCACAACCATTTTCCAGAACGCCGACCCGTCGGTTCAATGCTCGCGAATGCGAATCTACGTGGATTTGGACGATGCGAACGACAATCGTCCAGTGTTCGAGAACGAGAATTACTTTTTTCCAATCTCGGAAAACTTTCCGCCGGGCCAAGAGATTGGAAAACTCGTCGCGCAGGACATTGATCAGGGCGCCAACGGACAGATCACCTATCATCTCATGACGGCCGACGTTCCGTTCCAGGTTGGCACGCAGGGAAAGAAGGCGGTCCTGATGAGCACCGGAAAAATGGACCCCTCGGTTTACTCGTACAATTTGAGCGTAGAAGCCAGGGACCATGGCGAGATCGCAAAGTCCGCACGAGTTCCCGTCGAGATTTTTGTGCTCTCGTCGAAGATTGGAAAGAAAGATTCGAAAGAGGAGGTGAAGAAAGTGGGCGGAGTCAAGACGAATGTCGTGGCGACGACTGAAGCGGTTCCGGACGGATCGGAAGAAGATGTCGAGGTGGTGACCGTCATCGAGGAAGTTATTGAGGAAGTTGAGGAGGAGGAGACTTCAGAAGCTCCACAGACGACGACTTCTGGAGCACTGGAGGAAACTTTTGAACCTTCTGAAGGTCAAGAAGAAGAAGAAGAAGAAGAACCAGAAGCCAAAGTAGAAGAGGAGGAAGTGGAAGTGGAAGAAGAAGAAGAAGAGCCAACTGTGGAGGCTACCACAACTGAAGCATCCGTTTCTGATTCCGAAACCGACAATACCCTTCCGAAAGAAGTCGAACCGCCCGCAATCGCCAAAACGTTTTCATTCGGACAACCCGAGTACAAGTACGATGCGTTCGGAATGGAAATTAAGGAGAACGACGTGTTGGGACGAGTGGAAGCGCAGCCGAACGTCGAGTTTTACGCGGTCGATAGAGAGGTGCTGTAACTCGGCAACCTGTGGCTATTTCTGTAAAATGTTGACTGAAAAGTTGTAGTAAATGTTGTGCTGAACAACTTTCTAGTTGATCGTTTTGAACGAAATTGCTTAGTTTTTGAGTTTCGAGTGATTTCGTGAGAAGATTTTATTTGAGCGGTTAATAGTAATAAGGTGACACTTTGAGTCCTCAAATCAGGCCGTCAAATTAGTTTTAACAAAACGTTGTCAATTGCAAAGTTGTAGCAAATTTTCTGCTCTACAACTTTGCAATTAACAATTTTCTCCCACCATTTGTCCTTTTCGAGTTATGCCCTATTTTCCAAACACTTTTTTCCAGGTAGCCGGCACGATCAAAATCAACGAGATGGGTGAAATTCTGGCGGGCCGGAACCTGAATCGTCAGTCAGACGGTCCCATCAAATTCGGAATCTCGGCCACGAATGGCTTTGAAACGGTAGGCGCTCCCAAATGAATCGGAAAAGGCAAGAAAGAGACAATGCGTGGGCGGTGGAGGGGAGGTCCGAAAAGGAGGACCAGCCGGCTTTCGGTCCCTTGACGGGCGGCTAATTGGCTCACCTGTTGTGAGCGAGAGAAACGGACAATAACAGGGCGGGCAACGAAGATAAATTGGTCTCTTTCGGTCGGTGTGCACTTCTTTTGCCGCATCCGCTTGCCGCTACTTTTTGATGTTCAACCGACTGGGATCAAATGTTGTTGGTCCCTCTTGGATATTCTGCGCTTCCAGCCATAATGTATACGCCCTGGAGACGCCGACCAAAAATAACGGGTGTGACGCAGTGGTAACGCTGCAGAACTTTAGTCTCATTGGCCTTTTGGTTCGATCCCCACCGGGTCCAAACTTCTTCTCTCTTTTGAACTCTGTCTATTCGGTCGACTATAGAATGCGATTCTCCTCATCCGCTGCACCTGTTCCCAATTCCTTATTCATCCGTAAACAGTCGTGGTATGGTTTCCGCCCACAAAAATCGTCTAATCCGCTGCTAATTACATGTTTCCCTTCCCCCTTGCTTCACAATTGTCGTTTTCTTTTTCTTTTTCCCCTTCCTTTCTCTTCAATCCGCGTAAATGTGCTCGGAACTTGCGAGCATTTCCTTTTCCGAAAGGTATTAAACGCCGCCGAAGGCAAAATAGAATTTGTTAAGATTACTCTTTCCACTTTACATTTCTCGGATAAATCCCAAAGTTGTACACAATTTCTCCGAGTCCTACTTGATCGATTTACACCTGAAAGCCGACAAAACTCGTGTTTGCGCATAGCAACGCCATGCGAGCGAGTTTGTGTGGCCTAGTGGCTAGCGCTTTTGCCTATAGTAATCCATTGCATCCTCCGGTTCGAATCCCCCATCGTCTTTTTTGATCTTTGTCTCTTTGTAACACCTAAAAATGGCATAGAACACGTCCCCCCCCAGGTCCCCAATGGATACTTGTCAAAAGTGCGCGAAAACCTGGTGTGCATATGTAATAATGTCCATATTCATGTACGTATTGCGTGTGTGTGTGTGTGACAAGCGTCCTCCAAAAGCACTAAGTGGGGGTCCATCCATATATTATTATGTACGACTAGGTTTTCAATGAAAAACGAGGTATTATTACGCGATGGCCCCACTCATTATCCGGTTCGCTCGTGTTTTTGTTACACAATCCCCCCCCCCCCTTTGTACATATGAGAAAACACAACAACAAAAAATAACTCGGTTTTGTGCCATGGCAACTGGTTTTGTCGTCCTGCGTCCTCTTAGAAATCCTCTCCCTTTGCTCCTTTTTTTTTTTTGGGCTTCCTCCTTCTAAATCGGAGCAGGTGCAAAGCACACATAATTGCCAACATTTACCTTCTGCCACTCGCCACTCGATTTCTCTCGATGCACCACCATACCACCGAATACGCGTCTCACTTCAGAATTCAATGAAAAGGCGCTGACTGACGCACTTATGCGATCGACACTAAATGACCGTTTATGTACTGTTATTATTGTTTCACTTGTTGTTCGCCGAATACACTGTAAGTTTGGGGCGGAAAATTTAGTTCGAGCGTTTGAGCATTCAAAACCAGAAAATGTCTCAACTATTATAGGGGCACCGGATAGAAAGGGCGCTCTGTTCGCAATCTGGCCGAATTTCTAGGCCGCGAAGTAATTTTCCACTGAAAACGTGGCCTAACTTTTCAAACTCGGCCCCGAGGTCGCTCAATTTGCACTACAAAAAGAGTTTCTCAACAGAGCGCCATTTCTGTGCGGTGCCTCTATAATAATTGTGTAACATTTGTACCATTTTCAGACGCGCGCCGAAGTGACAGTTTTGCGTGACGCCAATCGAGATGTCATGTCGGCGATGCCACGTTTCGATCGTGACACGTACCGATTTGAGATCAAGGAAAATCAGCAGCCGGAAGTTATCGGAATCGTCAGGGTTGGTTGCCTTTGAGAGCGTGCGTCTCGAGAATTATTGTCGGTTTCTGAATGTTGTCAACAGTAAAGTTACTACAAATTTTATGCTCTACAACTTTGTAGTTGAAGATTTCCCTTCAAACTGTTCAGTTTTCGAGTTATAGGCGTTCCACTCGGCGCTCTCCTCCTCGGAGACGCTTCATCTCACGTATTCGTTGATTGCTCCCGCACAAATCGACGAACTGCCCATTGAGATCCACGAACAGTCGGGCGAAGTGAGCACTTCTCGGCCACTCGACACGGAGCAACAGCGATTCTATCGATTCCAGGTATCGTCCTGGACAAAAACCCAGAAGAAACGAGGCGTATTGTAGGTGCGCGCGTGTCTGACACAAACAATCTGCTCGTCGAGTGACGTCATCGTCGAAGTCGTCGACGTCAACGACAATCCGCCGGTGCTGGCGAGCCGGAGACTCGAGGCGACGGTGGAGAGCGACGTGCCGCCGGGCACCAAGATTGTGAAGTTGTTCGCGAACGACGCCGACTCTTCCGGCAACAATAGCCGGATTACGTTTGCGATTACCAACGAGAATGGTTGGTGCTTGAACACTTCCGAAATACCTAATCCAAACGTTTTCAGGCGTCTTCTCAATCGACGCGATCACTGGCCAAGTCACGACCTCCCAAACGCTGACTCAACCCCTCTACACCCTTCTCATCGAAGCGTCCGACAACGGAGTGCCACGTAGAAGCGACACGGCCGAAGTGACGGTCACCGTGCGAGGGACCAACCCCTCCCCGCCCGCATTCGACCAAGAGGACTATAGGATAGTGATTGCGGCGCCGGTAAGAGCGGGACAAGTGATCGGAACGGTGCGAGCGACGGATCCGGATCCGGGGATGGAGGGAATGGTGACGTACAAACTGATGAGGGCCGACAACGAGGACCATCGCAAGTTTTCGATCAACTCGAAGACCGGGGTGATATCGGCGATGGAGCAGCTGGCGATCGAGGACGGTCCCATCGAGTTGACGGTCGAGGCGTCGGACAATGGAAAGAACTCGCGGAGGAAGGTGAAGACGGCGGTGAAGATTGATATTGTGGATTCGAAGACGCTCAAGTTCCTTCCGCTCCCCACCACTGTCTACATTTCGACGGAGAAAGCGGTCGGAAGTGTGGTGCTTCGAGTCTCGGCGATTTCCACCGAAGACGAGAACATCAAGTTCCGCGTGCTGCAGGACAACTCGCAGTTTGTGATGGACGGCGACTTGTTGAGAGTCTCGAACCACCTCGTCGAGGGCGAATCGATATTGTCGATTCGTGCGGAGACGGACACGGTCCACATTGACCATCAACTCAAAGTGGTGGTCATGTCGGACCGCGACAAGTATCCCGTGTTTCCCCAGTTGACGTACGACTTTGACGTGAGCACGGACGGTCACTTCCCGCGAGTCGTCCATCAATTCAACGCGAAACTCGGCAACGGAACCCTCCGGTACACATTCTTCCCGCCCACGCCGCCGCAAGGATTCTATCTGGATGAAAAGTCGGGAGAGCTCTTCGTCACTTCACAGTTTCCGGCCAAGAACAAGGACACTGCGTTCGTCGTGGTCCGTGCCATCAACCAGCAGGACCAGAAGTTCTACTCGGATGTTGGGGTACTTGGGCACATATCAACACTGTTAATGTATAAACTTTTGATTTTATTAGGTCGCCATCACGCCAGTCTCTGCGATCAATCCGACGTTGCGCTTCCAACAATCGGCCTATAATTTTGAGGTCTACGAGAGTTTGCCGCAAGGCGACGCGATCGGGACCATTTCTGTGGTAAGTGCCTCAAAGTTCTAGGTTCATTTTCTGATTTACCGCTCCAAAACGAAGAAAGTCTCTTATGCAGGGGGCTGGGCAATTGGTCGGCACGGGCTTTCCTGGACTTTTCAACCACTTGCAATATTCCGATCGAACCCAAACTTTGCAGGCTTCTTGGACATGGTTTGAAGCATATTGGGACCAAGTTTCAGCCCGATCGGATTATTTGGTCCCGAGAAATGTGGATCATTGACCGAAATTGGTCGGAAGCCCTGGCTTTTCCACATATCTCGGGGCCCGACGATCGGATCGGGCTGAAACTTGGACCCAATGGCCCTCAATCCAAGTCCAACAATCCTGCAAAGTTTGGGTCTGATCGGAATATTGCAAGTGGTTCAAAAGTCCAAGCCCGAGCCGGCCAATTGCCCAGCCCTGGTCTTATGAAAAACATGTTTAATTTTAGACGGGCGGCGCCTCGAACAACATCAAATTCTCCCTCTCGCCGGACAATTCGTTCCTCGGAATCCACAAAAACGGCACCGTGTACCTGGCCGAGAAAGTGGATGCGGAGGAGATGGAGGACGAGCTCGTGCGCGAGTTCACAGTCGTCGCATCCAACGGCACCGAGACGGCGAAGGCGCGCATCCAGGTGGCCGTTCGCGATGTGAACGAGTTTCAGCCCGAGTTTGACGAGTCGGACATTGAGATGTCTGTGGATACGGACGCGGCGCCGGGCACTCGCATCGGACGGGTCCAGGCGCACGATAAGGACGTGTCGGAGAAGAACCGGCTCATCTACCGGGTCGTCGGAGGTTCCGGAAGGAAGCTGGTGTTCATTCAGGAGGACGGAACGATTATTGTCGGAGATGAGAAGATTGACCCGAGTTTGGACAGTTTTGATCTGATCATTGAGGCCGTGGATCGGAATGGAAATCATGTTAGTATCAGAGCCGCTGGTGTAGATATTGAAAAGTGGTCAACTGAAAACATGTGCAGAATGTTTCGATGAGCATTTTATCAGTTGACAACTTTTTCGTATCTCTATTGCCTGTTGAGATATATTAGTTCAAAGTCTTTAATTTCAGGACTCGACGCACGTGAACGTCTTCGTAGAGGGATCCGAAGAAGATCCAGAAGAACCGCCTTCGTTTCTCGGAGAGCCTCTTGTCTGGAACGTTACAGAGGGCACGACGCAGAGCTTCGAGCTTCGAGCCACCGGCTCCACAACTGGATCCTCTTCGATTCGCTTCAAAATCGTCGGCGGCGACGCCGATGGCCATTTCGATATTGTCCATTTGCCGGAAGAGAACACGGCACGTCTTCGGATAGTCTCCGAATTGGACAAGCGACGGCAGGAGAGTTATACGCTGCAAGTTGAGGCACGAGACGAGCGCAGCCAACTGAGTCGCGTGGCCGAGGTGACGGTCAATGTGATTGAGGGGAACGAGCACGCGCCACAGTTCACACGCGACGACTACTCCGGCACCATCCCGTCGGACATCACCATCGGAGCGCCGATCGTCACAATCGAGGCCGCCGACGTGGACCGCGATCCGCTAGAGTTCTCGCTTCAAGGAGAACTGTGCGAGCAACAGCTGAGCATCGACAACCGCGGGCGAGTCGCGTACAGGGTTCCGCAACACGAGCGGACCGCCGGATCCGTGGTGTGTATCGTCGTGGTCTCGGACGGCGTGCACTCGACGAACACCAACTTGAGATTGAGAGTGACGCCGCCGGCAGAAGCGACGCAGTGAGTTGAGCGCATTTTCGAACTGTCTGCTATTCTCAAATTTCAGACCGCCCACGCCGAACCGCGCTCCGATCTTTGCCAACGCCGAATTCGACTTTTCCATTCAGCGCAACGCCAAGGCGATTGGCGCGGTGAAAGCGACGGATCCCGACGGCGACATTCTCGACTATTCGATCGAGCCGACCGAGTACCGTAACCTGTTCCACGTGGCGTCCGACGGACTCGTCACCATTCTCGAGCCACTCCACCAGCAACGATACAGTTTTCTGGTGGTCGCCGAGGATCGAGGTGAGCCGATCATGTCCTCGTTCACCAATGTGAAGGTGACGGTGGAGCCCGAAGAGCAAAGAAGTGAAGACAACGACAACGAAGTATCGCTGGGCGCCGGTGTCAGAACAGTGCCGACGGAAGCGCCGATCGCTCGGAGCAGCCTGCCGGCGCCAGAACTTCAATTCTCGCAATCGGTGTACAGCTGGAAAGTCGAGAATGGACTGCCGGTCGGATCGATAGTCGGACAGGTGAAACTGAACCAGAAGGATCGCGCGGATGTGCACTACTCGTTCATCTCCGCCGATTTTCTGTCGATCGATCCGGAAGGCCGGGTGGCCGTGCTCAAACCGTTGACTTCTACGATCAACGACGTCGTCATTGCCACCAGCGACGGTAATATTCTCGCTGAGACACGGATCTTTGTGGCTGTTGACGCGACGACTGTTGCAACAACAACAACGGAACCTCCGACCACACAAACTCTTGCCCCACTCGAGGAAAGTACGTACAGTACCTCTCAAGCGACGACGATGATGCCTATATCGTCTGCCAGAATTGTACCGATGGAAATTCCAAAGCCTGGAAAGTTCCAGTTCGCACAGCCCAACTACTTTGCGTTCTCGGCCGAGGGCGATTTTAAGAACGGCATCGAGCTGGAGATCAAACCGGAGGAGCTGAAAGTCGAAAACGCGTTGGGACCAGTTGAATACTCGATCGAAGACACGACGACGCGCATGCCGTTCTTCCTGAACGAGCACGGAAAACTGATCATGTTCGAGGCGGATCGCGAACGGCACTCTTCGTACTACTTTACGATTGTGGCAAAGACGGCGAGTCAGATGGCGAGGGCTCGGTTGAATGTGACGATTCTGGACGTGAACGACAACTATCCGAGGTTCGAGCCGCATCCGGAAGTGATCGGAGTGCGGCGGGAGATGCACGTGGGCAGCCCGATCTATCAGTTCAAGGCGAGCGACGACGACGAGCACGGCGCGTTGGCTTATGAGATTTCCCCACGCGAATACTTTTCGATCGATCCGCGAGATGGAATGATCCGAGTGCTCCGAGACTTGCACAACGCGCCGGACACTTTGGAGCTCACGGTACGAGTCGCGGATTCGGGACGCCCGCCGCTGAAGTCCGAGGCCAAGATTCAGATGGCTCTGTTCTCGACGGATCTTCCGCAGTTTACGAGACAAGACGAAAAGGATCCGGTGACAGTCGGCACCTCAATGACCCCCGGAACAGTCCTCCGGCAGCTTGTGGCCGGACCGACTGTAGCGGAAACGGACAAAATACTGTATCGACTTGTGGACTCGGTCAACGGGATGTTCGAGATTCGGGACGGCGGAGTGTTGGTGTTGGCGAGAAGGCCGCTGAACAACGAGGCGAACAGGGACCATCAGCTGAATGTGACCGCCGAGAATAGCAAGGGAACCGATTCGATTCAGGTTGGTTCCACTGGGCTCCGTCCGTTCAAACTTATGTATCTCAGCTGTTGGTAGAGATATCAAAAAGTCGTCAACTGATAAAATGTGCAAAATTTCACAATGAACAATTTGTTAGTTCACATCTTTTTGATATCTCTGCGTGCAACTGAGATATTGCACAAATTCTTCAACGTTCCCATTGTTTCAGCTCCCAATCTACGTGGAAGGTCGTCTTTCCGGCACAACCACACCGTCTGCCTCCTCCTCCTCGACTCAAACGTCTTGCCAATTCGCCCAAAAAGTGTACAGAGCCCAGGTGAAGGAGAATTCGCAGCCGAGAACGGCGGCGGTACGAGTGCAAGCCGGATGTCAGGAGCCGAACCGGAAGTTCCGATATGCATTCCATCAGCCGACTCGTGAGTTTGACATAGGAAAGGAGATGAATGAATGGGTATTGATTGATTTTCTTTTTTTCAGAAGAATTTGAAATCGACTCGCAAAGCGGACAAATTTATACGAGCAAATCGTTGGACCGCGAGACGAAGAGCTCGTACTTTTTGATTGTGAACGTCATCGAGCAGAATCGAATGATGAAGCGACAGAGCGACGCAGCTGTTGAGCGTCAGTTTCTTTTCAGCAGCACTTTTCTCTCTGTTTTTTGAATGCTAAAAAAAACGTTTTGCAGAAGCCGCCTCAAAACTGTCCCCATGGCAAGCGCTCATCGTCGTCACAATCGTGGACGAGAACGACAACTCGCCGGTGTTCCTGCATCTTCTCGATGACTCGACGCTCTCGGCGGTGGTCGATCGGAACGCGAACGTGATGTCTCCGATCATTCACCTCCAGGCGCGCGACCTCGACATTTTCCCACCGTCGCTACGCTTCGGACTCGACGGAGACGGCGTCGAGAACTTTTACGTCAACGAGACGAACGGCCTCGTTCAGCTCGCGCGCTCTCTGGAAAAGAACGACGTGGGGCACTTTGAGCTGCAGGCGACAGTTTCCGACGGAGCACACGTCGTCAAGGTCCCACTGAACGTTTACACGCTCTCGGTGGACACGAACGTGGTCCAGCTGACCAAAGACACGCCGCACTCGGACATTGATCCGGCCGACATTGAACGGAAACTCACCGACGTGCTCGGAGTGGACACACGGATCCTGGTCGCTCAGCCGTTGGTCTCCGATGACGGAGTCACAGATCCACGCAAAAGCCACGTGTTCGTGTACGCGCTGGAGGATTCCGATCGGAAACCGATGGACAGGGACCGACTGAAGGGACTGCTGATGGACCATTCGGACGGACTCCACCCGCTACACATTTCCTCGGTGTCTCTGCTCTCGACCGCAGGATCCGCCGGTCCTCAGACCCTGCTCACTGTCATTTTGCTCATTGTTCTGATAGCGCTTCTGCTCTTCATTTGTGCTCTTATTGTTTTTTGTGCAAAACGGTAGGCTAAGAGACCAAGTGACGACGACGGCGTTCAAGAATGTTTATTCCAGACGCTCGAAGACCAATTCGGGGGCGATGCTCGAAGGCTCCTACATGATCAACTCGGTCGGCTCGGGACCGCGGCCGTATGACGTGGAGAACATCAGTCGGGCCACTGCTCAGACGGTGCTCGCCGGAAGACCACTGCCCGATCCGCAAGAGCACAGGTTTGGAAATGTCGTGGGCCAACTCTCAACTGGACCGTTTTTCAGAATCGACGTGTCGTCGGATTCGACGGACGTGGCACTGGAGCGCGACGACACGACACGTGAATTCTCGAATAGTGTTCGCGAGCGACCGAGTCATCTGCTGTAGAAGAATTTCGCTAAAAATGTTATAATATTGTCTATTCGGGTCCCTTTTCTCTTTCCCCCCACCACCAAATCCCCGTCTTTCTGTCACTCATCCCGTTAATTTGTGCTCAGAGGTCGCAACTACCGCGACCTCGATAATAATTGTAATAATTACTTCGTATGATAGCAATTACCGGTGCTCGTCTAGAAATATATCATCACAAGACTAGACAGATACAAATAGACAAAGGGGATGACTTCGCGTTAGACTTTTATTGATAAGAATGAAATGGAATATTACAAATTATTTACAGATTACTCGGCTCCGGTGCGCGCAACAGTGAACGGCTCATCAACGGGAATGTGTCCGGCGGCGGCGATAACGACATCGTCGATCGGCCGGTCGCCGGGCCCCTTCTCGGTCCTCTCGATCTGTCGCACCACATCCATTCCCTCGAGAACTTTGCCGAACACGACGTGCTTTCCGTCGAGCCACGTCGTCTTGACGGTCGTGATGAAGAACTGCGAGCCGTTGGTGTCCTCGCCGGCGTTCGCCATCGACAGCCATCCGGGTCCGTAGTGGTGCAACTTGAAGTTCTCGTCGGCGAACGTCTCTCCGTAGATGGACCGACCGCCGGTGCCGTCGCCGCGCGTGTAGTCTCCGCCCTGGATCATAAAGTTGTCGATGACGCGGTGGAACTTCGAGCCGACGTATCCTTCGCCCTCGGGCCGCTGCGCCAACTCGACAAAGTTCTTCGCGGTCTTGGGAACGATCTCGCCAAAGACGCCGATGACGATGCGTCCGATCGGTTTGCCGCCAACCTCCACGTCGAAATAGACTTTGTCGGTGACACGTGGACCACGTGCCGACGCCGAAAGGAGCGTGACGGCCAGGAGAAGAGAGCTGAGCAACCACCCGTTCATCTGCAATGAAAATGTTGTTGGTTGTGGGGTTGAAAGAGACAATAGACAATAGAACAGGCAAAATCAACGGGCCAACACAATTGTACTAACTTTTATCAAAAAGCAGAGAGGGTAGTGCGAATAAGAAGTAAAGGTTTTGAAAAAGGTTTTTTTGCGGGTGGTCACTTCACTTGTTTGCTTTGCTTTTCCGCCCGAAAATCAATACGAGTAGCCCGACCGACCGGCCGCTCGTAGTGTGTAATGTGCTAAGACACCCCCTCTCGTCTCGTTTTATATGTGTGTTTCCCTCCTCGATCGCCCATCGGCATTGCGCGTCCGAGGCCTTGACCCGGAAAAAAAAAGATAGTGGACAAGAAACGAAAACGATAATAATGTGACCATTGACCGACGATTCGTCGACTTCATTCAGGGGACCTCGATTTGGTGTTTCAGCTCTGGAGAACTGCAAAGATACGATCTGAAAAAGAGCCACTGTCTCCCCAATGACTAATGCTAAATTGAGCGCCGCGCTAAAACGGAGTGTCGTTTAAAACAAAAGCAGGTCTGAAATTTCTGGATTTTTTGCGAAAACCCGAAATTTCATCCCAAAATGAGGAAAATTAGGTAACACGGGGATTGTCAGAATAGTTTATAACAGCTGTGTGCTGAAATTAGCGTTTTGCTCACAAGAAAGCGCGCATTTTTTCATTTTTCTGTGAATTTCAGGTCGGATCCTCAACAACTGAAATTTCTCTGCGATTTTTGCATTTTATGGGCCGTCTCTGTGCTCAAAATGACCGCCATTGTCTGCTGAACAATCGTGAGTCAACTGTTTTCCCAAAATTTCCGAAAGTTTGTTTTTTCAAGCCAAATTTAAAAAAAAAACGAAATTACTCTTCGAATTTTCACTTTTACACGAGCACTCTGCGATCATTTTGTAGCTATCGGTCATATGAACAAACGTGAGGCAAAAGTTTTAAAGGAAAACTGTCCATAATCCCAAAAACTCGGCAAAACAGTGTTTTCAGCTGAAAAACCGTATCCCGTAAATCGACACTGAGAGCCGCACGCAAAAAAGCGCGCGAAAATTTTGTGATCAGTGATTGGGGAAGAGGGGCGCTCAAAGTTTGTCTGTTTCAGACTCAAAGTGTCTAACACTTTTCAAAAAAACCAATAGGCCATCGTCACAGCCGAACTGGAACAACCGCCAGATCTGGCACTTTGTACCCCACGTGGCCGTCGTGTGAGTCGCACGCCTTTCTATAAATTTCCAGGTGACAGAGAGGGTAATTTGTAATGCTGTGAATATAAATGAAAATTTTCGGCAGTCTTGTCCAAAATCGGCCCGATCCGAGTGAATTTTCGGAAGCAATTATCGATTTTTTAAGGTTTTTCAGTCAGCCTCTCAAAATCACAAAAAGTAACGATATTGGAGGGAAAAATTGTTTCAGAAATCATGTTTTAAACTTTTAGTGCTAGAATCCGGTCTGACACCGAACTCTTGCTCAATCTTTCATAAATTTCTGAAATTTCAGAAGCGAGACTCATGAGAATTTTCGAGAAGAAGGTGGCTGGCCTCCCAAAGAAATACATCATTTGGCAGTAGTTCCCGTGGCCTCTGTCGCCGTCTCGTCCACCCTCTCCACCTTCTTCCACTTGTCACGATTCTCCTTCTTCGGCTCCTGATCACACACCCAAATTGTGTTGTTCTAAACGTGTTTCTCAAATCTGGCGCCAACAAAAACCACTTACAAAGTATCCGGCACACACAATCACTTGTTCTCCGCCCTCTTTTCGCGTCATTATGTAGTAGAAGGGTTTGTTGAACGAAATTTCGTCGTCTGAAAAAGGAATATTCGGATGACATTTGAAAACATTCTCGGATACTCTAACCTTGTGGCCTAATCAACTGAACATTCTCCTGTCCGGTCATGTATCCCATACTTGCCGCATTGTGATCGAGTTGGTCTTCGTAGTACGTGAACAGCGGGTTCGCATCTGAAACAGAAAACAAAAGCAAACGCGCTTTACCGCACGCACGGAACCCCAGCCTTCCAATAAAAAATTCCCTTGGCACGCAATTCACGTGCGCTAAACAAGGCGCGTAACGCGTAATTCCGGAGCGTCGTTGTAGAGTTTCTCACATTTCAATTTTCCCCTTTTTTGCATTATCCCCATCTTTACAGAACCAATCAGGGTCAAAACTTATGAGAATTATTAGAAATGAATAAAAAATGAAATTTTAACTGCTTCATCATCAATTTCGAAACGTTTTATGTAAAAATTACAGAATTTTTTCTTTTGGAATCGAAAATTTGCCTCAATTATCTCAATTCTGTATATTTTTCGACGGTTCAGCGCTTAAAAGATGCGCAATAAACTCTTTGTTGACTGGACGGTTCGAATGCCAGTGTCCGAACTCGATTCGGCAAATGATCGTTAAAACTCCGTTTTTTCAGTAGTTTTCGACAAAATCCCTCAATTTGGTCAATTCTGAACGAATCTGCTCCGTTTCGCGCTTAAATCGATGCTTTTAACTCACATAATCGCCCCACGGTTCGCAAAGAACAAAATTTGAGTGTTTATTAAGAGAAAAAGGAAAGAATTCTGGTTTTCAATTGAAAAAAGAAACTGCGAGTCGACGGTGGATGCAAGCGCGCCCCATTGACAACTCGCTTGCGCATTGGAATGCTGGGGTTGCGTGCGCACTGATAAAATAGTTACCTCGCTGCGTGCCCTTCTGAAAGTGCGCAAACAGACTGTTGCCCTCGACGCACTGATGTGCCCGTTCCGGTGCAAAAGTGTCAAATGGCGGCGTGGTGAGCACGGAGGGCGTGTGCGCGACAATCTCAAAATTGGTCTTGTGGAAGTGGTCGTAGAGCGTGGCGAATTGTCCGTTCGCCTCAAAAGTAATCGATTTCATCTCCAGCAACTCGGACTTTTCGCTGCTAAACACCCGCGAGAGCCCGTTTCGCTTCGCGTGGGCGTACAAAGACATTGGCGTGGAGCACGTGGCTTTCGGAATGAGCACTCGCTTCTGCACAGGCGTCCACTTGTCCGAGGAGGCGATTGTGGCGAGGATCTCCGGCTTGAACTGCTTCTTTTTGTCGCCCCCCGCTTTTTCGTCCTCGCTGAAACAGGGACAATAGAGATTGTGGAAAGTTGTCGACTAACAAATTGTGCATTGCAAAATTTTGTACATTTCATCAGTTGACCACTTGAATAAAACTATTGTAGGTGTGTAATAACTTTGAAGTAGAGTTGTGAGTAGTTTTAAATTCTTTCTCAACTCTTCTAGGAACCCGCGCCACTTTTTGACTATTATCAGTTGAAAGCTCACACCTGTACAAGTACAAGTAGACGTCGTCGAGCCAACTGTCCAGCCGACAAACTCCCCCGTTCACCCGGATCGTCGCCACCGCCAAGTATCCGCTGCAAATGGACGACGGGTTGAGACCGCCCGAATCGCGGAATTCCATAAAATCCGTCTCGGATGCGAGTTTGTCCGTTTTCCAGAAGAACGTGCAGTCCATCGCCGATGAGAGCACGATCGAGGCGCGCCAGTTGGGCGCACAGTGCTCGGGGACAATGTAGCGGATGGCGCCGCGTGTGGACAACTGGAAACAAAGCGATATTGTATGATTCGGTTTTTTTAACGATTTACACAGTTTGCGGTACATGAACGAAAAACATTCCGTCAAATCAAGCCTGACAAAAAGTACTGTATCTTTGAGGGCTTGTATCTCAAGAGCTATTGTTCATTTCAAAAAGTTGTCAACTGAAAAGTTGTTGCAAATTTTAGGCCCAACAACTTTGTAGTTGACAACTTTTCCAAAATCCTTATAGTTTTCGAGTTATAATCCGAGTTTCAAAGCTGCGCTCACCGAAGTCTCCTGATTGATGCGATAGCACGAGTAGAGTCCGTCCGAGTCCGTGGAGAATGCGTGGTGCTGAATTGCGGCCCTCTGACTTTTGCCACCGTAAAAAAGGTTTGCCTGCCGACGGTTGTGCACGTTGTGCTCAATGTGGAACGGCAGTTCTGTGAAGAGACGAACGCATCCGTCGAAATCGTCTTCGGCCGCCACGTGGACCGCCAGCAACCAAGTGTTGAGCTCACTTGCGGAATTCGACATGATTGTCGTGTCTGAAAGAACGCTCTATTGTGGTCGGGCGCGAAATTCAACATTTCAGCTAAAATACCACAGAGGGCACCTTTTGGCTGGAATGAAAGGTATTGGGGTCGCATTCAAAGCCGTATATCTCAGCTGGTCGTGGATATATCAAAAAAATTGTCAACTGACAAAATGTACAAAATGTTTCGATAAACAATTTTTTTGTTGACAACTTCACGGCGACCAAAAACGCAGAAAAGGGCGTGGCCTAGCGTGCACGGTTTATCACCATTTTGGCGCGAAATTTAAAATTTAACTCCATTTTTCATGTTTTTCGTCAAAAATTACCCAACTTTTGTACGATTGCGACGATGTAATTGCATAACGTTGTTAAACTAATCATCGCGCGCATTTTTTGAGCTTAAAACGAGCAGGTTTCATTTAGAAATGAATCAATTGAATCGATTTTAAGTTTTGTGCTGAAAATGCACGAATTTCAGTCATTCGCCGATACTTTTTGCCGTTTGAACGCTTAAAATACTTGTATTAACGTGCTTAGCCACTTCCGACACTCACTTCATCTCAAAACTATTCAGATCGGCCGGTATGAAAATTCCGAAATTGCGGCGGCGATTGGCCGCGGAGAGCGTATTGCGAAATATTCCAAAAACGTCTCAAACGCGGCGTTTTCACGAAAATTTCAATGTTTTCTCTGTTTAATGTCTTCTTTCGTCGATATCAACACACAAATATATCGGAAAAGTGTGCTGGAATTGCGGCAATTTTCAGAAAACGCGTTTCAGATTAGGCCACGCCTTTTTCTACACTTTTGGTCGCCGTAAACTTTTTGATATCTCTACAGGCAATTAAGATACATCGTCTCGAACGAACGATACTTAAAAGGTAGCTAAAATTTCTGTCAAACCCCATTTCAAAACGTACATTGCCCAACAAATTTGAGCAGATCCTCGAGTGTCTTGTTGCACGCCACGTTGGCCAACAACGCCCACGCACGCATCGTCTGCAACGGATTCAGGCACAGATTCGTGTGTTGGGACGTCTTCCGACACTCCCGACGCGTGGCCAACGGAAGATTCGAGGCGTTGAGCGGTTCCACCTGCGCGAACACTTGATTTGTGTACTCGAGAAGTCGTTGGTTCAGCTTTTGGTCTGCAAAAAAAAAAAAGAAGAAATGTAAGGGGCTCCTCCAATGCTCCGCTTACAATCGACTTTGGGCACTTCGATTTTGAGGTTGTGGAAGCACGGATATCCTCCGTTGAACTGCTCGAACCACGGCGAATTCGCTTGCGACTGCATTGTATCGTTGCACAACAGCTCCTCATCGGGATCCAACACGTATTTGCTGTTCGATGCCTCTCGTCTCCGTGCGCTTCGCACTCTCTTCGTCTGTTTTCCCTCTTTTCTCAAATCCGACTCGTCCGACTCGTCCGAATCATCCGTCTGCTCGTCGACGTCGTCCTCGTTCGGCATGTGTGCGATGCCTTTTTCGATGGATTTCAGCGACATATCCAAAATGTTCACATTCTCCTAATGAAACGTTATTTTTAGAGGGCGCGAAATTTGAATTTGAATTTGAATTTGATTTACCTTCAGTTTGGACAGTATATAACTTTCCTCTTTGCTCGCCTTCGCCAGTTTCGATGTGTTCGATTTTGGAGCCGCTTTGGAGCTCCGGTCGCGGGCCGCTTTTCGCGCTTTTTGAGCGATCGCCCCCGATGAGCCCATTGCTTGAATACCGACCATTTTGGAGCGACGCGTTTGAGGGAAATGATGACGAAATCGGCGAAGAGAAGCGGAGATGAACGGTCACGTACAAGTGCACGGACATCTGTTGTATTTCTGTTTAAAAAAAAGAAGAAAAACCTTCGCTAGGGATAAGCAGAATAGAATGAATTGAGGGTTCGTCCTCAGAGGAGGGCGACCCGAATGATGACAAATAGAATATAAAACAGCGCGGGGGGAGATCACAAAGATAGATCACACTATAGATCAAAAAGAATTATCATACGTCTACACGACGTAACAGTAATAAAATCGTGATCCGAGCTAACGAATTATGACAAATGAGCGAGAAGAACACATAACCTAGCGGGTAGATCACAGGTAGATCACTTAGCATTATCCTACAAATTATATCATACGTCTAGAACGACGTAACACATCTATGCCCCCTTTCTCTCCATTCGAATGGATCGATCGGCACACCTCCACCGACTGGAGCAAGATCTTCAACAATTTGAGTCCAATTCACGGCACACCGTCTCTAGAGCTGACAATGGGCGCAAGTGCGCCCCTCCAAATAGAGCGATACATTGGCGCGAAATTCAAATTTTAACAGCAAAATTTGTGTTTTTTGCCGGATTAGCCACACGAAAAACCGATAATTTCTCATTTGTCTCTCTCGATAGACAGATTGTATTATAGGGGCACCGCACAGAAATGGCGCTCTGTTGAGAAATTATTTTTGCAGTGCAAATTGAGCGACCTAGGGGCCGAGTTTGAAAATTTAGGCCACGTTTTCAGTGGAAAATTACTTCGCGGCCTAGAAATTCGGCCAGATTGCGAACAGCGCGCCCTTTCTGTCCGGTGCCCCTATAATATAGGCCATTAAGATTTTTTTAAGCGCAAGAGCGTCAAATTTGGTCAAGTCGCAAATCACATTTATCCGTTTGAAGGTTTTTCGCTAAAACTCCGTGAATTTCAGTTGCTTTTCGGTAATTTTCGCGATTCGAGCGCTCAAAATGCTTGTACTTACGTGATTTATCATTCTCAAAACCATTTCTGTCTGAAAACGGTCAAGAAAGCGCAAAATGAGAAGTGCGCTTTTTAGGCGGCGATCGGCGGCGAAGGCGAAAAAGCAAAGTCCGCGAAAAATGCGCCAAAACGTCATTAACTCTCAGAATTAGTGTGTTTTCATGTCGAACAATCATTTTTCATCGCCTTTGGCCACAAAAATCAGAGAAAATCTGCTCAATTCATGAAAACGCCATTTGGCCGCCGAGGCCACGCCCATATTGTCAGCTCTGGAGACCGTGCGGCACCCAATGTTGAAAATGAGAATTTGAATCGCTGGGAGCTGGGAGTTCTGCTGAATGTGGTCCAAAAGGTCCTAAGGCTTTTTTTATTTTTTATTTTTTATTCAGCCAGACGGGTCCACGACGAGAGCGTAATGCGTATTGACGTTCCGAAATGAGACGGATGCAAATAGGGGAAGTTTTCGGGAATCGGCACTTAATCGGATCTTTGACGACGGCTCTTATTATGTTTTTTCCAGAAATCAAAGGATAGCGAACGAGATGCTCCTAGTCACTTCTCTAAAAAAAATACTTGTAAATCTCATACCCTTCATGCTTTCAGAATGCACAATTCCGCGAGATGAAGTCGTCGAACGACAACAAGACATCGCAAGGTTATCGGATCGGATGTCGTCTCGGGCTCCGGACACGGTTCGGCAAGCGCTTCGGAATCGCCGCCCGTGTGCACACTTTGCAAATGGTGGGGGAATCAACTCAACCGGTGGCAGATGATCGCTGCCACGTATCGAGACGGTACCCAGAGAATTTGGTAGCACGAGCCGGTTGAAGAACACGAAAACGTTGTGCTCGAACTCAATTAACGCAAAGTGTTGTCCAGGCAATTCTCCAGAAATACGGCTTTTCTTCCAGGTCTCCATGACCTACATTTACGTATAAATCCATTCAGTTCGATACAAATTTCACAAGTTTTTCTCTTACTAATCACGGTCGGGACAACGAAAAGAGGAGGGGAGAGACCCGTATACAGCCCAAAGTCATCATTGTTCAAGAAGAAGAAGAAGAAAAGACAAACGTACAACATTTTCAACCGGTACTACTATCGATCGACACGGGGACGGGGGAGCAGGAGGGGGGAAATGCGAGCGAGAAAATAAAACAAGTTATGCCTAGGGATCAACTGAGCGAAAAAGAAGAAAACATGGTTGACGGGATGAGAGATTTGCAATGAAAACAACGACCCGTTGAGGGGTGAGAATCTGCTGGGGGAGGGGGAGGAGTGGCGGATCAGCATGGAAGTGGGTACGTGGACGAGGAGCTCTGCAACATTTCACATCATTTTTTTTTCGACTTTACAACACTGCACTAGACTCTATACGTCCGCTTTGTCAGAGTTTACTAATCGAGAAAATCGAGTTCAATTCGTCGCCCATCTATTCGCACTCATCGACTCACAATGGAAACGTGCTTGTGGTGCGACGATTGTCCGCCGGTGCTCGTCTCGCACGTCGACGATTCGCTCGATCCGGATCCGTTGCGCGCGTCGGCGGCCGTGCGGCGGCGCCACGTGGCACACGGCCAGCGGACGCGATTCTCGAGGCGGCCCGGAACAATGTTCTCCTCGAGCCAATCGATGACACGACACGGCCACCACGAGAACAGAATGCTCTTTTGGCGCTCCATGCACATGTCCACCTCGCAGTACGCATGGTATATCCTGCAAGACAGAAATGATTTAGAGATCGGATGCTGTGCAAGCGCGCCACGCTGCACTCTGCTCTTTCATCACAGATTCAGCAATGTATTATTGGGGGCACCGGACAGAAAGAGCGCGCTGTTCGCAATCTGACCGAATTTCTAGGCCGCACGGCGACAAAAAACGTTGAAAGGAGCGTGTGCACGGTTTATTATAATTTTGGCGCGAAATTCGAAATTTAACTCCATTTTTCCAGACTTGCCAAATCCCGGGCCGGGCCAGCAAATCGTCGGCCCGGCCCGGCCCGGTCGGCCCGGCTCCGCCCACTCTTGAGAAAATTTTCGTAATTTTTGTGAAAATTTTGCGACTTTAAACAGCAATTTCTATTTTTTAACAGGTTTTTATGCTATAACATTGCCTTTTTAAGTCCATAAAATTTTAAGTCTATAAAATTATGTTCGTTTCGAAGTTCTAGTTCGCTTTGAATTTTTTTAGGTGCATTCTCCCGGGCCGACCGGGCCGGGCCGGGCCGGAAAATTTCTAATTTTGGCCCGGCCCGGCCCGGCCCGTTGCAAGTCTGCATTTTTCATGTTTTTCGTCAAAAATTACCCAAATTTTGTTCGATTTCGACGATGTAATTGCATAACTTTGTTAAACTAATCATCGCGCGTACTTTTTGAGCTTAAAACGAGCAGGTTTAATTCAGAAATGAATCAATTGAATCGATTTTCAAGCTTTGTGCTGAAAATGCGCGAATTTCAGTCATTCGCCGATACTTTTTGCCGTTTGAACGCTTAAAATACTTGTATTAACGTGCTTAATCACTTCCGACACTCGCTTCGTCTCAAAACTATCCACATCGGCCGGTATGAAAATTTCGAAATTGCGAAATATGTCAAAAACGTCTCAAGCGCGGCGTTTTCACGAAAATTTCAATGTTTTCTCTCTTTAATGTCTCTTCTTTCGTCGATATCAATCACACACAAAAATATCGGAAAAGTGCTGGAATTGCGGCAATTTTCAGAAAACGCGTCTCAGAAGAGGCCACGCCCCTTTCTACACTTTTGGTCGCCGTGCGCCGCGAAGCAATTTTCCACTGAAAACGTGGCTTAACTTTTCAAGCTCGGCCTCGAGAGTTCGCTAAATTCGCCCTGCAAAAAGAGTTTCTCAACAGAGCGCCATTTCTGTGCGATGCCCCTTATAATAAGGAACGTTGTTAAAGTCATACCTGAACACCATGTTGCTCAGCCAGTAGGCGATGATCACATCGATGGTGTAGTGCGTGCGCGACGTGATCATACAGACCATTCCGAGGGCGCAGGACGCGTGCGCCAGCCACTGCAGCGGTTTGATCGCGCGCGGAAGGTAGTAGGCGACGGCGAGCGAGCACGTGACCATGACGAGCGTGTGGCCGCTGAACAGCAGGTCGCCGCAGAGCATCGAGTCCTTGCTCTGGAAGCCGATCCGAATCGTCTGCTCGATGAGGCGCGACATGAACGTGGCGAAGCGAGGCGTGACGCGTTCCCGACATCGGCCCTCGTTGTCCGTGTATCCTGAAAAAAGGCACACTTGTGATTTTGCCGTTATTTTTCGCATTTTTTTCTGGTAGAAAATGGCCTATCTCTGTCATTTTTAACACTAATATCACCAATCGCCACGGTCTCCAGAACTGACAATGCGCGCAAGTGCGCCCCGCACAATAGAGCGATACATTGGCGCGAAATTAAAATTTTAACAGCAATTTTTGTGTTTTCTGCCAGATTAGCCACGAAAAACCGATAATTTCTCATTTGTTTTTCGACAGACCGATTATATATGCTATTACGAATTTTTTAAGCGCAAGAGCGTCAAATTTGGTCAAGGCGCAAATCACATTTATCTGTTTGAAGGTTTTTGACTAAAACTGCGTGAATTTCAGTTGCTTTTCGGTAATTTTCGCGGTTCGAGCGCTCAAAATGCTTGTATTTACGTGATTTATCATTCTCAAAATCAATTCTGTCTGAAAACGGTCAAGAAAGCGCAAAATGAGAAGTGCGGTTTTGAGGCGGCGATTGGCGGCGAAGGCGAAAAAGCAAAGTCCGCGAAAAATGCGCCAAAACGTCATTAGTTCTAAGAATTAGTTTTTTTTCATGTCGAACAATCATTTTTCATCGCCTTTGACCACAAAAATCAGAGAAAACCTGCTCAATTCATGAAATTGGCCGAGGCCACGCCCACATTGTCAGCTTTGGAGACCGTGAAACGCGGTGCAAAAGAGTTAGTTACCTGACGGAAGTTGGGTCGCCGCAAGAGTGACCGATCTCATCGAGTAGAGCGTGGCCGCGATGAAGACGGTCCGTTTGAGTATGGTCCCTCGGTGCTGATGGACGATGAGCAGACCGCCGAGGAGTGCGATGCATAGGGCTACACATCCGTCGCCTGGAATATAAGTTTGTCGTGTTCGATTTTTCGCCCTCAAAATAGCCTTTTGTTATCGAAATCAGCCTTCGTTACACGTCTTTACAGAAATTACAACAAATCTTCATTTCAGAAAAGCATTTCTCGGTTTTTTTTCATCGAAAAGACTTCTCGAAACGGCCCGTTGTTCAAGGCGATTCAGGTAAATTCTAATGAGTCCATTCAGCAGGGAAAAAACTCGAAAAGGAGGTTTTTCAGCTCGTAAATCTTGTTCGTTGCGAGACCAGGCGCATGAAAGGCATGCGAAAAAGACAATTTTTTCGGTTTTCTCCCTGCTGAACGAGGCCATTATCGATTTTTCACTCGAATTTTCGATATTCGACTCACCCAACGAGCTGGCCCATCGCTGCTCGGGCACCAAACTGAACACAATGTCGGGAAGCGGCTCGCGCGGCACAAAATCGTGCGTGTAGGCGATGACGGCCCAGTTGGACATGCCGGAGATGAAAAGGAAGACGAAGAGGAAGAGGGCCTTCATCCACTCGGCGCCTCCGCCGCCGCCACCTTCTCCTCCGCCGCCGCCACTGTCCTGCTGCTCGCGCGCACTGATCACCGCCGACAGTCCGTGATGATGTCGTCGTTTTGGCGGGGAGGAGCCGCCCATCGCTGTGCTGCTGCTGTGGTTGCTCCGCGACTCGACGTGGTTCGGCTCGTCGCACAGCGAGTCGTCCGTCTGAAAATTAATGCTTTGTTATAAATCTACCCTCTCCAAAATGTCGCATTGTGCGGGACCAAACTTTGTAGTTATCGCCTCTAGGGGTCCTAGATGACGTCCAAGAAATTTGTTGCGAATCGGTACTTTCCGTTCCCCAACAATCCAGCGCCAGGGCGCCGTCTACCCATAATATATACGCCCTGGGAGGTGACGAGAAAAATGCCGCGTGTGGCGCAGCGGTAAAGCTCGCCGCCAGATGGAAGAGCTGTTTTGGTTCGGTTCCCCATACGGTTAAACGTTTTGCCCATGTTTTTTGTAATGAAAACGTACTTTCATATCAATTCCAGCATGCATACGTGCACTTTTCACGAGAATATCAATTTCCCGCTGCATGGGGACGAGTAGAAGGAGAAAAGAGAAGCGTTTTGTGATAAAACTAGAAATGCTTTTTCTGGCCAAACTGTTCTTTGAAACATTTTACGTGATTTTTTCGGTGTTCAATTTTCATTTACCTCAATGGAATATTGAAAATTGCGCGGTACAATCTCGCAAAACTCCACCGTCTTCACCATAAATGGCGGCAAAATTCGGGTGGAGTCGTCGGGTCAAAGATGATTCTGGAATAGAGGAGAACATGGAGAGAGAGAGAGAGAAATTGCGAATACGACAATATCGAGCGCGCCAAAGAAATAGAGTCCAATTCCCATGGAGATTATTCGGAAATATGGGCTCGGAAGCCCTCATTTTCGGTGGGAGGAAGCACTTTTGCGGTGGGAAACTAATCGAGTTGTGTTTTCGACGAATCTAGTCTGCACTCGCCGATTCTGACGCTAGAACAACTATTGTGGTGTTTTGAAAAATCGACGGTGGGGGTAAAAGTAACATTGAACGATTTAGAGGGAATGGAAGAGAGAGAGAGAGAGAGGGAGAGAAGAGACGCAGACTGCACTACAGAGGAGGACCCCCTTCTCCCGGAATCTTTTGCCAGAGAGAACGAGGGACCGAGCACTCGGGAGGAGAGAGAGAGAGAACACATTGCAAAACCGGAAAACGATTGACGATTATGTCTAGAAATCTTCTTCCACAAACTGACTGGATGGACCGTTCTAGATCCTCGGGGCACAACTTTAAGGCGTGATATAAGTAGCCATGTGTGATAGACGTCGTGTCCAGGAAGAAGCGGCGTATAAATGTTCAGTTCCTTGCTGTCCACATGCACTCGTCCGCCAATGATTTATGCGCGTCGGAGAGCAAGCACACAGCCGTTTTGGAGGACGACGGCCGAGAGTGTTTTTTGCGGCGTTTCCCTCCCCCTACACAGCCATGAAAACGTCAGAATTTGTCAGAATCGGGACCGAGTCAGTCGAGGATCAGCCGGTGTTCAGTCAATTTTGACGATTTTTGAATAGTTCAAAAACGAATCGAATGGTTATTTTGTGCTCTACAATCGTCAATTCAATCGTTTTTCACGATCATGCTTCCGGACCGACACATTTTCGTTTAACGTCAGCTGACCTTTTTGATAGGTTTTTGAAAGGTGTCATTTGACTTTTTTGCGGTTCATCACAGTTACGGATCATGATTGTGTAAAATGATCAACTATAAAGTTTTAGAGCAGGAAATTGTGCGTCGATTTGTTTTTTAACATTTTGAAAAATCTTCAAAATCGAGCGAGAAGCATTCCGCACTTTTTAACTGATTTTAGAGCTCTGTATCTCAAACACCAATGATTATTCAAAAAAGTTGTCAACAAAAAAGTTGTTGCATATTTTGTGCTCTACAACTTTGTAGTTAAACACTTGGCGCCAAAATTGTTCGTGTTCGAGTTATGAGCTAGTTTCTTAACAGTACCCCCCACAAAGGGCTGCGGCCTAGGTTTTTGATGTAAACTCTTGTAAAGGAGTCGTTCATTTTTCTTGGCCAGATCAATAGGAAAAAGGGAAAAGGAATGAAAGTTGAAGTGAAGAAAAGAGAGAGAGAGAGAGAGAAAGAGAGAAAGAGAGAAGAACACTTCAAAACAACAAACTGATAAAGTGATAAAGTGGGGGGGAGTGTGACACACAAAAAACTGGTGTAAAATTTGTTCGCCCCACTGATAATTGATCGAATATGGATGGTGAAAAGAGAAAGTAAAAGTAGGAGAGAAAGAAAAAGGTTCCAGAAACCTCGCAAAAGTTCAAAGTACGTTTCTATACACACAACACTTCGAAAGTGATATCTTCTTCTTATTCTTCTTCTCCCGGTGAGAGATTGGGGGCGAGAGAAATCTCTTTTTCTCTGGATGTTTATGTGTATCAATAATAATTGATCATTCATTCGATTATCGATTGATTTCGAGTGAGAAAACGAGTGAGAGAGAGAAGAAGGGAAATCTAGAAATTCCATACTTGTCGCCGGGCCCAATCCGGGCCCGCAGTTTTAAAATCATAACTAATTTCAAAAAAATCGTACTGACTTGATTCAAAGCTCAAATTGTAGGTATTTGGATTGTTCATCAGGGCAAAATAATAAAAAAATTCGGAAAATTTCAATAGGGCAACGGGCCTAGAAAAAGTAGCCGGGCCCGGCCGATAGCACGTTTTCCCGGCCTACTGAAATTTTCCGAATTTTCAAATTATTTTTCCCTGATGAACAATCCAAATACCTACAATTTGAGCTTTGAATCAAGTCAGTACGATTTTTTCGAAATTAGTTATGATTTTAAAACTGCGGGCCGTATGAGAAATTCACTGTTTCAGATTTTGCAGCCGAAAACAAGGCGAATTTCCAATGTTAATGTGGTTTTTTGTCAAATTTTAACACAAAATTCGGTAGATCACTGAAAATGCGGCTTAAATAGTGAGAAACTAGGCCAAAAATCACAAACATCCGGATTAGGCTAGAATTGAACATGGAACGGATCTTTTACGTTTCCGAATCAATCCGGAAGAGGGTTTTCACTAGAAGATTGAGTGATTTATGGTTAATGGTGAAAAAGAAGTGATCTGAGGTTGAGTGTCATCGGAAATGAGGAAAATTCACAGCTTTCACAGAAATCATGATCAACTCGCTTAGATATTGTCGTTTTGTCGAAAACACATGTGTCAAACTCTAAAAGTGTTTCATAGGAATTGTTCAGCTCATCGAGATCTTCAATTTGCGAGCTCAAACGTCTGAAAATTTCGATTTTGAGCAGAGTTATAATCGAAAATCCAAAAAAAGGCCAACATAGGTCGAAAGGCGTCTTCTCAAACACATTCGTGTCCCCAAAAAAGGACCCCCTTTCCTGTTTTTGTCACAATCAGTGAGCGGAGGGGGTGACGTCATACGAACAGAGAAAAAAAACACGTTTTCTAGCTCTTTTTTTGGAATTGCGGACGTGGTGTTGTAGTATGTAGGAGTAGCATAGGATTAAAAATGTTTTGAAGGAATATTACATGTACTATATAATAGGGAAGACAAGTGCGAGAGAAACCGGTTTGGCGGACGGAACAGAGAAAAGAAACACAACATGTACAATCGAAACATGGATTTTCTCGTTTTTCAATCCTCCAAGTTAGCCCATTGACTTGCAGATTTAGAGCGACGCGCAGCGATATCCTCACTGCCCTGGAAGCTGCAGCGAGAAGCGGCGTGCATGGCGCCGCGGTTGCGTTTTGGAATTTCTGTTAAACCCAACTGCCGCAGGTTCGAACCGCTCGCGGTCGAAATCATTTTTGCGCGCGCCGAACTGACCGTGCCCGTGTCCGCCATTCCCCCTCTTCCTTCTTCGTCTTCTTCCTCGTCTTCCTCGTCTTCCTCACGCCTTCCGCTTCGGAATCCTCGTTTCTCGTCGAACGATCCGAGTAGTGGCGAGTAGTGTGCCGACGAGGTCGTCGGGTGTGCCGACGACGCGAATTCTGCAACAAAAAATTGTTTTTTTTTTCTCGGTAAAAGCAATGAATATTCGGCGAAATTTTGAATTTGGCGCACGCCGGTTAACTGTTTTGAAGCGAAACGTTCGAAAAACTCAATGACGAGTCGTCATTGACGACAGAAAATCGTATGTAGATCAAAACAAGAAAAAAAGAGAGAGAGAGAGAGGCGGTGTGTACTGGTAGATCGAAAAGAGGAGGCAAAAAGAGTGGCGAATGAGGAGGGCTGCGCAAACAAAACGAGCAAATTATTTGGGAATTTGTATTTGAGCTTGAGCCTGTCTGCACAAATCACGACTGGTTTCATCCATGTGCTCACTCGTTCGAAAGTTTGTTGGCAGGTTTCAAAATGAGCCAGGCACGGTCTCCAGAGCTGACAATGAGCGCAAGTGCGGCGCGCCGCCCAATAGAGCGATGCATTGGCGCGAAATTCAAATTTTAACAGCAAAAATTAGTGTTTTTTTCCAGATTAGCCACGAAAAATCGATAATTTCTCATTTGTCTCTCGATAGATCGATTGTATAGGCTATTACGAATTTTTTAAGCGCAAGAACGTCAAATTTGGTCAAGTCGCAAATCACATTTATCCGTTTGAAGGTTTTTCGCTAAAACTGCGTGAATTTCAGTTGCTTTTCGGTAGTTTTCGCATTTTGAGCGCTAAAAATGCTTGTATTTACGTGATTTATCATTCTCAAAACCAATTCCGTCTGAAAACGGTCAAGAAAGCGCAAAATGAAAAGTGTGGTTTTGTTCTCAATAGTTGAATTGCGAATGTTTCTTGAAAACCCGTTTTTTTTTAAATAAAGAAAAGAGTGCTCACTGATTCGGATGATGTTTTTGTTGTATATGATCGGTATGCAAATAAACGTTTCGTTGGTGGAAAAAAAGAGAGAAACACGGCCACTGGGGCGCTCGTTTTTTTTTGCCGAAATTATATATAATGTGCATATGTTTGTGTGAATGACCTTTTTTTGGTCATCATTGTACATTTGGTGCTTCAAAGTTCCGCGAACGTTTTACACTAGGGAATGCCTCGGTTTTTAATGTTTATCGATAAATTTTATCGAAAACTCACCTCCAGCTCTCAACATTTTCGCTCAAATTCGTTGCATAGATAGATGATTGTCGATTTCTGAAACAAAAAGGGATGGAGAATAGGCGATGAATAAATGAATGTGTGTGGAAATGGTTCTTGGTCTTTTGGGACCACTTGGAGTGGACCTTTCGGGCCCAAAATTTTCAGGCTTTTCGGGCTTGGACTGAAGTAGTTTGGGTCCAAGTTTCAGACCGATCGGATCATCTGGTCCCGAGTTATAGTGATTTTAGGCCGGAACGCCCATAGCAGAACGGATACTTGAACTTCAATCCAAGCCCGAAAAGCCTAGAAAGTGTGGGCCCCGATTGGAACATTCAAAATATTGAAAATCGATAAAAAAGACCTAGTGCAAATGAGTCAGAAGACGCTGTCTTGACAAAAGAAGCTATCAAAGTTTATCTCAAAGACATCGACCGTTTTTAGTACGTCAGGGGGTTAAGGTTAGCGCAGAAATGAGTCAAAAGTGATGTTGAAGCGTATACGCATAGTTTCCAGTTGATTGAAAATGTGAAATGTGAAGCGGAATGACAAGGAAAAACAAGAGAAATGATGGGTGAGGAGAGCAGTTTTCTTTTTCGGCATTTCGATCAAAAATGAATGGGAATGGCGGTGAGAACGAGACAATAATCGGTTCTTTGTCCGTCTTCTTCCTCTTCTTCTTCTTCTTCTTCTTGTACGAAAGTAAAATTGACCTTCTCCGTTTGTCTTGAGACCTCTTCAGCATTCCGATGCATTCAAGTTGACAACACAAAAACCAGACGGTGTTCAGTCAATTTTGAAGATTTTTGAATAGTTAAAAAACGAATTGAAAGATAAGTTTGTGCTCTACAACCGTCAATACAATCACTTTTCACGATCATGCTTCCGTGCCGAGATATTTTCGTTTAACGTCAGCTGACCTTTTTGATAGGTTTTTGAGAGGTGTCTTTTGACTTCTTTGCGATTAATCACAGTTGCGGATCGTGAACGTGTAAAATGGTTAACTATAAACTTTCAGAGCAGAAAATTGTCTGTCGATTTGTTTTTTAACATTTGAAAAATCTTCAAAATCGACCGAGAAACGAGCGATTTGAAAGTTGACAATATTCCGCACTTTTTCACTGGTTTTGGAGCCCTATATCTCAAGTACCTATGCTTATTCGAAAAAGTTGGCAACTGAAAAGTTGTTGTAAATTTTATGCTCTACAACGTTGCAATTGAAAGTTTTGCGCCAAAATGTTTAGTTTTCAAGTTATGAGCTCGTTTCTTGGCTCGGTTACTTGGTCACTTGGTGTCCGTTTGATCTAGTTATGTGCTGATTCACACCTTCAAAAACTATACTCATTTTGTAGCAAATTTTGCGCTGAATACTCGACACAACGTGTGTGAGTTCAAGAAATGGAAAAATCCAAAGAGAAGGAAGTGGGAGGAAGCAGGTAAAAGGCAAAGTGAGACGAGGAGAGGAAGCTCATCAAAACATGAAAAGTGAGAGAGAGCGAGAGAGAGAGAGAGTGGGAGTGAGAGAGCGGGGCGCGCGGGGCCAACTGGGCAGATACCCGAAGGAAAGAGAGAGAGAGAGAGAGAGACAGAAAGTAACCGATTACACAACACAACCACTAGTTAGTTACTTCATTTGTAGACGGACGGTCACATATTTTTTCAAAATGTTTACGCTATGCAAACTCGAAATGAAACATACATTTCTCACCTGGTTCGGAACACTTTTCACCTCAAAATGATATCATCGGCGAAAGCACATAAGCGAGAGGAGAAAGAAGAAACACAAACAGTTTTTATATCTTTTCGTGGCGGTCTTCTTGGGACCGAAACGAAACGATGAGTCATTGTTGTCGGACGACACGGACGAGAACAAATCATGGCAAACTTTTTTTCCCTCAAGAACATGAATCACTTGAAATATCGAGGCGAAGCGAAAAGGTCGAGAGGGGCGGTGAAATGAAAGGAATTGAACACGGTTACACACTCATCTCTGACTGTTTGCCACACGGCATCATCATGCTTTTTGTGTGCGCGTGCCTGCCGACAAGAGTTCGTGTTTGCGCACCTCTTTTCATTCTACTTTTTCCATCACCTGTAAACAAGATGGGCACAGAGAACACAGAGATCAATCAGACAAAAAAAAAAGAAAAAGAGTTCTAGCAGCGAGTGGTTTCGATCCACCGACCTCTGGGTTATGGGCCCAGCACGCTTCCACTGCGCCACGCTGCTGTCGGCGGGACGGGGCGCCGAGGGCCTAGATGTGCGCGCTGGAAACCGCGCAGTTTCAGGGCGGCTGACCATTTTTGGGGGTCGTTTCTCCGTATGCTAATGACCAATTTCCTCCGTCGTTTCGTGTCCCGATTCGTCCTTGAGACCATTCTTTTCTTGTCCGTCTACGCCCGTACCTTTTCACGACACCTTCCCGCGACATGACAGCACCATTCAATCGATTCTCCGCCTCTTTTCTAGTCATTTTTCCCATTCTTTTTGGTCCTATTTATGCAGAGTAAGTGTCATTTTTGTGATTAGAACCTCCAAGGGAATGAGCTTAAAAGAGTCTAAAACGGAAAACAAATGTGATTTTTAGGCCTTCAACACTGATAGAATGCTACCGTTCTTTCAAAGCCACGTATCTTAGTTGTGGGTAGAGATTTCAAAAAGTGGTCAACTGAGAAAATGTACAAAATTTCTTAATGAACATTGTATTCGTTGACAACATTTTGATATCTCTACCCGCAGCTGAGATAGAGCGTTTTCAATGACCGGCACCCTTCTACTACAGTTTACATTGACACACAATCACATTCATAAAATACAGCACAATTCTGGCAATCTCGACTTTTTCAGAAACGTATTCTGCACCTATTATCGCGAAGAAAATCAGATTACTTGCGGGTGAGTCATTTCAAGACAAAACGTTACGCTTTTTCTGAGAATTTCAGAACAGTAACATGTCCGACGCACATTCCGCCGAATGCCGATCTGGAAAAAGAGGGTCTTGACGTGAAACTGCCGCCCGGCTGGTACCGAATCGGCACGATGACGATTCGGCACGACAAGGGATGGCTGAATTTGTACCGGCGACGGGCCATTGGCCACGGATACTGGGATTTCTATACGAATATTCCCGAGCGCAATTGTGCCGGGTCGGTTTTTCGGTTTTCGCGACAACAAATTGTGGGTTTTGGTTACAGAACTTTCGGATTGCACGCCGGAGACAACATTTCCGGGTCGGTAGCGGTGAAGAGCAAGGAGTGTTTCGATAAACTCATTTATCAGGTATGCAAATGCGCTCCGCAACTTTTTCTTGAATATTTCGTGCTTTACATCTTTATACTCAATCAAAATCAACTTTTGCTGACAAGAGAGAGAGAAGAACATCGACAATTATCAATTTTTCACGTTTCGAGCTGAAACACTGTCGATTTTCGGCTTCAAACAATTGTCTTTGCGTTCCCAATAATTTTCGACACTGCTTTTATCTGAAAACTGTTCAATTTCTCGAAATTTCGCTCTGAAGTTCAAATTTGCAGCCAACAGTGCGATAGAGCGCACTTGCTGACCACGTATTCTATTAATTTTATTACAGATCGAGAAAAAGTCGACAATCGAGAAGATCGACGTGTACCAGTGTCGCAAGTGCATTTTCCACAGTTGTTGGCTCGGAAGTCGACTTTTGCCGCGCGCACGCGACTATTACACAAATCTCAGAAGTTTATAATTTGTGTATTCAAACAAATAAACTGACTTCAATGTTACAATCGAATTGCGGAAGATGACACTGAGTAGACACTGCAAAAAACGAGAATTTTTCAAAATTTAACTAAAACCGTTAAAGAGTACCCGTAATTTTGAGTGGTCTCCGGAAAAATGTCCTCTTTTCTAAGTTGGCTCCTGTCGAAAATGTGATCGGCAAAAATGAGTTGGCAAAACGATTTCAATCGATTTTCGCGCATTTCTCGAACGGCGTTATTGATCAAAGTTCCGTCAGTTTTCAGCACTTTTAGCATCGTCTCTTTTCCGAATTCTGCAAAACTTGGCTTCAAAAATTGAAAACAAAAGCCACTGACCACTGAGAAGTTGGTCAAAATCGAGGCGGGCCGCGAGAATCGTGTCCGGAATGCAATAGTCTCCTTCGATGGCCAATCGAACGTCTTTACGGACTTTCGCGAGGAATCCCACACTGCTCGCCGCCAATAGCTTCTGAAAATTGCAAAAAAAAAATGAGCGGCAAGATCTAGCGGAGCGGGATTTCCATCTTTTTGCGAACAACAAAACATTCGTACAAACATTCGTCGCCTTGTTTTAAACGTTTCATAGCTCACCTGCGCGCTGGCCACTGCCGAATCTCGATCGCTCGCATTGATGATCTGTGTGCCACCGAAACTGAGCACTTTTTCGATTTCCTGCGGAACTTGGCCTAAAACTTCATAGCCTTTTTTAGCCTATAGTTGTGGTGACCCACCATTCAAAGCAATTGCAAAATTGGGAAAACTGGAAACGCGTGGGTGTAAAACATTGAAAAATTCGATAAACTGGGGGTCTTTCGAGTCCACAATGATGATGTGCGACTTTTCCATTTTTCTCATACAAATATCCGGGTAATTGAGGTCCGCTTCGACTGCTTCGAACCCATTGGGCATAAAGCTCAGAATATCGATTGATTTTTCGGTAGGCTCTCTGTGAATACAAACGTTTTTCAAAAACGCATTTTTATAACTCACATTCTTGGTTCGCTGAGCCAAATTGTGCTCACTGCCGTCTTCTCCGTCACTTTCGCATACCCGAAACTTTGTAAAAATCGACTCAAATGGAATTCGTAAAAGTGCAAATGATCCGTCGAGCTCATTTTCCAGCTAACGCCCACGCTTTCAGAGTCTTTAATTTGACACTTTGAAGCATGCTTCAAAATAACTTTACCTTTCCGAAAAGCGAAAAACAAAGTGATGGCGCCGGCTTGGAATGCGTAGGAAAAGTCAATTTTCGAATATTTCACTTTGTCTAGGCTTCTGTTCGTCGAATAGTTGAACAGGGATTTCGAGAGCACGCCCACTTCGCAATCGTCTGAAAATTTGATAAAATGCAAGTGCGCGCTCCACCGAAATGCGGCATCAACAAAATTTCGCGCCAAAAATGCGTTAGAGTCATTTCTGACGTCTTGACATTTTAAAATCGGGAAAAAAAAACAACAAATGCCAAGACTTTCGATACAAAATCGATACTTCCAACAGAAATCTCTGAATTTTTACCTAAAATTTCGAAAATGCGCAACTTTTCGCCGACCGCGAGCGCTGTGAATGCGGCGGCGAATCGAAGAAGTTCCACGTGTCCGCCGGGTAAAACATCGTAAATCTCATCGTCGAAATTTCGTGCAAATTCCTCGAGAAGCTCCTAGAAAAATTTCCTGCATTCTCGAAAAATAACGTCTTTTATTCTTACATAATACCACATTTCGATGAGTTCTCGCTCGTCGAGATGCGCGGCACAAACGATTTTATCGATTATTTCGAGTCCGTCGGCCATCATATCGAAATGTCGACGGTGAAGCATTGCCACGTGGCATGCGATTCTCGGATTTTCGCATAGTTTCGACGATGCGGGCGGTGGCGAGAGTTTCGGAGCGAACATGTCAAACAGACGGCATTGGGTCTCGCCTGGAACGTTGAAAAATGAACTTTTTTGGGGCCTAAAATTGCTATTGCTCGGACTACCTTCAAACGCTTCGAGAACCTTCCAATCGACCGTCTTTCCCAGGTGCCACGTGGCAATCAGTTCCAGCTCATTCAGCATAGCTTCTCCGATTTTCGGAGAGCTGCGAATGCGATTGAGGACGGTATCCCAATCGTTTTTATGATAGGCCCTCACAATTTCCACTTCTTCCGACTTTTCGAATGCCGAGCCTTTCGTCTGCGTCCAGTGCGGTGCCAAGAGCGTCAAATCCGTGCGAAACTCGGGAAACTTTGCAATATTCGGATGGTGTTCGCATGTGAGCGCTTGAACGAAAAGGTCCGGAAACGTGTGACGACACCGTTTCAAGAGGCCCGGCATGTCGGAGAAGTTGTCGAGGGAAATGAGATATTCCAGAAGGCGATGCGAGTGTTTTCGAAGTCGACAGGACGAGAGGATGTCGATGAGTTCGAGAAAGTTGGCATCCTGAAAAAAAAAGTAGGCGTCTATGGCTGAAACATGTTAAGCAGAGTTGAGCGGAAATGGAATTGTGAAATCCAGAAGACGGCAGACGGAAGAAAATATTTTTTTACGGAACACGGAAAACGGAAGACGGAAGAAAACTTTTTTCCCGGAAGACGGAACAACAAAATTCACGGAAGACGGCAGAAGGAATTCCGCTCAACTCTGATGTTCAGGCCTTTGGCCTACTTAGACCCTAACTTCTTGTCACATTTTCGGTCCCTAGCCAGTACTTACCGGCCCGAATCAACATCATTCAACAAAAAGTTGACCTTTCAACGAAAATGATAAAGAAAAGATAAGATTTCCTTCTTCGTGTCTGTGACAGATGATCGAATTGCGCGGACGGCCGGACCCACCGATACCATATCTTGCATCTTTTTTTTTTCATTTTTCATCACTGTACTCGAAAATGGCTGCTAACATTCTCACCAACATTGAGTAAGTTTTTGCTTAATTTCTAGATACCTTATCCACTGAAATGTTCATCAGCCCGCGCAACTACGACCACCTCCTGCACATTGTCGAATCGATCAAAAAGCAAGTCGGTTGCGAAGTGGCCAACGGCGAAATCGGAATAATCTGTGGATCGGGCTTCGGGCCTGTCGCCGACCTGGTCACCAACGCCACAATTATACCGTATGCCCAAATTCCCGGATTCAAAACGACCGGGATTACGGGACATCGCGGAAACTTAGTGTTTGGCACGTTGCACGGGAAGCGAGTGATTTGTGTTCAAGGCAGATTTCATCCTTATGAACATGACACCGACCTGGCATTGGTAACTTTTACATCAGCTCCTATCACTTTATCATTGACTATTTTTAGTGTTCGCTGCCAGTCCGAGTTCTCCACTTGCTCGGTGTCAAAGTGCTCATCGTGTCAAATGCGGCCGGAGGAATCTCGTCGAACATCCGTCAAGGAGAGCTAATGATCATCAAGGACCAAATCTTTTTGCCCGGTCTCGCAGGCCGGTCCCCATTAGTCGGTGTTCAGGATCCGCGATTCGGGTGTCGTTTTGTGTCGATGCACGATGCGTACGAGAAAGAGCTTAGGGTCCTGGCGCAGAGAATCGCATGGCAAGTGCTGGGAAAGACGTTGCACGAGGGTGTTTATGCGATGGTCGGAGGTCCGCAATTCGAGGCACCCGCAGAGGTTGGTCACGCAGCCCGGAGCTTCATACAGATTATTTTTCAGGTAGCCCTTCTCAAAACGGTTGGCGCCGACGCGGTGGGAATGTCGACGTGTCACGAGGTGACAGTGGCCCGTCAGTGCGGAATAAAAGTGCTCGGCTTCTCCCTGATCACCAACGTCGCCAATTTGAACGTGGACGACGCGGTGGAGGTGTGCTCGGACGAGGTGCTCGACACGGCGAAAGAGGTCGGAGACACGGCTTCGCAATTTGTGGCCGCAGTGGTCGGCGCCCTTATAAATCACAATAACTCACTTCCAATGTCAAACTCATCATAACCCTCAACAAGTGCTCCGCGTCGCCGTCTCGCCCGTTTTTCACTTCAAACTCCAATAAATCCCTCAATGACTCGAATTTTGCCTTCGGTTCCATTTCGTACTCGAACAGTTCGACGTGTCTTCGCACAAATTGAATAGTCATTTCGCTGTCGTGGCCGTGATTTCGATAGATTTCCGAAATGAGACGGTACGCCGAACACAGCTGTCCGTTCGATTCACAGTCTTCCGCGAGGCTTATCGCCTTTTCCACGGCGCTCAACGCTACTTCCAAGTTGTTTCTGTGAAAACTAATTGTGTTGGCGGCGGGAAATTTGAATTTCATACATCGACAGCAGCGTGTCTTATCGATTAAATGTTGAGAAATTTGTTAAAACATTTGTGAGAGCCAAATTTTTTGGAGTTAATTTATCGATTATCGAAATTTCAGCCGAATTTCAGCATACCTCTGCCGCTCCGCCTTCGCCAACAAAATGAGCATCTCGACCTTCTGTTCGTTGTCGTTGGCCAATTTGAAAATGGTCAACGCACTCCGCGCGTGCTCACAAACCCCGTCGGTCTGTCCGGACAACGCCTTGAGCCGCGCGACGTTCGAATGCGCGTCGGCCATCATTTTCGCGTTTTTCAGCTGTCGGCCCACTTCCAACTGCTGATAATAGTACTTTTCGGCGAGCCAAAACTTGTTCTGATCCTTCAGCGAATCGCCGATTCGCTCGAGAATCTCGGCCTCGCGGTGCGTGTCGTTCGCGTCTTGCGCCTCTGTTAAACTCTGCTCCAACGATATGAGTTTGGAGTTGAAGTCCGAGTTTTTGTCCATTAGCGCCATGTCTTCGAAGATTAGCGAACGCGTTTTGGAGTCTGCAAAAGAAAAAATGATTATCTCAGCTGCCCGTGGAGATTTTAGAGAAGCAAGACTAGAAAGACGCGCTTTGCCCCATGACACACGCATCTCCGGACTATGTTCAAAATCCTTACCTAAATTCAAGTTCAAATAACTTTTCAACTGCTCGAGCACTTCCTTCGCCTGCGAATAGTTGAAAGTGATGAGCCAGCGATATTTGGCAGACAGGCATTGCACTTTTTCCGTCCGACGAGCTATTCTGAATGTTCATTTTGAATAAAGATTGTTATTTTTCTATTTTAGCACTGAAACTCGCCACAAATAACGAAAAAAACCAACCGAACATCAAGAGTTTCGGGATTCGCGGGAAGCTAGGTCAAAAGTAGCTAAAATTTGTTGCTTTTTCCGTAAACTTTGTTCATTTTCACGCGAATTTTGAAGACGGAACATTTCTGCGTTTCCTCCGTCCGTTAATCAACACAAAAATGCGGGTTTCTTTTTGTGTTTCGTGCCGGGCCTTTTGCAAGTATAGTTTTTTTTTTAAATAAATACCTCTCTGCAATTTGAAGCGCCTTATCGAAATACGGTCCCGGCTGCTCGCTGACCGTCTCGTCCTGTGCCAGCCGTCCCAATTGCAGCAGTCCTTTGACGCGTTCGTTTCGGGTCAAGACGCCCGTTTCCAAATATTTTTTCCACAATATCACCGCGGATCCGACGTCTTTTTGATGTTCGTAAATTATCGCCAAAAGCCGGAAGGCGTTCGCCTGATGCGCTTCCGTTTCCACGGACGATTCGACAGTGAACCGGCAATATCGGAGCACGTATTTCGCAATTTTCAGTGCGGTTTGTAGATTGGACGCGGTGATTTGTGTTTGGCAGAGTAGACAGTAGCAGTGGAGCGTCTGAAGTATGACAATGATGCATTTACGCTCTATTGGTAACGGCGCGGCTGCTTTCGAAAATTCCACGCTTTTTCGCTACTTCTTTTAAAAAATCATTGAAAAAACAGTGAAAGTGTAGACGGCTAGTATCTCTCGGTTATTTTCTCATTATCAAACATTTTTTTCGAATTTTTAGCGAAAAGCATCTTCATATTGTGCAGTAGAGCGTGTTCGAACTCACCAAATCCACATTGCCCTCGTTGTCCGCAATAATTTTGTTCAAAAACTCGATCGACGAGTTCAGATCCTCCAACTCGAGCATGCACCGATTGATTGTGTCGATCAACTCGAAATTGTGGTTATTCGAATTTCGCGACAGGGGTATCAGAATTTTTAGCGCTTTTTTTCGGTCGCCTTTCGCCGCAAACGCTTTTCCGAGCAATAATTCCACGGTATAATTGAAACTCTCGTCCTTTTCGCTTTTTTGCGACAATTGTTCCAACGAATCGATCGCTTTCTCGAAATTTCCGGCTTTCACGTGCAATTCGCACAATTTCAGCGTTTCCTCACGGCTCTGTAAATGAAAATATTGTGTCAATTTGAAATTTGAGCTCTGAGATGCGACAGAGCGCGATAGCCTCACCCCAGCGAGCATACTTCTTTGTGCAATGGCCACATGGAAATTCTCGCAAATTTCCGCAATTTCAGCGAGGTTTTCACGAATTTTCGAGACGGAATTAGTGTCTGAACGAGAAAACTTTGGTATAGTGCGCTCTATCGCTCAAGCGCTCTTTCATTTTTGTGAAAATTCTGAGCCATATGTGTTTTTCGCGGAAAAACTTTTTTTGTGTTTCTATCCATCAAGCTCAACGATTTCCGGCTAAAAATCCGCGGAAATTCACATTTTTCACTTGTGGCCGAGAATTTTTGCAAAAAAAGTGCGGTAGAGCGCGATAGCTTTACCGATTTTAATCGCAGTTTCGAGTCGTTTTTGCACAAACTCCATCGCCTCTTCGTATTGTTCGATTTCACAAAGAGCCGACGCCACGGAGCCAAAAACAGACTCTTGCAGCTTTATCGATTTAAAATCCAACTCCAGAGACCATTTGAGCACTTGAATCGCGTCTGAATTTCCAAATTTTTGCAAACTCTTAAATTTTAGGAAAACCTTCGAATTTCCGTTCGGCCAAAAGGGTTTGACCCAGGGTTGAGAGGATAGTCGGCACGTCCTGGTCCAATTGGAGTAATTTCAAGTTTCCCCAGGGAAATTCCCCTAAAAACCACTTCTTTTTGAGAAAATTTAGAATTCTACCGTAAAGTTCAGAAATCGAGTCGGTTAGACTCTTCAGAATCAGAAAGTTGGAACAATCCAGCCGGATCCCATTGCAAAACGCCAAAAGAGCATCGGAACTTCGGAAGTTGGCTCGCAATGACTCGCCGCGACGGTAATGAGCCTTAAAAATTTAGCGATTCCCGTTTTCCCCGCGGAAATCCTTACTTTTGCCCATTGTGGACATAACTGTACCGCTTTTTCGGAATGTTTGAGCGAAACTTCAGGCAGATTGATTTTCAGAAGGATCGCCGACAAATTGGCGTGTAGAATTCCGTTGTTCGGATACTCCAGAAGCGCAGACTCGTAGAGCTCCCTCGCTACCTGATAGCGTCCTTCGGAATACGCGGTGCCCGCTTCATGAACCACTGATTCTAGTGAATCGTTCATGCGAAGCGGGGATGTAGGGGAATTAGGGAAAAGACGAGAATAAGACGGTAAACGTGTGTACTAATCCATTTTCGGGCAATTCCGATTCGTTTGACCTTGGGGCGTTCCGTTATAATCGACGGCGCTGTCTACTAACACAATTTTTAATGGGGGAAAATCGAAAAGGAACAGAATGAGAACAGGGACCAGTGGAGGAAGAAAAACAATCATCATTTAACAAAGATCTAAGCCTAAACATTAAACGAAACGAAGCTACATAATTTAAGTCTTTAGGGCGGCGGAAATTGAGACCAAGACGGGCGGGAATTCATCGATTCATCTGGTGGACAGCTTTAGTGGAAGACTCCGAGCAGATCCGACTCGCGGAAGATCGAGTACTCCTTATCCTCGACGACGACCTGTAAAAGTCAAATTTTGCATGGAAACGGGCAAAATGATGCAATTTTCTACCTTGGTGCCTCCGTACTCTGGCAGAAGAACGCGATCTCCGGGCTTGACGGTGAGCGCCACGAGCTCTCCCTTCTCGTTGCGAAGTCCAGATCCGGCGGAGACAACGGTGGCCTCAAGAACCTAAAAAAAACCTTTTTGCAACTAAAAACTAGAAAAACTGCTACCTTTCCCTGTGATTTCTCCGGCAGCATGATTCCTCCCTTGGTCTTGGTCTCGGCAGCGACTCTCTCGACGAGAACTCGGTCGTAGAGTGGCTTGAACGACTTGAGAACGTTGCTCTGCAAAAATTGACATTTAAAATTCAAAAAAATCGGGGGAAATTGTGAATTTTTCACTTACTGAGCGACGGATGGTGGTCAAGAACATGGTCGGTCTGAAAAAAGTTAGTTGTTAATTTTTTCTATGAGAACATCGATAAAAATTCACATTTTTCGACAAAGAAGCAGAAAAATCGTTCACAAAGGCGCTTTACAATAAAAAACGGCGATGGAATTTTCGCGAAACTAGGAGAAGAGTGAGAGCCTGCGCGCGGCGCACTTGCAAAAGAGGGCGGAGTCAGGCAAAATCAACGAATCGTCGCAAAAACTCTGCACGAGCGGCCAATCAACGTGAAAAGCTCCGCCCATAAAAGCGTGCCAGGGTTGCAGAAGTTTGAAAAAAGGGCGGTGTATTATGGAGTGATGCAAAAATTTGTTCTCTTCACTTTCCGCTTGTCATTTTCGCCTATTCTTCGCTGATCTTGCGTCAATTTTTGCATCATTCTGCGCATTTTTCATCGATTCATCCAATTTTTGCAGACAAAATGCTTCGCCTCGCTAGAAAGGGACTTCAGCACGGAATCGTCAGATCCTACGCAAAGGATGTGAAGTTCGGAGCCGAAGGACGCGCCGCCATGCTCGTCGGAGTCAACCTGCTCGCCGATGCCGTCTCTGTGACTATGGGACCGAAGGTTTGTCGCTTTTTCTCTAGACTTTTAGGGAAAATCCTAAATTTTTCACATATTTTTTTTTACTTTGCAGGGAAGAAATGTGATCATCGAGCAGTCGTGGGGAAGCCCGAAGATCACCAAGGACGGAGTGACAGTCGCGAAATCCATCGATCTGAAGGACAAGTACCAAAACTTGGGAGCTAAGCTTATCCAGGATGTAGCCAACAAGGCGAACGAGGAAGCCGGAGACGGAACCACTTGCGCCACTGTTCTCGCACGTGCCATTGCGAAGGAAGGATTCGAGAGCATCCGACAGGGAGGAAACGCCGTCGAGATTCGTCGCGGAGTCTTGAACGCCGTCGAAGTCGTTGTCGCCGAGCTGAAGAACCTTTCGAAACAAGTGACGACCCCGGAGGAGATCGCCCAGGTTGCCACCATCTCCGCCAACGGAGACACCGTTGTCGGAACTCTGATCTCTGATGCGATGAAGAAGGTCGGAACTACCGGTGTCATCACTGTCAAGGACGGAAAGACGTTGACCGACGAGCTCGAGCTCATCGAGGGAATGAAGTTCGACCGAGGATACATCTCGCCGTATTTCATCACTTCGGCCAAGGGAGCCAAGGTCGAGTACGAGAAGGCTCTCGTTCTGCTCAGCGAGAAGAAAATCAGCCAGGTTCAAGACATCGTCCCGGCTCTCGAGGTCGCCAACAAGCTCCGCAGACCACTTGTCATTGTCGCCGAAGACGTCGACGGAGAGGCTCTGACCACTCTTGTTATCAACAGACTCAAGGTATGTGTGTACTCGTGATGCATTTGATGACAGTTGATAGAACCTGTTATTGACGTTTATAGCGATAGCGCACTGAGAATTACAACAACAAAAAAGGGTTTTATTTACAGGTCGGACTCCAAGTCGTTGCTGTCAAGGCCCCAGGATTCGGAGATAACCGCAAGAATACGCTCAAGGACATGGGAGTCGCCACCGGAGCCACCATCTTCGGAGACGACACCAACCTCATCAAGCTCGAGGACGTCACCGCCAACGATCTTGGAGAGGTCGACGAGGTCACGATCACCAAGGACGACACCCTGCTCCTCCGCGGACGTGGAGACCAGGCCGAGATCGAGAAGCGCATCGAGCACATCACCGACGAGATCAAGCAATCGACCAGCGATTACGAGAAGGAGAAGCTCAACGAGCGACTCGCCAAGCTCTCCAAAGGAGTTGCCGTTCTTAAGATCGGAGGAGCTTCGGAGGTCGAGGTCGGAGAGAAGAAGGATCGTGTGACTGACGCTCTCTGCGCCACCCGCGCCGCCGTCGAGGAAGGAATCGTGCCGGGAGGAGGAGTTGCTCTCCTTCGTTCGCTGAACGCTCTTAAGTCCTACAAGGCCGCCAATGAGGATCAGCAGATCGGAGTAAACATTGTCAAGAAGGCCCTTGTTCAGCCAATCTCGACGATCATCAGAAACGCCGGACTCGAGCCGTCTTCCATCGTCGACGAGGTCGTCGGAAACAGCAACACGGCCTACGGATACGATGCTCTCAATGGAAAGTTCGTCGACATGTTCGCCGCCGGAATCATTGACCCGACCAAGGTATTTGCTGTTTGTTGCCATGTTTAACTGAAATCGTATCTTTCAGGTCGTCAGAACCGCTCTTCAAGACGCTTCTGGAGTCGCCTCTCTTCTCGCCACCACCGAATGTGTAGTGACGGAAATTCCGAAGGAGGAGCCAGCCGGTCCAGCCGGAGGCATGGGAGGAATGGGTGGAATGGGCGGTATGGGAGGCATGGGCTTCTAAGCGAACCATCCGACCACCTCGACATTCCATGTACCATCATTTCTTCTCGCACTTTCCCAAAACGTGTTTAGCCCCAACACTTTCTCTGCTCAATGATGATTCCCCCTGAATCTCTTGCTTAATTTTGTCCCAAAAATGTTAAAAAATGATCTTTGAGCTCTTGTTTTCTTTTTGTTGACTCTCAATGATATACGTTTTTCTGAGTTGTTTTTCGTAGCATAGATTAGTCACTTTAGTATAATATTTAGATGAATCTCTTCTTGTTCACTGTTTTCTCCATTTTCCTTCCTTCCAATAAATTATTTCAAAATACCCGCCGCACGACCACCTAATTGTTTTGTCGTCAAGGCGACGACGCACGCGCGCGCCGCCTCGTCAGACACAAACATCTCATTCTATCCGTTTCTCGTCGCAATGAGCGGCAGTATTCGAGAAATCGGGTTCATTCTAAACGACATCAAAACTACCGACATCTTCCAGAGATATTCAATCTATTTGAAAATTGAAAATTACGAACCTATCAAAATTGGCGACTTCGGCAAAACTGGTAAGTTTTTGAAGTCAATTGAAATTGGTTTTATTCTAATTTTAAGTATAAAACGTGTTCAGATCTTCCAAAAGGCCAAACATTTCCGGTGCTCCTCGGCGAAAAATGGTTCGATCGATCGGAAATCGAGTTGGAAGTGCGCAAAAACGGCGAGAAATACAGCGCAATTGTAGGATTCAATTGTCGAGATGTAAGCGCGAATTCAAAATGTTTTTTGTTCAAAACGATGTTCAGAGCAATGCGGGATTGTACGGAACGCTGGATCTGTTCAACGAGCGAAACCGCGAGGAGACGTTGGAAATCACGTGCACGATTGTGATCGAACGGCCCGAACGACGAGAGAGTGTGCGGGCGAGGGAGACGCAGACGGTCCCGGTCAGAAGGACCGAGGCCGCAGTTCAGGTTGGTCTTTGGTTTTTGAGGCCTGAACTGATTGGACTTGGATTGAAGTGTTTTGGTGTCCAAGTTTCAGACCCGAGGCCGAAAAAGCCGGGCCTGAAAATGTGATATTTTCCAACTTTCCAGACTCAAAACGCCCCGGAAACCACGAAAACCGATGCGTCCACTTGCACATCGGGCAGATCGATGAGTGTGGAGCAAATCGAGCCGATCATCGCTTCCTCGATCGCCAGACACCTTCAAGAGCACCGCCGCGAAGCGAAACGTTCGAAGGATCCACCGAAAGAGAGCCAAGAGCCGGCGGATCCGAAGCCTAGCGATGAGCCCGATGATACCGTCCATATTGGACCCGATGATGCCCAATTGAACTCGTTTAATCTGGTCCCGCGGCTCACAAGACTGAGAGAATTGGACGCGCAAATTGCGGAAAAGTCTCGAATTTTGCGAGAATTGGATGTGGAATTGGAAGTCAAACGGAAGTTGAATCAAGTGAAAATGAAGAGGGAAGAGATTGAAAAGGAGAAGAAGAAAGTGAAAGAGCCTTCTGAATCGTCAACGTCTTCGAGGTCTTCCTCTTCGTCGTCGACGTCGTCAACGTCGTCAAGTTCCGAATCTTCTTCTTCTTCCACAGAGCCATCAAGTTCAGCGATTTCCACGACGACATCTTCGAAATCTTCTTCGATATCATCGAAAAAACCGCCGGCTCCACCGAGAAATCCCGTAAAACCGGCTCGAAAACCAGACGAAACTGACGAAAGGTACAAGCGCGCTCTATCGCACTGATTTCCCTCTTTTTCAGCACAATCGAAGACCCGTTTTCGGCGCACAAAAGCCCGGAGCCCGAGGAGCCGCAGCCGGCGATTTCGCCGACAACCGCCTATCTCGAATCGATGAAACAACGTCTGCTCGCTCAATATCAAGAGAAATTCGATCAATAATTTCGCTTGTGTTAATAAAATCTCTTTTTCTCCAAAAAAAAACCAAACCGAACAACAGAGATGCCTCTCGTATTTTCCGTGTCTGCATCTCTTTTTCTCTCGCATTCTGCCACTGAGAAGAGCGTTGACGTGCACACTAAAGCACCGCCCAAGCGAGATGCCATTTCTTTTCATTTCACTCTATTTTTGGAGCTGTTTACGAGAAAACCCCGCTTGTTTTCGATAATATCGCCTCAGAGAAATGCGTGCAGTCGTTCTTCCAATTTTACGGAAATTCTAGGCCATGTAAGCCAGCGAAATTCGAATTTCTCGCGTTTTCCCGCTAAAATCGCACATTTTCAAGTTAGCTAGGTAATTTTGCGGTTTTCGATATTCGTGGCCTACGGTTGGCTCGAAATTATAATGGAAGAACGGCTGCGAATTGAGCGATAGAGCGTGTTTAGAACATTTTTCAGACCTTTCAAATGTGTACCTTTATTTTTCTCGCAAAAACTTCTCAATATTTGTTCAGTCCATCTTTGTCGGCATTTTTGGTTGGAGAACCCGAAAAAATTTCCTTGTTCTGTTCAAATATTTCCGCTCGAAATGTGAGAGTCTCCCACAGAATATCCAATGACTTTTTCTCGCGAAAAATTGATTTTCCTCGCCAAAACACTTTCAAATTGCCTTCGTCGGCGGAAAAAAGGAGAAAGAAAAAGATGCCTTTCGCCTCTTTTTCCAGAAGAAATTCGATAAACTCTTCCTCCCCCTCCGCACTTTTTTCGTCTTTTTTCTTTTGGAGTTTCCCTTGAGACTGCCTCGTCTTTTCGATAGCATTTCGCGGAAATATTTTGACCTCTTTTAATATTATCAGACTGCCGCATTGATACCATCATCTTTTGACCGTCTCCGCCACCCGAAAATGTATTATAATCACACCACCCGGTGGTCAAAAAGTGCACTTTTAAAAGAATTCCCTTTTCATGGCTAAAAAATTTGAAAAACTATGTGAAATGTCGCAAAAAAAGTCAATCAGAGCGGTACTAATTCGATTTGCTGTTGCAAAACTGATAAAAACGATAAAATTCTCTCCTTCTCTTCTTTTTCTTCTACTTTGTACTCTTTACACACGCGTGTTGAATGATCGCAAATTACGGGCTTGTCCGTCCTGAAAACAGAGAAAATATCGATTTCGCCGACCAACCCGTTAATTTAGTGGCTCCTCGAGCTGTTTTCCGCCCACTTGCATCGCACGTTTTTCGGAGAAAACACCAGTTTTGGTGGCTTTTCGCAAAAACAATGCAAATGCGCTCTATTGCGAGCGAAACTGAAAATTTGGTTGGCGGCAAGTCAAAATTTTGAACCCTTCTTTTGCAATAAAGTGCTTTTTCATCATTTTCAGCGTTCCTCCGGATCTTTTTGAACTATTCCGATTTTTTAGGTGTCGTCATGAAGTTCGACGACTTCCTCTTTACCTACTTGGGTGAAATGGGCAAATACCAAAAGATCCAATTTTTGCTCGTTTGTCTTCCGACGATCGTCGTCTCGATGCACGCACTCTCATGGACATTCGCATCCGTAGACACCCCTTACAGGTAAGTACATTAAAATGAATATGAAAAAAAGGTTTTCGAATTTTGCAGATGTCGTTTACCGCAAGATCCGCAGCAGCCGACCTACTACACAAAAGCGCTGAATTTCACGAAATGTACGAACGACGCGGACGCAAATGTGCCGATTGGAAAGTTCGGAGAACCCGGAATCACAGTAATTTCACAAAACTTGCTTATTTTTCGCTAAAAGTCAATAATTTAAGTGCCACTACGAGCGCTGTTCACTTCCGGACAACGGAACATGCAGCGAGCACGTTTTCGACCATTCCAAAGTCGAATACACGGCTGTGCAGAGAGTGAGTTTGGGGAGAATCGCGTTCTACCGCACGTCTCGGATTTGTCCGGTTTCTTGGGAAAAACGATTCGAAGACCATTATTTTGTGTAATTTACTCGAAAAATCAGGCAAGTTGAGTTTTCCCACGCTTTTTGTGTGGTTTAAAAACTTTGTTAAATGTGCGGTAGAGCGTTTTCGTCATTTTCATCACAAACAATCATTCCGCTCGTTTTTCAGTGGGAAATCACGTGCGACCGTTCGTGGATTAAAGCGACGATTCAGGCGGCGTACTACGTCGGCCAAATGGCCGGCTCGATGACTTTCGGCGTGCTCGGCGACCGGATTGGCCGCAAAAAAGTGTTTTTCCTGGCGATTCTCATTCAGATCACGTGCGCCTACCTCATCGCCGTCGCCCCGTTCTGGTGGCTTTACGCGATCGCCAGAGCCGGCACCGGATTCTCGCACCCCGGCATTTTTGTGATCGCCGTCGTCATCGGCATGGAACTCGTCGGACCGCAGTACCGAAAGTTGGCTTCCGTCATCACCGGACTCTTTTTCGCGTTGGGACAGGTGAGCAATTCGAAAAAATCCGTTTTTTTTAACCATTTTATCAATCAATGAAAGTTTGGGCGTTATTCTTGCGTCAAAAGTGCGTTAGAGCGCTCGTGCATTTTTAAAAGACCATCGAATCTTCAAAACTTGACGAATTTGGGCTCAAATTCAAAATTTGCAGGTATTCCTCGGAATCGAGGCGATCTTCTTCACCAACTACCAAATTTTGCACGTGGTAATCGCCTCGCCGGCCCTTCTTTTCCTCTCCTACTGGTGGCTCGTTCCGGAGAGCGCTCGCTGGCTCGTCTCGCAAAAACGGTACGAGGAGGCGGACGCGGTGCTTCAAAAGGCCGCCAAAATCAACGGAGCCGAACTGCCGGAGAACTGGTGGGAGCAGCTGGACGACGCGAATTCGGGCGGCTCGTCGGGCTCCGGAAGCAAAAGACTGACCGGTGCCGATCTGTTCAAGACGCCCGAGCTGAGGAAGCGAACGCTCGTCGTCTTCTTCTTGTGGCCCGTCATTTCGATGGTCTACTACGGAATGGCGATGAAGGCGAACGTGCTCGGCGGCGATATCTACGTCAATTTCATCTTCGCCGCACTCGTCGAAATCCCCGCCCTTTTCATCGTTTATCTTCTCATTGATAGGTTCGAAAAAGCTGCAAAACCTCGCCTAAAACCTTGATTTACTCTAGAATCGGCCGTCGTTTCATTCTGGCTGGCGGTCTGTTCATTGCCGGCGCGTGTCTTCTTATCAACTGGTTGATGGGCGACAACGGTTAGTCTTCTTTTTTAAATTTTCCTCCTCTTGCTTTTTCGTCATTCTGGCCGAGCGGTCTGAAGGGCGCAGGTTCGAATCCTGCGAATGGCAGACTCCTTTTTTGTTTTCAGTCCAACTCTGGATGGCCGTCACTCAAATGGCCTTCACGAAGGGATCCATCACGGGCGTCTACGCGGCCATATACACCTACTCGCCTGAACTTTTTCCGACTGTCATCCGAAACACTGCCATGGGATTCTGCTCCACAATTGCGAGAGTCGGAGCAATAGCCGCCAGCTACATTTCCATGTGGATTGTGAGCAAAGATCGATAATTTCTGTACGTAAAACTATTTTTTAGGCGGAGCAGTTCGGAAAGGTGTTCATGATCATCCCATTCGGAATCATGGCCGTTTCGGCAGCTCTTCTGACTCTCATCTTCTTGCCAGAGACCATGGGAAAACCTCTTCCGGAAAGTATCGAAGAGATCGAAGAAGGATCCTCGTACAGAAGCACTCATGAGATGCAACCATTGTCCAAGTCTACCGAAGAAACCGCATAACTGTTCCATTCCACGCCTAGTTCATAATTTTGACCAATTTCCAAGTTTCACTTTTTCACTCAGGTTCTGAAGCGTTCACTCTGTATTTACGTTGCTGTATTAGTCTGTCCTGTTCAATAAAATTCTTCATTCGTTAGTCGTTTTTTTGGGGTTTATGTAAAAGCTAAATACAAAAGACAGCGGCTAGTCGAAAGATTTTATTCGAACTAATAGATTACTGAGTTTGAAGTTCCGCCGCCCGCTTTCTTTTTAGGAAGAATTTAGACTTGGGAGATCTTCGCCCCCCACAAACAATCGGCTATTTAACAAAACATTTAGAGAGCGAACAAGATCATGAAACCCATAGTCAAGCAGAACAGTCCCATAGCCTCGGAGAGGGCGAATCCGAGAATAGCGTACGAGAAGAGCTGTTGCTTGAGCGATGGGTTACGGGCGTATCCGATGACGAGAGCTCCGAAGACGTTTCCGATTCCAGCTCCGGATCCAGCGACTCCGACGGTGGCGGCTCCAGCTCCGATGTACTTGGCAGCAGAGTCGATGTCCTTGCGGGCAACGGTGGTGCTGATCATGCGAGCAGCGACAGCGTTCTCCATGCGGAGAGCGAGTGGGGCTCTCGAGGCCTGAAAATAAATTTGAATAAATTTCTTTTTTTTAAATTTTTCAGACGATCGCCATCTGAATTTGGAAAGCTAAAAATAACAACTTACCAGGAGGGAGCGGGTGAGCGGGAGAGCGAGACGCTGGCAGTACATGGCTGGATGAAAGTTCGTGTTACCTGAAAAACAATTGAGTTGAAAAGTCGAATTTTTGCAAAGAATAAGTGCGGAAAAAGAGATAAATTAAAAGCGAAGCGAAAAGAGGCCCATTTTGCAGAAAACTCTCTGGATAAGCTTCAAAAACGCTGAAATTTTGGAGGTTAAGGCCGTTTCTAGTATTTATCTGAAAAAATCCGATGAAAAGTAGGTATGTTTGTGGCGAACAGGCGGCTGTCGAGCGTCGCGGCACACTCGGATGGCCGCCCGTTTCTACGGGCAGCTCTCTTTTGCGCGAGGGACGCGCCGGGTCTCGACGCGAACAAAAGTACGGTAGGGGGCGGGGTTGGCCGCATGCCAAAGCGTTTTATCACTCTCTCGTCCGTTTAGCTCAAGATCCATCGATTTTCGTCCCTTATTTCGAGATTTTGACAGTGAGTTTTTCGTATGCTTCAATTTTCATGCAAAATTATCGATTTTCACTGCAATTTCACCGTAAAAGCGTGTTTTTTCGCAGAATACAATTGTTTTTCTGAAGATTTGCGATTTATGCGAAAAACTGCATGAGAACACGAGTGTCATGCGTTTTTCTGCGTTTCCACATGTGTTTTTCTTTGAAAACGTAAATTTTTACGGATAAAACTGAGAATTTTGCACTATTGCCGTGCAAACGTATATTTTTGCTGTAAAAAATCTATTTAACTTTCCAGAAATGTCGCAAACACAACCAACACAACAGCAACAACAGCAGCAGCAGCAGCCCGAAGCGATCGTCTGCGATCAGGATCAGCAGCCGCCACGCGAGTTCGGCGGAATCGAGGGCCCGAACTCGAAATACGTGAAGCTGGTGAGCAGCGACGACCACGAGTTCATCATCAAACGCGAGCTGGCGCTTACCTCGGGCACGATTCGCGCGATGCTCAGCGGTCCGGGCGTCTACCAGGAGAACGAGAGCAACGTCGTCTACTTCCGCGAGATTCCGTCGCACGTGCTGCAGAAGGTGTGCCAGTACTTTGCGTACAAAGTGCGCTACACACACGCCGCCACCGAGATCCCCGAGTTTCCGATTCCGCCGGAGGTCGCACTGGAACTGCTGATGGCCGCCAACTTCCTCGATTGCTGATGACTCACCGATTTCGTAATGTACACTTTACCACACTCCACTTGTTTTTGACCCGTCTCCACCCACTTTTCTTATCATTTTTCGGACGAATCGTCTGTCCTCAACACATTAAACCATAAACTGTCAATTCATGTAAATTTTCCGGCCCTTCTTCGCTCTGTTCACTTTTCATGCTTCGAGTTCGAACTCTGTAATTACTTGAACGAAATCCTATCCTCGCTAAATATTTAATTTAACAAATAAAGTTTGGTTTAGTGCCCGAATGGCCGCTGCCGCTGCTCCGGTCGAATCTGGCGACGTGGCCGACCAGCCGGGACACGAGACCTACTTCGCCAAGCCCGAGCACTTTTTTCCGCATCTCGCCGAGCACGGGAAAATTCCGACGGCGCAATTCCTGAGCGCCTGCCAGGGAATTGCCGATTTCGTGTGTAAGCGCTCCAAAAGCGGGCAATTTTGTGAAGGGAAATTGAAGATTTTCAGCATTTCTGGGCACCACGTTCACTCTGGTAAGGAAGGACATTCAGGGAAACGTGGACAAGGTTCGGACGCGGTTCGAGAAGGATCAGGACGGCCAAAAGTACCTGCAGGACCTGATCGACGCGGATTTGGCCGAACACGGCGGCAAATTCGGAATTGCCACCGAGGGATTGCTCTGGCTGAAAAGGTTTCGAAAATTTCTGCATTTCTTGGAAAACTGCCTAAAAATCATCGCAAAACTTCAGTTTTTTCTCAAAAATTACAGCTGTTAAGTGAAAAATCATAAAATAAGACGAAAACAGTCTCTCTACACTTTTTTACTACAATTTTACTACAATCTCTTTACTACTACGTCGAAAACTGGCGAGCGTCCGGCCAGAAAAACGCGCAAAAAAAAACAACTCGCATTATTCCCCGATAAACCGCTTTTCCGTTGCAGAGGACTGCAATTCATGCTGGAACTGCTCGCCGAAATGGTCGCCTCGTACAACTCGGGCGTTCCGCACAACAAAACCGAAGATCTGAGTGGCGCGGTGGCGAACGCGTACGCGAAATCACTGAAACGGCACCACGGATTCATTGCCAAACAGGCGTTCAAGGTAATACTAATCATTCGAATTTCGGGCCATCTTCACCCTTGCAACAGAGCGCATTTGCATTAAATATCTGAAAATCGAGCTTTTCTAGAGTTTTTTTCCCAATTGTTTCGTTCAGGTGGTAACAATGGCGGTTCCGTACCGTCACACGATTCTGAAAGCGGTGGCACTGGGCCAAGAGGGACTGGACGACGTCTGCATTCGTCACATTCAATGCCATCTCGACAATTTCCGGCTCAACGTCAAAACTCTTGTCGATTATTACATCGCCAAGGGCCTAGACACTCCGGACGTTTAATTTATACTCAAACAAGTCATTTAAAAAGTGATTTAATCTATTCAACTGTAAATTTTTAACTTAAAACTGATTTAGCTGCTTTACCCTCAATTTTTCACTTATCGCCCGAATTTTAATGAAAATCTCCCTTTTTGTTCATTTTCTTCCCGAAAAGTGATGTTCAACTACGTTTCTCGATATTTTTGCCACTGGCCAGAAAATGGCGGTCCAACATAATATTTAGAACCGCGACATAATAGAGCTGCTTTTCGGTGGAGCGCGTTTGAAAGCGGCAGTCGAAAATAATCCTCCGCTTCAAAATTTGTCCGTTCCTTTCAGTTAACTTTTGCAAAATGTTTCGTCTCTCGAACAATTAAGCAGAAGACCACAGTTTAAAGCTAGAAAATTGGTTTCCTTTCGTTTTTGATAGTACAATTAAAAAAAAATTCTGTGGGTTTTCGTTACCGTAGAGAAGAGGGATCACGACGGAAGTGAAACTAATGAATGCGATCACGAGATTCAAAAATTATCTTTTTCTACAAAACAATTATTCTACAGAAAGGTTTAAAAGCCGCTCCAAACAGTTATATTGTGGCCGGTTCTATTGTGTCGCGGTTCTATATTCTGCCCAGTTCTATTATGTTGCATCGCCCCCGAAAATGTTTCGTTTTGAGCCCGAAATTTCCAGAAAAATGCCTTTCCGACTGTTCCGCACACTTCTCAACAATGAGAAGACTATTCAGCAGGTAAGATGGTTTCTTCGCAAATTTTCCACAAAAAAGGTTTTAGCTCGCCGAATCGGCTCCGATTCGAGTTGCCGCGAAGGCGATCGTGCGTGGAATGCGACAAGTTGAGGAAAAAGTGGAAAAAATCGAAGTGGGCAAGAAATTGGACAAATTCAAGGCGATTTACGAGGAAGAATATCAGAAGGCGCTGAAAAAGTAGATTGAAATAGCGTTTTTGTGTAAATAAATAGCATATTACATGGTTTACTCGCTGCAAAAAGTACGATCCAAGGAGCCTAATCATTTTTCACACAAAAATCAATAAATCCTCTACTGGAAGCCTCCGTTCTTCGGTTTGTATCCCAATTTGTGGGCGACTCCCTCGTAGACGGGGCTCTCGTCGAAAGCGACCATTCGGGTGGCGTTCAGATCGCGTGGAGCCTTTGAAACCTGCAAAAATGGAGTTCTTGCGCTGCTTTTCAGGCTTTTAGTGTTTTCGGGCCTGAATACAAGCATTTTGAAGAAAATTGCATGTTCTTCATGTTTCTTCCAATTTTTTGCAAAAACCGTACATCTTTGTGCTTTCCGTCGCAAATCGGGCGCGTATCGGTCTGTTTGCAGTCGCACAACGGATAATCGCCGGTTTTCTCCACCTGAAAATCGAAATTTTACATTTTCCGAGCAAAAATCTGCGAGTTTACCTGAAAACTGACTGGCCGAGAGTTGGTAAGACCGTTAATCTTGTGAGTTCCGTCGCAGAAAGGCTGAGAAAAACTCAGACCGCACGAGCACCAATTGTACGTTTTTCCGGCCTCGAGATGAACCCGATTCGACTTGGCTCCCGCTGGTTTTCCCTGAAATCTCAGATCGTTTGCATAGGTATTTTGAGTTGAGCGCCGGCAATTCGGGACAGGCGAGTGGGAGAGGCTTGGTTCGAAAAAAATGCCCCAAGGCTGCCGAATTTACCCGGACTGTAACAGGTTGTTAAGTTGTTCTAACTGTCTGAATTACTTGATTACTACTTCACAGGGGGGGGGGGGGCCTTATGGTTGCCGCTGGTTCGGAAATTTCAAATGTTTTGGCGTTTCTCAAACATCCCGCTTATGATTGTTTGATTTACTTCGGTTAAAATTGAAAAAATATGCGATTTTAGAAAGTTTAACGTAAAAATGATCAATTTCAAACTGTCCAACCTTGTACGGAAGAACGTCGGCCGAATAGCTCTGAACGATGACTCCGCGAGCCTTTCCGCGGGCAGAAGTCGCCTAAAAAGTTTATTCTTCAAGTTTTTGAGTGATTTTTAAGTGCTTTACCAGTGGAGTGACGGCTTGAAGCTTCTGGCAGGCGCGGCCAAGCATGGTATTCAATTGACCTGAAAACATTGCGATTTTTTGAAGAAAACGAACGAACGCGAGAAATTCACGGATTTGACGATGTTGTTGAGCGATTTTAATCGAAAAAGGCTTTGAAAACATTTAAAAACAGATGTAAACTTCAAAGGTTCACAAAAGCAATCGGAATTCCGAAAAAATGGCTTAAAAACAGAAGAGCTGTGCGAAGAGCATGTGGTGGTATGCAAACGCGCTCTGTCGCACCTGCATTTTCTAGTCCGCGACCACTCGGCCACACTATTTCTCAGCGATTAAATGACCGTTTTCAGCTGATTTCCAGCCGAATTTTGCCATGAAAATCAACGAAAAAGTGCGAATAATTGGTCGAAAATGCGAGCTCGTTCCGTACGAAGCCGCGCACGTGCCAAAATACCATAAATGGATGGAAGACGAGGAAATTCGGCGGCTGACCGGATCGGAGCCGTTATCGCTGGAAGAAGAGTTCGAAATGCAGAAGACGTGGCGGCAGGACGACGACAAACTCACTTTTGTCGTTTTGTGCCATGAAAATGATGCGGAAACCCTAAAATCAGAGGTTTTCAATAAAATTTGTGTAAAAAGTGACATAAATAAAAATTTTAGGAGAATCGAATGGTCGGCGACGTGAATCTGTTCATAAACGAAGGGGAAGCAGAAGTGGAGGTGATGATTGCCGAGCCGAGTGGGCGAGGAAAAGGGATCGGGCAGGAAGCCGTCCAAATCATCATTTCCTATGCTATAAATGTAGGTTTCGCTCATTTTTCACACAGAAACCCTATTAAAACACAAAGACCTTTCAGAATCTTCAAATTCGCAAATTCTGCGTTAAAATCACCGACGACAACGTGCCGAGTTTGTCGTTGTTCGAGAAGAAGCTGGAATTCGTGCGCGTCAGTCACAGCCGCGCGTTTGGAGAGTACACTATGGAGCTTCCCGAGGAAAAGATCAACAAATTTGCAGATTATCTGACGGAAAATGCGCAAATTTCCAGTTATCCGCCGTAAATATATAAATACCATCTTTGATAACAATCAACAAAACAAAAATCAACAACATCTCAACTCCTAAACATTAAAACGTCCTTGTCGAGGCACGAATCGTTGAATTTCTTGTTGCGGAACAGTTGTACAAAGTGTTTGGCGGCCCGATCAAAGTCCCATCGTTCGCCGACGATTCGCTCGACGCGGAAGTCGTTCGCCTCGCACGTCTTCGCCAGAATCACCTGAATTACAGTTGTTCGGATAGTTTGTGAATCGACAGCAAAAAAGGCGCTACAACGAAATAGAACTGAGAAGAAGAAAAAACCCAGGGAAATTGAGCTCTATTCCATTGTAGCGTCATTTCTTTAATTCCGTTTTCCGGAAACAAGCTCTGACCTGAATATCATCGATCGGGGCCTCTTCGCCCTTCAAATTCAGCAGTTCCAAATACGAATAATCGCCGGTGTGATTGAGCCAGAAAAGGAGAAAATCGGCGAGATAGTACATGTTCACATGGGATTCAAGGACCAAATCGCACATGGCCAACTTCATCGCGTCCTGCACGTTCCGATGTTTCGGCGAGAGTACTCCGGGCGTGTCGATCACATAAACGGGCGGTTTGTCCATGATCCTGACCCGATTCTGCACGCGGACCGTCACTCCGGGCCTCGCTCCCGCCTCCACCGCCTTCTTCTTGATGCCGAGCGTGTGCGTGCGCATCGCGTTGATCAACGACGACTTTCCGACGTTCGGAATGCCGACCACCATCGCCTGGTACTCTGTTTTGACGGTTCGATTGAAGCGCGGCGTCGACTCGAGCGCCTCCAGCATTGCCGATTTCACGTCGTTCAGCGCCCGAAAAAACCAAGAATTACGGACTGAAATTGGAAGAATTTGAGAGAGTAGGGTTCAAAAAACATTCAAAAGCTTAAAAATCCATATGTAGTCGACTAGCGGGGTGCACGGAGTCTATTTTTCGCGCAATTTTTATGTAAAATCGCTAGAACCCAACCTGGGAAGTCTCTTTTTGCAATCGGTGAACAACACTTTCCGGACGCCCTTATCGTAATAGTAGTCTTCGATTTTCTGCCTGAAAATCTCTATTTTCATTGCAGTGAAAAAGTGAGTACCTGTACTGGCGCATATCAATCAAATCGCACTTGTTCAGCACCAAAATGTGCGGGCGGACGGCGTAGAGACTGCGGAAAAACTGCTCATTTCGGCCGGTGATCGGAATCCGAGCGTCGTGGACCTGAGAATTTGAAAAATTCGTGAATTTCGTGTTTTCCTGCAAGATGGGCTCAGAAATTGCCTCTAGAGGGCTGTTTCGTCTAAAATTTGAACTTTTTCAGAAAACCGGTTGTGGACTGAAAATTCATTTTTTTTTTTAGTGATTTTTTTTCGAGCATTATCGCTGTTTCAACATGTAAACTGCTTGAATATATTGCATTTTCGATAAAATTTAGGCCGAGCTCCAAACCTCGATGACCAAATCGACAGATCGCAGTTTCCCCTCCATTCTCTTCAGCTGCACGGACATGTGCATCGGAAACCACTGCCGATAGTCGTATTGTGGTGGCAATTGAAAAAAATTGCGCATTTCTTGAATAATTCAACAAAAATGCATTGTTTGAGCGTGTTTACTGACCTGCCGTTGAGGAAACTTGCGCCGAACTGGAGAATAGACGTTTCGAGACGGACGACAGCATTTTTTACTGAAAAATTAGGAGAATAAGAAGTTTCAAGCATTTTTTGACAGAACTTGATTTTTAGCAGCTCATTCTATTTATTTAGTAATTTTTCTTATCAAAATCGCTCAAAAACCCACAAAAATCTCCATTGTAAAAGCAAATTGCAACAAAATCGGGGAATGGCCTAGAATCCAAGCGTGGCCTAGAAACACAAAGAAACTAGTCCCCCTCTGCGGATTTTCCACGATCTCTTCGACGTTTTCTTCTAAATCGTCCATCTTTTTTCCATTCGCCCGCGGGAGCCGATTCGTCGCCCGCAGGAGCTTCGGCGTCTCCATCGAAGCGGGACTCGTCAAGAGGGGCACTCCGATTTGTGTGCCGAGCAAAGAGGTAATTTTCGGGAAAATCCGGGATATTACTAATTGTTTGAGAAGAAATCGGCGGAAAATGCTCGAAATTTGTGCATTTTTGCAGGGAATTCTGTTGGGAACGATCTCGTCGGTGCAGAGAAACAACGAGGAGGTCCCGCTGGCGAAGCAGGGCGAAGAAGTGTGCATCAAGATCGAAAATACGGCCGGAGTGGCGCCAAGACTCTACGGGCGGCATTTCACGCACGAGGACCCGCTCGTCAGCAAGGTAACGCTCTTTTATTCAAAAGTACAAGGTTTTTGAGATTTTGAGCTGGATAACTTGGCGGAAAACGAGATGTTTCCATTACTTTTTAGTTTGGCACGTCCTTAAGCTCCTAAGTGTAGAAAATTGTGGGAAATTTCTCGAATCTCTGAATAGGGCACTCGATGTTCTTGAAATCACATTGTTTTTCGTCAACTGGAAACAATTGCATTATTTCGAAGCGGACCATGTTTAGATTTTTCCTAACTTCTCCCATTTCCAGATCACTCGCGAATCGATCGACGTGTGCAAGACGTATTTCCGCGACGACCTGACCAAAGCGGACTGGCAACTGATTGTGCAACTCAAGAAATTATTGGAAATTCTCTAAATCTATCTTTTTTCTCCACTATTTATCTACCATTTTTCGCCCGTTTTCCGGTGTCTTTCCACGCTTAGATCCCCTCTTTCTCTTCCGGAAAGCCCGTTCCTTTTTTGTTTGGTTCTTTTGTCAAACTCATCCGTTTTTTGTTTGGTTACGGTTTCTTTGATAATGTTATTTCGCCCCGCCCCTTTTTTTTCTATATCGTAACTTGAAGTTATAAAATAGTCCGGAATTATGACGATGATGATGAACTTCTGTCGCTTCTTTTGATTCACAAATTTTCGCGCGCGCGAGAACTAGACTATTTCAATTGTATTCTTGACCCCTTATGACTAGAAAAACGCGCGAGAAATGTATAAGTTTCCGGCGACGAAAACGTTGTTTTATTTCCCATTTCTTCATTTTACCGTCAAAACTTCTGATTGGAAATGGTGAGCGACAATTGTCGGCCACTGTGGATTCACAGAATTAAACAACGTACCAGGTGAGCTCTTTTATATCGAAACTTAAAAAATCGGCGGCTTTTTGCAGTTTTACGGCGTTCAAGCGAGCCGCAAAAATTCTGAACGAAGAGGGAGCGAACATTTGTCGAGTGCTCAAAGGACGTCCCAAAAAATATGTGTACAAGGTGAGAAATACTGGAAAATTTTCCGAATAATCGTAACGAACTTGCCCAAAAATCGATAAAAGTATCGGCTTTTTGTGAAAATAGACTTGAATATACAAATTTCCAGGGCTGGGCAAAAGGCCGGCCCCGGCCTTTTGTGGCCTGGACTTTTAACCCATTTCGAATGATCCGATCGGGTCCAAACTTTACAGGCTTCTTGGACTTGGATTGAAGTACGCTGGGAAAAATTTCAGACCGATATGTGGATCGGAGGACGAAAAGGAAGAAATGTTCGCAAAAACCCGGCCTTTGCGGCGTCTGATCCGCATATCTCGGGACCTGAAGATCCGATCGGTTTGAAATTTTTCCCAGCATACTTTAATCCAAGTCCGAGAAGCCTGCAAAGTTTGGACAAGATCGGATCATTGCAAGTGGTCCGAAAGTCCAGGCCGCAAAAAGCCTGGGCCCGCGTTTTGCCCAGCCCTGCAAATTTCGCAAAAAAGACTATTGTAGGTGACAGTGGAAACGATGGAGAATTGCGAGACGAATCCGTTCGCCGACATGTGGGTTCCGGATCAGTTGGCAGAAGCAAGCGCCGAAATGCTGGAGGACTTTGAGCTCCAAATGACGCCGGTACGTTTCCGAACTCCCGGAAAAATTTATCGATTTTTTGATTAAACAAACGATAAAGCGCAAAATTACAAGCATTTTAAGAGTTCAAACAACAAAATTGATCTGAAAATCAGGCAATCAAAGTGAGGGAAATGATTGGGAGTGCATTTGCATGCCGAAAAAAGAATATTTTGTAGGAATCTCTCGCGTGCCACGACGACGACAGAGAGCCGCTTTCAGAGGAGGATTGTGACGAGTACGAGGCGATTTGCGAGGCAGAACCATTCGATCCGTACGCGCGGACCCCCGAAGACGACGAAGAAGACGACGAGTTGGATGATCTGGAGGAGACGTCGAAGGGCTGCGTTGTGGAGAAGAAATAAATAAACTTTAACGATAGAAATTATAATACTGATTTCTGAATGTCTTGTAATATGGTAATAAAGTCGAAATGCTCAGTGAATAGTTTTCCCGGCCGCACATATATTTGCATAGAACATTATAGTTTACCCTCTCGGTCACCTTTCTGTCAATTTCAGATGATCGTCTTGACTTCGATCGAGCTGGAAATAAATTCATAGAAAGCATACATCCTCGGCACGCGACGCGAAAATCGAGTCCGTGGCGGACGAGATGCGATTGCAGTGAATCGGTCGAGCGCTGAAACAAAACGCAGTGAAAAGTGTAGAAAATCGGAGCGTTTTTCCAATTTCCTCGCTGCACTCGAGCTCGTCCGACTTCAAAAGGCATTTGCTGTGCATCGGCGGCAGCGGCAATTCTGCCATTTGCACGCCCAGCGGGCTCGTTAGCGCCGATCTGCAACGCGTAAATTTTCACTCTGGCAAAATTTCAGTTTAAAAATTCCCCATTTCTTACGTTTCATCAACGGCGCCGAGTGCGTAGAGCAATTCCGATCCGTTGATCATCGACCAGGACGGTGGCGGCTAAGAATATTCGCAGTTTCTAGGAAAACTTTATAAGCTGCACTATTCGCTGCTGCGATTGCTCGACGAGCAGCCGATTCGCCCGCTTTTGGAACATTTTTACGTACTTCTCGAGACGATTCCATGCGAGAATGTCCTCGAGGTACTCGATCATTCCCGTCTCTGTTCGCGACTGCTTCACCGGCTTAAGATAAATTTATCGTCGCAATTTGCTCCACTTCGCCCTGGAACAATGAGAAAAAAAGGGAATATTAGGATAATTTTCTTCAATTACCTGAAGAATCAAGAATCGATTGTGTTCGATGTCAATGTCCACTCTCAAGGAATCAAGGAGACTGTGCAATTGCAATTGGAGGCCACCGGGTAGGCAAACGCGCCCCATTGCTAAAATTTTCGAATTCTGGCGGCTTTCTCACGTGAGAGTCCCTTTCTCTCAGAGCTCACTGTTTTTCTTGCAGAAAAAATGTGCAAACGGTGGCGAGCGAGCTGTAGCGTCGCATCGATTACCTGAAAGAGACGGAGGAGACGAAGGCGAGATTCGAGCAGGGTCAGCTGCTGAAACCGATCAACGAGAGCGTCGAGAAGCAGGCTTCGCAGAAGGATTTCCAGGAGAAGTTCCTACACAACGCCATACAACAGCTCAAAGGTATCGCCGTCTGAAGATTTCATTTTCCCCCATTTTCCCCGCTCTTTTCGTGTCGTTTAATTATTGATTGGCGGTTCACTTCATCGAGAAATAGATCGCGGCGCCGTCGAATCAGCCAAAGGCGCAGTGTTTTTCTCGTTGTCCTTTTTATTTATTCAAATTCGGGAGGATTTTTTAAATGCATTTTTACCATATTTCAAACTCATCTACTTGAAAAAGCGCCGAGGCGGAAGCGCTTGTGGATAAATAAAAACAGAGGAAAACAAAAAGAGGCCGAGTTCAAAAGGAACGTCCGGAGGAGACACTATCAAAACACTTGACAAAAAATACTATTATTTGCTCTTTGATGTTCACGATTTGCTCAAAAAGATCAGGAAACGAGTTGTTCCGTTGGAAAATAGATTAGAAAACGGAGATATCGAAAAAGTTTGACAACTTTTTCGATATCTTGACCAGGTGTCTAGACATAACTGCGGTGCCCCACGTCATGATTACTCATTTCTCGATCGTGTTTGATTAATGTTGACTTTAACCCGTCAGACGTCTCAAGTGGCCGATAGGTTCAGGTTCCCCGTGAATCGCAACTTTCAGCTCTTTTTCAGTCCACTTCAAAGATAAGCCAAAAAAGGAACACCACACAGTTCAAGAGGGTCTCGTTGTCTCATTGGCACCCGAATAGTGATAACAACTGACCGATAGAGTGCAAATAAAATAGAGAGCAGGATATGTGTGATCTCTCTCTCTCTCTAGGCAGGTCAAACAAAAACGGATGCGAAGAACACACTGGGTTACCCGAAAATACACCCCACACACACACACACACACACGTCCGGTTTTGAAACGCAAATACGAAAAGTGGCAGGAGGGGGGAAGTCTGGAAGACTTCCGCCCCCCTTCATTTCCATTCCTTATCAACGTCCCAGTCATGCCGACCTCCCGGATGATCAGTGTACTTGGACTTTTGACCGTCGGCTGCTGTTCGATTGTGGCACTGACTACTATCGCCGACGTGGATCGGATGAAACACGATTTGTCCAAGTTTTTGAGCATTTCTCGGTGAGCTTGTAAAGTTTTTCGAAATCATGCTAGTGCCTTGCCATTTTTTTTTGCCATTTCAGTTGTCTTTTGAGATATCGAAAAGTTGTCAACTGATAAAATGTTCAATATAACATTGTGTGTACATTTTATCATTTGAGTGAACCGTCTTTTTAAGGATACTTTATAGACATCTTCTAGGCGCCACTTAATTTCCGGTACTTGCAGTTTCAACGAAACCGAAAAGTCGGTGGCCCGAGCGGCAATCAAAAGAGCACTCGAAGCGGTGGGACTCAACTCGATGACGCACACTTTCATCCACGAAGAATCGGTGAGTTTTCGTCTTAAAACTATCCAATTATATTATGCATGAATAAATTCCAGAACGAGATTGGCGCCAACGTGATCGCAGTGCAGAAGGGACCGAATTTCGGCACTGGAAACGATAAAATGGTTGTGTTGTCTGCCAACTATGACACTTTGGAAGGGAATCAAGGCGTCGACGATAACGGATCGGGCGTGGCGGCTGTTCTGGAGGCCGCCCGAGTTCTCTCCACTTTGGACACCCTTTACACGAGGCAGCACACTATTGTCTACGCGTTTTTTGACATGAAGCATAAGGTAGTCCACATTTCTTCATCAAACCCTATTCAATGTATCATTTTCAGGCTCTAGCCGGCTCCCACGCGTTTGTGGAAGACGTGCTCCTTCCGTTGATGGAGAGAACAAACACGAAAGTGATCGGATCCGTGATCGCCGACGGTCTTTTGCATTTCGACCCGTTCCCATCGTCGCAAGCAATGCCAACCGAGTTCGAATCGGTAAAAACGGACTTGATTTGTGTCAATGTTCAGCGTTTTTTTTCAGTTTTTCCCGGAGGCCGCGCAGAAGCTTCATGAGCACTCACACATGGGAGATTTCATTCAGATCTCGTCGAGAAGTGGCGTTGATGACGAGTTGGTGACCAAGTGAGTTACAGAAGGGCTCTACACTGAGACACATATATATGAGAGAATCTCATAATGTAGTCGGGTCAACTGATGCCTCAAAAGTCACGGCGACCGAAAACGTAGAAAGGGGCGTCGGCGTGCACGGTTTATCACCATTTTTGCGCGAAATTCGAAATTTAACCCCATTTTTCATTTTTTTTTTGTCAAAAATTACCCAAATTAACGATGTAATTGTTAACTTAATCATCGCGTGTTAACTTAATCATCGCGCGCACTTTTTGAGCTTAAAACGAGCAGGTTTCATTCAGAAATGAATCAATTGATGCGATTTTCAAGTTTTGTGCTGTAAATACGCGAATTTCAGTCATTCGCCGATCCTTTTTGCCGTTTTAGCGCTTAAAATACTTGTATTAACGTGCTTAGTCACTTCCGACACTCATTTCGTCTCAAAACTATCCACATCGGCCGGTATGAAAATTCCGAAATTGCGAGATATGCGAAAAACGTCTCAAACGCGGCGTTTTCACAAAAATTTCGATGTTTTCTCTGTTTAATGTCTCTTCTTTCGTCGATATCAAACAAAAATATCGGAAAAGTGCTGGAATTGCGGCAATTTTCAGAAAACGCGTCAAAGATTAGGCCACGCCTCTTTCTACACTTTTCGTCACCGTGAAAGTGTCCAATAGACTTATTATGGGGTTATTCAGGCTGTGAAAAAATGATTGTTTTCCGTTTTTTTGCGTTTTTTTACGTCAAAAAATTCAATTCAGCGATGTAAAAAAACGAAAAAAAAAACGGCAAACAAACATACGCTGAATAGCCCCATTAGAACTCACCGAGTGCTTGGATTTGCGCTTAAAAGCGCTCAACTTTTCATAATTTTTGTGTTCTTCAGATTCTCGCGAGCGTACGATCGTTCGTGCGAGATGCTCTCCGCCGATTGGCCATTCCATCCGTGGGCGCTCAACCTCCAAATGGACATCCTCAACATCACATCTCTTGACCGGTTATACAAGTTCGCCCATTTTACACCTCACTAACATTCTTAATTCGATTCGCCAGCCTGAAGTTAACTTCTTTTTAGTTCGACAATACAGATTAGAATAGTTTAGACGCGTTGCGACCCGCTTAATCTTTAACCAATCGTGCGTAGTTTTTAAAATACAATAAAAGTTCCCGTAATCTATTAACTAATAATGGTTTCAGACTTCATCCGTTCCTCTACTCGGACCACTCTTCATTCTTTTTCCACTCAAAACAGTCCGATGTTCAAATTCCGACCATTTACCTGACCGACACTTGTGAGTTTTAGAGTAACATGGTAAAAACTTCAACAACCAAGAAAAACTTCAGTGAACCTTCGCGGAGTCCGTCAATATTGTGTTCAATGCGACGGACTGTACATGATGACCGAGCAAAACATGAAGTTTCTGTCTTTGATGGCTGATTCGCTCATTAGATTTTTGATTGAAATGAGTGGTTCTTCAGGTAACTTCACTCTTTACACGATCTCCAGAGCTGACAATATGGGCGTGGCGGCCTCGGCCAAATGGCGTTTTCACGAATTGAGCAGGTTTTCTCTGATTTTTGTGGTCAAAGACGATGAAAAATGATTGTTCGACATGAAAAAACACTAATTCTGAGAATTAATGACGTTTTGGCGCATTTTTCGCGGACTTTGCTTTTTCGCCTTCGTCGCCGATCGCCGCCTAAAAACCGCACTTCTCATTTTGCGCTTTCTTGACCGTTTTCAGACAGAATTGGTTTTTAGAATGATAAATCACGTAAATACAAGCATTTTTTCGAAAATTAAAAAAAAGGCAACTGAAATTCACGCAGTTTTAGCGAAAAACCTTCAAACGGATAAATGTGATTTGCGACTTGACCAAATTTGCGCTTTAAAAATTCGTAATAGCCTATACAATCGGTCTATCGAAAGACAAATGAGAAATAATCGGTTTTTCGTGGCTAATCTGGAAAAAAACACAAATTTTGCTGTTAAAATTTGAATTTCGCGCCAATGTATCGCTCTATTGGGCGGGGCGCACTTGCGCTCATTGTCAGCTCTGGAGGATGTGATATTATTTTTTTATTTTATTAAATGCTTAAATTTTTCAGCCATGTCAGTCGTCGACGATTTGTACGCTTTCATGTTCAATATTGATGTTGAATAACTCACCGAATTCACAGAATCACTTTCGTAATGGGTGTAATCGAACGGCATCATTAAAACCGTTTGTATCTCAGCTGCCTAGAGACCTATCAAAATGTTGTCAACTGATGAAATGTTCAGTGAAACATTGTGTACATTTCATCAGTTGACAATTTTCTGAAATCTCTTCAGGCAGCTGAGATATAATAGACGGATGCCGTCCTGTCACATCATTTACGGTGTTTGTACATTCTCATCTTCAAATACGTGTCGCTTGTTACATAGATTACACAGATTTCTATATATTTTACATAGTAATTATCATAAAGATGTCTTTATTTGTTGCCTAGTTACAGACAAATGACCGGTTACATTTGAAATGGAAAAGCACAAAAATCGTCGTTTTCAATCATTTTTCGTTGAGGAACCCGTTCACTTTGGGATTGTACAAAAAGGGGCGGAGCTTGAGATGATGATAAAGTTTTTTCAAAATATCGCATCGGATTCGTCTTTGCGCACTTTGTTGTGATGGATTAGTGAGGCGTGCACCTGAACGCTTACAGATTTGAAGATAACAATGTAGTCAAATTCAAAGCGATATATTTCAGCTGTCTGTAAAGATATCAAAAAGTGGTCAACTAGTAAATTGCTAATTGAAACATTTTGCACATTTTTTCAGTTGAACACTTTTTGATATCTCTACATACAGCTGCGATACATCGGTTTTAGTTAGCGGCAGTAAAAACTCACAGTCCTCGAGATCATATGCGCACTATTTTTTTTGGTCCGATCGACGACGACCTCGTTAAAAACGACTTGATGTTGTGGAGTGAAGGTCGACGAGACCGACCTGCAAAAATGCGTTTCATCCCTTTGTCTCTTCGACGAACGGCGACAGAGTGTGTGTGTGAAAAATCAGATAGCGTTTCTCATGCTGACATTTCCGAAATTGAACGTTCACTTTCATCAATAGAGACAGTCATATAGGGTGAGTTGATTCGAAGAGTTAGAAGTGGGGTGAGAGAATAGTACAGATATAATATCATATATGTTACATTTACATCGTAGTGCGTTACCTTCGACCAATCGCTGCTTGATTGTGAACTTGAATGAAAAATAAGAACAAAAAAGTTAAGAAACAGAAGCTCAAAAAGCTCGTTAAGCTTGCCTAGATTAGTGTAGTGAAAATCGATCAAGTACCTGTTAATAATCGGACGCGTCTCACTCTTGTTAGTGGTGTAATGTTGACCGTTGTTGACTGGAATGTAGACCTAGAATGAAAGAAACCACGCAAACTTAGTCGAGACAAGCCACGAAACTGTTAGTGATCAGAGAGCGGCAAATTAATATTAGGCGTTCACTTCTGTGTCACTTCAGCGCTCAATTACCTTTTGAAAGTGATGCCGCATGTTCTTTTTTCGGCCAAACGTCGCGTAGATCGCGTTTCGGAACTTTTTGTTGAGAAAGCAATATGTGATGGGATTGGTGCAGGAGGAGATGTAGGTGAGCAAGGTGATGAACGTGTTGATGTCGCTGTTCCAGACGGACATATTGAGACTCTGGAAGACGTTTTTGTTTTCTGGCATTGTATCTCAACTGCTTGCAGAGATATCAGAAAGTGGTCAACTGAGAAAATGTACATAAGGTTTTGATGAACATTTTATCAGTTGACAACGTTTTTAAAACTCTACAGGCTGATAAGATATATGGTCTTGAAGTATCGTTATTTAAATTTGAAAATGTACTGACGAAAATCATATTCTCTCCAAAGGTATTACCTGAAAAGAGTCGCCGGCAATCAGAAGAAGCCACCAGATGTAAGAGGGCGTCCAACAGCAGAAGAAGATGATGACGACTACAATGAGCATTCTGGAAACGTTTTATTGTCAAATGAATGTTCGAATAAAAACAGTTCCACGGGCGGTAGACTGTATAAATTTAAATGTACTGGCTGTGAGTCTAACGGATACTTTAAACACATGCTTGATATTAAGATATCAGTTGAATAATTCATTTTTTCGAAAAAGAAGGCTAACGTTGCTTGGAATTATTCTCTAGCACATAGACCACTTCCTGAACACCATTTAGACACTCCGAAGGGTACAATTTTCGAAAATTGATTAGAAAACCATCTAAAACTCACTTAATAACTCTCTGCTTTGCCATCGCACTCTTCTGCGTGTGCGTCGACCTCAAACTCGGATTCTCTATACAAATCGAGGCGTCGGACCGTCGGTGCGTGAAATTCGGCTCCATACTGAACCGTAAATGGTTGTACACACCGACAGTTATCGTCAGGTACCTTTTGTCCTGTTGGCTGAACGTGAGTTTGTTGGAGAGTTTCTGCCAAAACGATATCTTTTGCTCTTCGGTCATCGAGGCGACAATCGCTGGAAATGATGAAGATAAGTGTGGAGAAGCAAGCAATTTCGAAGGTTTGTTGGAACAAAACGGTCAAAACTGAGGTTAGAGCAATCGAAAAACGGGAGGTTGACGGGTAAACGCAAAATAGGATTACTACGAGAACCCGAAAATGTGTCAAAAAAAGGAAAAAGCACAACAACACCTGGAGGGGGTAAAAGCACGCCACTAGAACGACGACGAAGACTCTGCAGCGTCTGAAGTCGGAAATCGTCGAGGTTGTGCGGCAATTGCAACAATTGCGGGGTTCTAGAGGGCAACGAGGGGGGCGGAGTGGACGGACGGAGTGAGTTGAGGGCGATGCACGACGTGGCACGAGCTAGGGAGCTGCTACCGACGAGCACACTGTTAAGGAGATGGGCGGACGACGACGAGCAGCACGCTTTGAGACCTGTTGTCGTGGCGGCGGCGGCGACCGGGTCGACCGCGGCGATCTCCAGTTTGATGCCCGACTTGAGCGAGTGGATCACGTTGCCGTAGAGACCCGTCATCACGACCAGCGGGATCACCAGCAGGACCACTGTCATGTACACCTGAAGACAATTGATTTTAGGGGTTTAGGAGAACATTGTACTCTCATTTTCGGGCGATTTTGAAGAATTTCACAGGAAGGATGTCACTTTTCACGGAAAAATGTGATAAAACTCGACTGGCTTTAAGAGATTTCGGTTGAAAAACCCAAAAAGTACATGATTTCTCCCACAATTTTCAGGTCCTCGCAATGCCACGTCCTCGTTCAGCGCACTTGCTCTCACCACCCAACTAACCTGATAAGCAAAATGATAAATGGGCGGATGAATGGGCGCACACGTGTATCCATTCGAGCTGTACGTCTGTTGCTCGTACATGAAGAGCATCAGAATGTTGGCGGCGATCGCGATCACCCACACCAAAGTGATCATTGCGTACGCGTGCGATCTGCAACGAATCGATCGATAATTCGTGTGTTGTACTCGTGGATTTTTCGAGAAGAACAGAATCACGGTCTCCCAGGGTGCTCGTAAATTGCGGAGTGTCGTTGTAACTTTTGAAAATTTGCAGGTCTGAAAATGCAGTTCAATTCGAGTTTACGACCTTTATTTCCATCTTTTTGACTTGAAAAACGTCTAGAAAACAATATTTTACTGATTGGAAAGCGTTCTTTACAGAATTTAGAGTTTTTCATGTTTTTAGCGTCAACTTCAAACCTTTATATTTCAGCTCATTTTGCATTTCATGAGCCCAACGAACGATAAAAATGTTCGCTGAATCTTTCTTCACAAAATTCAGGTTCCGGCGGCTAGTTTTCTTGAGCAGTTTTCGAAAACTATTCGAAAAACATCAAAATCCAGGCCAAAACCTTCAAATCGAAATAACTCGGATAATTCTCAACGATCAGTGAGATTTCTGTTACCAAAACGTAGCTAGTGCTCTAATTAATCGAATCCAGGTTCCAGGCGTACAAAAAAAGAGGTGTATTGTACAGAAAACATGAAAAGAACGCGAACTCCCGTTGAAAATTAATTAATCGGCCGCCGCGTAAATCGACACAGCACGCCTGTTGCAAGTGCGCCCCATTGAAATCATTCGCGCCGTGGAAGACCGTGAGAATAGAATTCGATGAAAATAAAATAGAGCGCGTTTGCCCACCTGGTTTGCCAGATCCTCGAGTGAAGTGGCTTACAAATGGCAAAGTATCGTTCGAACGCAATGACGGCGAGAGTGTACGCCGAGGCGGTCACTACCACTGCTGTAAAATCGATAAATGCGTTGAGGAAACAACTAGCAAAACGCAAACAAAAACTCACGCTGCAAATAGGCCAAAATTTTGCACATATAATTGCCAAACATCCAGCAGTTCATGACCATCGAGACGAGCGTCGGCGGCATGCAAACCACCGACAACATCATGTCGCTCGCCGCCAGGTTCATCAGGTAGATGTTCGTGATTGAGCGCATCGCACGTTGCTGAAACTCTTTCAGTGGCCTAGAAAGTCCTCGGCCACACAGCCACTGCTCCTGCTCCTTTCAGATATTGTCGATGACTCAGAACTCACCTTGATAATAACAATGAGCACAAGCGAGTTACCGACGACCGAGAGCAGGAAAATGATGAAGAAGGTGACGGCTATTGTGTAATTCTCGGTGGTGCCACGAAACCGACAAATCTCCTCTTGCTGCACAATCGACGACATTGTCGTCTCGTTGAGGGCACTGCAAATTTAGTACTTTTAGTGAGCCTCTATTGTTTATTCAAGATGATATATCTTAGTTGTCTGTAGAGATATCAAAAACTTGTCAACTAACAAATTGTTCATTAAAACATTCTGTACATTTTCTCAGTTGACCACTTTTTGATATCTCTACAGGCAGCTGAGATACATAGAGTTTCTCAAAAAAGGGCTAAAGTACAACACCAGACATTCAAAAATTTCCAGCCAATAAGTCTTCGAAACAAGCGACATTGTTTTCAGTTTCTGACAAAAAGAACGTCAAGAAGCACGGTATCGAGTGTCTTCTCGAATATTCGTGCCGTCCTTTCCCTCTAACGAGCCAAAAACCACAACTTTTTATTTTTTTGAGCGGACCCCCCCCGTTTTTTTCCGTCGAAAACTCGCTTCACATTCTGTTTATTTGTTCTTCGTCTTTTCTCGCGAGAGGAGGTGGTGAAAAATTATAATATAACTACTATATTTATGTATATATTGTGGAATGATGTGGGGGGTTCTGGGGTTAATTGGAAAATGGAAAAAAAACGCCGGGTGAGAAGAGGGGAAATGAGGGAAGATGTTTGAAGTTTGTTGTTTGCGAGTTCATCTTTAGTTTGATCTAAACTGGCTGGGACCGAAAGTACGTGTTTATGTTGGCCCCTAAGCCTCAATTTTGTCGACTGTGTTGGAAAGTTGAAAGATCGAACATCTTTCCTTGCAATCCGCTCAGCTATAAAGCTCTAAAGTGTCCGGAAGGTTTTCAGCTTTTAAACCAATTCTGAAGGAAGGCCTAAAAAAAGAGGATTTGTGTGGAACGCAAAGATTTGGACAAAAAGAAAGGCACGAATCACTGCTCCTTTCGGCCTAATTGACCGGAGGGCCGTTGTTTTGGCGCACGTCGACTCATCCTCGACAACTTTTACCGTATGTATTCTAGACAATAGCGGTCTAGACTAATGGTTCTTCGTCACAAAAAAGTGGAATGTGAAACGAAAAAATAGGCATGTGTTCAACAAGACTATAGATAATTGGCAGCGATTTGAGAGTCTAAAGATCCCTCCTACTGCCTCGGAAAACGAAAAAATTGTATGCGAACAATCCATAAGTTCGTTTTTCTGTGCACACAACAAAAAGGAAAAGGGTTGATTCGGTTTGTGAACTGGACAATATCACTTTTGACACCTCTTGTAGCAAAAAAAACACACGTTTCGGACGGCTTCAACAAAAAGGGCAGGGACCCGTTGACCTTATTGAAAAGAGTTGAAAAGAGTGTGGGCAGGAAATGGGCGTCTAGGTTTTGGCCGGTTGCAAAGTGTCTCATTGATGACTCCATCCAGACCCGCCACTAGAATATTCTAGAAACTTTCACCTCTGAAAACTGATCTCTGCTCTAGCGATTTGTGTCGTTTTCAAAGCTTTCAATACATGGAAAAAAGGTAACGAAATCGAATTTACGGTAATTTGTTGATATCTCGAGGCGCCCGCAAAAAAAAAAACAAGATGTGATCTCTTAGCCCTTCACTTTTAATGGAATCCCCACGTCTTCGGGAGGCGGATGAACCTGAAGAAGACGAGTTAAGCCGCGTGACGGCGTGAGAAGAAGAAGAAAAGATTACTTCTGCTTCTTCTTCTTCCTCTGCTCGTCCATCTTGAGTTGGAAAAAAGAAGAGATGGGACGAAATTGACGATGATTTACAGGAGAGAGAAGAAGACGAAGGTTCACATTACTCAAGAGCAAAACTCGAAAGAGGAAGGCGTCTAATCAGTGTGCGCAGAGAGGTTTAAAATGTATTAGCTGGCGAGTGGGAAGTGGGAAAATCTGAGAAAATGCGGTATTATAGGGGCACCGGCAGGGGTGTGCGGAAAATTTTTTTCGGAAAATTTCGGAAAATCGGGTTTTCCGAATTTTTTTTTTCGGAAAATTTCGGAAAAATCGGAAAAATCGGAAAACTCACTTGTTCATTGGTTCAATAAAGTGTTTAAACAACGTTCTAATACAAAAAAATGCTTATTATGATTTGAAATCACTTGAGTGGGCGGAAGCCAAGCAATGGAATATTTTTTTGTAAAAAAATTAGCCGAGAGAAGCTCTCCGGGTCCAGTGTTTTCCGATTGTCAGTGAGAATCAGGGGTGTGCGGAAAATATTTCGATTTTCCGAAATTTTCCGATTTTCCGAGAAATTTTCGGAAAAAAGACGCTCGCTGCTAGACCCTTCCAAAAATTTTGTGATGCGCCTTTAAAAAGCATACGGTGGTTTCGGACAAATTGACCTCGAATCCACACTAATTTTCCGAAAATTTTGCCGAACATTTTCGGAAAATTTTCCGTCGAAAATTTTCCGAACATTTCTCGGAAAATCGGAAAATTTCGGAAAATCGAAATATTTTCCGCACACCCCTGGGCACCGGATAGAAAGGGCGCTCTGTTCGCAATCTGGCCGAATTTCTAGGCCGCGAAGTAATTTTCCACTGAAAACGTGGCCTAACTTTTCAAACTCGGCCCCGAGGCCGCTCAATTTGCACTGCAAAAAGAGTTTCTCAACAGAGCGCCATTTCTGTGCGGTGCCCCTATAATACTTTCGGGCACAGAATCTTTAAAACTGTTGTGAACAGTCAATTGTGCTTTTGCTCTGTGCGAGCTCTCGAAATTTTGGGTTTTCAGTCGCTATATCATATTTTCCTAGTCAACAGATCGGCGAACACAAAAGGAATGCAAAAGTCGCGAGCAGCGTCCAGCAAGAATCTGGGCGGAAATGCGAAAAAGTTAGACAACAGAGCTGGACACTCCATGAGCACACACACACACACACACACGCTCAAATTCGGTTAACGTCTTCGTCGACGCCGCACGTCGTTGATTTCTTCTGGAAAGACTCACTTGGTGTTCGACGTCGTCGACGACGACGAATTCAGAAGAAGCTCGGTGAGGAGGAGGAGGAGCGACGGGGACGTCGAGTTGTTCTCGTCGTCTGCCGCATTCATTGGCTCTTCGTTCTTGATTCCTGCAATTGTGCGGGGCGGGAGATCTTTGGAATGGACGGGAAAAGTGCGAGAAATGCGGAGAAACGAGATAATGAATGAATAAAAAAAGGGGGAAGAGAAGAAGCAGACAACAGTTGAGTCATAAAATCCGAAACCTTGAAACGTTCCGACTCACTCAAAAACCCATAAAACCTACAACTTTTGCTAATGGGTTCGGAGGAAAGAGAAAAAACAAAGAATCGGAAAATAGTCATTTCTTTGTGAAATTTGAAAGAGTCGGCACATGAATAGACACCAAAATGGTTCAAAAGGTTCAAAACGTGAAACGCGGTTGCATGTTTTGGCCAAGTTGTGTTTTCGCAAAAAGTGTTCAGTTTAGAGTCATTCCACCGCTTTTCGTATTGATCGTGCGCAGACAGTGATGCAAGTGCGCTCTACCGCACTTGGCGGGAAACTCTAGAGATCGACTGTTGCTCGAATTTCGATAATTTTCGCTGTTCGAGCTCTCAAAAAGCCGCTTTTCAGTCGTTTTATCACACTCTCCTGGTCAATAAAAATCAGCGAACACAAAATAATACGAGAGTACCGAACTAAGTGGTTTTTCTGTATATTCACAGTGATCCAATCGACACCAATCGTGGGGAAGTTCTCCGATATCATGAACCAGTGTTGAACGGAAGAAAGATGATGGGAAATGAAAGTCGGAACACGGAACGCGGAATTCCGCTGAACACAGCAGGTACACATCGCTTTTAGAATTCAAGTGGATTCACACAAATGACATATCGGCAAAGGCGCGCCACTTTTGCGCAAAATTTAAGGATCCTCACAGATTTTGCGCAAACTTTCAGGACTTTCGCAGATTTTGCGCAAACTTTAGGCGTCCTCGCAGCTTTTGCGCAAACTTTAAGGCATGTCGAAATTGTTATGGAAACTTTGCATTTTCAGTACTGTTCGCTTTTTCCAGCTTGTTTTTATGCGTTTTATTTGTTTTTTGTTGCTTATCAAATTGAAACTACTTATCTTTTTCCGTATTTCCTCGGTTTGAGCGCATTTCAAGCGAATTTTCAGTCGGATTTCGTTTAGAAGCGAGTGTTATTGAAAATTTGTATGAAATCACTTGAATTCGAGCTATTTCACAATTATTTAAGATGTCCAGCAGAAGCTGCGCTAACTTTGCGCAAAAGTGGCGCGCCTTTGCCGAGAAGTTTCCAGAATCTCCAGAACCAGACTTGCAAAATAAGGGCCCGGCTCGTCACAAAAAATGTGTGCAAATTTTCCACGATTTTTTCGGAATTTTCGATGAAAGAAGCGCGAGGAGACGTTTTCGAGTGATAAAGATGGCTTCGCAAACAATTTCGAACTCGAAAATGGATAGAAAGCTCGTCGAACTGATGAAAAAAATTTTTAAAAAAATAACATTTCTGCCTGAAAGGGCCTCGTAGAAATTTTTTCTAAGCCCGGCCCGGCCCGTTGCAAGTCTGTCCAGAACTGATCCAACTTTTTGTTAGTCCTCAGTAAGAAGAAACTAAAAACGGAAAAGTGAAAACTTCAAAAATATTTGGGAAATACAAGTAATAAAAAAGGTAGAGGGTCTATGAAAACATTGGTAGGCAAAAAAGACGGCGGCGGCGGAGGAGGAGGAGGAGGAGGAGGTCAAGGGAGCAGCAGACGCACACACTGGGACACTTGAAAAACAAACGAGGTAGATAGATTCTTTCAGCGAAATTGAGAATGATTACTTGTTTTCTTTTTCTATTTCCTTCCACAAGACACGGAAAAGTTGCGACAAGTGTCTGTGTCTGGCTCATTTTTTGTTCAAGAGCTAGAAAATCTGTTGGCGGAGCGTGGAAGAGCGACAGCAAGCGAAAAGATATGTATTGTAGTTTAACATCGTCAAGACACAGACAGAAAAAAAAGAGTGATATTTCCGTCGGGCGGTAGTGCGGAAGAAGTGACAAGACGTTCTCGTCAAATTCAATGACAACTTGACAGAAAGGACCGGCACAAGCCGAGAGAACAACTGAAGATTAGGCCGGATTGACAAAAAAGGCAGGGAATTGCGGAAACTCAAGAATTTGCCGATGGAGCGCACTTGCACTTCTCGGTTTTTAGAGTTTCGGAGGCTTCACGGTCTCCAGAGCTGACAATATGGGCGTGGCCTCGGCGGTCAAATGGCGTTTTCATGAATTGTCCAGGTTTTCTCTAATTTTTGTGGTCAAAGACGATGAAAAATGATTGTTCGACATGAAAACACACTAACTCTCAGAATTAATGACGTTTTGGCGCATTTTTCGCTGATTTCTCTTTTTCGCCTTCTCCGCCGATCTCCGTCTAAAAACCGCACTTCTCATTTTGCGTTTTCTTGACCGTTTTCAGACAGAATTGGTTTTGAGAATGATAAATCACGTAAATACAAGCATTTTGAGCGCTCGAACCGCGAAAATTTCCGAAAAGCAACTGAAATTCACGCAGTTTTAGCCAAAAACCTTCAAACGGATAAATGTGATTTGCGACTTGACCAAATTTGACGCTCTTGCGCTTAAAAAATTCGTAATAGCATATATAATCGGTCTGTCGAAAGACAAATGAGAAATTATCGGTTTTTCGTGGCTAATCTGGCAAAAAACACAAAATTTGCTGTTAAAATTTGAATTTCGCGCCAATGTATCGCTCTATTCGGCGGGGCGCACTTGCACTTCTCGGTTTTTGGAGTTTCCGAGTCTGGAACTAAAACTTTTCATAATATGAATAGGCGGAATCAAGACACACGCACCGAGACTGGCGGCTGTGTGAGAAAGTTGCGGAAGCTCACGTATCAAATGAGATTATTACGGGGAGGGGGGAGAGAAAAGTGGGTTGAAGTTTTTTTGTGCTATATCACGATGATTTGGACTTTCAAACTGACATTATCGCAATGTTTGTTGATGATCGAACTTTTTAGAGTCGGCGGGTACTGATAAGACGCTAGGAGGTACTAACTTATTTATCAGTTATCTAGTAGATCAGAGAGCACTTTCGCACCTGACCTCCTGGAAAAAAAGTTGCACACAGAAAGAGAGATCTTCACTTAGCACATCCGGGATATGATATATCTGATGTGATAAGTTGGAGAGGAAAGAGAAGAGAGAGAGAGAGAGGGAGCGGAAATGAGTGAAAATGAAACTATTGTCGCCCCCGAAGCTTCTGGTTTCTCTCTTTCTCTCTCTCTCTCTCTCTCTGGTCCCTCGCTGATATGCTCCCCTTCCAACAACATGAATGACAACGATCGGACGAGAGCCAATTGATATATAACGCATGAGTTATCGCTTTGCGGGAGGGAGGTTCGAACATCTTGAAGCCACAATATCGGCACGCTATTGGCCTATATATTGCTTTTTCAGGACGATACATCGGCTACAAAAGTTCGATCCCCGCGGTGGTTTTTCGTCTTTTGCCTCGTCGGAGACGATTTCAAAATGAAGATTCGGGGGGCATCTACAAATGTTGAACGAAACGTGGAACATTCCGGAAAGTGCAATTGGGTGAAAGTTAAAAAAAGGAGCAAAACATCTCGAATTTCGTTATTTTGGAATGAGTGGGAGGCAAAACGAAAGGAAATACCGATAGTTGTTGGCGGGGGGAGACAAACAAAAACTAGTAGGCCCTCTTTCTCGAAATTTCATATTCCAGATTGGCAGTGTGGAGGAGGAGAACGCGGAAGAAGAAGAAGAAGAAGAAGAAGCGACAAGGGGAGAAATGGAAAAAGAAGTTAACGGTGACACTCACGAAGAAAAATGGGCGGCGCGAATGATTGAGTGATTTCCAGTTCGTCGTTGCTTTTCAACTTTCGAACAATACGGCCCAAAACATGATGAATCTGCAAAAAGGCCTTCCCGGAAGAGCTCAAAGCTCACGGCCATCCTGAGGTTCGCGGTACCCGAGGGACCGTGGGAACGCATTTGATGACACACACACACACACGACTTGAGGCGATTGGTTTGACGAGTTGAAAAGTCGAAGAGTTTTAGTAGGAGTAGTGTGCGCTTTAATGGAATTGGAGGGGCAATACTTGGAAGTTCCAGGCGTAAAATTTGGGGCGGATCGACTAAAGTTGAACGGGACTTTGCAATGTGTACGGGTCATAAATGGGCCATATGTGGGGCAGAGTTGAGCGGAAATGGATTTTGAAATCAGGAAGACGGAAGAACATTTTTTTACGGAACACGGAAAACGGAAGACGGAAGAAAATTTTTTTTACGGAACACGGAAAACGGAAGACGGAAGAAAATTTTTCTCCCGGAAGACGGAAGACGGAAGAATTTTTTTTTACGGAACACGGAAAACGGAAAACGGAACAAAAAAAACCACGGAAGATGGAAGACGGAAGACGGAAGACGGTATTCCGCTCAACACTGATGTGGGGCATCAACTTTCAAGTCAAACTATAAGAAACGAATGACATTTGAGCCTGAGCCAGGGAGCACAAAAGCCTAAGATTCTTATAGAGTTTGTGTCTGATCTCTAGACCCCACGCACTTGCCTATAATTCGATCGGGCCCAAACTTTGTCCAAGATCATCTGTACAGGATACGTACGGATCAAGGGCCTGAAGGCCTGCTGTCCAAGAGTTCAGGCCTTTGGAAGCCTTAAAGTTGGAACAGGATCAAAAGATCAGATCTCGAAAATGCGCTTCTTCTGGGTTCAAATTTGCGTAAACCAGTCCCTCAAAGCCTTTTCGAAACAAACTCTCGCTGATGAGCCGGTGTCTCACTTCCGGCCACGGGTCCGCGTCGAGGAAATTGAATTCTGATTGGGTTAGGTACAAGTTTCAACAAAAAAAAGCGATTTGTTCTCTGTTCTGTGTGTGTGCTGAATTCGGCTCCAAATGGGGGCACTTGAGACTGTTGCGTGCGGATGAATGGAAAAAGAAGGAGGAAAGAGAAAAGGAAAGGAAGAAGGAAGGACCCGTGTGTGTGTGTGTGTGTATGAGCACAAGGGAAATGCCTGGAGAAAAACAAGATTGACAAAATAGGATTTGGGACGATTTGAGGTTTGCTCGCAACTTCTCCATCTCCCTTCTTCTGTGCTTTTGTCTTGTAAAGTTGAGGAGGTGAAAGTGAAAAAAAAAGCGCGCGCGTCTTCAAATTATCTCTAACATTGGGCTGTAAAATTGATGGCCTAGAAAAATCCAGAGCCTACACTCTTCCACCAGTACTTTTAAAAAAATGTTCGGAAAGAGTTCCACTTTTTTCGAAGCCGGGCCATGAGTCAGACTGAAAGTGGGCGCGGCCTTCGGAACATTGAATGTTCGGAGAAGAAGATGCGATGCGAAGATGTGGTCATAGATCAGATTTCAGAGAGAAAAAAGAGAGCAAATATGACTCTTCTCTCACTTTTTTGTCGCTTCGTTTCTCGAGAAGACAAGGCAATCCAAAAAAAATGGGAAATATTCAGTTTAAAGAAACTTTTTTCACCGCAAAACGCATGTGAAATTCCGTGAACGTTTGAATGGGTGGAAAACAAAAATATTGATATCATCCGTCTCGGTTTCATCACGTTTTTCGAGGCCCCATTTTATGAGCCACTTTTGGGGCGGCGGCGGCGGCGGCCGGGAAAACGAACGAAACGCCATTCGACACGCGCGGATATGTACATGGCCGAGGAATAATACAATGGAAATGTCCGAAAATATCCGAAGAATGAGTGCTCCCTGGTGCGTCGTAGTTGGTTGCAAAACGGCGGACGTATTTTGTGAACTTCGCGGTTCAAACTACGATCGGAGTGGTGCTCCAATTAAGAGAGCCACGAGCAAGAGAGGAGAATTGTCTAATTCGAGCTCCGAATTTAGATTCAGATCAAATTAGTTTTGAGGCGGAGAAATAAACAAATGTTGGCGCCATACACGGTCTCCAGAGCTGACAATGAGCGCAAGTGCGCCCCGCCGAATAGAGCGATACATTGGCGCGAAATTCAAATTTTAACAGCAAAATTTGTGTTTTTTGCCAGATTAGCCACGGAAAACCGATAATTTCTCATTTGTCTCTCGATAGACCGATTGTATAGGCTATTACGAATTTTTTAAGCGCAAGAGCGTCAAATTTGGTTAAGTCGCAAATCACATTTATCCGTTTGAAGGTTTTTCGCTAAAACTGCGTGAATTTCAGTTGCTTTTCGGTAGTTTTCGCGGTTCGAGCACTCAAAATGCTTGTATTTACGTGATTTATCATTCTCAAAACCAATTCTGTCTGAAAACGGTTAAGAAAACGCAAAATGAGAAGTGCGGTTTTTAGGCGGCGATCGGCGGAGAAGGCGAAAAAGCAAAATCCGCGAAAAATGCGCCAAAACGTCCTTAATTCTGACAATTAGTGTGTTTTCATGTCGAACAATCATTTTTCATCGCCTTTGACCACAAAAATTAAAGAAAACCTGCTCAATTAATTAAAAACGCCATTTGGCCGCCGAGGCCACGCCCATATTGTCAGCTCTGGAGACCGTGGCGCGCCAGTATAGTACCGAACTTTAAATTGAATTGTGAACAATTTTTCTGTTTTCAAAAGTTTTTTTCAAAATCATTGGCTTCAACCGATTGAATTCAACTTTTCAACAATTTCCCTTCCTTGTTGTTATCGCAAGAACAGAGATTATAAAAGATGCTAAATCGAGATGCAAAATGATGGCCAGTCTATTTCTCTTCCTCCTTTTCCTCTTTCTTCTTCTTCTTCGTCTTCTCAATCATCGAATTCAATCTCGCTCGTTCCCGAAAGGAGCCGAGCTCAATTCATTCATTGCCCCGGTGATTTGATTTCGACGGCGAGCAGCTCAGTGAGAGAGCCCAAAAAGAGGCATTTCAGTGAGTTCAAGGGGTGTAATATGGGACAAAAAGACTGTCGACAACGTTTTGAAAAGTAATGAACGTCGGAGAGCGGCAGAGAAATGGAAGAAATGAATGAAATGTTGGTTGGACGCGCCGCGCCGCGCATCGCCCAATTATCTTCTTCTTCTTCTCGATGAGTTTGAGTCTTAAAGTTTAGTTCTCAAATGAATTCGAATTCGAAATTCCGAAATTCCGAATTTCGATTCGAGTTTCAAAGTCTTCAAAGTATGCGTGTCGTCTCTGGAAATTAAATTCTTGAGAGACGAGAGAACGAGAAGCGACTTTTCACACGTTTAGTGTTGTTGCAACAAATTGTGAGGTGATGTCAGAGGATCAAAGGCCTTTTGAGAAACGGAACTTTAACATTTGAGCTAGTAAAAGTGATAGCCACTCGGCGATAAGCGTATTGTGTAGAAATAGAGTTTTTCAAAGAAAATTGTTGATTGTAAAGTTGTTCAGCACAACATTTTCTACATTTTGTCAGTTGACAACTTTTCAAAATAATTATTGGCTGTTGAGATACAAGCCTTCAAAAATGGGAACACTTTTGGCACAGTCCGTCTGTTCCGACTGTTCAAAAAAGATCAGGGCTTTCGATTCTTCAACCGACTCTTCAAAATCGATTTACGCGGCGGCCGATTAATTAATTTTCAACGGGAGTTCGCGTTCTCTCCATGTTTTCTGTACAATACACCTATTTTTTGTACGCCTCGAACCTGGATTCGAATAATTAGAGAGCACTAGCTACGTTTTGGTAACAGAAATCTCGCATATCGTTGAGAATTAGCCGAGTTATTTCGATTTGAAGGTTTTCGCCTGGATTTTGATGTTTTTCGAATAGTTTTCGAAAACTGCTCAAGAAAACTAACCGCCGGAACCTGAATTTTGTGAAGAAAGATTCAGCGAACAGTTTTATCGTTCGTTGGGCTCATGAAATGCAAAATGAGCTGAAATATAAAGGTTTGAAGTTTTGACGAAATGCGAAAAAGACGCTAAGAACATTAAAAACTCTAAATTCTGTAAAGAACGGTTTCCAATCAGTAAAATAATGTTTTCTAGACGTTTTTTAAGTCAAAAAGAAAGAAATAAAGGTCGTAAACTCGAATTGAACTGCATTTTAAGACCTGCAAATTTTCAAAAGTTACAACGACACTCCGCAACTTACGAGCGCACTGTGTTTAGCATTAGCGCCCTGGGAGACCGTGAAAAACGATAGACCCGAACAAGTTCTCTGACCAAAATCGGCACCGGAAGCGGAGAAAACTCTCGTTGAAAAGAGAGGGACCTCCTGAAGTATACATTTTCTCAATTCGGTGCTCATTGAAGTGTCTAAGTGAGATCCTATGACGTACATACACACACAACTTTTTCGCCGTTTTTCACAACTTTTCACAGAGCGCCGCCATGAGAAAAGTGAAAAGTGTTACAGAAAAGGAAAACAAAAGAGGCAACTTTTCCGCCGCGCTCAAACACCAAAAGACGAATGAATTGTTTGACACATACTCATTCTTCTCGACTTTTTTCCCTTCGGGGATTGATTGTGACGAGTGAAAAGAACAAGACTTTTATTTTTTATTTTTAAGCTTCAACACACACACACACAATAATAATAATAATAGTAATAGTAATATTAGAAGGGCACAAAAAAGATACAGACAGCAAAATGAGACCAAGATGAAAAAAAATGGCGGTAAAATGGATGGCAGATTTACAAAAAAAAAAGGGAAATTAGGTACCTAGACGGGCGTTTTTAGACGTAACGATTTCGGTCGAACGATCGCATGAAATCGGCCAATCTCTCGTTCGGAGCGTGCGGCGGAGTCGAGTCCATCGAACGCAGCGAACCGCCAAAGTCCTGGAAGAGTCAACTTTTTTCAATTATTGGTCGGTACACCACGCGTTTTCCAAACTTTACTAGGGTTCTACCCGGTATCCAAGCGTTCTTTGCATACAGAAACCAGTTTCTAAAACTGGAGGAACCAGTTGAGCACAAAATCTTTGCAGAAACTCGGACAGAGTAGAATGAACTGAAGCCAACTAACAAACAACTACGCCCGACTAGCAACTATTGACAAGGACACTTTGCAACCAGTTGCGGTTGCAAAACGTCTTTACAACAACCAGTTCCCAACCGAATCGAACCAAGAGAACATGTAGGAGAAAACTTACGGGTCTAGGAGACTCTCGCTGAAACATTTTCATTATTCGGGTTTGTCAACCATACTACTGTATACTCTCATACTCTGAAACACTTCTTTATTACGAAACCCACCTGCGAATCGGACATTGACGTCGTCGGATCCGAGCAGGTCGTCGCCGTTTCCGCGTTTTCAGCGATGCTTCGAGAATAGAGGGCTAGAAACGGGAGAAAAAGTTGAGAAATTGGGAGACGGCACTCACAAATGGCGACGATTCCGGACACGGCAACAGCGGCTACGATCCAGAAAATGTAACTAGAGGCCAGAGCCCGGAGGACGTCTTCGAGGCCGTCGGCTGATTGATTCGAAAGGCCCACTTTTGTGGAGAGCGCCGATGTTAGGGCTTCTGGAATGATGAGGCGTTTAGCCTTTTCTTAGATCTTCGTCAACACTCTCACCATCTACAGAATTCGGACCTTTGGCGAGTCGTTTCGTGAGAAGCAGGCCAGTTTTGTTCGTGTTTCCACACGAGGGCGGCGTGACGCCTTCACAACCGTCTCCGTCTCTGGTGCACAACGACAATTTGCACACAAACTTTAGCGAATCCGCGTTGTGCACGCTGAACACGTGACTGACCGCCCACGCAGTCAACGAGTCGTCGGCGTATTGCAAATCGGAGAGGAGCGTCAGATCCGACGAGCATCCGCGTGGATCCACGAGAGCGAACTTACGTTCCACGTCATCACTGGCGTAGCAGCTGTGCACTTGGATGCCGTACGCATTCGTCGTCTCGTTCGAGCCGTCACAATCCCATCGATGGAAGACTGTTTGTCCGACGACGGCCTTCGAAAGGATCGGCCCATCCGGACCGTCCCTCCGGATACTGTAGGTGCACGTCGGCGGAAGCGTCGACAGGGAGATGGTCTCCGCGATGGCCAGCTCGCTTCTGACGACGTCGAGGTTTGTGGAGAGCTCGGTGTCGTGTGCGGTGCCGATAAAGCATTGGAGGAGGTAGGCACGGTCTTCGAAGGTGTTCAGCTCTTTGTCGTGGAGCAAGTGGATCACCAGGGAAGAGTTGAGACCCTTCGGCTCGAAGGATTGTACCTGTGTCACTCCGCACTCTTCGTTCGCAATGAACAGATTCACTTCACCATCAGAGGTGGCTGTCTGGAAAGTGCACATTTACATTTCTATTCTTCAAGGATTCAATCTTACCGCCTGACACTTGGCCTCATCCTGATATCCCTTAACGACTGCGACACCACGGAAGCCCGGCGGCGGAGACACTTTGATCTTGAAGCCATCGCCCACACACTCCAAATTCACGATTCGCTCCTCGTTTTCAGTGTGAGTTGGTCTTCTGGTCGTGAGCGAGTTTGAGTTGCTAGAATCATCAAGATCATCGGCAGGATGGACTGGAGTCAAGGTTCCGATTGGAGCAGGTGATGGTGGTGGTTGTGGAGCGGTTTCCACAGAAGTCTGTGGACTCTGTGCCTCGTTGATTCGCTTTGCCAACTTCCACGCCAGTTCCTTGTCCACGTCTTCTAGTCCAAACACGTTCGAATCTTGGTTTCCAGCCAGTTCCTTCACAAACTCCTTATCGGCCTCTAATGTTGAAATAACCAGCGTGGTGACGTTGTTCTGATTGGATAGACGCGTCGGTTGTTGGATTCGGTCGCTGGATTGACCGTCTGTGACTATGATCAAGACATTTGAAGCGGCCGGGCGGTCTCCCTGAAAGTACAGGTTAAAGGTGGTGTCCAACGTGACATACAGTATATTTTTAAAATAAACTTCGAAGCGGGGCATTCACTTTCCCAAAGTCCCGAATTACGAAAAAAATTCCCCGATTTTGAAGATTTTTTTCAAAAAAGTTAATGGTACCGAGAGAAGTACACGGCGAAATGGAAGAGCTAGCTGGCCTAGATTTTTCTAGTCCCCGGATGGAATTCCTCTTTCTTCCGATTTTTTTCCGTTTTCGCGCAATTTTCTTAAATTTTCAATCGTTTTTTCACTGAACACACTTATTTGCAATATTTAAAAAAATTTATAATTTTTCTGTGCCGTGACGCCAAAAAAGTCTTTCAAAATTCAGCAAAATTCAGAAATTCAGCCACTTTTTGTAAAACTGAAAATAGGAAGTTTTGGATTTTTTCCATTACTTTGCAAAATAGAACTTTCTGTAACTCGCAAACTTTAATTAAGACTCAGGAAATGATTGAGCGATCTCTTTCTATTTATTTTTCAGCGCGCAAACCGAAGATTGAGCGAAAAACCCGGAAAAACAAACATTTTTTTAAATATGTTGTATGTCACGTTGGACACCACCTTTCACATAATAACACTTATTGTGAATCAACAACTTACCCTCTTTTTGGTGAACGCAAACTGAGACACCTTCTCCAAAGCTTTATCCAACTGACTTCCGCCCGTCATATACTCAGTGTCGGCAATGTCCTCCAACAAGTGCTTCTTACAATTGTGCTTTCGCAACGAGAACTCCAAGTACGGTTCGTCGTTGTACTGCACCAAAGACACCTGCACCCCGTCGGGCCCGAAATTGTTGAACTGCGCGACGGTATCGCCGATGAGACGGATCGCTCTTTGGAACTTTTGCTCGTTGAACGCGTCGGACGAATCGAGCAGGAACAGCACGTCGGTCCGGTTGCCGTCCCACGGTTGATTGGGAGTCGGACACGGACCACTCGGGATCACAATGTTTGGCTGGATCTCTTCCGATGACGTCATCGTCGGTTTTGTGGGCTTTTGCTGAAAATTCAAAGAGACTTGTCGGGATTTGGGGAAACGTTATGGTTACAGATGAAGTGTTAAGTGGTTGTGGTTGAGCAGTAGAGCTAGGAGGAGGAGTAGAAGGAGTAGTACTAGTGGTGAGAGGAATGGCAAACTCGTTAGTGTAGTCATAGTCTTCATCCATTATTATTATTACACTTGAAGTCGACGCCCGCGTAGTTGACTCCGGCTCTTCCGTCAGCTCAGCCCCGTTCTCCCAATCGGGTCCGTTTGTGAAGAACGGCGCATCGCCCTCGTCAAGTGTCGTCGTCGTCGGATTCCACTCGACGCTGCTCGTCGAGAAGAAAGGCTCTTCCGTGAACTTTGTGTGCGGCTCCACCTCGATCTTTTTCGTGCGCGCGGATGTGCTCAACGTGGAATGCGTCTCGTAGAATGTGCTCAAGTCTTGCGAAACTTCTGGAGGTGCTGTGGAGAAAGTGGTGGAGCGTTCAAACGTGATCGGAAGTGCTTCAGAAGTGGTCGTGTCGGCAGTTACCAGAGGAGGACTGAATGTGGACGGATGAAGAGTCGGAGCAAATGAGGGCTTCGTCGGCAGATTGTGCAGAGCGGTCGAACGTTCTGGAAGAACCAAAAATAACGTAAACCAAGAAGTCCTTACAAACCGGTAGTATAAATGCTGACTAGCGGTGACGTCACCGTCTTCCCGTAATCCTCCTCCTCGTTCGACTCTAAATTCACCACTCCTCGGTGCGGAACGACCGACGGCGAAACTTCGATCATCGGCTTTCGCGTAGGAATTTCGGCTTTTCGCGTCGGAGATGTCACTACTTCTTCTGGAGCAAACGTTGCTACTGGCGGTGCTGGAGGACGATACGGTGGGACTGTTGTTGTTGTTGTTGTTGTTGTTGGAGGAGAAGGTGGGGGAGACGGAGGTCTGGTTGTAGTGGTAGTGGTAATTGGTCTTGGAGTTGTAGTTGTGGTGGTAGTGGTGGTTGTACTTGTGGTTGGCAACGTTGTCTGAAAGATTTCGTGTTCAATTTCTAGCTCTTCCAAACCAAAGTTTTGGCACTATTGTCTGTTTATTTTTGTCACTATTCGTGTATCTCAGTACCTAGCAGAGATGAGCGGAGACGGCAGACGGCAGACGGAAGAAAAATTTTCTTACGGAACACGGAAAACGGAAGACGGAAGAACATTTTTCTCCCGGAAGACGGAATAAAAAATCGTCAATGCAGAGCAATGCAGAGTTTTTCTCCGGTTTTTTTTTTTTGAAAAAATAACTAAAGCAACAAAAATTTTGGATCGGGTCACTGCCCGTGGAAATTCGCGTTCTTCGGGACTAGTAAATGGCTTCTGAAAAGCTATTACTCTTTTACGGCAAGAAGAAAAAATCCCGGAAGACGGCAGACGGCAGACGGAAGACGGAACAAAAAAATCCACGGAAGACGGAAGACGGAAGACGGCAGACGGAATTCCGCTCAACACTGGTACCTAGTTTCTAAATGTCCGCGAGTCATAACTTCTCACCTCAGTAACCCGAATGCCTGGCATCACATGAACATGTCCATTGGTCGGTCGACTCCAAGAAGTTGTAGTTGGCGTTGAAGTTGGAGTCCAAGGCTCATGAGTTGTAGTTGTAGTAGTAGTAGTAGTAGTCGGTCGGGGCCGTGTAGTCCAGACCCGTGTGGTCGACGGACTCGTAACAACGACAGTTCTTCTCGTTGTAGTGGTCGTGGTCTCGGAGATGTCTTCGCTTTCCTATAAAACGTATGCGTTGTTCGAGAAAACGTCTATAAAAACATACTTCAGTAAAATAGTCGGCGTCAATACTCTGCTCAGTGACCAAATTAGACCACTCAGTTGTGGTTGTGGGTGGCGGTGGGCGTCTAGTGATTCTAGTGGTAGTGGTGGTTGGCCTTGGAGTTGTGGTTGTTGTGATCGTAGTCGTAGTTCTAGTAGTAGTAGGTCTCCTAGTAGTGGTCGTGGTAGATCTCGTCATGAATGCAGTAACCGGAGGCAGTGGCCTCATGGTACTTGTAGTCGTAGTCGTCGCCTCTCCCTTCGTCACCTCATCGAAGCCCTCCTCGATCAACCGCGACAAATCCTCCTCCGTAATATCGGTATTATCGATCGTCTCGCCGAGGTTCTTGGCCAACTCGTCGACCAACGCCTCTTCCAACTCTTTGCGCATTCCGTTGTCCATCGTCATCGTACTGCCACGCATTCTGTCCATCACTTTCGGAATCGCCCTGTTGAGCTCTTGGTTCACCGCATGATTCACTGTGTTCTCCAGTTGACGATTCGGAGTGCTCACCGTCGCTTTCACCTCGATTATGTTCTTTTGACCGTTTCGGGACAATTGCTGGAAAACAAAGAAGTAGAGTTAGGGAGAGTCTCAACGAGTTAGGGACCTTTCTACACCAGAGTTGAGCGGAAGAACACGGAAGAATTTTTATATTTTTTAGAAAATTTTTTCATGGAATGTGATCAACTGACGAAATGTATAGCAAAGTGAACTCTGCTCATAGAAAAATAATTGTAAATTTAACTTTTCATACAAAAAAGTTATTCCTTCCGTCTTCCCCGTTAGCCCTTTTTTCACGCAACAACTCGAATAACTTTTTTGTATGAAAAGTTAAATTTACAATTATTTTTCTATGAACAGAGTTCACTTTGCTATACATTTCGTCAGTTGATCAGATTCCATGAAAAAATTTTCTAAAAAAGATAAAAATTCTTCCGTGTTCTTCCGCTCAAATCTGTTCTACACTAATAGAAGTTCAATTCGAGCCTAGAGAACGGGTAACTCGAAAATGGTACTGTTTAGACTGCCCAATTGGAAACTTCTCCTAGTCAAACACTTATTTTCACTCACCGCCGCCTGTCCCTGATCCACAAACTCCAATGTGTCCCTGTCGAAATCCTTGGTGATCACGATCGGATCCGAATGCGATCCGGGACCGCCATGCGAGGTTCCGATGCCGAACAGCCCGTGCACTGGCGTTTTAATCTCGGCGTGAGACATTCGGTCCTTAGCGTTCAGGTACAAATGGATTATGATATTGTTGACCGGGTCCAGTTGACCACCCTGAATAAAACGTTTAAATTTGCGAGTCTAATGATGTGGCTAGATGGTTTTTCGAAAAAAAAGTTATTAGAAAATGGATGAATGTAGAAAAATGGAAAACATTTTGCGGATCTGCAGGTGTCACTTCCACTTGTGTCTGCTTTCGGAGCGTCGAAGAGGTCGGAATTCGGATGTGCGATGTCTGGAATTGAGGATGAGAGCCACAGTAATCCCTAGAACACTGATAGATCCAGACGGGAAAGATAATACAAACATGCCCGACAATAGAGAAGCTGGGGTACAAAAGGTACATGAAGAACAAGACAGATAGGAGGGTACACAGTACAATACGTTTAAACTTTAACACAAGCCAAACTCGGGTACAATAGATACACGCAACGTCCTGAACAAGATGATAACCACAAAGTGCAGGAGAAGGGAAAAAAAGGTGTGCATTGAGAAGAGTGCAGGAAATCCCATACAATCCCATGACACATTCGATTGCAGACTTACATGGAATTGTGGAGTTTGTGACGCGACTGGCACTTGCCCTGGGGCTCCGGCTCTGAAGTGACTGTGCGGAAGAGATGGAATCTGAAAAAGTGGCTGTATAATAGATGCCGCGTCCAAAGTCTCGGAAAACCCGCAAATCTCGCGGATTTTGCAGTCCAAAGTCGGCAGAAATTTGCGGGAAACCCGGAGTGCGCACAGCTGAACGAGTGCTACCGTACATCATAAAACTACGATATTTTTTGAAAAAATTTAAATTTCTCGAGAATATTTGCAATTTTTCAAATCTCTTGGGTGAATTTTCAACGGTATTTTTTGAAAAAATTTAAATTTCTCGAGAATATTTGCAATTTTTCAAATTTCTTGGGCAAATTTTCAAAAAATACCGTAGTTTTATGGTGTACGGTAACACTCGTTCAGCTGTGAGCACCCCGAATTTCCCGACAATTTCTGCCGACTTTGGACTGCAAAATCCGCGAGATTTGCGGGGTTTTCCGAGACTTTGGACGCGGCATAAAATAAACGACTGACCTGATTGAACGGCTGCTGGAACCTCTGCGGATGTTGCTGTTGCAGCTGCTGCATCTGCCAGTTGAATTGTGGGCGGGGCCTGGCGTCCAAGTTGAGCGACGGTTGTCGGAACGTCGGATAGCTACGTGGCGGGTTGAAGTGCGAGGGTCTGGGCGGCGGTTGGTAGCCACGGGCGGTCTGCGGTTCGGGTTCCTGGCGCGGCGATGGTGGCGGACGGAGGAACGGGCGGCCGATCGGCACCGCATCGTACGTTTGGGGTGTCACCTGCAAAAGTGAGATGATTACCGTTATAGAGAAGGACTCCCAAGACGATGTCGCTCAGCTGCTATTAGAGATATCAAAAAGTTGGCAACTGATAAAATGTACATAATATCTTGCTGATCACTTTATCAATGGACAACTTTTTGAAATCTTCACAGACAACTGAAATACATCGTTTTAAAGCGACGGGTTACTGCACAACTGTGTGGAACCCTCATACTCACCAAAACTGGCCCCAGTAGAAATATGAATATTGGTATTGGAAGAAGACTCCTCCGACGCCTCATCTGTCTAAAAACACTCTGAAGAAGTACAGAAAAGAGGATGGAAAAGAGGGGAAGGAATGATTAAAGAACTCGCTTTTTTGTTGGCTTTCCCGCGCGCATCCGAAGATGCAGCATTCTAATGAATTTGGCGGGAAGATAAGCAGAAAAAGAGTGATAAAGAGGGAGAGAAAGCGGGAGGAATGATTGTTGCCACTTGTTGCGTCGAAGCTAAAGACAGGAGCGGGACGGCGTGTTGGGTGGTCATCACCGAACATTCATTTATAACAAATATTGCATAAGGGATCATTGTCATTGTATAAAGCAGAGTTGAGCGCGGAAGAACTCAACGGAAGCCGTACAGACGCAATGTCAGTCATATGTTTGTGAAATTGTTTGTGAAATGAATTTTCTAGCGGCCAACTTCTTCCTTGAAAAAAGTCATCTCAAGAATTTTTTATCTTTTTTAGAAAATTTTTTCATGAAATGTGATCAACTGACGAAATGTATAGCAATATGAACTGCGCTCATAGAAAAATAATTTTAAATTTAGCTTTTCATACAAAAACGTTATTCGAGTTGTTGCGTGAAAAAAGGGCTAACGGGGAAGACGGAAAGACATTTTCACGCAACAACTCGAATAACTTTTTTGTATGAAAAGTTAAATTTACAATTATTTTTCTATGAGCACAGTTCACTTTGCTATACATTTCGTCAGTTGATCACATTCCATGAAAAAATTTTCGAAAAAAGATAAAAATTCTTGAGATGACTTTTTTCAAGGAAGAAGTTGGTCGCTAGAAAATTCATTTCACAAACAATATGACTGACGTTGCGTCTGTACGGCATAGGGAAAAATGATGGAAAATGAGACAATGAAGGCAATCGTCATTGCGTCAAGAATCTCGAGATAATCACACGATTAGCAGGTTTTCAATTTTTGAATAAATGAATTCGATTTCAAAACGATAGCGAATCGCTTCGTTTTCTTTGCAAAAACGGAACAATATCTGACACGTTTGGCCACACCCAAAACACTTTGGGGGGTTTAAGAAGGCCTGGCTCTTCCAGTTCCAAACAACTTTTTTCTTTCGTTGGTGTTGTTTCCTGGCGAGCAATTTGTCATGTTTAATAGGTTGGATGGCTAGAAATAAGCCACATTTATCAGAAACGAATAGTATAAGTGAAGGATAGAGGTGACAATTGGAATGGGATCGGGAGGGGGGGCACTCCTCCATAAACGGAAACGGCATTCCAAAGCAAGCGAGTGAGAAGACAATTATATTATCAAAACTTTATGAGGATTTCAAGACTAGGCCAAACGGTTATTAAGACAATATTGTTGATATCAGTGTATATGCGCAAGAAGAGAAAAGTGATATAACTTTCACCCCGAGGCAGCGGATGAAGAAGCAAAAAGAGGGAGAATTGAGGCAAACGGAACGACACAGGAGGCAGAGGCACGGCAAAAAACGAGTTTTTTCTGTTCCAAGGGCGGACGGGGGGTGACTTGCCAATTGCGGGTGGGTAGATGAAGCCGTGATGGGAAGATGAATGACATAGGGAACGGTTTTGTGGGAACTATGGTTTTGGGTACCACTTGAAATATCGTTTGCAACGCTGCTGTTCATTCAAACCGATATATCTCAGGTGTCTGTGGAGATATGAAAAACTGGTCAATTGAGAAAATGTTCATAGTTTTTCGATGAGCATTTTATCAGTTGACAACTTTTCGATATCTTTACAGACAGCTGAGATGCATAGTGCTGAATAAAAGGTATACGGTATTCCAATTTACAACGAAACCCTTCAAACCACTATCATATCCCGTTCGTCCCAAGGTTATGAAAGTGCACTACAACACAGCGAACAGCGAAAAAAATTACAAAAAAACTTGCCAAAAGGATATGGTAATAGATCAAACGAAAGTATGACCAAGGTTCTCTCCTGTCACTTTATCACTTTGCGACACTGAGGGCGGCGAACGAAAGAACGAAGAAGAAGAAGAAGAAGAAGTTATGAATGTTTGCATCAAGGTTAATCTCTTTATTATTTCTCGTTCGCGCACACACAAGTACATGTGTTCCGATAAAATTGTTACGCAATTCACGCGTAATTGTGAACATACCCGGAAAATGACACAAAGTTATTGGAATTTCCAACGAAAGTGCTGCTCTAGCTTTTTTCATACCACAATCCCACAAAATGAAGACTACGTTCATGGCGATGTCCCATTGATGTCAATCGATTGAAAAAACGGATTGGCAAATGTTGATAGTTTGAAAAATGCTTGAAAAATGCAGCGGCTATGGGACACAAAGGTTCACGAAAAGACTCAGAAGGATGGCCACGTTTCGAAAAGTATACAAACCGAGAAATCGCTTCCGTAAAAGGATTTATTGAAGTCTTCGAGGCGATCGGCCACGGCATTCCCGGTCTCCGCCGCCGCAAACTCCACAATGCACCAGAAGATCGGATCGATCGGATGGTGCCGTCCGTGAAGACGCAAAGTCTTTTCCTCCCACTCGTGATTGATTCTTTAAATGATTAGAATTATTATAGGGGCACCGGACAGAAAGGGCACGCTGTTAGCAATCTGGCCGAATTTCTAGGCCGCGAAGTAATTTTCCACTGAAAACGTGGCGTCATTTCTGTGCGGTGCCCCTATAATAAGGCTATAATATGTCAGTTTTTGGTGCTTTAAGTCTCACCCGAGTCCACTCAGAATCTCTTCAAACCTCACTCAAAAATGGTCGTCCGTCGGGACCCGTCCGGGCACTGGTTTAAACCGGGAAATGTGCAAAAGCCCCTAAAAGCAATGTTTTCAGCTCAAATTTGAAATTTCCAGTTTCCGAAACACCCACCCTCTTCTTTCTTTTCTTTAATCGTCTTCATTTTTGCGGCGTTGGTCGAAATCGCCGCGCGCTCGGAATCGTGGCATCCGGAGCCTTCTCTCCCTCCTTTTCCTCCTGCTTCACTTGCCGTCCTCCGTCCTTTGATTGCAGACGAGGAAGCGATTTTTCCTGAAAAGTTCTTCTTTGCAATTGGAAAGATACTTTTTTAGCTAAGCATTTTTCGAAATAGTTTTTCTGTTGTCCCAGACTTGAAATAACACAATGGGAGCCACGGAAAGCTGGATTGATTTTTTTTTTTAAAGATTTGCAGGTTCCACTAGTCCCATTATGCTTTTTGACATCTTGGATTACAATAAAACCATCTTGGAGCATATGGAGTGAAAAATTGTTCAGTAAATAAATATGGCGAGAAGTGAAGCATTTTGCGAAAAGACAAAAAGTGGCGGTACAGATATGATTCTAAAAACTTCAAGATTAAAAAAGACGGAAGAAGCAAACATTGATAATAATTTATTGTTGAACATTTACATTCGTTTTTCCGCCATCAGGTATATTTTTCAGATGGAAGAGCTGCCGCAGAAGTTGCGACGAATTCCGTGAGGCCTCACTTTTGCGTAAAAGTTCCGGACTTTTAACGAGTGTCAATCGCGCTCTACCGCTCTCCACGTGAACTAATCGGAAACGGCGCCGCTACAACGCAATAGAACTCGCACGGATTAGAGCTGTTATGATATAGAACTCGCAACGTAAAAAATAACTGCGAGTTCTATATCGTAACAATTAACGACGCGGCATTGCGAGTACCTCGTGCGCCGGAGGTAAAAGGATGACGTTTTGCTACTTTTGATATGCAATGGTTTTGCTGGTCCCCTAGATTACAAAAAACACAATGGGAGCTGCGGGAACCTCAATATCAATGAAAACGAGCGTCTGAAAGATGAATCCAGGTCTGTTTTAATTCGATTTCCTCGAAAATGAGCAGGTTCTAGCAGGTCCCGTTGCGTTTTTTGTGATCTAGGACAACAGTAGAATCAATTTTAAGCAGATTCGACAAGGAAACATTTTCATGAAATCGAAATTTTTCGCATTTTCGATGGCAAAAATTTCAATTTCAAAATTTCACATTTTTTTCGTCCAATTTTGTTCCGAAACTATCCGCTTGTTGTTCTAGATCGCCAAAAACACAATGAAAGCCACTGGAACCCGCCTCGTTTCGAGAAAATCCAATTCCAATGCGCTTGATGATCACTTTCCGGCGTCCGTTTTCAGTCGTTTTCAGATTCCATTCACTCCCATCAAGTTTTTGTAGTCTATAGCAACAATAGGGCCGTTCGGAAGCAGACTTGGCAAAAAAGTGTATAAAGTCGGAACATTTTGACATCTTTTAGGGAAAACAAATGCCACATCCCCATTTTGTTCATTCAAAGTGATTTATCTCCGCTGTCTGTAGAGATATCAAAAAGTGATCAAGTGCTGAAATGTACAAAATGTCTTTGCGAACAATTTTTTAGTTGACAACTTTTTGATAACTCAATCGACTCCTGATATATAGATCGTTTTTGAATGAATAGTGAGCAATGCTCCTCTTTTTTACACTATTCACGGTTCTGAGAATACGCATAAGACATCTGGAAAACCGCGGTCGACGATTTGGACGAAGCGACAGTCTAGAAACAAAAACAGAACCAAATGGAATGGATGAGGTCCTCCAAAAATCGTTATTTTTCATCAATTTCAAACTTCCGTTCGTGCGATGACGGAAAACTTGTAGGATGTGGAGACTCCGACAGTCAGTCACAAAACTCGGAACAGAATTGAAAGATTCAACCACATTGCAATAATAATATGCCCAAAATGGAGTAAGGGGGTAGTTCCGGGTCAGATGCAATTTTCAGACAGAAAACACACTGTAAAAGAGGTCAATAAAACAAAAAATCATCATTGAGAGTTTGTCGAGTCGACCTTTCTAAAATGTTCAAATTAGAATGTGATTGTCTCACTTCTAAATGTCAAACCTTGAATGTCGACGGTCGGAATCACAGATCTTCTGGCTGCGATCCAACGATGCTTCCCGAGGTGGACGAATTGCGAGCGCATGGATCACTGAAAATTACAATGTTCCTTTCTTATTTGGCTGAACATGGCAAAAAAATTGGTTTCTATGCATGTTTGAATGTAATGATTTTTCAAAACTTCTTGAAAATCCAATTTATTTGAAAAAAAGGTTTCTGTATTTTTTTTTAACGATTCACAATTCTCCCGGCATCAACAACAAATTTCAGGGGACGATTAGCAAGACATTGCCCCCTGAGAAAGGTCTTAACGATATGGAATTAGATTACAAACACTACAATGATAGTTTTTGAACGACAGCGTCAAAGAACTAGGAGAATGAGCGAAGCCACGAGTTTTGAATGATGCTGTTGTTCGCATTCCTCGCGAAATAGCATTATTTCGGAGCACATCTGTATTCTCGTCTAGCGAGGTAATTTCTCGGAAAAAGTTAGCTAAAATGAGATCCCATTAATGTGTGGTCTAAATTTTCATAGACTTCCTCACCGCAACCCCCGACAATGATCATCAATTTCTGCGAGCCAATATCGTGTCACATTTAGTGTGCTGTGATGAGAGAATGTCGTCTTCTCAAGATGACATGCATACTCAATCTACCCAATCTCCCTCCGGGCCTCTTTCCGTCTGGAATAGAAGAGAGGCACGACGTCACGACCTGCGTCTCTTGTCCACTTCACTTCTTTTCGTGAGCATGCTGATGCTGATGCTGATGATGATGATGATGATGAAAATGATGGGCCGCCGCCGCAATGTCATGTTTTTTGATAAGAGACTCTAGATGCATAGAGAAAATGAGCAACGGAGCCCCCCTCGTCTTCTTCATCGTCTTCTTCTTCTTCTTCTTCTTCGCTTCTCACAAGCTCCGCCCATTCCGCTGGCTCGCCGCCGTGTCTCCGAGTCTCCGTCTCTTTTCGCCTTCCGCTGGCCTTCTCCTCCTTTCCCGTAGAGCTTATTTCTCTTGTGTGTGTGTGTGTGCAGCCACTAGAGGCGAAAAACGATATCAGTGACATTCATCTCCGACTATTTCTAGAATCTGTGCTGTCCTAACCCGCTCGCTCACACGCTCGACGATGAATATTCAAAAAACCTCAAATTTCGAGGCGCTTCAGCCGGCCGGCGCCGAGTACGAGCTGACCGATGTCGAGATTCAGCAGTTGAAGGTGAGTCAAGTGTGAAAAGTGAAAAATAAGGGAATGGCTTCTAGGAATCACTCAATGCGCTCTTTGTTTAAAAATGTCAAGGTTCTAGAAGCGTTAGTTCAAATATTTGACCCGTCAGTTAAAGGTTTAAGATTGTTTTAAAGTCTTACCTTTAAATTAGACGACATTAGTCCGAATTCATGAGAGATCTTAGTCACCTCTTTCGTCTCTGAAATTGTCTAGGAGTGTACGTGTTTTGCCGTTTTCGCCACCGCCACACAAATTGCGATTCCCATTGAAATGAGTTAGAATCAAGCGGGATTAGCGTCGTTTTTAATGTGATGCGTCGTACATTTTCACTCTTCGTCCCCTTGTAACAGCGCGTGTGTGTGTGTGTGTGTGTGTAAGTGCGCGGCAAGAAGTTCTCATGTATTCTATTCTATCCGTATCGGATGACCGAAAAGAATGATGCACTTGGCGGCGAAAAAGAGAGACGTCTCGTTTGTCGCCGCCGTCTTCCCGCGTGGTCGGAGCACATGAGAATTAAAAGAAAAGGGCAGAATGTGTGAAGGAGTCGTTTTCTCATTTGGCATGGATGCGCGAAAATGCTCAAAAATCAAACGGAAATTAGTCGAGACCGACATTTCTCATTTCCAAAGAAAATCCTTTGAAAAATGAGCCAAACGGTTTCTTTCGTGCTGCTTCCAAAAGCAAACATCCAATCAGCGATGACTTTTGCAACAACTCGGTTGGGGCGGAGACGAAGAAGTAGAAGAAGATGTTGTGGAAGACGGAAGTTGTCTACTTTCCTAGATTTCCTCTCCCTAAAGGGATTATATTATGGTGTGGGCGATGTCAGGAAACAGGAAATATTAGTAGCCACACGGGAAATGTGATGTGCCTACGTAATGAAAATATGATTACGGTAGCCTTTCGATGTGTAGTCAACACGTTTTCAATAATTTTTCACCGGCAAACAGGCTACGGTATACACTTTGCGAAAATTTGTGTTAAAGGAAGCGTTCTAGGCCTTCAAACTAGTAACACATGCCGCAAAAACTCATGAAAATGTCGTAGATGCCTGCTCGATTCCATCTGAGGATGTTTGACTCCAGTATGTCAAAATCTAGGATTCTGCACAATATGAGAACGCTGAAAAATTCCGCTTTTTCTTGGGGCACGCAAGTTTTCGCCGAGATTTGTCCGACATTAGCGTGCATCCATAAATTAACGCATCCCCGTCCGTCGCCGCCGACGTGCACATTTTGCCGATGACGGCTTCTGTCGACGCAAATGAATAATTCACATTTTCCTCGTCGCGAAAAAAGTCAACTCTGATTGCATGTCATCTTTTCTCTTCTTCTTCTTCTTCTTCCTCCTCTTTTTGTTATGTGTTCTTTCTGGAACACGAAGAGACGAAGAAAAAACACGACGAAGCAGCAGGAGAACGCACACAAAAAAGAGAAAGAGTTCGGCGCGGCCAGAGAGCACGAGGAATATGAGAAAATGGGGAGAAATGATGTGGGGGGGACGGCAGGAAGACGGATGTCACAACAACAAGTCACTAAACGATTTGATATTCTCTTATGGGTCCGTCCGGCGGCGCGTGGCGGTGGCATTCGCGCACACGGACGGAGAAACGGAGATGACAATGATGGGGGGATTTCTTTCAAAATTCAATTTTTTACAGGAGCACAATCAAAAGCGTGTGAAACGGGTTGTCGGCTTCGTCGCCATCGCCATGACGCTGCTTTCGTTGGCGTTGGTCGCCTTCTCGCTCGCACTCGGCAGGAAAATTGACTTGATGGGTCAGTTTACGGGGACCTTTCGGGATCATTGCACCTTTTAGCTTTCAGAGTGCGCACTTTTAAAAATTCTGCGAAAATCTGGACGGTATGAGAGAGAGAGAGAGAGAGAGAGAGAAATCAAATCATGTGGTACAAACACGCGAAACTCATTTTCTAGCCAGTACTACAAGAATTGCAGAGGCCGTCAGCAGTTTCTGACAACGATTTTATGACATGCACTGTCTCCCCAATAGCTAATGCTAAATTGAGCGTCGCGTTAAAACGGAGTGTCGTTGAAAACAAAAGCAGGCCTGAAATTTCTGGATTTTTTCCGAAAACCCGAAATTTCATCCGAAAAGGAGAAAAATGAAGTTAAACAGAGAATTTCCGAATTGTTAATGGCAGTTGTGACCTTAAATTAGCGTCGTTTTGCCCACTAGAAAGCGTGCATTATTGCAATTTTCTGTGAAATGAAGTCCGGATCTTCAAAAACTGAAATTTCTGTCACTTTTGCATTTTATGGGCCGTCTCTGTGCTCAAAATGACCGCCTTTGTCTGCTGAACAATCGTGAGGCAATTGTTTTTCGATTCTGTCAACTGTTTTCTCAAAATTTCCGAAAGTTCGGTTTTTCAAGCCAAATTTAAAAAACGAAATTACTCCTCGAATTTTCACTTTTGCAAGAGCACTCTGTGATCATTTTGTAGCTATCGGTCATATGAACAAACGTGAGGCAAAAGTTTTGAATGAAAACTGTGCATAATCCAAAAAACTTGGGAAAAACTCGGGAAAACATCATTTTCAGTTGAAAAACCGTATCCCGTAAATCGACACTGAGAGCCGCACGCAAAAAAGCGCGCGAAAAAATTTTAATTTGTTCGAAAATGGTACAGGATTTTTGAGAAAGCCACATGGTAGACATGGAACTTTAGCCTAAAGTCTTTAGGTTCTGAAATATCTGCTCAATCAGGAAAACATTGCAAAGGCGCTCTATCGCAATCCACGCTGTCATGACCAACGTTTTTTTTTGAAAAACTCTTCTATGACAACGTCATAGAAAAAAGCGGAACGTCCGGGACGATATATGTCCCCATAAAAAAAAGAGAGACCTATTGGATCTTTCCTCCTTCCCTCCATCTTTCTCTCTCGGGCGTATTTTCCCATTTCCGCTGTTTTTTGGCCCATGACGCCCGCCGTCCAGCCACCAACACAGAAAAAGCGAGGGTTTTTGGTCTTTTTGTCGGAAGAACGAAATGTATTTCAGTGGAGCAAAAAGTGGAGCAACGAATGGAAATCTACACGGCCAATGGGATCAATCTGACAGAAACTCGAAGCTGAGACGAGCAACAATTGAAAAAAAAACCTATGCCGATGTCGCTCCGGGTCGTTTTTTGTATATAAAAGACTGATTCTCTCATATTCTGTCTCTTTATCGAATGTTTTAGCTCTCCGATCGTTTTTTGCTCCGAAACGGGAAGTCCAACCATTTCTCCCAACACAATTTCTTCGATGCTTAACAAAAAGTGTGGATGTTAAATTGAGATACATATAATTCCATGAGTGCACTACCATCGTTTGATTGTTGTTCAACTTGAAATTTTTGAAACATAAACATTCAACTATTGTTTCGATAAACCTATTTGACCTCTGGCACACAAAAAATTCGAAGCATCGCATGTTTTCTGACGTACTTTGCACGATTATCACTGCTTGGAGGTGGGCATAGAAAAAATAGTCTAACCCGGAAAATTTTAACCCTTATCAAGATTTCAAACCTAAAATTTTGCCTGCAAAATTCACGAGTTCCACCTCTTCACGTGACTCTCCCAAATTGCCCCGATAACTGATAAACTCGAGTTCAAAACAAGGCGAACACATTTCTTCTGCATGAATTGAACAAAAAGAAACTATCCGATTTTCGTCGTCAACCATCCAATCTCATCGGTACAAGTAACATGTTTCGAGCTGGAGGTAATGTCCCCAAATGATCGTGCCCGGTTGCAAAGTGTGTGTGCCCCCTCGTTTGCAGAAGTGAGTGCCGGTGCGCTCGTGGCCTGGGGGTTCGGCTTTCTGCTGATTTGCTTGATCGCCTGCGCCGTCATCTACATGGTCGTCGTGCATTTCATGAAAAAGGGCAACGGCGAGGATGACGTTCCGTATGATTTACGCAATTTCGACGAGGAAGTCACCATAATCTGTCGGGAGCGGGAACCGGAGCCCAGTGAGCGCCAAGTTTCGGAAAAGGTGGAGAACTCATCCGCCAAGACAAAGGAGACCAAAATGGTGGCCACGGTCAGTTTTTTTGCATTCGAAAGTCTTAGCAACGCAATTTCTAGACAAAAATCCAGGCTCCACAAGTGAAACAGCAGATTCTCGATGAGAATTTGTCGCAGAAAACCGAGAGATCGGTGAAGGAAGTTGATAAAAGTGAAAGACTAGAGAAACCTGCTCCACCGAATCTTTCCCGCGAGAATCTCTCCAAAGAGTCGACCGAGCCGGAGTTGTCATCGAAAAAGAGTCTGCCGGATGTGAGCCAAAAGTCCGAGAAGATCGGCGGTAGCACGGAGCCAGTGAAAGGAATCGGCGGAAGCGTCGAGTACAGTGCCAGTTCGTTAGAGTTTTTCAGAATGCGAAACAGAAATGTTGTTTTTAGAAGCGCCGTCCGAATCCGAAGCGGCCGCGCGTCTCGAAAAAGCTCCAGAATCGTCGGACACGAGCGGATATCACATTTCTTCGCAGCGCAGCGAGCTGAATCACATCAATATGAACGAAGCGGGTCGAACTCCGCCGACCGATTCAAAGTTTGAAAATCAGATGCTCGGCGTGACGTCTTCCACCGAAAAAGTGTCGTTGTCGTTGAAGGCCGCTGCGAAGAGAAGTTCGGAGACGTCGGTTTCCGTGACGACGCCGCCCACTGTCATCAAAAAGTAGAACTTGAGCATTACTCTTGGTTTTTTGTATAAATTTAAATTTAATTTTTAAGAAGTGCTAAAAATCGCTTTTTTTTACCATCTCTTCAAAGGTTTCTTGTCACTCCTTGTGCCAACCGATCCAACTCGGAGTGCCACGTGGATTTCCAGTCGGCCGCCTCCGCCCTCGCCAATTCTTCGGTCCGCCGCGCCTTCCGCTCCGCCAATCGGTGCACTTCTTCGGCGGTCAACCGCGAAAGCGGCATCTCCAGCAGATATCCGTAATCTTTGCGCCCTCCAAAAGCCGTCGGATTCCCCGCGAATCCCATTTCGCCCATTTTCCGCTCCAGCTCGGATCTGCCCATCGCACGCAGTTCGATAGTTCCGTTCGTCACAGAATCGATGAATTTGATCTGAAAATGAAGGGTTCTCATGTGTGTAAATTGATTTAAAATTTGCCATTTATTGCTAGTGAAAATGGTCGCAAAGTTTTGACGACAAAGCGCAAACTTGTTGAAGTTTTCAAACTCGCAGCTCCGATTTTCGCAGTCATAACAACGGAAATCTAACAAAACCTGATTTTGCACGTATTCCAACTTGGCCTTCGCCTCTTCCTTCTGCACCTCGAGCCGCCGCTCATAAAGATCTTTGCGGACTGTGAAGAATTCGCGAGCAATCTCGTGAACATTCTGGAACTCTCTCAACTGCCCGCTGCCGTCGAACAGCACCAGATTTTCTGTGACGGGTGTCCGAAGTTTGAAAAGGCTCAGCAGCTCGGCGTTGCTCTTCTGCAGCACTCCGGCAGCCCGTTTTCGGTCGAGCACAATCCGAAAATGCACTTGTTTCTCGGTGTGATGCTCCGAAAATTCGAGAACCGGCAGTGACTCGATGATGCGATGAAGTCGTTCTTTGTACTTTGACGTCCACATTCCGACGGGCAGCTCCAGAATTTCCACGGTGATCGTCGCCGAATTCCGGCGTTCCGGTTTGCTTAAACGAATTCTTCCCGAGCTGAAAAATCGCGTGCTCTTCGTATCTGCCTCGATTTTTCCGTGAAAATCCTCAAAGTACGGTAGAAGGGGCGGGGCGTCGTGGCGATTTGGAGCGTCATCGATGCTCCATCGAAGCAGATCAATGATATCGGTCACTTTTCGATTGATCACTTTTGTCGACCATCCGGTTCCGATTCCTTCGGTTCCGTTCACCAGAATCAACGGAATAATTGGGCACAAGAAGTTGGGCTCCACAATCAATCCCTCCTCGTTCCGCTTTTCCAGAAGATCATCGTCGGCCGACGGGAACAGAAGACGGGTCGTCGGCCTGAAATATTAAACGATTTTTCTAGGCATTTTGATTCCAAAAAAAAAGAAGTTCCGATTAAGACTGCACTCACGCGAGAGCAGTAAAGATGTACCGCGCGGAAGCCGCATCGGTTCCGCCCTCGTGCCGCGTTCCGAACTGGCCAATCGGTTGGAGTAGAGGCAGGTTCGAGGCGCCGCAAAACGTCTGACCCATTCGGACGATCGTTCTGACCAACGACTCCTCTCCGTGATGATAGGACTGACTGTGGGCGACGGCTCCGGCCAATTGCGACACTTTCATCTCGACCGAATCGCTCATTTGCAGCAGAGTCCACAGGATTTTCCGTTGAGATGGCTTCAGACCGTCGACCAGAGATGGGATCGATCTGAAATCGAGATCATTGGGATCATTGGTTAGCATTCGGAAGTTGTGGTTCCCTCAGGAATCGCAAGAAATGTACGGAATTCTTCTTTTTCGTGCAATCTGCACATTTCTTGTTGAGCGCCGGCAGTTCGGGACGAGGGTGCCTGTTTTGTTTTGGCGTGTCTCAAACATCCCGCACCTACGTTTCTTGCGATTTTTGAACGTGAATGATCGTGATCCAAAGGGCCCTACCGATTGAAATCTGAGCTCGTACCTTCTCAAATCGGCCGTTCCGAACTGCATGAGTTCCCCGTCTACAAACTCCTTGTAGCTCATTTCCGTATCCAAATTGTCCGCTTCTGTGCTCCGAGCCGCCCGTATCCATTCTTTGCGTTCTTCCGTTTTTTCCCTATCAAAAACCATTCGAATCGCTTCATCGTCTTGCTCGTTTGCCAATTTGAAACTAGAACATAGATGTGTCATTTTTTCCAATCCTGAATACAGTATCCCTACTTGACAACGTGAAGTGGCAGCTGGCTGAAGTACTCTCTCGCTTCGTTCGAAGTCGAAGTGCCAAGTCCTTTATAGTATTTGATTTTCCATTTCCCCAAATTCTGCTCCGAATCCGCCCACTTTCGATAGTCGTTCATCGTGAAGAACGCCTTCACTTGGTCCTTTCGTTTCGCCTTCAGAAGCGGCGTTCGAAACGATTGAATGAATCGAGAATCCTGAAGAAGTTGTGGCCAGAATCTGTGGATGAAGTTGACGACGAGTCCTTTAATGTGACTTCCGTCCTCGTCCTGATCCGCCAAAATCATCAGTTTTCCGTAGCGTAACGTCTCCAGAGGGGGACGGGGCTCCGAGAATTTGAGGCCGAGGATTCGCATCAAACTACCGATTTCCTCGTTTTTCGCGGCTCTCACTTCGTCCAGGCCGGACACGTTTATCAGTTTTCCCTTTAGTGGGAACACTCCGAACGTCTCACGGCCTAGAACTTCCAGTCCGGCCAGAGCCAGGGCTTTCGCAGAGTCTCCTGAAAGAATATAATAAAAGATCTGGCAAGGAGAGGGGGTATTTTGCTTCGAAAAGAAATAATTATGAGGGTTTTGTACCTTCTGTCAAAATCAGCGTACACTTTTCCGCTTTTCCAGGTACACCCGCCCACGCGGCGTCCTCCAATTTGACAATATCTCGGACCGATGTGCTGCCGCGTTTCGTGTTCGTTTTCCTCTTTTTCGCATTCATCACCTCGTCGACGATATCGTCGATTAGACCCGTTTCCAGCGCCCATTCGGCGACTTTCTGGAAGAAGTTGCATTTTTGACCACTTTTCACAATTTGCAGTCTTGGAAATGTACAGTAACGGTCAACTGCTTCTCAGTTAAAAATATTCCGAATTTAAGGATGCATAGCAAAGTTGAGAAACGTCATAGCCATCCAAAAATGTTTGTGTATAATCTACAAACCTTGTACCTGATTTCTCTAGTTTACAACTTTTGTGTATCATCTCGCTTCATAGATGTAGATTTCACCCGAAATTTATTGGATTGATATATGTCGTCACTCAACTTTGATATGGGCCGGCATTATACATTTCCAAGGCTGCAAATTGTGAAAAGCGTGGGACCATTCGGTTAATTGTTGATATCAGCTCGGGTCGCAATTATGCTTTTACAGATTTCAAATGGTGGCTTTGCGAACCTCCGAATCGCAATCGAAACTCGATCCGAACATTCTCGTCTTGGTCGTCAGCGTCTCTTTGGTCTGGCTCTCGAACGACGGGTTCTCGATGAGACAGTTGATCCAAACGGATAAATGATTGCGCACGAGCGCCGATTTGACCGTTTTTGCGCCACTCATCCGCTCCTCTGCCAGTCTTCGCACGACCGCCACAATCTTTTCCACCACATAATCCACGTGGCTTCCGCCCTTCTCCGTATTGATATTGTTCACAAAGCTGACGACGCGCGGAAGTTCGTCGCCGTTTCGTTTGGCGACGCCCACGTGCCACCGTTGCGTCGGATGCAGAAACAGAAATTCGATGGGCTCCTCCTGCTCTGTGTCCTCAAAAGCGCGAACATAGTCCTCGAATCCGTCGATATCGACTCGTTGGCCGTTGAGCACAACGTCGACGCCACGTGGCAGAGTAGCCGCCACTTCTGCGACACGTCTTCGGATGAGCGCGATGACGTCGTCGTTGAGACGGTCGAGATGAAAGCGTCGGAGATCGGCGACGAACTCGACTTTTGTGTAGTCCTCCGCCGATGGGTCCGTGAGATCCGTCACTTCTGCCTCGTCGCACTGCTTCATGTTGTCGTACCATCTCTGGAAGATAAAAAATAGAGGCGTGGCTTTTGTTTTCGGTGATTTTTATAGATATTGAACAGAAATAGTTAAAAGTAACGTTTCGAGAGAACATTTTGCGCTTTTCAGTCATCAAAGTTCACAGAAAATGTTCGAACCTGCCGAAACTTTTTGCCCGTGCGCGTATCGACAGTCTCGACCACAAATTCGGTTGAGAAGATGTTGCACAATTTGGCTCCGTATCCGTTCCGTCCGCCGACAATTTTGATCTCGTTGTCATCGTAATTTGAAGACGTGAAGAGGTTTCCGAACACGAGCGTCGGCACGTAGATGCCTTCCGACGGATGGATTTGGACGGGCAGTCCGTTTCCGTTGTTCCACACCGAAATGCGACCAGATTGGCTGAAACGTTGAAACTTGCAGGCAAGGAGAAGAAGAATAAAAGCAATTTTTCATTTCGCTGGGAACTCGATCGCAATCTAATTAGAAAACTTTGCAATCTAATACGAACTCGTTTGAAGTAGAATTTGCTTCACTTAGATTGAAACCGCTTCTAATTAGATTGCAAGCGAGTTCCCAGAGTTTTCTGAAATGCGGACGTTCTCTGTGACAAAATTGAAATTCGAAAATTGAGCAGTTTTCTTGATTTCGCCTCCAACGTTTTCGCATTTCGCGCCAAACAAATTCTCACTTTTTCATTCGCAGTGGAGCGCGTTTGCATTATTTTTCGAAAGTCATCAAAAATTTGGGTATTTTTCCGGTTTTGAATCGGGTTTTTGGGGTAAAAAACTTGTTTTTGCTGTTTGAATGAGCCCACAAAATGTGATATTTCTCTCGTGCCGTACCTATCGACCTCCACTTCCAACCGATTCATTCTCGGATCCCTCGCCTTATTATCGGCGGCATTGACCAGAATTTCATCGAAAATCTTCAAAAGGCCCGGCGGATAGGTGACTTCCGTCCGTCTGACTCTCTTTCCCTCCAGAATCCAGCACGTCTGTGCTTCGCGCATTCCGACGCCGCCGATGTAAGTGTCCGGCCGGAGGAGCACGTGCTCCGTCGGACTCTTCCGCTCGTATTTGGCCGCTTCGGCGTTGGTGCTGTGTGTACACAACGCCCGAAATCGACGCGGCGCTTTTGGAGTCGACGATGACGTGACGACGGTCAGAAGACGGCGGAGCTCTCGGATTCGCCGCATTTTTCTGCACTCAATAGTGGCTAGTGTTAGACCTTTTTTAAAATAATCGGGAACTGAAACCAAAAACAAATTCGCGGGGTTTCGTTTCGGAAGCAAAACATTCATAGGAGATCGAGAACATTACAATAGAATTTGCGAAACAGATCGATTTTGATCATTTTTGCCACAACAATAAAAAACAGCTTAGAAAAATCACAACTTTTAAAAGGCAAGGAAATAATTAAAGAAGACGACGACGACAATTCTCGGCTCCACAGTGGCAGGTGAGCTGAAAAAAGAGAGGGTTTGGACTGGTTTTTAAAAAATAACAACGGGAAAATACGATCTAGGTGTCAAATTTCACGGAACCTGACATTTTTCTACCAAGAATTCCCTAGAATCATCTGACACTGACCCGCTCGACGTCCGGATTGAGCACTGTGTAGGCGTAGTCCCAGCACAGTTCGTCGCCCGCCTTCACCGCTTTCGTCGTGAAGAACGAGACCCACGGAAGGCGCAGGTCGTGCGTGTCGTACATTACGTGCTGCACTTGCACGTTCGGATCGCACGAGTGGTTCAGGAATCTGCAATTGTTCGCGTTTTTTCGAAGCCTATGAAGACTTTGCCATGAGGATTCTAGACCTGTTTCCTATTTTGATACGATGGAGCTTTGAACATTGAGAGAACCATCATTTGACTAGGAACTTTTCTTCTTTTTCTTAATGTATTCTTTAATGAACAGAAAAGCAAGTCCCTAGTCAAATGAGGTTTTTTCGATGTTCAAAGGTCCGGAGCAAAATCGGAAAACACTTTTGGAATCCTCGCGGCAAGCGATCTTCCAAGAACCATACAGACCTTCCCAGATTGCCCTTCAACTTGGCGTCGACGACAAAAAGTGCCGAGTCCTCGAAGTACTCCTCCCACTGGAACACCTGCCCGCTGCCCGTCGGCTCCTTCTCCTTCTCCCTCTTCTCCAGCTCCTGCTCCTTCTTCTTGTCCTGGCGCGTTTTCACGACTCTTTCTGCATCGCTCGAACTCGTCTGTGACCTGATCACAACCGGCCGATCGTAGGCGTCCTCCGCTTCTTCCACGTCGACCTCTTCTTCACTGTTCGACTCGTCCGACAGTCCGCCGCCGAATCCCTCGTCCTTTTCGTTATCCTCGTCCACTTTGTTCTCCTCTATCGTGTCTTTCAGGTCCAAATCCGCAAAATACTGATCGTCATCTTTGAGATTCTCCGCCAGCTCGCTCGTGAGCATCGCGCCGACGTAATTACAAAGAAACGCGCCTTCCGGAATGTCCGTCAGCGCACGCACTCCCCAGCCCGATTGCGCCGTTTTGAAGATCTGAAATTGATACTTTGATGAAATTTTCAGTACATTTCCGAGAAAAAGTGTACCTGCATCGGATACTTGATGTTATTCTGGACCACTCGATTGTGACACGCTTTGCGATGGCACGAGCACTGATCGTTGCACTCGTACAGCCCGCTGATGACCTTGTTGAACAGTTGACGGTTTTTGTAATGCGGTATGCTGCAAATATGAATACTTGAAGAAAATTAGCACATTTCTGGTTGAAAAAAAATTGAAAAGTGATAATTTTGAAGCGTCTCCTGAAATCTTCAATTTGTCCGCTAAAACTACAGTGGAGCGCACTTACATGTCGACATCCGCCGCAATCTGCTGCAACCGCTTCGGCAAGCGTTTGAGCGCGTCGATGGAGAGTTTCTGGCACTCGCACTTGCTCGCATCGCTGCAGTCGCCCTCGCAAGTGCACCCGGAGCAAAAGTCGCGGTGGATGCTCGACAAGTTGACCGTCTCGTCGTACTGGAAGCGTCGTTTCGAGTACTCGAGCTTCGGCGGCGGCGTCTCGTCGACCGAGTTGACCAGCGGGATCGGAATGCCCTCGACGCCGCCCGAGAAGTCTTCGACCTTCACGTACTTCGGATCCACGACCACATAGGTTTCCGTGTCGACCTCCTCGTCCAACGAGAAACAGTCGATGGTCAGTTGGCTGCGGGTCTCCCTCAGATATTCGGAGACGTCCTCAAGAGTTTCCAGCGGTTTTCCACACGGTCCAAAGTACGCAATCCACGACTTCATGACGGATCTCTTCGCATTTCCCTTTATATCGTATCGATGGCGTCTCCAGCCGCACAGAAGAGGCGCGTGGAGCGGCGAGCATCGGTGGAACTTCGCGTCGTACGGATCCGCGTCCGCCTCGCCGAGACAATCGGGTCCGCACTGCTCGTGAACCTTCAAAGTCTCGAGGTGCGGCAGGACGGGCACCGGATTGCGGATCTTCGTGAACAGCGTCTGCTTCTTCTTGTTCTCCTCCACTTGCTGCTTCGGCAAACCCTCGTCCTCCACGAGAATCACGTCAACGTTTCCACCGTCGCGGCTTCTGCGCGTCCCCTGATTCTTGCGCACCGGCATCGCGCGCTCCGGCTCCGACGGCTCGAATTGCGACGCGAATTGACCGCGACGGCGTTTTGAGAGGTTGTTGCGCGAGTTGAGCAGGTCTTTTTTGTGCTGAAAACGAGTGAATTGTCCGACTTTACCGCGACTGTAACAGGTTGTCAGGTTGCCCCAAGTGTCCCTTATATATGGTTGCCGCCGGAAAGTTTTGGCGTTTCTCAAACATCCTTTTCAGTTTACCTCGGCTCCATCGAATCGATGTGATCCGCGGAAGATGTGCTCGTCGCGATGTACGTGGCCGATTTTCGTGCACGGCCATTCGAGACAGTCGTAGCCGGGCATCGACTTGTCCATTGCGTATCTCATGATCGCAAACGCGCGGTCCACACCCACCACGACCGCCGAATCCTTTCGTTTGTCGCTCAGCGATTTGTGCACGAGGAAGCGCATTCCGGGGGACATTCGGAGCATCTGCCACTCGGGGAACTTGGCCATGAACTGTCGTATGTAATCCGCTTTCGCCGAATCGCGCACCCAGTTGTAGACCAGCGCGCGCTCGAGCGTTCCGTCGGCGTTCAGCGGCTGTCCGAGCATCACCGCTATCTGCGCCGCCCGCAGTCGCTTCCTCACTTCCGTCACTGAACAGTTCGGCGCGAGGCTTCGGGCCGCGTCGTAGTTCTCCGATCCCGGATGGGTCGGCGCCTTCACGTAGCAATCGATGCCGTTGTCGAGGAACACGAGCAGGTGCTCTTTGTGCGTGAGACGGCGGCCGGCGATCACTCCCGAGATCCATTCGTATCGGACGCAGTCTTCGCTCACTCGGAACGGTCGGAGCGTCGCCACGCGGAGGCCTGAAGTTTTAAATTGGTGAGAAACAGCAGAAAAGTAGGAACGGTTGTTTGAAAAACGTGTAAATAGCTATGCATTTACCATTTTCAGAGCTCGAATGACGAAAATAGTCCTAAAATGACCAAGATGAATATCTGATCCATCTTTAAGAGAACTTGTAGCTCAAAAACTATTGAGTCGAGAAAAGGTTAAAGGTTTCGGCATTTCTCGCCAGAACTGCACTTTTTGCAGAAAAAAAAACGAAATTTTGAATTCTCCACTTACCAACATCAATAAGACCCTCCAACCTTGGGTCCTCCAGTCCATAGCTGGCAATGGCCATGTCTCTGACATGAATGGTAGCCAGTTGGGCAGTGTCCACAAACTTGACCCGATAATAGAACGGATCGACGTGCTTCTCGACGACCGCGAGCAGCAGTTCCTGTTCGTCCGACGAGTGCGCCCTCGCGAGACAGTACTCGCCGACGGCGATCACAAACTGCTGGGCGGTGCGCGCGGAGCCCTCGTAGATCTGCCGCGCCGCCGCCGTCGTCTCGCGGATCTGCTCTTGGAGCAGCGCGAATTGCGCGTCGAGCTCCGCAAACTGCACCCGCTGCTCTTCGGAGCACGGCACAATTTCTAGCACTTGCGCATCGACAAAGTCCGATTGTTTTTCGTCGAATCGGAGAATCTCGTCGCGGCATCCCTTGATCTTCTGCACGTGCGCTCCTATGTCCGACGCCGTCGTTTCCAGGTCGCGGAAGAACTCGGAGAGTTCCCTGCAATTGGGCAACTATCTAGTTTCGCCTATCTGAATCAGACTTGTCGCGCGCGACCCTGGTTTTAGTACTAAAGTTTCAAGACATAATTTCTGAGTCAATGTTTTTCTCCAAACGGGCCGGATTTCGACAAGTTTGATTCAAACGGGGACTCTAAGTTAGCACGATTATCAGGCCATAGCCGTATCAGATGATCGGACTAAAATTTCCACTAAACACTTTCAATTCCAAAAGGATCAAATCTGGGAAGCACTCGTGGGTTTTACCGATTTTTCACTGAAGAAAACCGGAATATTCGAGTTATTCCCAAATTTACAAACTTTTTCATGGGGTCCTTCTCCTCTTTCCCCTCGTCTTCCGCATCGCGTTCCCTCCAAAACTGTGCGGCGTTCTCCATGACCGCCAACGGCAATTCGATCGATTCGAGTGCCGATTCGACGATTCTGGCCGGATTCTCTTGTCGGAAATTCACGCGCGATGGCCGTTTGTTCGCGTCCAAAAAGACGATCGTGAGGGCGAGGACCGTCTGAGCGGGTGTGGTCAGCAAAAATCGCATGAGCCGGTGAGGACCGTGTCGCGCGTGCACTCCGCTCGTCGGTTCGCTCAGGAAGTCGAGGCATCGACGGAGGGTCCACTCGTCGACGCGGTCCTCGCACAGCGGAGTGAACTCGATGTCCAGCTCGTTTTCCTCTGAAAAATTAACGATTTCTAGTTGTTTTTTGCAATCCCGGGCTTGGGCTTTTGATTCACTAATCCGATCGGGTCCGAGCTCTCCAGACTTCTTCGACTAGGACTGAAGTATATTGGGGCCAAGTTTAAGACCGTTCCGATCAACTGGTCCTGAAATACACTGGGTTTGCCGTGGACATCTCGAGACCAGCCAATCGGATCGGTTTCAAACTTAAACCCAAAACACTTCAATCCAAGTCCAAAAAGCCTGCAAAGTTTCGGTAAGATCGGATTATGTCAAAATTGCTCCAGAATGTTCCGTACCTTCGAGTATTCCAATGCAAATAGCGACGACGAGAATCTCCTCGTTGGGCAGTTCAAACTCTTCGACGAGTCCGTCCAACGTGCCCGTTTCCTTGAACTTTTTCGCAACCTCCAATCCTTTGGCGGCATTCACAATCGGATTTTCGGTGATCATTTCGGTCAGATATTCGGGACCGTTCGGGTTGAAATTCGTAAAGTGCTCCGTTTTGAGCGTGACGAACCACGAGAGCATCTCGTTCGCCTTGTCTGCCAGCGATTCGTCCGTCTCTCGCTCGGCGGAACCGTCGCCCGCTTTTTCGTCCACAACGAAACAGTCCTGCAATTGTGTTGTTTTTATTATTTCTGTAACTTTACTCACATCATCATCCGCCGTTTCGTCTTGATTCTGTCTGATCAGATCGTTCAGAATTTCGCGTACTTGCTCTGACGGCGCCTCGAAAACCGCTTGCTCTTCCTCGTCCTCGTCCAGAGTCAAATCGACCATCTACAATCGGAAAAATTCTATTTTCTGATGGAATCGCCGGAATTTTATCGACAAATTATGAGGATTTTTAGATCTTTCAATTTCTTACGACACTGACAATTTCCGATCTCAGAAATCGATTGTTTGAAAAAAAAAGAAAGCGTATCGAAAAAGAGATTTCCATTTGAACCGCGTTTTTCAATTTCGCCGTGGACCTCTAAAAACTCGAGAAAAACTCATTTTTATTTAGTTTCTAGGCCATTTCCCTTGAAATCTAGTTTTGGGACATTCTTTGCAAGATTTTTACCTCTGGCGCCGCACTCGGACCCGTTTCGGTGGGCTTCTTCGCTGGTAATTCGTTGTCCATTCAAATCTAAACGTCCCAGGGTCTTTGATTATAAACTTTTACACAAAAAACAACACAACAATCGTCAGAGATAACACAGATAAGAGCAAACATAAAAATTGATTCTTTCACGATAATTTTTTCCAGAAATATCTTATTTGTCAAGGCTTTATAGGAAGGTCTGTTTGGCAAAGAAAAAGGCGGCATGCTACACGAACGAAACACAGAGGAAAATCGATAATATTCAGAGAAGATGGGGGGCCCTTGAATTTGGTATAACAACAAAACCAGCACAATATTCGATTTTTACGGTAAAACAGTTAAAGCTGTCGAAAACACTACTACTCTGTGACTTGTTTTTGCCGAAATGGCGTTTAAAGCGAGAAAATGTGGGGTGTGTGGGAGAAACTAAACTTTTCAGGGGGTGTGGAAATCGTCGTTGGCATTATTAGGAAGGAAATGAGAGAAAATTGGGACCCGCATGAATATCGGAACAAAGAAAATGTCTAGTCAGAAAGGGAGAAAAATGAATAAATGGGGAAGAAAGGTGGGGGGAAAACGTGAGAAGAAAGTGGGTAAGAATGAATGCAAATACGCTTTTTTGGGTGGGACAGTCAATAAAATTAATTATTCCTTTCTGCGCTCCTCTCCACCGATCATTACCTGCGTTTCGTCGACGTCTTCGACTTGTCGTCGGCATCGCAGATGACATATCCTGAAGAAAAAGTGTAAAATTGTGAAAGACATGAAAGGATGATGCAAATGTTGAAACATTTAAAATTTTCACTGAAAAATGTCAAAATTTCAAAAGAACTTAGCGCGAAAAACGTGCCAATCAAATTCTTCGTTTTCGTTATCAATAGAGCGCAATTGCATCATTTTTCAGTTTTTCCAACTTTTTGTATGGATTTGAGCATTTTCGGTTACCGCTGAAAACTAACCACTTCCAAATAGTTTTACGCATCGACGCCGTCAACTGATTGAACAGAAAAACGACGGAGAGCATGAAGAAGAGTGTGTTGTAGGAGACGACGACTTTGAACGATCCGAGCCATTGGAGCGACGAATGCGCGCCGAGCAGATCGAAAGTCGTCAGTCCGACCGTGTTGACAATGACCGGAAGCGCCGACGAGACGACGAGGATGATCGACGAGTTGATTATGATTGTCGGCATCGGGGTGTCGGCGTGGACGGGTCGGAGGGATCGGAGGATCGGGAGGTTGTACAGGCCGACGAACGAGGTGATCATCACGTAGATGATCGTCACCGTTTCCATGCACGCGCCGAACAGTCCGAATGAGTGACGAGTGGTGACCTGAAATGGCATTGTTTGGCCGGACGTTTTGCGTTGATTCGGAAAAAAACCCCGGGCTTTTCAGAATCAAGGGGCACTTCATTATTCAGATTCTGATCGGGCCCAAACTTTGGAGGCTTTTCGGACTTGAATTAAAGCATTTTGGGTCCAGCTTCAAATCCACATATCTCGGGACAAGTCAATTCGATCGATCTAAGACTTGGACCCAAAATACTACAATCCAAGTCCATGAAGACTGCCGAGTTTGGACTCGATCGAAAGAGGGCTACTGATCCAAAGCGTCGGTCAAAATATTCTCTAAACTCAAACCTCATAATACTGCACATAGACGGGCAGACTACGGTATCCGAACAGCAACTTCAACGTGTTAATGGCCACCATAATGAGCGAGCAAGTGGTCAGGACCAGGAAAAGGGTCCCAACCACCGGCAGCCGCATTCTGCGCATCACTTTCACGAGCCGTCCGCGTTCTTCGACCGCTTTCCGGTAGAGTTCCGTCTTTTTGACGTGCTCCAGCGGTTTCCACGTGTTCAGCGCCTCTTCCGACTTTGTGCGACGGTCCGTGGTGAGCGGTCCTCCCAAGTTCGCATCATCCGGCTCTATTTCGGGTTGTTTCTGATAATAGCTGGAGGAGAATGTTCGCGAAGATCCCAACCAATCGTCGGATTCCGAGAACGAGGAGCGCTGTCGGCGCACCGATTCCACGTAGCTGCTGAGGTTACGGTAGTCGTAGTCGGGGTTGGGGACGAACTTCCGTTCCGGTTCCTTCCATTTGGGCGGCGACTCGCCGTAGTTGTGCTTGAACTTTAGAAACGGGTGACGTCTTCTGATGACCGACGGCGTCGCGACGTCTCCACAGCCAAGTTCTACTTCACCCGCTTCTTCTTCCCCTTCCGAATCTTCGGTGTCTTCCAAACGATGCATTTCCTCGATGGATCCGGACTCGATTCCGCTATCCGAATCTTTGCGAAGCTCTGGATCCAGATCTTCTTGATGAAAATCGCACTGCTCGAGAGCCATCGGATCTTCAATGATCGCATCCGGAATTTTCGGATCTTGCTCAATTTCCACCTCTTCCTCCCGGAACACATCTCGAATCAGCGAGAACATTCGCGCGAATCCGTAGGGCGTCGAAATGAGCAAAAGGAGGGCGCCGGTGAAGGAGACGCACGAGTAGATGAGCGGAAGGTTCACGTAGGTGATCGAGAGGAATGAGACCGGCCAGTCGAGGATCTTTAGGACCACTTCTGCGAGGCACAGAAGCACGAACGCGAACAGGAACGAGATGGCCATCGCTTCGTAGACGCGCTCGGTGATCACCTGAAACTTAGTGTTCGAAAAGTAAAATTTCCTATAAAATAGGGTGCTCAGCTAGTGAAAGTGATCAGAATCTTTCGGATTTTCAACAGAAACGCCGCCGTTTTGCGGTCAGAATGTGTGCTTACCCCGAGTTTTCTCGTCGAAAATCCCTGTGACTCGATGAAGAAGTAGGAGAAGGGGAGGAGGACGAAAAGCGAGAGATTGGAGAGCATGAAGACGTAGTGCCAGAGGGATCCGATCAGCGGGTACGAGAGCCATTGCAGATAGTAGTTGCCCTCGTACAACTGCAGTAGCTCGACGCCGATCACCGAGAACGGCAGCAGAGTAAGCGATCCGATCGACGTCGCCGTTGCTGTACTGCTTATCCACACTCTGAAGGCTTTTTTTTTAAATATATTTTGTAAATTTCATGTTATTGAATGAAACTTACGACACTCTGTACACAAAATAGTCTTCTTCGCCGGCATAAAGCGCCTCTCGTTCCGTTTTCCTCTTCAATTTCGATATTACCCAGTAGGCGAAGAGGTAGAGCAGCATGAATAGCCACATGCATATCTGGAACAAGGTTCGATTACTAAAAACTCTGCAGTTTTGCTCACAATCTGTTTGCGGACATAATTGTGAAACTCTCGTTCGCGGTCGTCGAACATTTGTGCGAGCGGCGACGCGTCGTGCACCACCTCCGTCTCCTCGTCCGCCTGCTGCCAGATCCGTCGGTGTCCCCATTTGGCCACTTGCCAACTGCCACTCGCGACGGCGCCAATCGCTGCGCCCAGCCAGCTGACGCCCGCCTCCAGGGCGTACTGTGCCATTCGGACTGCAAAAAAAATGAATGATTTACAGTTGAACGGGAAAGAGAAGCATTGTTCGAGAAAAAATTCCGAATACCGTGTGCAAACTCAAAAAATCTGAATTTTACTGACGACAGAATGATAAGATTGGGAGGTAATGAAAAAAACCTGATGGAGACAACGTTCGAATTTCATTTCTTCTCACTATGTCCGTGACGTCTCCGCCCACTTTTTATCATCTTCTACCGTAAAAGGGCGTCTAAATGTTATCTTAACGGAAAACACATGAGAAAATAGGTCAAAGTCTACTTTTTTTCGGTGCAAACTGTTTGGATGTCAAGAATTTACAAATTGACATTAGAAACAGACGTTTCTTTTTCACAGTACATGGTTCTTTATAGTTTCAAAGACTTTGCCGAGTGGATTTCGAACGTGTTCCCGGCTGCTGAGCTCTGTGTGATTTGGTTTCCGACGAGTTTTTCTCAGGTTTCAGAGGTCGGTATTAAAATTAAAGAACACGCTTGGAATTCTCAGGAAATGAGCTTCAAAACCATAATGGGGCTATTCAGCGTATGGTTGTTTTCCGTTTTTTTCGTTTTTTACACCGCTGAATTGGATTTTTTGACGTAAAAAAACGAAAAAATCGGAAAAAAATCATTTTTTTCACAGCCTGAATAACCCCGTAAAGGACTGTGTTTATAGAACAAGAATATCAACTTTACAACGGGCCAGATGGTTTTCAGAGAAATTCATAGATTCATAGTTTCACGTCTAAACGTCGATTTCGAATTAAGAGGTCACAAAACTGTCCGCCAGTTGTAACATGCTTGACACGAAAACGTCACGAAAAAAAACGGACTTTGACCCATTTTCTCACTCTCCTAAGACAACATGACACTTCTCTTTACCGTATCATTAATGGGCGGATCACAGATATTGTGAGAAGGGAAAGATAAGAGAAGATAGATGATATTGAACCTTGTCCCTTTCAAATCGAAAATTTCCTCTCAATTTTAGAGCGGAACAAAAATTTTTGATGGCGAAAAGAGCGAATGTTTGACGGCCGAGAGGCACCGGCACATGTGACTGATTGAAAACAGGCGCGGAGAAGCGAGGAATCGGAAGGAGGAAACTGAGACAAAACAATAATGACAAAAGCAGGGGTCGAATTACCAAAGTACCCAGTTTTCTTTGCTTCGGAAGCCCGAAACTTGGCGAAAAACTAGAAAATCTTTCTTTTTTTCACCTAACATACACGATTTTCGACAATTTCGCTCAATTTCGAAAGGGCAAAGTTCAAAGCGATGTAATTTGGGCGAGAAGGGGAAAACGAGATGGCGATCGTTAGGAAGATAATGAAAATGTGTGTGTGTGTGTGTGTCGCTCTTTGTCTTTCGAATTTCTCGCCATTAATTTACGGTTTCTTTTGCCGAAAAGAGAGCGTGTCAATACGAAACGGCCCCCGAAATGATAGTGCGACGTGGACTTTTCGGGTGCAATGCCGATTTCCGAATTTCGCAATTTTTTGCAAAAACTGTTGTGCTACAGCGTGATAGCCGCCAATTTTTAGTGCTACAATACACATTTCAATCAAAAACATTCACTTTTATCGCAAACGGTTCAAAGTGCAACGGGCAAGCAACAAAAAAAACGGCGGTCGGAACTGTCAAAAACGTATCAAACATTATCAATTCGATGCGGCGGTGCGGGCGCGTCGTTCACGTGAATTTGAAGACAGAATCGCCAAGCACACTTAAAATTTGAACCAAACCAAACTGGAGAAAGAAAGAAAGAAAGAAAGAGAAAATGAGGGGAAAGACAGAGAGAGAGCACGCGGAGGCGAGACACGCAGACGGACAAAGTGGTCGATTCGCACACGCACTCTCACATGTTATGCCTGCCCGGCTGAGGACGGAGGACCGAGTGAGTCAGTGTGAATAGGGGTTACTATGGGGTTCCGACAGAGAGAGCATTTATACAATGTCGGCTGGCGTTTTGGAATTTCTATTGGAACAAGCCGGAAAACGCACTTTGCAAACTCAAAACTAAAATCACCGAATTATTCAAAAATTTGGTCCGTTCTGCCTATTTGGCAATTGCTATAGCAAAGTTTAAGCACATCTTAAGCAACTTTTATAAGGCAACTTCCAATTATAACTGGAAGTTGCCTTTGGGGTTATTCAGGCTGTGAAAAAAATGAGTTTTTTCCGTTTTTTTTCGTTTTTTTACGTCAAAAAACCCAATTCAGCGGTGTTAAAAACGAAAAAAAACGTAGTATTGGGGCACCGGACAGAAAGGGCGCGCTGTTCGCAATCTGGCCGAATTTCTAGGCCGCGAAGTAATTTTCCACTGAAAACGTGGCCTAACTTTTCAAACTCGGCCCCGAGGTCGCTAAATTTGCACTGCAAAAAGAGTTTCTCGACAGAGCGCCATTTCTGTGCGGTGCCCCTATAATAAAACAAACATACGCTGAATAGCCCCATTAAACTGTGTTGAAACTGTTCTTAAACGCTGCTTAGAGTCTGCGTTAACGTTTCTTAAAGTGTGCCCGACTTTGAACCCACTTTAATAAGCAAATTTTGAACGTACTTTTCGGAAAAACAACGTTTAAACACATCTTAAACCAAGTCTAAACAAATCTGGAGCATAGTTCACGCAAACTTTCCGGTAACTTTTAATTAGAAGTTGCTTAAACTGTGCTGCGAAATGCCGACAGAATAGTGCTCGGAAAATAACATTTTTTTTAGTAAAAATCGTTTCGGAATCTGTCTGTCTACCAAAATGAGGACCGATAAATTGCACTGCTTTAATCGAAAAAGATTGCGTGGGTACCGAGACAAAACGTGCTCGCATCGAAACAAAAAAAAGAGAAAAACAGCAGAGCGAACAGAACGAACATCAATTGATTCGCGTTTACGCGCGGCATAATCGAGCGTGTCTCGCAGCGTGTTCACAAAAAGCAACATATATATGCGACGCGCCTTTAATTTGAGTGTATACGATTGAAATTTTTCCGATTTGAAATTTTTGCCGTCCCCGATGCCGTTCGTCCGTTCCCAATCGTTCTCTTCCATTCTCTTATCACATCGGCCTGCCTGCCTTCCCCGTTTTCCGCAATTCGCCCCCATTCAGATCCAATCAATCGCCGTCCGCTATGTGTGTCTCCCGACATACTTTTCCACTACCAAGGACGTCCTTCTTTTTCTCTCCTTCTCTTTTCTTCGGCACAGTCCGCCCGGGTTCCCTACTCTAGTCGCCAAGAATGAATGGATTTTCGCTTAGAATAAGTTCCTACTGTGCACTTTTCGTTATTCTCCTTCTGCCGCTCTCAGAGTTAGTTTTCTTTTAGAAGCTCTCAAACTTGGGGCCAAAGGGCCGAAGATGAAGCTTTCAGACCTTTATTTCAGATGTCACTGCCCTCACATGATGGGCATAAAACCGCCGGGTCCACCAGCGGGTCCGAGTCCTCCGGGCAAGCTTCCCGATGGAGACGAGGGCTGGGATTACGATGAAACTGCGGCGCCCGGGATCGTGCCGGAAGCTCATTTTATCCAATCTACTTATGTTTATCGATCTGCCAACGGTATCTTCATTTCAACGTCCCCAATTTACTCGAATCCAATTTACAGTTCAAGAGAAAACGTTCTCAACTCGAGTGGTGAATGTGCTCAAAGACATTCGTACTCGTTTGGCTAAATCGGCAAGGCTCACACTTGAGAATGAGAGTGTAAGTTGCTATTCAAATAAGAAGCATTTGAAAACAACGTTCGTATAGATCGAATGCTCGTCGCCAACGGATCACTATCGGTGTCAGGAGTATCCGTCAACCGGCACTTGGAACTATTTCATTGTCGAAGATCAGTCAGTGCCTTTGTTTTCAGAAAAATATCTTTAAAATTGTACGATTACAGAACAAACGGCGCAGTCACCTACACATTCGATCGAAAATACAATGAGAAGAACGACGGAACCATCGAGATGGCTTTGCTAGAGTAGGATTATTGTAGCTTCACACACAAGAAAAAGAAAACATTTCCGAATTTCAGCGCACTTTCTCGCCACGCTCCTTCAAGTCTGATCGCTTTTGCGTCGCCTGAAGCCGAGAAGGAAGTCGGATATATCAGAGCGCTCACCACTCAGGAGTTGGATGTCAGTTTCTTTCTTTGAATTCGTCAAAAAATGAGGGTGCGCCACGGTCTCCAGAGCTTACAATGGGCGCAAGTGCGCCCCGCCCAATAGAGCGATACATTGGCGCGAAATTTAAATTTTAACTGCAAAATTTGTGTTTTTTGTCATATTAGTCACGGAAAACCGATAATTTCTCATTTGTCTCTCGATAGACCGATTGTATAGGCTATTACGAATTTTTTAAGCGCAAGAGCGTTAAATTTGGTCAAGTCGCAAATCACATTTATCCGTTTGAATGTTTTTGGCTGAAACTGCGTGAATTTCAGTTGCTTTTCGGTAGTTTTTGCGGTTCGAGCGCTCAAAATGCTTGTATTTACGTGATTTATCATTCTCAAAACTATTTCTGTCTCAAAACGGTCAAGAAAGCGCAAAATGAGAAGTGCGGTTTTTAGGCGGCGATCGGCGGCGAAGGCGAAAAAGCAAAATCCGCGAAAAATGCGCCAAAACGTCATTAATTCTCGAGAATTAGTGTGTTTTCATGTCGAACAATCATTTTCATCGCCTTTGACCACAAAAATCAGAGAAAACGTGCTCAATTCATGAAAACGCCATTTGGCCGCCGAGGCCATGCCCATATCGTCAGCTCTGGAGACCGTGATATTGAGATATTCTGACGATCCCAATCGAGTTTGAACCAATTGAACATCACTTTACAAAAGAGGGCTGAAGTTAGCAACAACAACAGCTGTTTGTTGCGTTTTCTGGGAAAAAAAAAACCACTGACTGCCTTTTTTCTCGAAAAGGTATTGCTTTATCGAAAATTCTCAGTATTCCGCACGTACGCACCAAAACTATCAAAATCATTGCAGTTTCTGAGCGACAAGCCGTCGCACCGTTCGATTTCTCTCGAGAAATTCGGTCCGAACGAGCTGAACCTGGTGGAGCCGGCTCTTTTGGAAGTGCGCACCGGCGCCGCGCTCAAATTGGAATCCGACGCGCTTCGGAAGATCGGCAGCTCGGAGGAATTCGATAAGCTGCTCGCCGAGCACACAAATGTGTTTGTTCTTTTTTGGAACAGCAGTAAGTGGTGTTCGACGGAAAAGTGGTGCGGAAAAATGCGGCATACTTACACTTTATTACTAGAATTAGACACGAAATTTAGCTAGAGGGGGAGGGGTTAAAACTATACGGCTATTTGGTTAAAACTGGTTAAAACGGGCTGGGAACAAGAAGAAAAGGAACAAGTTATACAGGAACAAATCTAGGTAAAAAAAATAAATACAAGAACGAAAAGGGGGTTTCATTAATGCTCGTCATCGTGGAAAATCTCCTGCTTGACACGTGACTCCTCGGGATGATCTCCGTCGTCGCCGACCATCTTCATCAGATCCTCCAGTTTGATCTCGTTGCCCTCGGCCACTTGAACCGTGCCCGGCTCCTCGTCGACCGTCTCCTCCTTCACAATTTTCAGTTCCGTCTGTTTCGCCGCGTCGGTGTTGTAGATCTTTTTGAGGACGCGAGTTCTCTGTCTGCGGTGGTAGTTGGCCACTTTCGCGCGCACCTCGCTCACCGATTCGATCACAACCACCTGCAAAATGGGGTTCGAATTTTTTGAAAAATAATTTTTCTTACCTTATTCTCGGCCTCCTCGGCTAGCATCAACTCGAGCGCTTTCTCGTCGAATCCCTGACTTTCTCCAAAGTCTCCGTCCTTCTTTTCCTGCATACTTTCGATCAGTTTGCGAGTTCGCTCCACACACTCGTCGGCGAGACGGTCAACTCTACAAAAAGATACTTTTTGTTTTTTCGATATGTCGCTCAAAAATCGTAAGTTTCATATGAAAATTATCTCAAATCCGGAGAAAATTGACTCGGGATTTAAAAACTAATGCATGTGCGCTCTATTGCGAGCAATTCGCTTTTCAGTGCTTTCCAGCAAATTTTTAGTGAACGCACTCAAGAGCGACGTTCAAATCGACGGCGCTCTTCATTTCGACGCCCTTCTGTCCGACATGGTGCGTTTTGATGTGCTGAACGACGAAAATCTCACGACGACGCGCGTAATCGCACGCGGAACACTTGTACGGACGGTAGTTGAGGTGCGCTTCGATGTGGTTTTTGCTGCAAAAAAAACGAGTTTGAATAATACACCACGAGTACTCGAGTATTACCGATTTCTGGAGCAAATCCATTCGTTGCAAATCACGCACAACACATTTTTGTATCTTCCGAACGCGGCCTCGCGAAGACGTTGTATCTCCGAAGTGACTTCTTCGTCGATGCGAGAAGAGGCCGGCGGCGGTGGTGGGGCGATCATCGGAAGCATCGGAAGAGCCAGCGGAAGCGTCGGTTTCACGTCCTCCTTCTGCTCCTCCGCCTCCGTTTTCTCCGATTTCTCGTGCGAAGTCTCCATTTGCGTGGGCGAAGTTGGGCGCGAAGTGAGCGGGGCCTCTTGTTTCACTCCGATCGGAAGCGGCGGCGGCGGCAGAGCGTTCAGCGGTTTCAACGGGTTCGGCGGCATCGGGAGCGAGGCGGCGTACGTGGCAAGCGTGTTCGCAAGATTTGGATCTCCGCCGGCAGCCAGATATCCTTGTAGGAATTGACGGAACGCATCTGGAATGTTTTTGAACAACTGAAAATTTTCAAATCTGAAGCTCTCGGTGGCCTAGAAGTGTATCGAAATGGAAGACCGACCACGATTTGAGCAAAAAAAAAACTGACTGAAAATGACGACGTAATTGAGGACGGGCGGTGCGTTTCCATTCGCAGAAGTCGTCGCATTGGCATTCTTCACATTTACGGGCGGCGCCGAAATCATCGACGTCAGAATCGGAAAATCGATCGTCTTTTCGCATTTCGGCTCTTTTCCCGCTTCTTTCGCGTCCGTCTCGTCGATTTGCTCGTTCAGCGCGTCCATCAACGTCTTTTTCGGCGGCTCCTGCTCGTTCTTCGACGGCGACGTCGGGCACGACTCTAGCTGGCGCTTACGAAGGTTTTCCATTCTGAAAAATTTGAAGTTTCTTGGGACAAAAATAGTTTGGCGCGCGAATTTATCTCGGTGACGAAGCAAAATTTTTCGAAAATAACCGAAAAGTCGGGTCTGCATCGTGGGGCCAAAAATCGAAAAGGTTTCAGCCCGGCCCTGACCCTACCCGGATTATCACGGATTTTCAAGAAAATTGAAAGAATTATACTCGCAAGGATATTCTAAAACTTTAAAACTGGCCCTACAACGCAATAGAACTCGCACGGAATAGAACTGCTACGATTTGGAACTCGCCGTTGTATTCTAACGTTGCGAGTTCCAAATCGTAACAGTTTTATTCCGTGCAAGTTCTATTCTGTTGTATAGCTCCCTAAAACTCTGCCTTCTCGACGGAGCGCACTTGCTAGCACAGAAATTAAGCGCCAACACCGAGCAGAACGTATTTCTAACAGTACAAAAAGTGAACATCTGAAAAGCGGATACCTTGTGCAATGAAAAGTGACTCAAATGAGTGTCGCGATTCGAAAAGTGATTCGTCGTCGTGGAATCCGAGCTCGGCCCCTCGCCAGTTGACCTTCGACTTGACATGACCTAGTTGACGTGGTGACCCCTGCAGCTGATTAACGGAAAAGCGCAAAAGTAGGGCACGAACGGTTATCAGGAGCACTCGGACGAGTTCACGCGGCGAAACGATGAACGAACGCGCTCCATTGCGACAATCCCGGCGCTCGGCCGTTTCTGCTCGTTAAATTTGAAAATATCTTAAAGAATTTGCTGAAATAGAAGAAGTTTAACCGAAAATTTTGCGCAAATCAATAGAGCGCACTTTACCATTCCTCAATTTTCAATTTTTCTTTCCAGATCGAATGGTCTCTTTGCACACATTCAATTTATGGTCGAGAACTGCCGAAAAACTGTCCGCTGACCGCATTTCTACAGGTTTTTCAGAGATTAAAACTTTTGAAGAAAGTGAAAACGTTTCAGAAGTGATTTTGGCGCATGTTCCGTGTCAAGAAAATGCCGATTTTTGTCAGGGACTCAACGCCGAAGATTTCCACACTGTCGTTTCGTACAGGTTTCGCAAAGCAATAGGGAACGTTCTCTTTAGAGCGCATTTTGCAGAAACGGTCAAAACAATGGTAAAACGGAAAACCTCGGCGACGAAGAGTATTATGCGAGATGGATCGAGTTGTAAGTGAAAACTCGGCCACGGCCACGGTTTTGCGAGAGAGCAATTTTCAGAGTTCTCGCGGGAAACATTCAAAAAATCGATTCTGAATCTCAATTGGCGGAGCTGAAAAAAGGCGTTTTTATGGGTAAAAAACGAATGTCGGTGACGATCGGAATTTTCGGATCCGAAGAAGACACCTCACTTCAACACTTGAGAATCGCCTCGGAGAAATTGGCCGGCAAATATTATTTGGCCTATTTCATCAATAAAAAGTTTGTTTGTGATAAAAATGATTTTCAAATGGCGATTTTCAGTGCAAAACCATCGGTGACCACTTATCGATCGGCGGAAAAACAGAAGCGAACTGATTATTCGGGGAAATTCGATCCGGCCACACTTATGGAGTTTCTGACCAAATCCTCTCTACCATCTATTGTAAGAAAATTCTAGAAAAGTCAAAAGCAGGGTAGCTTATCGAACTCGATTGCAATCTAATTAGAAGAGTTTGCAATCTAAGAAGAAAAAGCTCTATTTCGCAATCTAATCAGATTTAATTGAAATTCCAGTAAAATCGTATTAGATTACAATATATTTTTCCTGAATTGCAATCTAATAAGAAAAATTGGAATCTAATTAGAAAACATTGAAAACTAATTAGAAAAATTGCAGTGATTGCAATCTAATTAGAAGATTTTGCAATCTAATTGAAGCAAATTCTATTTCAAACGAGTTCGTATTAGATTGCAAAGTTTTCTAATTAGATTGCGATCGAATTCCCAGAGGGCCCGTGAATTTGTACAGTGTTAAAAAAGTTTTTGACAAATCTTTACACCTAGGCCTTCATTTTACTAGTTGGCAACTTTTTCTGTACTGTAGCCACGGTGATTTTTTCTGGGGGCGCAGTGGAGAGAGGAAGAAAGTTCGGCCCTCGTCCCTTGAACTGTCGGCTGCTTATTTCGCCGGTCGCTTCCCCGCGCGCGCCAAAACTTTTGATGCGTGCTGTTCGAAGAATACTGATTCATTTTTCCCAATTTTTTTGGAAATGAGTTCATTATAATTGAAACTCGCAGAAACGTCTAGGGGTGACTGCCAAAACAGCTTTTTTTCAAAATAACACTGCTCATGCGTGCTTTTTGTGTATCTTTGTTAGTTTTTTTACATCATAATGAACTCATTTCCAAAAAATCAAGTAAAATGAATCAGTATTCATCCGACGGCACGCATCTTCGGCCATGTTGTACAAAAAGTTGTCAAAAAGGAAAATAAAGTTCTAGGTATGAAGCGTTGCTTGAAACTATACGATCACTCTAAATTTGTTTACGCTCACGCAAAGCTTTCACCCCAAACTTTTGCAGATCGACATAACCGCCGGCTTCTCAACAGATCTGCTTTTCCATCAGAAACGGCCGATTCTGATTCTGATCGGACCGGAGCCATCGGATTCGTTCGTGAAGTTGTCCGCCCGTCAGGACGCCCGAAAGTCGTACATTTTCACGAGAATTTCAACGGATTCGCAGAACGGAAACGTCAAAAAATGTCTGGAAGCACTCGGAGTCGAGGAGAACGAATCGACCGTTCTGATTTTGAATAAGGTAATCAGTAACGCACTTTTGTATAATAATAATAATAGAATTTTAAGTTATAATTTATAACGTTTAGGATCGCATCCATAAAATCCCAACATCAAAAGCGAAATGCCCGGATCACCTCCACAAATTGATTCGAAGCATTTCAACCGGAGAAGCCGACAGTAAGCTAAATTAGAGACCTAGAAATTAAAAACCAACCATTATTGCAGAAGTGCTCTCCACAAAATCGGCTCATCCGTTGCGGTACCTGCAAGTGGGACACGTGAATAAATTGTTCGGGTTCGAGGAGACGGTGGTCCTGCCCGATCACACCCTGTTTTTGGATTCCGATGTAAAAAAGAATTGCGCTCTCAAAACTTCAAATAATTTTGCTTTTCAGCCCTTCGCCCGTCATCCGCCGATCGCTGCTGGTGCCGGAACCGGCGGATGTCCGTTCATGCAGGGAGGCGGGGCGACGGAAAACGGCGCCGGCGCTCACACCGAGCTTTGACAAAACGTTTTGCATTTTAATTAACGTAATTTTAAAAAGAGAGACGGGCCCTAAAATAAACGAAAACAGAAACAAAACAGTGATAGTGTTGAAGTTTGTCCGAAAAAGGAAAAGATCAAAACTTTCAAATTTACCAAAGAACGAGTGGTGTCCAGCACAGAGATTCAAGATGGAGAGAGAGAGGTTGGGAGGTAATGATTTTGCAGCAAAATTTGAGAAGATTTCTAGAAAAAATTCAAAAAAAAAAAACGGTTAGAAATTAGCGACGATAAAGGCACAACAATAGAGTTAAAGGGGATCGGGCGGTTAATTTGAAATTTGAAAGATTTGGCAGAAAAAAACAACAATAAACTCATTTCTTTTGGATGCTAAGACACTGGGAGAAGGCGGACGCGTTGGTGGTCGTGACTTGGTCACACTTTTGATTTTACAATAACAAACAAAAAAGAAAAGGAAAAATACCCATTTTGGAATGAGAAATGTGGGGGGAAGGTTTGGGGTGGGGAGCGTCTAAAACGGGGGCGAAAATCAGATGAAGACACGGTGGAAATCGTTGGCTCCGAAGTTGCTCGCGCATTTCGGACACTTTCGTTGACGAGTGTCGTACCTGCAATTTTAAAACTCAAATTTTGTCGAATTGAAGAAAAAAACACGTACATGGTCTTGATGCAGGGTTCGCAAAACAAATGGTAGCACTTGAGCATGATGCAGTCCTTGGGTCGGGTCTTGCACGACGGACATGTGAGCGTCTCCTTCATCTGCCGGTTCGCCTCCTCGAGCACCTGATCCCCTCCGCCCGCTCCGATAGGTCCGCCGCCCGTCGACTCGCTCCGTTTCGCCCGTTCGTACTTCTGGCGCAGCGTCTCGAGTTCTTCCTCGACGCGCTGTCGCTTCAGCCGATTCTCCTCCGCTTCTCGCAGTTTCGTCACGTACGCCTCCTGCGTCTGTCGCGCCTGAATTTCCAGGCGATCGCATTTGATGATATATTCCTCTTTGATGGATCCCAAATCCGTCGCCAACTTTCGATTTTGCTCCGCGTACGCCATCGCTCGCCTGCAAGAGTCAATATTGCACCCCGAAATTAATTCTACACTGAAAAACAGCTTCGAAGCCAAAATTTGCTTTTTCGACTGACGCAGCAAGACAATCACTTTTGACTGCTCGCCTCTATAAAGTTTAAATTCGTGTCTAGAGCTTGAAGCTTTCCATGTTTTTTTTTTAGAAAACCCAGAAAAACGTAGAGAGCTTCAAATGGCCAATTCTGGATCAAAAACGTACGTGCACTCGGCGGACTTGAACTGCATGGTCTCCGAACATTTGGATATCGCCTCCTGCAATCCCTTCTTCTCGAACTCGAGCATCTTGGAAATCTGCGCGTCCATGCTGGCCTTGCTCTCGTAGCACTCGAGCTTCTCCTTCAACTTCTGCTGCACCTGATTCTGCACGATCCGGTCGTTCATTAATTTCAGATTGCGGTCCTCCTGCTCTCTCTTCTCGATCACCAGCTGGCTGTTCCGCTCCAGTTCCTCTTCGACGGCGGTGCCCGCCTGCTCCAGCTCGTCCGAGATGATCTGCTCGTCGTTCGTCAGAATCTCGTTCGCCCGGCGCAGCGTCTCGTTCTCTACTTGAATTTCCTTCATTCGAGTCGCAATTTCTTTCTGAACCTCCTCCATTTGTGATGAGTATGACCGTTGCTTTTCGCGGTTTTTGGGAGGGAAGGGGTCGACCGTAGGGTTTTCAAAATAAGAACACGGATTTGCCTCTGCTTCTTTGATAAAAGTTCAATTTTACTGTGTTCTTCAAAATGAGCAAGGTAACAGGTAAATGTTAGACTTCTTGGGGAAGTTACAGCTTAGTTTTATAATATTTTTAAAAATTGAGCAGATATTCAATTTTTCCGCAGAAGAATCAGTCGCCGCACCCTCCCCTCCTGTCCGTACTTACCTCCCACTGCTGCTGCCGGTCCCGCTTCTCCAGACTGCCCAATCGTCGAATCTCCTTCTTCAAAGCCTCGTATTCGGCTCGGAGCTTGTTGAAATCGCCGTCAAAGTCCCTTGACGTCTCCACGAGCGGCACCATCACACACTTTTCCTGTCGTTCCTTGAGCGCGCGGATTTCATCCTTGAGCTGTGCGATCTCCTGCCGCGCGTGCCGATGCTTCTCCTTGCTGCGGCCCGCGTCGAGTTTGTGCATCGCGTTCAGCGCGCGCATCGTCATCAGCGTCGCCTTCATCTCGTTCCATTCGCACTGCTTTACTGTCTTGTTGTACTCCATCGCGACGGCGTCGTGCTCGGCGCGCAGCACTTCGCAATCGTGCGCAATGTGGTAGAACTCGTTGTGGATCTTCGCCTGCGCCTCTATTTCCTTCGTCGTCCTCATCTGCTCCTCGCTCATCTGGTAGAAGCGCTGATCGCTCACGTTGCGCAGTTTGTCTCGCTCGACCGCCATCTCGTCGAGCTCTTTGCACACCCGCTCGTACTCTTTTATCGACAACGAATAGTATCGTTTCAGCGTTTTGTACTCTTCCGAATTCGGAATCTCGTCCGGCGAGATCAGGTGCATCGCTTCGAACTTTAGCCGTCCGTTCTCGTGTTTCAGCTCTTGCATCTGACGCGACATTTCCTCGATTTCGGCGAGACGGCGCGACGCCAGTTCCTGCGCGTCGTCCCGTTCTTGGCGGAGAGCGTCCAGCTGCAAATCGTTTTTAATGAATCTCTGATGAATTTTGGGCTTCCAGACGTTTCTCAATCCGACATTTCGCAACTGACATAAACCACCCAGCGATAAATTGCATTGTGAAAGTTCACGTGAGTATCGTGGCGTCGCGGTTACGAAACGTCGAGTTGCGAAACGTCGGGAAGCTGCATTTTGCGCCCAATGGCCTTGCAATTCTTGTTTTCTCAGGTTAGCACAAAAACATCACTGAAAGCTCGATTTTAAGCTATTTTCCTGTGACTTTCACAAAAATCCCCCCTTTATGGAAAAATGTCACTACTCGGTACTTTATTATTCGTACACATTCGGAAAGTTTGGAAATCGTGTATTTCTCTGCTTGTCTTGTGTATTCTCACGGTGATGACGCACAAAAGCGTTGGAAAAAGACAGTTTCGTGTTTTTTCTTAACAAAACAGCCTATTCTAGCTGAATTTCAAAGCTTTCTCTGCTATTATCCGGTTGACAAGCCAAGATTTGAAAAAGCATTACTAAAATTTTGAAAATCGGACCTTAGTCGGGATTTTTTGAGTTTTGGCCCAGTAGTTGGCATTCAATCTGCTCTAAACTTTGAACGATTATCATGATTCCAATTACTGGTGCAAAAGTTGAGAAATCCCAACTAAGATTCAATTTTCTCGCAATTTTCTTCTCCTTGAGCCAGAACCGACCTCTTTGGCAGCGGATTCGCTGGGCGGCGTGCCCGGAGACGTGGCGTCTCTCTGCTGAGTAATCGGTCCGGGAGCGATCGACGCCATCGACGCTCCCGAAGCCTGGAGGTTGAGCAGAGTCTGTTGGTGTTCGTAGGCGATGTTCGCTAGCCGAAACTCGTGCTTGTTCGCCAACTGCATCTGTTTGTCGGCCAGCCACTTGGCGTCCGCGAGCTGCTGCTCCAGTTGTTCCACTTTCAGCTGTAACATCTCCGTGTTCTGTCGCTTTTTGCGGTCCGCATTGTAGTAGTCGGCCTGCGCCTGCGTCACGTCACCGTGCAATCGCTCGTTTTCCAGCGCAATCTGGTTGGCTTTCACGCTGAGCTCCTTGTTGTACTCCGTCGATTTTTCCGTCTCCAAGACCAGATGACCCATTTTGTCCATGAATACGCTCATCTCGTGCGCCCGGTCTTTTCGTGCGGCCGAGAACGATCCGAACGCGTGGCGTCTGAAATTTTCGCTATTTCTTAAGGGTTTTGAGTTGAAATTTAGAGATAGGTTCAAAATTTCACGGAAAATGTCTACAAATCAGCGCGTATACCGTTTCTTCGGTAAATTTTGCTCCGCATGTTAAATTCATCGGTTTTGACATGGATTTCAGCAGATTTTCGGTAAGATTCAAAAAATTATGCAAAAAAAAATGTTTTGAGCGCCGGTTCCCGGAAATTTCCCAATTTTAGTGAAAATTACGCTCATTTTCAACCAGTGAACCCGCTAAAACACATTTTTCATAGAAATATGCCGATTTTCTATGATAAATTTGCAAAAAAGCTGGCAATCGGCGGATTTCTGCAAATGTTTATCGGTTCGACGCGTCTTCTTACAAATTTGTCTTCATTTCCTCTATAAATTTGTCGTAATTGTCCGGATGCATGTCCAAAGCGACAAAAGAGGGCGGCACGGAGGTGGCGGGGACGGAATCGCCGAATTCGAGCCGCGCTTGGCAGTTGATGTACTTGTGCGCCTGAAAATTGTCAAATTGCTGGATTTTTGAGGTTTTCGGCGTACCTCGGCGAACAAACTGTACGCTTTGACGCTCTTCGCCTGCGCGGCCATCAATTTGTCGCGTGTCTTCGACGCCTCACGCTCCAACTCGTCGATCACCTTGTTTTTGTACATCAACTGCTGTTTGAGCTTAGTCGCCTGCACGACAAGCGCTCGCCCTCGTATATCGCTCTGTAGAATCAACGAAAAATTGAGTTTGGCCGCACAAAAATCGCCGCGTTCTTTACCACATTGCTGACGGCTTGCATGCGGACCGGCTCAAAATTGATTTTACGGCGCTTCTGCTCCCCTTCGCCCGTATCGTGGCCGACCTCGTGGTGCCCTTCATTCGTTCTTTTTGACATGCTGTTTTCCGTCCAAGATTGGTTTTATCGATTTTTCACGTCTTCCTGCTCATAGGGATCCGTCGTCGACAAGGTTTGGCGACGGACGCCTGAAAAATCGATAGATTATTCGCTTCGGGATGCAAAATTGCGGTTTGCGACTCGGTTCGGAGTTGACAACGGAAAAAACGAAGTGTTCAGATTCAAAAGGCGCTCTATTCGCGGCGAGACCCGCAGCGCATTCCACCGCTGGACGGGTAGGTACGGTTGAGAGCCGGTTTTTGTGTAGATTTACGCGAGCCGTTCCGAACGGAAAACGGATTAAAACAAGAATATGGTAAAGATTTAACAAGAAAATATACATTTAAAACAAAAAATGCAAGAAAAACTATGTTTTTAGGACAAAAATTGCGTCGATAATCGAGTTTCCCGCCCAAAAACGCTTGAAAAATCGACCGACTCGGCGGCGGACTAGCTGCGGCGGCTGAACAATTTCTCGTCCGCCGGCCGCATTTATCGTTTTCCGACTCGTTTTCAGCTCAAAAAGCATGGTTAAACGGCTTATCGTGCAAGGACTCGGGCCATTTACCACCGAAAACACACTCCGAAAACATTTCGAACAGTTTGGCGAACTTTACGAGTGTCAAATTCCACCACCACCCCGATATTCAGTAAATTGATTTATTCGTTGTTAAAAAAATTAATAATCGAGTTCAGGTAATTGACAACGGCCCGGACGATGAAGACGTCGAAGCGAGAAGCTCGATTCGTTGGGAAAGAGTCGACGACACCGAGGATTTGGACGATGAGCTGTCGGTAGAGCCGTTCGATGAAGAAGTGCATGAAACCTTTGAAAAGTACATGCGTAAGACCCATTTCACTTTTAAATCGCACAAAAAACTTCTTATTTTGCAGGAAAAATCGGCTCGGGCGATGGTTTTCACAAAAATCCGCGAAAAACGTGCGCCGGCTACGCCTACATCACATTTCTCGACATGAACGGCTATTTGCGGTGTGTAAAAGAGGACGTGCACGAGGTTGGCAGCCTAAAATGCACTGTAGAGCCGGTACGGAGTGAGGAGGAGGAGGAGGAGCAGAAGCTGAAAATCGAGTCGAAACGGCTTTTCGTCTCGTTTTTCCCGTTGGATCGCCTGAGCGCCAAGGAGCTGAAGAACACGTTCGGCGCGTACGGTAAAATTACCGATGTCGAGTTTGTCAGTGTGAGTTTTATTTAAAAGTTGATTTTTCATCAAAAATAGTAATTTTTACAGGATTCCGAAGGTCCTCTCCACTTTTGCATCATCACATTCCACGAGAGCTCGTCGGTGGATGTCATTCTCACGAAAACCATTTTTATTAGGGTAAATACGTGTTGAAAACTTTAAAAATGCAAAATTGAAGGACGTCCGAATGTTCACAAGACGGGCGGTGCTCAAAGAGTCGATCAAAATTGCGGAGCACAAGCGGAAAGAGGCCGAGAAAGAACTTCGCATCCAATTAGTAATTTTCTAACATTTTTTGCTGAAATGTTCAGTTATCATCTCTTTTTTTCAGCCGCCGAACCACACGGCGTACCCCCGTCCACGACCGACCTTCCCTCGTATTTCGGCCCAAGAGGCCGTCGCCCAGGCTTCTTCCTTGGCCCAATTCGATCCGTCGGCTGCTGCTGGATACGCTCCGATGCACCGCCCATCTACTTCTTCTTCTTCTTCTTCTGTGCTCCAGCCTGAAAATGATCTACTTGCCAACTATGGTTACGGTCCCCGAAAGTGGTAGCACTCCACTCAATTGATCGCTTTTATGTCGATTGGTTCTTATATACGGTTTTTATCATTGTCACAAGATTCTCAATTGGTTTTTATCATTTTTTTTGTGGAAAAAGTTCTGTTCAAATTCTTTCTCGTAGAAATACTCTAACGCTGCAAGAAAAGAGTAAAACTGCTCGATTCTTCTATTTCTGATTGATGCTCGGTATTTTGACGCCTCGAACAGCCGAAATGATTGCAAAATGACTACATTTCGATACAATTTCTCGAAAGTAAAGCCATTTCCATTCCTCTGTCCCCTTTCTCTCTATTTCCCTCCCCACTCATTTCACTGTGTTGTGTGTGTGTGTGTGTGTGTTGTGAGCGGAATGGAATGAGTGAGTGTTCTGTGAGTGTTTAGAGCGAGAGGGGGCCGTCCATCTCCTCTTTCCACAAGAGAGAGTGAGAGTGAGAGACGGAGAGATGTTTCTCTCCTTCTCCTTCTCTCTCTCTCTCTCTCTCTTTCCGATTCCAACCACCAGTACTAAAGCCGTCCCTCTCTCTCTCTTTTCAAAAGAGCGCTCGCGCTCTATTCGAGAAGAGAGAGAGAGAGAGAGAGAAGCTTTTGCACCGACCATCTTTTCGAAGCGACGGGTCCCGCCACGAAAAGAGAGACAGCCCCGTGTCCTCTCGGTCCGATCGGCCGATCCGATGGTGATCGACGTCCGTCCATTACTCATTTGTCAATTTGAATTGATGACCACATTTGTGTGTACAAGGACATAGGTCTATGCGCTTGTTTGCCTTTGAACAACGCGTGCTTTTCATGTGCATTTTCCCAGTTTTGGCAGATTGAGCGTTTTTTTTTAAATGTTCTTAAAAACAGACTGTACAAGTTTTAAATTTAATAATTTTATTCTCCTAAGCGTTTTTCTGTTTAGCGCTCCAAACTTGTCGATACAGCTAGACGTTTCTAGGCCAAGTTTGTGTTTAAAAATTTCAATGCGGAAGCAGAAAAAACTGAAGACTTTTGAAACACCTTCTAACTATGCATAATTTTCAATGTTTTGAATTTTCTTTTTTTTCACTGTTTGGCCTAAAAAATCTGTATAATTGTTCTATTTACAATTCATAGAATTAGCATTCCAAGTGTGCGCTTGTGCCTAAAAATTCCAGCCAATTATTTTCTCCCACCTGCGATACGGTCGACACTTCAAGCACTGAAATTGACGCAAAAATGCACATATTTTGTTTGGCCGCAGCCGCGGTTTTTCGAGTGAACTGCCGATAAAGTACCGAATTTCGATGGAAAATCCCACGGAAAATTGCATTTCTTGCCCGGAAAATTCGACAAAACTCGTTTTTTTGTCCTTTTTCACCCCGCAAAACTTTTGCCAATCAGAACCGAGCTCTAATCTCTGAACCGCTCGAGCTCTCGCCAGTTTCCGATCCGAAAAAGCTGTCCAATCAAACAAAGAGATGGATGGTGATGAAATATCCACGCAATTTCGCAATCCCCCTTCCTCTCTTTCTCTCTTCCGTTTCCTCTTTTTCTCTCGCTTTCCCTCCGCCGCCATGTGAAGAGACTATCGATTTGTGTGCCGCGGAAATTCACATGAAAATTTGCAAATTCTCGTCATTTCAGGAGGCGTTGTTGCTACGGAGAGCCCCGGGTAATTAGAGTATTCAATTTGGCATTTTTGGGCACAGCCGCCGCTGTATTCGAGTAGAAAAACGACGAGTGCGACAAAAATGGAGCCGCGAACGGATGGAGCCGAGTGCGGTGTCCAGGTTTGTGCGTAGTCTAGAAAATCCGGAATTTTTTAGGATTTTATCATTGCTATACTGATAGACTGATCATTTCGCCTTTTCCCATCATTTTTCTTTTTTTCAGGTGTTCTGCCGTATAAGACCTCTGAACAAGACCGAGGAGAAGAATGCGGACCGTTTTTTGCCGAAATTTCCGTCAGAAGACAGTATATCGTTGGGGGTAAGTGTACACACGGAAGACAGTCACTCCGAGTGTGTGTGTAATTAGACGAAGCGGGGACAGGTGTGTCAATTCTCGCGTTACACGCACAAATCGGCCCGAGAAAAGTACAATAGTGTGGCGGATTTTGAAGTTCTTCTCGTGAAAATCCAAATTTTTGCAGGGAAAAGTGTACGTGTTCGACAAAGTGTTCAAACCGAACACGACACAAGAGCAAGTGTACAAAGGGGCCGCCTATCACATCGTGCAGGATGTTTTGTCCGGCTACAACGGCACCGTGTTCGCCTACGGTCAGACGTCGTCCGGAAAGACGCACACGATGGAGGGAGTCATCGGCGACGGCAACCTTTCGGGCATCATCCCGCGCATCGTCGCCGACATCTTCAACCACATCTACAACATGGACCAGGACCTGCAGTTCCACATCAAAGTCTCCTACTACGAGATTTACAACGAGAAGATTCGCGATCTGTTGGACCCGGAAAAAGTGAATTTGTCGATTCACGAGGACAAAATGCGCGTTCCGTACGTGAAGGGCGCCACCGAGCGATTCGTCGGCAGTCCCGACGAAGTGCTGCAGGCGATCGAGGACGGAAAGTCGAACCGGATGGTCGCCGTCACCAGTATGTACCCCTCAACAATTCTAGTCTCCTAAACTGAAAAAAAGGCGGGAAATTCGATATTGCTATGTTTTTCCAAAAAAAACGTGGAAGTTGCAGATTTGGTGTGCATTTTAAGCTGAAAGAATTAGTTGATAAATGAGCACGGACCTGAAAATGCTCGATTTTCAGTGATTTCACTATCAAACTGTTCCGAAATTTCCAGTTGTGGAAAGCCATGAAAACATTAAGAACCAGAGAAAATTGCAAATTTGCAGACATGAACGAGCACTCCTCCCGCTCGCACTCGGTCTTTCTGATCACCGTCAAACAGGAGCATCAGACGACAAAAAAGCAGTTGACGGGCAAGTTGTACCTTGTCGATTTGGCCGGATCGGAGAAAGTGAGCAAGACGGGCGCGCAGGGAACCGTGCTAGAGGAGGCCAAAAACATTAACAAGTCGCTGACGGCGCTCGGAATCGTCATCTCGGCGCTGGCCGAAGGAACCAAGTCGCACGTGCCGTACCGTGACTCGAAACTGACGCGCATTCTGCAAGAGTCGCTCGGAGGAAACTCGCGGACTACGGTCATAATTTGCGCGTCGCCGTCGCACTTCAACGAGGCGGAGACCAAGTCGACGCTGCTGTTCGGACAGAGAGCCAAGACGATCAAGAATGTGGTGCAGGTGAACGAGGAGCTGACGGCCGAGGAGTGGAAGCGCCGATACGAGAAGGAGCGCGAAAAGGTACGCTTTTTTCGGTGTAATAGCCCTTTTGGACAAGAAAATTTTTTCAAGTGATTTTGTGTAAAATGAATGATTTTAGGTGACCCGCCTGTCAACCCTTCTCCAAGCAGCCGCCCTGGAACTCTCCCGCTGGAGAGCCGGCGAATCAGTGTCCGAATTGGAATGGATCAACCTGTCGGAGACGGCGCAGATGGCAGTCTCGGAAGTGTCGGGCGGTTCCACTCCACTTATGGAAAGATCGATCGCGCCCGCACCGCCGATGCTCACCTCCGGCAACGGACCGATCACGGACGAGGAGAAGAAGAAGTACGAGGAGGAGCGGGTAAAGCTGTACCAACAATTGGACGAGAAGGACGACGAGATCCAGAAGGTGTCGCAGGAGCTCGAGAAGCTCCGACAACAGGTGCTTCTGCAAGAGGAGGCACTGCAGACAATGCGCGAGAACGAGGAGATCATCCGCGAAGAGAACTCGCGCATTCAGAAAGAGGCCGACGACAAGCAGCAGGAGGGCAAGGAGATGATGACGGCGTTGGAGGAGATCGCCGTCAATCTGGACGTGCGGCAAGCCGAGTGCGAGAAGCTGAAGCGCGAGTTGGAGGTGGTGCAGGAAGACAACCAGAGCCTCGAGGACCGCATGAACCAGGCGACAAGCCTGCTCAACGCCCACCTCGACGAGTGCGGACCCAAGATCCGGCACTTCAAGGAGGGCATCTACAACATCGTGCGCGAGTTCAACGTCGCCGAGATCGCGTCGCAAAACGATCAGTTGCCCGATCACGACCTGCTGAATCACATTCGCATCGGCGTTTCGAAGCTTTTCTCCGAGTATTCGGCCGCCAAGGAGACGAGCAACGCCGCCGAGCAGGAAGCCGAAGTCAAGTTGGCCGCTGACGTGGCCAGAGTCGAGTCCGGACAGGTAAGATTTGGATGGAAAAGTGGGCAAACTTGCAGCTGTTCTTCTATTTTTCACTTTTCTAGATCACGAAATTAGTCAAAGCTCGAGTTTTTGTGAATAACGCGAAAGTCTAGCGACATTTGACTTTCCGACACTATGTTTTCAAAATCCACTGTTTCAGGTGCAAGATTCGGGTCGAATGAAGCAGTTGCTGGTGAAAGACCAGGCGGCGAAGGAAATCAAGCCGCTGACGGACCGCGTCAACATGGAGCTGACGACGTTGAAGAATCTGAAGAAGGAGTTCGTGCGAGTGCTGCTGGCACGGTGCCAAACGAACCAGGACGTCGAAGGCGCCGAGGACTCGCTGAGCGGTCCCGCCCAGAAGCAGAGAATCCAATTCCTGGAGAACAATTTGGACAAGTTGACCAAGGTTCACAAGCAGGTACGACAAAATTCCTAGATTTTCAGTAACAAAAAAAATCATCTTTCAGTTGGTGCGTGACAACGCGGATCTGCGCGTCGAACTGCCGAAGATGGAGGCGCGTCTGCGCGGGCGCGAGGACCGCATCAAAATGCTCGAGACGGCGCTGCGCGACTCAAAGCAGCGAAGTCAGGCGGAACGCAAAAAGTACCAGCAGGAGGTGGAGCGGATCAAGGAGGCGGTGCGGCAGCGCAACATGCGGAGGATGAACGCGCCGCAGATCGTGAAGCCGATCCGGCCGGGACAAGTGTACGGCGGACAGGCGACGCCCACGCAACAACAGCCCAACGGTACGAATCGGATGAGCATCTCGCAGCTCGTCGCCGAGATTTGAAAATGGAGGAGAGAGAATGGATTTCTACTGATTTTTACACATTTTTCTAAGATTTTCTGACAACTTTCTATTGTCGCATTAGAAATGAGGCAATCACGCTCTACCGTACGAGTTGTAGTCGTTAGTTTTCGTGAAAATCCGTATTTGCATGGAAGCACTATCAGAAATCCTGATTTTGATTTTAGCGTGTTTCCGTGGAAGAACAACGACAAAGTGTACGATAGAGCGCGATTTGCACATTTTCGGTGCAAAATTCGCCGTCTTTTCGAGAAAATTGAATTTGAAGTGTGAAAAAGTGGTGTGAAATCCCTGTGTCTCTTCTTCTCCTCTAACATTCTCATTTTCTATCGACTTATCCCAAATTTTCAGCGTGAGACCCCTCTTCCACCGGAATCTTCTCGATCGCAATGGACTTGGAGCAAAATTACGAAAAACAATTCCGATTTTCAGTTGATATTCCGCTTGCTTTGTGATACATTTTTCGCGTTTTCAAATCCATTTTTGCCTGTTTTCTTCTCTCGCTTTTCTTCCCCCCATCTAACTTAAGGTTTTGGTTGTGTGTGTGTGTGACCCGTCACTAAAAAAATGTGCGCCTTTAAATTATATATATATTGCTTGGCTCCCCCCTTTCTCCCGAACGCCTTCTGGTTTCGTTGTTTCAGTTTCAACTAATCACAAAAACCCCATCACGAGGTTCGTCGCCTGCGCCGCTCGTCTTTTTTCTGCATGTGCTCGCTTCCATTTCTTTTTTCTATCAATTTCAGCACAATTTTGTCACCTCCCGAAAAAAGCGTAATTTCGCCCGAAAAAATGATGTTATTTTGGCTTTCTTGTATTTCCCAGTAACTTTTGTGTGTTCCTCTTTTAATAAACGACTGCTGTTCTCTTTATTGAGCACTCACAACGCATGGTTTCCCTTTGAAAATGAGCTTAGCACATTCAACAACAAAACGAATAATTGGCGAATGGGTCTCAAAACGATCCGACTGTAGATACGTATTTATTGACTATTTACCCATTTTTTTTGAACCATGTTGTCGCCTTTTTTGGACCAAAAGCCCTCGCGAACAAAACAACCAAAAATTTGTATTGTATAAACCGTTTTTTGAGCGCTTTTCCGAAAATTTTCCAGAATTGGTTCAAAACCAATTTTTTCACTATTTTAAACGTTCATTGATAATTTCCCGGGTTTTATCCGATATTTAGGTTAAAAAACTCAACTTTTCGCTCGAAAATGGTCGCCTGGAGAGCCGCTGGACTCAACTACGTTCGCTTCTCGCAAATCGCCGCCCAGGTCACTCGTCAGTGCGCCAAGGTAGGCAAAAGCGCTCCAGCGCCAAAGTTTTAGCCTAGTTTTTCTTAGTTTCAGCTTTCTAGGCCATGCAAGATTGTAAATCTGGAAGAGTACAATACGAAAATGTTTTCAGGGAAGCGCCACCGCGAAGAAGACTCCGGCCACTCTGAAGACTTCGATCTGGGAGAACGGAAAGGCCGTCGGAAAGAAGGAATAAACGTTTCCGTTTCGTTTCTCGAAAATCCCCATTTCTGAATAGAAAAGCCATTTTTTTGTATGTCACTGCGCAGTTTTAACTCTCAATAAATTTTTAGATCTGTTTTTTGCCGTAAAGTTGATATTTCGTGAACTTTTCACCGAAGATAGACGTTTTTTTTTTTTCGCATTTAAAACAAACAACCAAAGAATGGGTTTGGTTATATCACTTGTTGCGCCGTTTTTGTCTGAAAATGTAGGTTCTTGTTGAATACGCGGCTTTAAGCGGGGAATTTTTACGGGAAAACTTAAAGCAGGGAATTTTTGAGCAGAATTTCAATGGATTTTTTTTTTGAGCAGAATTCCGATGGATCAACGATGGATCAACGAGAAGTTCCGTTCTTCCGATGGATCAACAACTTCATGTCCTCGTGACTATCCCTGAAAATTCCTGGACATTTTCGTTACTTTCTTTGTCAGAAAAGAGACTGTAAACAAAAGGAAAGGGACTCACAATACTGGGGAATGTGAATCACCTATTCCTCCGTCCGTCCGTAGACCGACATCTTAAAGAGGACAATAATGAGGGAAGAGAACAGCGCCACAAACTTGATCTACCGTGTAGTCAATGGAAAATTATTGATTGATATTCTAAAACCTGCTTTTTGTGCTTTTTTGCGAACATTATGAAATTGAAACTGAAATCCCACATCCAAACCTGTTTTTTTTCCAGGCAAAGCTCGAGAAATGAGCGTCTTGCTCACATTTCTGTTGAGAATTGCCGCCGAGGCAAACGGGACCCGGATACAGTGGGCACACCACAACACCCACGCCGTGTGTCCGACCTCGATTATGACTCGCCTGCGCCGGCTCGCAGAGGCTTCGACACGCCACCGTCTCCACAGTCGCCGCCATCAAGACCAAGCTGCGGGAGGACACCGTCGCCGCTCGCCCCAGCACTCACAAACAATTCGCTGCGGTCGACGGCGACGGTGTACAATCTGAGGGATCTTGTTCGACCAACTCCGCTCAATGTCGGAGTCCCGAACAGGACGAACCGGAAGAGGGTAAGCAATGCCGATACCGGAATTTCGAGCTGAAATTTTTGTTTTTTTAGAAGAGAACCCGATGCTCGGCGCCAGCGCCCGGTCGGCAGCAGATCGTGTTCGGGAACCTTGAGTTCCAAATCGATCCGTCGGACGACGAGTTCCGAGCACGAATCGGCGACATACTGGGCCGACTTGGGTAAGATTTCATGATTTCAAGCGCCAAAAACTGACTAAACACTCATTATTTATAGGATCGATTTGGATTGGGACGCGGCAACGTTCCCGAACGCCTCGCGGGGACGGCAACACCCGATCTCTCCAATCTTCTGGACCATCGTGGAGGTTCCGAAAGCAGTGGCGGAGGAGATCGGGCGGGCCGTCGCAGAACACCTGGACAGCTTCAATCAGCTGGAGTACGGCAATAACGTAGAGGTTTGTTTATTTTTTTCGAAAAGAGAATGTCAGTTTTTTTGACCACGAAGCTTTGCAGAAGTACGTCATTGTCGAGCTCCACGACACAAAGGAATCGCGGACCAGGGACGCATTTCTGCACGCCGCCGCCAGCAACTTCAGGATGATGTACCGTCACGACCGAAACTGCTCCGTCACCGTCTGCCACAAACATCTACTGGTGACGAGAGACGGTTCAGTCCTCGAGAGGCTGTCCGTGAAGGACATCAAGGACAAGTTCGCGGCCAACTTCGATGCGATCATGCGGAGCATCCGCCCAACCCAGAGGTCAGGTGTCAAAATGCTCCTCCAATGAGACGATTCGCCTCGCTATTTTTTCATTCTGGAATATATTGATTTTTGAAAGTTTTATCGTTTAATGAATGTTTTATGAGTCAGACTCCGTACTCATCGCATTCTTACGTTGAAAGCTCATGGCACCGCAACGCAAAAAGAACACGAAAAATTATAAGGAAACCGGAAAAAACGAAAGTTACTTCTGAAATTAATGCGATTGAATTGAAAGAGATTCGAGATAGACAACAACTGTTTTCAAGAAAAAAAAGAGATGAAATATCGAATTTGACGACGCGTTTGTTCAATATCTGGCGGAAATCGAGTGGAAAAGTGATCGAAATGAACATAAAAGTAAATATTTGGAATTTTTGGGTCCAAATTTAAATGCGGGAGAAGTCAGAAAATAAAAGAGAATCGGGAATATCGAGTCACCGATTCTTCGGTCCTCAAGTTTTCGGAAAACAAGTTAGTGAAAAAAAAATTGAAAAGAGTGAAGCGAAAATCGAAAGATGCCGGGTGGAGGTCGAAGACTCTTTGGAAATGCGCCTTTAAAAAGACCTACTGTAGAAGCTGGCAATTGCAAACTTATTGAACACTTTTTCAGCGCAAATTCACAATTCTATTTGCATTTGTTAATTTTTTCCAGAAAATCCGTTCAAACGGCATCAATTTTCATCAAATGCTTGATAACTACAGCCAACTAACACGAAATGTGAGTCAATTTCCTCGTAAAATGTATCTCACGGTCTCCAGAGCTGACAATATGGGCGTGGCCTCGGCCAAATGGCGTTTTCATGAATTGAGCAGATTTTCTCTGATTTTTGTGGTCAAAGGCGATGAAAAATGATTGTTCGACATGAAAACACACTAATTCTCAGAATTAATGACGTTTTGGCGCATTTTTCGCGGACTTTGCTTTTTCGCCTTCGCCGCCGATAGCCGCCGATCGTTGCCTCAAAACCGCACTTCTCATTTTGCGCTTTCTTGACCGTTTTCAGACAGAATTGGTTTTGAGAATGATAAATCACGTAAATACAAGCATTTTGAGCGCTCGAACCGCGAAGACTACCGAAAAGCAACTGAAATTCACGCAGTTTTAACCAAAAACCTTCAAACGGATAAATGTGATTTGCGGCTAGACCAAATTTAACGTTCTTGCTCTTTAAAAAATTCCTAATAGCCTATACAATCGGTCTATCGAGAGACAAAGAGAAATTATCAGTTTTTCGTGGCTAATCTGGCAAAAAACACAAATTTTGCTGTTAAAATTTGAATTTCGCGTATCGCTCTATTGGACGGGGCGCACTTGCGCCCATTGTCAGCTCTGCAGGCCGTATATCTGTGCAGATTTTGTGGCATTTTGAACATTTAAAACTTTTTAGTTATTCCCAAAATTCCGACGAAGTTTCGCGTATTCTGTTGGGTCCTTCCCAGAAAACTCGCACCAACACTAAGAATTTCGAGTCTCGTGACGACGAAATTTAGGCCCAGGCGCCAGGAGCAAATCCGGTGCCGAAGAATCTAATGTTCCGGCGTTCCGGATATTCATCCGCCCAACGAAACCGTTAAAAACGAAACAAAATGGGTTTTTCCCCTACTTTTTGGTTTTAGGCGACAAAATTGGGGGACAGTTCGAGGTACGACACTCCAGATGACTTTTTTCACTGAAATTAAGCTTCTCATCCGTTTACACGTCATCAATTTGCATCAACTTTCTTCAGGCACATAATCGAATTGCACTGTACGTCTCCACCGAATCGGCGGTGAGAGAATTGATCGAGAAATTGTTGGCGAACCGAAAAACCGACAGACTCATTCATCAGCGGTAGCCGACTAACAGAATGACTATGGAAAAGCCCAAAAGTTCCACTGAATAAGCGTCTTGGTGAGTCGACTGTTCTGGTACATATCTCTCTGCAGAAATTTTCAATATTCGTGCAATCAATCGAGGAGAAGGCATGCTTCTGAAGTGAGCAGAGTGGATCACAAGAAAGTCTGCTGAAAAAAAAGCTTCCCTGGATCTCGATCGATGAAGGCAGTTCATCCATCCGTGACGCACGTCACATATCGAGTAGACCTAACAGACTACACACTCATAATCCTAACAGACTACACATTCATAATCCTAACAGACTACACATTCATAATCCTAACAGACTACACACAGAAACGGAGAGAAAGGGCCGTTTTGATCTACTCGATATGTGAGGAGTAAGTATAAAAGGGCCCCCGTGGGAAAGAATAGCCATTCATTCGGACATACCGACTTGGCGGACGGTCGGATCGTCTCGTTCTGCCCGCGTTTTGGGCGGGCGGACTTTCCAGACCCTCTGCTAATCGATATCGATCCGATATTTTTCCACCTGTTCTTTCTCCCCTTTCTCTCCGTTACTTCATTTTCTCTTTCATATGTCAAGTCCATACGGAAGTGAAGTGCACTCTATTCCGAAGCTATTTCAGCTGTGATCCCTGTAAAGTTCCTTTCTTATCCGACAAAAGTTGCATAAATTTCATTTTGCTTCTAAATGCTCACAGGATATCACATTTGAGAGAGTTTCTAAAAAAAATTGCGCTGAACTCTCGGATGCCTCTATATGTAGTAGAAACAAACCGTCCTGTTATTCCTATGTATTTTATGACACTAAGTTTTCAAAATCCCCTGTTTCAGGTGCAAGATTCGGGTCGAATGAAGCAGTTGCTGGTGAAAGACCAGGCGGCGAAGGAAATCAAGCCGCTGACGGACCGCGTCAACATGGAGCTGACGACGTTGAAGAATCTGACGACGTTGAAGGATCTTCGGAAGGTGAAGAGGCCTCAAGAAACCTCCCGCTCTTGATGCAAGCAGTGACTGTCGCTTTTCGAAGTGTCAGTCACTAGGATCTGATAGAGTAGGAGGGAGGCGCATTCCGCCGAGCACTTTGTGAGTTTGCAAGCAGAATTAGAACCATAACAATTGAATCTTTCAGACGTGCGCATCCGAAAAAATGTGACTTTATGTGACTACAATAGCTTAGAAGAGGTGTATTCTTGGGGAGTATCCGTCTGTACGTCCTTCTCTGAGTAGGGCCACAGCGGTGATCTTCGTGACGTGATTTGCCCCGTCACGGAGGAAAAATCACCGCCCCCACCTTACACGTGGCGTGGTTGACCCCCTTCTCTACGGGGCGGCGGCTCTGCGGACCGTGGGTACTTGATGCGGACTTGCACGGTCCTTACGGATCAGATCCCTTCAAGTGACCCTAACGATAACTTCTTGAAGGAAGCCTGAGATGAGAGGGATGTGGGCAGACAGAGACGGGCACTCTTTGGGGTTAACCTCTTGCGCGCATGACTTACATGTTAGAACGAGGATATTCGGAAGGCGAAGAGGCCTCAAGAAACCTCTTACTCTTGATGCAAGCAGTGACTGTCGCTTTTCGAAGTGTCAGTCATTAGGATCTGATAGAGTAGGAGGGAGGCGCTTAGCTTAGAAGAGGTGTATTCTTCGGGAGTATCCGTCTGTACGTCCTTCTCTGAGTAGGGCCACAGCGGTGACCTTCGTGACGTGATTTGCCCCGTCACGGAGGAAAAATCACCGCCCCCACCTTACACGTGGCGTGGTTGACCCCCTTCTCTACGGGGCGGCGGCTCTGCGGACCGTGGGTACTTGATGCGGACTTGCACGGTCCTTACGGATCAGATCCCTTCAAGTGACCCTAACGATAACTTCTTGAAGGAAGCCTGAGATGAGAGGGATGTGGGCAGACAGAGACGGGCACTCTTTGGGGTTAACCTCTTGCGCGCATGACTTACATGTTAGAACGAGGATATTCGGAAGGCGAAGAGGCCTCAAGAAACCTCCCGCTCTTGATGCAAGCAGTGACTGTCGCTTTTCGAAGTGTCAGTCACTAGGATCTGATAGAGTAGGAGGGAGGCGCATTCCGCCGAGCACTTTGTGAGTTTGCAAGCAGAATTAGAACCATAACAATTGAATGTTTCAGACGTGCGCATCCGAAAACAAATCGGAATCGTCATCTCGGCGCTGGCCGAAGGAACCAAGTCGCACGTGCCGTACCGTGACTCGAAACTGACGCGCATTCTTCAAGAGTCGCTCGGAGGAAACTCGCGGACTACGGTCATAATTTGCGCGTCGCCGTCGCACTTCAACGAGGCGGAGACCAAGTCGACGCTGCTTTTCGGACAGAGAGCCAAGACGATCAAGAATGTGGTGCAGGTGAACGAGGTGCTGACGGCCGAGGAGTGGATGCGCCGATACGAGAAGGAGCGCGAGAAGGTACGCTTTTTTTTAAAATGTAATTGCCCTTTTGGACAAGAAAATTTTTTCAAGTGATTTTGTGTAAAATGAATGATTTTAGGTGACCCGCCTGTCAACCCTCCTCCAAACAGCCGCCCTGGAACTCTCACGCTGGAGAGCCGGCGAATCATTGTCCGAATTGGAATGGATCAACCTGTCGGAGACGGCGCAGATGGCAGTCTCGGAAGTGTCGGGCGGTTCCACTCCACTTATGGAAAGAAAGAAGCCGCTGACGGACCGCGTCAACATGGAGCTGACGATGTTGAAGAATCTGACGACGTTGAAGGATCTTCGGAAGGCGAAGAGGCCTCAAGAAACCTCCCGCTCTTGATGCAAGCAGTGACTGTCGCTTTTCGAAGTGTCAGTCACTAGGATCTGATAGAGTAGGAGGGAGGCGCATTCCGCCGAGCACTTTGTGAGTTTACGCTTTTTTTAAAATGTAATTGCCCTTTTTGGACAAGAAAAATTTTTTTCAAGTGATTTTTGTGTAAAATGAATGATTTTTAGGTGACCCGCCTGTCAACCCTCCTCCAAACAGCCGCCCTGGAACTCTCACGCTGGAGAGCCGGCGAATCATTGTCCGAATTGGAATGGATCAACCTGTCGGAGACGGCGCAGATGGCAGTCTCGGAAGTGTCGGGCGGTTCCACTCCACTTATGGAAAGAAAGAAGCCGCTGACGGACCGCGTCAACATGGAGCTGACGATGTTGAATAATCTGACGACGTTGAAGGATCTTCGGAAGGCGAAGAGGCCTCAAGAAACCTCCCGCTCTTGATGCAAGCAGTGACTGTCGCTTTTCGAAGTGTCAGTCACTAGGATCTGATAGAGTAGGAGGGAGGCGCATTCCGCCGAGCACTTTGTGAGTTTACGCTTTTTTTAAATGTAATTGCCCTTTTGGACAAGAAAAATTTTTTTCAAGTGATTTTTGTGTAAAATGAATGATTTTTAGGTGACCCGCCTGTCAACCCTCCTCCAAACAGCCGCCCTGGAACTCTCACGCTGGAGAGCCGGCGAATCATTGTCCGAATTGGAATGGATCAACCTGTCGGAGACGGCGCAGATGGCAGTCTCGGAAGTGTCGGGCGGTTCCACTCCACTTATGGAAAGAAAGAATCCGCTGACGGACCGCGTCAACATGGAGCTGACGATGTTGAAGAATCTGACGACGTTGAAGGATCTTCGGAAGGCGAAGAGGCCTCAAGAAACCTCCCGCTCTTGATGCAAGCAGTGACTGTCGCTTTTCGAAGTGTCAGTCACTAGGATCTGATAGAGTAGGAGGGAGGCGCATTCCGCCGAGCACTTTGTGAGTTTACGCTTTTTTTAATGTAATTGCCCTTTTGGACAAGAAAAATTTTTTTCAAGTGATTTTTGTGTAAAATGAATGATTTTTAGGTGACCCGCCTGTCAACCCTCCTCCAAACAGCCGCCCTGGAACTCTCACGCTGGAGAGCCGGCGAATCATTGTCCGAATTGGAATGGATCAACCTGTCGGAGACGGCGCAGATGGCAGTCTCGGAAGTGTCGGGCGGTTCCACTCCACTTATGGAAAGAAAGAAGCCGCTGACGGACCGCGTCAACATGGAGCTGACGATGTTGAATAATCTGACGACGTTGAAGGATCTTTGGAAGGCGAAGAGGCCTCAAGAAACCTCCCGCTCTTGATGCAAGCAGTGACTGTCGCTTTTCGAAGTGTCAGTCACTAGGATCTGATAGAGTAGGAGGGAGGCGCATTCCGCCGAGCACTTTGTGAGTTTACGCTTTTTTTTTAATGTAATTGCCCTTTTGGACAAGAAAATTTTTTCAAGTGATTTTGTGTAAAATGAATGATTTTAGGTGACCCGCCTGTCAACCCTCCTCCAAACAGCCGCCCTGGAACTCTCACGCTGGAGAGCCGGCGAATCATTGTCCGAATTGGAATGGATCAACCTGTCGGAGACGGCGCAGATGGCAGTCTCGGAAGTGTCGGGCGGTTCCACTCCACTTATGGAAAGAAAGAATCCGCTGACGGACCGCGTCAACATGGAGCTGACGATGTTGAAGAATCTGACGACGTTGAAGGATCTTCGGAAGGCGAAGAGGCCTCAAGAAACCTCCCGCTCTTGATGCAAGCAGTGACTGTCGCTTTTCGAAGTGTCAGTCACTAGGATCTGATAGAGTAGGAGGGAGGCGCATTCCGCCGAGCACTTTGTGAGTTTACGCTTTTTTTAAATGTAATTGCCCTTTTGGACAAGAAAAATTTTTTTCAAGTGATTTTTGTGTAAAATGAATGATTTTTAGGTGACCCGCCTGTCAACCCTCCTCCAAACAGCCGCCCTGGAACTCTCACGCTGGAGAGCCGGCGAATCATTGTCCGAATTGGAATGGATCAACCTGTCGGAGACAGCGCAGATGGCAGTCTCGGAAGTGTCGGGCGGTTCCACTCCACTTATGGAAAGAAAGAATCCGCTGACGGACCGCGTCAACATGGAGCTGACGATGTTGAAGAATCTGACGACGTTGAAGGATCTTCGGAAGGCGAAGAGGCCTCAAGAAACCTCCCGCTCTTGATGCAAGCAGTGACTGTCGCTTTTCGAAGTGTCAGTCACTAGGATCTGATAGAGTAGGAGGGAGGCGCATTCCGCCGAGCACTTTGTGAGTTTACGCTTTTTTTAAATGTAATTGCCCTTTTGGACAAGAAAAATTTTTTTCAAGTGATTTTTGTGTAAAATGAATGATTTTTAGGTGACCCGCCTGTCAACCCTCCTCCAAACAGCCGCCCTGGAACTCTCACGCTGGAGAGCCGGCGAATCATTGTCCGAATTGGAATGGATCAACCTGTCGGAGACGGCGCAGATGGCAGTCTCGGAAGTGTCGGGCGGTTCCACTCCACTTATGGAAAGAAAGAATCCGCTGACGGACCGCGTCAACATGGAGCTGACGATGTTGAATAATCTGACGACGTTGAAGGATCTTTGGAAGGCGAAGAGGCCTCAAGAAACCTCCCGCTCTTGATGCAAGCAGTGACTGTCGCTTTTCGAAGTGTCAGTCACTAGGATCTGATAGAGTAGGAGGGAGGCGCATTCCGCCGAGCACTTTGTGAGTTTACGCTTTTTTTAATGTAATTGCCCTTTTTGGACAAGAAAAAATTTTTTTCAAGTGATTTTTGTGTAAAATGAATGATTTTAGGTGACCCGCCTGTCAACCCTCCTCCAAACAGCCGCCCTGGAACTCTCACGCTGGAGAGCCGGCGAATCATTGTCCGAATTGGAATGGATCAACCTGTCGGAGACGGCGCAGATGGCAGTCTCGGAAGTGTCGGGCGGTTCCACTCCACTTATGGAAAGAAAGAATCCGCTGACGGACCGCGTCAACATGGAGCTGACGATGTTGAAGAATCTGACGACGTTGAAGGATCTTCGGAAGGCGAAGAGGCCTCAAGAAACCTCCCGCTCTTGATGCAAGCAGTGACTGTCGCTTTTCGAAGTGTCAGTCACTAGGATCTGATAGAGTAGGAGGGAGGCGCATTCCGCCGAGCACTTTGTGAGTTTACGCTTTTTTTAATGTAATTGCCCTTTTGGACAAGAAAAAATTTTTTTCAAGTGATTTTTGTGTAAAATGAATGATTTTTAGGTGACCCGCCTGTCAACCCTCCTCCAAACAGCCGCCCTGGAACTCTCACGCTGGAGAGCCGGCGAATCATTGTCCGAATTGGAATGGATCAACCTGTCGGAGACGGCGCAGATGGCAGTCTCGGAAGTGTCGGGCGGTTCCACTCCACTTATGGAAAGAAAGAATCCGCTGACGGACCGCGTCAACATGGAGCTGACGATGTTGAATAATCTGACGACGTTGAAGGATCTTCGGAAGGCGAAGAGGCCTCAAGAAACCTCCCGCTCTTGATGCAAGCAGTGACTGTCGCTTTTCGAAGTGTCAGTCACTAGGATCTGATAGAGTAGGAGGGAGGCGCATTCCGCCGAGCACTTTGTGAGTTTACGCTTTTTTTAAATGTAATTGCCCTTTTGGACAAGAAAAATTTTTTTCAAGTGATTTTTGTGTAAAATGAATGATTTTTAGGTGACCCGCCTGTCAACCCTCCTCCAAACAGCCGCCCTGGAACTCTCACGCTGGAGAGCCGGCGAATCATTGTCCGAATTGGAATGGATCAACCTGTCGGAGACAGCGCAGATGGCAGTCTCGGAAGTGTCGGGCGGTTCCACTCCACTTATGGAAAGAAAGAATCCGCTGACGGACCGCGTCAACATGGAGCTGACGATGTTGAAGAATCTGACGACGTTGAAGGATCTTCGGAAGGCGAAGAGGCCTCAAGAAACCTCCCGCTCTTGATGCAAGCAGTGACTGTCGCTTTTCGAAGTGTCAGTCACTAGGATCTGATAGAGTAGGAGGGAGGCGCATTCCGCCGAGCACTTTGTGAGTTTACGCTTTTTTTAATGTAATTGCCCTTTTTGGACAAGAAAAATTTTTTTCAAGTGATTTTTGTGTAAAATGAATGATTTTTAGGTGACCCGCCTGTCAACCCTCCTCCAAACAGTCGCCCTGGAACTCTCACGCTGGAGAGCCGGCGAATCATTGTCCGAATTGGAATGGATCAACCTGTCGGAGACGGCGCAGATGGCAGTCTCGGAAGTGTCGGGCGGTTCCACTCCACTTATGGAAAGAAAGAATCCGCTGACGGACCGCGTCAACATGGAGCTGACGATGTTGAATAATCTGACGACGTTGAAGGATCTTCGGAAGGCGAAGAGGCCTCAAGAAACCTCCCGCTCTTGATGCAAGCAGTGACTGTCGCTTTTCGAAGTGTCAGTCACTAGGATCTGATAGAGTAGGAGGGAGGCGCATTCCGCCGAGCACTTTGTGAGTTTACGCTTTTTTTAAATGTAATTGCCCTTTTTGGACAAGAAAAATTTTTTTCAAGTGATTTTTGTGTAAAATGAATGATTTTTAGGTGACCCGCCTGTCAACCCTCCTCCAAACAGCCGCCCTGGAACTCTCACGCTGGAGAGCCGGCGAATCATTGTCCGAATTGGAATGGATCAACCTGTCGGAGACGGCGCAGATGGCAGTCTCGGAAGTGTCGGGCGGTTCCACTCCACTTATGGAAAGAAAGAATCCGCTGACGGACCGCGTCAACATGGAGCTGACGATGTTGAATAATCTGACGACGTTGAAGGATCTTCGGAAGGCGAAGAGGCCTCAAGAAACCTCCCGCTCTTGATGCAAGCAGTGACTGTCGCTTTTCGAAGTGTCAGTCACTAGGATCTGATAGAGTAGGAGGGAGGCGCATTCCGCCGAGCACTTTGTGAGTTTACGCTTTTTTTTTAAATGTAATTGCCCTTTTGGACAAGAAAATTTTTTCAAGTGATTTTGTGTAAAATGAATGATTTTAGGTGACCCGCCTGTCAACCCTCCTCCAAACAGTCGCCCTGGAACTCTCACGCTGGAGAGCCGGCGAATCATTGTCCGAATTGGAATGGATCAACCTGTCGGAGACAGCGCAGATGGCAGTCTCGGAAGTGTCGGGCGGTTCCACTCCACTTATGGAAAGAAAGAATCCGCTGACGGACCGCGTCAACATGGAGCTGACGATGTTGAAGAATCTGACGACGTTGAAGGATCTTCGGAAGGTGAAGAGGCCTCAAGAAACCTCCCGCTCTTGATGCAAGCAGTGACTGTCGCTTTTCGAAGTGTCAGTCACTAGGATCTGATAGAGTAGGAGGGAGGCGCATTCCGCCGAGCACTTTGTGAGTTTACGCTTTTTTTAAATGTAATTGCCCTTTTGGACAAGAAAAATTTTTTTCAAGTGATTTTTGTGTAAAATGAATGATTTTTAGGTGACCCGCCTGTCAACCCTCCTCCAAACAGCCGCCCTGGAACTCTCACGCTGGAGAGCCGGCGAATCATTGTCCGAATTGGAATGGATCAACCTGTCGGAGACAGCGCAGATGGCAGTCTCGGAAGTGTCGGGCGGTTCCACTCCACTTATGGAAAGAAAGAATCCGCTGACGGACCGCGTCAACATGGAGCTGACGATGTTGAAGAATCTGACGACGTTGAAGGATCTTCGGAAGGCGAAGAGGCCTCAAGAAACCTCCCGCTCTTGATGCAAGCAGTGACTGTCGCTTTTTCGAAGTGTCAGTCACTAGGATCTGATAGAGTAGGAGGGAGGCGCATTCCGCCGAGCACTTTGTGAGTTTACGCTTTTTTTAATGTAATTGCCCTTTTGGACAAGAAAAATTTTTTTCAAGTGATTTTTGTGTAAAATGAATGATTTTTAGGTGACCCGCCTGTCAACCCTCCTCCAAACAGCCGCCCTGGAACTCTCACGCTGGAGAGCCGGCGAATCATTGTCCGAATTGGAATGGATCAACCTGTCGGAGACGGCGCAGATGGCAGTCTCGGAAGTGTCGGGCGGTTCCACTCCACTTATGGAAAGAAAGAATCCGCTGACGGACCGCGTCAACATGGAGCTGACGATGTTGAAGAATCTGACGACGTTGAAGGATCTTCGGAAGGCGAAGAGGCCTCAAGAAACCTCCCGCTCTTGATGCAAGCAGTGACTGTCGCTTTTCGAAGTGTCAGTCACTAGGATCTGATAGAGTAGGAGGGAGGCGCATTCCGCCGAGCACTTTGTGAGTTTACGCTTTTTTTAATGTAATTGCCCTTTTTGGACAAGAAAAATTTTTTTCAAGTGATTTTTGTGTAAAAATGAATGATTTTTAGGTGACCCGCCTGTCAACCCTCCTCCAAACAGCCGCCCTGGAACTCTCACGCTGGAGAGCCGGCGAATCATTGTCCGAATTGGAATGGATCAACCTGTCGGAGACAGCGCAGATGGCAGTCTCGGAAGTGTCGGGCGGTTCCACTCCACTTATGGAAAGAAAGAATCCGCTGACGGACCGCGTCAACATGGAGCTGACGATGTTGAAGAATCTGACGACGTTGAAGGATCTTCGGAAGGCGAAGAGGCCTCAAGAAACCTCCCGCTCTTGATGCAAGCAGTGACTGTCGCTTTTCGAAGTGTCAGTCACTAGGATCTGATAGAGTAGGAGGGAGGCGCATTCCGCCGAGCACTTTGTGAGTTTACGCTTTTTTTAAATGTAATTGCCCTTTTGGACAAGAAAAATTTTTTTCAAGTGATTTTTGTGTAAAATGAATGATTTTTAGGTGACCCGCCTGTCAACCCTCCTCCAAACAGCCGCCCTGGAACTCTCACGCTGGAGAGCCGGCGAATCATTGTCCGAATTGGAATGGATCAACCTGTCGGAGACAGCGCAGATGGCAGTCTCGGAAGTGTCGGGCGGTTCCACTCCACTTATGGAAAGAAAGAATCCGCTGACGGACCGCGTCAACATGGAGCTGACGATGTTGAAGAATCTGACGAAGTTGAAGGATCTTCGGAAGGCGAAGAGGCCTCAAGAAACCTCCCGCTCTTGATGCAAGCAGTGACTGTCGCTTTTCGAAGTGTCAGTCACTAGGATCTGATAGAGTAGGAGGGAGGCGCATTCCGCCGAGCACTTTGTGAGTTTACGCTTTTTTTAATGTAATTGCCCTTTTTGGACAAGAAAAATTTTTTTCAAGTGATTTTTGTGTAAAATGAATGATTTTTAGGTGACCCGCCTGTCAACCCTCCTCCAAACAGCCGCCCTGGAACTCTCACGCTGGAGAGCCGGCGAATCATTGTCCGAATTGGAATGGATCAACCTGTCGGAGACAGCGCAGATGGCAGTCTCGGAAGTGTCGGGCGGTTCCACTCCACTTATGGAAAGAAAGAATCCGCTGACGGACCGCGTCAACATGGAGCTGACGATGTTGAAGAATCTGACGACGTTGAAGGATCTTCGGAAGGCGAAGAGGCCTCAAGAAACCTCCCGCTCTTGATGCAAGCAGTGACTGTCGCTTTTCGAAGTGTCAGTCACTAGGATCTGATAGAGTAGGAGGGAGGCGCATTCCGCCGAGCACTTTGTGAGTTTACGCTTTTTTTAAATGTAATTGCCCTTTTTGGACAAGAAAAATTTTTTTCAAGTGATTTTTGTGTAAAATGAATGATTTTAGGTGACCCGCCTGTCAACCCTCCTCCAAACAGCCGCCCTGGAACTCTCACGCTGGAGAGCCGGCGAATCATTGTCCGAATTGGAATGGATCAACCTGTCGGAGACGGCGCAGATGGCAGTCTCGGAAGTGTCGGGCGGTTCCACTCCACTTATGGAAAGAAAGAATCCGCTGACGGACCGCGTCAACATGGAGCTGACGATGTTGAAGAATCTGACGACGTTGAAGGATCTTCGGAAGGCGAAGAGGCCTCAAGAAACCTCCCGCTCTTGATGCAAGCAGTGACTGTCGCTTTTCGAAGTGTCAGTCACTAGGATCTGATAGAGTAGGAGGGAGGCGCATTCCGCCGAGCACTTTGTGAGTTTACGCTTTTTTTAATGTAATTGCCCTTTTGGACAAGAAAAATTTTTTTCAAGTGATTTTTGTGTAAAATGAATGATTTTTAGGTGACCCGCCTGTCAACCCTCCTCCAAACAGCCGCCCTGGAACTCTCACGCTGGAGAGCCGGCGAATCATTGTCCGAATTGGAATGGATCAACCTGTCGGAGACAGCGCAGATGGCAGTCTCGGAAGTGTCGGGCGGTTCCACTCCACTTATGGAAAGAAAGAATCCGCTGACGGACCGCGTCAACATGGAGCTGACGATGTTGAAGAATCTGACGACGTTGAAGGATCTTCGGAAGGCGAAGAGGCCTCAAGAAACCTCCCGCTCTTGATGCAAGCAGTGACTGTCGCTTTTCGAAGTGTCAGTCACTAGGATCTGATAGAGTAGGAGGGAGGCGCATTCCGCCGAGCACTTTGTGAGTTTACGCTTTTTTTAAATGTAATTGCCCTTTTTGGACAAGAAAAATTTTTTTCAAGTGATTTTTGTGTAAAATGAATGATTTTTAGGTGACCCGCCTGTCAACCCTCCTCCAAACAGCCGCCCTGGAACTCTCACGCTGGAGAGCCGGCGAATCATTGTCCGAATTGGAATGGATCAACCTGTCGGAGACGGCGCAGATGGCAGTCTCGGAAGTGTCGGGCGGTTCCACTCCACTTATGGAAAGAAAGAATCCGCTGACGGACCGCGTCAACATGGAGCTGACGATGTTGAAGAATCTGACGAAGTTGAAGGATCTTCGGAAGGCGAAGAGGCCTCAAGAAACCTCCCGCTCTTGATGCAAGCAGTGACTGTCGCTTTTCGAAGTGTCAGTCACTAGGATCTGATAGAGTAGGAGGGAGGCGCATTCCGCCGAGCACTTTGTGAGTTTACGCTTTTTTTTTAAATGTAATTGCCCTTTTGGACAAGAAAATTTTTTCAAGTGATTTTGTGTAAAATGAATGATTTTAGGTGACCCGCCTGTCAACCCTCCTCCAAACAGTCGCCCTGGAACTCTCACGCTGGAGAGCCGGCGAATCATTGTCCGAATTGGAATGGATCAACCTGTCGGAGACGGCGCAGATGGCAGTCTCGGAAGTGTCGGGCGGTTCCACTCCACTTATGGAAAGAAAGAATCCGCTGACGGACCGCGTCAACATGGAGCTGACGATGTTGAAGAATCTGACGACGTTGAAGGATCTTCGGAAGGCGAAGAGGCCTCAAGAAACCTCCCGCTCTTGATGCAAGCAGTGACTGTCGCTTTTCGAAGTGTCAGTCACTAGGATCTGATAGAGTAGGAGGGAGGCGCATTCCGCCGAGCACTTTGTGAGTTTACGCTTTTTTTAAAATGTAATTGCCCTTTTGGACAAGAAAATTTTTTCAAGTGATTTTGTGTAAAATGAATGATTTTAGGTGACCCGCCTGTCAACCCTCCTCCAAACAGCCGCCCTGGAACTCTCACGCTGGAGAGCCGGCGAATCATTGTCCGAATTGGAATGGATCAACCTGTCGGAGACGGCGCAGATGGCAGTCTCGGAAGTGTCGGGCGGTTCCACTCCACTTATGGAAAGAAAGAATCCGCTGACGGACCGCGTCAACATGGAGCTGACGATGTTGAAGAATCTGACGACGTTGAAGGATCTTCGGAAGGTGAAGAGGCCTCAAGAAACCTCCCGCTCTTGATGCAAGCAGTGACTGTCGCTTTTCGAAGTGTCAGTCACTAGGATCTGATAGAGTAGGAGGGAGGCGCATTCCGCCGAGCACTTTGTGAGTTTACGCTTTTTTTAAATGTAATTGCCCTTTTTGGACAAGAAAAATTTTTTTCAAGTGATTTTTGTGTAAAATGAATGATTTTTAGGTGACCCGCCTGTCAACCCTCCTCCAAACAGTCGCCCTGGAACTCTCACGCTGGAGAGCCGGCGAATCATTGTCCGAATTGGAATGGATCAACCTGTCGGAGACGGCGCAGATGGCAGTCTCGGAAGTGTCGGGCGGTTCCACTCCACTTATGGAAAGAAAGAATCCGCTGACGGACCGCGTCAACATGGAGCTGACGATGTTGAAGAATCTGACGACGTTGAAGGATCTTCGGAAGGTGAAGAGGCCTCAAGAAACCTCCCGCTCTTGATGCAAGCAGTGACTGTCGCTTTTCGAAGTGTTAGTCACTAGGATCTGATAGAGTAGGAGGGAGGCGCATTCCGCCGAGCACTTTGTGAGTTTACGCTTTTTTTTTAAATGTAATTGCCCTTTTGGACAAGAAAATTTTTTCAAGTGATTTTGTGTAAAATGAATGATTTTAGGTGACCCGCCTGTCAACCCTCCTCCAAACAGTCGCCCTGGAACTCTCACGCTGGAGAGCCGGCGAATCATTGTCCGAATTGGAATGGATCAACCTGTCGGAGACGGCGCAGATGGCAGTCTCGGAAGTGTCGGGCGGTTCCACTCCACTTATGGAAAGAAAGAATCCGCTGACGGACCGCGTCAACATGGAGCTGACGATGTTGAAGAATCTGACGACGTTGAAGGATCTTCGGAAGGTGAAGAGGCCTCAAGAAACCTCCCGCTCTTGATGCAAGCAGTGACTGTCGCTTTTCGAAGTGTCAGTCACTAGGATCTGATAGAGTAGGAGGGAGGCGCATTCCGCCGAGCACTTTGTGAGTTTACGCTTTTTTTAAAATGTAATTGCCCTTTTTGGACAAGAAAAATTTTTTTCAAGTGATTTTTGTGTAAAATGAATGATTTTAGGTGACCCGCCTGTCAACCCTCCTCCAAACAGCCGCCCTGGAACTCTCACGCTGGAGAGCCGGCGAATCATTGTCCGAATTGGAATGGATCAACCTGTCGGAGACGGCGCAGATGGCAGTCTCGGAAGTGTCGGGCGGTTCCACTCCACTTATGGAAAGAAAGAATCCGCTGACGGACCGCGTCAACATGGAGCTGACGATGTTGAAGAATCTGACGACGTTGAAGGATCTTCGGAAGGCGAAGAGGCCTCAAGAAACCTCCCGCTCTTGATGCAAGCAGTGACTGTCGCTTTTCGAAGTGTCAGTCACTAGGATCTGATAGAGTAGGAGGGAGGCGCATTCCGCCGAGCACTTTGTGAGTTTACGCTTTTTTTAAATGTAATTGCCCTTTTGGACAAGAAAAATTTTTTTCAAGTGATTTTTGTGTAAAATGAATGATTTTTAGGTGACCCGCCTGTCAACCCTCCTCCAAACAGCCGCCCTGGAACTCTCACGCTGGAGAGCCGGCGAATCATTGTCCGAATTGGAATGGATCAACCTGTCGGAGACGGCGCAGATGGCAGTCTCGGAAGTGTCGGGTGGTTCCACTCCACTTATGGAAAGAAAGAATCCGCTGACGGACCGCGTCAACATGGAGCTGACGATGTTGAAGAATCTGACGACGTTGAAGGATCTTCGGAAGGCGAAGAGGCCTCAAGAAACCTCCCGCTCTTGATGCAAGCAGTGACTGTCGCTTTTCGAAGTGTCAGTCACTAGGATCTGATAGAGTAGGAGGGAGGCGCATTCCGCCGAGCACTTTGTGAGTTTACGCTTTTTTTAATGTAATTGCCCTTTTTGGACAAGAAAAATTTTTTTCAAGTGATTTTTGTGTAAAATGAATGATTTTAGGTGACCCGCCTGTCAACCCTCCTCCAAACAGCCGCCCTGGAACTCTCACGCTGGAGAGCCGGCGAATCATTGTCCGAATTGGAATGGATCAACCTGTCGGAGACGGCGCAGATGGCAGTCTCGGAAGTGTCGGGCGGTTCCACTCCACTTATGGAAAGAAAGAATCCGCTGACGGACCGCGTCAACATGGAGCTGACGATGTTGAAGAATCTGACGACGTTGAAGGATCTTCGGAAGGCGAAGAGGCCTCAAGAAACCTCCCGCTCTTGATGCAAGCAGTGACTGTCGCTTTTCGAAGTGTCAGTCACTAGGATCTGATAGAGTAGGAGGGAGGCGCATTCCGCCGAGCACTTTGTGAGTTTGCAAGCAGAATAAGAACCATAACAATTGAATCTTTCAGACGTGCGCATCCGAAAACAAATCGGAATCGTCATCTCGGCGCTGGCCGAAGGAACCAAGTCGCACGTGCCGTACCGTGACTCGAAACTGACGCGCATTCTTCAAGAGTCGCTCGGAGGAAACTCGCGGACTACGGTCATAATTTGCGCGTCGCCGTCGCACTTCAACGAGGCGGAGACCAAGTCGACGCTGCTTTTCGGACAGAGAGCCAAGACGATCAAGAATGTGGTGCAGGTGAACGAGGAGCTGACGGCCGAGGAGTGGATGCGCCGATACGAGAAGGAGCGCGAGAAGGTACGCTTTTTTTTTTAAATGTAATTGCCCTTTTGGACAAGAAAATTTTTTCAAGTGATTTTGTGTAAAATGAATGATTTTAGGTGACCCGCCTGTCAACCCTCCTCCAAACAGCCGCCCTGGAACTCTCACGCTGGAGAGCCGGCGAATCATTGTCCGAATTGGAATGGATCAACCTGTCGGAGACGGCGCGGATGGCAGTCTCGGAAGTGTCGGGCGGTTCCACTCCACTTATGGAAAGAAAGAAGCCGCTGACGGACCGCGTCAACATGGAGCTGACGATGTTGAAGAATTTGACGACGTTGAAGGATCTTCGGAAGGCGAAGAGGCCTCAAGAAACCTCCCGCTCTTGATGCAAGCAGTGACTGTCGCTTTTCGAAGTGTCAGTCACTAGGATCTGATAGAGTAGGAGGGAGGCGCATTCCGCCGAGCACTTTGTGAGTTTGCAAGCAGAATAAGAACCATAACAAATGAATCTTTCAGACGTGCGCATCCGAAAACAAATCGGAATCGTCATCTCGGCGCTGGCCGAAGGAACCAAGTCGCACGTGCCGTACCGTGACTCGAAACTGACGCGCATTCTTCAAGAGTCGCTCGGAGGAAACTCGCGGACTACGGTCATAATTTGCGCGTCGCCGTCGCACTTCAACGAGGCGGAGACCAAGTCGACGCTGCTTTTCGGACAGAGAGCCAAGACGATCAAGAATGTGGTGCAGGTGAACGAGGAGCTGACGGCCGAGGAGTGGATGCGCCGATACGAGAAGTAGCGCGAGAAGGTACGCTTTTTTTTTAAATGTAATTGCCCTTTTGGACAAGAAAATTTTTTCAAGTGATTTTGTGTAAAATGAATGATTTTAGGTGACCCGCCTGTCAACCCTCCTCCAAACAGCCGCCCTGGAACTCTCACGCTGGAGAGCCGGCGAATCATTGTCCGAATTGGAATGGATCAACCTGTCGGAGACGGCGCAGATGGCAGTCTCGGAAGTGTCGGGCGGTTCCACTCCACTTATGGAAAAAAAGAATCCGCTGACGGACCGCGTCAACATGGAGCTGACGATGTTGAAGAATCTGACGACGTTGAAGGATCTTCGGAAGGCGAAGAGGCCTCAAGAAACCTCCCGCTCTTGATGCAAGCAGTGACTGTCGCTTTTCGAAGTGTCAGTCACTAGGATCTGATAGAGTAGGAGGGAGGCGCATTCCGCCGAGCACTTTGTGAGTTTACGCTTTTTTTAATGTAATTGCCCTTTTTGGACAAGAAAAATTTTTTTCAAGTGATTTTTGTGTAAAATGAATGATTTTTAGGTGACCCGCCTGTCAACCCTCCTCCAAACAGCCGCCCTGGAACTCTCACGCTGGAGAGCCGGCGAATCATTGTCCGAATTGGAATGGATCAACCTGTCGGAGACGGCGCAGATGGCAGTCTCGGAAGTGTCGGGCGGTTCCACTCCACTTATGGAAAGAAAGAATCCGCTGACGGACCGCGTCAACATGGAGCTGACGATGTTGAAGAATCTGACGACGTTGAAGGATCTTCGGAAGGCGAAGAGGCCTCAAGAAACCTCCCGCTCTTGATGCAAGCAGTGACTGTCGCTTTTCGAAGTGTCAGTCACTAGGATCTGATAGAGTAGGAGGGAGGCGCATTCCGCCGAGCACTTTGTGAGTTTACGCTTTTTTTTTAAATGTAATTGCCCTTTTGGACAAGAAAATTTTTTCAAGTGATTTTGTGTAAAATGAATGATTTTAGGTGACCCGCCTGTCAACCCTCCTCCAAACAGCCGCCCTGGAACTCTCACGCTGGAGAGCCGGCGAATCATTGTCCGAATTGGAATGGATCAACCTGTCGGAGACGGCGCAGATGGCAGTCTCGGAAGTGTCGGGCGGTTCCACTCCACTTATGGAAAGAAAGAATCCGCTGACGGACCGCGTCAACATGGAGCTGACGATGTTGAAGAATCTGACGACGTTGAAGGATCTTCGGAAGGCGAAGAGGCCTCAAGAAACCTCCCGCTCTTGATGCAAGCAGTGACTGTCGCTTTTCGAAGTGTCAGTCACTAGGATCTGATAGAGTAGGAGGGAGGCGCATTCCGCCGAGCACTTTGTGAGTTTACGCTTTTTTTTTAATGTAATTGCCCTTTTGGACAAGAAAATTTTTTCAAGTGATTTTGTGTAAAATGAATGATTTTAGGTGACCCGCCTGTCAACCCTCCTCCAAACAGCCGCCCTGGAACTCTCACGCTGGAGAGCCGGCGAATCATTGTCCGAATTGGAATGGATCAACCTGTCGGAGACGGCGCAGATGGCAGTCTCGGAAGTGTCGGGCGGTTCCACTCCACTTATGGAAAGAAAGAATCCGCTGACGGACCGCGTCAACATGGAGCTGACGATGTTGAAGAATCTGACGACGTTGAAGGATCTTCGGAAGGCGAAGAGGCCTCAAGAAACCTCCCGCTCTTGATGCAAGCAGTGACTGTCGCTTTTTCGAAGTGTCAGTCACTAGGATCTGATAGAGTAGGAGGGAGGCGCATTCCGCCGAGCACTTTGTGAGTTTGCAAGCAGAATAAGAACCATAACAATTGAATCTTTCAGACGTGCGCATCCGAAAACAAATCGGAATCGTCATCTCGGCGCTGGCCGAAGGAACCAAGTCGCACGTGCCGTACCGTGACTCGAAACTGACGCGCATTCTTCAAGAGTCGCTCGGAGGAAACTCGCGGACTACGGTCATAATTTGCGCGTCGCCGTCGCACTTCAACGAGGCGGAGACCAAGTCGACGCTGCTTTTCGGACAGAGAGCCAAGACGATCAAGAATGTGGTGCAGGTGAACGAGGAGCTGACGGCCGAGGAGTGGATGCGCCGATACGAGAAGGAGCGCGAGAAGGTACGCTTTTTTTTTTAATGTAATTGCCCTTTTGGACAAGAAAATTTTTTCAAGTGATTTTGTGTAAAATGAATGATTTTAGGTGACCCGCCTGTCAACCCTCCTCCAAACAGCCGCCCTGGAACTCTCACGCTGGAGAGCCGGCGAATCATTGTCCGAATTGGAATGGATCAACCTGTCGGAGACGGCGCAGATGGCAGTCTCGGAAGTGTCGGGTGGTTCCACTCCACTTATGGAAAGAAAGAAGCCGCTGACGGACCGCGTCAACATGGAGCTGACGATGTTGAAGAATCTGACGACGTTGAAGGATCTTCGGAAGGCGAAGAGGCCTCAAGAAACCTCCCGCTCTTGATGCAAGCAGTGACTGTCGCTTTTCGAAGTGTCAGTCACTAGGATCTGATAGAGTAGGAGGGAGGCGCATTCCGCCGAGCACTTTGTGAGTTTAAGCTTTTTTTTTTAATGTAATTGCCCTTTTGGACAAGAAAAATTTTTTTCAAGTGATTTTTGTGTAAAATGAATGATTTTTAGGTGACCCGCCTGTCAACCCTCCTCCAAACAGCCGCCCTGGAACTCTCACGCTGGAGAGCCGGCGAATCATTGTCCGAATTGGAATGGATCAACCTGTCGGAGACGGCGCAGATGGCAGTCTCGGAAGTGTCGGGCGGTTCCACTCCACTTATGGAAAGAAAGAAGCCGCTGACGGACCGCGTCAACATGGAGCTGACGATGTTGAAGAATCTGACGACGTTGAAGGATCTTCGGAAGGCGAAGAGGCCTCAAGAAACCTCCCGCTCTTGATGCAAGCAGTGACTGTCGCTTTTCGAAGTGTCAGTCACTAGGATCTGATAGAGTAGGAGGGAGGCGCATTCCGCCGAGCACTTTGTGAGTTTAAGCTTTTTTTAATGTAATTGCCCTTTTTGGACAAGAAAAATTTTTTTCAAGTGATTTTGTGTAAAATGAATGATTTTTAGGTGACCCGCCTGTCAACCCTCCTCCAAACAGCCGCCCTGGAACTCTCACGCTGGAGAGCCGGCGAATCATTGTCCGAATTGGAATGGATCAACCTGTCGGAGACGGCGCAGATGGCAGTCTCGGAAGTGTCGGGCGGTTCCACTCCACTTATGGAAAGAAAGAAGCCGCTGACGGACCGCGTCAACATGGAGCTGACGATGTTGAAGAATCTGACGACGTTGAAGGATCTTCGGAAGGCGAAGAGGCCTCAAGAAACCTCCCGCTCTTGATGCAAGCAGTGACTGTCGCTTTTCGAAGTGTCAGTCACTAGGATCTGATAGAGTAGGAGGGAGGCGCATTCCGCCGAGCACTTTGTGAGTTTGCAAGCAGAATAAGAACCATAACAATTGAATCTTTCAGACGTGCGCATCCGAAAACAAATCGGAATCGTCATCTCGGCGCTGGCCGAAGGAACCAAGTCGCACGTGCCGTACCGTGACTCGAAACTGACGCGCATTCTTCAAGAGTCGCTCGGAGGAAACTCGCGGACTACGGTCATAATTTGCGCGTCGCCGTCGCACTTCAACGAGGCGGAGACCAAGTCGACGCTGCTTTTCGGACAGAGAGCCAAGACGATCAAGAATGTGGTGCAGGTGAACGA